AACAATTCAATCCCTGGAACACTAGAATGGAAGCCTACAACAAGCTGTTGGCTCTCAAACTCACTAGCAATGCACCCGGTGCTGCCACATGCCATGTGGAATGTTTCAGAGACCTGGAAGGACAAGTCAATCTGGATGATAACGAACTCATCATTGACTTGTTCAGAGGCAGTCTCACATGTAGTCTGCAAGAAAAGTTTGAGTGTAACCTGCCTGCAAAGAGGTGGGGATGGTACTGAGAGGTCGAAGATATCGACCGACAGAGGATGCTGCTACAGCAGTCCTCTGCTAGGCACCCAAGCACTGCCCCTCCATGATTGAACCCGGGAATCCAACCAATGCCACCTGCTCCGAGTTCACTCCCCATTCAGCAACCAGCACAAAGAAACTTCACTCATATGCCAGCACCAATAATGGCAGGAAGCCCGAGCAGACCAACCAATCAGCTGCTACCTCAGCAGTATGTACCAGGCCCGAAACAAGGAGGCCCCACAATACCAGGCAATAGCACTTGCCATATCTGCAAAGGCATTGGACATTGGGCCAGAGACTGTCCAAGCAAGAAGGCAGATCCTCTGGGACCACGACCTCTGGGCCCAAGAGTCATGGTAACCACAGAAGATCCCTTTGAAGAAGGGGCCACCGACTCAGGGGATGGGCATACAGGCAGCACTGAAATGAGTGACCCTGATGACCTAGACTTCAGTCATTACCAAGTTCCTAATGACACTAATCATGAGGAGCCACAAGATGACGATGACAAGGGAAATGACAGTGGGGCGATGCACTGATGGCATGCATGGCCCTACAAACCTCCTCGCCATCGTTGTGTATATATCAAGATTGCCAAATATGTTTCTCCACCAGCAAAGGAAAAGCAGTATTAGAGCTCACAGGAATGGTCCAAGACCATCCTGCTCATATACTCACTGACACCAGCGCTGGCTTGTCCATAGTTTCAGATTCCTTTATCAGTAAGTACCTAATACCCACTAAACCCTCAAAAACAAGATCGATTCATGGTGTCACCAGACACCAGCTCGTTATCAATAGTGCCACGACCATACAGGTGGTTATTGGTGAGCACAACCTAGGTGTAGTCAAAGTATCGGTAGCTGATACTGCTGACTACAACCTTATATTGGGATTCACCGAGCTCAGAAGGCTCAAGCCCACCATATGATGGGACACAGGCCAACTAGAGTTCAAGTCCCAGGACCAAAAACGACCCCCTGAAGCTGCTGCAACTAGGGGCTTACAATCAAAAGCATCAAAATTGGTCATAGTAGTGGGACTGTCACAGAATTCGATGAAAGCCACCATAACAGGTGAGCAAAAACAGGAACTTGCCATAAGAGTTAGCTTATCACCGATTTCAACGAAATCTGTGGCAACAGGCTCCAACAAAGAAAAAATGGCATGACCAACCATGCATGGAAATGAGTTCGTCTCAGCAAAGCGCTTACTTCAGGCAGCTTTAGAGGACGGACCCATAGGGTTCATGTTATTGGAAGTACCACCCTCATCACTCCTGGCCTTCGGTTTTGTTCCTACTGGTGCCAACAAAGGAGTAGAGATGGAGGTTGAGATCAAGAAGAAGGCGATGGCAGCAGATATACCAAAGCCGTACCAACACCTTTGTGATGTGTTTGACGAGGTGGAGGCAGACAGGCTTCCCCAGCATACTGAACATGATCTCCACCTTGAACTAATAGAAGGAAGTTGACTGCCTCAAGGCCCATTGTATCTCAAGGGGCCTAAAGAAATGTCTGAATTGAGGAAGTATCTGGATGAGAACCTTGCGAAGGGATTCATATGACCATCGAAGAGTCCAGCAAGGTCACCTGTGCTATTCGTACCTAAGAAAGACAGAGGTCTCAGGCTTTGTGTGGACTATCGGGGACTCAATGAGATTACTGTCAAGAACAGGGCTCCATTGCCCCTCATCAAGGAGCAACTGTTCCTGCTCTGGAAGGTGAAGATCTATTCCAAGCTAGATCTCCAAGCAGCATACAACCTCATTCGCATTGCAAAAGGAGATGAATGGAAAACAGCATTTGGTACACAATTGGGACTATATGAGTACCTTGTGATGCCATTCGGGCTAGCAAATGCACCAGCTCATTTCCAATCGTTCATCAATGTCATCTTCCGAGACATTATCGGTGTATATGTTGTTGTATACTTGGACGACTTCCTCATCTTCAGTGACATGGAGGAAGCACACATATGACATGTCACTGAAGTTCTCACCCATTTGAGAAACAATCAGCTGTTTGCTAAACTGTCGAAGTGTGAGTTCCACACCATGACAGTAGAGTTTCTAGGGTATATCATCAAACCCACAGGGGTAGAGATGGATCCTGAGAAAGTACGGACAGCCAAGGAGTGGCCAATGCCAGAATCAATCCATGATATCCAAAGATTCCTTGGCTTTGCCAACTTCTATAGGTGATTCATTGCTCACTTCACTCGAATCGCCAAGCCATTAACATCACTGGTGAAACCAACAGAATGTTTCAAGAAGTTTGAGTTGCCAGAAGAAGCTCAACAAGCTTTCCACAAACTCATCCAAGCGTTCATGACAGCTGGAGTACTACAACACTTCAATTACCACCTTCCTACAAGGCTGGAAACAGATGCAAGCAACTTTGCCATCGCTGGAGTGCTCAAACAAGAGCATGAAGGATGCTGGCACCTGGTAGCATTTTATTCAAGGAAGATGTTGTTGGCTGAGAAAAACTACGAGATCCATGACAAGGAGCTCCTAGCAGTGGTTGCCTGCCTCACTCAGTGGTGACACATGCTAGCAGGACTTCCAAGTCAGTTAGTCATTCTCACAGATCACGAAGTGCTCAAGTACTTCAAGTCGCAACATCATATCACTGGCAGACAAGCATGATGGGTGGTATTGTTAGCAGATTTTGACTTTGTGCTACAATATCGACCAGGAGACAAGGGTGGCGAACCTGATGCTCTCACCAGACGAGCTGATATGCAGCCAGTCAGTAAAGAGCAGGAGCATAACATTTGACAGCTATTGCCCCCCCAGGTGTTTGAACAGGTCGAAAACAAAATTGCAGCAAGAAGCGAGTTGCAGCAGATCCCAGCTGAAAATGTAATAGCAAGCATGGTATTACCGATTTCAGTGGAATTGGTTCTAATTGCATGCTCAGGCAACAATTCCGTATTAGTAGCTCCTGCCCTCATGATGGAGTCTATATCCATGAAAGGAATCAAAGATCTGGCAAGAATCTTCCAGCCTCTGGATCCCAAGCTTCAGGAGATTCATCTAAGGAAGCCATTCGAGATCAGGGATGACTTATGGTATAGTGGCAGACAGTTGGTTATCCCCAAGGTAACAATGCCAGGGAAGACCAATGACTGTCATTCACGAAGCACCAAAGAAGTTGATGGGCAATCATTGTCTGTAGAACATTTGTGATTCATGGTCATGTCTCAATGTCATGATGGCGTCACAGCTGGACATGTGGGATGAGATGCTACCATTAAGTTGGCCCAACGACACTATTGGTGGCCAAACATGTCAGCCTGGATTGCTGATTATGTCGCAAGTTGCCAAGTGTGTGCCAGATATAAGGCTCCTTGCCATTGCCCATATGGCTTGCTGCAGCCACTTGCTACCCCAGACAGGCCATGGGGCTCTATATCCTTGGACTTCATTGAAGGATTACCACCCTCAAAGGGATACGATTCAATCCTGGTCATTGTTGACAGATTGACCAAGTTTGCTATTCTGGCCCCTACATACAAAACAGTCACAGCAAAACAGACTGCTGTGCTGCTATGGGGATATCTGGTTAGACACTTCAGTTATCCAGATCACATGGTCTCGGACTGAGGCAGGCAGTTTATCTCAGGAGCATGGAAAGCATTTGCCAATCAAATGGGTATGAAACATTCGCTCAGCACTGCTTATCATCCTCAAACAGATGGGCAAACAGAAAGGGTCAACCAAGTAGTAGAGCAGTACCTTCGTATGTACTGCAACTATGAACAGAATGACTGGGCTAGCCTGCTCGACACTGCAGCATTTGTGTACAACAATACCATGCACAATAGCATCGGTGTGTCACCGTTTCTCACATGTTATGGATGGAACCTGAAAGCCCATCCTGACATTCCTCAACACCTAGGAGTGAACAACCCTGAAAATTCTGAATACTTGCTTGATGGTAAGGAGCACTGCAAGTATCTTCAGGAACAGATCAGGGAGGCACAGCGTCATACTGTCAATCATTATAACTGGAGACACAAGGACATAGAATTCAAGGTTGGCAACATGGTCTACATCAATCGCAAGAATTGGAAGACCAGGCGACCCACACCAAAGCTGGACACCAGGTTCACAGGACCTTACCTGGTACAAGAAAGGGTGGGCCAACAAGCCTATAGAATCACATTGCCTGCAACCCTCAGAGTTCATGATGTGTTCCATGTGTCCTTGCTCGAACCAGCAAGGAATAGTTCTATTCCTCAACAATCGACACAACCAATTGTACCATTGCTACCAGACGAGGATCTGGACTTCGAAGTTGAAGCCATTGTCAGCAAGCATTCACACAACAGGGCGACAGAATACAAGGTGCTTTGGAGGGGGTACCCAGAGGAGGCTGCCTCTTGGGAACCATTGTTGAATCTCAACTGTCCTGACCTCATCTGGGAGTATGAGGTTTTGGCAGGGGGATGAGGCTAAACAAGCACAAGGAGAAGGAGAAATCGGTAAGAAGGGTGTTAGAACCGATTTGAGTGAAAAATGTGAGAATAGAGGTGCTATTATGAATTACACGGAAATCTGTTGCAGTACTGGTGGTATGGCAGATTTCAGGGAGAGGACCCGAAATACTACTCTCACCATATGAGAAGTGTTTCAAGAGCATGGTACTCAACAGCCAGGCTCATAAGCAACAACACAAGAGTCAGGCCACAGACTCATTTTAGGATCAAGAAGAAGCAACATTGCAGAAGGAGACATGTTGCTACATGTCGACATATGAAGAAGGAGCAGGAGGAGGAGCAAGGGAGGACCAGATCACTAGCTCCTCCTTGGTAGGAGCCACCCACTCGTGAAGGAAGTCTGGAGGACCACCAGACTCCATCACAGACTCGTGAGGCTGATGCTCTGAGTACAGTTGGTCATGATGCTTGACATATAACTGGAGCATGCATAGGATGGAACTTACCAGCTCAGGCCGACGAAAGTGCCAAATGACCTGCATGGCGGTCACCCAGCCATGGGTCATCACTGAATCGGTGGTTCATTCCTCAGAATGAACCAAGCCCAGACCATACCCATCTGCCACGGTCAGATGGGCCCATTCTGCTTGGTGGGAACTGTGGGGCTGGAGCGATGGAGTCCCATCACCAGTGTAATCTATACCCGGATGAGCAGGGATATTGCACTCACAATGTCCCAACCCAGCCAGGTAGCAGTGCACGCAGGCATGAGGAATCCTAGTTTGCTCACCAAATGGATTGGTGAATGCAGAGGTGAAACAACTAAGAAAGAGAGGGCTAGAAAGGTCAGTAGCCATCAAGAATCAAACAGGAAGATCAGGAAATACTACTTACAGTATGCCCAGATTAAAGCAGCGACGACACTGCCAACTCGGCCAAGGCATGCAACCTTCCATGAGGCGAAGCATTACCAGTCGATGGAGACGCTTTGCTGCCAATGACCTGACAGGCACATCCCAGTCACATGGATAGTGTCCATCTGCGACCTGCATCAAGAGGTTGGCCATGACGAACCCTTCAGCCCAACCAGCAATCTCCCGATTAGAAGGGAGATGTCGATCTGGAGGAGGAGGGGGTGGCATTTGATGCCCAACCCAATGAGGAGGAGGAGTTAGAGGTTGGACCTCTGGCTGATAGACTGGGGTTCCAGCTCTAGAAACAGCTAGGACCACATCAATTACTTCGTCGGCAGTAGGAGGAGGAGTTGGGGACCTAGCCAACTCAGCCTCCCAGGTGGCCTGCCATTCAGGAGTGGTCCTATCCACTGCAGCAAGTCTCGCATCCACCTCATAAAGGTCGATAGCAGGAGAAGCGGGGGAATAGTCATTCCCCACGAGGTTGGGAATGATGGGAGCAATGAAAGGGGAGGGAAGGGGGCTGGGGACAATGATGTCATCATCCATCCCCAAGAAAAGGGGCTCCAGTGGCGAACGAACCACTGGAAGAGCAAGGGGGTCAGCCACCTGGGCTGAGACCATGGGAGCAGGAGGATTCGCCTCTGTGGCAGGATCCTCGTGGGGGTGTAGCTGTAATACCACCTGACGACAACGAGAGGATGTCGTCGCCACCTCAGCAGGAGGCACAACGATGGCAGTCTTGGAACGAGTGAGATATGGTGACATGGGGAATGGGATTGGATGGTGAAGAGTTGGTGGTATGCTCCAAACATGGCACAGGATATGCCTCGACAGAGCTCAGCTCTTAAGAGGGGGGTAATGTCATGGGCCTGGGTGTGCAGAATGAGGAAAGACCGAAGTTCATATGAAGGTAGCACAGGAATCGTGGAATCGGGTAGATCGTAGGAGCTGCGACAGAGTTCACTGAGATCAGCAATAGAATCTGCTCTATGGCAGACCACAGTGAAATCGGCACGAGCATCGTCAATATCATGAATCCCACCAGAATCTGCAGCAAGCGAAATCATGTGGCAGATTCTGCAGAGATCAGTAGTAAGGATGTCCATACAATGATTCACACGTGAGAGGGACCAAGCTCAGTGACAAGCAGTTGGTTACCACTCAGGGGCCCACAGGACAGGAGTAGAAGAGAACTGTCACCAGTCAGAGGAAGGAGAGCTGTGTAAAGGACACTGGCGAAAGGGACATGAAGAAGAGGAGCAGTGTCAATGAAGTTGACACAGCTCAGGAAAGACAGGAGGGACAAGGCTTGAAACAGAGAAGGTGCCTCCTTGGAGATCCCTGTGCAGTACTCGATGAGGAGGGTACCCTCTGGAGAGAGGGAGCAGGAGCAGTGTCACTGGCGACGCTGCGAAGAGGTATATAGTCCTACCTCCTCGTCACAAATGGTCGAGTGGATCCTCATCCACTCTACTCTCATCAAACGAACTAGTATTACTTCAAGCAATAAGTATTGATTAGTTCACAGTCAGCATAGTAGTAATCAACAGATTGCTCCTCATTGAAGTGCATGTGTTGTATCACCATTTCCTGACATCCAAAGGTGGTTTGTAGCAACCAGCGGTCCAGATAACCATAGAACTGAAGGCAGATGTCCACTGTGGCCTGGGGATCACTTCAAGCGTTAGTTGACACACTGGACACTCATGTTGGCATCAACAATCCATACTCACACCAGACCATTGGTGTCAATATCAAGCTCACTTAGAGTCATATTATAGTTTGATTGTGCCGAGCTACCTCTGGATGGAGTGTCCACAGCAGTTAGTCAAAATCTGTCATAACGATAATACAACTACAGATTCTAACGAGAAAGGTGACAGAGAAGGCTCTGTCACATATTTCACTAAGAATCGAAATACCATTAGTGCTGTCGCATAATTTGACAGAATCGGTGATAGTACAGATACTACTACTGATCTCAGGTTTCAGGTGCGCGACCGCTGACAAAGGTGTCATGAGAGCAGAATTGGGTCGCCATCATCATCCAAGTTGTCGATGTCAGTGCTGCAGGAGTGCTGCACTCTGTCAGTGTTTTGGATGACCTCTGCAGGTATAGAGAGCTCAAGAGTGCAGACAATGTCATTGAGAATTACTTGCTTGTTGCTGTAGCACACCATGGCTGGAAGGAGGAAGGGAGTTGGAGAGGGAGCATGGAGAGGGGGGATGGAGAGGGGGGATGGCAGCAAGAGCAATGCCAAAAGGTTGCAGAGTGGAGTGGTGGTAGTAATGGAAGAGGTGTGAGAGTGAAATTTTTTGTTTAAATGCTTTTGAGCTCATTATGTGACTGTGCTGCACATCATTTTTATTCACCTCATACTTGCACTCTACAGAAAAACACTCAGAAATGACTTTGCATTGAGACCAGATGATAGTACATGTAATGCTACAAGACAGGAAGATTGAATGAAGAGTCCATGTTGTTGTTGTTGCTGGTGTTCTGATGAGCATCCTGTTCGATGCTGGCCTGAGAAGCAAGGAGGTGCACCATCTCCAACACCATTTCACAATCACATGTGCGAACATGTTCATCATGCTCTTTCTCCTCCCTCTTGTGATGCAGGTGCATCTCCTTGTGCTTGGTATGCTCAGCCTCCAGTATTTTCTCACATCTGGTGCATTCCTGTTCAAGCTGCAGGTGGATCTGAAGGGTATCAATGGAAGAACGATAGAAAGCTTCAGCAAGTGTGTCACACTTGTGATCAAGGGCACCTTGCTTGCACTTGGTGCTGGGAGAGAGCTGGGCTGAAGATTGAGAAGAGGTGGAATCAGAGACATCCAAACCACCAGCAGTGGAGGAAGGTGGTCGAGCCTGCAAAGGTGGAGGTGAAGGTGTGTTAAAGATGTCATCATCACCAGCACCAGCAAAGGATGCACCAGAAGTGGATGCAACAGCAGCTGGGGGGTTGGTGGGTTCGATCAAGTCAAGAATAGGAGGCAAACCATGGCCATGAGCACTGTGATCATACAGCTCGCTGCCACAAATATCCATGGGTATGTCAGCTGAGCCATTTGAAGGCATGTCAGGCTCATCATTGCTGGTGAAGTTGAGACTGAGAGTTGTGATAAGTGCTGTGGGATCAGCATTGAATCGGCCATTCATCATCTCATGCATCCTTTCAAACCAAGCATACTTTGTTGACAGGGCAATGTGAGATACATAGGACTGTTTAAAATCAAAAGTATGAATCAGCATCCAAGCATACTATTGCAAGCAATGAAGATCACCAAAACTTACTGGGTTGGATGCATCCATGTCCTCCAGCAGTGTACCAGCTCCAGTGAGTGAAAGCTTCTTCTTCTCCCTGTAGTATGTCTCTAGCAGCCACCTCAGCTTGGACTTGATGCGATTGGGATTGACAGATGTGCCTGGAAAAATCATCTTGGAGATATCCCAAAAAATGGGATGTTTGCAAAGTTTGAGGGCTGGATTGCTCTCAGCTGATTCTTGAGATGGCAGCAGAGTGTGCTGGTAGGAGTCATTGTTGTAGTGGATCGTGACAAGGTGAAGAACATTGGCACCCGACCATGTCAAGTTCTTCTTGCCTGTGGCAGATCTAGAGGCTCGAGTTGGACAGGAAGTGTGGATGTCAGGAGCACTTGTAGAACCAGATTGAGACAGCACAGGCACACTTTCAGTCTGAGTTGCAGAGCTTGTAGGTGTAGTGGACTGGCATAACAACTCTGCAGAGATGTCATGAGAATCATCAGTGGAGGAGGTCATGTTGAATGAGTGCAAGGAAGAGGGAGTGAGCAAAAGTGCGATGAGAGTGAGGAAAGGAGAGAAGATGTGGAGTGATAAAAAAACCGCATTTTTGCAAATGCGCCTCCTGAGCTGTGTTTTTGAAAATGCGGTTTTTTTTTTCCCCTTTGCAGAGCTTATGTAAGCTTTTGCGTTTTTTTGAAAAATGCGCTCTTGAAAAAACCTGGGTTTTTAAAAACGCAAAAACTTTGATACCCCCTTTTGTTCGATTTCAGCTCCGATCTGTTCTGCCCGATCACCTGTTTTTAGGGTCGTGCTGGATCGTTCTCTTTAGCACTCAATTGGCCTTGTTTTGCTCTTTACTCCTTCTCATCTTCCCATCTTCCCATCTTCCCATCTTCCCATCTTCCCATCTTCCCATCTTCCCACCTTCCCACCATCATCTTCTCTTTTGGCAAGTGTCGCTTCAAGATCGACCTTGTCAATCTTCCTTTCCTCTTCGGGCATGGCAGCTTCACAATCCTGCTCTTCCTGCGGCTTATCATTCCCCCGCAACCACTTCGTAAGCCTGCGCAAGGGGGCGAAGAAAAACTGCAACGCTGGTTAATCATGACAGACATAGGCAGAGTTGCCGCTCCTTGGTGGGAGCGCTCACTCCCACCCTGGGTTGACCGGCCGGACATTTCAAGCTTCTATGAGATGGTCGCCGCCCTCAAGGGTTACAAATACAATCAGCGGGCTGCTGCTGTAGTTTCGCAGCACGACGATGTTCTCGTCCAACTCTGTCTTCTTGTCGACGCCATCGGCCTTGACCGCAAATCTGCCAGCAAGTTTGTCCGCCTTTTCAAGCTGGTTCACAGTATGGATGAGTTTAAGAACCGGGTTGTCGAAGGCGACCGAGAAGTTGCAACATCCATTGCAAACATTCTCGATGTTTATGAGGACTCGGCACGGATTGTGAAGATTCGCAAATCTCTCATCCCTGTTAGGAAACGCACCCTGACTGAAGCCTAGCGAGCTGGCTACCAGCTCCTACAATCTTTTGAGCGGGCCCGCTCATCACAGCTTGACTCGTACGCCGCTGAGGAGAAGTTGCTCATCGAGTAGCTCAAGGCCCTCCGCAGCGAGAGGGATTAGTTCAGTCGACATTAGTCTATCGTTATTGCAGCCTGGGCAAAGGTAAAGAGGGCTCGGGATATTAACCTCTCTCGTATCGAGAGGGCTCTCGTACAAGTGTAAAAAAAAAAAAAAAAAAAAAAAAAAAAAAAAAAAACAACAACATATGACCGCCCACTTACATCCTAATACCTCTGCCAACTTGGCTCACCGTCGTCAGTCATTGTTGAGGAATGCACAAGCGAGGAGCGGTAGAGCAGATATCGTTGTTATTAGCAGACGACTAAGTACAAAGCAATGCCAATGTATGCTTGCGTCTTGTCGCAATAGGGGTAGAGCGGGTTGTTGACGTGGATTTGAGTTAGCCTTGGTGCGTGGTGATGCGTGGTGATGGTGAGCCAAGTTGGCGAATATGTTAGAGTGTGAGTACAAGGTCATGTGATTTCACTTCCTATTCCTATTATGTCACCAGGCAAGATTACACGACTTGATTCCACGCAGGCACGCACCGGTCATCAAGAGAAATATATGCTTCTCATTGCCTTGAACCTTGGTGCTCTTGCTAACATCGCAATTGCTAACATCGCAATTGATATCCGTCTCGCTGTTCTTTGCTTGTATCTGTGCAGGATAGGAATAATCTAACGAATGCGCTTGGATCTCAACCTAGCCAGATGCATTGCCTGTTCCTGAGCCTTTCGTTGAGCGTTTTCGTCAACTTTCTCTACGGCTTCAGTCCAAGGTAGCAGCTGTGCTGGTTGGTCGGTTTGAGTAGTGCTGGGCTTGGAAGCAGTAGGCGAAGTTAGATCGATCAGACTGCGAAGTTTGTTCTTCAATGTATCACCACCGAGGCCAGTAATGAGGTCTCGAATTTTGTGGGCAGAATTTTTGCTCTGCCACTGTGTCCATAACATCTGCTTCTGGTTATTGGTCAAGCCACCAACTTGACCCCTCTCTCCACCTGGGTATTCTCCTGAAGTAGGCCAAGGCAAATGCGAGTCCTCGCTTGCGTTTGCATCCCAGAAGGTCTTACTGCCGTGTCCTGCGCTAGCCCACTTGCCGTTTTGCGGGACCAACAAAGGATGCGCCTCTGTGGTAAATACGTACTCATCCAACGAGATGAGCTCGGGAGGCGAGAAGAGCAGGTAGTAATACTTGAACGTTTCTGCAAACGTAAAGCTTTCCATACTGTCCATCCAAGTAGCCGGAGAAGTGTTGACGTCGTAGATAGCACTGAAACCAGCATCGGTCATGCAGTGGGTTACCCAGGAAGCAAACATCTGCCATCCACGTTCTTGCCATATCGGATCACCGGTGATTCTCCACATGTAAAACACGGATTCGATGGTTTCGGGTCGATTGAGGTAGCTGGTGGCAACACTTCGAACGCCGACGATCGGGTTACCGCGCGGCTTGCCTCGTCTCGAAGTGCCATCAGAGAGATTGACGAGGTCAAAGCGATCATCGTCGTCGTTCTCGTAGAAGATGAGATTCTCGGGGCCAATGCCAGTAGCTGAGCTGTTGTAGGCCCACCAGCAAGTGCCTGTGATCCCCTTGGCGAGATCGATATCTTGTGCACGTTCAGCCATGATGCGCGAGCCCAAAGCGAGCATGCCACCACTGAAGCATGCAAGATGCTCCAACTTGGCCATATATCTCGAATTGGTGATCTCACCAATGGTCATCAAGCTGACGCCTGGCACCGTGTCGATGCGCGTGATGAGCAACTTCTTAGCCCCCTCGATAGCTTCCGAGTACATTCTGCTGTACTGCGAGAGACGTCCACCGAGCAAGTGGTGCTCCTTGATGAGGTACTCGTAGTACGAATCAGCCATGCCGCCAAACGAGACAGTACCGTAAGAAGTGTCGCTTTCAGGATAGATCTGAGTGCGGAAGAGCGACTCCATGCGAGCAGCAGCGGTCATGTTTCGATCGAGCCAGTCGGTGCTACGCTGGACACGGTCAAAGTAGGTTCTGTTGCCGGTCACTTGCCAGAGCCTCGTGAACTCAAGCAGTAGACTGCCGGCTTCGGCGAGAATGACGCTGCTCTGTGACTGTGGCGACTTGTATGGGTGATTGGCAGGCTCGACCATTCGGATCCTTCCTACGGGCACACCAGTGACAGTGTCAAAGGCGGGCAAAATGAGCTGCGCCAACTCTTCTGCTCGGTCACGCATGAGAACATCGCCGCTAAGATCATAAGCCGAGATGAAGCCGCCGAGGTAGCGGATAGCAGTCTCGAAAACGGGAATGCGACCGTCTGCTGTGCCATATGCGCTTCTTCCACCACCAATGAGCCTAAAGTCAATGTCCCGCACATGCTGCCTTGCCAAGTCATACTGCTTTGGCATGCCCATAACCAGGAGAGTGTCGAGCGCATCTACAATGCTTGCACCCCAGCCGTTAAATGGATCTTGTGCAGACTTGGAAACGGGTCGAAGCTCGTCATGTCCCCAGGCATACTTCTTGTATCCTTCCCAGGCGTGGATGAATGCGTTGCGGACCATCTTTTGGCGATGTGCAACGAGTTGATCGCGTGCTGGATCGTTTCGACGCCCCGAATGCTTGGTAGGGTCTTGGAAAGCGTACTGCACTTTGGGCATTGTCTGTGATGGTTTGGCAAGGTCATCGATTGGAGGTTTCCATGCGTTCCATGGTGCATGTCTCCAATCGGATTCCTGAGGTTGCTTCTGTGGTTCTTCAGCATCGCTGGGTTCTGTGGTGGAATGGTCGTTCCAGACACGTGTCTGCCAGATCTCTGGTGTGATGGTGGGTGCCTTGAGTGGCCAGGGTGGTGGTTGATGGAGAGGCTCTCGATTCAACAAAGATTCGAGATAGGTGGGTAGCTCGCCGCGATGAGGGTTGGTGTCCTTGTAAAGAGAAGCTTGGGAGGGCAGACTGCCGATGAAGTTGACTTCGCTCAAAGCTGGTGGGAATGAGTAGGGACCGAGAGGCTCTACGTGGCCAGCTGTTAGTGGGTCGCCGCCTGATGAGGGGAACCAGGAGTCGGGCGATTCAGAGGAAGGACCAAACCATTTGGGTGGTTTGAGCGATGGCCAACCATGGGCTTTGAGTTTCTTGACTGGTTCCATATCCATCAGGATGGGTGCCACGAACAAGATCTGGACTGAAACAACCATGGCGACGAGCAGCAAGATGACAAACATCTTGTGCTTTGCAATCCATGATATCAAGTAGGACGAGGTGGATGGTGCTACCTGCCGTGCGTTGAGAGGCAGGTAGGAAGCGGTGGGAGTGCTGCCGAACATGGTGTGCTGTTTTGGTGTGTGAGCAGGAAGAGAGGTGGCTGATCCTGATTCTGGTTGTTGAGTGCGGCGCTGTATGGCTGCTTTTCGCAGACGAAGTTCGGAAGAAGGGAGGGTGGTGTCGGGACCAGCTAGATTCAAAGAGGCGACTGTATGCAGCCAAGTGTCGAGCGAGGATGTGAGAAGAGACGTTGAGGAGCTAGCGGTGCGATGATCCAGAGGATGGTCCGAAGATGTCGCTGACACGGTCTCATGCAACACTGGTGACGATGAAGATGTTGCGACGACGGAAGTAGACGCTGTGCCTTGCGTGTGGGTCAAGTCGCCACCTGAAGAGATATCTCTTGGCGGTGGGTGGACTCGACCTGTTTGTGTGGAGTCTACGGTGTGGCAAGGCGGGACGGAGGCAACTGGAGGTGGGGATCCGGAGCGAGGACGGGGTGAAGAAGAGGGCGACGAAGAGGCGGGAAGAGAATGGGTATCGAGGAAGGAAAGAGAGGCCTGTTCTTGTCCGTATGCAAGGTTGCTATCTTGCAAGGTCATCAAGGCGAGGTAAAGATGATGGAAGAGAAGAGCCAAGCTTATGAAGAGGTCCGTGTCCAAGGGATGATAGATGCAAAGCAGCCCGAGATTGGCGAGTGCAACATGAAATAAAAGTCTCTTGGCCGCTGGCAGTGTGTGGGAGCGCTCGGAGGTGGTAACTTCCAGGGTCTAACATCCTAACTCGCACTTTTCCCCGACCAGAGCACCGACATCAAGCGCCCTGTTGGCGCGACCGAGAGAGGGGCAAAGTTTGTGGGAAGGTACGCCGCTTAGATATGAGGTATGCCAAGCGGTGCGTTGACATGGAAACGGTTGTGAAAGTGGGTGCCGCTCGACAGACGGTCTAGAACTATGTGGGAAAGGATACACGACTCACCTGGAAACAACACAGCGAGTGTCAGCGGCGGCGTTGGAGTATATATATATATATATATATATATATATACTCATGTTTTGTAGCCTCCATTCTTTCGTTTGTAGCGGTGTTTCTACTTTCAACTGCTGGCTCGCACAAGACGCTCTGCATGTTGGTCGTCATCAAATGTCCTCGCCAACAAACACTGACAGATTCAACGAGAGAGTATATGTCGAGTCAACTGGGATTGAGGAGACACTGAAGCACTAGAATACAAGGGACTGGAGCGACAAGCAAGCTGCTCGACCTGGGTGAAGCCGAGGCTATCAAAGCAAAGATACGCATGAATGAGAAACCGTGGACAAGGTCAAGAAAATAGACCTGAGAAGCAAAGAGAATGGTAGCGACGCTGACCTTTGGTCAACGTACCGTGTGGGTATATGTCGAGTGACAAAAGTCAAACAAGAGAGGCGGCTGCGAGTGTGGATTTAGAACAAGTGCTGCTGTGAGTGGGCGTGATTGTGTGGGTGGGGATGACCGTGGACGTGGTGGTGAACGTGGCCAGCTGCTGCGTAGGCATTGGTGTGCTGCTGCTCGTGACCCTGTTGGGCGCCGGCATTGTTGTTGTTGTTGTGCACATCCCGCTGAGCAAACATGAAGCTGTTGGAAGGCAATGTTTCAGAATGTTTGTACTGCACATTCCACCAGTTGCTTGGGTCAGCAGCTGCTGTGTGCCAGTCCAAGTCGTGTGTAGCTGGCTGGTGCGACTGTGTCGCTGGTCCAGTCGCTGCTGCCTGGCTCAGTGCAGGCTCGGAGGTGTTAAAGATTGTTGAAGCAGCACCGTGCTCATTGTGACGACCAGCAGATTCAGGGTGTGAAGCCTGAAGACCGAACCAATGATCGATCCTCTCACGGTTCAACAACTCGCGGTCAGGCAAGCTGGATGAGCCGTTCTCGGACCATTGCGATGCTGGGGTCGGTCGTGCTGTCGCCGTGGCCCATGCATCGATCGAGCCGGCGAGCGAGGAGCAGTGATCGCCAGTGGGCGATGCGTCAATGCCACGGGCAAAGTCGAAGGCGGCGACCGACATGCCGTCCGAAGAGGCGCTGTCAAGCGACATGGTCAGCGAAGGGTCAGTCGGGTGTGCAACGACACCATGGAAGCTTACTTCGTCTGATGCGTGACTGCTAGCTGCCATGAGGTGAGAAGACCAGACGAGTGGGTCGACCTCTGCTGTCGAGCGTTGAGCAAGGTTGTTGGTTTGAGCCTCGGACATCCATTTGGAAAGTAGCATCGACTGGCAGTTGTCATCGTCCATCGACTCACGCAGCAAGCCGCCAGCCAGTGTCTCGATGGCCTCCTTGCACTTGGCGCCGATTGGGGTGATGTGACCCATATCGACGAGCAAGCGTATACAAGTCTGGAGGAGGTTGACCCACTCGCGGGCCTCTTGGTTGGTAGGCTCATCGAGCAACGAGACGAGCGGCACAAGGGCACTCTGAGTGAGAAAGTAGATCGCATGCCAAGCCATAGCCTGGTTGTGAGGATGCGAGTGCCAGAAGCAAGAGATAGAGCGGATGTTGTTGCTCGCCATCCTTCGGCAGAGTGCGATGGCCTGCTTGACGGCAGGACGCAGTGCGGGTCGTGGCGCACCACGGCTGCCAGCAGCTGCAGCGGCAACAGCGTTGGAGAGCAAAAAGGGTCGGAACATGACCATGCGGAAGTTATTGCACCTCCATCGAAGTCGTGCGGTAGCAACAGAGAACGAGGCTGGGCGTGGGCCAGTGTAGCCATCGTCCATGTAGTTTGGCAGGTGATCGACAAACTCTTCGGTCTTGAGGTCAAAGGCACGCACTTCCTCGATGGAAGGGTTGGGACCCTTGATCAGCCTCGCCTGCAAGGGCATGCTGATCTCCGAGGCGAACTTGGCATGTACAGCAAGCGTCGAGCTCATCGTAGCTTGCGAGACTTGGGCGGGCAGCTGGTCCAAGGTGGGCGACATGGCCGTCTCGTCGACGTTGAGAGGTGGAGCTACATCAGCGTTGATGCTGAGCAAAGCATTAGGACGTGCCATGCTGACGCATGTGTCGGCCTCCATGGTAAAGAGTGTATACCACAAGCGGCGACCAAACTCCTTATCAAAGGCAGGCATATCGCGAGCCTGCAAGGCAGCTTCCGAGTGAAGGCCCATGGAGATGGCCATGCGAAGCGCACTGCCAAGCACCATCCAAGCGCTGGAAAAGTGGTTCTTCTTCTGGCAGTAGTTGGCCATCAAGGTCAATGCCTGGACCGAGATGATCTCGGCCTTGTCAAACAGGACGGCGTTGAAAAGACGGTTGGCACGCGAGTAGAAGAGTGTGTCGACGTCGGCTTCGTCTGCCGATACCCTGCGCTCAAAGGCGCCGAGGGCAAACACCATGTTGACCAGCATAGGCCAGGCGGGAGATTGAGGAGGGCAGACAGTACCCTGAAGCTGGGCACGGAAAGTTGCAGGGTGGATGATGGGGTAGAAGGGAAGATGGAACTCGAAGAAGGACTCGAGGAGCTCGGCAGCGAAGCGCTGGCTCTCCGAGTGCCAGGTAGCAAAGTCGACGTTGTTAGGCAAGGTGGAATTCTGAAGCTGCATGGCGGATGAGGACGAGGCGGAAGCACTGGCAAGAGCCTCGCAAGAGACATGGATGGCGCCAGGCTTGTCAGCGGCGCTTGGACCGGTCTGGTGACCAGCAAGGTTAGCGCTGGCGCCTGCCTTTCTGCCAAGACTCAGCTGAGAGGCGATCTGGAGAGCAGCGTTGCAGCTGGTGAGGCTGACAAAGTTGCCGCCACCAAGCGCATCGCTTTCCTTTTTGGCGTCAGCAAGGGGCATAGCGGCGTGCATTTCATCGGCGTGCATGTCATGGGCGGCGTTGTTGTTGTTGTTGTTGTTGTTGTTGTTGTTGTTGTTGTTGTTGTTGTTGTTGTCGTTGTTGTCGTCGTCGTTGTCGTCGTCGTCGTCAAGAAAGCGATTGGTGGAGGAGCGAGGACGCTTCTTGGATGGCCAAGGGGAAGGTTTGGCAAAACGAGATGGATGAGAGTCGTGCTCGCCTGTCAAGGAACGGTTGTGCATGAGGGGCTGGGCGTGTCGAGGAGAAAGGGAGTTGGGTGCTGCTGGTTTGTCGGAGATGGACTTGTTGTGAGTGGTGTTGGTGACGGGCTTGGCCTCTGTTGTCTCAAGTTGAGCAATCTTGCGCTTGGCATCCTCAAGCTGAGCCTCGAGCGAGCTGACATATTGACGAGTGATGGGGGAGCGTTTGGGAGGGTCGACATAGGCACAGGACTTTGTACGGCTGTGGGTGATGCAACGACCGCAGAAGGGCAAGCCTCCGTCGCAGCGCATCTTACGTGACTTGCACTCTGTACAAGCGCGGGCGACTTTGGAACGACCATCGCTGGTGCCTGGCTTTCCGAGCTCGCTAGGGTGGATGTTGTCAAAGCCAGAGTTGCTGTAGGGAAGGAAGGCGAACTGGCCGGGCTGAGGTTCGTTGGGGTTGATGTGGACGGGGCCGTGGGCGTAGCTGGGCTGATTGTCCCCCTTGATAAAACCCATCTTGGCGAAAGATGCGGGCGGTGGTGGTGGTGAAGAGATAGAGTCAAGATCTGCTGGTTTGAGAGGGATGAGGAGAGAGAGAGAGAGAGAGAGAGAGAGAAACACACGCACACGCTTAGAATTGTCTGCTCGTCGCTATCGTGAGCGTGACGCTTGCTTCTCTCTCTCTCTCTCTCTCTCTCTCTCTAACTGGCAAAAATGACTGCAATCGTGCCTGTCGTCTGTCAGAGAGGGCAAGGAAAGATAGCGAAAGGCACAATTGCGATCGTTCGGGAGCAGTGGAGCAAGAGAAGGCGGGAGGGCGTTAGAGCAAGTGCCTCAGCTATCGAACCGGTCCAGAGAATGCCAACCAGCCCGGCGGAGAAGCGGAGAGGAAAGGGACAGCGGCACAGTCAAGCCGTCACAAGATGAGGAGGCAGAGCAGTGTCCGACGATAACAAAAGGCAACGCTGAGAAACCTTGGCAGTTGAGGGAAGAGCAAAGATAGTGAGATACGAGCGAGAGAGAGAGAGAGCAAGAGAGAGAGAGGGAGAGAGAGAGGGAGAGGGAGAGAGAGGGAGAGGGAGAGAGGGATGAGGGGAAATTGGCCAAGGCAATGGCCAATGAGCGAGTGGAGAGCGAGATAAAGTGAGAGGAACAAGAGAAGCGTCGCCGCAGGGTCTCGTTTGTAGTGCGTTGCTAGTGCAGCTCCCGAAAGGGGCAGAACAAGGAGAGCAACCACCAACACACCGGTTCCTTTTCCTCCTCTATGAGCACCAAGAAAGAAAAAAAAGGAAAAGGGCAAGGCACAACAACAGCAACAGCATTGTATTGCAAACTTGGATAATGGCGGAAGAGCAGAGGAGGAACAGAGGGCAGGCTCATTAAACCGCGAGGAACCGACTATGAGAAACAGAAATGAAATAAAATAAAATAAAATAAAATAGAAAAATAAAATAAAAAATAGAGCTTTTGATACTATAACTTCAACAGTTTATTCAAGTCGAAATACAAAACATTGGACTTCAACAACGCTAACTTATCTCTGGGAGGCAAAGAGGCGAAGCGAAGCAAAGCGAAGCAAAGCGAAGCAAAGCGAAGCAAAGCGAAGCAAAGCGAAGCAAAGCACGCAAGCGGTGCAGCCAAAGCGCCATTTCATTACTAGTCTTTGCAAAATTCCAGCACGGAAAGAAAGCCGATAACAGAGCCCTTCTCGCCTGGAAAAGGACAAGAAAAGCGCAATTGACTCGTCGCCATGTCGTCCGAAGGCCGTATCGCTTGTCATGCTGCACTAAACCAGCCAAGCGTGCGGCCAGTGATAAATTTGCGCAGGAAGCATGCCTTATCTCGAATAGCAACCAACGCCTCACTTGAGCTCCATTTATGCGGGGAAACGATGGATCGATGGTGTGCAATCGGTTTTAATGGACGCCAAGGCCCGAGTTCGAGGCAAACATACCTTTCTTGACAAAGCCGTGCCTATCGCACCCTTGGTCTTGGTCAGCAGAAAAGGTGCAATTTTCTAGCTGCCCTGTGAAATGTTTTTCGCCAAGGTCTAACATCTTTCCATCTAAGACTCGAATCTAACATTTGTAATGTCCATCATCTCCACTCATCTTGCCACACCTGATACTTTTCGCATTTTCTCCCTGCTAGCCTCATCGCTGAAGATGCTCAACCAGACAAAGTGGGCAGTTGACATTCCAGACATGCTCTGTTACAGATGAGATTCTTTGCTTCGATTGCGTGTGCGAATGCTGTGCGGGTAGTGCGGGTATAACTACATGCGTGTGTGTGTGTGTGTGTGTGTGTGTGTGTGTGTGAGAGAGAGAGTGACAAAAGACTCTTCCTATACGACGCTATTTGCACCCCTTAACTTCAGGCGATCTTTGACCACAAAGATCGATGGCAGGCCCACATCTCCTCTTGGCCATACTCAATTCATAGGCTCCCACGCCAAGTGACTTACACAAATCAGCAAAAGCCTCCCATTTTTCCGCATATCCTTCCTCCGCCAACACAATATCTGCATCTTCTGCATCTCTGCCCCCGACACTTCTCGCCTTCTCATGATCAACGAGACCCAATCTGCAAGCTACTTCTTCCAACAACGTTTCGTCAGGCATATGACTTCGTTCTGTGCTGCTAATCAACTCGCGAATCGAATCGGCAGTCGAGGGGTTAGTGATGCAACCGATGCGTTGCAATGCCGTTTGACAACGAGGTGTCTCCAGTGCCTTCTGCAACTCGCGGGCACGCGAAATGGAAGCGTTGGAAGAGATGGGGAACACTATACTTGGTGATCGCGGGCTTCTTTGGCCACTCTTACCGCCAGCGCTGGGTGGAGGGGAGAGATGCGAGGTGCAAGCTTCAAGCGGGCTCAACGGTGTAGCTGGAGAGAGGCGCGTCTCTTTGCCTCGAGCTGCTCCAGCTTCCATCATCTTGACATCCTCTGAGGCTAAAGGTGCAGCAACGCGAGAGAGCAACTTTGGAAATGGGTAGCCCTGCTGCTGATCCCCCCCAGCAAGGTGGCTTGAACAAGATGCAAACGAAGCACGTGGAGTGATACCACCTCCCCATGTAGCTGGGCCAGCTTTGGGTGTAGGATCGCCCTTAACAATGTCCGCAGTAGTTGCTGACTTGCTCATCTTGCCCTCATCGCCATGGCCATGGCCAGCAAGCGACAGCTCGAGTCGAGGCACACGTTCTTCCGAGCTTCGTCTGTGATTGCGACCGCCCGTAGCGCCATCAAAACCAGCAATGTCAGAGCCGGCGATGCTGCTTGAGGGTGAGCTATCCAGCGCATTGCTGTGAATTGAAAAGACGCTCTCGCTAGCCCGACGACCATGTCGAGCCCGTTCGTATTCTTGTGCTAGCGAGACAAAGCCACCAGGTCGACGGTGCACGGCGGGTGGCGAACGATAAGAGTAAGGCTCACCACCGCGTGGGCGAGTGACATCACGTCGAGCAAAGCTTGATCGCCAGACGCTTTGAGTGCAAGGCGTCGAGTCGTGACTCTGGCCTCGGAAGTTGGCGCCCGACTTGGCGAGCGAGAAGCCACCACCAAGAGCCAAGCCACTACCAGAAGCTCCACTAGCCTTGTTGCGACTCTCGAGCTCCTGCATGTGTTTCGGCTGCTCAAACTGAGCCTTCTGCTGCTCTTCGGTGTTGGTGGGCGAAGCCTTGCGTGAGATCTTGGCTTCGGCCGTGTCAGTGGTTTTCCAAGTGGGCTTGGGCAGCTCGGCGCCACTGGACCCCTTGCGCTTACGAGTAGCCGAATCGGTCGACTTGCCTGCGTCAGAGCAACCATCATCAGCGTCAAAGTAATGGCGCTCACTGGGCGAAGGTGAGATCGACAGACCCATGGTGGCACGGAAGGCGGCAATCGACTCGGAAAGATCGCGGGAACCACAGCTTCCAGAAGGGTGACGAGTTCGACCGTCAGGAAGCAGACCAGGGATCGGAGGCGAAGTGGAGCCAGTGCTGCCGAGGCTGCCTACACGGATACGGCCAATGGAGGGTCTTTGAGCCTTGGCATCCATGAGCGAGGCCGAACTTGGGTCAAGCAACGAGGAGCCAGCACAATCTCCGTGTAGACCCAAGCCACCAGTAGTAGGAGCAGCGGGAGCTGAAGCAGCAGTAGTATCCTTCAGGCTGATACGGCGGGTATGCTCAGCGAGTCGATCAGCCTCTACCTTTGCATGCTCAGCGCGAAGCTGCTCGAGATGCTCCGAAGGAGACTTGAGCTCAGCAAAGGAGCGAGCAAAGCTCTCTGCACGTCGACGAGGCTTCGAGTCCGAGCTTCGAGCACAAACACTGTGACCAGCCTCGCTGACACCACGCCGGCGATGCGAGACTAAAGACTTGGGCGAGGCAGAAGCGCCCATGTCAAAGTCAGAGCTGCGTCGGTGGTTGTGGTGATGATGATGTTGCTGCTGCTGATGTTGCTGCTGTTGCTGCTGTTGCTGCTGCTGCTGCTCCTGTTGTGGGTGAGTGATGTTGTTGTGCTTGATCATAGTGCTGAGTCGACGATGCTTGGAGAAGGAGGTCGAAGTATCGGGCGAGGGAGAGACTACAGGACTCATTGGTGCGAGGCTAGCAGGAGACATGGCGCCAGTGGCAAGAGGAGAGCTAGATGACTCCCTTTGTCCTGCAGCGCTGAGAGTATCCGAGGCGGTAGAAGTACGTCGAGAAGCGGCAGGGCTCGACGAGCTGAGTGCCGAGATGCGCAGACCTGCAAACTTGCCCGACTGGGATCGCCTTCTGAGGGCAGAGGGAGGGTTTGCGTCAGTGCTTGAACAAGGCTCCTCCATGATGTCTTCGAGTGAGCCGGTCATGGCCGAATCTTCGCCGCCGCTGGCCGACATGGGGAACAAGTCGCCGTTGAAGGAAGCTTGACTGCCGAGGGGATCGGAAGAACGACGAGCGGCGAAATCGGGTGCAAGGAAGCTGGGAGATGGCGATGGAGAGGCTGCCTCATGTAGCGTCGAGTTTTGCAGCTTGCCCGCTGGCTGCTCCGAGTAGGACTGGGGCAGCTCTTCGAGAGGCTCGACACTGACCGAAAGAGATTCTTGGTCGCGCGCGGCACCTTGGTCGTCTTGACTCGAGACGGCAGACGAGAGGGGGCTGTCATTGTCGCAAGCAGGGTCGGAGTATTGAGATGAAAGTGCCCAGCTGTCGAAACGGGAAGAGCTTGGCTGGCCGAGAGATCGCAATGTGAGACCTTCAGCACCCAAGCATCGTGCAAGCTGAGCCCAGAGTTCGGGAGAACGCTCCATGACCAAGGACTCCAGACGCACCAGCCAGTCCTCATCGTCGAGCAATGGTCGGTCAAGCTCGATCAAGAGCTCGAGCATCTCGTCCCAACGCTCATCCTGACCACGAAGCAGAGGACGATCTGGGTTGCCACCAAAGACACGGCAAAGTCTGTACATGAGAGCCTCGTTGGCCTTGGTGTCGAAAATGAGCTCCTTGACCTCGCTTGGTCGATCCAAGAAAGGAAGCAAGATGCCGTGGTCCGAGAGAGTATGAACGTTGACGCTCGAGTCAAAGCCGGTCGGAAGAGCCTTGGAAGCGGATCGGAGGCTGGTAAAGGAGGCTGCGAAGCGTGATGGGTGTGATGCTGTTGAGGGGTTGTGTTTGTGGTGAATGGGTGCATGTGCGTTGATGGGGTGCTGAGCATGGCCCTTGAGGATGGTGAGCGCACAGCTGTTACCATATTGTGGTGATAACGAGGTGGATGAGGAGAAGGGCGAGTAGAGGCCGTGTTGGGCCGAAGACTTTGGAGAGTGGCCGCTCATGATGGAACGTGGATGATGTTGTGGTGCGGGAACAGGCAAGGGGATGGCCATGGTTGACAAGGTTGTTGTTGTTCAACTCGTACTTCTTTGTTGCTTGTAAGGCGGGGCTCTATCTCTATGGGGCTGGTTTGGTATGGTGGTCTAGACTTTGGTCTTGAGGGAAGGAGGGGGGGGGAAGGGGGATTGGAAAGCAAGACAATAAAGGGCTTTCAGGGTCTTGGCTTTTTGAGTTGAGTTTGACTTTGTTGAAAGCAGCCGCAAAAAGGGCTGTGTAGAAAGGAAGCAGAACAGAGAGAGGAGAAGAAGAAGTAGCCTTTGTTGAGTGAAAACAGTGAGCTGATGCTAGTGCTAGTGTTTTACCGAAGAAAAGCTCTTTGTCTTGTTCTCTCAAGCCGCGTTTGCCGAGCGGGAAAAGGGAAAAGGGAAAAGGGAAAAGGGAAAAGGGAAAGGACGGGAGGGTGCAAAGAGCCCAGAGGAACCGAGTTGAAAGAGATGACTGAGGAAATGCTGAATGGACGATGCTTGGCGGCGTCAATAGGAGGATGCGCCTCTTGTTGCTTTGCTTGCTAGCCAAGATCGGATATAGGGAAACAAGCTCGAAGGACCTTGGCTGGTTTTGTTGATGCGAGCGCAAGGAGCGAACAAAAGGAGAAAGCTGCGGGATGATATCAAGCTCCAGGAGGGGAAATGGACACTGATCAGGAGCGGAAGGAGATAGAGGGTCGGTCGTAAGAGGATCTAAAAGGGTGCCTGCACTGGATAGAGCTGAAGCAGCTGAAGCAGCTGACTGGTAATTGGTTTGGCGCGGGGGTGTGGGATGTAGCAAAAGGAGAGATGAGTGAGGAGGGGGGTTGCTATGATGTTGCCAAGCGTATTGCTGAGTGAGGTTAGTGAGGTTAGTGAGGTAGAAGGAGGAGTAGAAAGAACAAGTGCTGAGCGAGATGAGCTGTAATTATACAAATCATCCGCAAGACTAGCCGAATGTATTCCCGAACACCAGCGAGAATAACACAGAAAGCGGTCACTAACAGGCACAAGTCAAGGCAGAAACACACACTCTCTCTCCCTCTCTCTTTGAGTTAGGTGGGCGCAAAGTGGGATGCAGTGTCCCCCCTTTTCTTGTATCACAGGACGCTATGCCGGCAGAATCGCATGGAAACGGCAGGAAGCTTGGCTGCATTGCTATGGTCACAGTGCAGGAAAAGCTGGGGTGAAGTAGGCCTTGCCTCTTAGTCATCATTGAAACCTTTCTCATTGTCCCAGCTCTTTCCCAGTCAGTCGCTTACTCACTCGCACACAGTCACTTTTGTCCACCACGATCTGCTCCCACATTCTTTGCCTTGAGAGCAGGTGGCCTCACGATCGAGCTTCAAAGCTAACTACACAGTCACCAGACAATAGCCTATCATCATATCCAAGCGAGCGCCTGGCTCCTCTTGCTTCTATGCTCTCTCTCTTGGTGCGGGCCATGATCCTTACCATCGCAACACTCAAGCTCGTCCCAAGACACTGTTAAATTCTGTAAACCCCCCCCCCTTTCACCGCTGCTAAATTCAGCTCTTTCGGACGAGAAGAGCAAAAAGGGTCCCCTACATGCGCGCATATTCTTGTTGAAGAGTCAAGGCGTTTGGCTCCCCATACTGGCGATCGGGGAGAGTGTGAGTACAATGTCACTGCTGCTAAAAGACAGAAAGATATATATACTCCATTGACTAAAGCAATGTGGCGAGAGCCTAGTGCTCTCTGTGAGATATATATACATCTGGATGGTACATGCCAAATGTGCCTGGATCCTCCTTCATGACGATGCTTGACAACGAGCAGGACCATGTTGGATCCGTTCTCTGATCAGATCGGCTTCGCCCGATCCCTCCTGTATCGTCTCATGTTACCTCACATCATCATATTGGCTTGCTAAATTTCAACATTGTTTGGCTCTCAACACAGTGCAGGCTCAAGGTCGTATCAAGCTGCGAATCAGCCCCTACTTATCAACGCTGGAGCTTGGTGGAGAGATGGTTTTGCTAACCAGCGCTGCAATTACAGCAGAGCAGGGCAAAGGGTTATGTGCCTTGTGAGGATCTAAGGCTCGTGTCACTGAGTAAAGTCAAGGCATTGATGCCTTAGAAGGGGCGATGAGATGAGATTGCGACTGTTGTGCCATCGCATTGCAACAATTGTGCCATGAAAAACTGTCACATGTCCTCTCGCTTTCTGCTTTGTTCGAGCAGCTGCTTAGGTAACCTTCTTACGCTCGTCAACCGAGAGTCCGCCTGGACCCATGTTAACAAGCAGCAAGAGTCCTCCTACAATCGAAAGCGTCTGGAAAAAGTCGTATCGCAAAAAGTCGCGCGAAGGGTGGGCCGAGTGCACCGTCCAGAAGTTGTTGACAAACAGGTTGAAGATGCTAAGGATCATAACCAAGAAGCTAGCACTCCAGCGAGCCTTGAAGCCGACAACAACCATGATGCAGGCACCCAAGCCAAGCATCGAGACAACGACACGTGCCAACGTCCACTCGCCCTGAATGATAAAGCCAATGAACAGGAAGATGAGCAGCACACGGCCAGCAAGCTGGAAGTAGATCTTCCGGTCGGTCTCGCTAAGACTCGGAAGTCCAGCAAAGATGTTCTTCTTGGTCGAAAGGCTGTCCGAAAGAACCATCAAGAGACCACCGACGACCGAAAGGTTGCGAAGGAAGAAGTTGAGATCGAAAATCAGGCCGTATCCGAATCCTTGGACGACGACGACAGCGAACAATGCGCCCACCGAGATCTCCGGGTATTTGCGCATAATCACTGCCGCCGAGGCAGCACACATGACCTATTCAAGAGCGAAAAGCACAGGAGAGGTGTCAGCATGATCCAATCTGGTCTTATGAGCTGACTATTCGATCTGATGAGCTGACTATTCGATCTGATGAGCTGACTATTCGATCTGATGAGCTGACTATTCGATCCGATGAGCTGACTCTTGCGACTGGAGCTGTGACAGCGCTTGCTGCTATTAGACCTATTGCGACAACTTACAACAACGTTAGCCAGGAGGAAGATATGGCTGATGCCCCAAGGGAAACCACGATGACGTTGCAAATAGTACTTTTGATCCGTCCACTGCGTCATGATTCGGAGCGCATCTTCGAGGAAAGTGACGACGATCAAGAAGCGACCAAGCGCAGGAAGATGCGGCTTGATGGGCTGCGTGTACTGGTCGATCAGATCTTCGACCTTGGAAGTGTATTCGCGCACCTTGTCCAGCGACGATTCGGCTTGCGAAGCAGAGCTCGTGGACGCGTAGGCAGACGAGCCGTAAGATGCCATCGTTCAATAGTGAGATTTTCTGTGTGAGGATGAGAGGGGGTAACGTAGCAAGACGAGGATGCAGGAGGATAGGAAGCCCAAGTTTTGTGTCTCTTGAATGCCATGTCTGTGTGCGTCAGATTAAGAGCCAAAGACCGTCTTTCCTCTTCTAGCTAGCAGCGCAGAAGAAAAAAGCAACAAAAAAAAAGGGAACAAAAAAGGACAAGGCAGAAGAGCTGACTGACTTGGCTTGCTTGCTCGCTCGCTGTCTGTCTGTCTCTCTGGCAAATCAACCAACGCAAACGACGCCCAAAAACTTGGTCAGTGCCCTTGGCCTTTGCTGTTTGGCCCTGTTTGGCTCTGTTTGGCCCCCTTTTTTGATTTTTTTTGCCACACACTTGGACCACCTTTCGATCTCATCATCAGCACGGATCGATCAGTCCTGACAGAAGAAAACCTCATACAACCAGGAGCTCAATGTCAACTCTGTCATCCGGGATGGTGCGTGCTGGACGCAAGGGAGACAGAATGGCGACGCTTCTGTGTTGAAGATTACGATCCAGTGACGACGCTAAGAGGTGACGCAAAGACGACGAGATCGGAGATCGGGGATAACCGATCCTGTTAAGGATCGGGTACAACCAAGTCCCGCTCGTTGTCAGGCTGGGTCATTAACTATAGAGACTCCCACATTCGGCATGTGCCACACTTTTGTATATATATCGAGCAGGGAGCGCTAGGCTCTCGCCATGTTCCCTGAGTCAATTTAGTATATGTTTCTGCCTTAAAAGAGTAGTGACATCCTACTTAGACTATCCCCGATCACCAGTATCGGGACCCAAACGACGTCAAACTTTTAACATTCTGATGCTTCTGACGCTTCTGACACTTCTGACGCTCTGACGCTGATTTCATTGTGAAAAACATATACATTTGTTTTGAGATGAAGGAGCACCTCCTCTGTCCTTTCCGATGTGTTCTCTCTTTTAGCCGACAGTCTTCTGAATAACGTAGTTCACGTACATGTCAAATTCACGTAGGTCTCGGATTGGAAGTGGCCAGGGGATTTGGGAGTTTCTGGACTCAAAATTGCTGAAACAGCCAAGTCCCCCTCTCAATTTCGAAATTTTGAGGCAGCAGCTCCAGTCAATTTTTGTTCAACACACACACACACACAACAAGCAGGCCAGTCCACCATAGATGTGGTCCTTCACTATATCAAAGCACAACAACAACACTTGAATTGCAATGCAACATAGGATCACATGAAGGGCAGCATGGGTGGAAGGAAGGGTGGCATTGGCTGCCACCTGGGCAGTGGGGGCTTGACAGGTAAGGTACTTGAACTAGCAAAAGGCAGAGGTGGGGGTACCATTGACATAGACTCATAACTCTTGAAAGCAGGCTTGATCAATTGCATGCTGGCCAAAGAGAAGGTCCATGAACTTACCTACCTTCTTCATCCAAATGTGTCCTTGTTGGTGATTGCTTGCCAGACATGCCTGCTGTTCTTCTTGATCCCAATCCATGATGGCATACATCTGTGCTAACATCTTCTTTGCTTCCTCTGGAGTAGAAGGAGTTGTTGGAGTCTCCTCAACTGCAGGAGCTGAAGATGGAGGCATTGATTCTTGATGGTAGCTGGGCATGCACCATAGAACCTTCTCTGGGTGGAGCTTTGAGTTGATCCCAACATCTCTAAAGGCTTGTGATGCTAAGGTGCTTGTAATTGTCATGGGGCTGGATGCGCAAGAAGCAGGAAGATCCATCAACTCATATGAAGGGAGCACAGGAATCAAGGAATCGGGCAGATCATAGGATTTGCAGCAGAGTTCACTGAGATTGGTAGTAGAGACAGCTCTATTACAGATCTCACCTAGATCGGTGCAAGCCAAGTTGATATCACAAATTCTGCCAAAATCTGCAGCAAGCATGATCATATGGCAGATTCCATGGAGATCAGTGGCAAAGACAGTCATACAGCAAACTTCACATGCAAAGGAGGACCAAGCATTGCCAAGAAGGGGACCGAGCTCAGAAGCATGCAGCTGGTTACCACTCAGGGGGTCACAAGACAAAGACCAGGAGAACCATCACTGGTGGGAGGAAGAAGAGCTGTGACAAGGACACCAGCAAACAGGTTATGAGGAGGAAGAGCAGTGTTGAGGGAATCAACACCTAGTTCAAAGAAGGACAGATAGGAGGGATGAGGAGGAGGGGCAGTGTTGCAGGTGATGCTGCAGGCATGGTATATAACCATGCCCCTCATTGCAACAAGTGAGTGGATTGCCATCCACTCTACACCATATCAACTAGTTAATACTTCAAGCATAAGTACATATTAGTTTCAGTCAGCATAGTTGCAATCAAGTAGAATGCCTCTCATTGTAGCATGTGTGTTGTATCACTGCTCACTGATGTCCAAAGGTGGTTCATAGCAACCAGCAGTCCAGATTCAAGATAGAACTGAAGGCAGTAGTCCACTGTGGTCCAGGGATCACCTCAAGCAATAGTCAACACACTGGACACTTGTGTCAATGCCACCAAGCATTCATACTCACACCAGACTTTGGTGTCAGTACAGTTCATATCATTATTGATTGTGCCAAGCTACCTCTGGACAGAGTGTCCACAGTGGTCAGTCGAAATCTGCAATAGCACAACCCCAATCACAGATTCAAGTGAGTAAAGTCATAAGGACATCACTATGGCATAACTCAATGAGAATCGTAATACTACATATACAATCACATATCTCAACAGGATCTGTAATAGAAGTGGTCTTACTACAGATCTCAGGTTTCAGGTGCATGACCTCTGACAGTAATGACCTGTCATGATTTGCTGTACATGTCGATGAAATCCTTCTTACTGATTGAAAGATTTGCTCTAGCAAACTTGTCAACCTCCTTGGTGAAGGCTTGCTGCAAAGGTCCAAATATCACGACATCAAGTGGCTGTAGGAGGTGTGTGTCACAGAATCAGCATATGAAGTGTGCACCAAATTGATCTGTGGCAATCATCAGGAATTGACGATCTAATCAGGTTGGTAGTGCATATTATTTGCAAGATCAACCAAGCTCTGGGATCCTGGTTAATCTCACAAGGATCAATCAGAATCAGCCTGATCAGCATGTCTCAGCAAGTCAGCTGTCATGAGCAAGCATTCAGAGATTCAGGAAGGAGGATACTGGCATTAGAAGGAGAAGCATACAGGAGATAACCACATGCAGGAGCAGGGACCAAGCTCAGCATCATGCAGATGGTTACCACTCAAGGGGTACATGCATACAGCCACATAGGACCAAGCACAGGGGCAACCACATGATCAAGGGGCTTGGCAACAGGGCCCAACATGTGGTTAAGGGATTCACAAGATAAGGTTGAGAAGATGGTCACTGGTGAAGAGAGAAGGAGCTGTGTCAAGAAGACTGGGGATTGTCTATGAGGAGGAGGAGCTGTGTCAAAGGGGTCATCACACATCACCAGGCAAAGAAGAGCATGAAGGTGAAGGGGCAGTGTCACACAAACCAATACACTGTGTGAGCAGTAGAGGTGTGTCAGGGGTCTCACGCCTGAAACCCAGGTCGGTCTGTCGAGATACTCGGTGACTATCAAACTGTGTGACAGCTATTGTCTCGGTATCAGTCTCGATGAGCTTGTCGCTCGGTGACTATCAAGTTGCACAATGGGTGGCGTTTGTGTATATACTATCATAGGTTTCGGCTGACCTCTGTGGACACTCCATTCAGGGGTAGCTTGGCATGATCAATATCAATGCATAGATTATGATGACACCAAGGTCTGGTGTGAGTGTTGATGATGATGAAGTTGATGACATTGGTGATAAGGTTGGTGGGTGTTGATGATAATGAGGTTGGTGGTGTTGGTGATAAGGTTGGTGGCATCAACATGAGTGTCCAGTGTGTTGACTGATGCTTGAGGTGATCCCTGGACCACAGTGGACTACTGCCTTCGGTTCTATCTTGATCTGGACTGCTAACCTGCTATGGGTGCCTTCAGACGTCAGGTAGTGGTGATACAACACACACACTACGATGAGGAGCAACCTTGATAGATTGCTGCTATGCTGACTGAAACTAATATATACTTATGCTGAAGTGATAACTAGTTATGATGGTTGTGTAGAGTGGATGAGGATCCACTCGACCTTTGATGATGAGAAAGCATGGTTATATACCTCTTCACAGCATTGCCAGCGATGCTGCTCCTGCTCTCTCTCCAGAGAGTACCTTCTTCATCAAGTACTGTTCAGGGGGCCTCTCCTGCTTGCTTGGCACCCCTGTGCCTCTTGAGCTGTGTCGACTCCTTTGACACTGCTCCTCCTCCTTGCTATCCTGCTGCTTGTTTGGCACCCCTGTGCCTCTTGAGCTGTGTCGACTCCTTTGACACTGCTCCTCCTCCTTGCTATCCTGCTGCTTGTTTGGCACCCCTGTGCCTCCTGAGTGGTGTCGACTCCTTCGACACTGCTCCTCCTCCTTGTTATCCTGCTTGCTTGGCACCCTGTACACTGCTCCTTCTCCTTTGACTGGTGATGGTTCCTTTGACTCTTGTCTCTCGAGCCCCCTGAGTGGTAACCATCTGCATGCTCCTTGAGCTTGGTCCTCTTCGTGGCTGTGCCTGGCCCTCCTTGCATATGGGCTCAGTCCTCCTTTGCATGTGAGTCCATAGGAGTCCATGGTCTCCATGGAGACTGCACTATGGCCATGCTCTCTACTGGTATCGACTAGATCTTCGATACCTGTGCTCCTTCCATATGAACCAGTGACCCTCCTGCTTCTCGAGCATTCAGGCCCATGACAAGGTGCAGCATCAAAGGGATTGATGCCAGCAAGAGAGAGTGTGTCAAAAGGAGGCAAAGGCCTCTCAGGAGGAGCAGGAGAGGTGTCACAAGTGACACCAAGCGAATGCATAAATACTCTCATTCTACCATAGCATATGAGTGGATCCTTATCCACTCTACTCTATACTTTACTTACTCTTTACTTGACTCATAGTTATGTATCATTGCAATAGCAGAGCTTTGCAATGACACCTCAAACATGTGTGTTGTATCACCATTAGGCATCAACTGTAGGTGGTGTTCCTCAACACCTGCAGTCCAGTTCCTTACTGTAGGCAGTGGTGTTCCTCAACACCTGCAGTCCAGTTCCTTACTGTAGGCAGTGTTGCTTGGCATCTGCAGTCCAGTCAGTTATTGTAGGTGGTGTCCAACACTTGTGGTCCAGTAACTCCCATCCTCTGTAGGTGATAGGCATATCACAGTCCAGACAATGTTAGAGAGCATTAGCAACAGTACTACAAACACTTGTACTGTAAAGGAGAGTGTATCACTCTCTCTCCAGAGAATAACAGACATGCTGTGCAACCTCTGAATGGAGTGTTCAAGGCAGTCAGCCAAGACCTACCAGTACGAAGCTGTCTGGTTACTTTTAGTTGAAACAAACTGAGTAGATCTTACTCAATTGATCTCACCAAAACCAATCAGAAACACCCAACCTGGTTTCAGGTGCGTGACCACTTACAGTGTGTTGCATGGGGAGGAAGGCAGAGACAGACAATGCAGGAGTCCCATGCTTGCTGAATGAACTCAGCTGTGATGTGGGAGCCATGACCATCAAGGATAAGCAGCCAATACTTTCCTTGAGCCCTTTTCTTGGTGTGCTTGTCAAAGCAGTCCTTGAGCCAGTGTAGTGCAAGCTCATTGTTGGTCCAGCCATTCTGGCTTGTTGCAAAGACCCAGTCCTTAGCTGCAGTGTGATTGCAGTACCAGCCCTGCATGTGGTTCTTGCCCTGAAAGATAACCATAGGTGGTGGCTTTGTCCCTCATGCACCAATGCACTCAATCACTGTGATAGTCTCCTGATTGCCTGGCTGTGACCTGAAGTGCTGATTCTTCCCATTCTCCCTGGGTACAATGATGTATCAGCATTGACTTTGTCCAATGAGAAACCCAGTCTCATCCATGTTGAAGATGTTTTTGGGTAGGATCCTATACTTGGCAATAGTCTTCTCCAAGACATCAAAATATGCTTCAACAACTGATGGATCACTAGTGGCCTGTACCCTTGCAGCATCCATCTTGCAAGAGTAGTAGCTTCTGAGTTCTGTATGTCACTGCTTGAAAGCAGACATCCAATTAGGTCCAAGAGTAGCATCATTGTTGTTGGTCCTCTGCCTGAGAAGTTGTTCAGCCAACTGTCTGAGATTCTGTGGTGTTACTGGGAAACCATAGTGAGCCTGCTTCTGTATATGTTGGACTAAGAGATCTTTGGCCTCTGGTGGTATAGCCTGCAGATGTTGAAAGGCAGCAGTGCAGCTCTTGTGCCCTTTGCTGCAATCCCAGAGAGTGTTGTAAGGGACATTGTGATGCTCAGTGGCAGCCTTCAAGTCTTTGAATTGACCCTTCTGGAATGCACTAACAGCTTCCTGGATCTCATGCTCCTTCTGGTCCCTGTCAGTCTGCAGCTGGGCTTTTGCAACCCTCTTCCTAGGTGAGATGTTGACCATTGATGTCAAAGTGGTGTATGTTGAGCAGTGCTGACAAGAAAGGAGTGTATGGAGATGAGATCAAGACAAGTTCAAGATGAGAAAAGAAAAGTGTGAGAATCATAGTGGAGCTGCTGCCTCAAAATTTCAAGATTGAGAGGGGGACTTGGCTGTTTCAGCAATTTTGAGTCCAGAAACTCCCAAGTTCCCCAGCCACTTCCAATCCGAGACCTACGTGAATTTGACATGTACAGTCCCTGTCCAAAGTTTGGGGACAGGGTCCAATAGACAATAAATCAACCATCTGATAGCATACCTTCCATCTGCTTGGAGGAGTGATCTCTCATAAGTGTCAGACTGAGCAAAACACACAGTGAGCAAGCTCAGAAGAAGGGCTTTCGATTGCAGTGAGTCTCAGAGCCAACTAATACTTGAGCAGACCTCCATGCTTAGTAAACACTTGCTCCACATGATGCTCCATCAACTTGATCACAGGTTTGATATGTTCAAGTGTGATCTGGGTGTTCCACACTTCCTCTGCAGCTCTGGCAAGCTCATCCCAGGTTTTTGGAACCAGCAAACACTTACCAAGCAAGTTTTTGAACACATACCATATGTTCTCAATAGGGTTAAGGTCCAGCAAAGCTGGCAGGTGTTCCTGCATCTTAATGTGGTATTTGGCCTGCCATTGCTTGCAGATAGCAGCCTGATGACAGCTGCTGCTGTCTTTGACAACCGACAGGCCATCAGGGTATGCACTAACAGCAGTTATGGTGTCCCAGAGCAGCCTGTCAATGATCCAATCATGATATCTGACAGCTGTGAGGTTCTTGGCAGGATCCCATTGATTAGCCAACCCCAGCCACTTCTTTCTTGGAGCCAATGGGAGCACAATCAACGGGGTTTTAAGGTTGTATGCAATGCCGGCCCATACAATCTGGCAGTTAATACCAGCCCAGTATGCTGCTTTCCGGAGCTGCATAACTGGAATGCTGCCAAGTGATGCAGACAGCTGTCACCATGATAGAAACAGGTTTTTGAGTACCTCACACTGAAGGTATTGGTCCAAGGTAGCTGTCCAGGAGCATGGATGGCTGGATTGTGCTTTTGTTTCAAAGGTACCACACTCCTTAAAGTTATGGATGGTCTTGTGAACTGCTGTTTTGGAAATGCCACTTAGCTCTGTGATTTGTCAAATTGGCAGCCCAGTATCATGCATTGCAATGATTGAAGCATGCTTGCTTGGAGAGAGCTCATTGCCACAGACCATATCAGTGTTTGAAGTGTTCTTGATTAGTATGATGGTGGTGCTATTGCTCCATGATGACAATGACGAGAATGTGGGGTAACTGACTAAATTGGGAAATTACCCGATTGTCCCCAAACTTATGCACAGGGACTGTATGTGAACTACATTACTATACAACTTTCGCACATGTACACCGTAACAGCAAGTGATGGTTGTCAATGAGCAACCATAACCTACAAACTTGAACATGTCACATGTGAGCCACTGCCCCCACTTAGTGGGCACCCAGATCACGTAATGTAATGAAGCTGCAGCTAGGCGATACGATGGCAAAGCATCCAACAACTTGTTGAGCTGCAAGGTATATCTCATCCCACCAACTATCATTTCATGTGTGGTCATTAAGCATGGCCCACCGAGAAGTCAATGTCTGGCTGCCGCGTACACGAACCACCCGCGGGAACAGAGACCGAAGCATGAGAAATGTGAGATTGCCTAACTCGTGGGAGAGTCGCTTGCGAGTTCCCAGACGTGGCCGTAAGGGCCACGGGTGGTCGAACGTCGCGTAATAGCGGGGCGGAGCCTTCGTGAGAGTGAGATGATGGTGAGAAGGGAGTGCTGAAGATAACGATTCAGCAGGACACGAAAAGTGACATGAGTCGATATGACAACAGATCGGGTGGATCGGGTGGAACGGATCTGACAACCAATCGGGCAGAGCCAATATGATCTGAGATCGGTCGGAGCTGATATAGTTGGAATCGGGGACTGCTGAGTCCCACTTGTTGCCGTATCCTGTCATTGAGTAAGATGCTCCCACCTCTGGCATGTGCCGACACCATGTATATATATCAAGTAGAGAGCTCGAGGCTACTACCACGTTCTTCTCTCAGTTCAATATAGTATAGTGTTTCTGCTCAATAGCTTGAACACTGTGCTTAGACCATCGTCGACCACTGAGTGTCGACACCCGTATTCTTTCATTATTTCCAACAGGGAGGAGAGGTGAGATGAGGCAAGTGAGTGGCAATTTTGCTCACCTGCTGCGCAACGCAGGTGCCCCGTGCTCCGATCACTGATATTCGCGTCTGTACCAAACGCGACTCTAGAGTTTTCGAGATCCGAATGCGCCGAGTTGCAGCGATCAGCGTAGAAGTGACCCGAAGATTTCGGCTACAGTCGCCCGGTCAGGTTGAGGTGGCTGCTGGAAGTCTCTCGCTAAGGTTCGGACGGAAAGCATTTCCGAAGGCCAGACTTTCGAGATGCTTCTGAGAGACGATCAAGCTTTTTGAGGAGGAACCTCAAGCGGCTAAAGTGGTCAGAGTGTAAAGATAGCTAGTCTCACACGAATAGAAACACAGCTTCGAAGGGAGACTTAGGCAAGTGTAGATGAGGGGGATGGAACGACTGTACTACAAATGGAAGTTCAGTAGAGACCAGAGTGCCTAATTCTAGGATTGACAGATGGCGACAACACAGTTGTACCACTGCTGGGAAGCATAAGCGAGTTTGGGAAACGATGAGAACAGAACGGCCCGGACAGAACAGAACAAGGCAAGCACAGCACCATGAAGCGTGAACTCGCGAATTCGTGGGGGCCCCAGGAGACTGTAACGACGATGATTCTTCAAAAGAACCAGCCAACTCTGTTCTGCTCTGGAGGAGGCCCATTAAGGTATTCACCGACGGGATAACCATGAACATCGTGAGAGCTTTGTTGAGAAACGACCTCACCAGGCGGACCGTTTAGCCAAGCTGTTGAGTCACAAACCAAAACCAAAACCAGGCAAAGTCGAATCAGCATTTGATGGCCTTGCATCACATGATATCGGAGCTACTTGCTCTTTACTTACCGTGCCCATGAGAGACCTGATTGGGTTGAGGCTGAGAATGGTAGTCATAAGAGGCGTGTTGAGGGGTGTGAGGGGTGTATTGAGGCTGAGAATGGTAGTCATAAGAGGCGTGTTGAGGGGTGTGAGGGGTGTATTGAGGCTGAGAATGGTAGTCATAAGAGGCGTGTTGAGGGGTGTGAGGGGTGTATTGAGGCTGAGAATGGTAGTCATAAGAGGCGTGTTGAGGGGTGTGAGGGGTGTATTGAGGCTGAGAATGGTAGTCATAAGAGGCGTGTTGAGGGGTGTGAGGGGTGTATTGAGGCTGAGAATGGTAGTCATAAGAGGCGTGTTGAGGGGTGTGAGGGGTGTATTGAGGCCGATAATAGTTTTCAGGAGGGCTCAGCTTGACCATTCCGACGAAATTATCATCAGGAGGAGAGGTCCAGTGACCAGACTCGTCTCCGCCGTGGCGAGGGTCGCGTGCAGCAGGCCTGCTGCTATCACCACCGCCGTATGACCTGTGAACAGGGCTGGCCTGAGAAGAGTGCTCCTTCGGGATGTAGGGGTGCGTTGCGTCGCTATACCTCTCGTACTGGGGGACGTAATTGTCGGCGTAGATAGAAAGCTCCTGGGCCGCTGAACTACTCTTGCCTGAGATCTTGCCAACGGCTTTCCTCAAAAAACCCCAACCCTGTGGCATAGGCGTGGGCAAAGGAGCAGCAAAAGTGAGGGCAGTGCTCGAAAGAGCTAGAGCAACGATGGCGATGTTGAGCTTCATGATGAAGGAAAAGCTACTGTTTTCGTGGGAAGGGGAGGGAAGCAGGAGATGTGTTTGGAAGGAAAGTGACGGATTCGCAACGAGGTTGTCTTTATATTTTGGACGATCTCGACGGGAAGAGGGATGAAGACAAGGCTGAGTCTGCATCAGCTGTGCTGGCAGACCTGGTCCGAGTGACATTGTAGCACGAGATTTTGCTGCAACAGTGGCTTTCTGTATCGGAAATGCCTACCTGTGCTAGTGTCACCTCAGAGAGAGAGAGTTGGTTGAGGGTGGGAAGCCTGTTTACCAGCCCACAATCATATTGTATGCTCTGTGATCTCATACTGACTCCCACTCTGCTGAGAAGCTCGTAGAAGAGGTATAGTTGCCCTTGTTTGGTCTCGGAGTTGCTGCAAAACAGGTGCCAAGGTTCGTGGGTGCTCGGAGCATTCTGAGATGGTGTCACTTTCCTGCAACAAGCTTTTCATTCAATATCGAAGCGGTAGTTGAGAAGGAGTACACATCAACGCCAACAATGAGGTGGTGACATTGCGAGGCGCCAACAATAGCAACGCAAATGGGCAGAATTCAGTCACGCCAACTGCCATGAGGACGTCAAAGCGCCTACGTTGCTTTCAATGCACTTAGTCGGACGTGCGGGACGATCGGCTCAACCCGTCAGACTCTCTGTAGGAGGCCTGGGCGGCGTATCGGCTGGCGTCAGGCTGTTTATCGCGATAGGCAACGGCATAACGGCTATCCGATGCCCGTGGAGGAGGAGATAGGGGCCTGAGCCTTACCTCTGCATTGCCTCGGGATGTTTCAGCCTCGTCCACACGCTAGACGCATGAAACTCACAAGGCTTAGTTAGTCCGTTCTTCATTAGTACCACCACATCCATGCACTGTCTCTACATACCGTTGATCGTCGCCACACGTAATGAAACCGCGACCTACCATCCAAGTCTGTGTCGCAAGTGACAAGCGATCACGCTATTCGCTCCCACACTCTCAACGTCCTGTCGCGACTGCAGAAGCCAGGGCGATAACCTGGGTGGAAAAAGCGAGTGAGCATCACATCCTTCCGATGATGAGAACTGATCTGTCAAGTGCTGAAGCTTCATCTGCACAGGCGAAAACATCCCACCTCGGTCACCCCTACATGATGAGGCGAAACAATCGTAATTGAGCAAGCAACCAATACGTGCCGCAGCGAAGGTCAACGTCAAACAAATATGGCAAAGATGAAAAGGGGTCCGCAGGCATCGCCAGGCCTCTCGAGTGGGCAGTATTCGCGCTCACAACTCAACAATGTGGGTCGATCTGACGGTTCGAGCTCACAGGTCAACCTCGGCGATATCACCCTCAGCGATATCAACCCCAGCAATATCAACCCCAGCGATGAACACAAGCGAGCACGGCACACGACATCGCTCCGACACATTCAAGCTTCAACTCGCTGTCTCTTCATGGACCACGAAATTGAGAAAAGGGAAGTGAGAGGGGTAGAAGAGAAGGTCACGGAAAGCGTATCAAATGAGCAAGGTAAAAAAACGCAAGGCCAACAAAGCCAGACGTAGCTTGGTGGTTGGGAAGTGCATATCTATTCGACTAAGGGAGATTGTAGTCGAGGCGGTCGAAGGACACCTTGATTCAGGTTTCATGACATTAGCAATGTGATTGACAGGTGCTTCTGCCCGTGCTGGCACAAGTGTCAATCATTCCAGCAAAGGTCGATAGTACGGGCGTGTAGAAAGCACTTAGGTCTCGTCGTAAGAGCAGGTGCTGTACATGCCACAGCGGTAAGGGCCAGTTACGCTGCTGTCACAATCGCTAATAAGGTCTACCGTGTCAGCTGACGTAGTGGCGACAAGCGCGAGAGCAAGGATGGTGATGATGGTGAAGAGCTTCATGTTTCGCAAGAAGAATACTTAGAATGCAAGGTGTTGATGGATGAGAACAGACCGAATGGGGACTTAAGAAAGGTTTATATTTATACTTTTGTGTCCGGGTCGAAAGGCGTTGGAGCTGCTTATGATATCAGGGCGTGAGACGACCATCAGCCTGTGCACCCATTGGCTTCGAGTCATGACAAAGCACGAAGCTCGGATCGCCTGGCGATGCGTTATTCGACATGAGAGTCATCGTTCGGCAACATGCAACGCCGTGGGGCTCAGTTGCAAAAAAAAAAGGATCATACAGAAGCGCAGCTTCAAACAAAAAGATCTCCCAACGTGGGGCTCAAGAATGCAGACTCGAGGATCCTTGCATCTCAACTTGCTGTCCACAAGATTCCTCGAAAGCTTCCTTCGACTATCTGGCCAAATATGAATGGCAAGGTCTAACAAATTTCTTGCTCGCTCGAGCTGAAGCTGTCTCTAAACAAGGTTCCCCCTCTCACCTGCATATCTGCTCACAGACTCACGAGAACCCCAACTTGAGTCCCTGCGGCGGCCTGCAAAAGCGTCGTTGCGGTCAACTTTCTATAACTACATAGTCGTCACTGCTGGTGCATCGAGCAAGGAGCGACCAGCTTTGAAGTTGGTGTACCACCGCAAATAGCCTTCATTCATCATAAGCGTCAACACAGTGTGCGGTGCGATACGGAAGAGATGCGCTGTGGTGCCCTTGTACCAACCCAACAGACCCTCTGCCTTGGCAGTGAGGTAGAGGCAGTGGAAGGGATTGCGGTAGAGCGTTCCCACACTGCGTCCACGTTGGTCGATGCGTACTGGCTGGTTGTACATGCGTGTCAGCGCTGTATCCGCTGGCTGCATCACTGCACATACGCAGAGTCCGCTGAAGATGGAAGAGGCGAGATAGGTGAAGAAAGAGGTCGGCTTGTTGGCCAGGAACTTGAGCGGGTTGTATGCGTTCGCATCGACATCCATGTTGGTGAGATAGCCCTTGAACCAGTTGTACGCTGGCAATTGCACTGTGCTTCCCATCGCTGTTCGCAGGACTGCAGCATCCATACCTCGTATCAGACCTCGAAGACCTTCGCTCTTGAAGATCTTGGAAATGCCATCGAGAGTGCTTGTGTAGTTGTGCGATGCCCTACCGATCAGGTAATGCGGACTGTAGGCTTGCATACGAGCCTTGATCAGGAAAAGAGGGTTGCCCAGAATCGCACCGACACATCCACTTGAGGCACCTGCTGCGAATGCACCCGCGGCCCATTGCTCGTCAGCTCGCTTGCCTCCTGCACGGTTGATAGCTTTACGGAAGGGCTCGTAGAAGCCGAGACGACTGCCGTTGAGCAAGAGCTGGTAGACGTAAGCAGCTCCGATACCTCGCTGAACACCTCTGATGCCTTCCCACTTGATCGTCTTGGTGAAGCAGTCCAAGGAAGACTTGTACAGACGTGCTCCTGAGCCCTCTTGCCCGCTGACAAGGCGTGGCGCTGACGACATGAGCTCACCCTGAAGCTGCATTCGAGTCTTGCACACTTCCATTGGGTTGGTGATGGTGACTGCTGTCATGGCAGCCAAGGCACCTGTCATGAAACCTTCTACTGTCGAGATCTTGGCTGGCTTGGCTGCTATTTCAGCCGCTGAATCCGAACAAGCCATGTTGGGCTGTGTGTATGTGTATCTGTGTAGACAGAAAGATTGGATCGTGCTATGCTGCAAGGATTCCTTAATCGCCAAGGATCGTCACGATCTAGATGACTTTGTGAGAGTTTGGCGCCTGTGTGATATCGAAGATCTACTCGTACTCTATCGCCGAGGGTGGCAGAGAATGTGGCGCAAGTCGTGGTGGATCAAGGATGCACAAGCCCACAAGGGCAAGTTGTTCGGTCGAGGTGAAACAAGCAGAGAGGCGATGGCGATGGCAATGGCGATGGCGATGGCGATGGCGATGGCGATGGCAGCGGCGACAAGAAGAAAAGCGGCTTCTCTGTGTCTCTCTGACATATTGCCGGCGAGAAGATGCTAATCCGAAAAGACCAAGCTTTCTTAAGATTTTTGTTCGAGTAGAGCAATGTTAGAGCTCCAATTAGATTGACTGGCTCAAAGAGCAGGGTTTGACATCAGCGACCTCGACAGATGAGACTGCTAAAGATAACGATCCAGTGGAGAGCCAAAGTGACGAAGGATCGGGCAAGATCGATCCAGATCGTAATCGGGAAAGGAGTTCTAATCATGAATCAGTTATCGTGCGAATGGATCGATGCGCAATTTACTAATGGTGATGGAAGGGGCACGTGACCAACGCAACGCAGCACACTCGAGGTAGACAAAGTCAAGGGCGACAATTCACTGTTGATCCGAGGAGCAGCAAATGGAGGAGCGCGGGCGTGTGTGCGTGTGTGCGTGTGTGCATGTGTGCATGTGTGTGTAAAATAATCCAACACCGCCTCACCAAGGCAGAAGAGAGAAAGAGAGCAGGCGCCTGCCCTTTTTGCCCACTTTACGCTTGCTATCCGCCTCATCCCGACCAGCCCCTTTTTCTTTTCTTTTTCTTTTTCTGTTTCCTTTTTCTTTTTCTTTTTCCTTTTCCTTTTCTTTTCCTTTTTCTTTTCCTTTTTCTTTTCCTTTTTCTTTTCCTTTTCTTTCTCTTTTTCTTTTCTTTTCTTAGTTGGCAGTGCCGTTCTCTTTCCTCCACAGCGGATGTCGGTGTGTGTCTGTGTCCCCAAGTCTATATTGCTCTCACTTGCGTGCCATCAACCATCACTATCCGCCATCACTATCCGCCATCACTAGTCACCTTCGACGCTGCCTTGCACTCGATCCATTGCCAAATCCCTCGCCTCCTCACATAGCCGCTCCATCTTTATACACCCCCCCCCCCCCCCGGGCATACAACAGGCACTTTGACTCGCCAGCATCATCATTGCATCCCGTGCGATCCAGTTCGCAGCTCGACCGACTCATCACCCGCCAAAACACCATCCCATCTGGCATTCAAACACACACTGTAATTCCATCCGAAAGTGCTACCTCAGCGCATCTCGATACCCAGCTCAGCTCCAATCTTTCACGCGTTCATCCCTAAAGCAGAGCAAACAGCTCGCCTCTGCTTTTGCCATCGCCACACCGAACAGCCCTCTTTGGCACCAATACCCACAGCAAAACTCTAATCACCATCATGGAACCACCTCAGGCAGCTGATCCCGAAGACTACTACGTCAAGCAGGATCGTGTCGGAAAAGGTTCCTTCGGTGAAGTCTACAAAGGTTTCGACAAACGATCTCGCCAGCCTGTTGCGATCAAGATCATCGACCTCGAAAATGCCGAAGATGAGATCGACGACATTCAGCAGGAAATCGCTATCCTCAGCCAGCTCGACAGCGCACATGTTACCAAGTCAGTCTCCTTCGCTTCAACCAAGATGCACATATACTCCTTTGCTGACCGATCATCTGCACACTCTCTCCTTTGTCTATCTTGCAGATACCATGGCTCATGGCTTAAAGGCACCAATCTATGGATCGTGATGGAATACTGCTCCGGAGGAAGTTGCTCGGATTTGGTAAGATTTCGCATTCTCCCCGGAATCTTTTCTCCCCTAGCATTCACCCACATCGCTACGCTTTGGCAGTGAGGCAGTGCTTTTTGAACAATCGCTAATGTCTCGCTTGCCTTGCTCCCATCCTTTTGTCTACAGATGAAACCCGGTCGATTCCGCGAAGACTACATTGCAATTGTCCTTCGCGAGCTTCTCAAAGGTCTCGAGTACCTGCACGGAGAAGGCAAGCTGCATCGAGACATCAAGGCCGCCAACATCCTGCTCTCTGCAACTGGCGACGTCAAGCTTGCCGACTTTGGTGTTTCCGGCCAGCTCACAGCGACCATGACCAAGAAGAACACTTTTGTCGGCACACCTTACTGGATGAGTCCAGAAGTCATCAAGCAGAGCGGCTACGATTTCAAGGCCGACATTTGGAGTTTGGGAATTACAGCCATCGAGCTTGCGATGGGCGAACCGCCTTACGCCGACCTGCATCCAATGAAGGTCCTTTTCCTCATTCCCAAGAACCCACCTCCTCAACTCGAAGGTCCTTTTTCCCGACCATTCAAGGAATTCATTAACCTCTGTCTCCAGCGTGACCCTGGCAACCGCCCCTCCGCAAAGGAGCTCCTCAAGCATCCCTTTATCCGCAAAGCAAAAAAGACCACCTATCTCACTGAGCTTATCGAGAGGCTCGAGCGATGGAGAGCTGAAGGCGGCGATCGACACGAGTCCCAAGAGAGCGAGCAAGCAGATGTGCACTACCCCGAGGGCGAGGAGGACATGTGGGACTTTGGTACCCTTCGCAACACCATCCGTCGTGGAGGCAGAGGCACTGTTGCCATGCGTATGCCAGCAAGTGCCATGACTGCAGCTGCCGCAGCTGCAGCAATCAACGATCACGAGGAAGAAAACAACAACGGAAGGCATCAAGCCAAGGAGCTTCCACAAGTGCCCCGCCACCAATCACGTTCACCACAACCCCAACCTCGATCGCCAACCTACGAACAAGCACCACATCACACTCAGCCACAATCTCCACCTCAACCAGCCCCACAGCAGCAACAAAGACAGCAACAGCAACAGCAACAGCAACAGCAACAGCAACAGCAACAACAACAACAACAACAACAACAACAGCAGCTACCAGATCGCAGATTTCGTACCTCTGGATCTTCTCGCTCGGTTGGCTCTGGCTCTGGATCTGCAGGAGGCACAGTGCGCCTGGCGGCAACCCAGGCTCGACCAGGCATTCCCACAGCTGGTGGAGCCAAGGATCAATCCAGCTACTCTGCAGCCGATGCGTACGACAAGGCCATCTCAGGCGGGTCCAAACATCCATCCTCCAACGGACACGCTGCCTCCGACCCTTACTATGCAGACCAACATCCAGGAGGCTACTCTGACCGCGTCGAAGAGGAGCGTAGAAGAATGCAAGACATGCATCTGCAACAGCAAGGTGGAGGTCAAAGACGTAGCGATCGACATGGCTCGGACGACGCACCTCATCAACACCAGCAGCACCAGCAACAGCACCAGCAACAGCACCAGCAACAACAACAGCAAGCCGCACGTCTCACCGCACTCGACACGGTCTTCTTGCCTGTTATCGAACAGCTCAATATGGCGGTCGCTTCGCGTCGCGATGCAGTGCGCACCTTGGCCAACCTGCGGGCTTGTTTGGAGGAGGCAGAGATCGTGACACCCGGTATCATGAATGCTTTTGCTGTCGAGTTGTTTCACACCATGGCTGAGGTCGAAGGCGATCGCGAGCCGGAGGAGGATCAGTGGGATCCTTGAAAACCCTCCTACCTATTCGAATCAACAAACACATTCACGCACACGAATCATCCCCGCCATGCCGAAACACCCATGCGCCACCGAGACTCCACACACGCAAGCTCTCACTCGTATGTCACCCAGCCACAATGCATCCATACCAGAATCGCTCAATTGCATACCAGCTAGATCATTCATCTACATCAAGTCTAACATCCTCCACACACTTTTTCAATGTTTCTCATAACGGCAACTTTCGCTTGCTCTCTCTCTTTGTTCGCTCGATTCACTTGCAATCTTGGCTCTCGTTTTGATTGCATCTTGATTGCATCTTGATCCGCTATTCTTGCGAGCTTGTTGGTCTTGTTTTGTGTTTTGTGTTTTTTTTTTTTTTTTTTTTTTTGATACTCGGTGGGTTGTAGCTTTTGCAACATGCGTTTATGGTGTATCGACTTGAGCTTCTACAAAGCTCTTGAGTGAGTTCCAGCCTTGCGATTTTTCTAGATCGATTTCGAGCTGTAGGGCTTTGACCTTGTTTTCAAATGTCGATAGGGCCTGTTTGTTGGTCTCGATCATGTTCTTTTCTGCCTCTCGGTCTGTTTTGGGATCGGGAGTGGATTTCAACAGTCCTCCGAGAAGTCCACCGGTTTGACTCTTCTTGAGCCTGAGCAAACTTTGTTGGTTTTTGTTGATAGTTTCGATTGTGTTGGTGTATCTTTGCAAGGTCTCGTTTAGGATTTTCGATATCCAGCTTCGTTTGATTTCCGTGGGGATGGATTGGAGGGGTTCGAGGGAGAGCAAGGTTTCCAGAGGTTGCAAGAGTTGTTCGATGACTTGCACTGATGCTGCTCTACTTCCCGAGGTCGAGGAAGGGCGGTAGGAGGGCGTCGAATACGATCGGAGCAGTCGTAAGGGTGCAGCTGACCTTGGAGTGATGATCTTGTATACCAATCGACCAACAGCCGAGACGAGACCGGGAGAGATAAAGTCCATTGATTCTTCGCGTAACACTGCTGCTAGATCCTCTCGCAACGACGAAAGATCTTGACTATGCGCAGAAATGTCAGATGTGATACGAGGGAAAATAACATGATCCAACATCGCCTCCATTCTTTCCTGCAGTGCAAGCGAATCAGCAAGTAGCTCAATCGCAAGTTGCAGCTGTTCATCTTCATGTTGTTCAGAAGAAAGATCAGGGGCAGATTGAGGAGTTCCCACACGAGAAAGCTCCATCGACCCCACTCTCTGCTGCTGCGATTGATCAAAGCTACTCCTACCCGAGCCTTCACCTGACCCCCCTCCACCAGTAGACCGCAACGCATCAAGGTTGCGATTACTAGCCATACCACCCAACTCAGCAGGAGACTGCTCTTCGATCCAACTCTTGTACCTACTTAGGATCTGAAGTGTCACTCTCCACTCGCGCGCAGAGAGCTCATGAATGTGTACACCCTCAGACCAAAGCTTTTCTATTGCTGCAAGCGTTGCTTGTGTTGCTTTCATCAATTTCCCACCCGCCTGCTCTTCCACTTTAGCTCTCCCTTCAGCAAATGCAGCTTCCAGGGTGCTAATCACCTCCCTAAACCGCATCTGGAAGTAGACAGGTAATTGCCACCTCCGTTTGAATGCTAGCCAATTCGGATGATCCTGCACTGCCAATTTGGCTTCCTGAGTCGGCGCGAGAGAGAGCAACCGCTGAAGAAAGGTGTTAGTCAGTGTGAAATTCGAGTAGAAAGTATCTGTTTGACCGACAAAAAAGATTGTATTGCCCAGGGTGGTGAGGAGATGCCTGGAGAGTTCGTCCCAGATGACGTTGGTGAATATGTCACATTGCGATTCTCTTTCGGCAGGGGAAGTGGTGGTGCCGTCCAGGTCAGTGGTACAGGCAGAAGAAGTTTGGAGCGAGATCTCGCGAGATGCATCGGTAACGTGCCATGCCGCAGAAGCGACAAAGGTGAGGATCGAGTTGTAAACATTCGATAGCTGAATGGAAGGTGTCGAGCTTGATGAGGCGAGAAGAAGGGATTGCACGTGTGTGTGGTGCTCCTGCAGTTGGGACCGAAGTGTCTCTGGCAACCCGCTCCAGAAGGCTTCTGTATCGGTTGTGTCATCTGCTGGTGGCTTATCAATGATGTTCTTCGCAGCCCAATCACTGACCAACAGATCTCGGACAGCTTCTTCAGCCTCATTCCTCCTCTTGCTCTCTCCTTTCTGCTGCTCATCCCTACGTACTAGTGTCAGCGTATTCAACGTAGACAGAGCCATCTCAAGCCACGACCTCTGTTCATCTAACCTTGCTTCCCAATATGCAGCTTCGACCTCTTTCTCCCCTTCTTCAACCACAGGCTCTGCGATCTGACTCCATGCATCCAACTCATCCACTGCACTGTCCACTATCGCTGATGGTGCTGGCTTGGTCGACAGACTCTGCAAGAAGCTCGCTCTCCGTGCACCTCTTGCGCTCGGTCGCGACTTGCGCAATTCTGGCGAAGAAGGGAGAAGCGCGCTGCTACGACCGTAAAGCAAGAGCGAGTGCGGCGAGGTGAGGAGAGCTCGAAGAAGCGTGCGGAGGTCTTGCCGCAGAACAGAGCGGATACTGTCGATGCGGTCGGCAAGGGCGTCTGCGAAGTCTGTGAGGTTCTCTTCGTCGATGCGACGGTGGAGGAAGCGGAGGCGAGAGTATTCGGCGGATGTGCGGGCGATGCGTTGCGGTAAGCCGAGGAGGGAGGAGGATGCTGAGGTGGAAGTGGAGGGACCTGCAAGAGTGCCTGACTGGGTTCGGGTGCGGCTCGGCGAGAGTGACGCGCGATCTGGGGTAGTGTGTGGATGATGTGCGGCTGAAGAGAGTCGGCGTATGATCTTGCGTCTCGATTGTTTTGGCTGAAAGGCATCACCGTTTGTGTGTGCTGGTTGAGCTTCTTCAGAGGAAGAGGCATCGTCGTCGCTCTCGCTGTCCTTGTCGTAATCAGACGACATGGCATAGTCACTCAGGTCCTGATCCGAGCCGGACGCTACAGAGGCCAGACTGTCCCTTCGCCCTCCCACTGAGCCGATACTCATCACCGAAGGCCTTCTTACGGCACGTGAAGACCTCCTCCTCCCACCGCCTTTGCCTTTCTCCGGCTGTATCAACAGCAAATCTTCCAACCTCACAATCGAATCATGCAACTGCAGCATCAGCTCCAACCTTGCCTTGTGGCTCGTCGCATCCTCTTTCCGCCTGATGGAGTCTGCAATATCATCCTGTACGCTCTTGAGCATGCTTCTCGACGCGAGCAGCGTGTCTCGCACTGGTACCATCAGCCCTTGCGGCGGCGGACCATCCTGCTGCTGCTCCTTCTCTTCATCATTGTCCAAAGGTCGAGAAGATCTGCTCCAGCCAAGACGAGCGATACGATGTGCTTCAGCCTTGAGACTGCTGCCGAGGGATACGAAGTCCTTGTAGTCCTCATTGATGATCGAATAGAGCTCATCCTTGAGCTTCTCGCTGTAGCTGCGGAGATCGCCGAGGATAAAGTTGAGATCCGATGCCTTGGTGCGAGATACTAGAAATTCGTCTACGGAGAAGTTAGAGGTGTGGACGGGCGAGAGAAGTTCGAGATGGTGTGAGAGAGGGGTGAGCGAAGGAAACGCTACCGGTTCTCGCGTGGTGCTGTCGTCGAGGCGATGGAGGCCGTCGGAGATGCTGGCCTCGCGGTTGTGAGCTTGCGACGTGGAACCAGTCGCAGCATCGGCAGCGGCCATGGCAGTATTGCGTGGCGGTGTGATTGCTGGGACCTTTTTGAGGTGATGGTGTTGAGGTGCGGAGAGGGGCTTGGTTGAATCTGGAACAAGTTGCTATGGCTTGAGCACACGTGACTGCCAACAGTCCAAATAAATTCGGAATGTTAGGCCGAACCAAAGTATTCGAAACCGAATCGGCGATTTGCTGTGTCCGGCAATCCTGTGTAACAGCTGAAAAGTGACACTTTAAGCTGAGACCAACACTGGATAGTCTTCTCTCCTCTCACTCTCAAGCTTATCGTTGCCACCCCTCATCAATCAAAGCTCAAGACGATCATCGCTCGAGACTCAAACCCTCACATCAAGCTTTCGACGGTCGTTGGCTCCTTCTGCAGCCCGCGCGCGGAAACCGGCTTACGCAAGACGCTTTTACCATTTGTGATGACAGGTTACAGCTGGCTCACAGCTGTTTCAAGTACGCTTCTCGCTGCAGTCCTTCTCTCACTCGCCCTCCCATCAATCATGGGCCTACTGCGCTTAGGCAAAAGATGGAAGCCAGAAGGGAAACACGTGTTTGTCACCGGTGGTTCACAAGGTCTCGGACTCGCTCTCGCCGAGCTTCTCGCTGCCAAGGGCGCGCATGTCACTGTCTGTAGTAGGACCGAACCCAAGCTTCGTCAAGCTGTGGACAAGGTCAAGGTGAGCATTGCCGCCCCCATCTCCCCATCTGAATCTGTAGTGTTTAGCTGACGTGTTGGCATCATGTCCCACCAACCTTTCCAACTTCTGATGGTCTCGGCGTTCTCCGATAACAGGCATCAGCAAAGTCCCCGCAACAGCAGATCCAATGTGTCGCTGCGGACGTATCGACATTTGAAGGCGCCAAAAAGGCGATTGAATCATGTAGCACTGTTCCCGATACAGTCTTCTGCTGCGCTGGTGGAGCGAAGCCGGGTTTCTTCTTGGATCAGACTGAAAGCGATTTTGAAAAGGGCATCAAGACTGACTACTGGACATGTCTCGCTACCTCCCACGTAAGTAAAAATTCCCGCCTCCCTTCTCCGATTACTACAGAGTGCGAGCTAATCCGTCTACTCCGTTGTCGCATGATCAGGCTGCGGCAAATGCAATGGCACGGACCGGCATAAAAGACGGTAAAATTGTCATGGTCAGCTCGATTCTCGGGCTGTTTGGTTTGGTCGGATACTCTCAATACGCGCCGATGAAGTATGCTATTCGAGGCTTGGCCGAATCCCTTCGATCCGAGTTGATCCTCTACGGCATCTCGGTGCATGCCTACTTTCCTGCAACGATCCTGTCACCAGGTCTGGAAGAGGAGAACAAGACAAAGCCAAAGATCACACTCGACATCGAAGGCACGGATGAAGGTTTGACTCCTGCACAGTGCGCAAAGGGCTTACTTAAGGGTAAGTCTACTCGTTACCAATCAATCGACCAAAACTCAGTTAGCCAGCAAGGGCTTGAGCCTATCTGCACTGGAACGCTCTGATCGATGATCGACGCTCGAAAGCAACTCCTGTCCGGCGATATGATGACTGATCTTGCTACTTGTTTGCTCACCTTCTCACTTAAAACAGGCGTCGAGAAGAACCAGTTTTTCATCACAACCGACTTCAACTCTGAGCTCTTCCGAGTGGCAGCACTTGGCACCGCGCCGACAAATCGTGGTCTCCTCGACCGCCTTCTCGCACTGGTCTCATGGATCGCTATTCCGATCTGGCGAACATTTGCTGCCGACAGCGCGATCAAGAAGCATCGCCAAGAGCATCTCAAGACGCTCGCGAAACAGTCCGAGTAGCCACCTCTACGCTCACACACTCACCTGCCTTGCTAATGGAACCTCAAATCACAAAGCTGCACACTGTCGAGGAATGTCTACAGTACAACTGAGAATTGAGATGAGAATGCTAGAAAGTCATGAATAAGGCATGCTGTGCCTCCTTGAAAAGGGGGGCAGTACTATTATTTACAAGTAAAAACCGATCGCAGGTGGACTATTGAGACAGTTGATCCTTTACTCCTCCGTCTTGACCTTCTTGCCAATAGCAGGTGGTGCGCCGTCGTCACGGTTGTCGTTGGACGAGTCGTTGTCGCGCTTCCGCTTGTCGCCACCAGCACGGCCGAATCCACCACCTCGTCCACGGCCGAACTTGCCACCACGTCCACCACCACCGCGTCCACCACCACCACGTCCACCTCGGCCGTAACCGCCATTGCCACGTCGGTCACCACCACGCTGCGAATCCTGCTCGCGCCTGTCGAGCATGAAGGAAGCCCTGAAGTTGGCACGCTCGATGTAGAACTTCTTGGCGATCTCCTCATCAACGCGGGAGAACTGGACGACCTTACCACCAACGGTGATGTTCTTGCTCTTGATCTCGGCGAGCTTTTCGTCAGAGAGAGGCTCCTTGAATCCAACAGCGCCCTCGACGGCACCTGCTGGGAACTCGACGAACGAGGTAGGGTGAACAGTAACGAGGGTATCCTTGAGGTCCTTCCAGCTGCCGCCCTCGCCAGCACCGGTGAACTTGAGCACCGACTTGGGGGGGAACTCAACGGCATCTGGGTCAACAGTGCCGTCAGGACGTGTAGTGAGCTGCTTGCCGTTGTACTCGAACTCGAGCGGGTCGGAACGCTTTGGCTTGTCGTCCTGCTGCTGCTTTCGGTCACCGGCTCGTCCACCTTCGCGCTTGTTGATCTCCTTGAATGCGTTGAACTTCTTGGGTGCGTTGCTGCCACGGTTGATCTTGTTGTTGCTGGGATCGATACCCTTCTCCTCCATCTTCATCTTGACGTAAGCGTCCTTGGACATGACGACGAGCTCCTTGTCTTGGAAGCTGACGCCCTTGCCACCGTCCTGATCGGGATCCTTCTGTGCTGCCTGGGAGAGGAACTTGTTTCGGTCGTCCATATCGGCAAATTCTACAAAGACAGATCCCTTGAATGGCTTGGGCTTGGTAGCCGCCTCCATATCACGACGCATACGGACACTGTTGACCTTGCCGAAAGTGTTGAAGAAGGACTCGAGCTGCTTCTGAAGAGTCTCGGTCTCTTGGCCGAAACCCTTGGCGTAGATGGATCGGTCGAAAGCATCCTTGACAGGTACGAGCTCCTTTCGTCGACGAACGTTGGCACCGTCCTCGCTGACATCAAGAAGCTCCTTGGAGCGGCGAAGTACCTCGGCGATACCGTCAAGACCGAGAAGGTTCTTGATGGCATGCATACGCTTGAACGAGGCAATGGTGGCAATGGAAACCCATCCTTCTGGGTCCTTGCGGGTCAAGGTGAAGAGGAACTTGTCGAAGGGAAGATTGGAGTCGTGAAAGTAGAACTCCACCTGACGAAGAGCCTCCTCCTTGGCCTCCTCGACAGTCATGGTGGTGGAGGTCTCGGTAGCCGAGGTGGAAGCGGCAACGAGCTCCTCCTGCTTTACGAGCTCCTCCTGCTTTACGTCTTCCTGCTTGACTTGCTGTTTTGCAGGCATGTTTGGTATAGGATATGTTGAGATGGGATGCAGTTGCGCTCCGTCCTCTATGATATGGTGTGGAAAGAAGGACAGTGCGGAAGATCAAGCTTGTACGATGCGGAAGCGATGGCCAACAAAAAGCACCTCCTCACCAACAGAAAAATGCGGCCCTTTGACAGGAATCGGGAGAAATTCCACTTTTTTCTCAACTCGAAATCCGAGATTTTTGATTTTTCTTTTTTTTTCTTTTTTTTCTTTTTTTTCTTTTTTTTCTTTTTTTTCTTTTTTTTTCTTTTTTCTTTTTTGGTTTTTTTTTTTTTTTTCTTTTTTTTTTCTTGGACCCTCTTGGAGCAAAGGTCTGACTCGTACGTGTTTGTTCAGTCGATGTTGTGCTGTTAGATCTGGATGCTGGCGTGCACGGGCCTTTTCCCGATGCAAGTTGGGGCGCCTGTGTATGGAGGTCAGGTTGACTCTGTTCGTACTCATCAGCATGTCCTCCTGGTCCTCATTTACGCTCGCTCCGCTCGGTTTCGTTGAACGACACTTTCAACCAGCCAACCGGCCAACGCCCAAACCAAAACCCACACAAAGGGACTCTCTGCTTTGTTGGTTCTGTGCATCGGGCATCTAAAGGCATCCGACATCGTCCATCGCGACCTCATCGTCATCAGCAAACCGTTCCCCTCCCCAGACTTTTATAGCATCGTCCCGTAATGTCAGTGTAGCCATAGCCGGTGCAAGGCGGCATCATTCTCAGCCGAGTTCATCACATCTCACAGACCTCGAGACATCGAAAGGATATCCTTAACCACTTATACGACATTTGAACGCCGAGAACCACAGTGTGCCCCCGCACGGATCTCAGAACGAGAGCATTGGCCATCAGATCTCAACATTCGTCATCATCCTGCACACCGACCGTCGACACACCTCTCACAATGTCTTGGTTCGCAGAAACTGCCCGTTCATGGACGGAGAGTAGACCTGTTGAAATCTTCAAAGGTCTGCTCGAAGCTGCCTTCTTTCGCAACCCCGAACCACAGCCCGTATCTACATGGAGAATGGTCGTCGATCCGCCTATGCCTTATTGGCTCACCGTCTTCTCTCAGACTTGCCGCATCATATCGCTCCTCATCTTGCTACCCATCTTTTTGGTCGGCGTCCTTGACTTTGCCGGCTACGCTGTCTTCCGCACGCTAGGTACGTCTTATCAGTCACACCGCATTGCTCTGCCTCGTCCGATCGAAGAGAAGCATCAAGCTGACAAGTAAAGCTCCCTGCCTTGCACCTTTGTTTTTGTTTTTGTTTTTTTTTTTTTTTCCCCCCAGGCTTGCATCGTCGAAGAGTTCGCATTCAACGCCAGTCCAAAGCAGGTGTCAAATTACCTGTTGGCCGATCCAGCTCTCGCCGCAAAGCTCGTATCTACCAGAACGATCGACATCGTCCGACAGATCGCAGCAACATTCCAAGCATTGTCAAAGCACCGCTGCTCTCACCTGGAACGTACGACGCCGAGACGCTTCTTCGCCAACGTGCTCGCAGCCTCAGCATTGCTTCGGCAGAAGAAGAAGCGGCTTGGATTGCCAGTGGTGGACAACAAGCGCGACTCAGCATTGCTTCTATCAACAAAGACAGTGAGGGTGATGATCGACGCGAGTCCTACTCGCTCACCTCTCCAGATAGTGACGGAGGCGGCTCGTTGGAAACTGATGGCCATGTTGCACAACCAGACTATTTCGGTCGAGCGCCAAGAGTTGGAGTAGATGGAGCGTTGGGCATGGCTGACCCCGATGTTGACGAGAGTGGCACTGAGAGTGGAAGGGAGAGTCCGGTACAGCAGCGCTTCAGCAACAATCGAAGACGAGGTCTTTCAGAAGGACTCAATTTCACCCCAGTCAGTGCTGATAGAGCTACTCCCACATCGCCAAAGAGTCAGGCACCGGACAAGGATGCAGGGGAGCCGAAGCAAAACACAGACTCATACAACGCAAGTGTCGTCAGTCTTTGCAGCGATTCACCCTCGTCTTGCTCACAAAATGGAGAGAGATTGGCTTCAGGCAGCAACGATGGCAAGCACAGCCAGAGTGTCAGTAGTAATGACGATACAGCTAGCTCGAATATGAGCTCTTCTTGGATTGGCATAGAGCCAGCGGATCCTCATACAGGAATTGCGCCTGCAGCTCCCGTCGATCCGGCGGTAGCTGCTGCAGCTGCGGGATTGGAGGCTCATTCGAGTGTTTGGTCTGACAAGGCGATGCGCTGATGCAAGCTGTATGGTGTGGAGAACGTCTGTGTTCAGTTGTAGCTTAGCGTCGTTTTTGTAAATTCATCGACAGGATGCATAGGAAGCCCTCACACTGATATCGACTCATGCCTTTGAGATGAAGTCAGCAAGACCAAGACAGCTAGACATATGAAAAACTTTTCCTTGTCAAAACAGAGAAAGCAAACCCACCAACAACACTTGGCACCATGCACAATCAAATGAACAAAGGAGATGCAAACCAAACACAATTTGGACCTCAAATACTTTTTTTTTTTTTTTTTTTTTTTTTTTTTTTTTACTTGCTACTAAACTACACAGAAGCGAGACGTTTAGCACTCACCGCAGTTGGCGATGGTGATGGTGGACTTGGGCTTGCCCGAGCTGGAACCTTGGGCCTCGATAGCCTTGACAATGTTCATACCCTCGATGACCTCACCGAAGACGACGTGCTTGCCGTCCAACCAGGGGGTGACAACGGTGGTGATGAAGAACTGCGAGCCGTTGGTGTTGGGACCAGCGTTGGCCATCGAAAGAAGACCGGGCTTGTTGTGGGTCAACTTGAAGTTCTCGTCGGGGAACTTTTCGCCGTAGATCGACTTGCCACCGGTACCGTTACCGGCGGTGAAGTCACCACCCTGAAGCATGAACTGGGGGATGACACGGTGGAAGGAAGAGCCCTTGTAACCGAAACCGGGAGCACCAGTGCAGAGCTCGCGGAAGTTCTTGGCGGTCTTGGGAACGACGTCATCGTAGAGCTTGAAGGTGATGCGTCCCGCAGGGGCGCGGTTGTTGGTGATGTCGAAAAAGACGTTGGACATGATTCTGGCAGTCGAAGTGAATTGACGAGCGAAAGTAGCGTGCATGGTAGAGTAAATCGAAAGCAAGCAAGCAAATGCGAATCAAGAAAGACTGTGTGTGAGTGAGCAGGAATGAGACAAGATATGGAAAGTGGCAAGAAAAAGGTGGACAGAGGAATTTGACAGCTAATGTTGCTTCTTCAAGAGCGCACTATAAATGCACTACCAGACAGTGAGATCTACAAGAACTCCTCGTCCGAGCAATTCGAACATGAGCCGCAACAAAACCATGTGAGGAGTGAGAAGGGGGGCCCACTTACGCTAGTGTATGATGGATGTGATTGGAAGATGTTTTCTGGGCGGGCACGTGAACAGATTGCAGGTTCGAGATGGTTTTATATAGTCTTGGACCGGCTGAGCGACGAAACTCGAGCAACCATAGCGGAGCCGGACGGAAGGCGGCAGAAGAATGCTCCAGCCCAGCCAGCGAGCTTCGGCACAGAAGAACACAAACACACAGCACAAACGCAGAGGCGAGCCAACAAAAGCTAGGGTGGCTCAAGCGCTCCCACAGCCGCCAACCCAACGGGAGCAGAGGTTAGGGTATAGCAAGGAGCCCCCCCTTTTTTTTCCCCTTACAGACTGTATGATGATGATGATGCCCCTTGCCGTCATTCTGAGTGTGCAACAAACGCAGACACTCGTTCAAAACGCTCAACCCAAAACCCAAACTAGTTTACCTCTTTGAAGCAACAGATGGCCGAACCCTGTTGGACAGCATGTCACCTTTTGCTCTACGCCACCCAATCAGTCATGCCCAAGTCGAACTTCCCTCCAATCCGGGTTTGAGAACGATCTCATCCTTCTTTGACACGGGGAGGTTTTTTTTTTTCTTTTTTCTTTTTTCTTTTTTCTTTTTTCTTTTTTCTTTTTTCTTTTTTCTTTTTTCTTTTTTCTTTTTTCTCTTTTTTTTTTTTTGGGTTGAAGTTCTCTTTGCCTTTCCGATCACGCACAGTCCATCTCGTCGATATCGGGCCGATTCTACACGGGTGCAGATCATCTCACTATCGCGATTAACTCTGATCGGGAAAGCCTCGTGGCGATCTCACTTGGACCCTGGATGTTGAGGTTGCTTAAACACTAAAGTTTTAGTCCCGATAACTGGTGATCGGGTAGAGTCTCAGTACGATGTCACTGCTAGTTTGTAGACAGAAACAAATATACTCAATTGACTAAGAAGAGAACATGGCTGCCTGACATATATACAAAGTGCTGCTACATCCCATATGTGGCAGTATCACCCTCAATGACAGAGTACAACAACGAGCGGGACCCAATAGCATCCGATCACCGATTAGACCTGCTGGATCGTCATCTTCAGCAAACACTTGCTCAAATGAGCTCCATAGGTTCGAGGCTTTCCTTCTTGTTCTCCGACTGAACCTCATCTCTACGGTGCATATCCGCAAGTTGGCCAAGTTAAACAGGAAGCACAGCTTCCGCATTTCCTTCAGATGGCCGGCTGAACCTCTTAAGCAAGAGTAGCGGCCAGCTTAGCTTGCCGAAAGCTTTCTCAATGTCAAGCCTCTTCCCTGTCGCCGGGAATAGATGGAACAGCAGAACCGTACATCGAGGTCTCTTCCTGTCGACTGAAGCTATCTTCCAATATCATCTCACCGTCGACCGTAGTCGGCAACATCATGATGCCGTCTCAGCATCAGTCTGCCATTCCGAACCCCGCACTACGCGACCGCAAACAGCAAGGCCTCCAGTCCTCCGCATGGCACCGAGAGCAGACCTACCACAAGATCCGTTCAGCAACATCATCGGCACCGCGTCCATCTTCACTCGCGAGAACGACACTCAGTCAACGATTCCGACGAGCCATTCAGCAAGGCGATCTCCCCGCCGCACAACGCATCTCTGCAAGAGCTTTCGAGCTTCAATTCTTGTCAGGTCCAGCCATCCAACAAAATACATATCCATCTTCCGATGACCAGACAAGTCCATACTCTCCTCCAAAAGCAGCTCTCCGCGCAGCCGAAACGCAACGGCCCTCTTCTGCCCATCCTTTCGACGTTCGCAATGTAGAGCCCATCTCTGAACGCATCAACCACACAAAGCATCATCATCATCGTAAATATACACTAGCTATTCACGATGAATCTCTGAACGACTCCAGTAGCAGCAGTGCAGATCCGAGCCTCATCATCGCTATCAAAAGCAATGCTGATGTCGAGCTCCTCCGCTGGCTCATTGAGATGGGTCACGAGCAGAAAGGTCCCAGTGTCGACGCTGATGGTAACACAGTCCTACACCTCGCCACTCTTTACGATCGATCCGACATTATCTATGCCTACTCGACGTATACCAACAGCCACGTCGCTGCGACCTTGGCTGACCTCATTGATGCCGAGACGCTGCATGATCACCGCACAGCTCTGCATTTGGCCTGTATTCGTGGCTACGACGATGTAGCACGACAACTGCTCGATCTTGGTGCTCATGTCGACTTGCAAGACCGAGCAGGTAATACGGCGCTTCACTTTGCTTCTGCTTGGGGACATGTGTCTCTAGTGCAACTCCTAATTGAGAGAGGCTGTTCGCTGGCCGTCAAGAATGTGGAGCGGTCGACTGCATCGGATTACGCCTACTCACATAGCGTCAAGGAGGCCTTAGAGACCATGGGTCGTTTGCGATACGAGAGCCGCAAGAAGTCACGACGTGCACCAGTGGCTACTGTGATGCCCTCTGCCATACGAGCTACCGCTGCAAACGCCGTATCTAGCCAATTGGACGACTCGACCCTGTCGGACAAGCAGAGCCGTACGCGTCCTTTTCCATCCTTTCTCAGCCGCAACGCTTCCAACGGCGGAGGATCAAGGAGCACTGCCACCACACCTGTACGCATGACCTTTGCCGATACCAGCGCTGACCGGACCACGGAGGTCATCAATGATTGGGACCCGGAAAAGACATTCGCCCAACCAGGGCAGAATCTGTTCCCTGGCAGCAGAGCCGCCTTCTCGTCCCCGCCGGTACAAAGAGTAGCAAGCCCGGCCAACTTTTCCACACCAGCTCGACCCTCGATTGATCTCTACAGTGAAATTCTCAATCCATCACCACGTACATCTACAAGCTCCTCGACTGCTCCAACCTCGCAACCCCAAACTTCATCTCAACCACGACAGATGGCTCAATCTCCACCATTCATGCTTCGCTCACCGGACGAGTGCAACTTGCAAGGGCAGAGCTACAAAGGTCTACTACCGCAAAGCAGCTCAGAGGCCGAGATGCGACGTCAGCTTTCGCCCAACTTTGGCGGTTTAGGAAGGACGATAAGACGTACGCCAAGTCCAGGACACATGGGGGTGACGGCGGATAAGGTGAGGATGCAGGACGCGGCGGCAATGTCTTTGTTCCGAAGCACAACTCCTCAGCCTAGCCACGTGCCGGGGAGGATCGAGACTCCGCCGCTCATTCAACAAGGCAGTGAAAGCCCGTTCATGCTTGCCAAGAGGGTCAAGTCGCCGCCGACGGAAACGAGCGCGCTTAGAGCAACGTCTGGATCAAGTTCGGGCGAGAACAGTGGTAGTAATGCCGGTAGTGGTGATGGGCCGCCGTTGCTTGCTCCCGTTGCTACCTTTCCGAGGCCATCACAGGGAGGCGGAGGCGAGGCGAACCAGCAGCATCGAGGCAACTCGCCAGTCGAAGAGATAAGCAGTCCTTACAATCAGATGGACCTAACGAATAGCAGTGGACGTCGCGACTCAAGCCCTTCTACTCCTCGACCTGATGATCGCGAGACGTTCGCTTGATCCTTGCCAGTGTAATGCAATCATGGCATACATGTGCCTTGATCAATTCAGCCGCTTGCGACAAGGCTATACGAAGCTCACGGAATGCAGAGATGAATGGCAGTACTGTACAGAAAATACTGTACTGGTACAGCTCTACTGCATCTCGGATCTTTCCACAGAAGCTATCCGCTGAGACAGGAGTCTGAGTCTATGACCTGCAAGCTACTCGACAAGCCCCACCTCCTGTTTAGAGAGGCGCCAAGGCAAGATAAGACTGGATTGTATCTTGTCACTGAGAGGCTGGAGGCTAGACGCGGCAAAACACGCGCCCAACTGAACGGATATCTGACCGGGCCTTGCTGCTTTTGAACAAGGTCAAACAGAAACGGGCCAAAGACCGGGGCTTTTTCCATTGCCGCTGCTCTGTACTACGCGACCTGCCTAAGCATCAAAGCAACACACATACCGCACCCCGCGATTCGTTATGTGACAGCTCTCTTGACATCCCACTAAGGCGCTGTCTGATAGGCTGGGCCTTTCGCCGGAATCCTTTATATCGGGCCATTTCCTGGGCCTTTTCCATTCTCCCCATCCCCTCTATTGATGGTCTTATTGTCGCAGCGCAAGCACAGTGCAGTGCAATGTCCTTGGCTCGATGCAATCTACCTCCGCACAAGAGCAGATAACGAGTGTCAGCAATGAAAGAATCTGCTATCCCTCTATCTCTCCTTCTCCAAAGAAGAACACGGTACAACTTGCATAGGCCGTCGGCCGCTATACTTTGGTCCTTGCTGACAGCGCCTCGTGGGGATGCTGTGGGCCCCGTGACTTCTGCTCTCCCCTAGTCCAGCGAAATCGCAGACCTTGAGACAGGCATGTGCTTGCCTAGACCTGTCTTCTGACGATCATTTAAATAAGATTCTTCCCCCTTTGAGCTTGCTTGCTTCAGTCCCTCCCACCAACCAGCCTCACTCTTCCATCAGGACTGACTTCCAACCGAGTGACCAACAAAACACCACCCCATTTATCAAGCTAACACTGTATCCAATCAGCAATGCTGCCCGCTCTTCGAAGCCGTACTTTCCGCCAGGCCACTGCTGGAGCTCCCCGCCTCGCCAGTGCCATCAACGGTCGCACCTTTGCCCAAGTCTCAGACGCCGCCTCGGTCCCTGGAAAGACGGTCTCCCCCGTCGATGTCGAACCCTATCTCCTTGAAGAGCTCCCTTCGGTCGTAGCCGGTGACAAAGACGCCATCTCGAAACTTCCCCCCTTCGTCATCTCCCGCGAGCGAGGATTCCTCCCTCGCCAAGATCCCATGGTTAGATTGCCCGAAGCCTTCTCCACGCTCTCCTCGCTTCTTGACCGTATGACCATCCACCAACCCGCCGATGTCCACGGCCACCGCGCAACCGGTCTCCTCGGCAAAGGCGAATTCGGTGACGCCATCCACTCCGAACTTGACGGCAAAGAACTCAAAGCAGTCAACGCGGCCATTGAATCGGGTAACTCTCACCTCCTAGCCGCTCTCTTCCGAGACTACTGTTTCGCTACTTCCGCTTACCTTCTCGAACCTGTCGATCGAGCATTCCGTGAAACGGGATTCTACACTCAAGGTCGTAACTCTCTCCCCGCTCAACTCGCTGTTCCTCTCAAGAAGCTTGCTGACAAGTTGGCTCATTTCCCTTACATGGAGTACGCCTCTTCTTATGCGCTTGTCAACTACATGTGCAAGGATGCCAACTTCAAAGGTAATGCCGGAAAATACTCGTTCGACAACATGGAGCTCATTCGAAGCTTCGAAGACGCTTCCGGCTCCGAACGTGGTTTTATCCTCGTCCACGTCGAAATGGTCAGTTACACTGGAAAGTTAGTCTCTGCTACCGAAGACGCTCTTCGTGCTTGCAACAGTAAGGATGTAGCTGCCTTCGAAGATGCCTTTGAACGCCTACTCTTGACTTATCGAAAGATTAACGAATCAATGGAAACAATGTGGCGAAGAAGTTTGCCCCAAGACTATCTCAAGTATAGGAGTTTCATCTTTGGTACAGGACCGAAAAAGATGAATGCCATGTTCCCTGATGGCGTTGTCTATCAAGGGGTTTCGGATGAACCTCAGTTCTATCGTGGTGAATCGGGTGCCAATGACTCTATCGTTCCTACAGGTGATAACTTGCTCGAGATCACCGCTCACATGCCTAACAACGACCTTACGAAAACCCTGCGCGATTTTAGAAGCTACCGACCAAAGAACCAGCGAGAATTCTTGCAGCAGCTTGAAGCTCGTGCTACTCTTGCTGGTGTAAGAGCTTTCGCAATGTCGTCCAGCCCGCGTACAAAAGCACTTTACCTTCTGCTCGTGGATCAGATTCGAGAGTTTAGAAACAGACACTGGATGTTCACCAAGTCTTACATCATCCAACGTACTTCTTACGACATTGCTACTGGTGGTTCCCCCATTCTTCAGTACCTGCCCAACAACCTCAGCGTCGTGCTAAAGGTGCTGGAGGAGAGCTTTAACGAGTTCACCTCGGCCGATGAACGAGCTTTGGGCGTTGATGCGAGATCCGCAAACCACAGGATCAGCAACATTGACTTGTTGGAGAACGTCAACGCGGCAGGTAAAAGGGCCGGTGCTCAGAGAAGCATGCTGGAGAGAGAAGTAAACGAGTTGTTGGCAGAGAAGGAAAAGAGGATTGAAAAGATGGGTGGTGATGTGGAGAAGGGTAGGGGTATGCTGGGTGAGCAGAAGAGTATGAAGAGAGGTGCCGTTGGTTGCGATGGCGTTGGATGAACAGCACGACTTACACAGCTGCATGCGATAGTGCCAAGAAGCAGCTGATTTAGGTAGCCAGATGCTACCAACCTCTTTCCCATCCCCTCTTCCCCTGTTCGGCTGCAATTCAAGTCCGAAGAAGCATACCAAACAGTCTCGAAAACAGATCCTTCCGCTCATCTTCCTGCTCCCGACCTTCAACACAGTCCTGTCCGCCGTCACTCTTGCTCTCCCGATCAACCGGCCAAGTTGCTTATCTCAGTTCGGTCCAATACAATGTGTCGCTTCATACCTTCTCAGGATGTGACTTGTATCTGCACGTGCGTGCTAGAAGAAAAGATGAGAATATCCACGTTGAGGTGGCTTGGTGTATTACAGTGACAGATGGTACTAATGCAGTCCTAATGAGCAAAATTACAGGTTTGCGAGATTACAGAAGGGAGCAGCAGTGTTGAAGCGACAAACGTGACAGAGTCAAACGACCAGGAAATCTATGTTGAATATGAATGCGTGAAATAGGCCATCTTGCCCTTGGGCTTCTGCTGGTCTATGATTGTGCTAGGGTTAAGATGAGGGTTAGGTATGACTTTTTGAGTCCGTTGAGGACTGGAGCTGAAGAAGAAAGGTATCAGGCGTCGATGGTGGCGAGGGCATTGAGTTTGTCCAACACTTCTTGCCATTCCCTCTTGGCGTCTGAGAGGTAAGTGATAGCGCCACCAGCTCCGATCGAGACTTGATCGCCATCAGCAACCAGCGTTCTAATGACGACAGAAAAGTCTGCAGCGCCATCGCAAGCCAACCATCCGAGTGCGCCAGAGTAGATGCCTCTTGTCGCGAAAAGATTGTCGTCGCGTTCAGCATCAGCCAAGTTGAGCTCTAATCGTTCGAGCAGCTGCACACTGCGACGTTTGGGGGCGCCAGTCATGCTTCCTGGTGGGAAACATCTTCGAATCGCCTCGATTGTGCCAACGGAAGCTTTTAGTCGCCCTCTGACGGTGGTTACGAGCTGATGTACAGTCTCGTACGATTCGACCTGCATCAGCTTGGGAACAGCGACGCTAACCGAGGTACAGAAGGAGAAGAGGTCTGCCCGAATCAGATCGACAATCATGAGATTCTCCGCTCGCTCTTTGACATCTGCCGACAATCTGGCGCGACGAGCTTCGTCTTCTGCCTCCCGCCACTTTTGCTTGACCACTTCTTCTGGCGGTGTCGCATCGCCTGCTCGCATAGACTGTTCGCCAGGTCCAAATCCAGCGCGAGCCAGTGTGCCTTTGATAGGTTTCATCTCGACACGTCCGTCCGAGGTGATGCGCATGAATCGTTCAGGGCTGGTGCTGAGGATGGCTCGCCCACGCTTTCGAGTTCCAGTCTGATCGGCGTCTGTGGCAAACGATGGCAGCTTGATGTATGCCGAGTATGGTGCGGGATTGCGGGCTCGCAACTTGCAGTACAGATCGAAATGGTCCGTGTCGGCGTCGTCAGCAAGGGACGAAAGCGGTGCCAGTCGGCCTTGGAATTGGTTGGTTATGCACAGCTCGTAGCTTTCACCAGCGGCGATGAGTTCTCTCGCAGACTCGATCTGGTCCATGTAGTCTTCTGCAAGCATTCGCGGTCGCAGAACTGGCATCGCCTCTCGGAAAGCCGCCGCCCTCAGCGCCGCGTCCACCTTCGTGGTGCTTGGCAATCCACTCGACAGTGCAGAGACAGTCTTGAGTGTGTCTTCAATCCATGCCTCGGCATCAGACCGTGCTAGGGCCCAGCGCGACCATGATTTGCCGCTGGCCTGCAGATCCTTCAGAGCGCAATCAACTTGCCCCAAACGATGAGGCAAGAAAAAATTGGCTGGCAACGTCTCGACGAGTGTGAACGCGATCCACTGGTTCAAATGATGATCGAGAGCGAGGACCCTTGGGCAATACAGGAATTCGGCATCGAAAGCGTTCGAATTGCTTCCTGTAGGTGCTTGAGTGTCGAGCTCCAGACTTTCATTCTTCATCTCGTAGCCCCAGTAGCCAGTGAATCCGGTTCGGAAGACGTTGCTTTGCTCGCCATCCTTGAACGATTCCGCGCAAGACGCCGTGTCTGTAGATGCCTGCAGTTGGCTCTGCAGATCATTCATGAAGGACCACAAGGTTGATTTGGGGGCAAAGTGTCCAGCGCCTTCGGTCAGCGAGATGCTGGTTGTGAGCTTCCCATCGGCTGACACGAGAATGTCGTCACTTCCGGCCTTGTAGGAGAGGGTGAAAGATGGGATCGCCATGAACGAGTACCGGCTGTGCGGATCCTTGCGTCTTGCGCTATCGAGCCACACTGCTCCGGCGGGGCTACAGAGGCGGAATAGCTGATCAAAGATGCGGGCCATGTCTGGGCAACTGTCCACGGGAAGCGAGGTCGAACGCCGCGTGACAAGGGTGAATGGTGACTGAGTGGCGATGGGTGTTGCTTGAGTTTGGGCTTGAGCATCGCTCGCAAGACAGCGCTCGCTGGCGAGCTTAAGATGTGCGGGGAGTGTCAAATCTGCATCAGCCCAAGCGTCAACTCGTCTGCGGGCGTCAGTAGACAGGCTGCTGACAGCGTCCAGCCCACGTTGAAACCAGTAGCGTCGAACAATGTCGAGGAAGTTGGACATGATCTTGTGTCCCCATGTGGACTCGATGCTTTCAGGATGGAATTGGACACCATGGAAAGGTAGAGTCTTGTGCTGCAAGGCCATGATGGTCAGAGACAATGGTGCACCTGGGGCAGGGACGGAGTCAAGCTCAGTGCTGCCTGCGATGCTCGTGGCCTCGGAGAGTTCGAGCTCTTCTACTTCCGAGAGGTGCTCGGATCCGCGGCGAGAGGAGAAAGGCACGGTGGACGGCGACCGACTCAAAAAGGCGAGATCGCGATGCTTGAGCGGAGCAAGTGGCTCTGTTGGAATGCTGAGAGGTGTTGGAAATGATTGCTGTTTGGTCTTGCCTGGTTTTGGAGGTGGAGCTGTCGAGACTTGGTCATAGCTCCAAGCAGTGACTTGAAGACAGTCAGGCAGGGTGTCTGGATCGACAACCAAGCTGTTATAGCGGACTACAAGCGCGTCTTGAGGAACGCCATCGAGGAGGGAGGAGACTGTCTGCGACTTGGGCTGTGTTGGTGCAGAGATCTTGAGCTTGCTTTGAAGGCCGTGCCGTACGCTGGTGGCACGGGTGACTTGGCCACCGAATGCAGTTGCCAGTCCCTGATGACCGAGGCAAACGCCAAGTATTGGTAGGTTGAGCGATTCGTCCTTGAGCAGTGTCTCTGCTGCACCAAAATCGGCCGCCTTGTCCGGACTTCCAGGTCCTGGCGAAAGAATGATAGCATCGATGTGCGGTCGGACGAGCTGGTGGAAAGCATCGGGAGCTAGCAGTGGATGCGTGTGTGGAAGGACAATGACACGCTCTGAAATCCTTCGAGCGAGCTCGGCTTCATCGTGTTGCAAGCTGAGGTTGTCGCTGCGAGACGGCTGGGTAGGATGCAGTAAGGAGAGTAGGTTGAGGGTATAAGAGTCGAAATGATCGACGATCAGGATGCGTGGCAGGTGTAACGACATCTTGGCTGTGAACTAAAGGCAGAAGGGTGGCTTCTGTCAGCCTAGCGAGGGCGACCTGCCGAGCCGGGGGGTTGATGTGAGAGATGAGACGAACAAACCTTTCAAAGTCTGGAGAGAGACTGCATGATGTCGCTGCAGGAGCTGTCCTGATGATCGTCCTGTGCAGGGTCCGAGGTCATGTGGACTTCCAACTCTGGTCCAGGGAGTTCGCTGCGGTCAGCCAAGAGGATGGCGAGGCATGGTCATGGACCTGGCGCCGTTGGAGGTGTAGAGTTGTCCAACAAGAACGTTGCACATGGGTCATGACAACAATTTCTTGTGTGTGTTCCTTGGAAAGGGTTCAACTCTAAAATTTCTGTACCGTGCGAATGGAAGAAGTGGAAAAGAGAGTCCCGCCTGGACTCAATCGCACGAAACAAAACCGAAATTGTATATACACAACACGAACATGTTGAAGTTTGGGTCCCGATACTGGCGATCGGCGAGAGTCTAAGTACGATGTCACTGCTGCTAAAAGACAGAAACATATATACTCAATTGACTGAAGGAATGTGGCGAGAGCCTAGTGCTCTCGGCTTGAAACATATACATTAGTGTGGCACATGCCTAGTGTGGGAGCATGCTACTTCATGACCTAGCTTGACAACGAGCGGGACTGTGATGTACCCGATCTCTGGTGAGATCGGCTCGGCTCGATCTCTGATCAGATCGGTCATCTAACCCGATCGGTTCTGCTTGAATTGTTCTCCGATCAGATCGGCTCTGCATCATCCTTCAGCGTCTCACTGGATCGTAATCTTCAGCAGAACAAACTAAGTGGATTGCAGGCAAACACCGGTCCCGAACCCGCCGTAACAGAAGGCCAGTCGAGCGCATAAACGAGCGGCAAGGGAGGGTGTACAGAGAGGGCAAATAATCGAAGAACCAGGCTGCTAACCATACGCCTGGCTCGCCTCGCTTTGGTGGAGATGATGGTAGTGAAGAGCGGAGCGGAGAAGCGGAACAATTCGACTGTTAAGTCCAACCGAGACGCGCACGTCTTCATGACTGGTCACGTGATGCAAACCCTTTTTTCGACCGGCTTTTTTCTCTCTCTCTCTCTCTCTTTCTTGACTGAGCTGCATGATGAGCCTTTTCGTATTTCACCGTTCACCCACCAAAAAAGGACGTTGGCTGAGCAGTGTCGGTGTTCAGCATTCCTCTTCAGCATCTCTCTTCAGCATCTCTCTTCAGCATCGCTCTTGAGCATTTATCTCTACCACCCCGCCTTGCTCACACGTCATACATCAACATCGGAAGAAGCGAGGAGGAGGCGGACACTAGAACGAACCCTTGCCCGACAATCACAGCCCGCTCTCCTTTGGCAGATTTGCTGGATCAGCACTCGGGATCATCCGACGCTCTTTGCGATGCGCAGACACAGTCGTCGGCGACGTCAACCCTAAGGAAGCTCGAATCTGTCTGCGAACCATTCAAGGGTGTGGCTTGTGACGTTTCGAAATAGGGCGCCACATTCCCACGCCTCGCTTCGTCACACGCCTCGCTTCGTCCGATGCTTCGACATCTCTCTAGAGGCGCAGCCACATCATCAGCTTTCACCGCTGATGTCGCTCGTTGCTCTTCATACTCGGGCTCGGTCCGACCGCTGACCTTATCAGCATCATCCTCAGCACTGCCTCGGAGGAAGCGACGATTGCTTCTGTCATCAGCCTTGTCTTCAGAACACAACTCAGCCGAGTGTTTGAGAGCACCGTTTCACTCGGACTCGTACTTTAGCTCCTCACCACCAGAGCTTCCCTCCCTTCCTTCCGCCACATCCGTTTCTACAACCGACCCTACAGAGACACTTAGCTCTGAGCGCTATCTCCCGCCTTTGCTCGACGTTCCCCTAGTCGCAAAAGACGAAGCGCAGCATATTCTCTTGAAAGCCATTGCAGATCTCGACGCCGACCGATCATGGAACCTATACAATCAACTAGGCAAAGCTCGTCTCGCTTTATCTAGCCATCTCATCGACCTTATCCTCACTTTGCAATGCCGTAAGCCAGTGAGGAGCAGCCCTGGCAACATTCGTAGCCGGGCTGCCGTTGGCGAGGTTTGCGATAGGCTCCTTCGCCTCTGTCAAGATCGTTTGCGATGCCAAGTTGGAAGCTCTGTCAGCACTTCTTCGTCGAGCGACAAATTCGGGCTTGTTGCGCTCTCACCCGCTCTCTCGCTGAGGCTCCTCTACCTGCTTGTCGTGGAGGAAGAGCAGATCGCAGCTGCAAGGTCAGCCCAACCGCCTCCCAAGCGAAAACACCTGTCTTGCATCCTCGAAACGCTCTCAGCCAAGATCGACTCGCATCAGCGCGGCACGGTACAACTCTTAGAAATTCAGCTCAGAGGTCGTCTTGCAGCTACTTTGTCTCGACTTGGATCTACAGATGCCGCCTACCACCATTTGTCAACTTTGGTCGATCAGGCATTCCGGTCCGAAGAGGACTTGCTCATCGACCCACGTCCCTTTGATCAGCTTCTATCGGCACTCACAAGACAGAGGACGAGCAGAATGCAACCAAGGCCACAGCATCTGCCCTCGCCCCTCGACTCTGCATCAATCACCATTGATCAAGACGATCCTATCCTCCGTGCCCTTCACCTCACTCTGCTATCTCAAGTTGAGGCCTCCAAGGCTAGCATTCACAGATGTCTACAGGCACTCGACACGTCCACATTGTGGTGGCTATTGCCCTTCGAGCTGCAAGGGAGCAGCCGAGATGAAGGCCGCTCCAAACCTTCACCCGATGACCGATTCGCCCTGACATCCAAGTGGCATCCATGGCAGACTTCTCCGGACGGCCGATGCCTATCTGCAGACCTCCTCGAGTCGCTTGCAGAACGAGTTGCCCTTGTCCTCGCGCAGCGCGGCATCTTACAGCCGGCTCTGCACATCATAGATGGCTTGCAAACCTTGACCGGCAGCAGCAATGGCGCAAACGTCAGTAGTAGCAACAGCAACAGCGATGGAAGATCCCAGGTCACATCCAAAGTTCCCGACCACGACCTTTTCACCGTTGTTCTGGAACAGCTCGCCGGTCGAATGTACTCGAACCTCGATGAGAGCGCCCGCAAGTCTCTGGATGCACACAGAGGACTTTCTCTGGACATGCATCTGGCCATGAAGGTGTACAGCATTGCTCATACAGTCGGCGTAGACCTGGACCTACGCATTAACGAAGCCGTCATCAAGGCCTTTTCTGCTTGTCTTCCCACTTCCGTTCTCGACCTTGGTCCAGCTCGAGCACAATTTAGCACCGTCAAGCCCAACATTGCGCAGAGAAATGAAGCTCGTGGCAGTCGTCACGCTTTGCAAGTGTATCTGCAACACTTCACCGACATGATTCTGGCCAAGGATCCCGATCTGAGCAAAGGCAGCTTGAGCTTTCCTGCCCAGGCCACCCTGCTCGGTCTTCACATGCGCACACGCGACTTTGCCTCCACCAAGCGTCTCTACGAATTGATTCGTCTGCGCGAGCCAGATCGAGAGTTCTGGTTGCAATCTCCTGGTGCTGGATCTTTGGAACTGTCGGCCTTACATCCTTTGGCCGGTCCAGATAACGACACTTTTAGGTGGCTCTTTGTCGAGAGTCTTCGCTCCCTTCCGAACCCGTACTTTGCCGTTCGCCTCTACCTAGACTGGCTCGCTAGTGGCAATACGCTGCCATCTCGTATCACAGCCATCTTTGTCAAGGTTCTTTTGCGCGCTGGCCTCACCAGTACCGTTCAACGCGTCTTGCAAGAGCTCCATCAAGACCATGCCTTCTTGCCCGCTCGCCTTGCTCGCAGCCTTGTCGCCTCCTTCGCCGAGGCTGGCTTCCCCGACATTGCAGTCGAGTTGGCTACTAACGTTTCGCAGATAACGGCGTCCACCACCTCGTTCAAGCCAGTCCAGGAAGCAAGTCCTCATGCCGACGAAACTTCTATTCAGCGCGATTCATGGTTGCTAGGATCCACTTTGAACCTCATCAGCATCGCGTTAGACCGCTCCAGCAAGGCCATCGGTCCGACAGACGTTGACTTGCATCGCAAAGTGTTCCGCTTGTTCGACGAGTTCAGGATCGGTCTCACTCACCAACTGCTTCGCGCAATGACCGCCACGGATCCCAAGGCTGGAACGCAGCTGCACAGCTTGTCTCTTGCTGACGTTCGCAACGCCTACAATGCTATCATGAAGGTGCGCTTGCTCACAGTGTCCGAACATCGAGGCGGTGACGCAAGTGTGGCTGGACAGCAGTTAGAAGTGGATTGGAAGATGATCAAATCCACCTGCGGTCACGTTGCAGCCCTCTTCGACGAGCTGAAAGACCTCGGAGCCGAGCCCGACAAGGTTTCGTGGGATTTGCGGCTGAAAGCTGGCGTACACGCGTGCCTGCATGCACCTACACTCGAGGAGCGAACGCATTGGCTGCAGCAGACGATCAAGTCGTTCAAGCAAAGTTGTAACAGTGAATCCAGAATGCATGACGCTCTCCCAGGCATCGAAAGCAAGGTCTCCGCTGTCAACTTCAGACCGGCAGCCGCTTCGAGATCACAAAAGGTCAAAGTCCTACCGGCTGTTGTCTCGTCCCTCATCGATGCCTGTCGTCGGTGCAACGATTTTACGTCCGGCATTCAAGTCTACGAGACTCATTTGCGACAAAACGGCTTCAACGCGTCGGTTGAGAAGGAAAAGCATCAATTGCTTGCAGCTTGGGCCGAGCCTGGCAAATGAGGTGAGCTCGAGCTTGAGCTTCTGACGATACGCCGCTTCCTAGTCGAGATCGATGAAAGCTTTCTCAAGCAATTCCACGACTTGGCACAGCGCGGCAGAGCAGCGATTCCTTCCGGCGCTAGGCCTTAGCCGCAATTGCGTTGCACAAATGTAGGTCAGTATTTTGCCCCAGGCTGGATTACAGTGTCTGCTTCGTGTCTCATCCATGTACATTATGAAGACTATCTCGTCCTTGCAACGAGTCTTTAGGTGTGGGTGGCGCTCTTGAATTAATCGTACTCCTCTCATTCTTCGTATCGATGACAATTTCGGTCGGAAGCCATGCGAAAAAGCCCAGATTGTGCAACTCAGGCCCCTCTTCCAACGAAAAATAGGTCCAGCTTGTCAGGGCATGACATCGCATAGGACGACTTCGGACAACACCGAGGTCGAAAGATGACCTTTGATGACAACAATGTATGCTTCATTCCGTCTCCACCACCTTCAGGCGTGCGCCAGTCTCAAACGATGGGAGCAGCGCAAACGTCTCCGGCATCCGAGTCGACAATACAGCCCGAGAAGCGCCATGACGACAGACAAAGGAGGCCGGCTTGTGTTGACATGGCGCAGAATACCATGCAGAGCGGCCTTGTCTTCACTCCGACCTGCTGTCACCCCGCCGCAACGAGATGACGCCGAGGCACGCCCGAAGCAGAGCTATTCTGTACCTTTACGAGCCTTCCATTCGGAGACTGCAAGATGAGCGCAGACAGCGTTTCGACGAGCTACTATAGCGATTCTTGGGCCTGTATTGTTTCATCATGTCTTTACAGTGCCTCACACAGACATGCGTTGCCCTAACGGACCATCGCACCTTCCACACTGAAAGGTAGCTCCGACTGATGTTGCCGAAACATATCGCTGCAATATCAACTCGCTTGCCCAGACGTCTACTGGCTAGCATCTTCCCATACGTCTCACAGCTGTCCCTGTTGTGGCCCTCCCAACCACTTTGTGGACGCGATTCCTCCTAGAAATTCCATCGCGTCAACAATGGTAAGAAGCTCATCGGTCCGCCTCTTGGCTCACTTCATAATGCGAGACTGGATAAACTTGTCCACCTGCGTGCCGGCACTTGCCAAGCCTTCATTGCCTTTCTTGCCAAGCCTTCATCACCTTACTTGCCTGCACCAACCTTAACCTTATTGCTGACACAAGCCTCGTCCGTTGTCATCTGGCCACTGTGCATCAAGCGTAACTATGGCTTCGCTGCGCATTACGAGTTGGAGTATCGTCGCGACCTTCCCTGCGCGTGCAGCAGACAAGGCGGCTATGCGGTATCGCTAAGCATCGCAAAAATAGGACGATTCGTTGCTGTTCCTTAATTGACACCCACCTTGGTCCACGAGTCTCACACGAAGATTGCGAGAATACAGTATACAATTTTTCCACTTTCCCCACGGTCAGTGGGCTTGCTGCAGCTTGAGAAAAGCCTTGTAGGTCGCCGACATCCTGGCTGTACGGCGGCTGCCATTCAGAACAAGAACGAAGGAGGAGACTGCCACACTCAGTGGACGAAGTCGTATCACTGTGCTAGTCACTTCATTCATGTCGATATGATTCAATGACCCTGCATTAATGGCGATCTGCCTACCCAATCGCAGGGACTGCAACATCGTGCGCTGCCGAGTGGGGACTTTCTTTGGCCTGTGTTCACAACGGACAGGAGATGTGGTAGCACAAAAGCCCTTCGGGATCGGGTTGCTTGACCTCTGACCTTGTTCCTGCCATATCATGCACCCTTCGGGAAGGTGTGCGGGAAAACAACGTCAGAACAAGGGCGCAAGATCGTGTCAAGGAACAAGATCACAGTAACATGGGCGAGCTGCGAACATGCACGAGCAGTCCGAGGGCAAAAAGGGGTTTCCACCTCATCCGTCCCTTTTCTCTCCTCGACACTTCCTTCCGAACAGCTTGTCATTGTTGCTGTAGCATTTCATTTCGTCGAGCATCGAAATGCACACGAGGTGCAGCAAGTGTCATCGTAGAATGGATGGGGCAAATGAAGCCGGCTTTCGCGGTCAAGAAAGAAGCGATCTGCGACAAGCGACCTCCGGCGTAGCTTCAGTGCTGAGTCTGCAAGATGCTCCCGAAAGGTGATGCATCGTGATGCACGCATGCGAGAAGCTCATCCACATCTGTGCTCGTGCGAGCTGCAAGGGCACATGGGCACAATGTCGGAAATGAGTTGTACGAGCAATCCATGTGGCCAGGACATCCAGAAATGCCGCTTCGACGTGCCAAAAAGCCGGCCAAAGGGGCGAGCTCAGGATTCTGCGATTCTGAGTCGTCTTGGAGAAGTGGGAGTCTTGATCTCCCCTTGACCTGCATTGTTCCAGCTGCACCTGAGTGGGAAGGCCAGCGATACTGGAGGAGGATCGTCGCGGCGTCTTGAAATCGGTCATGCATTGGTGGACGGGTCTATTTATAAAGACTCAGTCAAGTGATGCTCTAGATGATGCGGACTCTGGCCAATAAGACGTGACACCGCACAAAAGGCTCTCTCTCTCTCTCTCTCTCTCTCTCTCTCAGCGTCAAGCGATACCCGCATTGACAGCCTATCCGTTACATTCATCTGGTTCACCGTTCGGCTCGGATCACTTGCGGAAGCCGCCGCTTTCACTTGCCCAACTTCCTCCTCTTCATTGTCGACCAAATCAGACTGTCTCTCGGAAACGTTTATGCTTCCTCACGATGTTCCCGGTGCTGATGAGGGCCAGCAAGCTTGTCAAGGTAACAGCCATCATGCAAACGTCTCCTCAACTCAAGAGGGCTTTTCGCCAGCGATCTCGCCCAGAGCTCATTCGTTTGACGAGATCGTTCCGCATCGACATTACCCGCCCTTGCCATCGTCAACCGTCGACTTGCAACGTCGAAGTCATTCCTCGCCAACTTGGTCATCAGCTCGTGTCGCTTCACCATCATCGAACAAGCCTCAGGTCATATTGGATATGAGCCTGATTCAGGCGAGGGCCGAGATGCTCGAAATGCAGACAAGGCGCGACCTGGATGAGGCCCATAGGACGACAGAGCGCCACTTTGAGGAGATGCTTGATAGCAAGGGCTTTCGCGTGACGCATGCGTGCGAGCATTGTCGACAACGCAAGGCAAAGGTAAGTCTTGAGAAGCCCCACACCAAATTGGAGACAGTGCAGATCGTGCTGACAGGAACCATCGCACCTTGATCTGTGGAACGCGCAGTGCTCGGGACAGCAACCTTGCCAGCGATGCGCCCAACAAGGCATTCTGTGCGTCTACTCCAGACACGAACGGAGGGGAAAGCTCGTTGAGCCGATGCGCAACTTCATCGATGTACCATCCCAATCTTCAAGACATACGCTGATGAGCCCAATGATAGCTGTACCATCGTTTGCAGCAGGTATGCTGGGAGGTGGACCGATGCGAATGGAAAGGAGTCGCGAGGTAAGGTATTCCAACATGTCTGTGCCATACGGACTGCGACGAAACACTGCGCCGTCCGTACCATTGCAACACGTGCCGATGACAAGGGATGGTGCTACGTCATCAACACCTCTACCACTACCGCCACTGCCCCCACAGCAGCAGCATCAGCATCAGCATCAGCAGTCCGCCGAGACAAGCTCGTGGCCCTTGCTCCCTCCGACCACACGTGAGCTCAGGGGGTCGAACCAGTACATTCCCGGGCAGCAAAGCATGCCGCCGCAGTTGCCTAGACCCACACCGCTGCGATACAGTAGCACTGCTGCCGTTCAAGGACGTTCAGAAGCTCAAGCCCTTGATGTGTCGCGAGAACAGCAGCCAAACGTCGCTGCGCGTCCTTGGACCTCGGCAACAGTCTTGTATTCGAGTGACGGCCACCTGATAACTCACAGCACGCATTCCCCACCACAAGCTCAGCTTCCATCACGCTTCGACTTGGTAACACTCAGATCGCCAATGCAGCTTCCAAGCGGCTTTCCACGACCGACAGTTCCACCGTCATCGTCTCCACATCCTAGCGGTTCAACTGAAGGCATGGTCGCTCCCGAGAACTCATCCCTGCTGCTTACTGCTCCTCCTTCTCCGGTTTACGCATCAGCTTATCAACACACGAATCTTAAACATCCAGCACAAGGCTCGTCGCTTCATCCAGCACCGATCGATACCGCCAGCAATCCGCATGGAGAATGGTCGACAGACACAGGACTATCTCAAGAAGTTCGGAGAGGAAGCTTGTCGACCGAAGGAGAACGATCTCACGGTAGCGACCTGGTGAAAACACGCACTAGAATCGCACCTTTCATGGATCCAGGGCTAGAGCCGTCTGTTACACGGAAAGATGACAGCTACCCCGCTGATCAATCGCCCAAGTCGCACAACGCACAGAACCTGAATGAAGATGCGAACGAGTCTTAGATTTCATCCCCCATCCCTTTCCGTGTCACTTGTCACTTGTTGCAGTTCCATCTACAAATATTTCACCGTCCTAAATCCAGTGTCGCAATCGTCTGAAACAGACGCTTCGCATGCTTGCGTTTGTTGCTTGCTTTGAAGTCGTCTCAACGACACACATATGTGTCAAGCGAGGCTTCTCGGTGTTGGAAGAGTGACAGACTTGGATGGTAGGATGTACAGACAGCGGAAGGATATGATACTAATGAAGACCGAAACAACTAAGTCTTGCGCTTTATGTATCTACCCTGCGAAGCATGACGGGGAAACTATCTTTTCCTCCTCGGGCATCTAATAGCCGGTATGCCGGCGCTTATCAGATAATCGGCCTGACGCGAGCCGATATACTCACAGCCCTGTAACATTGGGGAGTGTATCGGGTGGGGTTTCACAGTATATATATATATATTTAGTTCCCGCTTTTAGTTTACAAAGGGGTCTTTAGCTCAGCAGTAGAGCGGCAGACTTCGGATTCTTCGAAGATTCTTCAGGGTATTCTGCAGGTCGCGGGTTCAATCCCCGTAGGACTCTTTTTTTTATTTTAGTGAAACCCAGGTCGGTCTGTCGAGATACTCGGTGACTATCAAACTGTGTGACAGCTATTGTCTCAGTATCGGTCTCGATGAGCTAGTCATTCAGTGACTATCAAGTTGCGCAATGACAGTGGGTGGTGTTTGTTGTATATACTATCATAGGTTTTGGCTGACCTCTGTGGACACTCCATTCAGGGGTAGCTCAGCATGATCAATATCAATGTGTAGGTTATGATGACACCAAGGTCTGGTGTGAGTGTTGATGATGATGAGGTTGATGGTGTTGGTGATAAGGTTGGTGGTGTCAACACAAGTGTCCAGTGTGTTGACTGAGGCTTGAGGTGATCCCCAGACTGCAGTGGACTACTGCCTTTGGTTCTAACTATATCCAGACTGCTGACCTGCTATGGGTCACCTTCAGATGTCAGGTAGTGGTGATACAACACACACACTACAATGAAGAGCAACCTTGATGGATTGCTGCTATGCTGACTGAAACTAATATATACTTATGCTGAAGTGATAACTAGTTATGATGTGTGTAGAGTGGATGAGGATCCACTTGACCTTTGATGATGAGAAAGCATGGTTATATACCTCTTCACAGCATTGCCAGCGATGCTGCTCCTGCTCTCTCTCCAGAGAGTACCTTCTTCATCGAGTACTGTTCAGGGGGCCTCTCCTGCTTGCTGTCATGGGCCTGGATGCTCAAGAAGCAGGAGGGTCACGGGTTCAACAGGTATTGAAGATCTAGTCGAGATCAGTAGAGAGCATGGTCGTAGTGCAGTCTCCATGGAGACCATGGACTCCTACGGACCCACATGCAAAGGAGGGCCAAGCACAGCCATGAGGAGGACCAAGCTCAAGGAGCAGGCACAGCCACGAAGAGGACCAAGCTCAAGGAGCATGCAGATGGTTACCACTCAGGGGCTCGAGAGACAAGAGCCGAAGGAACTGTCACTGATCAAAGGAGAAGGAGCAGTGTCGAAGGAGTCGACACCAGGTCATGAGGAGGAGGAGCAGTGTCGAAGGAGTTGACACCAGGTCATGAGGAGGAGGAGCAGTGTCGAAGGAGTCGACACAGCTCAAGAGGCACAGGGGTGCCAAGCAGGAGAGGCCCCTGAGCAGTACTTGATGAAGAAGGTACTCTCTGGAGAGAGAGCAGGAGCAGCATCGCTGGCGATGCTGAGAAGAGGTATATAACCATGCTTTCTCATCACCATAGGTCGAGTGGATCCTCATCCACTCTACTCACCATATAACTAGTTATCACTTCAGCATAAGTATACATTAGTTTCAGTCAGCATAGCAGCAATCTATCAAGGTTGCTCCTCATCGTAGTGTGTGTGTTGTATCACCACTACCTGACATCCGAAGGCACCCATAGCAGGTTAGCAGTCCGGATCAAGATAGAACCGAAGGCAGTAGTCCACTGCGGTCCAGGGATCACTTCAAGCATCAAGTCAACACACTGGACACTCGTGTTGACGCCACCAACCTTATCACCAACACCATCAACCTCATTATCATCAACATCACCAATCTCATCACCAACACCATCAACCTCATCATCATCAACACTCACACCAGACCTTGGTGTCATCATAACATTGATATTGATCGTGCCGAGCTACCCCTGAACAGAGTGTCCACAGAGGTCAGCCGAAACCTACGATAGTATATACAACGAACACCACCTGCTGTCACTGCACAACTTGATAGTCACCGATACCGAGACAATAGCTGTCGCACAGTTTGATAGTCACCGAGTATCTCGACAGACCAACCTGGGTTTCAGGCGCGAGACCCCTGACACTTGCTTGGCACCCCTTTGCCTCTTGAGCTGTGTCGACTCCTTCGACACTGCTCCTCCTCCTTGCTATCCTGCTTGTTTGGCACCCTTGTGCCTCCTGAGTGGTGTCGACTCCTTTGACACTGCTCCTCCTCCTCAGGACCTGGTGTCAACTCCTTCAACACTGCTCCTCCTCCTCAGGACCTGCTTGCTGGTTCCCTATACACTGCTCCTTCTCCTTTGACCAGTGATGGTTCCTTTGACTCTTGTCTCTCAAGCCCCCTGAGTGGTAACCATCTGCATGCTCCTTGAGCTTGATCCTCTTCGTGGCTGTGCCTGGCCCTCCTCGCATATGGGCTTGGTCCTCCTTTGCATGTGAGTCCATAGGAGTCCATGGTCTCCATGGAGACTGCACTATGACCATGCTCTCTAATGGTATTGACTAGATCTTCGATACCTGTGCTCCTTCCATATGAACCAGTGACCCTCCTGCTTCTTGAGCATTCAGGCCCATGACAAATACATAGGTTATGATGACACCAAGGTCTGGTGTGAGTGTTGATGATGATGAGGTTGATGGTGTTGGTGATAAGGTTGGTGGCGTCAACACGAGTGTCCAGTGTGTTGACTGAGGCTTGAGGTGATCCCCAGACTGCAGTGGACTACTGCCTTTGGTTCTAACTATATCCAGACTGCTGACCTGCTATGGGTCACCTTCGGATGTCAGGTAGTGGTGATACAACACATGCACTACAATGAGGAGCAACCTTGATAGATTGCTGCTATGCTGACTGAAACTAATATATACTTATGCTGAAGTGATAACTAGTTATGATCGGTGTAGAGTGGATGAGGATCCACTCGACCTTTGATGATGAGAAAGTATGGTTATATACTGTCAGGGGTCTCGCGCCTGAAACCCAGGTCGGTCTGTCGAGATACTCGGTGACTATCAAACTGTGTGACAGCTATTGTCTCAGTATCTGTCTCGATGAGCTAGTCATTCAGTGACTATCAAGTTGCACAATGACAGCGGGTGGCATTTGTTGTATTTACTATCGTAGGTTTTGGCTGACCTCTGTGGACACTCTGTTCAGGGGTAGCTCAGCACAATCAATATCAATGCATAGGTTATGATGACACCAAGGTCTGGTGTGAGTGTTGATGATGATGAGGTTGATGGTGTTGGTGATAAGGTTGGTGGTGTCAACACAAGTGTCCAGTGTGTTGACTGAGGCTTGAGGTGATCCCCAGACTGCAGTGGACTACTGCCTTTGGTTCTATCTATATCCGGACTGCTAACCTGCTATGGGGCACTTTCAGATGTCAGGTAGTGGTGATACAACACACACACTATGATGAGGAGCAACCTTGATAGATTGCTGCTATGCTGACTGAAAACTAATGAGTACTTATGTTTCTAAAGTATTGACTAGTTGTATGGTGAGTAGAGTGGATGAGGATCCACTCGACCTTTGATGATGAGAAAGCATGGTTATATACCTCTTCACAGCATTGCCAGCGATGCTGCTCCTGCTCTCTCTCCAGAGAGTACCTTCTTCATCAAGTACTGTTCAGGGGGCCTCTCCTGCTTGCTTGGCCCCCTGTGCCTCTTGAGCTGTTTCGACTCCTTCGACACTGCTCCTCCTCCTTGCTATCCTGCTTGTTTGGCACCCTTGTGCCTCCTGTCGACTCCTTCGACACTGCTCCTCCTCCTCAGGACCTGCTTGCCAGTTCCCTATACACTGCTCCTTCTCCTTTGACCAGTGACGGTTCCTTTGACTCTTGTCTCTCAAGCCCCCTGAGTGGTAACCATCTGCATGCTCCTTGAGCTTGGTCCTCTTTGTGGCTGTGCCTGCTCCTCCTCACATATGGCTCCATGCTCCTTTGCATGTGAGTCTGTAGGAGTCCATGGTCTCCATGGAAACTGCACTATGACCATGCTTTCTACTGGTATTGACTAGATCTCCGATACCTGTGCTCCTTCCATATGAACCAGTGACCCTCCTGCTTCTCGAGCATCCAGGCCCATGACACCTCTCTCGAACTGATTCCTGTGAGGTCTGTCATACTTAGCATGGTATTACGATTCCCACTGAGCTCTGTAGTAACAACTTCATTCCTACTGATCTGGATGAGTTATGCCATAGAATCATTTCTACTACAGATCTCAGTGGACTCTGCCTTAAGCTCTCGCTTAGCCTGATTCCATGATTTCTGCACTCCTCTTCATATGACTTCAACCCTTCTTGCCTCTTGTGCATCCGGTCCCATGACACGCCTTTGGTGTTGATCGTTATCCGGACCGCTTATAATGAACCGCCTTCGGGCTGTCAATGAGCAGTGATATGACACACATGCTATGTTAGGAGCCATGTCTTATGATTGCTACTGCTTGACGAGATACTAATGTATACTTTATGTGAAAGCTATAACTAGTACTGTATGGTGTAGAGTGGATAGGGATCCACTTGACCACTTATGACAAGAAGGTATGGTTATATACATCTTTGCAGTGTTGCCTGCGACTCTGCTCTGGCTCTCTCTCCAGAGAGTACCCTCTTTGTTGAGCACTGTGGTAGGGGTCTCTACCAAGGCAACTCCTCCTTGTCAGGGCTCACTTGTCCTGTGACTTCACTCTTTGGCACTGTTTCCCATCTGTCCAGTGGATGGAAAAGGTCCTTGTATTGCTTCATCATTGATAGAGGCCTTTCCCACTTCATCTGAGTGGTGACTCACACCCCCTTCCTCTCATCTACCTCCTGACTCCAGTGCCCATCTTCTTACACCAGTTTCATCATCATGTAAGGCCCCTACTTCATCCAATGGTGTCCTCTCCTTGTTCAGTAACCTCTTCTTGCCATATCAGTGATAGAGGTGCCTTCTCAAACCAATCCTCATAATATCTGTTGTACTTAGCATGGTATTACCTTTCCCACTGCACTCTGTAATAATGACCTCATTCCTGCTGATCCTGACAAGTTATGCCATAGAGTCATTTCTACTACCAATCTCAGTGAACTCTGCCTTAAGCTCTCACTTAGCCCAATCCTGCAATTTCTGTGCTCCTCTTCATATGACTTCAATCTTCTTGCTTCCTGCGCCTCCGGTCCCATGACACCCGACACTGCCCATCCTCCTCATGGTACCAGTGTCAGTCCCCTCTGCCCTGCTCCCTCTCCTCTCAACCCATGGCCATTCCCTTGGCCCCTATCTGATGGCCCTCCCTGACCATGTGACCATCCTTATTGTCCACTCCTGTCCATGCTACCTTGTGACTGGTCCTGTGCAATCAATAGCACATCCCCCTGTGTGGTAACTGGCTGCTTTCACTTGAGCTTGGTCCTCTTCTTGGCTGAACTTGGGCCCCCTCTTTGCATGTGAAACCTTTCTTGTCATCCTAACCTTGCCCCTTGATGATGGAGACCTTCCCTACCAAGTTTCCCATTGTTTCCCTGTAGCCCCTCTGCTTGTTCCATCCCGAGGGGAGCTTCTTGCAGTGCATTTTGGTGAAATCAACTAGGTAGTCGTAATCTGGTTGATTTCAGCAGAATCAACCAGACAGATGTGATGTGGTTGTTGTTGGTGAAGTCAACTGGAAACCTGTGATCTGGTTGATTTCACAATTTCGAGTGCACAAAGCTCCTCATATCTCATTTCGGATCTTCCTGCGCAGCTTCTATGACATTTGGCGGCCCACATGCTGTCATGACTACGATCTAATGCCATCAAGGTAGGATTGCAAAATGAACATCGACCACAGCTGACCCTGATAAACTTTATGTCAGATCACGCAGCCCTGGTTGCCAAAACAATCACCAATGCATACTATAAGCAACCTCAACCTAAAAGGCCTGTCTTCTCAAGGAAATGGATCATCGGCAGAACATTCCTTCAAGTGGTTAACAACATAATCCGTTTCCACCTCATGTCCAATCCCACTCCCAATACGAGCATAAACCCGACCTCCGAACTAATCTCGAGAACGACATAATCTAACTCTCAGGGCCATGATCTCAATACATCCTCTGAATCTCCTCCTTTCGCTCTCCTCCCCTCTCTATCTCCTGACCATTGGTCTACTCATCAGAGGTCATGATCTGTTGCTCTGGCCTACGACTCTCTCACCCAAACACCGGGAAGTCACCTCTCTACGGGGACCCACTGTTGATGGCTTGTGCACTCTCTGGGAGTTCACCCTTAGCCAAGGAGACACCCCCTTTCTCTTCAATTTTGTATGTACTTTTTCATTCCTTTTCTTCTCGATGCAATTGAACTTAGGCCGTACGGCCTAATATATATATATATAATCCTCCTCTCTTTTTTTGCATTGATTACCTCGTCCTATCTTTGGGCATCCTCGCGCCTGATCAGGAAGACTTGTCTCAGGATCAATGGCCAGCATTGGGACGAGCTCACAAAAGAGGCCTGGGTACCTTTCATCACACGAAAACAGCGTTCAACGCAGCATTGACATGAGAGAGAATGCAGTTGAGAAGGTCACAATTCCAGGCTATTGGTATCTTTCCGCTGATGCAAGCTTAGACACGAGCGCTACACTGACTCTTGAGCCACTTCAACGCACGTTCATCCCCTACCTTTTCGATCAAGGGCCCAACCTTCTGCAGCACCTCATCATGATAGCTGTTCAACCATTCCTTATCCTCCTTTGTCAACAGACTCGCATCTACCAGCGACACCTGGATCGGGCACATGGTCAAATGTTCGAAAGTCAAATAGCCCTTGTTGCCAAAGTTGTTAGGCGTCTTTGCAGGACGAAGGATGACCAAGTTCTCGATTCGAATACCCCATTTCCCATCCTGGTAGTAACCAGGTTCGTTCGAAACGACCATGTTCTCCTTGAGACTAGTCTCGTTGAATACAGCCCTGGTTCCAATTCCCTGGGGACCTTCGTGAACGTTGAGGAAATGACCAACACCGTGACCGGTTCCGTGACGGTAGTCGAGACCGTCCTCCCACAACGCACGACGAGCTAGAACATCGAGCAAGTACCCTGTGGTACCTTTGGGGAAAACGGCACGATCGATAGCGATGTGACCTTGAAGAACCCGTGTAAAAGCACGGATGTGTTCGGGTGCAGGTGTTCCGAAATGCCACGTTCGGGTGACGTCGGTGGTTCCATCCGTGAATTGGGCTCCCGAGTCACAGAGATAGATCTCGTCAACATCGATAGCAGGGCAACTGGCGGGATCGGGACTATAGTGAATGATAGCACCATTAGGACCAGTCGAAGAGATGGTAGTGAAACTCTCCCCCCTGAAGTGTTCGAGCGATTGACGGTAAGAACTGAGCTTATCAGCACCTTCTGACTCCGTAACCTTCTTCCCGGCATGCAATTGCTCCTCCAACCAAGCAAAGTACTGGCACAACGCAACACCATCCCTGATATGACTCTGTCTGAACCCTTGCAATTCAACCTCATTCTTGATGGATTTCTGATCACCTACAATCGACCTTACAATCTCCACCTTACCCGCCCCACCCAAAGCTTCCTGCACCGCCAAAGAAGCACTCTTACCAATCAAAATCTTACCTCCTTCACCCAACTCCCCACCGATCTTGTGCAGGTCATTGTAGAACTCCGAGTAAGGTCTCAGCGTAACGTCAGCCCCCAAAGCTGCTTTAACATCCTCCGTCAGCTGATGCTCATTGACGTACAACAGCACCTTGTCCAACAGTACCAAGGCAAACGAGAAAAAGACGGGATTGTAAGGAACATCCGTTCCACGCAGGTTGAACAACCAAGCGACTTCGTCCAACATATTAGCCACAAAGCCCTGGGCGTTTTTCTTGTTGATCTCATCGCGCAACTCTCGGATCTTGTCCGAGGAGGAACGACCGGCAATTTCATCCTTGAGCACGAAAATAGGCTGAGCGGGTCTCGAGGGTCGTTGGTCAGCCCAAACCTGATCCACAAGGTTCTCCTTGATGGGCACGAGACTAGAACCGATCTTTTTCAGCTCTGCAGTAATATCCTTAGCATCGTTGGCAGAGATGAGCGAAGCGTCCATGCCGATCTTCGACTTAGCAGGTAAATTCTTAGACAGATACTCTTGCCAAGTAGGCACATTGGGTTCTCCTTGCTTCATCAGAGTCCAAACAGAAGGTTCGAGTTGTTGGCCAGCTTGAAGGAAGTACCTTCCGTCGGTAAAGAGGAGAGCTTTGTTGGTGGTAACGACAGCGGAACCAGCGGAACCGGTGAAACCGGTAATATAACCTCTACGAAGGTCAGATTCAGCAGGATACTCGGAAGCGTGTTCATCACCAGATGGGATGACGTAAGCTTCAACGCCGTGTCTGGCCATGAGCTCACGAAGAGCTTGGACGCGTTGGGTTGTGTCAACCCTTCCTGTTGCAATAGCGCCCATGTTGGTGGAAGTGGAGGCGGCACGGGATTTGTGAAGATGTTGAAGACCGAAGGATCGCTGTTGAGGTCCAGAAAAACCAAGTGCCACTGAGTTTCGGGAAGCTTGAAGCAAAGTTCCTCTTGAGGAGATGCTGGAGGAGAAGGAAGTGGGCGACACTTTGAAAGCGACGCCAGGGGCAGATGTGTGGAGGGGAGTCACTCGAAGTGTTTGTCGAGATGAAAGTGAAGAAGTGAAAGGTTTGGAAGTGATAGCAAGCAACCTAGTGGATCCAGCTATCATCTACTTAGGAGTGAAAGGGAACAGGAATGAGTGAAAATGCAGTCTCTGTGCAAGTGATGCATGGAAGGATGATGAAGGGTGGAAGGAGCTGCGGAAAGCGTCGTTCCACGATCCGATCAAAATCAGCGCATTTGGTCGGTGCATTTTTCGGGACACGGGCGCTCAGATCACCCCGTCTCTGCCACGGCTCGACTGTAAATTTGGGACTGTCCAAAAATCGAACTTGCGCTTGTCGGCACGTGACTTCCGATATTCGTGCATTCTCATCATTGCATCAAGCCGGAGAAGCGTCTCTTTCGCTGAGTTCCAGCACATCGTTCGCACAACATCGTTCGCACACACACGCTTGACAAGTAGATTGTATGTGACCTTGTTGAGAAGGTCGGGGGAATAAGATGCATTGCTAACACGACAAAGTGGAAATGTATTTTGTATGCGGGGAACCAACGAATACGGGAAGCAGAATTGTGTAGGGATGGTGGTCCTTTGCTGGACTGCGCACACCAACCTCTTCATCAAAAGAGAAGCGTGCGAGTCAAGAAGCTTTTGGGAGGGTAGGAGAAAGCTTAGGGCCTAAAATGAAGAAATGTAAGATATATGTGCGAGTGTGTGTGTGGATGTATTAGCCCGTTGAGTACTGTTACAGTGAGTCTTGGTGACTCTTGCAGAGAGAGAGAGAGAGAGAGATAGAAGATTTGCATGGAAAGAAAACCTCGGAAGCTGAACAGAAGTGTGGCAAAAGAAGAAGAAAAAGACGATCAAAGGCAAGGTACCAACATCCCTAAGCCTCCCTTTTCGTAGCGACAAAAATGGGAGATGCTGCGACGCAAAGCGAAACGCTTAGTATCGGTAGGTGTCGCGCTTGAAAGGACCCTCGACGGGAAGGTCGAGGTAGTCGGCCTGGACCTTGGTAAGCTTGGTGAGCTTGGCGTTGAGACGGCCAAGGTGGGCAACAGCGACCTCCTCGTCGAGCTCCTTGGGCAGCATGTAGACCTCACCACGCTTGTACTGACCAAGCTTGTCGTTCCAGAGAGCGATCTGGGCAAGGGTCTGGTTGCAGAACGAAGCCGACATGATGAAAGAAGGGTGACCAGTGGCACAGCCAAGGTTGACCAGACGACCCTCGGCAAGGAGGAGGATGCGCTTGCCGTTCTTCAGGGTGTATCGGTCGACCTGAGGCTTGATGTTGCTAACGCTCTGAGCGTTGGCCTTGAGCCAAGCGACGTCGATCTCAATGTCGAAGTGACCAATGTTGCAAACGATGGCGTCGTCCTTCATAGCCTCAAAGTGCTTGCCGGTGATGATGTCACGGCAACCGGTGGTGGTGACAAAGATGTCGGCCTGCGGGGCAACGTCGTCCATAAGATCGACCTGGTAACCGGCCATGGAAGCCTGGAGAGCGTTGATGGGGTCGATCTCGGTAACGATGACACGGCAACCGTAGCCACGGAGCGACTCGGCGCAACCCTTTCCGACATCACCGAAACCGGCAACAATGGCGACCTTACCGCCAAGCATGACATCGGTGGCACGCTTGATACCGTCGACAAGCGACTCACGGCATCCGTAGTAGTTGTCGAACTTGGACTTGGTAACCGAGTCGTTGACGTTGATGGCGGCAAGCTTGAGGGTACCCTTCTTCATGGCAGAGTAAAGGATGTGAACACCGGTGGTGGTCTCCTCGGAAACACCCTTGATCTGGTCAAGAAGCTGGGGGAACCTGTTGTGAACCAACCAGGTCAAGTCTCCACCGTCGTCGAGGATCATGTTGGGGCCCTCGGGGTGAGCGGTGAGGGTCTGCTCGAGACACCAGTCGTACTCCTCCTCGGTCTCACCCTTCCAGGCGAAGACGGGGACGCCGGTAGCAGCGATGGCGGCAGCGGCGTGGTCCTGGGTGGAGAAGATGTTGCAGGAAGCCCAGGTGACCTGAGCACCGAGAGCAACGAGGGTCTCGATAAGGACGGCAGTCTGGATGGTCATGTGGAGCGAACCAGCGATGCGGGCACCCTTGAGAGGCTGCTCGGCACTGTACTTGGTTCGGAGGGCCATGAGACCGGGCATCTCGCCCTCGGCGATCTCAATCTCCTTGCGGCCGAAAGCGGCGAGCGAGATGTCGGCGACCTGTTGTATCACAGAGGCGAAAAAAAGAAGCATGTCAGTGGACTGCCACAATGCGGAAGAGGGCGCACGGGCGAGGGTGAGCCTTCAACGTACCTTGTAGTTAGGCATTGTGAATATACGTAATGGAATGGAAGGAGGGGGAGAAGGTGTGTGTGGTGGTGAGAAGGGAAAGGTGTGTGTGTGGTTGGTCTATGATCGAGCCTTTCAGGAAGAAATCAGATGTGAGCGAAATTTGACAGGCGCCTGCGCTGGTGCCAAACAGACACGCCCAAGACCAACTGAACAAAGATGAACACGTTCGCCACATTGTGTTGAGCTGCTGTCAAGGGCAAGCTGGTTGAATCCTCCGTTTTGGCCATCCGAGAAGGTTCGCGCCAATCTGCCTGTCTCTCTCACAATGAAAGGCAAAAGGATGCTCTGTGCTTTTGACAGGAGCCTCTTCTCTCCTCTCCTGTTCTTCTCGCTCAATACCAAAAAAATTCTGCCCCTTTTTTTTTTTTCTTTTTCTTTTTTCTTTTTCTTTTTTCTTTTTCTTTTTTTCGTGCACTCACACACAAGACCCTTCGCGCTAGAGAGGGTGAGACGTCGATCATGGCTGTCGGCCGTGTCTGAAGCGGTTTTACTTGCTGTCCAATCTCTGTTGGAGATTACGATCCAGCGCGACGCTAAAGGATGACGCGGAGCCGATCCGGTTAGATGACCGATCTGATCAGAGATCGAGCCGAGCCGATCTAACCAGAGATCGGGTGCAACACAGTCCCGCTCGTTGTCGTGGTAGATCATTAAGTAGGAGTACTCCCACCATCGGCATGTGCCGCTCACATGTATATATATCTCACAGAGAGCACTAAGCTCTCGCCACATTCCTTTAGTCAATTTAGTATATGTTTCCGCCTTAAAAGAGTAGTGACATCGTACTTGGACTATCCCCGATCGCCAGTATCGGGACCCAAACGACGTCAAACTTCAACATTTTCAGGCCGTACATGCGCCCTCGTTGAAGCCTTAAAACTCTTCTGAGGTCCGTTGCAGCTCGCAGTGCGGGCCAGATGAGCGGGTCTTTGCTTGAGCTCAAATGTAGAATCAGACAAGGTGATGATTGTCAAGACTACTCACTGTATGAGGAAAGAAGGAATCTCGGTTCACAAGTTTGTAACTACTGACGGCGTTCGGCACTTGAACTTTGAAATCGCGCTTATACTCTCTCCAGCGGGAATTGTATTCCTCGCGCTTGAATATCTCGCTGTCCAAGTTCAATTCAAGAAATGAGACACACAGTTTTAGGCTGGCGACTGTGCCCCTTCTTGTTCTTCTGAGTCCAAGCGAGCCAAACAGATGCGATGCGTGTGGTGCGTGTGGTGCGTGTGGTGCGTGTTGGCCTGTCGCCCTTTCTACGCCTAGAGACTAGAATGCGTGTGGCACCAAGACACTCTCTCACACAGAGTGCTGTGCGCACGCACACACCAGCCAGAACAACGAGCTGCTTCACTTCGATTCTGAGAGTGCAAGCAACTCACCAACACCTGCATCCAACCTTCCGATCTTTGCACAATACCTGTTCGATCCTACCCTACGCTTCTGGCAGCTCGTCGACACATCCCACACCTCGGCTTTCTGAGGTGATCGACAGCCTCCCATTCTCGACCCCTCCCTTTTTACGACCCTCACGGACGCTTTGTGCTCACGTTTGAACAACGACAGCTCGTGTCAACCTCGTCATCAGCGCTCTTTCGCTTCCAATCGATCTCGCAGCGCAGCGCTGTGCTTTTGTCTGGATCTGCGCATCGCTCCTATCTCGACGTCATCATTCGCAGTACCAAACTCGAAAGCAGTTCCTTTACACATAAAGCATCATGAACGGTCACGACGTTGACACTTCAGCAAACGCTGGCGCCATTGCCGCTGGACGAAAGAAGTTGATGGGCTACGTCGGCTTTGCCAACTTGCCCAACCAGGTTCACCGCAAGAGTGTTCGCAAAGGTTTCACCTTCACCGCCATGGTTGTCGGAGAGTCGGGTCTCGGCAAGTCAACACTGATCAACACGCTTTTCAACACCACCCTCTACCCTCGCAAAGAGGTCCCACCTCCTCATCAGGAGCGACCAAAGACAGTTGCGATCGAATCGATCAGCTCTGGTAGGTATCAAACACTGCAGCATGGATCGTGCTCTCGCATGCTACCAACTCGAATACTGACATCCTTAACTTTTGCTGCAATCCTACTTGCTGCAATCACAGACATCGAGGAGAACGGTGTTCGCTTGAGACTCAACGTCGTCGACACTCCAGGTTTCGGTGATTACATCAACAACGATGAAAGGTAGGTAGTCTCGCCTCAATTCCGCTCACCACTGTAACAATCATGCTGACCTTTGCTCTTCCCGCTCGCGTACTGCCATCTACCTTGTTTGTTCTCCGCAGCTGGAAGCCCATCGTTGACAACATCGAGTCTCGTTTCGACAACTACCTCGAACAGGAGAACCGCGTCAACCGCAACAAGCTCCAAGACAACCGTGTCCACGCCTGCATCTACTTTGTTCAGCCTACCGGTCACAGGTAAGTGTCCACATGAATAGAAGCCTATCCTATCCTTGTCAGCTTCCAGCACAGATCTACTGACGCCATTGCCTTGAGGCTATCATGCCCTCATCATCACGCTCGCCTCGCTCCGCCTTGTCATGCAACACCACAGCTTGCGACCTATCGACATTGAGTTCATGCGCCGACTGCATCAGAAGGTCAACCTCATCCCCGTCATTGCCAAGTCGGACACGCTCACCGACGAAGAGATTGCAGCATTCAAGCAGCGCATCCTCAACGACATTGCACACCACCAGATCGAGATCTTCCACGCACCCATGTACGAGAATGAGGACGAAGAGACGATGCTCGAGATTCAGGAGATTCAGGGCAAGGTGCCTTTCGCCGTCGTCGGATCCAACACGGAAATCGACACACCCGATGGTCGACGCGTTCGCGGACGAGCGTACCCATGGGGTGTCATCGAGGTGGACAACGAGGAGCACTGCGACTTTGTCAAGCTGCGACAAATGCTCATTCACACGCACATGGAGGAGCTCAAGGAGCACACCAACAACGTCCTCTACGAAAAGTACCGAAGCGAGAAGCTGGCTGCTATGGGCGTCACACAGGATCAGTCGGTATTCAAGGAGGTCAACCCAGCAGCCAAGATGGCCGAGGAGCGTGCTATTCACGAGGCAAGATTGAGGAAGATGGAGAACGAGATGAAGGCTGTCTTCCAGCAGAAAGTTGCCGAAAAGGAGGCCAAGCTCAAGCAGAGCGAGGAGGAGTTGTATGCCCGTCACCGCGAGATGCGCGATGCATTGGAGAAGCAGAGGCTAGAGTTGGAAGACAAGCGTCGACGACTTGAAAGCGGCCGCCCACTTACGCCTGAAAAGGTCTCACAGGCAACCAAGAAGAAAGGCTTCTCTCTACGAAACTAAGAACCAAAAAGGTCAAACGGAGGGCCGATTGAGAGAAGAGGTGGCATGATGGTGACTACTACTACTACTGCTGCTATTGCTGCTATTGCTGCTATTGCTGCTGTTGCTCTGGCGCTCGTCATCGATCGAGCCCGAACAAATATCCATTCTTGAGCGCTGGGGGGGTGGGTTTCAAAAGGGGAGATGGTTTGACTCAAGATCGCTTCCAGGCAGGTGTCAAACACCTCATCACTCGATCCCTGCGGTTAACTTGCCTCTCATCTTTTCTCGATTCGGCTCTTCCGGCATTTTTAGCCACTCTATGCTTCGGCTCCAAGTTGTCTTCTCGTCTTGTTCTTTTCCCTGCAATACCAGCGATGATTTCTCGATTTGAAAACTTTAACCATATTTGCTTGAACAGCGAGTTGGTTTCGATCAACGCGGTCACTCATATCGGCCTTTCCGTTCCTGAAAGAAGGCGCTATGACCGAGTCTGTAGTGGCAGAAGCCGGCATCACGTCTAGCGTCACAGCCAGGATGACAGCCGACTCAGCTTTTTCGGATGGTCCGATTCCGCGAAACGGCCTATTTTGACAGCTGAAGTGCATCTGATCCGATGCAGGACGACAGTCTGCTCTTGACTAAAGCTATTCAGTCATGAGCCGCTTCGAGTGCGTTCAGACCATCAAGGAGCTGCTCATCGCTGGTTCTGCAAGAGACAGTGGTGAGGCGCGGCTTTGGATTGATAAATCGCCCTAACCCTAAGCCCGTCCTGGCCTACGTTTCTCCTCTTTCCTCTTTGCCACGCCACGCCATGCCCTCCTTCCATCCTCGCTCAGAGAGACCGAGGTAGCCTCATCACGTCGATCTCATCTTCACAATGCGCTTCTCGATGCTGGTTGCTCTCTTGTCCACTTGGACCAGCATCTTGGCTTTCCCAGGATTGAACCGGTTGAGAAGCACTGACCTTCCAGCGCAGCCACCTTCGCTCTCCAACCTCGATGCCTTGGGCCTCTCGTCAACACAGCGACAAGCACTGTTCAGCATTACAGGTAAGCACCCTCCCTGGGCCCCTTCACATCCTAGCCTCTTGCTGACATTCAAGCTCAACCGCGCCAGATTCGCCCACGACCGACTACTCCGGCCAGCAATGTTACTCTCACATCTACGACCAAGTCAAACAAGGATGTGCTCGAGAAGCCGATATGGAGCCTAGAGAACGCATGCTTGGTGAGCCTTCCACCATTACTAACCCCCCTCCTCACCCCTTCTCCTCGGAAGCAATTCAGCTGACCCTCATCGGTTCTATTTCAGCCTCGGTCTTATTAACAATATGCGATCTACGAGCATCCAACCAAAGTGTACCTCTCGAATGCAGCACCACTGTCGAAGATAGTTCCCTAGCCACATGTGTCGAGTAAGTTCCCCACCACACACTGCCCAAGTTTGTGTCGATGTGCCTAGTCCTCACTCATCACACACCCTCTTGCTTTGTCTTAGAGCTTTGTCGAGGAGCACAAGACACTGGTCTAGCTATGCCGGTTACCTCAGAGAGATCCCGCAAATATGCTCTAGTTTGCAGCGATGGAGAGATACCGGTAAGTGAACTCTCCAACACACCGATGTCGATGGGTGGTATGAAATTGACTTGACTTGGTGGTTTGGGATAATACTGTAGATAGAGCCAGAGAGCTGTATCAAGCAGCAACAAGGGAGAAGGTCAAGTTGATCAAGATGTGGAGGGAGAAGTTGGAGGATGTGGGGATGGCGAATGAGGCTGAGAGAGGGGAGAGGGGGCGATGGTTGGGCGAGATGAGTGGGTTAGCGGTTCGGTTGAGGGAAGATTTGCAGGTAAGTGGCGCTGACACGATTGGGAGGGTGGTGTTGTGGTGCGATGAGAAACTGATTCTAGAATTGTACCTTTGTGTTTCCAGAGCCTACTCGACCAGCTTAGGGGATCGTTGGAGAAATATGGGGAGCAAGAGAAGGGCTTGGTGGAATCGATGCAGAATCTTGAGGTAAGAAAGCCGATGAAGGCCTTGAAAAATTAAACGTTTCAAATGCTGACTGTCATGAACGCACCCTTTTGTATTTGGACAGCCTCACCTCAGGGAGACCACTCTATCGCTGATGGGAGAATTAGCAGATGCTTCCCGATTGCATTCGGAGGAGATGTCGCTACAGGTAAGCTCACGATTGAACCTACAGTAGATCCTCAGTAACACGACCCTGAGCTGCATCTGTTTCCCGGCTACTGCACAGCTTCAGCAAGTCTCAACTCGACACGGCGACCTCTTGGGACAAGCCATGAATCAACACCTCAGCAAAGCCACAGAGGCGATCGAAAACGGCTTGGTAGCTCCAATGCAAGCCGCACAAGGTCTTGTTGCTCACCTCGACGCTCATACAGATGCTCTCCAGCTCGCGCTGCATGATCAGCACGATCTGGTCGGCACGCTGGCATCGGCTTCTGAAGCAATGGTTGACCGACAACAGCTGCACGAGCAGCAGCTTGTCAACGAGCTCAACGCCTTGAGACAGGTTCAGGAGGGGCTAAGCAGCATTGGAAACGAGATGAACGACACACACGCTCAGCTTGGGTTGCTGTTGCGATCACATCATTTTGCTCCGTCGTTCTTGTACAACACTGTCTTCGTTGTTGAACGAGTGGTGTTTTGGGCTTTGGGCGAGGTTGGACATAGGTCTGGGCTAGATGATCTCAATTGTAAGTGTCGGTGGGACAGTGGAACATGTGGAGGGGTCAAACGCTGATTTTGTTCCTCTTACTGTCTATTAGTGTCGGCGTGGCGATGTTTCCGCTGGCTTGTATTGTTCTGGCCTCTCTCGCTCAAATTGAGAGCCGTGGCAATGGCTACCGTGTCCATCGTGAAAAGCTTGCTGGCGGGAATGGTGCTGCTGTTTATGCTTCTCAGAGGGTGTTTACGACCTCTCTACATGCTCCTGGTAAGTCATCTCGCCCGACTCTCGACTGTGTACCTGTTCGTCAGCTGACATCTTGGCACCTTTTTCCGCTTTTCAGTCACAGCTTGGACTTGGAACAAAACAGCCCCTCACACGAAAAGAAGGAGTCGAAGATGGAGCGGAAGTCCGAATGGACCTCGAAGGTCAACTTTCATCCTCTTGGTATGTTGTTTCCCCTCGATCGATTGCTTCTCGTAGCATTCAACCTTTTGAGCATCGCCATCAACACGATTCGTCACGAAGGTCGCGAGTTCACTGTCCATCCGCTGTCTAATGCAATGCATAGGTTTGCTAATTGCGAAAGGATACTATTACAGTGTGACTATGTTGAGCTAATTCGATGGTATGCAGGTGAAGCAGCCTCGTATTCCCTCACGAACAAGCGATGCTTCTCTTTTGCGATATACGTCAAAAACTCGCCAAGATGTTCTTTTAACAATCCTATACTTTCCCCATCCATACTTGTGTGAAGGATGATCATAGGCAAGTTGACGAAGAGCCTTAAGAGATGTTCTGCACCATATACGTCGCTTGGTTCCATATCTCCCCCCATACTTGCCGTCCCGCTTCGGGCGTTGGATCGGATATCGCCATCTCCCATCTTAGGACCGTTTTTCTTGCGGTATTCGACATATTGGGCTCGTTCGAATCGGTATAGTAAGTTTTGGCCAAGCGAACGATCAAAGTATAGTTTCAACCCCTTCAGCACCTCGTCCACTACCGCGGGGGATCTAGTTTTGGAAGAGGAAGGAGTTTTTAGGGATAGGTAATGCTTGCGGTAATCTTGGAGTATATCCCTGACGCAGGGTCTGCGGGGAAGCGGTACGAGAAGACCATTCTTGGTGATGTTTTCCCAATCATCAACGAGTTGCAACTTTAGTTGGTCTGGCAAAGAAATTTTCACTTCTGGTCGCTTTAGGAAGTCTTCTTCTGTTTCTACAGTGTCCCTGCTCCTTTTAGTTGCTCTTGCACCAGCAGAAGATTTTCGTTCGTTTGCGTCAGATTCCCTTGGCCTCTTTGCTCCACTGCTCGAACTTTCTTTAGCAGCAGAAGAGGAAGAGGAGGAGATTAGGGAACCAGATTTCGCAGCTTCCTCAAGCGTTGATTTGCGAGCAAGATTCTCATCGTTGTTTTTGAGAAGGCGAATTTCAGGAACCCATTCGTCCCAAGTTTTCTTCCACCCGTCGTAGTGGACGAAGTAATGCGGACCAATTGCACCAGTGCGGTTATCCTCTCCGGTCCATTTTTCAGCTTTGAGGATTTTGGCGGAATAGATTAGGGGCCCATGGAAACATAGCACTTTTTCGTTTTCGGTGTAGAGCATTGCGTGTCTCTCGAGGTTGGGCGTGGGAGATAGTGAAGACCGCTGCGCAAGTTTTGACGGGGTCGAGAAATGTGATGGAAGTGTACAGTGCGGAGATAGGGAGGAGAGTGATGGGATAAGGTGTTAGTGTTGTGCGTCGCGACAAGCTTCGGTTCTCGACGCTTGGCACCGTGGAGGTTGTTCAATTTTTCGTGCGACAATTACCGATTCTGATTGAATAGCTGTTAGATCGTGAATTTAACAAATGTTGGGAAAAGGTGTCCAACATTTTCTAAGGCGTTTGAGTGTGAAAACGCTGATAAAAAACGAAAGACAGGAACACAAGAGGCGCCACCTCAGTGAAATCACATGACCGCGTGTTCATGCTCTAACACAACCGAAAACTTCACTCGGCGTCGCCACCCGTCAACTCCCACCAACGCTCAACATCACCCACCAACGCCCCTATCTCATTCGACAACAGCACGCAGTCATACGTGTCACCTCATCTACATAGGCACACATCGACTGACAGTAGAGGCATATATACTCCTGATATTGCTTTGTACTATTGCTTTGTACTTAGTTCTCTCTGAATGCTAACGATTCGCCACTTGCTTTACCGCCCCTGGTTGTGCTTTCCTCAACACATACATGATCCGGCGTTTGGGGGCCGTATGCGAGCCTCTATCAATCGTCACATAAGCATCATTGCTTCTTGCCTGTCGAATCATGTATTGGCTCCGCTTCCCGCTTCCAACCGCCGCTTTCAATGGTGATGCTGCTGAAAGTGGAAAGCCGAACAAAAAGATGATCAACGTTGTTTGTGCAAGCGATACCGCAGGTTTTTGTCTCACAAGGATAACATCAGTGTGCGCAAGCCTAGATGCACTTAGCTGTGTTTCGAACTTGATTGAGGGACCATGCAGTTGCGACCCAGACCTACAGAAGCAAAGAGAACCTTGCAAGTATATTGAAGCTGAGCCGATGAGGAAAGAAGGAACTTATTTAGCCACGTTGTGAAACCCAGACGAGCTCGGCTAAACGAGGCAGAAGCGGGGCAGAAGCGGGGGGTCAAAACACTGTTGCGCTCTCCAGAAGCTTTCTCTTGCACTACTTGCTTCTCTCTCTGTAGAGTTGAGTCGGGGAAAGGCTTGGATGAGGTGTGTGTGATAGTGATGAGATCAGAGCAAGTATCAGCTCGGGCAGCAACTTGTGTAGCCAAGTTGAAATATAGAGAGGTCCAGTGCGCAAGGAAATGTGAAATCGGTGGAGCAAACAGAGCCGATTGAGCGGGTTGCGACGCGCGTGTTGGTCCAGCTGAAATGTGCACGCCATGTCACGTGCAGCCCTCTGTTCTCCTGGTGCAGCCCTCTGTTCTCCTGTTCTCTGTTGTTCTGCTGCGGGGGTTCGAGCGACGGAGCGCGCGAATTCAATGCTTTTTCTCTCTCCCCACACACACGCACACGGAAATCGGCCGGTTGGAATTCACAAAGAGTTGAACGTCACTTTCTGTGCACGGCCCATGACCAGAGCAGCGCGGCACCAAAGAGAGAGAGTGAGAGAGAGAGAGAGAAATTCAAGGTCGAGTTTGAAAATCCGGCCTGGCAGGCAACCCCTCGCGAACCCCACGCAATCTGACAAAAACGGCAGCACATTGACGGCCAGAACACAGATTGGCTGCTTGGGCCTCGTCTTTTTCCAAGCTTGTGTGTGTGTGTATCAACTCAACTCAACTCAGCTCAGCCAAGAGAGAGCTGTGAGTCGGCTGTATTCGCGCTCGTGCCTGCACTTGCCTGCACTTGCCTGCACTTGCCTCATCCCTTTTAGACGAGCGTAAACCACCTTGGTCACTCACCGCCGCCACCCCCTCCTCCTTCACATCGGTGCACGCCCTTCCCACACCAGCGCGCGCGATATACCTCCTTCTCTCTCTCTTCTGGTCACCATCCGCGCCAACTGCAACCATGCCTAACCTTGCCAGTGTCGAGATCGACACTCCCGCCAACAAGGGCGAGACCAAGATCAGGCGTTCCTACAGAGCGCCTGATCGTCTTCTTGAACGTCCTGCCGAGGGGATCAACACTATGGCCGACGTTTTCCTCAAGGCACGAGAACGTAAGTAGCATCTCTATCCTCTCTGCCCACAACTCTCCTCTCCGATAGATGTCTGACTAGTAATATAGTATCCTGATTCCTCACTCTTGCTCCCCCCCCCCCCCGCCTCTCTTACGATACGACAGGCTTCCCCAAACGTGCCATCATGGGTTGGCGAGACGTTGTCCGAACGCACGACGAGAACAAGGAAATCACCAAAAAGGTCGAAGGCAAGGAGGTCAAGCAGACCAAAACTTGGCAATACTACGAGCTCTCCAACTACAAGTACCTCACCTACGACGAGTTCGAAGAGCGCATTCAGCATGCCTCGAGCGGTCTTGTAAACCTCGGCTTGTCCAAAGACACTCGCTTCAACATTTACGCTACCACCGCCATCAACTGGCAAAACATGGCCCACGCCTGTTTCCGTCAGAGCATCCCTTTCTGTACCGCCTACGAGACTCTCGGTGAAGAAGGCCTCCAGCACTCGCTCATTGAGCCCCAAGTCGTTGGCGTCTTCACCAACGCAGAACTTCTCCCTACTCTCGCAAACGTCATCCGCAAGGCCGACACGGTCAAGTACGTCATCTACGACGGCAAGCCTGAGGACAAGCACCTCGACACTATCCGCAAAGTGCTCGATGAGCGCCAGGGTAAGCTCCTTACCATCGAGCATCTTTGGGCTGAGGGTAAGTCCAACCCTGCTGAAAGCCACCTCCCCACCCGCGACGATGTTGCCTGCATCATGTACACTTCCGGTTCCACCGGTGCACCCAAGGGTGTCATTCTCACACACGGCAACCTCGTTGCTTCCATCGCTGCCGTCGTACTTCACGTCGGTGATCTCTTGAGTCCTACCGACACATTCCTCGCCTACTTGCCTTTGGCCCACATTCTCGAGTTCATCGTCGAATGCACCATGACCTACATGGGTATCACCATGGGTTACGGTAAGGTCAAGACTTTGACCCAGGCTTCTGTCCGAAACTGCGACGGTGATATCAAGGCCTTCAAGCCCAGTATCATGATTGGTGTTCCTGCCGTTTGGGAGTTGATCCGCAAAGGTATTCTCTCCAAAGTCAATGCCAGTGGTTCGTTCAAGCAAAAACTCTTCAACGGTGCTCTCACCATCAAGAAGAACAAGATTCCCTTGCTTACCTCGGTTGTCGACAATGTCGTTTTCAAAGCTGTTAGGGAGCAGACCGGTGGTCGTCTCCGCTTTGCCCTTTGCGGTGGTGCTGCTCTGTCCAGGGAAACTCAGGAGTTCCTCAACAATGCTCTTGTGCTCTTGCTTCAGGGTTACGGCCTCACCGAATCGTGCGGTATGACTGCCATTCTTCACCCCGAGTTCTACTCCTACGGTCCTTCCGGCGGATGTGTACCCGCTATCGAGATCAAGCTTCGTGACGTCCCCGACGCAGGCTATTTCGCCACTAACAACCCTCCTCAAGGTGAAGTTCTCATTCGAGGCCCTTCCGTCACCAAAGGCTACTTCAATCGCGACGACGTCAACAAGGAATCCTTCCAAGACGGTTGGTTCCTCACCGGTGACGTAGGTCAATGGAACCCCGACGGAACCCTTTCCATCATCGACCGCAAGAAGAACTTGGTCAAACTCTCCGGTGGCGAATACATCGCTATTGAACGTTTGGAGTCGGTTTACAAGTCTTCCAACCTCGTTTCCAACATCTGCGTTCATGCTCACAGCGATGCAAAGCAACCAATGGCTATCATCTTCCCCCGAGAGGATAACCTGGTTGCAGCCGCACAGAAGATCGGAGCAAGCGGTGATTTGGAAGAGCTATGCAAGAATAGGGACGTGGCCAAGATGGTCATGGATGATGTCAACATGGTTGGTAAGAAAGCAGGGTTTAAGAATCTGGAAATGTTACAGACGGTGCTGTTGGTTCATGAAGAATTGGCAATGACCGCTGCACAGAAGTTGAGTAGGAAGGATATCGTCAAAAAATATGAAGGCGAGATTAAGAAGCTTTACATGTAGGACCATCAACCTCAGCCCTTGGCACAGTTCCATTTGGATGCTGAGAATACCCCTTTTCTCTGACCTCAATCTTGTACGCTTTCATGCCAATCCTCGCTCTCTTGGCTTCGCTTCTTTCCATCGCTTCCACTCATGTAACCCGTGCCGGTTTGGACGGAGATACCACAGGTCTCTCATTCTCTTTGCTTTTTATCTGTTGTGTTCCAAATTCCAAGATAGTCGATTGTCGTACTCTGCCATCTGTCCGTGCTTGTGATATCTGATCCGAGTTTTGGCTCACAGAGCCAAATCTTGACTCGAAGGAAGCCACGACCACAGTAGGTGGAGACGTTGAAGCTCCTCACCTGCTGCTCCTGCATCGCTGGCCCTTTTGTCATCACAGTCACCTCACGCGAACAGCATATACAAGACAAAGCATAATTTCCCGAGCACAAGTACAAGATGCAATGGGCTCTTACTCCTCCCCATCCGCACTCACCTCTTCACTCTCTTCCTCATCCTCTTCTTCATAATCGCTCTCTCTCCCCTCTTGTACATCAATAGCTTCCATCGTCACCTCCCGATCCGCACCAGCATAACTATCACAAACTAACCATATCTTCAACCTATCCCATCTACCCTTTGGCAGCGTCACTTGCAATTCCAAATCCAACGTTTTCCTCACTGTAACCTTCTTGATCGCCAGCAAATTTCGCGTTGCAGGATCGCCTATCACCACCCACCACTGCACCAGCTTCTTTTGGGGATACAATGCCGACTGGACTACCAGACTTTCGTCTCCTTCTTCGTCGTCTTCGTCCTTTTCGAGGTGAACCCTAACAGTGATAGGGTCCGAAGCATTGATTTCTTCCGGAGGGGTAAGGATGGTATGTGAGAGTTCGATGTATGGGAACGAGTTGACGAATTGCGCTACCTGCGCTAATTGTTTCTTGTCTAGTTGCAATAACTCGTCTCGTTCCGCCTCGGACAAGTCGGCTACGAGGTCGGATAGGGAGAAAACGTCTTCTACCCCTCTAGCTCGGCATCGATCGATAATGGTCGGGGTAAAATAGGGTACTTGACGAAGAACAGAATCTTTATCCCAAACCGCTTGAACTACCATCTGCGATAACTCCATTGCTACAATCGCATTAAGGTAGGCGTTGCTAGACATGACATCAACGCATGCCGAAAGCAATGTCAGAACCTTTGACAGGATGATCCTCTGATCCGATTCCAAATCGACCGGTAGTGACAACCTCGCAAAGTGCGCTTGAAGCAAGATAAACACTTTGTGGTAGGGGGAGAGCAGGTTCAACTTGTCCAGTTTCAGCGGGAGCCGATCGTAAATCCGCCGTAAGAGCACATCCTCATGCTGTCTAATCTCCAAATCCTCAAACTCGGCCGCACTAGCTACAATCTCCAGCACCCCCCTCAACTTTGTCTTCCCACTCAACGACATATTAAACACATCTACACTAACATAACTAACATTGTAAAAACTCCCCACCATACCTAAATTCAATGGACTTACATCCATCTCATCCTCCACCGCAATACATTTCGCTCCTTCCAACTCCGCCAAAGTATTTTCCACCAATTCGCTTAGATAGTCTCCAATATGCGTCATACTCTTCCCCTGACAATTGTACGCCTGGGGATTCTGCGGGAGTCGACGATACATTAGAGTCCAAGTTAAGATGTCTACTGCTGCTTGCTTGTCGTCGATTGTACGAGAGACGATTTCCGAGTTGAAGAAATCGTGGATGGAAAGCGGTAGTTGGGATTCGATGGGGAGCGATTCGGAAAGGAATTTTTTGAAATAGTCTTTCCGGGTGTTTTGGCAAAGAAGGATGCAGCGAGAGGAGCCAAAGTCTGGGTGAGGGACGGTGCAGTGTCCGACCATTTGCAGGACTAAGGGGAGTGGGTAGTCGATGTATCGATGTTCTTGGCCTGAGTAGGTTTGGAGGGACATGATCAGGACTAGATGAGCTTTGAGTGGCATGCACCAGGCTACTTCTTTGGAAGCGATGATTACTCGGATCGCATCTGCATTGAAGAGCCGCTCGACAATCCGACGATCGTTTTTGGTGAGTCCTTCGTGGTAATACGCTATTCCCATCGCGAGCAGTTCCCGCAATTCCCGATCTTGTACCCTCTGTAAATGCGGCTCCAAATCCTCCATCTCAATATTCAAAAACCTACTCTCACCTTCATCTCCACTCCCCTCCCCATCCCTATCACTATCCGCAATCACATACGCCAAAATATCATTCGCCGTAAGTTTCGCCTGCTTTCGACTCGGAACAAACGCAATCACCGATTGGTCATCCGCATACTCCACCATCGCCAAATACGCCGGTTTCGCCATAGCCAACATCAAACTCGGGAAATGGGGAACATTGAATCCTTGCAAATGGACTTCCATCGGAACCTCCCTTGCGCTCGGAGCGAAATTGAATACGTTTCCACCACTTGCTCCTAACCAATCGCCCACATCTCTCGCATTTGCAAGAGGAACACTGAGTGCGATCATGCGGGTTGGGTTTTGTGTTTGTGCGGCGATAAATCGGGCTCGGGAAGCGACAATTTCGTAGGTTGGTCCGATGCGAACGTCACCGATCATGTGGATCTCGTCCAAGATGTAGAGGGAGACGGATTGAACGTTTTTGCGTTGTCTCCAACGACGGGAGAGGACATCCCAGTGGGTTGGAATGGCAATGACTAGGTCCGACATCTCTAACAACCGCAGATCTGCAGAAGTCTCGCCGGTGAGTCCTGTAATCGACTTTCCATCTTTATAGTTGCCGAACTTGGAAGTCCACTCTGCGACTCGAGGTGCGATCATCGATTCGTACGGAACAAGGCAAACCGCTCTCCCCGCATCCTCATCTTTCCAAAGCCGCAAAAGCGCAAGCTCAGCACAAATCGTCTTGCCATTGCCTGTGGGAGCACCGATGAAGACGCTATCGTCACTCCCATACAGCGCGTGGAAGGTTTGGGTTTGGATCTTGTTGAAACGCTCGAACTGTTTCCCGTAGATCTCCTCGGCCTCTGCATCGTTGAGCGCGGAAACTGGCTGTGGCTGCAACTCGAGCAACGGCGTAGGAGGAGGGAACTTTTCCGGCAAGATCAAGTTCTTAAACGAAATCGGCAACCTCACCTCGCTGTGCAACCACCGATCACTAACCACGCTGATGTAGTAATTCGGTGGAACAGGTTCCGTCATCGGAATCGTAAACGTCACCGTGTGTTCCTCCTCTGCGTACTTCCTCAACAGCAAGAATTGATCGTGGTAATGCAGGATCTCCGCATCCACATCCTCTACCAAAATCCAAAAGCTTTGGGCTCCACCATGCACCTTCTCATCCCACTGGAAATCGGGCGTGATCGTCAGCGTGACATGCAACAACGATCGCGTGAGAGGCTGGAAAAACGCCTGCAGCTCCAACTTCGGGAATTGGTGAACCAAGCGATGGACGAGTCTGCCAGCTTTGGGGATGCCGATCAGCTCTCCGATCTCGTTTGGCTCTAAATCGTGCAACCTGTTCCACGGATACTCCTTCCTTTCCAGTCGGCGGATAAGATCGGCGGGGACACCTCGGAACTGTCGCAGTGGAGTCATGGAACCCCATTGACGCGATTCGACCATTTTGCAAAGATCCAATGCCATTCTGCTTAGACGTGCGTATCCGCGCTTGAGGCAAATCTCAAAGATGGCCCTCAGAATACGACCGGCAGATTGAGTAACGTAGACCATGTCCGCTGCAAGCACGTATCCGTCGAGTCGGAGTTGTGAGATCCAGGATTGAAGCAAGACGTTGACTTTGGCGATGGGGTCATCCGCAGACTCCTTGACAGGCACAGGAACGCGTTCGAGCAGCTTAGCGACTTCCAGCTTCTCATCCTGCCTCACGACTTGATGTCGGAATTCGTTGGAGAGGGCAAAGATGCGGAAGAGCTCGATGAGCCCCAACTGAGGCTTGATCTGCTGATGATACGTCGCCATACTATCATGCGTAATATAGTAATGCGATGCGATCCTACCCAGCTCGTTCGACGTAAAATTGCCCGTCTTCCTCTCGTACCGCAACAATCCACACTTCTCCAACAGTGCAGCGGCAGTGTGAACAACATCCGCCCGTTTCTGCTCCAAGAAAGGATCATCCTCCGCATAATCGGCCGTAACACTGTAGAGCGTTGGCGACCTCAACATCCTCACATACAGATACGTATATCCTAACCAAGCCACCGCTTCGTCACGGTTCCTAATCGTACCCAACACGATCTCGGCATTCAGATTATCTGCGAGCTTCGAAACCAACTGTGACTCAATCGGCAATTGCTGGTTGAGCAAGCTGAGATAATACTGCAGTTCGCTGTGGTTGGTGATGATGATACCTTCACCAAAAGTGTCGTATTGCGGTCGACCGGCTCGTCCGAGCATCTGAAGCATGTCTTGCGGGGTGATCTCGCACCAACGTCCCTTTTCCGGGTTGTAGATCTGAGTACCTTTAATGATGACGGTGTGCGCCGGTAGATTGACACCCCAAGCCAAGGTTGCTGTTGAGACAAGAACTTGTAAGTGTCCATCCGCAAAGAGCGCTTCAACGAGCTCTCGATCGAGTCGAGACATTCCGGCGTGGTGAATACCAAATCCATAAGGCATGACATCCTTGAGATCGCCTTCAGTCACATTCTCCAGCTCAGATCGCAAGACCTCTTGACTAGCAGGCGAAGGCGGAAGGAACCGGTTAAGTGTCTCTTGCTCCATAGCCTTGTCGCGGATGAACTTGGCGGTTTTGGCAGCCTCTTTGCGCGAGTGGACAAAGATGAGCACCTGATTCTTGCCCGCCTGATCGAGCGTCTTTTCGTAGGTGACCTCGTTCATGACCAACAGACGCTTGATGGCCTTCTTCTCTGTGATGCCAACATACTGCTGCTTGAGTGGACAGGGACGGTAGTTGGCTTCAAAGTAGAAAAGACCCGTCTTGGGGTTGACTCGAAGGAAAGTCGCCACATCCTGGTAGTTAGGAAGTGTGGCTGAAAGACCGACAAGACGCACCGGATCGCTCATCTGCTCCATACGTCGAATGGTGCGCGAGATGATCGCTTCCAGCACGGGACCACGGTCGTCATGTAACAAGTGGATCTCGTCGACGATGAGAAGGCGGACCAGGTTGGTGTAAGAAGCGTCGGTGCTCTTGCGGCTGATGACATCCCATTTCTCGGGTGTGGTGACGATGATCTGTGTCTCTGCGATCTGCGCCTTAGTCAGCTGACTGTCACCTGTAAGCTCGTTGACAGTGATGTTGTACGACTGAAGGCGGTCGCGGAAGTTGGCCGCTTGTTCGGAGACGAGCGCCTTCATGGGAGCCACGTAGACGATCTTGAAGGCATTGAGGTCAAGTTCTCCCGTCTCTTGATCTCGCCACTTGCTGATCTCGTTGAGGATGGTGAGCATTGCTACGTTGGTCTTACCAGCACCGGTGGGTGCACAGAGCAACATGGGCTCATCGGATCCGAATGCGACAGGGTAACAACGAGACTGCACCGGGTTGAGCGATGTAGCACCAGGGAATGCACCCTGTGCCCAAGCAGGAAGACCTGCGATCGGCACAAGCTCACTCTCGCCAACAGTCCTCTTGGCAGGAGCAGGAATGTGAATCTCCTCGTAACCTTTCTTGGTTCGCTTGAAGCTTCCTTCCGGTAGTCGGACCTTTGCGTTTGTGTTGAGATGACCACCTTGTGTGAATGCCATTGCTTCGAGATCGACGCCTTGTCTGGGCTGAGCAGTTGAACCAGGCGCGATGGTAGCACGTGATGTGAGACGTTTCGTTCTGCGCTGTGCGTCCTCAAGATCGATAGGTGTGAGACCGTTTGCTGGTTTGCCATTGGCTGATGTGGTGCTTTTGGCAGCATCGCCGTGCAAAGCCTTAAGAATCCAAGCGAGACCCTTCTCGCGCATGGCAACTTGAACATTGACCTTCTCGTCGTCATCGGCTCGAGCTAAACGCGTACACCAGACAACAGCATCTCTGTTCTTTGTGAGGATCTGGACCAGCTCGAACTTGTCGTAGTCGAACAGTTCCATGAGACTGTTCTCGCAATCACGGAGGTCGGATTGGGCAGAGAGGATATCGAAAGCGCTGTCTGCCTTTTCGTTGGCCTGGTGGGCATCCGGATAATGTTGGGACACCTGACGTTGGATCCAAAAAGCGTCGATGTCGCGTGGGCTGAGGTGGTTGGGATCGGGTTGCTTGGCGTCGCCGTTGGCAGCTGCTGATGCGCTTGAGCCGATGAGAAGGTCGTCATGCTCGTCGCCAGATGCTTCAGCATCCGAGCGATCATCGCCTTCGGCTTTCTGGTTCGGTGGCGCATCTTGATCGTCTGAGGCATCAGAGTCGTCGCTGCCATCACGAACAACATAGCCTACACCATCCTGGTCACTCTCCTCTTGGTCTTGGTCGAAGAGAAGGGCTACACCAGTCTCCTGATCGATCTCGCGCATCTTGGCATCAACATCAAGATTGTCATCCTTCTGCTCTGGCTCATCGTAGTCGGTGATCTTCTTGCTGAGGTTGGTGAGTTGACCGAAAGTCTCTGTGCTGAGCTGACCCAAGATCTGTTCGATCTCGCTCTTCTTGTCCAAGTGCTTGAGATCGTCATCTTTGAGGATCTCGAGTGTTGTATCGGCAGCTGAGCGAATCACATCCTGTGCCTGATCGCCGAGTGCTGTGTGAACGATGCTGAGTATAAGCTCGTAGATGTCTCTTGTCTCGGGTGACCTTGGATGGTAGCGAAGGCCTTCGAGCTCGGCAGTAGCTTGGAGAATGTCGGTGTAGTTGCTCTGGTCAGAGAAGGAAGCAGTGGCGAATGTGGATGCAGCTTGTCGCTTTGGTTGGTGTTGATGGAGTTGGTCATCTGCTTGCGCCTTCTTGCGCTTCTTTTCGAGATCCTTGACGCCTTGCGACTTGACTGCTGTTCCCATATCGCGGACATTGATGCGACCTGTCAGCGACTCAGCCTCTCGGTTTGATTCATCTGGGCGACGATGGGATCGGTCGGCATGGATGACGAGGGATGAAAGCGCCGAGTACTGGTAACCAGAAAGATCTGGCTTTTTGGGCGGCATAGTGGCTGCTAGTGTGATACGGTGCTGAGCCCAAGACCAACTGATGAGATGGAAGGATGCGAGCTGAGCTAAACCAAGCCGATGGTTGTGATCGAGTCGTTGGCAAAGAAGCCAAGAAATCGCAGCCGAGGATGCCGAAGTATCTGAGTCAGCCAGTCACGGCCCTTCCGAAAGCGTAGTCAACAGCGTCGAGATGAGGCGAACAGTCGTTGGCAAAAGAAAAGAAAAAAAAGCCAAGCAATTGGAGCGGAGGATGCCAAAGTGTCTGAGTGAGCTAGTGTCGGCCCTTCCGAAAGTGTAGTCAACAGCGTCGAGATGAGGTGAACAGTGGCTGGCAAAGAAGCCGAGCAAATCGAATCGGAGGATGCCGAAGTGTCTGAGTGAGCCAGTGTCGGCCCTTCCGAAAGCGCAGTCAGCAGCGTCGAGATGAGAGGTGAACAGTTGGATCGCCTGATGGCTGAGCAGGTGAGGTTGATGGGAACAAGCTGCTGGACTGCGCTATGCTTTACAGATGTATTTTCCTCTCCTTGCTGTCGGAATCGCCGCTGTTGTCTGGGATGTGAAGATGTGAAGATGTGAAGATCGGAAAGAAACAATTTGCGTGGAGAGATCTCTCGCTTGCAAAACTGACGCACTCAGCCCTTGAAAAACTGCTAGGAGAACCATCTTGCTACCTCGACTTTTCCTGCCAAAAATGCTGCTCAGTCGTCGGGGCCGAAAAAAAGGGAAGGATTCCGAATTTTTTCCCTGGTTTTGGACGCGTCTGGCTAAGCAGCTCGCTCGCTCGCAAGACCACGTTTGTTTGCCTTTCCTGACGCTCTCCATGGAAGGCAAAGCCCCGAGTTCCACGTCCACGAAAGAGCCAGAGCGAGCAAAGAAAGCGGCGGTGGCGGCGGCGGCGGCAGCAGCAGCTGGACTGGGCTATACTATCATCCACCACCCTCACCGTCCTATTGTTTCATCTGGAAGCGCTCCTTTTCCCTTTCCTCGCATCCTACCATCATCATCACCAACAGTCCCTTCACATTCCTTCGATCAAATCAACATTCAGGCGCTCTTGCCTTCAGCCTCGCCGTGTATACTCGCATTCCACTTCGGTTCCAACGCAGACAATGCTTCAGCTTTGATACTGCCAGGCAACATCTCATTCTCTTGTATCGCTCCCTATCTTGCACTTTTAGCCAGGGCGTCCAACAGATTTGCGGAACAGAGACACAGTCACGTCTTCCTACCCATCCCTCTCGCCATTCACTTCCCGCTAGCAGCATGATACCCATAGCGAGGCGCAGCATACCTTCTTGAATCCACAACTTTCTATCCTCACATTCTCTTGGAACGCCTTCTGCTCATGTAGGGCTTTCCTGAGGAGGGTCCTATCATTCCAGCATGATCAAGCCTCCTGCTATGGGCGTCTTCGCCCGCGACCCACCACCACAGGGTAGAGGCCCGTCTTCATCATCCACACCATCTTCGTCCACGTCACAACTACAGTCACAGTCAACCAACCATGCTGTCTCGCCGCATGATGCTGCCTCTGCCAATCCCTCACGGACCATCACACATCCCGATTCCCTTGCAGCTGATGAGCTTGCCTCAAATCCCACCAACCAGGATGACGAGACAATACAGGACGACGACGATCAAGGCACTGTCGACGAAGAAGCAGGCATCATCCGCTGTATCTGTGCATGCGACGATGACGATGGCTTCACGATTCAGTGCGACAGATGTCTTGTCTGGCAGCATTGTGCATGCTTTGGCATGTCGCAAGCTTCCGTACCTGACGAGTACCTTTGCGAGCAGTGCGAGCCACGACCTGTCGATGTCGCCTTTGCTCAAGCCCATCAGCAGAAGCGAAAGAACAACGAAGCTCGCAAAGCGCTTATGGACCGCAACTTGAGACGACAAGCCCAGGCACTTTCGTCGACTGCCTACAATCAGACCTTTCAAGAACCTCTTTCGTCTCCCACTTCCAGCATACATCTTTCCACCAGCACAGTCTCTGTCGACGACCCTTTTTCAGCCGCCACACAGCCGAACACCAACCTTGCAGCATCTTCTTCAACTTCGGCAGCAGCAGCAGCAGCTCGCTCCCGCAAGCCAAGTCAGGCTCTCGACCTCAGCAATACCCAGTTTGTCGTTCCCGAGGTCCCTGCCAGTGCCGGTGCGGCACAGCGAGGTGGAAAGCAGCGCAAAGGTCAAAAGGCTTCACGTCGAGGCTACGAGACACCTTCCTCCGTATCAACACCAGTTCGGGGCGTGTTCACACCGGCTAGCTCTCATGAACGCTTAGATGATCCCTTTGATGCAGCAGAACAGCTCGAAGCATGGCAAGTCGAATTTACTCCCATCAACAAGAATGTCGTGCCAGACCCATCCATCATTGAGAATTTAGCCGCAGCTATCCTTGACTGGGAGGATGGCAGTCCACTCAAAGGTGCTCCTGGGCCAGCAGCTCGTGTTGTCGTCCCAACAGCTTCGATGCATACTCGCCATGCAGCTGCTTCCAAACTTGCTTCTGCCGACGGCTACCCAGCTTCCTCGTCCGCATCATCCCCATCATCACCCTCACCACGTAATCCAAGCTCACCGACCGCACCCGACTTCCCCGCTGGCATCTCGGCTGTAGGAGAAGAGTGCGTTCCTATCGAATTGACAGGACCTTCATTAGCAGACCTCGCATGCCGCACATACGTCAAGCAAATCTCAGAGTCGGCCTCAGCAGGTGTCTTCAGCAATGTGCTTTACGCCAACAGTTCTGCCGAAGAGCCACAGCGAGGATGGTCTGCTTCTCGCGCCTTCTCAAGACCTGTCATGCATGGCCTCTTTGCCGATGGTTCCATCCCTGCCGGCGCGTTCATCTCAGAGTTCCGAGGTGAGCTCTACAGCGCTAATGCCTACCGTAACGATCCTATCAATCAGTACGCTGCACTGGGTGCAACCAAGCCACATGTCCATCTTCTGCCGCCACCACTGAACCTCGCCATCGACGCGCGAAGATACGGTAACGAATCCCGTTTCGCCCGCTTCAGCTGTCACCCCAACGCCGTGCTTCGTCCAATCTTGTTCCGTGCCAACGGTCAGCCATCCGCACGATCACGCACCAGCTCACGAGCACAGTCACCTGCCACTGCCGTAGCATCATCCGCCTTGTCCATGAGACAACTTCGATATGCCGATACCCCTCCTGCTGAGAGTAGGTCTGAAGAGCTACAACTCGTCTTCGGCTTGTTTGCGCTGACTGACATTCCTCGCACGCACGAGATCACTTTGGGTTGGGAGTGGGACGATGCTCACATTGTTCACTTCTTGCCCGAGTTGGTGCAGAACCCTTACCTCGAGTCTCGCCAAGGCCATGTTGACGCCGACAAGCATACAGCCAACATGGTAGCATTAGCTGAGAAGGGCGAATTCCCCTACGCCGACACCGAGTTCTCGGTCAAGATGAGCACTGTAGCTGCAGCTCTTCTCGGTTGTGTTCTTTGCGCTTGTATCGGCTCGGCAGCTCCTCCCGGAGGCGGCGGAGGCGCTAGTGCCAACAATGGACGCAAGCAGGACTGTGCAGTTGCGCAGATGCTGCGTGTGGGAAACGGCATGTCTCTGCTCAACGTCACTATGCCTGGTAAGACGAATCGCAGAGCAAAGCTGCCGGACTTCTCGCCGCTCGTAGGCATTCAAAGACACTGGAGATCCATCAGCCTTCCACCAACGCCCGAAACCTCAGTCAAGGAGGAAGACTCTCCTCTCGATTCTTGCATGCTTGAAGCACTTGCAGCACATGGCGAAGCAGAGACAATGCAGTTGCTAGACAGCATGGATGTCGACGGCGAGGCTGGATGTGGCGGCAATGAAGCCATCGCAAGGTCAAATAAAGGTCGACGCCGGGCGAAAGGCAAGCAAGATCGCATGGATGTCGATGGTGAAGACACCGACTCGGCCGCGACAGAGTCCGATGATGGAGACGACACTCGATCCATCGCATCCTCTCTCACAGATCCACTCTCAGGGCTCAGCGAGAATGAGACGCTCAGTGACGACCAAGATGAGGACCTCATGAACGCTTTGCAGGCAGCCGATGGCGTCCGACCACGTCGACAATCTGCCAAACACCGTGATGCCAGCGCTGTAGATGTGGAGCTGTCTGGACTCTTCTTGCTTCCTCCCAAGAAGCGATCCATGCGAACCCGCATTAAGGCGAGCATGGCATCAGATGACGAAAATCAGACAGAACGCGACGACGCCGACCATGACGATGAGCACGGCCAGGCTTGTACTGTTAAGAGCAGGAAAGCAACCGACGCTTCAAGCAAGGTCAAGGCCGGTGCGAAGCGCAAAGGCAAGGCGGATGCAGGGCGCACAGCTCTCGACTTTTCATCGGATAAAGACAAGGGCTACGACGGCTATTCTATGGAAACCTCAGTCAAGAAGCGAAGAAAGTTTGGCAATATTGCCGACCCGAGCTCGCCCCTCTCCTCTGTGCCTTCGCCTGAATCAGTCGACTCGAATCTCAGTCCGCCTCCACCAGTACCGCGTCTCTCGGCCAAGCATCGTCTCGAGAATCAAAAACGCACGTCTGACATCGAGCTGTCCAAGAAGAAGCGTGAGGCTAAGCGCGCTCGTGACCGCAAAGCCAGAACGCCAGAGTCAAGAACCAAGGAATCGGCCTCAAAGCGTCGCAAGAGGGAAGAGGCACGCATCCATCGCAACGCTATCCTCGATCTTGGCGACACCGAGTCGAGCGAGGAGGACCTGTCGGAAGACGACGAAGAGGGCGATGACACGGCTGAGCATTTTCAGAGTGGGGCATCTACTCCACGCGCAACAAAGGCAGCGCCAGTTTCCCAAAGCCTGGAAACGGCTGCAGCCACCGTCGGGAAGGAGCCAGCCACCGTCGGGAAGGAGCCAGCTACCGCAGACGTGGGTGCAGACAAGAAGGCGAAGAAGCGGGCAACGCCGACTGCAGTCGAGGATCGCACATCTGCAGCAAAGAAAGATAACCCGACCAAGACTAAGAAGGCCCGCCGCATTCTGTCTGATTCCGAACCGAGCAGCGATGAAGAGGAGGGCTCTGTCGCTCCAACCTCAACTGCTCGTCTCGAAGCAGCATCGTCGCCGAAGGTCGCCAAACAGGAAGACGTCTCGCAGCCTGGGAAGGATGAGTCCCAGCCTGCCTCAGCCGATGTAGCACCTAAGGACGACACGGAGACAAAGGTCGCTCCAGAAGTGGAGAGCAAACCTTCGACGGAGACTCCTGCAACCACAGCAGAGCCTGCTCCTGTTGCTGCCCCTGCACCTGCACCAGAGGTTAAGAAAGAGGAACCTACAAGAGTCAAGCTTTCTTTGGCTGAGTACAAGCGCCGACTTGCAGAACGACGCGTTTCGGGGCAGCAAGGTGCCAACTCGACCACACCAGCTCCTTTGACTCCTTCGCTCGCTACTCCTACCTCAGAAGTTGCGCCATCGCCATCACCTGCCGTGGGAAAAAGTGACCCTTTGCCCTCCAGCCTGGTGCGACCATCTGAGCCACGTCTGGCATCCACTCCCTCGGAAGCCACCGCGTCTACACCAGCTGGACAAACAGCCACAGCTGAGACCTCAGAACCTGGCAAAGCAACAAGTGCAGCGCCACGCGGTATGCTGTTTACTTCCATCTCTGCGCCGACAGCCATTCGCTCAGTCGAGATTCCCAAGTCGCCTTCTCCTGAGCCTGTCACTGCTTCCTCTGCCACCCAGCAGCAAGGAGCAGCGGTACAATTTACAGAGGGGACAAGCGCGGCATCGGTACCTGCACAAACTGGCACAGGAGATGCTTCATCACCTGCTTCTGCAATCAGCAACCTGCCTTGGTCTGTTGGGGCTGGTGGTGATGCAAGCTCGTTGCTTTATCGACTCGAGACGCGACATGCTCGAGCTTCGTCGCTTGTTGGAGGCGAGAAGGATGGTCAGCAGACCAGTGCTGCAGCAGATGGATCCGCCAAGCCACAGAGCACCAACGCGGGAGCTGCGAGAACTCCAGCTGTTAGCGCATTGGGAGCTCAATCCCCCTCATCTGCTCAGTCTGTATCGACACCTTTGCGATCGCCTTCACTTGGTCCGACAAGGGTGCAGGCAGGTCGCATGCCTCCTTCACCCTCGTCATCCTCGTCATCCCCGACTTTCAACCCTCCAAGAGCACCAAGAGCGTTTATGTCTTCGCCCAGCAGCACTTTGCCGACGCCGACCACTGTACCAGTGGCGTCATCAGCCCCAGCAGCAGTGTCCAGCAGTGCGCCTGCGGCGGCTGTTACTGCCGGCACCACAAGCGCTGCTCCTTCTACAGCAGCTATCGCTCCTTCGACTCCAGCACGTATCGGCATAGCAGGTGTCGCCAACACCCCTTCAACAGGCAGCTCTGCCAGCTCAGCTTCTTCCACGACCGCACGCTATCCTCCACCTGGTGCCGCATTGACTTCACCAACACCCGCCACCTCCGCCCTCCCCGCCTACCCACCACGCAACTTTGCAGGAGTACCCAAAGGTCCAGCTAGCATGCGTGATTCCGACCCCCGCGCGGACGCCTGGGCAGAAGCACGGGAAGCACGGGAAGCACGGGAAGCGCGGGAAGCACGGGAAGTAAGAGAAGCGAGAGAAGTTCGCGATCCTCGAGGGGACTACCCACCACCGCGACATCTGGAGAGAGATATGGGTTGGGGTGAGCGTTCGCGTGATCCTTCCTTACCTGATCGCGAGGTAGTACGTGGTGGTGGTGGGTGGGGTAGAGACCGACGTGAGCAGCCGCATCCACGTGATTCCTACCCCGCGGCAAGAGAGGGCAGGTTCTTTGGTCGAGATGATCCCTCATCCACCATCCCTCTCTCTGCTGGTGCCGACACTTCAGGTGCGGGAGGGGGGTTGGCTTCTCGACTAGACTCACACCATTATGCAGGCTACCGTCGTCCCTCAGCTACAGAATACGACGATCTCCCACCGATCTCGCCTTATGATCGTCCTTCGGATCCGTACAATAGAGGAATTGTCGTTAGGGGGAGGGCAAATGCTTCGGGTGCTGGTGCGGGGGTTAGTGCAGGAGGTGCGGTGATTAGGGATGGAAGGGAAGGTGGGTATAGGGAATACGATGATCCGACACCACCAGGGGTAGGAGGTAGGGGTGGGTTTAGGAGTGGTTGGGGTGGTAGAGGTAGACCTAGAGGAGGAGGAGGAGGAGGAGGAGGAGGAGGAGGGAGGGATGGAGAAGGGGGCAGAGGTGGAAGAGGGAGGGGTTGGGGGATGAGGTAATTGAGTTGGGTGAGACGGAACGATATCTTTATACTTTTGTTATACTTTGTTGTACTTGTGTCGATTGGTTCTGGGTTGAAACATGTACTTTTTGAAACATCTCTCATCAATGTCCTTGCTGGTCACTTGGCCGATACACAAATGTCAGAGATCATGGGAAGAGAGTTGATTGCCTAACTCGGGTGAGTCGCTTGAAAGCTCCCAGCCGTGGCCGTAAGGGCCACAGATGGTTGAGCGTCGTGTGAGAGCGAGGCGGAATGCGCGTGAGACCTAAGTAACAAAGAAAGTGGGTGGGTGTGGTGGGTGAGACAAAAAGCGCTGCCTGTGGCCAGCGCCAAGAGAGATGATGGTCGTAAAGGAAGAGAGATGTTGAGCGAGCGTGCGCTAAAGTTGCGCTTACGCTGGGTGACACATGTACCGGTCAGGTGCCTGATCGCGAATGCATTCAAGTCAGTGTCCGAGATGCGACACTATATCACTACTAGAATCGTGGATTTGTGTGATTCGCTCGAATGGGTACACAGGATGATGAGGGACGAAGCTCTACTTTTGGGTCTTTGCAAGTTAGGATACTGATCAGAATCATTGCATAGAACATGGAAAAGGGATAGTTTTACATGTCAACCAAACAGAAACGCCATCGTTCGAAGCAGGGAGAGATAGATGAAGTGACGAGGTCTCTAGTCTTCGACCTCACTCAAATCACTACTCTGGTTCCCATCTTTCTCCTCCTCTTCATCTTCTTCACTCCATTCACTCTCCTCCTCCACTTCATCCTCGTCGTCGCTGCTCTTCCTCTTCTTACTCTTGCCCGCCTTTTTCTTCCCTCTCGCCGCCGCTGTAGTAGTCGCCTTCCTCTTCTTCCCCCCACCGCTAGTAATATTTGCCATACTCCATTTCCCCGCTCCATTCACCCCTTTACCCCCCGCCTTAACCTTCACATCACTAAGTTGCCTAACCAGATCCGCTGGAAGGTACTGCCTAGCATAGATCTCCTTCTGAACCTCTCTACTCGGCAACGGTTTAAAAATGTCCCCCGGCAGCGTAACTTTCCCTGGGTAACTTTCAATCGTCCATCCCTTTTCCGTTGCTCTTTTCCTAATCACCAATTGAGCTAACTCGGACAAAGCGTATAGATTCTCGCTTGCTCCCTGGGTTTCTGCATCTCGAACTCCCCTCACCCGCGATGCTAGATAGTAGAACAAACTGACGTTTGTCGGCGTGCAAAGCGAATCGAGGAAGAATTCGAGGTATCGAATGAACTGAATCAAATCTTCTTTTGTCTCGCTCGAAAAATCCGGATGATGCGCCAAAAGATGGATAAGACGGGGGAATGAAACGTCGAGCAACTTCAGCCGTTGTTCTGCGGGAAGAGAGCAGCTGTTAGAAGTGCAATAACGAATCACCATATTCCTATTCTCGTCCTCGGGATCATAAGCTGCGAGGAAAGCCATCGCTAGGAACCTTCCATCTATCCTTCTCGCCTGCAAATACGTCAGCAGCTTATGCAGAATTCTTGACCTAACGTTGAAAGATTCATCCTGAATCGTGAATGCGAGATCCAAGTACTCTCTTCCAATACAAGCATCGTAACTCGAATGCCGAGCAAGCTTGAGAACGCAAATCGCAGCCTGTAACCTCATTCGCGATTTAGCCCCTCCTGGAGTGTTGAGCGCTTTTGCTTCTCCTGCTGAAATAACCGCCCAAAGAAGCCGGAAGATCGGTTTGGCCATGTCTGAGGCGGAAGTTGTTTCTGCGAATGCTTCACATCGCCGAGTAAGGACGGTTAGGGAGAGAAGTTTGGTTTGAAGTTCGTGGTCGACGTTGCTATCCTCCACCCAAGAGTTGTCGGTGGAATAAAGCTTGGCTTTGGAGGGAGAGAGCGGTTTAAGCAAGATATCGGATAGGATGGTGCGCACAACAGTGCTAGAAACATTCTCCGAAGCGTCAGGAGCATGCTTGAAAAGCTGTGCTAGCGAGTATAGAACCCCAACCTGTCCGTCAGGCTTTGCACTCGCAAGATGTTTCGCTAATGAATCCAACACTTCCTCCAACACCCCAAATGCTGCACTAGAGGAAACAGAGGTACCAGGGGTCCCAGGTTTCTGCCCGGCAGCTTTACGTCCACCCTTCGCCCCACCCGTTGCAACAATCGCCAGCAACTTAGAAGCAAATTTAGCCTGCAGTGCCGTTCCCTTCAGCACCAACTTCGCCAACCTTTCCACCGCTTTCTTATCCAACTGAACCTTTGCCGTGTTCCACTGGGCGATCGACGCAAGCGCCTGCAAACAAGTCTGGGTAAGCGTGGGGTTGGATTCTTCGAACAACGCTTTGCACAACTCTGGCACCTGCAATGCCAACATCGCTGGACATCGTTTTGCAATGAATTCCAACAACTCCTTAGCTGAATCTCGGTTCGTTTCTGCATCGCTTCCCTCGCCCCCCTGTGACTGGGATTGGGAGGAAGAAGCTTTACCCCGCGCAGCAGGAGTGTACGAAAGTTTCTTAATCAGCGTCGGCACCGCACTTCGGTTTAAGATGAAGTAAGAACTGCTACGAATGAAGACCGTCATAGTATCCAAGATGCTTGCATTTGCATTTTCGATTCTCCTTAGAGCATCGTTTCTAGCCTTCACTGCGGTCTTAAGATCGGTTTGGGGATCGAAGCAGGTTCGAATCAGACGGTAAATGCGTGTATCGTTGAGTTTGGCGAGAGCGTGAAGGTCGGTTTTAGCTCGTTCGGGGTCAGCGAACATGTTTGCTGCTCTTCGAATTCGGTCTGCCATCGCAATCTTGACTACAGTTGAGTCTTTGTCAGGAGAAACGTCTCCGCCGTTATACTCTTGGCAACAATCGAGGAAACGATCCGGAAGTGAGGGACGGGTGTAGATGAGATTGCTCAGTCGCAACAGTGCTTTTGTTGCTTCTGGTTGCAAATACTTGATCACCAACAAGAGACGGTTGGTCCATGCCGCTTCATCTTCCTCCAAGTTGCTAGGGATGGGAAGGATGTACTTTTCGACGGTAGTAGCTACAAGGATCTGCAGATCGATCTGTGCAGCATACAAACACTTGAACACCTCCTGTGGAATCCAGGCAAACTGTTGGATCGCAGCAGGATCATTGTTCTCGATCTCCGAATACGCCATATCGAACAACTTGCCCACTGCCTCTAACGATTCCCTCCTCACCAAATTCCTCTTGTCCTTACAGCGATCCGCCAACTTCAACAGCACCGATTTCTGCACATGATGCAAGGCCGTCTCGTAATCCAACGAACCCAACATCTTCGCGGTTGCTGCACGAACACGCTCGTCCGGTTCCAAGAGTTTGTTCTCGATGATCGGCGTCAAATCATGACGCAACTCCGGATGGTGTACAAGAAGAGGTTTTGTGCATTCAGCCCAAACGACACGCAAGCTGGAAGACTTGTCCTTGGAACGTCCTAGCCACGCCCGCCACGTACCTGCGTATCGACGTGCGAGATCGCTGCTCTCGCCGGCAGTGGAGGAAGGTTTTTCGGCAAACATCTGACCAAGCACTTTGGTCGCGAGGACACGAAGTTGGACGTCTTCTGCTCGAAGTTCTTCCTCCAGCTGCGGAATCACATTGAGCAGAAGCGAAGGGACAACGCGGTTGATCTGGACAATGAGCGAATGTGCGGCCTGCAGACTCTCGAGTCGTTGGTCTTGATCGTCTTCCTGCGTTGCGGAGATCATGACTTCGTTAAAGTACTGTGCGACGTTCTTTTGCAGGCGATCCTTGGTGTTGGAACAGACTTGGACTGTTAGACGATGTGCTGAAGGGTTGTGCTTGATGGCCTTTGGCGTGAAATTGGCGAGCAACAACTCGAGAACCTCGGATGGAAGAGCAACGCACTCGTCAATCAACTGAACAAGCACATCAGCCATACAGATCTCGACGTTCTTGGACATATCCGGTCTCGCTAGATCCAAAAAGGCCTTGAAGTAATCCGTCATGATCTCATCTGCGTTCTGCAGATCGCAGACAAGCACAACCGACTTGACGTTACTGAGCGACTCGAGCAGGTAGAAGTACTCTGCATATTGTGGTCCATTCGGCTTTGACAACCCGGCTTGCGGCATGGTGAGTTGGTGAACGAAGAACTGGAAGATATCCCTCAACTCGGCCGGTGTGAATGGCGCGTTGGGCGCAAAGAGTCGAAGCATGTCGGCTAAACAGCAGGCAACGTTGGCTTTGACAGCTTTATCCTTGTGAAGCATCAGTGCTGGGGTGACGAGTTCCTTGCAAATGTCTTTGAGAGAGTTGACGTCGACGGTGTCCTGTTCCATCTCGCTCAATTCTGTGCGGACCTGTTTGACGCGCTTGAGGAGTGCATCTGTCGAGCTTCCCTTTTGGTAGAGCTTGCCTTTGAGCGAGAGACGGGCAAGGGCTTGTCGCCGCGTCGCCGGCACTGCGGAAGAGGTGCTGGCGGTGGTGGTTGCTGTCGCCATGATTGAGTGTAAGAGGTCTATTGGTGGCGTCGAGCTGAAGCGTGGTGGGTGGCGTGGTGGTGATGGTGGTGGTAGTGGTAGATTCTCGACAGGACGTGCGCAAAGCGAAAGCGTGCCAAGTGTTGGATTTGAACGCGCTTTGACTTTCCAACTGCGCTCTTCTCCCTTTCAGCCTTTCAAAGGTCGCGCGCGTGTTAAGCAGGGACGCGTCTTCACTTTACTGTAGCTCACTCAGACATAGACAAGACAGACCCTCGATAAGAAAAGGAAAAAAACAAAAAAACAAAAAAAAAACAAAAAAAAACAAAAATGTAGCGTGTTAGTTGCATTCGTCCTGACACCCCAAAGATCGAGCAACAACGACAACAACGACACTGACGAGGACGAGGATGAGAGCATCAAGATACCGACATCGAGCTAGTTTGCTTGAGCAATGCAATCTCTTGTTCCATCTCGCTTAGTGCCTTGCGCATCTCTCGCCCCGTACGTCCGCCCTGATTCGATCTACCGAAAGCAATATCGAGCTCCTCGATAGCCTGAGTGAGCATCTGTTGGGCCAACTCAACCCGCATCTCCTCAGGAACGCTAGGCGCGTTCTTGAGTATGGAAAGTGTTCTTTGATCAGCTTGTGCAGCCGTCTGTTGGACTGCTGCACGACATACCGCAGCATTTGGCACTCCACCCATCTGCAATGCTGCACCGCCTGCAAAGTCGCCAGCTTCACGCTGTCGCATACGATGCGTGTTGTCCAACTGTGCCAACACCAACTTGGCCAACGTTGCAATAGCAATCGCTCTGGCTGGGTGACCTTTGGGGTAAACTGGTGTGTTGGAGGCTTGCGTACCTGCCACAACCAGCATCTGCATTCTGACCGCCTCGTCCAAGCAGTACGCTGCTGCTTGTTCCTTTGATGCATCTGCTGGATCAAGAGATAGCAAAGTGGAGCCGACTTCAATGAGGCATGTTGTCGCCAATCTGAGCAGCTGGAAAAGAGGTTGCCAAGAAGGTGGGTATCGCTCCACCAAGCCTGGTAGTATCGCAGCGCACTGGTTCCATGCCAGTTCCGACTCGCCTCGGTCCAGCAATCGCGACGCTTGCTTGAGTACATCTATTGCCAGTCGAGTGTCTTCTGCCACATCTGTTGATGTCACTTGAGACGCCGAGTGGCACTTGCTGCACTTGGCGACCAGTGTTGAAGACAGCGCTGATGCTTGCGCTGCACTGCTGTCCGACAAGTTCATTGCTGAACCGTCGATCCAAGCACCACATCGTTTTGGGCACCACACCGCGTGTCGAGGATCGATCCAGTTGTTGGGTCGAGGCGGCCGTACTCCGAATCCGTCCTGTGGCGCATGCTGCATTGGTGACGAAGAAGGAGAAGCAAAAGGCTGTCCGCTCGCAGAAGCCAGCTTGGCCTGACTCTTGCGACACAGCTCGCAACGGCAGTCGAAGCAATATCGCTTCTTGAGGTAGTTACGTCGATCCTGATATGTATCCGCAATGTCGACATACGAGATGAGCAGCTCTTCACCCGGTTCGATCGCCCTCAACGCCACAAGCTGCATGATCCTATCCTCTCCATCATTCCACTTTTGTTGCCCGTTCTTAGCAGCGCCGCCAAAGGGAAACACGACAGCTGCATTGGGTGTGCAGGCATGATTGATCATTGCCATGCTCGGATGCATGCAGACACCGAGTGGGTTGAGATCACTGTCGGTGAGTGTGAACGAGTTGCTGGCGAATTGACAGACGAGGTCGAGCAGTTCTTTCGCCGAGTCGATGCCGACCGCACGCAATGCGTCTCCTTGCGACAAAGTAGATTCGGGTTGCAGCATCTCGTCCAAGTGAGCTTCGCCTCGAGTGACAGGTCCAAGTGTAGCACTGGCACGTGCTGCCGCGGTGAGGTACTGGGCAAGGTGCAGCGCAAGTTGTGCCTGTTGCTGCAGCTCTTCCGGTGCGAAACGTTCTCGATGCGAACAAAGTTCAAGCAGATCACCTCGCTCGCCGCGAGCTTTATCCTTACCACTGCCACCACCGATACGACTTCGTGCCCAGATCCAGCGAGCCAAGGCACGCATCATCGAACTTGGAAGTCGAATGCGATCCTTGCTGCTATTCGAGCTTCTGCTACTAGCTCCTGCTCCACCACGCCCTCGGTCAAGACCGCTGTCATCATCGCTCTCGTTACCCTGCAGTTGACCAGCAGCAGCAGCCGCAACCACCTCATCATTGTCCTGAAACGAGCCAATGTTGAAAGGTGCACTACCACCTTGAGATTGGGCAAAACGATTTGCCAGAGGCTGATCGAGCTGTCGCAAAGCAGATCGGTAGGTGTGAAGCTGCTGCATAGCTTTGAGCGCCTTGCATTCGTCGCGATGGGTAGGCCAATCACGTCGTTGGCATGCAGACGAACAGTATCGCACCACTTTGCATCCAGAGCATCGTTGTAGCTTGCCTGCCGTTGATGCAGCAGCCTGTTGGGCGATCGGCTCGGAAACTGAACGAGGCGAGTAACAGGCCGAGCAGCGTTGTTCGAGCAAAGCAGTGGAAAGCACAGCTACCTCGGGTCGAACACGAAGGAGCACATCGCCAGGACGACAGCTGGTAATGCCAGCAGCTGCCCATCCACCGGGAGCCGAATAGGAGCTGGACAGAAGCTGAGAATAGGAATAGGACATCGAGCCAGAGAAGGAGCGCGAGCGATTGGCTGGAGAGAAGGCGGAAGAGGAGCTCGAGATGGAAAAGTGGGCAGGTGAGAGGCCATTTTTCGGCAATGGCGCATAGAAGAGGGCACGCTCGCTCGAGAAAGGATCGAAGCGGAGCTCGAGGTCCTGAACGTCGGGCAGCCTGACTCGACTACCTGCAGCACCTGGCTCTTTTTTGGCGTTGGCGCTGGCATTGGCATTGGAAGGAGCTGGTCGTTGTGGAACAGGTGATGGTTGTTGGCCGTGCTCCATATCAGTATCGGGCGTCGGCCTCGAGCTCATTGCGAATGCATTTGATGGTGCTGATCTATTCGAAGGACCCGGCATGGCAACCGGAGTGGCAGGTGGACCCATATTTCCTGTTGCTGAAGCTGATCCGAAGCCGTAATGCTGATGTTGATCCGATGAGCCTTGAATGGCTTGAGCAGCAGATGATAGCGTGGAGAGGGGATTGCGTCTAGCTTCCCTTTGCGCTTTAAGCGCGGCAAAGGAGGATGCTGACGAGATCATGTGTCGAGACGAGGCGAGGTGAGTTGAAGTGATGATGGTGTGACAAGGTGTCGTGTCGCACAAAACTGAGCATCGTATCAAATCATGATTCTGGCAGAAATCAAGATGCTTGCCACCACTAAAATGCCAAATTGCCGGTGGATAAGGTTGTGCGTGCCATCATTAAGCCCAGGCACAGGTCGGAATGGGATTTCATTTTGTGATGCCGAATCTCACTGTGTGATCGCTGCTGGCTGCTGAGATTGCGCATTCTCCTGCACTCTGCTCACGATTAAATCGGCACAGAATCGCAATCTCGGCTTGGCTAGCCCGATTGCGTTTCTCACTTCACAATTCGCGGTTCCGATCGACTGCAGCTTGCACATCATTTACGCGACACGTCTGCTTAGAACAGCATTTCCTACACGACGCGTCGACATCATCCTTTCTCGTCAATTTACGCGAAAAGCAAGCGTGACTGAGACCCGAACGCGTTTGATGAAATTCCACACTTTCTCTGAGCCTGTCACAATTTCAACGCACAAGCCCACTTGCACGTCGCGCTCTCTTCTCTTGTAAACACGCCGTCGACAGAACTCGAGACAGAGCCTAAGCAGAGAAGGAAAAAGTGAAGAGGTGGAGCACGATCCGCCTGTCAGTGGCGTAAAGGAGCCCAGCGTGAGTGGTGGAGCTAGGCTAGAGCGAACACAGTTCAAGGAGGAAAGGGTCTTGCTCGTCCTTTTTTTACAAAAGCATAGCTGGGCTGAGCATGCCAAAGTGCTCGTCACAAGTCTTGCATAGCTTCCTTCTCGATTTCTCTTTCACTGTCTTCCGCAACCATCTTCCGCATCTCTTCGGCATCATCCCTCCATCCATACCTTCTTCCAATGCAACATCATACCCCTTGCCCCACTGCTCTATCTCCAGCCAACTAGCTTTTATTGCTCATCACATCCAAATCGTATTCTCTCTATCACACCACTAGCATCCTTCCGACTCAACCCATTTACCTGCTTCAATCTAGACCGGATCATCCTCACGCCCACCCTATTCCTGGACTACTTCCCTCTGCGCCCTTCGTCGTACACACACTCGGCATACCACTATTCCGCTCCACAACATACCCCTGTCCATGAAGCCACCTTTTCTGGCATCGCAACCTCGCAGCTGAGCTTTACGACTCGTGCTCAATCACGCATGCTCGCAAGGTCGAGTGACCTGACAGTGATTCCATCCGTTCCGCTTCGCTCGAACAGCGTCTCGCTTCACCATGTCGATCCAGCAAGCTCTCATCTCTCCCCCGCTGTCCGGCAGGACAGACAAGGCAGATCATCCTCACAAGGTCACCGACGCAGTGGATGTTTTCGGCTCAACAGGCCAACAACGTGAGCCCTCGCACTTTGATCGCAGTCATCACCCCTCCATCGCAAGCCCCGTCAAGAAGCATCATGACTCTCTCTCAGAGGCAGAACACGCCGCGCCTCCTCTCACTCCACCCATGAGCAAGGATGTCCGTCACGATGCTCAGACTCGTCAACGGGAAGAACTCGCCAACCGTCATCGCACCAGCTCAGAAGCTGACCTATTCGATCTGGACGCACCATCCGCATCAGCTTGCGCAGCGCACCTAGCCGCACCGGTCCAAGTGCGCACCGCATCATCTGCATCCACTTCCAGACCGGGCCTGCTCGAAGCTGCCCACCTCGACAACCCTTTCGACACCCTTAACGACGGAGTTGACTTTGCATGCGATGGCGACCACAACCCGTTTCTCAATCGCAAACGACCCACTTCCTCTTCCTCCTACTCTGAAGCATTCAAATTTGCCTGTCCGGCTTCCGCTACCTCTCAACCCCCGTATCCTCAGTACGACGCTTTCGACAGCGACCAAGACGCTGATGGATCTGTCCACGAAGATGACTTTGCCTCCGACTTGCACGGTAATGCTACACGAAGAGCATCCTCATCATCCAACGCTACCACCACTCCGGCACGCATCGGCAACGCGCCCGTCTACCGCCCAGCGCGATCATTCTCAACGCACGTCAGAGTGAGCAATGAGCCGGTTACATCCACCATCCCTATCCGCGATACACCCAAGAACCCATTCCTCGCAGGCGGACCGGCAGACATCGGTTTCGAAGGACCCAACCGACACTTGGCCTACCGACGTGCTAGACAGATCCCAGGCAAAGAGCGAGGCAAGATCACCTATGTTTTCCGTGGTCAAAGGGTCACGTATGCTGATCCAGAGTACGATTCCGAAGATGACCATTCCGAGCTCGAAGATGAGCGGGCGAGAGTGAATGCGTTCAACCCGCATCACAAGCAGGATCACCCACCGAGATTGCAGCCCAAGCTGTTGTTCCCGCCTTCAATCCCAAGCTCGGCTTATGCGACTGCAGGTAGCAGCTCGAGTATGAAGAGTGGGCATTTGCATGCGCCTGCCTCGGTTGCTAGTCGACGCAGCTACACGAGCCAGGCGTACCTGCCGCGTGCGGAACTGGCTGATGACGAGTTCGGCGGTGCGGGGAGCAGAAGTGGGTCTGAGGAGAGAGGTCGTGTTTCAAGCAATGGAGCTGGTTTGTTTGCGGCTCAGATTGCGGCAGAGCAGCAGCAGGAAAGGCAAGCAACTGCAGCGCCTAAGATCGCACCTTGGTACGCTTCGAGGTCGACTTTTCACGACGGCACTCGTAGCCAAGAAGAGCAGGAGTACTCAGGAGATCCGCTACCATCCAAGCAGCACCACTACACTGCACCTTCCAGCTCAGCAAGGCTGCAGAACATTGTGCACGACAGCTATTCTGCCAGCGAAGAGACTGCAGCTATCGAGCCAAGAAGGTGCGCAGGTGACGAAGAGAGACGGACAGCAAGGGCAGCACTCTTGGCTCGTCTAGATCAGACCAACTGGAGCGATGACGAGGGAGATGATGATGAGGGCGGAGACAACAGATTCGGCCGTCGTCGTGCACGCGCAGGCAGCGAAGGAACCCTGGATGAAGACGAGGAACAGTACCCAGTGCAAAGCTACGCGTTGCCATGTTCGCAGAGCCAGAGGAAGCGTTTATCGGACGAGTTGCAACTGCAACCAGGACATGCTGAAGAGATGGATGTGGTGGGGAGGCCTATGAAGCGGTCTCGTGCTTCATACGCTTACTGAAGCAGAATCAATTGCTACAGAGGATACACAGACCACACACTTGCTCCATCATCATTGCGATCGTTTCAAGTTCGGGTCAAACACTATACATTCAAACATACACATGCATTTCATCTTCTCGCAATCACCTAGCATCTCTGTCCTCATCATCATCATTGCCTGATCGCGATTGCAAGTAGGAGCTCGTGTTGAGGAATGCACAATCAGGGGCGGTAAAGCAAGTGGCGAATCGTTAGCATTCAGAGAGAACTAAGTACAAAGCAATAGTACAAAGCAATATCAGGAGTATATATGCCTATACTGTCAGTCGATGTGTGCCTATGTAGATGAGGTGACACGTATGACTGCGTGCTGTTGTCGAATGAGATAGGGGCGTTGGTGGGTGATGTTGAGCGTTGGTGGGAGTTGACGGGTGGCGACGCTGAGCCAAGTTTGCGGTCATGTTAGAGCATGAGTACGCGGTCATGTGATTTCACTGCTCGAAATGGCCGTCAAAAGAGCGAGCAAAGCCTAACAGAACAAGATGGTCGATGAAGCAGAGAAATACGAATTTTTTTCGCCTTGTTTTCCAGCTCTCTGATATGATCATTCAGAAAGGCTATATTTGACGCCGGTTTGAAGCCCGCTTCCCTTTCTTGCCGCCTCTCTCTCTCTCCTGACCTTGCGTCACTCTTCCACGCGTTCTCCTTTCGTAACCGGTTCAGCCCGGAATCTTCGCCCCCTCTTCTCGCTTTCAGCTCTCTGACTCTTTCTCTCTCTCTCTCTCTCTCTCTCTCTCTCTCTCTCTCTCTTTCCCCAAGTTAGTGTAACTACCCGACGCCTGGTTGCTCTTGCCCTGTGCCCCCACCCCCGCATTTGTCGTTGCCCTTGTGCCCATCCTCTCCTCCTCGGCCACCTCGCCCCCTTCCTCCCGAGCCGGTCACTGTAGCTGCGACTATTGTTGCTCATAATCAACGTCATGTCTCTCCTTCGTCTCGCCCTTCCTCGGGCCATCTCTTCCTCCTCCACCACCATCACGGCCTCCCTCTCCTCCTCGTCATCATCATCCCATCGAGAGCTCTCTACCTTCGCCATGATGTCCGCTAGAGACCGCTCCCTCTCCCGATCCTCGGCCTCCTCCGGCTCCTCCTCAAGCATGGCCCTCGACTCTGCCTACGGATCCTCCTATACTACCCAGGCTTCGACCTCGCGTCATTTCGCCTCCTCCTCCAAACCCCAGGCCGGCGGTTACAAACCGGTGTTGACCATCGAGACGATCAACCCGCACGTCCTCGAAGCCGAGTATGCCGTTCGTGGTGAGATCTCCAACCGTGCCAACAAGTACGCTGCCCAGATCGCCCAAGGTAACGCCTCCAATCTCCCCTTCTCCTCCGTCGTCACCGCCAACATCGGCAACCCTCAACAGCAGCCCTACCTCGCACAGAAACCTTTGACCTTCTGGCGTCAGGTTGCCGCGCTCACCGAATACCCCGAACTCATGGAGCAAGCCGGTATCGACAAGATCTTCCCCAAAGATACGCAGGAACGTGCCAAGTTGTTATTGCAAGATATCGGAAGTGTCGGTGCTTACTCGCATTCGAAAGGTGCTCCTATCGTTCGCAAGCATGTTGCAGAGTTTATTCAACAGCGTGATGGCTACCCTTCCGATCCGGAGTTAATCTATCTCACTACAGGTGCTAGTGGTGGTGTTCAGCTGTTGTTGCAGGTGCTTATTGCAGGGCCTAAATCAGGAGTTATGATTCCCATCCCTCAGTATCCTTTGTACAGTGCTGCCTTGGCATTGTACAACGCTCAACCGGTCAAGTACGATCTAAACCCATCCGATTATTGGGCCTTAGACGTAGAGGCTATGTCGCGTAGCATCGATGAAGCGCGTTCCAACGGCGTCGATGTTCGTGCCTGTGCAGTGATCAACCCTGGTAACCCTACCGGTCAGTGTCTTTCCTACAAGAACGTTCAAGATTTGATTCGAATGGCATACAACAAACGCCTCGTTCTACTCGCTGATGAGGTGTATCAGGCCAACATCTATCAGCCTCAGGAGAGACCTTTCCATTCGTTTAAGAAGGTTCTTATGGATTTCGCTGGCTCGAGCAACGCCGAAGAGCACAACATTGCTAAAAGCGTCGAACTCGTTTCGTTCCATTCCATCTCCAAAGGTGTTTCGGGAGAGTGCGGTAGAAGGGGCGGATACTTCGAGTTGACCAACATGGATCCAGATGTGGAAGCACAGATTTACAAACTCGCCTCTATCTCCCTCTGCCCTTCCCTCCAGGGTCAAATTGGAGTGGATATGCTTGTTAAACCCCCCACCCCGGGCTCTCCTTCTTACGACCTATACAAGCAGGAAACCCAAGGCATTCACGCAACTCTCAAGTCTCGTTCCGACAAGATGGCTGAAAAGTTCGCTCAGCTTCCCGGTGTTCAAGTCGAATCAGCTCAAGGTGCTCTGTATCTGTTCCCGAGAGTAACACTGCCGAAGAAAGCACACGAGGCAGCAAAGCAGAAGGGAAAGAAGGTAGATGAGTTCTACTGTTTGGAAATGCTAGATGCTACAGGTATCTGCGTTGTGCCGGGTAGCGGATTCGGTAAGATGCCAGAAAAGGACACTGGAGCTTGCTTCTTCAGGACGACAGTGTTGGCAAAGGAGACCGACGAGTTCATTGAGAGATATGGAAAGTTCCATACCCAGTTTGTTGAGAAGTATGCCTAAGCCACTAGCGATCGGTCAGGATATAGAGTTTCGTTCATCTGTACCATTCCCTCCATAGTCATGCTTCCGGCTTTTGTCCAATTCAGCCATTGATCTAGAAAACTCATATGCGAGAGTGAGAACTGTGTTTGAAGACGTTGGGCAGGTGTCAAATGGATTTCGAGTTTGCTTTTCGCTGGCACAACGATCTGAGATTGATTTTCGTCTTGTCCAACTTTCCACATACACATGTACAGACGACCACTACACTTGGTATCACCCTGTTGGTGTCCAGAAATCCGTTGGTATGAGTTTCAATCGAGCTATGTGGACCGCTAAACCAGTCTCCCACCACCGCTCCCCCCATGACTATCACCAGCATAACTACCAGTTTGTTTGCTCGCATGACCTTTCGAGTGTCTTTCCCCCGCACCCGGACCTCTATTTACCTCATCCACTGCACTGCCTGACCCCGCCTTTGAACTGGGTAAATTACCTTCACCACCATGAGTATCACCAGCATAACTCGGCTTATTCCCGCTAGTTGCACCTCTACCCTGGCTCGCAGCTCTATTCGCCGCTGCATTTGTTGATGTGTTTGGTGGTTCTACTACATCTTTGAAGCCCAAGTTGTCCATGTCGTCGTTGTCCATGAGTCCTTTATCCATACGACATTGGAGATAGGCGCGGGAGAGGTGTCGACATTTACCGTTGTCGTTGCCGTTGTATTTGATACAGTTCATGTATTCTTGCATGACTTGCTTGCATTCCCCTATCACAAGCGCAGAGTGGCATGATGAGGTTGAAAAGATTAGTAAGGGTAAAGTTAAAGTGGAAGAAGGGAGTAAGAATTTACCTTGATGATCAAGAGGAAAAGAACCCCTTTCGGGAGGAGACACTTTGAAGTCGGAGAATGTGGGTGGTCGACCAAATGACATCTTGGACTATCGATTGGCGGTTGGTTGTGATGGTGGTGTGTTGGGAAGCAAGAACAGCCCCTCGAGCTCTCAAGCGTGTTTGTCAAGTGAGCAAGAGGACTTGAGTTGTGCTTAGAAGGCGTCTAGAAGATGAGTAATGGACCTGCTGAGAAGGCCTGTCACAAGAAGGATTGCTTACCGAGACAGCCCTTCAGGGTTTGCCTTCAGAAGTGGAGGTTGGGCAGTGACGGAATTCGGACATGCTTACTCAGCTCAGCATTTTTCTACCCATTGTTACATCGGCAGTTTCCTGACATAGTCCAAAAAAGCGCCAAGAGTGGAGCTGGAATTCAGGGTGCAACCTCAGATGAGCTTCTTCGGAACACGGCCCACATGCTGCTTCTTCTTTCGACCACACAACACCATCACCTACAACGAAGCCACGCTTAGGCGGTAGGAGGGCATGGGCAAGGATGCCAGCATCAACACGAGAAGCAGCAGCAACTTCTCCCTCATTAGAGAACTCCACCGCTGACCCCCTATCCGGAGTCGACACAATCATTGTAATCGATAATGGAGCACACAATATTCGCATAGCCTCCATACCCTACCCCCTTCCCACCTCCCTCTTCCCCTCTTCCTCTTGGTCCAGCATCGACACTCGCACGCTCCTCTCTTCCATCCCTATCGAAGTATACCCCAATGCCATCGCCCGTACACGCATGCCTCACACCATTCCCTCTCACTCCTTTCCAACCGCAACCGCACCAGCCCCAGGAACAAAGACATCGATCTTCGTCTCATCCCACATTCATTCTCTCCTCGACGACTATGCGGCTTTGCATCTTCGACTACCGCATCAGAGTGGAGTGATTGTAGATTGGGCTGCGCAAAAACGGATTTGGGATCATGTTCTGACGAATCATCTCGTAAAGACTGAGGGCGGGAGTGGAAGTGGAAAGAAAGGCAAAGGCAAGTTGTTGGCCGGCAAAGCAGTGGTGATTACGGAAGCGTATCTAAACCCAGAACCAGTACAGTCTGCGATAGACTTGATGCTGTTTGAACAGTATGGTACACAAGCTGTTTGGCGGACGACTAGCGCTGATTTGATTGGGGTCGGAAGTGACGTTTTCTCGCCTTCAATACCACCCCGTCCTATCACACCGCCGGAGGAGGTAAAAATAGAGTCAACCGCAACCTCGTCTTCTTCCAAACCACCTCTCCGCCCAGCCCGAAGTTCGGACGCGACAGAGCCCTCCCTATCCCGCATAAGCTTTCCCTCTCGTCCGCAGTCGCTGCTAGTAGTAGATTTAGGCTACTCCTTCTGCCACGCTATCCCCATCATCAACTCCCAACCTCACACCGCTTCCATCCGCCGTCTGGAACTGGGCGGAAAGATGTTAACCAATCTGTTGAAAGAGACGCTTTCGTTCGGACAGCTGGATATGATGGATGAAAGTTGGCTCATGTCTCATATCTTTGCACGCACTTCTTTTGTGGCTGCCGAGGTCGGCAGGAGGGTCTACGGGGGGAGAGAGAGGGTGGAGAGCGAATTGGAGAGGATAGGGGCAATGAGTGCCGGTGAGTGGAGTTATGAAGATTTGTTACTGTTGGAGAAATACCGTGGGAGGTATAAAGAGAAGGGAGGTGGCAAGCAGGTGCGGTTGGAGTGGAGGTTGCCTGATTACGGAGGAAATAGTAGGAGAGGGGAAAGGGAGAGGGAGAGAGCAAGATATGGGTTCATTGTAGATGGGCCTAATCCTGCGAAAGCTGGCGAGAGGCAAGCGAAGAGACAGAAGCTGGATAAGGAGGAGGTTGATTGGGATTCGGCCTTCATCGCTTCTTCTTCCTCATCTTCTCACACAATCCCGAAGAAGGATGGAGAGGAAGAAGAAGAGGAGGAGGAGAGAGAGGACCTTCAATCACTGACCCTATCATCCGAACGTTTCAGCATCCTGGAAAACCTGTTCAACCCTTCCGCCCTCTCTCTGGATCAAAAGCCCCTCCCTGAACTCATTCTCGACTCCATCACCTCCCTGCCCGCCTCTATGGCTAGTGCAGGGGATATGATGTGGAGCAACATAGTTCTCACCGGCGGTCTATCGAACGCAGTAGGCATGAAAACAAGGTTAGAGAAGGAACTTCGACCGCTAGCACCGAGTGATGTGCCCGTGCGCATCCTTCCAGATCCTAGAGAGGATAGAAGTTTGTTACCGATCCAAGCTGGGGTGCTGTGGGCGGTGGAACTAAGCGCAAGAGAGGCGTTGAGGCGAGATAGGAGAGGAGAACAGAAGGAATCGGCGGGGAAGAAAGGAGCGAGGAAAGGAAAAGGTAGAGGTGGCGGGAGGAAGAGTGTAAGTCTTGCCCCTGCCGACCGAGAGGATGAGGAGGAGGAAAGAGGGGAGAAGGGGAGATGGATGACATATGCTCAATGGTCTAATCCTCCGACCGTCGGAGGCGCTGCGGCAGGCGAGGTTGATATTGTTAAGGCTGCTAACTCTGTGTTCTACCCTGCAACACCCGCATTTGCACTCGGCACAAAGAACAGTAGAGCATAAGTACGAAAGGGAATGTAGTTGTATCGATACCAAATTCATTAACGAAAGTGGACGTTCTAGAAGAAACGAAAGTGTACAGCGACGAAAAGAAAGAAAGATGTTCAACGTCGAATAGGCCTCGCAACTTCCCTAGCACTACTAACAGCAGCTGAAGGATTACCTCCCTTAAACAACCCCCTCACATTTTCTCCAATGTTGCTGCCAGCAATTTTCATCCTACCCCAAGCATTTCCAATCCTATCACCCAATCTATTCCATTTACCAGCTACAGGTTGCTGATCCATCCGCTGCTGGTTAGGGCCTACAGGCCTCGCCAACGCCTTCAACCGGTTAACCTCCGTCCTTACCCTCGTCGGCCACTGCTTAACCTCCGTCCTTACCTTCGTCGGCCACTGCTTAACCTCCGTCCTTACCCTCGTCGGCCACTGCTTAACCTCCGTCCTTACCTTCGTCGGCCACTGCTTAACCTCCGTCCTTACCCTCGTCGGCCACTGCTTAACCTCCGTCCTTACCCTCGTCGGCAACTGGTTAACCTTCGTCCTCAGCCTCGTCGGCCACCTTTCCGGAACTCTGTACAAGAAAGTGCCTTCATGAGCAACTCCAAACGTCGACATCGTATCCCGCACTCCCTCCGGCCTCCAAGCTTTCGGCCACGGCAGAGCTTTATTCTCGGGAACCACGGACGTTCCGAACATCTCTGGTGGAGCAAGGCCTCCACCAGGGGATTGACCGGTATACACCACCCGCACTTGATTCTTGTAATTCTTTGGATCGTAAAATACCCTTGCTTCTCCAAAAGTCTGCGCTGCATCCCGAGCTTGGTATGGGATTGTTCTATCTGATGCGGTCTCACCGAATTCGTGGACGGCTGGTTTGCCACCGGTGGTGTAGTAGTTTACTATTCTGGGGTTTTTGGCTATTGCGATATGGTCTTTAAGGTCCGCCAGATGAATTCTCATCTTTTCCTGGACAGGAGCGAAGCGTGACGAGATGCTATCTTTCACCTTTGCGAGTCTCGACGAAAACGTAATTGCAGAAGGTTTTAAATTCGACCACCTAACCTTTTGCCTCGATATCGGCGCCAAGTTTTGATCGGAGGGATACGTCTCTTTAATCTCGGCCTCTGCCTTCTTCGCATCGTGCAATATGGGTGGAACATAGCCAACACTTTCCCTGTACACATCATGATTGGGTTTGTTGTAGAACCGGTAAACTTGTGCTCCGCCGGGTGCGGTTGGGTCGGAGTATGAGACGAGTTGATATGCGTCTGTCGTTTGGGGTAGTTGGGAGATGGCTTCTTTTATGTGTGAGTTGGCGGGGTTGGTGAGATATTTGTCGAGGGCTCCGCTGGGAAGAGGCTCGGCGGCAAGAGCGATGTTTTTCCCTTTCCCTGCCTCTTGCCTAGCATCACTAACAGCAGCTGAAGGATTACCTCCCTTAAACAACCCCCTCACATTTTCTCCAATGTTGCTGCTAGCAGTTTTCATCCTACCCCAAGCACTTCCAACCCTATCACCCAATCTATTCCGTCTACCAGCTACAGGATTCTGATCCATCTGCTGCTGGTTAGGGCCTACAGGCCTCGCCATCGCCGTCCACCAGTTAAGCTTCGTCCTTAGCCTCGTCGGCCACCTTTCCGGAACATTTTTGAAGAAACTGTCTGGATTACCATTTTCCGATTTCACCTTTGCGAGTCTCGACGAAAACGTAATTGCAGAAGGTTTTAAATTCGACCACCTAACCTTTTGCCTCGATATCGGCGCCAAGTTTTGATCGGAGGGATACGTCTCTTTAATCTCGGCCTCAGGCACATCAGCCGGAAGAGATTGTTCATCTCTAGCGTTAGGACTTAGGAGATCAGCTAACTTAGGCTTCCCCGACCTCGTCCTCGGGCGGTCAGAAGGAGTTGTGGAAACGGAAGGATAGCTAGACGGTCCAAACGCACCATCACTTCCATGTGAACTAGGTGCTGGAGAGCCAGCTGACCAATCTGCGGTGTCAAGGGCGGATTTGTAGCTTGACAATGGGGAGAAATTGTTCGGCAAGCTAGAAGATCGACGAAAACCGGTGGACAGATCGGGACGGCTGGAGAAATCGGTGAAAGATGGAGTGGAGGATGTTGTTTGCTGTTCTGTGGCAGATAATGGGAATGGCTCGGGGCTTCTTCGGTTGAGATGGCCCCGCTTGGAGCCCGGGTTGAAGGCCAGGGAAAGAGTGGCGAGGAAGAAAGAGATGAGGAGAACGCGAGGGAAAGGATTGGGTATCATCTTGATGACGTTTCTACCAGAGAAACGAACGAAGGACTGACTGAATGAATGTGATGGTTCGAAAAGAGAAGGCAGACAATCGAAAAAAGGGGGGAGGGAGGGAAAGATGTGCTTCATCGAAAAATCACTCTTTTTTATAAGTAGGAGGGATGAGAGTGTTTATCGCAGTCATGTGGGTCAATGAAGATGAAGTGAGGAGGTTGCCACATTGATGTTGTGATTAGTAGCTGGCAGTGGTTGCGAACAATGATCGGTACCTTGGTGGGCGGATACAACGAGCAATGGTAAGCTCCCGACGTTTCGGTTCCTTACAACAAGGGGGTGTTGAGAGTGTTGTGGACTCTCCAATCACCAGTGTCGTTCAATGGAGGGGTGTGGCAACGGTTGAGTGGGTCGTTTGATGCCAAATGAGGCCGCCATCGCGCGACGAGTGGCTCGACCAGCATGTTCAGCAACCGCAGGGAAATCGGTCAAGCTCGGCAAGACCTTGCGAACGTTTGTCAACACGTGTCGCCGGGCCGGAAGTGCCTCAAGATTGTTGATGTTGACTCAACACAAGCGGAGAGATCATCGAGGGTGGGACAATGGCGAGCTCAGTGGTGGAATTGAAGTCTTACGTCATCGTTCTGTGCTCAGATCAGTCACAAACTCTTCACAGCCTCAACTCATAGCGCACTTGAGAGGGAGAAGGAACGATGCGATTGCCAGCAAAAATAGCATCAACTCGATACAAACAAGGGAGGAAATAAAGCAGGAAGAAAGGGGGACGCAAAACGGGAAGAAAGGAACATTAGCTGCGATACCAAATCGCTGCTTCAAGGTCCACGAAAGTACTTGAACCCGCCCGCAACTCTACCAAACAATTCTCTGGCTCCTTTGGTGGGTCTCTGAGTCAAAGAAAGTTCCGATCTTGCCTCCGTAGCTGCTGGTCTGATAGCAAATGATGGCATTTCCACCGTGTCAACCTTTTGCTCCCTGATAGCTCTTCGAACCTCTTTGTCAAATCTATTCTTAGTCCTAACAAATCTCGTTGGCTGATTTTTAGGGTTATGGTACCAAACCTTACCATCAGCTCCTTCAACGAAGAAAGGCATATTTGTTTTCCTCATTCGATTGATTGTAGCAGCGTCCCATCCGTAGCCGGGCAGCTTGACTGCGAGGAATTGCTTTCGAAATGTAGCTGGCCACACCTTAAGTGAGCCGGCTGATGGTCTGAGTTTTGAAGTTTCAAGCAATTGATTGACCTGCTTCGTGCTCAAGGAAGGCGAAAGACTACGGTCACCATACCAAGGGAACTTCCAGCCGGAGAACCAGGAGCCTTTGGTCCCTTCTCGGATGGGCACGGATCTTGGAGCGGGCAAAAGTTCCTCACGCTGCAGAGCTCCTGTGTCCAGAAGACTGTTTTGGTCTGCCTTGTGCAGGAGTACTTCATCTTCGTCGATCGGAGGGAGTATGTCTCCAACGGAAGTTTTACCTTTAGTCTCAAGGGGTGACCTCTTCCAAATCTTTCTCAAGGAAGAGAGGCCCGATCTGGCATTCCGGCTCGTCTCGGCAACTTCACCGGCAAGATTGCTTTTAGGTAGGATGACGGTGCGAGAGCCTTCTCGGCTGAGAACCTCTCTGACACCTGCAGCTTGAGTTTCTTCGACCTGTTCCTCTTCGAACCCTTTCCCACGTGTTCTTTCGCTATAGAAGTACACATCTCCGTCTGGGTGTTCGGCAAAGAAAGGTTGGCCCCGTTCCATCATGTGATTGAGGAGACATTCCTTCAAGGTTTCCGATGGGACTTTGATGGCATGGTAATAGCCGATGTGGGCAGGACTGATGTATGCAGGTGCACTGTGACCAGGGATTTGCATCGTAAAGCCGCGATTGGCACAAATAGTTGCCCGAGTTTCTTCAGGATATTGATTGAGGAACCCTTCATGGGCTCGTTGTTGTTCCCCATTGCTGGGGACGCGTTGAGGCCCTAAACGTTGTGCGAAAAGAATCGGAGCAAGAGTCGCCAGGACTACCAGCTGGAGCAGGATGAAAGCTTTGAGCGTCTTGCCGAGCATCTTGACAAGCTAAAGACGAGAAAGAAGAACGATGCAGAGTCAAGAAGGGAGTGTTCGAGGCTAGAGATTTCTACCTATGATTCGAAAGAACATTTGTGATGAAAGGAGAGAAGGGAGGACAGGCAAAGGTAGAGCTAGCTACGCCCCGTGACTCCTGAGTCGAGTGGGCGAATGATGTGATTTGGATCAAGGGCGGATGAAAAAGTGACGAGACTTGGCGAAGCCTGACATTGTTTAAGTATATCATGCTTGCGTGTCACCAATCCCATCGCTGGACGATACTGTTGTAAGCAAGAACTGCAACAATATCAGGCAACTCTTCCCCTTCAACGTGCTTTGTTTTGATGGGCGCAGTCAACATTGAATGTTGCGGCTAAACACAGAGTCAGGAAGCATCCTCTGATGGATGTGCCTCCATGCTATCCACCAGAATCGTGGCGTCGCCTGATTTGACGAGCGAAAGATGATAGTGGTGGGTTCTTTCCTTGTAGGTGAGGGTCGATGTGGAAGAGCAACCATGACCATAGCGAATTGGGCGTTACCAACCAAATGAAGAGCATGTGGGCAACACGAAACTTCACAGAGCGGCGGCCGACAAGGGTGGTGACCACCCCACTCATCTCATCACTCGGAAGTTCCAGCACAGATTCGACCCACAACACGCACATCAGACTCAGCAGAACAGAGTATTCTAGCGCTCCTTGTAGGTGAGGGTCGATGTGGAAGAGCAACCATGACCATAGCGAATTGGGCGTTACCAACCAAATGAAGAGCATGTGGGCAACACGAAACTTCACAGAGCGGCGGCCGACAAGGGTGGTGACCACCCCACTCATCTCATCACTCAGAAGTTCCAGCACAGATTCGACCCACAACACGCACATCAGACTCAGCAGAACAGAGTATTCTAGCGCTCGCCAGCTTCAGACCTCAGCCGAAGTACCTCGATGGTGACGACTCGCTGACGTTACTGTACAGTACTTGTATTCATCATTGGGCCTGATCGGCTTCACTTCTTCGCTAGACTTGCCTGACTCGAGTTTTGACAAAGGCGAAAGGTTTCTTGAAGAAGGACTTTGCCCCCTTTGCGAGCTTTTGAAACCAGGGGATTCTGGGCTGAGATTGCTTTACCACCGCCCGTTCCACCACAGGTGGAACCTTAGCCGCAGCCAGACTCGCAGACGACGCACTATCCGAAGTCTCCGAGTCTGTGAAATCAGAAATCTCTAACTCTGCGCCATCCGATGTCTCTGCTTCTGGACCATTCGATGTCCTTGCTTCTGCAGTCGAGACTGGTTCAAAGTAGCGGGAAACATGCTCTCGGTCCGAAGCTAAGACTTTATCCGTGTACGAGAAGTGCTTCTCATCTCTGGTATCGAAGAACCAGGCCTTTCCTCTAGTACTCAACGCATAGAATGGCACACCTTCCTTCTTCTTGAGCTCCAACACCTGTCCATCGAGGCCGTTTCCCAGGAGACGGATGGCGTGATACTGTTTGCCGATTTCAGATGAGCTCGGTGTTCCTGCTTCATAGGTGATCCTGGCAGAAGGGTCAACGACATGACGTTCCAATGGGTCGGGAAACTTCTGAGCGGCATCGGGATCCGGAAAGAAGCTGAGAGGATGTTTGATATGAAACGGCACGAGTTTGCCCTTCTGCCCTCGCACGAGACCGGTCGTTGGGACACGTTGCGGGCGAACATAACTTCGGCGAGTCTCGGCCGAGGAAGTTTCGGCGATTTGCGCGGCAGGTGCGGTAAGTGGGTTTGGCGATGTGATGGGACTCGGTGGGTGCAAGTCGCTAAGTGCGGCACCAGAACCTTTGTTGTCATTGCTTTCAGCCCCTTTGACTGGCAATGTAGAATCCTCGGGTATGACGAGCAGAGCTCTTCCTGCCAGTGCAAGCAAGATAGGTGGGAAAAACGCCATGATACACAACGCCCGCCTCACTAAGCAAGCTGCTTTCTTTTGTCTGAGCATGGTGTTTGAGTTGAGATCGGCTGGTGCTCGGACGATCAAAAGGAGTCCTCAGTGGAGGCCTTTGGAACCTTGAGACGACGGATTGTTGGTCTCGTTTCTAGGAATCAGGGGAGTCAGCTCCTCGGCGAGTCAGGGGAGGCAAGCTGGTTCCAGAGCACCAGTGAAGATATATGCAACAGTTTCATTGCCGGAAAGGACTTCTACGTTCGTCCCTAACGTCACCGGTCTCGCAACTCGCACACTGTTCCAAGCTTGACAAATAATTCTTAGGCGCTTAACGGTGACAGTCAAGGATGACAGAATCAGAGGTCCCACCTGAGAGCTCCAGCACTTCTGGCGGCCTGAGAGTCCGAACGTAGCACCCACTCCTTTCCCCACAAGGAAGGGACCAGCTCCTGCACATCTGCATCGAGAATCTCTATGATCGGTTCTGCCCTCACAGGGGCATATCGTCAGTATGGAACCACTTTGCCCACCTGGGCTGCAAAAGCCCAAGGTTCTGAACCACGGACCAGCTCCGGTCAAAGGTGGATCGTAATCTGAGCATATTTTGCTCATCCTTTATCACCGTTACCTTGCAGAAAGTTGTGGAACTCGAAATCAAACTAGCTTCATCTGAGTGGCTGGTCTGAGACATGCGCATATATACAGGTCATTCGTTCGATCCAATGCCGGAAAGAAGGTTGGTGTAAGACCAAGGTTTGGTAATCTAAGGTTTGATCAGAATCAATGCGATGTGACAAGAACGGAAGCTTCATCAAATATCAACGGGCACGAGAGGACGTTAGAGTGGAAGTGACACGTTCGAGGACGCTCTTAACGCCTTCTGTCAGCTTCCTACTAAGCGAACGACTCGAGGCGACGGCTGCATCCTCTGCAGGCCCAACTTGCCTAGCCAGAATTGAAACGGTCGGCTCTGGAGCACCGTGGGCAGCTTTGACCGCCTCCAGAACCTTGGGCTCCAGTTTATCTGCCCAAGTGTAAGAATTGCTTTCCGGCTTCCTATCGAAGTCCCGAACCTTCCCGTTCCCACCAATCACAAAGAAAGACGAGTATCTATACGTCATGATGGAGATAAGATCTCGATCGAGTGGCCCTCCGACGGATTTCGCAACTTCAACACCGTCCACCTTTGGTAAGCGCTGAACGAGTGCTCTGGGTTCGAGCGTGTAGAGCCTCACACGACGACGCTTCTTAAGTAGTTCCTTCATTTCGTAATTTAAAGTGGGTGGATCGGATCTGAAACAGATCTAGGAAGCTCTTCTTCGATTTCTGCAATTGAGCCATGGAGCGGCAGCTTCGGTCCTTCTTCCACGGTTTCGATTTCGCTCGGTGAGGGATTTACCGGTAATGGTGAGGCAATGATAGGCAGAATGATCTGCATCAGCAAAAGCGCCTGAGGCACGATGAGCTTCATCCTTGCTACTCCTTCAGGTTTTTCTCATTTTTTCTCGGTTGTTAGCCAGGCGGCGTCACTTCTCTCAATCGGGTCCATGCGCGGGCGCTGGAGCTCATGGAAGGAGTATTGGATGCGTGTTCGAAGAGTGCAGTTGGCAAGTACAAGCCTGATGTGATGAGGCGGTGTGCAACAAGAGGGGCTTTCTCAGAGATGGGCAGCAAGGACGGGGACGACTGTGAAGGGCAACTCTTCAAGCAACGCTCCGTCGAGCTATGAATCTTCTGCACTGAACCGGAGTTTTTCATGCTCCTGTTCGATTCAGTAACAGGCTTGCGCAGGCCTTTCGAATGCGAGCGCAGGTTGCCAGCCCTCATCTATCTTCCCGGCAACTGTCTCATGACCGCTGTGGGATCGACTTCGAGCACATACAGTACTGTACATGCATTTGCTTAGCAGTTCCACTGATACCGTACTCTCACACTCTACAACCAAAAGGCTGCCGCTTCACTCAACTATGAGAATTTGATATAGTGCTCATAGTAGACATTCTCATGACCTTTCGGTTCCAAATGAAAAGCAGATGAACTCAAGGCTATGGCAGACGCTTGGCGATTTTCCAAGCTCATCACTACAGGACCACTTGAATGACACAATTGATAAAAGGGGTGGATTTCAAAGGATTTTGCGAGGATAGGTTTAGGAGTGACTGAGACAAATGGTGCGGAAAGAAAGATGGGACTGACGTTCATCCTGAAGGAGGAGGGTATCGACTCACACCGGGAGTCTGATGATCGGCGCATCCATCGGCGTATCCAACGGGATGGCCGACGGCGTTTTCCCACGCCCGATAAGAGTTGTCGGAAAAACTGTCGGGCGGTCCCCGACGATCAGATCGGTACACCCGACGAGGCAGAAGGCGACCCTCCATCTGATAGTAAGCCTCTGTCGGGACTCCCCTTGAGGGCTCTAATGCCTCTCATGCTCCAGACCTCTCTCCTACCTCTTGTCAGTGTCGAGACGTGTATATAAGGTGTCCGAAGTCGGCCAGTTCGTTTGTATCATCTTATCCCTCTTGTACTTACTCATCAACGTCGATTGCTCAATATCAAACCGTGTCCTGCCACAGTTCACTAGCCTTCCAACACATCCGGTGCAGCGATCTCTCGATGAGGAGATAGCTCCTGCAGACCCACGCCAAGCGTTTAATGCAGATGCCTGACTGCGTTCAACGCTTTGATCACCTCGAAATTATTGCCGCCCGTAAACCTGTTATGGTAGGTAAAGTCAACCCCGCCCTTGGCATTCTCCTTTGCCTGGAAGAGCCAAACTCGGAGATTGTTGTCCTTATTGTTATCCATCACGTAGAAGGACTTTCCTTTGCGCGTCATCGCGGCAAGAGCTTGACTAGCCAGCTTTTCGTCCTGAGGAAGTTTTATAGCTTCGAGATCGTAAACGACGGTGGGTTGTAGAGTGAGCTGTTTTACTAAGGAATCATAATCTTCATGACCCGGACGATTCTTGATCCTGCGATACATTGACCATTTTGACTGAGCAGGCTTAATGGCAGCTAGCATGGCTGGGATTGGTCGACCATGCTTGACAAACCAGGAACGCACATTTACATGCTTAAAGAGAACGACTTTGGGAAGCGGTACCGAGGGGCCCGAGTTCCGGGTGACTATACCGCCCGACTGGGGCATCAGTGGCAGAAGCGAAGCCATCGCCGCGGCGATAATCGTCGAAGCTACGAAGGTCCGGATCAGGAAGGTTTTCATCTTGATGAGTCTTTGAGAGGTAAAAAGAGTGAGATGTTGAGAGGCTTCAAAGAAGGAGATTACAAAACTTATGAAGGTATGGAAAGAAACGCGAGGGCTGATGGGAACCTCTTAAGGATTGCGTGGAGTTTGAGGCCACGACCCTAGTGAAGTGAAGTCAATGGCATGTTGTCAAGTTGCTTGTGAGATTGCACTCATTTCTCAGAAAACTAGGCCCGCAATATGGACCAGTGTCCCTGAGGAACAATCAACTTTCATACTCAAGCACGCCGAAGGTGGGAGCTGATCAGCTCTATAATGACAACACAAGACAACACGGCGTCACATTGGTGGCCACTTTCGTTTGAGACTTGCATTCTTGCCAACACTGTGACGCTGGGCTTCTTCTTTTTTGATGAGCGAGGGTGCAGACTTCTCAAGGCCGATAGATTGTATGGCCTGCCTGGTTTGGCTCGTACCGATGCTGTTGAACACGAACGCACTTGAGTAAAAGCCATTTGGCATGCATCATTCATGTACCCCCACTGATTTCCACCACTTGTCGCACAACCAGTTCTTGTTCTTCAGGCTTCGATGCTGTACAGCCAATTTGCCAAAACTCGGACGCATGGGCTCTCAAGGAGGTCTCACTTGGATGCAGTCAAAACACACGTTCAAAATCTCGTCAAGGCTTGCGTAAGAGCTACACGAGCATGATTAGAATTGACATATTGGAAAAGAAGCGAAAAGAAGCAAAAAGAAGCAAAGCAAGCCTCGCGCGTGGTCGTGGTGCCTTGCTGGCGGTGTCGGTGGTCGACGCACGACAGACGCAGGGACTGTCTACCGTATAATGAGCGCTCCTCAGCGTTGAGGAAAGGTGGGAGATAAGATCAGAGGATGTAAAAGCTACAAGCGGAGATTCGTGATCTCTTTCTTATTGACGAGGTCCCAGAATTGACGCTCGATACTGCCATCTGGGTTAGCTCGGATATTTAAGCTCTTAGTGCCCAGTGAGTCCTCGAACCGCAAGTGTCGCTGATGGTCGAGCTGTTCCTTCAAGGTAAGGAAGTCGCCTCGAGGGTTGGCCTCTCCAGTCAGTACAACTTTCCATTTAGGAGCTTGTTGCGACTTTTCAAAAAAGCCAATTCGTCGAGGAGGCAAAGCATATACGCTTGAAGTATAGGCTAATTTTGCAGCATCCTGACCGAAGTTCCTATGTGTATGATAAACATTGCGAACGCCCTGTTTCACACCATCATTTGCTGCAGCCACTCCCTGTGGCTTTACCGTCATGACTTCTTGCGAATTGGTTTCAAGCGCGTGAAATCCGTTAAAATTGGCGAAAGCGTGCTGTGCGAGTCCGTCAGGAAGGACTTCCTCGGACTTCCCATTGAAGAAAATTACAGGCTGGCCGCCGTAGAAAATGGTTTCGTGGAAGATCGAGGACACAGCGCCTAGAGTCGAAGTTCGATAATTCCTGTTATGTATGCTGCCTTGCTGAATCTCTTCCCAAGTCCATTTCTTTGTTTGCCTGCGGACGAGCTTAGCACCACGGTCACTGTTGTGAATATCGTTGGTGGAGTTAGGCAGGACCAAGGCGCTAGCCGCAGCAGCAAAAGCCATGAGCAGGAGGACCAGCTTGGTTGCATGGCGTGAGAACCGCATGTTTGATGTAGTTCCCTTGAGCATGGAATGAGAAAGCCGGCAAGGGGATTCGGTTTGTTGTCTTGAAGGTGGATGAGAAGGAGACTTGCATTCTTGCCAACACTGTGACACTGGGCTTCTTCTTTTTTGATGAGCGAGGGTGCAGACTTCTCAAGGCCGATAGATTGTATGGCCTGCCTGGTTTGGCTCGTACCGATGCTGTTGAACACGAACGCACTTGAGTAAAAGCCATTTGGCATGCATCATTCATGTACCCCCACTGATTTCCACCACTTGTCGCACAACCAGTTCTTGTTCTTCAGGCTTCGATGCTGTACAGCCAATTTGCCAAAACTCGGATGCATGGGCTCTCAAGGAGGTCTCACTTGGATGCAGTCAAAACACACGTTCAAAATCTCGTCAAGGCTTGCGTAAGAGCTACACGAGCATGATTAGAATTGACATATTGGAAAAGAAGCGAAAAGAAGCAAAAAGAAGCAAAGCAAGCCTCGCGCGTGGTCGTGGTGCCTTGCTGGCGGTGTCGGTGGTCGACGCACGACAGACGCAGGGACTGTCTACTGTATAATGAGCGCTCCTCAGCGTTGAGGAAAGGTGGGAGATAAGATCAGAGGATGTAAAAGCTACAAGCGGAGATTCGTGATCTCTTTCTTATTGACGAGGTCCCAGAATTGACGCTCGATACTGCCATCTGGGTTAGCTCGGATATTTAAGCTCTTAGTGCCCAGTGAGTCCTCGAACCGCAAGTGTCGCTGATGGTCGAGCTGTTCCTTCAAGGTAAGGAAGTCGCCTCGAGGGTTGGCCTCTCCAGTCAGTACAACTTTCCATTTAGGAGCTTGTTGCGGCTTTTCAAAAAAGCCAATTCGTCGAGGAGGCAAAGCATATACGCTTGAAGTATAGGCTAATTTTGCAGCATCCCGACCGAAGTTCCTATGTGTATGATAAACATTGCGAACGCCCTGTTTCACACCATCATTTGCTGCAGCCACTCCCTGTGGCTTTACCGTCATGACTTCTTGCGAATTGGTTTCAAGCGCGTGAAATCCGTTAAAATTGGCGAAAGCGTGCTGTGCGAGTCCGTCAGGAAGGACTTCCTCGGACTTCCCATTGAAGAAAATTACAGGCTGGCCGCCGTAGAAAATGGTTTCGTGGAAGATCGAGGACACGGCGCCTAGAGTCGAAGTTCGATAATTCCTGTTATGTATGCTGCCTTGCTGAATCTCTTCCCAAGTCCATTTCTTTGTTTGCCTGCGGACGAGCTTAGCACCACGGTCACTGTTGTGAATATCGTTGGCGGAGTTAGGCAGGACCAAGGCGCTAGCCGCAGCAGCAAAAGCCACGAGCAGGAGGACCAGCTTGGTTGCATGGCGTGAGAACCGCATGTTTGACGTAGTTCCCTTGAGCATGGAATGAGAAAGCCGGCAAGGGGATTCGGTTTGTTGTCTTGAAGGTGGATGAGAAGGAGAAGCAAAGTGGTCCACATTCTCGCTATTTATACTGCTGAACCACTCGAAACAGTTGTCTCTCTTCAACCTCCATCGATCTTAGCTGACGGTAGCATCGAGGTGGGAGGCCAACAAGAGAGTGAGGAAAAGAGGACATGTGCTTTCACTGTTGCGGACCGTTTGACAACTTTATCTGCAGCCTACTCACTTGAAAATGCAGTATGGGAATGGGAGAGCACGACCAAGATAAGGACACATCTGGTGGGATGGGATCTCGCTCCATTTCAAAGGCGTCGCGATCAACTGCAGCGTATATGATCTGAAGGACTTGGGAGTCGTGTTGAGGACTACGCGCAAGCTCTTGCACGCATTACTTGTTCGTCATCGTCGATGACTGGCACGAAGCTTTGCCACCCAAGGCAATTCGATCTTGCCAGCTAAAGCCAGAAGTCGCTCCTGATTACGTTCTAGGCGGGAGAGTGGCTTAACATAGACTTCCAGATATTCGCCTTCATTGGCTCCAGGATTTTTCACCTTTACCTTGTATGCATATTTCTTTCTATCGATCTTTCTGTATATGCGGAAGCGTCCGTTCTGCTGCAGTTTCAGCATCATATTATCTCTCGTATCTCCATACGTAAGCCGCGGATATTCTGTCAGTGGAATATGCGACGTTCGTCCGCCTTTGTGATAAGCCATGGCTTTGATAGGCCTGCCCCAGATCACAGATGCGATTGTTTTGCCGTAATCCTGCTTGGCGGCCGAATACTCGGTCAGAGCGTGTTGAATTTTTTCCCTCTCACTAACCTCGAGGTCGCTAATCACCTCGTTTGTGCGGGGGTCGACCAATATGGCATCTTGTCCTGGTCGGACGTAGTAAAATTTGCGCGAGTCGGTATAGGAGGCATGTAGCATGTGGTGGAAATCTTCAGAGCCTTGGGTGAGGATGGGCTTGTCATTGACATGTGGTATGGATTCCATGCTTTCCTCACGAGGCGGTTTCATGTTGGTATCTGAAGCTCGGATTCTATTCCGAAGGCGATGCAGATTATCATCAAGTTGGAAGAGCTTAATCGGCTCCGATGCACTATTTGGAAACCAGCGCTGTTCGAGGCGGCTTCCGTAGGGGTCCTTGTGGACTTGGATCAGTATCGCGCGGCGCTTGAGGACATCGACAATTCCAACAGATTGATGGTCTCGGAGGGCTCGTTCGACCGTCGCAGTGGGAGTGTTAATGGAGTACAAGGGAGTTTTGAAGTGGGGCCTCTCTGAGTAGAAAAAGGGGACATCGCGATAAGTACGAGCTTTTTCGTCCAACGTTCTGTCATCCACTATATTGTTTCCATCGAATTTGAGGTACTCTATGTAATTGTAGGCATTAGATGGGGGCCAGGGCGAAGTTTTAGGCACGGTATGGCGACTTGGCTGTGAAGTCGAGGTACTCGCCTTGCCGCTGCTGCCGGAAGCGATGCAGCTTGGAAGCAGGATGAGCGCAGTGACGATAGCTGCGACAAAGCCGATTCGGAACATGCCGGATAGCTTCATTGCGATCAAATTCCCTTGCGACCTCGATGGGAAGAGACAGAAGGTTTGAGTGATGAAGGAAAGCTTCGAAAAGAGGCGTGAGAGGAAGTGCGAATGTCTATTATATGTACTCTATTGGAGGCTGTGAGAACCGACACTTTGACCTGCGGGGGTTCGGCTCAAGGAGGCAAAGTAACAAGCAGACAAGCCTGCTTCTTGGTTCCTAGGCTGTCAAGCAATAAGGGTCGTTGACCCACCTTCATCTGAAGCACGCATGACGAGCCTGCGAACGTCGGCTTTACCTCGGTACCCACGCGGTTGGTGGCAACAAGATACCTCATCTTGCTGCTCAATGAATTTGCATCTCCCACCGCAGCGTCGGAAGAGGCAGTCGCGCTGCTCGAAGGCTGCGTTGATGCAGTCTGAGGATTGAAGAAGGGCAAGCATCGCATCACCCAGTAATTGATTGTGGAAAGACTTGGCAAAGAGTCTACTCTTGGCTCTTGGTGTTTGGGGAGAAGCCAAGCCATGGGCATGACGAGCAAGTCGACGTCGCGTTGAACGCAAAAGGACGCAAGCTCGCAGTAATCAAAGGGAGTGCGGAATTGAAATAGGTTGAGATCCATACAGATGGCAACGCAGACATTGCCGAGGTCCGGTATATGAAGTGATTCGAACCCACTGCCTGCTGAAGCCCACTTTTCGTCGGTTTCAAAGAAAAAGTGCTTGCGAAAGACATGCTGAAGGGAGCCGTCAGGGGCGAAAAGAGCGGCCGAGTTGGAGGCGCGGTAGTTGACAGTCTGGTCCGGGCTAGCCTCGACTGTTTCGTTCGACGAGATGCGGACATCTTTGGGTCTGGCATCGAAGGGAGGGGTGAGGGTGACACTCTGATAGGCCCCTATAGATGGCGCACGACTAGAAGACTCTTGATGTGATATCCGTTCAGGGAATCCTATTACAGCGTGACAACGAAGCTGCTGTGCTAGGTGAGCTCCAAGCGTAAGACTTGGACTGCTTGAGCTTGCGCACGAGCTGCGACAAGCTGTGGTGAAAGTGGACGGTGATGAAGACGTTGAGGTGAACAAGGATGAAGGCGGTAGGAAACTGGTCGCATCTTCAAGGAATGGGTTGATCTCTTCTCTGGTTTCAAAGACGTAGCCGGTGAGAGCAAGTTCTGGAAGAACAAGAAGATCGATCGAGTTTGTATTCGAGTTTGAGCCACTGTCCAAGATGAGGTTGGAGACGAGATCAAGAACGGTGTCAATGTTTCGGGACACGTCGGCGTGTTTTGAGTCAAGCTGGACGCAGGCGATGCGCCTCTCTCGTGATGAGGCTGTGCCTAGGCTTGCCATGCTTTTCACAGTGAAAGCTGCTGGGTTCAGTGGCGCTCCAGTGATGATAGAGAGACGGGGAACCGGCCAAGATGTGATAGAGGGCCGGCAGGTTGGAAGAGCAAATCGAGCCAGCCCTCGTCCAGCTTGCGGTCGGAGTAGCCGAAGAATGGTGTTGTAAAGAGCCGCAGTTGATCGCAGCGCCGCCTGTGGCTGTTACAAAGAGAGCACGGATGAGCGCAAGACGAGAGGATCGTGAGCCGAAGCCGACGATGTGACTTGAGGATAGCGAATTGCTGAGGATCTCAATGCGTGGGAAAATCCGATTCACGGTCCGACAACAAGAGGCATTTGTCTTTTCTTCGGCCACGCCGACGCCTTACGACGGCTTCAATTCCACACTCTGCAAAGTTAATCCAACTATGACTTTGAGCGGATCGTATCGGATGCTCTCCGAAGGTCTAAGCTTGGCGTGAGAAGCTATCCACACGGCCTTTCCGAACAGATGATTGATAGCAAGACGTCAACTTAACTTGCTTAGCTCCTCTGTAACTACAAATGTCTCACAGACCTTGGCGAGACACGCAGCACTTGCCTGAAAGGTCGGCGCGCTCTCCTCGCTGCTCAGCACAGGCCAGTCCAAATGCGACTCTTGGGCGCATTCCAAATGCAAATGCAAATGCAAATGCTAATATATATATATATATATGGTTGGTTGGCTTTGGGAACAACGCGCCTAAATTTCCCTTTTGGAATCCCGCGCCTTTGCAGCAACACTTTTGACAGGGCTGTGCGTTGATGCAGGTATCTCACCACCAGATCGCGATATTAGGACTTGCTTCCCACCACCAACCACAGCGCGACACAATCTTGACAGCTTTCCAATTCAAGAGCAAAGAAAGCACAAGTGACTGAAGCAGTATACAGGCAGTCGAACATGGTCTCATCACAACAACTCGAGTCGGCCATCCGACAAAAAGTTGCCAACGTCTCAACTCTCGTCGTCTCCGATGTCTCCGGTGGTTGCGGACAAGCCTACGACGTGGTCATTGTTTCTGACGCATTCGAAGGTCTCAACACGCTCAAGCGTCATCGAATGGTCAATGAGCTTCTCAAAGACGAAATCGCTCAGCTCCATGCCTTCTCTCAGAAAACTTACACCGTCGCGCAATACGGAGAGATGTCCTCGTCCCCCAACAACAACAACGCCTCCTCATCCGCACCTGCACCATCATCCACAAAGCTAACCAGCGCAGACTTGCAAGCTCCAGCACCCATCCTCACCAACCCCGCCTCTTCTCGCCCTTCGCACAACCGCACAGCATCCGGAGTCTCTATTCCGGAACTAACCCTCACTACCGACGACGAAACACTCTCGGGCCTATCCAGTAGGAATGCAAGTAAATCCCTCACTCCAGGCGCACAACCAGGTGGCTCTTCAACTCAGTACCCTGGTACAGCAGTTCCTCCTCCTCTAAGCCCAAGCATTTCGAGGTTGCACGAAAACAGGATTAGATCTACCGAGTTTTGGACTGGGCTCCGATCCTACCTGGAACTGCAGTTCAGTGGTCCAAGCGTAGAGGCAGGTGCCGCAAGCCCAGGTCCAAGTGGGAGAAACCCGGGTGATGCAGAGATCGAAAGGATCTTTGAAGATTTCTTCTTGAGTCAGAAACATCATTTGACCGCCAGCGATATTGCCAAAGTGAGGGACGCTACCGGGATGCTTGGTATGGCTGGTGTCTAAGTCATTGGTGCTGTGGATGGATGGTCGTAGTTCACAGCAAACCTCGTTCCTACATGTCACTGCATCTATTACTGCAATTTTGGTATAATGGCTTTCGCTCGTGACTGTGACGCGCCTGCTTGAGTGTGTGAGTGCAGATGGTGCTCGTGAATGATTACCGATACAAGTGCAATAGTAAAACGGTCATGATCCTTTCCTTCTCCTCCTTCCCTTGTGCCCCCTTCTCCTTCCTCAACCCTAAACAGATGAGCTCACTACTCGCAAAACCACCCCCCAACAGCCCTCTTGTACTCATGATGCATGATAGCCCATTTCATACTTCTATGGTCTGGTTTCAACAACGGATGTTTCGCTGAATCCACTCTGAACTTTCCTGCCCCTGCTGCATCTCCATTTGTCACCTTTGGTTTCTTTTCCTCCTGTCCCTCCACCGCCGCTTCGGATTGCGCTTGTTTGGGAGGGTGAGGACGTTGACGAGAGATCTTTGGAGCGGTTTGAACGAACGTAGCTAGATCTGGATCCGCGCTGATATCGACAAAGATAGCCGAATCCGAGTCTGTGAGACACCCTGTACAGCCCAACACTTGCTTCAGTGGGCTTGGATCGGGTTCTCTCGCCTTCACCTCTTCGGAAGTGTTGAATGGGTTAAGAAAGTCCAGCACAGCTACGCGGTATTCTTTGACGACAAGCCCGTGTTTGCTTGCTTTGCAGCACGGACAGATTCCTTCTTTATCTCCTCCTGTTACGAAGCGGTATCTGAACAGCCCTCTGAGAGCGGCAATCCATTGCAAGACCACCTTCGACACCACCAGCCTCTTCTTCGCTCTCGTCAGTGCAACGTAGAGGTGGTTGAGTTCGTTTTGATGCCAGTACCCCGCAACCTCGACTCGCTGCGTCTTGTCATTCCCAAACACAGGTCTGAAATCATCGTCAACAACCACATTGTCCCATTCTAAGCCTTTTGCTTGGTGTACTGTTGTGAGTACCACCGTTGCCTCCTCTTCCAAAGGCGCAAAACGGGTCTCGAGCTGCTTCACTTGATCCAAAAAGTCGTTGCTGGCTAAGAAAGGTCCTAACGCCACGGCAAGGGAGAGTTTGCTTTCCCCTCCACCCTCTGCTTCCACTCGCTGAACCAGATCTTTCCAGCTTGCAAAGTCTCGAAGGAGCGAGTTGCGGGACATGGATCGACTGTCGTTATGATACAGAATGTGTGCGTCGCGGAGGAGAGTGACGATGGCGTCTGGTTGTAGGGACTGCGAAGTCTTGAGGAAGATCTTGTGTGGTTGATGCAGTGACGCGGAGAGAGCGAGGGCTGTGAGGCATAGCTTTCGGTTGGAACGGAAGATACGTGTGTGACACATGAGCGAAGAAGTGTGACCCATTCGAGAGATCGACACTTGTGCTGCGACTGCCTGTTGGCCTTCGCCCAATCCGTTCGCTAGCGTGATTGCTGCTGCTGCTTCGTCTGCTGCCTGTGTTGGTGCCGGTCCCTGCTGCTGTGTTGCTGGAGCCTGCTCTGAGGAGGGCGCCTCGATCAAGCTGCGAAACACACTTGCATCTGCAAAAACTCTGTCCGCCTCACCCAAAGCACCACTCAGCTTTGGCTTAGCCATAGCCTTCTCCCACGCCGCAGGCTTTCTGAGCCCCAGCATCTCTGTGGCAATCTTTGCCACTGAGTCTCCGAACCTGAAACTCTTGGTCAATTGGAAGTGCGCCGATGACGGATACAGTCGTTCATTGAAGGCTTTCGCTGTACCACCACGGAATCCATAGATCTTCTGGAAGACATCACCCACAATCAGGATGCCACAGTGCTTCTTCGCCCGGAGCAAGATGGAGACCTGAGCAGCCGATAAATCTTGCGCTTCGTCTAACAGTAGCACATCGAAAGCCTTGAAGAAGTTCTCAGAGTGATGTGGGGCTTGTAGCTGCAGGAGTTTGACGTAGGCATCATGAGGGCATTTGACTGATTTGCCATTCCGGTCCGGTGAGCCTTGTCGGATGAAGTCCCAGAGATCTTGTGCGCAGCGTGCCACCGCGCGGATCTTGAGGTCAGTGTCGGTAGCGACCTTTGTTGGTACGTGGCGGTCGGGTATGATAGTTGTATCGTCAGAGTAGAAGAATCGCTGGAGTGTTGTTAGGACGTAAGTTGCGACCGCTGTTGGGGTGAGTCGATGATCTCGTCCTGTTTGTGTGGCGATCGCCTGTGCGCGGATGAGTTGGCCTTCGGGTAGGCTCTCTCCCAGCAATCGGACAACGTCGCGCGCTCGCAAGTCGCCGATGTCCTGCCCTGCAGTGCGAACGACTTGACACAATGCGACTGAATGCATAGTGCGACACTGGACGTGGTCTGGGAAGCGACGTCGCGCTTCATCAGCAGCTGCTTTGTTGAAGGCAATGTAGAGAAAGCGCTTGTTCGGGCGTCGCTCAGCATAGGCGAGGAGCGATCTAGTCTTACCGGTGCCTGCAAAGGCTTGCACTTTGATGAGCTCGCCTGGACGTACATCTCTGCGGACAAACCTTTCTTGCTCGTGCGTGAGCTGGAAGCCAAGGTTAGAAATGGAACCGGATTCCGGTAGGATGCGGTCGGGCTCGAAGAAAGAGTTGATGGCAGTATGGCAGTCGTAGTCCAAGATGCGAACAGACTGGATGGGGGGCAGGTTATGCGAAAAGGCACGCGAAAGGCGGACAATAGCGAGGTAGAGACGGACGCTGCAGAGCGTTTCCACGGCAGTGACATGATCGACAGCAGCAAAGATGTGATCAGAAGTGACGCGACCGATAAGGAAGTCTCTGCTCCATTTGCGTATCAGCGGAAACGAGGGATGTTCATGCCATAGACGTGTGAGGCAGGGCACAAGCTCGAGGAGGCCAGTGGGTGCCGCTTTGAGCTGGAGCTGAGTGACGACGTCTGTGTATGCTTGTAGGAAGTTCTGTTCGATCTGTTCTTGATCCGCATTGACCGGTCTCGGTGGGACATTGCTGTCTTGGCCATTCTGAGGGGCGTGCTGTCCAGCGGCCTGTGGTGCATCTTGATCATCATCGCTGTCATGATCGTCACCGCAATCTGAGGTGTTGAAGATGGACTCTTCCTCAAGAGCTATTGTCTCGTCGTACTGTCGTTCATAATGTAAGAATGAGGCGAGAAGCTTACGCCAAGGGCAGAAGGTCTTGGCATGGATCAAGGGTCGTATCCTCTTATCCGCTCTCAAAAGGCTTTGAATGTCGCGGAAGGAAAGGAGGTGTAAGACCATGAAGACGACCTCGCGTGGAAGCCATTCGAGAACGGTGCGCTTCGTGGGTCCGCTAAGGTCGACGTGCTGATATGACTTTGTCCGACGCCATGAGGTCTGAGAGAGCTTGGGTTGCAAGCGGGCAGCAACACTGTCGTCGTTCGCTGACGCAATCTTCTTCTTCAGATGTTTGGTCGATGCCGAGGCAGCCGCTGCGGCTGCCACACCTGCTGCACTAGTTGATGCTTCCGGCCTAGCGAAGGTGGAGGAAGAGGGCGGCTGACATCGCTTGGCGGGGACGATGGCTGGATGCATGCTGGATGCTTTTGGCGGGTCCATGGCTTCTGCTTTGCAGGTGGCGGCGTGTGTACGCCGAGCGTTGAGGAAAGGATCAAACATTGTGAGTGGCCGCATAATGACAGGAGGAGCAGGCGAAATCCACTACGGCTATGAAGATGAGTGTCCCGTGACAGCGCTTGGACCTCCTCATGCAATGAGGGACGACGCAATTAATGTTCCGAGCATGAGTCAAGGCCAGCGACAGAGTTTGACGTTCCGAACCAAGTCGTTGCGAGATTATTATACTGGTGCTTGCTTCAACCCCGTGTGTACAGCAATGGACACGAAAGAGCAAGAAGCGTTCATGCGGAATAAGCAGCAGGAGGTAGCAAAGAAGTTGTCGTCGTTGGTCCGCGAGACTGACTTTCCGTGACTGAGGGACGAGACTGGTCGGGTGGAGTTGATGACGAAGGAACCAATGGAGGCCCGAAGTGCGGAGATGGCGATCAGTATGATGGAAGCCGGAAGTGTGGAAGGCTATCACGGCTTAGGCGTGAGTGTGTGTGGAGAACACGGGCGGATAATAATAATAAAAATGCACTTTCTCGGAATGCGGAGAAACACTTGGAAAGAGAGCATCGGCGAGGGCTGAAGAGAATCGGGACGGCGTAATGTGACCAATGCGAAGGAGCGAAGAGAGACTGTGGTGTTGAATGCCCCGCTGTGAATCGGGTATCTGTGATTGGAAAGGTGTTGGTTCGGAACGCGCCGCGGTCGATGAATCATTTTAAGCGCGAATCTACTCAACGCGAGCGAGCGTGTTCCAAGAAGCGTCTTCTCATGAAAGCAGCAGAAGAGCAGCAGTCCAAGGCTCAGACAAGAGGCAGTAACAAATGACGCACAAACAGACGTACATCGCCCACCTCTCTCATCTTGCCCACCCACACAGTCAGCCGTCGCCCACGTCGCGCTGGCCTGGTAGTTACTGGGAGAGGGTGCCGTTTACAAATCCTCTGCCCATTGCTTTTCTGGTTACAGTCTCTACTACTGTCCTCAGGCTAGTATAAGCAGTATGAGGCCACTCAAGGCTCAAGGTGTGAGGGCGGACAGCCTTGCCAGAAAAACGTCGTTGCGGCACGTGATAGGCGATCCGCGTAACGCGTGAAACGGATGTGGAGTTTTCCCTGTTTTTCGAAGCCAGTTTTCTTCTTGTGTCATTTCGTGTAGCCGCAATTGCCGTTCAACGGTCAAATTTGAAGCCTCCTTTTTGTTGTTTTTTTTTGGACCGAGTTGGTTGGACACATTTTTCATTTTGGCTTTTTCTTGACGTCGACTTCTTTTGCCGGCATTGAAGTTGAGGCATAGATCGACATCATAGCTGTTCTGAGCAGGACGACGAATGCCGAGAGACTGGTTCTGGAAGGTTCAAGAGGTAAGCGCACGCATTGCATGCCATTTGCAGCGTCAGTAGTGCGACAGCAAACTGCGAATCGCCAGTGCGAGCAAACAAGTCCGAGTCTGTCGACGAGACGCTCAAGAAGGCTTTCAAGCGTCAGTGCAACCTTTCAGAAGTGCAGAGAGAGGCTCTTCGGTCTCTTCTGTAGGCCACGGTCAATTGCATCCACACCACTTGATCGAGCGTAGACTCAGTAGCCTGATCCAACTCCAACTCATGAGAATGTATTCTCGGTCTCCAAGCTCAAGATGTGACCAAGACAAAGGGAAACGTTGATGGCACGAGTTGCCATTCATTGCGTACGCCTTCTCCTAGCTCTTTCGATCTCGGATGCTTGCGTGCGAATAGACGACTGGAAGCGCCATGTGCACCTTGGATAAAGTGACAAATACGACACGAACCACGTCCACGTCCACGTCCCACGTCCCACGTCCCACGTCCACGTCCACGCTCAGAGCGCGCTGCTGCCTCGATTTTACCTGCTTGTCAATTCGCAATGTAGAGTTGATCGCGCTTTCTCTCAAAGTCACAACAGCCGCTGAGAGTCCGCCGTGTCTCAGACAGTCAAGCTTGCTCTCTTCTAGATTCACCATCGTTGCTTCTTAACCCTAACCGCCAATCTTTTCTCTACACCATCACTTGCCCTTTGTTCCTCACTCCTCTTCTCTTATCCTTCCCCTTCAAAATCGCCAAGAGCACGTTCAGCGCTGCTTTCAAGTTCATCACCGTGCGATCCAGCCGACGACATCCCGACGTGCTTCTTCGTGCCCAGAGCTTAGGCCTGCTGCTTTCTTCTCTCCGAACCATTCTTCCTTCCAACGCTTCAAGGCTATATTATCGCCCCTATAACCGCCAACATCGCCAATTTTAGCAACTTCAGCAAGATTATAGACTCACCACTTACTCCACCAGCCAGCCATCTCATCCGGAACTTAACCCCCGTCAGCCAGCCAACTAAGCAAGCTCAACTGAAAGAGCTTCTATTACATAGGTAAGTCTCTTTGTCACCGCTCGCTCCCAGCATCGGTTCGTCTCGTGTGGTCTCGGCCCGTTCTGTCGACTGCATAGGCCCCATTGCCTCAGCCTAGTCTTTCACCGACTCTCTTCAACATCTCTGCTTGAGCTTGCTATTATATGCACGCAGCAATGATGTATCAAGGTGCGCTGTTGCGGTCCCATCTTGAGGTGGTGTAGACCTCGCTGCGAGCGATGGCCTGCGTTCGTAGCACACCTCTCCGTCAGGCATTTCGAACGCAGCTTGATTCAGCCACCAATTGAACGGCGGCGGCAGCAACCCATATCCTCAGCACTTCTACTGCCCTTCTTATTGCCATTGCTAGCGCCCTTCTCATTGCCATTGCTATTCTTCCCATCTACTACCCGATGACGAGAGCAATGATGTTGAGAGGGAGGCGCAGCATAATCGGCGCCGATGCGGGATCTAACAAAATTGCAATTTGCCAGCGTAAAGGTGAATTGGAAGTTGAATCGTTTCTTGAAGGTCGCCAGCTGCTGCCTTGGAAGATTAATTCAAGGAAAAATAGGGAAATTCCAGCCATTTTCTCCTTGAATTTCTTTTTGTTCCGGTTGCAGATGGCGATGGTCAGCTTCGATGCTCGCGACTTTGGATTTGCGACACGCATCCTTGCTGAATATTGGCTTTTCGCGATTTCAGCACACGAACGCCAGTCGCCAGTCGCGAACGCCCTTTTTTGTTTTTTGTTTTTTGTTTTTTGTTTTTTGTTTTTTGTTTTTTTTGTTTTTTTGTTTTGTTTTTTGTTTTGTTTTTGTTTGAAGTGGAATTGGATGGACCTGTCGTGGCTCGTTAGTGGAGAACTACAAACCGAGCGCAGGCGTGTTCAATTCAATTTTCCAAGTTCTGCCTCTCTGCTGCCTCTTTTTTTTTTTCTTTTTTTTTTTCTTCTTTTTTTTCTTTTTTTTTCTGTATCGAGTCCCACACTGCGCTCTGCTGTACCAATTTTCTTGTCATTCTTCGACCCGTCAGACGAGCAAGCCTTGACTCTGTTCTTGCTCGAGCTTGTCCTTCTTCCTCTCTCATCCTTTCCTCGTCTCATCCCATCTCCACTCCCATCTTCACTCCCATCTTCACACATCTTTCCATCCTCGCCCCTGCTACTACACCTCACTGCATCGCGTTCGACTTCGTCTCTTTTGGCATCGTCTGCTCTGGCTCCATCACTGGCATCTACCTTGCTCGCGTCTGCTTTGCTTCGCCTCAACGCTACCTTCTTCAGCAATATTTCTTCCTTGGTTTCGTCTTCCGTCGCGTCGAATCACCTTTCAGCACCTATACCCCTATGACATCCAACTGACTCGCTTTGCAACCTTTGCATCGTCTCTCTACCGCCATTGTCGCGACATCTGGCTTTTCCTCGTGCACCTACGCTACTGCCAGTCCGACACCAAGACGACACCGAGATCATCCAACAATAAACATATACAACAAGCATCTACATCATGTCTCAGAACATCGTAAGTGCCATTCTCTCTTCACATCATCTCTCACTTGATTGCAGCTGCTGACCAGCGTGGTCGTCGTCGCACCAATCTTCGCCGCCTCTATCCGCAGGCATCCCGTCGCATCCCATTGCGGACACGTAGCACCGCCTCTTCCATCGGTGCTCAGGCAAAAGAGAATGCTGGCGTCACCTCAAGAAGCACTCGATATGATCCCGCCGACGCTGGTCCGTCCAAGCCTTCCTCTACCGTGACTGCGGCCACCAAGGCATCCGCTGCTTCTGGTGTTCTCGGAACTCGGAAGAGGGCTGCTCTCGGTGATCTGACCAATGCCAACCGCACGAGACCCACCATGACTGGTAATGGTGACAAGGGCAAAGCTGCTTTGAAGGATGCTATCAAGCCTCGTGCCACCACATCTGCTACCACCTCATCACGATCAGCTGCCGTCGCTGCCACCACCTCCACTACCACCACCACTGGCGTTGGCGCTGCTCGTCGCGTTGTTCGTACCCGACCCACCACTACTACCTCCACTACTACCTCCACCACTGCCGGAGATGCCGCTGCTGCTGCTGCTGCCGATCAGCCCTTCCGCGCCTCCAGGCGCCTTGCCGGCACCACCACCACCGCTTCGAAAACGTCAGGTATTCCTTCAGCGTCATCACGGTCCAACTCCACCACTGCCGCCTTTGCCGCCGTTGCTGCTCGCAAGGGCACAATGTCTCGCACCGCCTCTGGCAACTCGCAGACTGGTCTTCGACGCGAAGCTAGCACCACGTCCGTCGCCTCCACCACTGCTCCCATCGCCTCATCGCGATCCACCAAACTCAACGAAGCGATCGTCGACACCGGTGACAAGATGGAAGCTCCTCAAGCCAAGCGTCTCAAGACCGAACAGAAGCCTCCCAAAGATGAAGGATGGGAGGACTTGGACGCCGAAGATGCCGAAGACCCTCTCATGGTCGCAGAGTATGTCAACGACATCTTCGAATACATGAAGGAGCTCGAGATCATCAACATGCCCAACGGTGATTACATGTCTCTTCAGGAGGAGATCAACTGGGATGTACGAGCTATCCTTATCGACTGGCTTGTTGACGTCCATACCAAGTTCCGTTTGCTCCCCGAGACTCTCTACCTTGCCGTCAACATCATCGACCGCTTCTTATCAAGACGAACCATATCCTTGAGCAAGCTGCAATTGGTGGGAGTCACCGCTATGTTCATTGCCAGCAAGTACGAAGAGGTGATGTGCCCTTCTATCAAGAACTTCTACCACATTGCTGATGGCGGTTATACCGATGTCGAGATTCTTCGGGCAGAGAGGTATGTTCTGAAGGTCCTTGACTTCAGCATGTCCTATGCCAATCCTATGAATTTCTTGCGAAGGATTAGTAAGGCGGACAACTACGACATTCAGACCCGAACTGTTGCCAAGTACTTCATGGAGATCTCGTTGCTCGATTACAGGCTGATGGAGCATCCACCTTCGCTAATTGCTGCTGCTGCTGCTTGGCTGGCACGAGAGGTCTTGGAGAGGGGAGAATGGACTCCTACCCTCGTACACTACTCTACTTACTCAGAGCAAGAGTTGTTGGGTACTGCCGAGATCATGTTGGACTACTGCTTGAGGCCTATCACCCATCAGTTCTTCCACAAGAAGTATGCGCATAAGAAGTTCATGCGCGCTTCTACCTACGTCGTTGATTGGGCACGCAAGTCGTTCCCCGAAGGCGTTGTGGGTGTTGACGAGCAGCAGGATCTCAATGTTCTCCGTGTCGACCTTTACGATCGTAAAGGAGTTGAGCGTCCAGAACAGTCGGTGGTCAGCACTTCATCCGGAGCCAACACCCCCGCTCCCGCCGCTGCAGGGTTCGACGCCAAGCCAAGCCAAAACGAAGACGTCGACGCCGACGAGACCTACGACTATCCTCAAGAAGATGATGAGGAGCAGGAGGAGGATGAAGGCGAAACAGAGGAGCTCGACGAGGAGGAACTTTTGGATGAGGTCAAGGCAGGCGCAGCACAGAGGAGACAAGATACCCGACAGGTGTTGAGGGATGTTACCAACGCCTATGAAGCCACAGAGACTTTTTAGATGACGACAACGTCTTTTCTATAGCATGCATTTCATCATCACCTTATTACTTGATTGTTTCAGGATTACAACTTTAGCATTTCACATTCCTCTACAAAATTCTTATACATCTCTTCTCTCGCCGCTGTCTCGTTATAGGTTTGCAGAAATTGATCAGACTTATATCTCTCTCATTGAGTGTGTATCCAGAGTAGAGGTAGCGATCGTATAGGGTGTAGTTGTTCAGGAGACACGAGGCGTTCTGATGCTTCTGGTGCGTGGAATTTGGCTTGAATGTTAGAACTCAAGACGCAACATACGCGAAAAAAAGCTGAGTGGAGGCTTTGCTGCGCAGCAACTTTGCTCGAGCCACATCTCATTTCGAGAAGATCGAATCGACACTTCCTTTCACACCTCCGTCTTCTCACTCTCAAGCTCTTTGAACGCTATACCGCTCTTCTGCACTCAGAACTTCTCCATCTGCTGCTTATCTACAGGTCAGCCTCAGCGACGACCTGAAAAAGCGACAAGTGACTCGATCTCGAACAGTTCTGCCCCTTCACTCAGCATCGTTCCGACGACTCCATCGCCTTCGGGTCCAACTTGCCCGCCATGGCATCCTCATCCTCAAACTCGGCCTCAATGGCACGCACCAACTTCGACCTGAGCAACTCCATTATCCCCTTGGACCCATCAACCCTCGACTCGATCTTCCGCTATGACTCTGAAGAACAACGTTCAATTCTCCGCAGCCAGCGCTGGAAGACGGATCCGCATTTCTTCACCAAAGTTCGAATCTCTGCCGTAGCGCTCATCAAAATGGTGATGCACGCCCGCAGTGGTGGTATTTACGAGATTATGGGCTTGATGCAAGGCAAGATTGATCCCGTCAACCGCACCCTTTATGTCATGGACTCGTTCGCGCTTCCAGTGGAGGGGACAGAGACGAGGGTTAATGCCCAGAACGAGGCGTATGAATATATGGTCCAATACCTGGATCACAGTAAGGAGGTGGGAAGAATGGAAAATGTCGTCGGGTGGTATCATAGTCATCCAGGCTACGGATGTTGGTTGAGTGGGATAGATGTTAACACCCAGCGGACTAATCAGCAGTTTCAGGATCCGTTTGTGGCACTGGTTATTGATCCTAATCGTACCATCTCGAGTGGGAAAGTAGACATTGGTGCGTTTAGGACCTATCCTGAGGGGTATACGCCACCGAACAACACAGCGGGAGGAGGAGGAGGAGGAGATGGGGAGTATCAAAGTATCCCGTTGAATAAGATCGAGGATTTCGGTGTGCATGCGAGCCAATACTACCAATTGGAGATCGAACATTTTAAGTCCAGTTTGGATGGAAAGTTGTTGGATCTACTCTGGAACAAGTATTGGCAGAATACACTTTCTCAATCCCCGTTAGTGACAAATAGGGGGTATACGACGGAGCAGATTAGGGATTTAGGGGAGAAGTTGGCTCAGACAAATGCGGCGGTGGTTAATAGACAGAGTAGTGGGACGATGCCCTTCACGCCCGCTGCTGTTGGGGCCAAGGCTGGGGCTGAGGAGGGAAGTAAGAAAGCTGGAGAGGGGGGAATGGGGGAGGGTGAGAGCGGAGGAAAGGAAAAGGAAGGAGAGGATGCTTCAGGGTTGGTGGATGACTTGGTGAAAAGGAGTAAAACTTCTGCTTTGGCAAGAGCCAGTAATGATGCGAAGAAACTGGCGATTGAGGCTAATCATGGATTGTTGGCGAATCAGTTGAAGAATACCTTATTCAATTATCATAAGGGTGCAGTGTCGACAGCGGAGGAGGTCGGGAAGAGTGCGGCATGAGAGAGGGTTGGGTGCATCTCACCACTTGGACAACTGTACCAGTGGCATCTGCATTCAATGTCTTTTCATGCATGTCTATCGCACATCCTTTATACTGCTTTCGCACGTTCGAAGCGAGACTTTGCCAGACTCTCTGCTGACACACGTTCACACAAACACTGAAAGCATATCGAAAGGCAGGGAAACATCTATGAATTGCAACTCCAAACTTAGTAATGCTCATCATCACTCGCATCGTCATCATGAGCATTCTCGTCAACACCGACACTAATCCACTCCCATTCGATCTCAATCGCGATCAATCCTAGAGGTTGTTTTCTGAAATCGATCTCATCCTTTTCAAATCGGATTTGAGTCTTTGCTCCGACTCGAGCCATGCCTGCCACTCCAGCGTCAGGATCTTCGAATGAAGGGATCAACCAACACCATCCGGCTGAGGCTATGTCAGGGAGTTTGGAGTGTTTCGAACCGGTGCGACCGACGAGGACTTTGATGCAAATTTCTCTGTCTGCGTCCAATACTTGGCCGACTGAGAGGGGGGTGGAGGAAGGGAAGGAAGAGGTGGGATGGTGGGCGAGGTAAGATGTGGATGACGGGGGTGTGATCTCGTCGCAGGGAGAGGGGCGGGTGAAGATTGAGGATGCTTTCCGGGTCATTTTCCTCAGCGGACCTCCTGGGCTTGGGTCAGAGGGAGGGGCAAGGCGAGAAGGTCCTGCTGGAGCAGCTTCACCCGGCGAAACCGCGTTAGTAGAGGAAGAGTAATACCCCGAATCAGCGCTGGATGCCGACGAGTGTCTCCCATTGCCACTCTCCTCTTTCGGCTCGAAAGTGTACTTCCACACCTTGTCCCCCTTTTTCCCTTTCCCATCCACCACTGCCTCCTCTAGCACTTGTCTCGGCTGACTCTCAGCTAACAAACTGAAATACTGTAGTTGAGGTTGATCATCTCTCCAATCGAAAGCTCTAGCTCTTTCCGCCTCCGCCGCTACCTGGATCCCCCAATTGCCAATCTTTGTCTCGTGTTCCGAACTGAACTTGTTTCCATCCCAACATTGTAAAGCAGAAGCCTTACGTCTCAAAGACTTGAGGTACTGCCGTTGCTGTTGTTGTTCAGCATTGAGATCGCCTGCTAGGCCGGAAGGGTCGTGTTGACCGAAAGCTTTGGCTCTGCGTCGTGCCTGTCGCTCCCACGATTCGAGACGGTCAACGAGGGAATCGTCATAGCGGACGAGTTGGACGCTGAGTGAGTCAGAGTGTGGAACGAGTTTCTCGAATAGAGATTGGACGCCTTTGGAGTTGGATGAGGGGGAGGAACGACGTTCGACAGAAATGCGAGTGATGCGGATTTGTCGACGAGGTTGACGGATGGTTGAAGTCATGGATAGGCGTGCGTCGCGACCGGAGAGAATGCGGGTCCAGTATCCAACCCATCGACGTTGGGAGGGGATGGAAACGCCCATTTTGGGTTTCTTGGTGTCGCTGTGATCTTCCGTGTTCTGGTTGACTGCGATGGATTCTTGGTCGTCTTCCGATCCCCGGACGTGGCTGCCTTGGCGGTAAGGGTTGTTGCTGTAAGCATCGACGATGGACGTGCTCATGCTAGTATCAGCTGGTTGGTAGCAGGGCATGCTGGTGCTGGCTCTGCTGTGCGTGGGGAAACGAGAGTGCATACTGAGACTGAGATCGTTGGTGCTCTGGCCTGACATGTGGAGCGCATCACAGCTGCGGCCTGCTGGACCAGCACCCAGTGCACGAAGCGAAAGAGTGGAAGTGGCAGCAGAAGGCATCGCACCCGTGGAGTGAGCAGAGGGTCGCAACCCTGCTGCGTTGGACCTTGCACGCTGACGACCACTAGGTTTGCTATGGGATTGAGGCTTCATACGACGTTCGGTGTGGAGGTCAAAGATGGTTTGGAGTCGTTGTGAGATCTGTTGGATTTCCATTTCTGGGTTGTGGTCGTCGTTGCGGATGATGCTTTGCTCCGGTGCAAGAGAGGGTCGTCGTCGCAAAGTGCCGCTGGTTGGAAAAGGCATGGTGTAGCCAGCACTGAAAGAGACGGTGGAAGAAGCGGCATTGGTCCATGCTGCCGAACGAGAGATTTGCCAAGTCATACTGCTGCTTCGTAGAGGAGTCTGAGGCTGCGTTGTCTGTGTTGAGCCCGACTGTTGCTCATCTGTTGCACCGTTGGCATAGGCGATAGGTGCGAGGGCAGGCGGTGGAGTGACAGACTGCTGTGGCGGACGCTGCATCTTGCTGTAGTTCCTGATGCTGGTAGGAGCAGTCGGCAAGTAAGGCAACGAGACAAGATAGCAGCATGTCATGGTTCCTGATCTTCCCTTTCCGGCTTTGCAGTGAATGACAGCGGTCGCATCGGGATCCGATTCTAGATAATCGGTAATGTCGGCCACGAAGAGCGGGATCAAGCTGAGCGGTGGAACGTGGTGGTCTGGGAAGGGGAACCGCGAGACCCTTCCGTAGAACTCGTCGGCATCGTAAGAGTTTTCAGTGACAGGGCAGAAGTTGTAGACGCGGTAGAGGTCGTCGTGACGCTTGTCGAGGAAGCGACGGACGTCGGAACGTTTGTTGCGGTAAAGCGATTGAAGACCGGAGGCAGGGAAGCCCATGATGATGATGTGATCGGTGACATAGGTGAGATCGAGGTCGAGATCGAGCAGAGGGTCCTTGAAGCGGGCCTTCTGGCCGCTGACGATTCGGCGTGCGATTGTTGCCATATTGGGAGTAGAAGCCAAGGTAAAGGCAGGCTAGGCTAGAGGTCCTTTCGGGGGTATGTAGCAGCCAGATGCCGTTGAGTCAGATTCGTCTTGGAGCAGGGTGATGCAAGGTATGCCGTATTGGCTATGCTATCGAATAATAGGTGGACCTTGAGAATTGATGAGGAAGATGCCTATAAGGTCGAGTTGAGATCGCTCATGTTCTTGCTAAAGACAGAGACCTCGAGATCTAGATGATGGTGGAGTGGAAGTGGTTCTGATCATCCGCAGAGTTGAGGTCGTGGGGAGGAGTAAGTTGGGGTGGATATAGTGGGACGGAAAGAGAGGAGGCCTTCATCTGTAGAAGGGCGGGCTGGTTGAGTGGGGTGAGGAGGAGGAGGAGGAGGACGAGGAGGAGGAGGACGAGGAGGAGGGGGCTTGACAATGTGCAAATTGTGGTGGGAGGGAGCGTCAGCGTGGGCAGTGCCAAGAACTTGGTTGGCAGAAGCGAGGTCTACAATACAATAAAAAAAGGCGGCCGGCCATCAAGCTCAAATTGGTCAGAGCCATGAGACGTAGGCGAGGTTGGGAGGTGGATAAGCGACCCGTAGGCGACGCCTCGTGCTCGCCGCTGTGGTATGGTAAGCCACCCCTTCGGTATCCTCCGCCGAGGAAGGGGTTCGATGCCAAATGCGAAGGCTATTGCTTCGTCGAAGCTGGTCCACAACGGAAAGGGCCGTTGCTGAGGACCTAAAGCGACACATTCCATACAAAGGCTTGGCTTTCAAGTTCTATCCATCGAGCTTCGCTCAAGTTGTCTAAAACAAGCAGGCTCTTGTCTTGACACATTGTCTTTTACTGCATGCATGCCTTTGCGTGTGCAGTTGTAGCAGTTTGCAAAGAACTGGCACAAGCGGCTCTGCTCAACTCTGCGAACCATCTATCTGGACTGCCTGACGACAGCGAGTTGAATCTGTTGTTCTCCGTGTGACAGCGGGAGGTTTAAGCTGGATCAGGCACAGGCACAAACTTTGACGCCTCTTCAAGGTGCCTGTGCTCTTAAGGTGCCTGTGCCCTCAAGGTGCCTGTGCCCTCAAGGAAAGAAGACGGAACTCAGCGAGAAGAGCGAGTGACGTAGGATGGATCGGAAAATCTTGTGCAACTCGCCAACCAAGCGAGCGTTGCTTTGTTTGACACGACGCCGTCGACCGTCATCGCGCTGCTTTTCCACTTGATATCCACTCATTTCAGCTTGACAACCAACCACAGCAGATACCGGCATAGCGAACCACATGCGCCTCGGTGACTTGCTCGCAGTCATACACTTTCTCTCTCGTCCGAATCTATCACCCAGAAGCAACCTCAATTGGAGCAATCGTTGCTTTGCTTTGACCTCGTTGATGAATCCAATACTACCAAAGCTTAGTGGAATGCCAAGAAATGGCAGGGGTCAAAGCGCCGCCCACCGCGACGTAGAATGCTGGGCGACGAGGTCCCCACGTACAGACATTCCGTCTAGTCGCAATAGCAAGGAGGATGGGGAAAAGGAAAGATCCGTACTGCGATCGGACGTGCTGGTGAGTAGCGCCGCCGTTTAGACTGCCAAGACCTCATCATCAGCAAAAACGCACGTGCAGCATGCTTTCCAACATGAGGGCCCCTTCCTTTCCATAATCAACTTCTCACACTCGAGCCTCGAATCGAATAGTCTTTCCCTCAGAAGATCTTGCAGATGTTGAAAAGTGAAGAAGTTTTGGTCGCGATAACTGGCGATCGGCGAGAGTCTAAGTACGATGTCACTGCTGGTTTAGACAGAAACATATATACTCAATTGACTCAAGAACGTGGGGGGAGCCTAGTGCTCTCGGCTTGATATATACGTATATACATTTGCGTGGTACCTGCCAAAGGTGGGAGTGCTTCTACTTAATCATCTACCTTGACAACGAGCGGGACTGTGTTGTACCCGATCTCTTGTCAGATCGCTTCCACCAAATCTCCGATTAGATTGACCTATCCCGATCTCTTCCGCTTCGGCTTACGTCAGCTTTCATCATCATATTGGATCGTTTCCTTCAGCAGCAGAATGCCGTTCGGGATGCAGAATCGAAGCAGACAATCCGACCCGAACGCATCGGGCTGCAATTGAGCGATCTAGCAACGATCCCTCTATGTTTTTGTGGTTCCAAGTAATAATGTTAGTACCTGCTCCTAACAATCTCAGAAAATCGGTTGCTCCTTCCCCCCACGCGCTGCTCGTACGATTCTTGCCGCGAAGCACAGACCACAGACGTGAAGAAGAAGCACTTTCAGGCACTTTCAGTTCTTCTCGTTCCTCTCAAAGACCCTTTTTGCTGTTGTTGGGCGCGCGAAGATAAGGCTTGAGTGTTGGTCTGTTCTATTCCTGCTCTTCGTTCCAACCATATCACCTCAAGATTGCAAGCAGTACCGTCCACTCTCGTCGGCAAACGATTGCTTTGGATTAACGAAATGACGGCTACCAGCCCCTTCCCGAATAGCATGGCCGCAGCCTCGGTGTGGGTCGAGCGTCTCCAACTCCAACTCCAGCTCTTTGTCCTTCAAACAGATCTTTACCTCTTCCAATTCATCCCATCTCTCCCTTCCACCGCTATCCGTTCTCCCACCAGCCTAATCTTCACCGGTCTCATCGTATACATCATCTCTCGCATCGCCTCCGCCCTCTCTGCCTACGTCGCCGAGCAAGGCGTGTCTATCTCCATTCCTGCTCCACCTCAAGCTCGCGCAGGATGGTCCGGAACAGTTCTCACTAATCCGACAGTTCGCGATACGAAAAAGCCAGATACAATCTTCTGCTATGACCCAGCCACAGCCTACCTCATTGCCGAAATCACAGCCGATACCCCCACTACCATTGCCCAGAAGATCGCCAAAGCCAAAACCGCACAGCTCAAATGGCGCAAATCTTCCTTTGCCCTTCGCAGAAAAGCATTGCGCACGATGCAGAAATGGGTGGTGAGGGATGCAGAGACCATTGCACGTGTCGCTTCGCGCGATACGGGCAAGACTGCTGTCGATGCTGCTTTCGGCGAACTTCTTACCACGTGCAGTAAGCTAGCTTGGACCATCTCTAACGGCGAGAAGATCTTGCGCACAGAAACGAGACCCAACAATCTTCTACTGATGCACAAGGTATGCCAAGTTCGCCATGAGCCGATGGGTGTTGTTGCCGCATGTGTCAGCTGGAACTATTCAGCGCACAATGTTATGGGTCCGATCATTGCTTCGCTCTTTGCCGGCAATGCGATTGTGGTCAAGGCGAGCGAGCTTGTTGCTTGGTCTGCAGGATGGTTTGTTGATGCGATTAGGCAGTGTTTGAGCGTGTCGGGGTGCGATCCGGAATTGGTGCAGCTGGTGACATGCTTCCCTGAAGCAGCTGAAGCTTTGACGCAGAGTCCGGATATTGCGCACATTACATTCATCGGTTCAGAGCCAGTAGGGAGACTAGTAGCTCAGGCTGCGACCAAGGAACTTACTCCTCTTACCCTCGAACTTGGTGGTAAAGATCCTGCGATTCTGCTGAAGGATGCGGATCTGAAGTACTTTGCTTCTACTTTCATGAGGAGTTGCTTCCAAGGTGCAGGACAGAACTGTATTGGTATTGAACGGTTTATTGCTGATGAAACGATCGCCGAAAAGTTGGTGGCGATTGTTGGGCCGAGAATTAAGGCATTAAAGCTTGGTAGTTTCATGGACGATGCTCCCTTTGGCACCTCCTCTTCTTCCACTAAAGGAGGAAAGGCGGAGAGAGTGGATATGGGAGCAATGATCACCGATGCCCGCTTCTCACACCTCGAATCTCTCATCTCTGACGCTGTCTCCCAAGGAGCCCGTCTTGTTGTCGGAGGCAAACGTCACAACCACCCGACCTACAAACATGGCCACTACTTTACCCCTACCCTCCTCACCAACATTAAACCCTCTATGGCTATCGCAAACGAAGAACTCTTCGCGCCTATCTTCCTCATCATTCCCTTCGCCACCACCTCTCTCGATTCTGCTATCTCCATCGCCAACTCCACACGCTATGGCTTGGGATCTTCGATCTTTGGCTCTACTCTGTCACAGTGCCAGTACATTGCAGATCGACTCGAAGCAGGAATGGTCAACATTAACGATTTCGGCGTCTCTTACCTCAATCAAGGTTTGCCCTTCGGAGGTGTCAAGAAGAGCGGTTATGGTCGATTCGGTGGTCCTGAAGGCTTGCTAGCATTGACGCAAGCAAAGGCGGTGACAAGAGATAGAGCATTTACTTGGATCAGGACTGGTATTCCACCCAGACTTGACTATCCGCTGGAACAGCCAGGGAAGAGTTGGGCTTTCGTACAAGGGTTGGTCAGGTTTGCTTATGGCGATGGTCTGTTGGCCAGAGCGAGGGGGATTTTGGATCTGATTGTCAACGGGGCCTGAACTCACACTCTGTAGTAGCACCACAGTCTCATCGCAATCAAGAATCAAGCATTGATACGCTTTCTCTCATCGAGGCTTGACACTCACACGAAACTGAAACAAGCAAAGAATACAACTTATGATTGCAACACCTGCACTGCCCATGAGCAACGGGGCTTTTAGGCCTTAGGAGGCCTCTTCTTCACATCCTCATAATTCACTGGTTGAATCCAAACTTTCGGCTCCACCCCACCAGCTCCTTGATATCCCTTATGCCAATCGTATCCAACTGCGTAGGCAAAGATAGTTGCATCTCTATTGAACGCGATTGCGGTAATCGGCTGTTTTGCCGGATTGGTCTTCAACAATTCCTTTGGCGCATTAGCCGGTCCTTTCGTTTCCATCGTCTTCAATCTTGTCCTACTCTGTTTGCACCAAAAGTTGATACTTCCATCAGCACCACCAGTTGCAAAAGTACCGTGCACGTTAAACGCGATGCAGTTAACGGGGTAGAGGTGAGACTCGTTACGAGGAACTTCCGGATGATCGGCGTTAGCACGACGATGACATTTGAAAGCAAATTTCTTGACCTTGTTGTCTTTGTCTGGAGGGTCATGGAAGTATTGGACTCCCACTCGACCTTCGACACCGCCCAGTGTGTAGCCGTCTCCATCGGGTAAGACTGCCATTGATCGAGTTTGGTATTTGAGTGGAGACTGTTGCTCTACCAATGGTGTGATGCTTCCAGTTTCTTCCAATCTGAAACCCAACACCATACGCTCCGCCATCGCCACCACTACCACATTCTGCACGTTATCCATCGCATAGCATTTCTCTGGCAAGTTCAAGCTATGAACCATGTTAGGTCCCGCTGCAGGATTATCCACCTTCCAAATCTTCAACACCTTGTCCCATCCCGCTGTCAACAATACACCCCCTGCTACATTCAACCACCTTACACTTCTAATCGTGTCATTGTGCTGCGCCACAACGGTAGGCTGGTTCGTATTCATATCAAACATCCTGCATACTTTATCCGCGCCCACACTGAAGATTTTTGCCCCATCACTGCTCCAGCATAGATCCAAGACGGGACCTTCGTGGGAGTACTGCTGCCAAGGAGTGACGGGTGTGGGGGAGGTTTTGTTGATTTGGTAGATGCGGATGTTGTTATCCCATGAAGAGGCGGCGAGGAAGTCGGCGGTGGGAGAAAAGGAGAGGCACGAGACAGTATCGGAGGGGGCAGGAGCTACTTCTTGGTCTTGATCGCCGGTGGTTTTGGAGGCGGCTGAGGTGTTGATTTGGCCGATGGAGGTTGGGGTTGCAGCTGGGCGAGCGCCAAAGGTGGATGGGGTGGAGGCGGAGGAGAAGAATGCCATTGTGACAGATGTTCCTCTTCCTAGAGCGGTTATGCGGGTGTGGGATTGTGCGGATATCGATGGTGGCTATGCTGTTCGGGATCCTTGACGCTGAGGCAAAAGCTACTGACTCGTGCGTATCGGTAAAAACTGAAGCTCAGTAGCTCGCTTTCCCGATGTTCGATGCCAAGAACTGGACCAGACGCTTCAGATGTCTGCTGAATGTCGCGTGCGGGATCAGCTGCTGATTGCGGCGCGGATGAAAGGTGCGCAGGCGTGCCGAAACCGGTGGGAAGATCAACCTTCGATGCGGAAGCCCGTGTCTTTTGACAGTCCTTGTTGTGAGCTTCAGCGGCTGTCTTCTGCGCCTGTAATTGGTGATTTTGCTCTGTAACAAGAACAGAATTGAAGAGCCTGCTGCGAGTGATGATGGTGGTGGTCAGGAGGAGAAGCGTAGTCGTGTTCGGAGGTAAGCAAAGAGATAGCGGTCAAGCCAGGCGGAAACGATATGAAATCTGCGTTAGAAAATCTGACCTGCGGATAGATCTTCTCAAAAAAAGCGGAAGACGGAAAAGGCAAGACGGAAAGGCCAATCTCTGGCCTCGACGCGTCACGTGATCCCCACTTGGAGGCAATGTCGCATTCAACTCGACAATCAAAGACCTCACTCGACAGAGGCATTGAATGCTTCTCGAGAACTTTTGCACAGTCACTTGACATGTTTGGTTGCTCACAGTTGGATCGAGAGCTTGATCGGGATGGGTTCATACAAGCATAAAAGCGATGAACAAGAATGATCGAAGAACAATAATATTACGAGTGATCATAAAAGATGCCAGAAACGAGGGAGGAAGGTGTGATGCTACTGATGACTACTTGACGACCGCACAATTACTCCTTGTCAGTGCCGGTGTAGTGGTTGGCAGCAGCGGCATCGACAGGGTCAAGAATCTCCTCCTCAGCCAGCAGACGCTCAGCCTCGAGCGCAGCAATGCATCCAGTACCTGCCGAAGTGATAGCCTGTCGGTACTTCTTGTCAGCAACGTCACCAGCAGCAAAAACACCCTTGACCGAAGTCTGAGCAGTGCCTGGTGTGGTGATGATGTATCCGTCGCTGTCGAGCTCGACCTGACTCTTGACGAGCGAAGTGGCAGGCAAGTGACCGATAGCATAGAAAAGACCGTTGGCGTCCATGTCACGCTCCTCGCCAGTCTTGGTGTCCTTGACACGAACAGCTTTGAGCAGCTCACCATCACCCTTGCACTCGGCGGGCTGAGTGTTGAAGTGAACAGTCACCTTGGGATGCGCCAAGAGTCGCTTAGCCATGATCTTGGATGCTCGGAGCTCGTCTCTTCGGACAAGGACGTGAACATGCGAAGCGTACTTGGTGAGGTACATGGCCTCCTCAGCGGCACTGTCACCACCACCGACAACTACGAGAGGCTTGTTGCGGAAGATGGGGACGGCACCGTCACAAACGGCACATGCCGAGATACCGCTCTGCCAGTAGGTCTCCTCACCGGGCAAGTGCATGCGCTTAGCACTGGCACCAGTAGCAATGATGAGGGTCTCGGTGAGCTCGGGAGGCTGGTCCTCATTGAACTCACGCCAGAACTTGAATGGACGGGAGGAAAGGTCGACCCTGGAGATGGTCTCGGTGTGAATCTCGGTACCGAAGCGAACCGACTGGGCACGGAACTTATCCATGATCTCAGGACCACGGATGCCATCGGGGAAACCAGGGAAGTTCTCGACATCGGTTGTGGTGGTAAGCTGCCCTCCTGGTGCAAGACCGTTGGCAAGCATCCCCTCGAAAAGAACGGGCTCGAGGTTGGCTCGCGCCAAGTAGATGGCAGCAGTGTGACCAGCGGGACCAGAGCCGATAATAACGACCTTGTGAACCTTCTGGCCCGAGGACGAAGAGGCACCGTTGACGTGTTCAGTCATGTTGTCTGAAGATGCAGATGTGTCTGCCGAAGTGGAAGAGTGGCGAATGGATACGGCAGAAAGTGCTGCAAGAGGAGCTGTAGCTCGGAATGCACGAGACGAGTAATTGCTAGAACTAGAGTGCGTAGAGAAGCGAGATCGAAGCAGGGGAACTGCAAGCTGTTGCGCGGTTGTAACTCTGGTGTTGGTTGCAAGGAGGTGAGGAAGGTTGACGCGGTTGAACGAGGTCGAACGCAACGACGATCGGGCAAAGCTCATATAAGTACGACGAAGCGTGTTCTTGCTATTGAGGATGCTGTAGGTAGCAACAACGATAGATGCGATAGGAGGGTAAAGTCCGAAGATGATTGGTGTATGTGGTGAAGAAGAAACGATGATGTCGAGTTGAGGCGAGGAAGAAGGACAAGATGCAAATTGCGTGACAGGTGTTGGGCTTTCTCGGGCTAGGCAACCGAACGAATCATAGAAGCAAATGGATCTTCTGAGCTTTCTTTGCTTTCCTATGCCTTTTGCCGGCAACTCAAAAGAGCCTTGGTCGGCAACAGCGCCACGCCGCCGCGCCACCCTAACTTTGGCTGTGAGGCAATACAAAAAATCATCTCGCCTTTTCGCTGTGAAATCGGGATCCGATCGTGAAAACTAACAGAGCCAAAATAAATCAAAAAATAAATAAATAAATCAATCGCTCCTCTCTCTGCCAGCTCGTATTTCCGCACATGTCTGCTTCTGCTGATTCTGCTGTACACAGTATCAGGATTTGAAGCCGTAGCAAGCTGTACGAGGTGCTGGAAGCATCCCGAATCCCTTCATTGGTCGATACGAGGCTTTACTCCTTCACGCAAATAGGTGTATGACGCCAGTAGTTGAAGAAAGAGTGTCTGTGAGCGCAAGTCCGGACAGTCGCCGCGCTCCACAAAGCACACTCGCAACGATGGACCCTTGATCTTACCAGGAGCCTGCAAGCCTCTATACTGCGTCAGTACCCCCGCACAGTAAAGCTTTTCATGCCTCAAAGGTAGCGTATTACAGCAAGTGCCTCATCAGATCTTGAATGGGTATGTTGATTGCTTTTTGCTACAAGTGTAATGAGATCAGAGTCGGCGAAGGATGCACTTCCGAGTACACTATGAGCTCACTTGCCGATCTGCTTGAGCGCCTCCTTGATCGTGTACTCCATCTCCTCTAGATCATTGGTGGCCACACGCGTGATCTGGCACTTGAGCGCCTTCTCGATCTGGTCCATGTAAGTCCAACTCTGCTGATCGTGCACAAAGTTGATCGAAACCCCCTTGCGACCGAAACGACCCGTTCGTCCAATACGGTGCAAGTAGGTCTCGGCATCCGCCTCACCCGCCTGTGTTAATGGCATGTCGTAGTTGATGACCAACGTCACCTGCTGAATGTCGATACCACGTGCGATGACATTGGTCGAGATGAGCACCTTGCTCTTACCGTCACGGAAGGCGTCGATGGTTCGGTCACGGTCTGCTGTCTCGAGTCGGCCGTGCAGCGAGTCAACCTTGTGACCCTCAGCGGTCATCTTTTGTGCGATGTGGTCGGCTGTTTCGCGCTTGGCGCAGAAGATGATACTCTGGCCAATGGTGAGCAAGTTGTACAGCTCGACAAGCACTTCGTACTTGTGGTCTTCATCCCTGCAGTCCATGTAGAACTGCTTGATGCCCTCTACTGACAGCTCTTCCTGCTTCAATCGGATCTCGTTGGCGCCTGGTGCGATGCGGACGGCAAAGTCGTACACGTTAGTGGGGAAGGTGGCCGAGAACAGAACAAGCTGACATGACTTGGGCATGGTGTTCTTGACACGGATCGACTGTTCACCCAAGGACTGCTGGTCTAGCATGTTGTCGGCCTCGTCGAGCACAAAAACCTTGATAGCAGCAGTCTCGATACCTTTGCTCTTGATCATGTCGAATGTCTTTCCTGGTGTACCAACAATGAGCTGTGCAGAGATCTTTTCACCTCGCTTGACCTCGTCTGGCAAGCAAAGGCATGTGGTGACGTCGGTGAACTTGGACATGGTAAGCACCACATCCATGATCTGTCGTGCCAGCTCACGCGATGGTGCCAAGACGACGGCCTGTGGCTTCTTGAGGTCGTAGTTGATTCGCGAGAGCATGGTGAGAATGAAAGCGGCGGTTTTACCGGTACCGGATTGTGACTGGCCGATCATGTTCTTGGGTGGGTTCTGGAGAAGCAATGGCAATGCCTTTTCTTGGATTTTGGATGGCTTCTGGTACTTCATGGCGTAGATGCCCTTGAGCAGGTTCTCGTGCAAACCGAGCGCTTCGAAGCTCTTGGCCGAGTACAGCGGAGAGTTGGGATCCGCCTGCTGGTCTGCCAATGTGACCTGAACCTCGTGCGAAGACTCGCGCAGATTTGACTCAACACCTTCCTCCTTGCTAGCTTCCGCTGGTGCTGCTGGCTTACCAGCGCCATCCTTGCTGGACATGAGACCAGAGATGCCAGCTGCGATATCGTTGACCTTGCTGTCAGCAGCGGGTGCTGCCGGCCTGTCCTTGTTGTCGCCCATCTTTCGAGCTGTATGAATCGAAGTAGATGTTCCGTGTGCCTTCCGGGTGATCAAAGTGTAAGGCTCAGAGGTCGTTAGAGGGGGAAGGTGGTCGATGTCGTTGTGGTGTTGCACCGAGGCAGGGATGATACTGAAAAGCAATGGTTGAGACCTTCAATTTTTCTTCGTGTTGGTGTGGAGTTTGGTGCGAGTTTCACTGCGCCTGCCCTTTCCACATTTGAACTTCTGCAGGTGTGATCGATTTGAGCGCACAGGCAGTGATTGTCTGTTAGGCGCGATCTGACATCCCTGAAAATGTGGGCGTAACTTGAACAAGTGTTGGTCTGACGCGCTGCAGTGAGCGTCAGAGGCCAACGCGTAAAAGAGCGCGAATCCAGAAGGCTGACTGAAGTGACAGCTTCAGCTTCGTACCAGCTCCATCGACATCTGATGGCACAAACTTCGAGACGAACCTTCACATCCTCCGTACAATCCCCGAAGTCATCCGCGCAGCACACAAATAGCTGGATCCGATAGTATAGCCTGTCACTTCCAGGATTGAACAGCTATCCAGGCACGAGGGTTGGAGCTCAAGGCTCACAAGACAAGATTCGATCGAACAGGCAACGCTACCTAACTCTGCTGGTTTGACGTCGCAGCCATGCCGTCGTCATCAGATCCTACCTCTTTGCTCAATACATGTTTGCAGCGCGACAAGAAGCTCGTCACGTATCGCCTTCTCAGTCGAGAGCTGCGCATCCATGTCGATGAAGCCAAGAGGGCACTAGCGAGCTTCTTCGACTCGCACAAGGAAAAGTCAGAACTCGACGCTACGTACATCCTCATCGGCCGATCCACAGCATTGCAATCTCAAGCTGACAGGTCGAGCAAGCCAGAAGGAGATGATGACGGCAAACTAGAAGGTCCCTCCTCGACCGCCTCTTCCTCTGCCGGACCATCTCGCAGCTACCTCGAAGCCCGTCTTGCAGATCGCCAGACCGACATGGATGTCTCCCGTCAAGTGGTCCGCTTAGTCGCTGCCGACCAGCTCGAAGAAGCCAAGTCCACCTTTGAGGAGATCACGTCGTGTCACATCTATTCAATATCGCCAGGTCGTCTCCGTGATGCAGCACAACTCACAGCAGTGCAACACGACTTGCATACACAGCAGAAGTACATCGATGCCTGGCAAGAGACCAACCGTGGCGCAGATCTCGGCATCATCATTAACACCAGCATCAAGGACAACTACGATCCCTCCAAAGCCATTCCGAGTCTGGGTGCACCCAGCGCGCCTGCCGTCCCTGCGGCGAAAGACGCAAAGCAGACCAAGGTAAGCTCGGTCAAGACGGAGGTCAAGGAGGATCCCGACTCCAAGTCATCTTCGGCAGCAGCAGCAAACAGGTCCACTGGCAGCGGCGGTAATAAGAGTGGTCTTGACTGGAGCAGGGCTAAGCCAAAGGAACACGAAAAGAAAGCTGCAGCGGTCAAGAAGGAGGCTCCCAGCAGCAACAGCACTAGCAAACGATCGTCAGCAAGAAAAGCACTTCTCGGCAGCGATGACGAGGACGATGACGAGGACGATGACGAGGACGTGGAAGACGATCGCAATGGTCGCAAGCCTATCGTGTTGGACGACGATGATGATGACGAGGACGACAATAAGCCAGCAAAGCTCGGCTATGCCGACGACGAGAGCGACGAGGGCGACATCAAGATGATCGATCCTGTCCGAGGAGCAGCACCGCGAGGGACAGGGAAGCGTGCCGACGCTCGATCGCAGACTAAAGCACAGGAAGCAGCACAACGTAAAGAACTGGAAGCCATGATGGACGATGATGATGACGACGGAATTCAAATTGTCGAGCCTAGCGGCATTTCTGGCACTAAGAAGACAGGCCAAGGCAAAGACTTAGATCCGGAGGTAGAAATGGCTGATTCAACTGTCACCGACACCATGAATGGCACCGCGGATGCACCTGCAAAGCGTCGCGTGCGTAAGAAGCGCAAGATCGGCAGCAAAAAGGTGCGCACCAAAGATGAGCGAGGTTATACAGTTACAAAGACGGTCGATGAGTACGAGTCGTATTCATCAGAAGAGTCCGATACAGCCGTTGTCGTTGGATCCAAGCGTGGAGGTGGAGCAACAGCGAAGCCAAAGCCAGCGGCAGAGTCACGATCCAACTTAACATCGGCTTCAGCAAGCCCAGCTCCGAGTGCACCAGCCAAATCGACACCGGCAAATAGTTCGGCTGCTAAGAGCAAGCCAAGCAGTGGAGCGACGCCCGCAAAGAAAGGCCAACAGAGCCTGAACAGCTTCTTCACCCGCAAGCCCAAGTGAGACCTTCAGTACACACACACTCTTTTCCACACACATAGTACAGGGATATATGCAATTCATCTAGTCTTGCATAGACCCACCTTGATCTTTGTGATATTACATTATGGTCGTGAAATTTAGCTTGCCAAAGACGACTCTGAATGTGTAGCAGCAGCAATAGAGTCCGGCTCTGTCGGTGCCACAGTCTGAGTACTCGGTTCGGGGAGCTCGACCGGCGGTACATCTACCTTTTCCCACGGCTTCAATGGCCGACTCATCGTAGCTTGTGTTGGTTCCTCTTCGTTGATCTTCAATGGGATATCTCTGATACCCGGAATCTGATCTGTCTTGCCTGTCGTGATTAACTCGACAATTGCATCGAAGGATGCCGGATATGGCTCTTTGTCCTCTTTCTTCTCTGCCTCCTCTGCTTGCGTCGAGGCCTTTGTCCCTGAGGCGGCTAGGACATCGTTACTTGTGTCGTTCGCTGTCAATGTAGAGGATGCAGGATTGCTCGCCAGCCACGCCTTGTAATCAGCATAGTCGACCTGATTCCCCGTCTTTTGTGACCAGAAGAAGACTTTCGCCCGCTTTTTGGTCTCTTCAATCTGTTCTTGTGGGACGCCAGAGGTTTGCATGGGCCCAATGATGGTCTGTATGCCAGCTTGGAACTCGGGATCCGACTCTTCGAAAGCTGTGAGAGCTGCGTAGATTGCTTCGCGGTTGTATGGGACCGAGGGAAGTGATGAGTCGACTTCCATCGTGATTTGTCTGATGATAGATGTGAACGGATAAGTTTGAAGTTCAAGCCAAAGTCAAGGTGACTGTTTGTGAGCTGAAAGTGTGCAAAGCCCAAGGATTCAGGCGTGTTATTGTGAGTGAAGATGATGGCAGTGTTGAAGAACCGGCCCGTGCTGCGAGCGAGAAGCCGGCAAGCAACTCGGAACGCGGGGTTGAGTGGAGGTTCTTCGCACGTGATCTGGAATTTTTGGCGCAGGAAGAAATGCGCATTTCTTCGTTCATACAGGTTCACACTTTCCGTCCTCCCAATACCCTCCATTGATCTTCTACTCAACTCACGCATTCGCTCGAGCGACGACCGATAGATACAAGATGTCGTCCGAGGTAGCAAACATAGAGACTGCCGAGTCAGAAGCTGGCCCCAGCAACTTCTCACCGAAGCCGACCACAGGAAAGCAGCAACAGCCTCGCCAGAACAACCAGCAAAAGCCTCGCAACTCCCACATGCCTCGCCTCACTTCCGAGCAGCTCCGCAGACGCTTGCACTACATCGCCTCTGGATCCACTGTCATCCTCAAGATGCCTTCGGGAAGAACAAAAGCTGCCGAAATCATGCCGGGCAAGCAGGTCAGTCTGGGCAAGTTCGGCAGCTTCAAAGCGGATGACCTCATCGGCATGCCTTACGGGTTCACCTACGAGATCCAACCTGAAATTGTCTCGGCTTCGACATCTGAGGAGGCATCGAAGCAAAATGGAAAAGGAGCCAAGAAAGGCGGAGCGGGCAACAGCAATGCAGCAGCAGGAGGATTGCTTAAACTCGTCATCAATCATACACTCAACGATCTCGAAACTGAAGCCAGCGAAACAGTCGAAACCACAGCCACAAACGAACACATCAACGACGACGGCTCGGCACAAAAGCTCACCTACGTCGACATTCAAGAACTCAAGAATAGGGGTATCTCGGGTCGAGAGATCATCGAACAGCAGCTCGCCAGCTCCGAGTCTTTTGCCAACCGCACCGTCTACTCTCAAGCCAAGTACGTTGCGCGAAAAGAGCAGAAGCATCTCAAGCTCTTTACTCCTCTGCAACCTGACTTTGGCAACGTGTGCGACTTTTGGTTCGACAAATCACCCGAAAAGATTCGTTGGATTCGTAAAGATGCTCTCAGTCAAGTGCTCAGCTTCGGAAGCGTGAGAACAGGTGGACGCTATTTGGTAGTCGATGGCGTGTCAGGACTGCTAGTAGGCTCAGTACTAGAACGGCTCGGCGGAGACGGAACGGTGATAGCAATCAACGACGCCGAATCTCCACCTGCATTCGACATCATCCCTTACTTCAACTTGCCAGCCCAAGTGACCAAGCCCGTTCTCAAGATCCTCAACTGGGCCGCCACCGAACCCGACTACGCACCTGTCTTCTCCAATCAAGACATCTCCACCGTCACCTCCACCACCTCGGAAAACCGATCAGCAAAAGACAAACCACGCGATCGCAAACGTCAAGCCAACTTCCGTGAAGTCGATCGTGTCCGATCCGAGTACTTCGCTGGTGACTTTGACGCAGTTCTCATCGCATGTCACTACGATCCGATGAGTATCTTGCGCAGATTGAAACCGCACTTGGGGGGGTCAGCAAGTGTGGTTGTTCACAGCCCATATCTGCAGCCGCTGGTGGAGGCACATGCGAAATTGAGAGGAGATGAGGAGTTTATCAATGTTAGTGTGACGGAGCCTTGGTTGAGAAAGTATCAGGTGTTGCCGGGTAGGACGCATCCGGAGATGACCACGAGTAGTACTGCGGGTTACATCTTGCATGCTATGAGAGTGTTTGGCGACAAGCAGGCGCTGGAGATGCGGAAGGAGTACTTCACAAGCTGGGAGGAGGAGAAGGAGCAAGCTAGGGAGGCGGTAGAGGAGACAAAGAGTGAAGAGCACACAGATACTCAGGAAGAGAGTGCGGCTGATGAGGAAGGGCGCGATACGAAACGGGTCAAGACCGATGAGACGACAGAGGCTCAAACCGCAGCAGCAGAGCCACAAGCTTAAATGCTGGGCACACCATACCAATCTTCTAGGCGCATCACCTTACTTTGGCGATTCCGCTGTGCTGAGTGTGCTGTGCTGAGTGTGCTGTGCTGAGTGTGCTGTGCTGAGTGTGATGAAGAGCAGTCTGAGTGCTGTGATTCTTTGCGACATCACAAGAGAGGTCATTCCGCAAACGATGAGTGCTTCGTCAAAAAGAAATGTTAGGGCAAGTGAATCAAACACAATCACATTTTCGACGACTGCTTTTTCTGGCTCTTTCTCCACTTCGGAAGCCGAGATTGGACCCTCAAAGACATCTTCGCATCGCTCTTCTTCGTCACGGACCACCATATAGACATCTGCAATCTTGCAACACCTTCCCAGAGACGGAACAAAGTGTCACGCTTGCATCCAAACAGCAACACGACTGAGTCATAGGTCTATAGGCAACTAGCCTGTACCATCCGCAAACACTGATCGCAGACAGCTTGGACAAACAACAGACTGAACGATAGGACCCAACTAGGCACGGACTTGATCAGACGACCTTCCTCATCCTTCTAAATCTTCACAGCCGCAGCAATGTCGACAATACAGAAGCCATACTCAGGACATCCTTCATCATCCCACTCCTCCACCACACCGCCCTATCTACCTTCCTCCTCCTCAACAGTACCCTCTTCCTCCACCCCAACGATCGACGCAGCGGCAATCAACGGCATCGTCCCCGGCGCAAAGCCCGATTCCTCCATCATGTTCTGCGTCGTCTGCGCATCCAATCAGAACCGATCTATGGCAGCCCACTCACTCCTAGCGCAATCTGGATTCAACGTCACCTCAGCCGGCACCGGATCCGCCGTTCGACTTCCAGGGCCCAAAATCAACCTTCCTAACATCTACCCCTTCGGCACAGCCTACACTGACATCATTGAAGATCTTAACAACAAAGATCCCCGTCTATATTGGGCAAATGGACTAATGACAATGTTGAATAGGAACAAAGATGTCAAACGAGCACCTGAAAGATGGCAGGAAACAAAGTACACAGCAGATATCGTCATCACGTGCGAGGAAAGATGCTTCGATGCGGTTTGTGAGGACCTGTTTAACAGGGGAGGAGAGCTGAATAGGCCAGTTCATGTGATCAACGTGGAGATCAAGGATAATCATGAGGAAGCTGTGGCCGCGGGCAAGGCAATTCTGGATTTGGCGAATGCTGTAAGTACATCGACCGAAGAGGTTTGAAGTTTGGCTTTGTGTGGGATTCTTTTACTGATACATTTTTGCTCTTGCATTGCTTTGATTGCCCCTGAAACAGATTGCAGGTTCACAAGATATCGATACGGAAATGGACCAGATCTTGGAACAACATCAACAGGCATATCCACATGCGATTCTTCATACTGTGGCGTATTACTAACAACACAACAGCCACACTTGCTCGCAATACATTATCGAAAGACCTTTCGATTTGGTCCGACATTCGGCGCTATCGAACCGGATCTGTCTTTCCTCAGATGTAGAGTTGAGGGCGGCGAAATCAAAAAAATAAAATTGTACGAGCTGTGATGCGATTGAGGATGCTAAGACAAGATATGTATGTACACGTGGTCACGAATGATGGGCCTGAGAACAGAGACTGAGCGTTCCGAAGAGAGACGAACGCAGATGCGGGGGCTACGAGTGATGTTCGAAGTGTGACTGGGCGGCATTGCAGTAGTAAGGTGGTCTGGAGGTGCGTGGACAGTCTCGAGATCCGACTCAGTCCGCTATCTTGCGGCCCTTGATGTCGATCTCGAATGTGTTCCACGAGGTTCGAATGCCTTGGTGCGAAGAGTAGACGAAGAGATGCTGGAGATGGATGCCATGCTAGAGCAGAACGCACTTCTTCTTTCCGCCTGCAGATCCACCACCACCGGCCCTTCTGCCCCAGCCCTTTTTCCTACATGCCTCCCTGATCGCGGTATCAAACACATTCTGCACTCCATCCTTTGTCTTTGCCGAACACTCGACATACTTTTCCGCCCCAATCTCATCCGCCACCTGCTGGCCCTGTGTCTGCGAAACCGGCTTGATCCCTTGTGCCTGCAACATGGCCAAACTATTGGGATCCTTCCGCAAATCCGTCTTCAACCCGACCAGCAGGATTGGTACACCCTCGCAAAAGTGATTGATCTCTGGGAACCATTTATCCTGTACATTCGCCAGACTTGTTGGGAAATCAATAGCGAAGCAAATCAAGATAACATCTGATTCGGGATACGAGAGAGGCCGGAGTCGGTCGTATTCCTCTTGGCCTGCTGTGTCCCAGAGTGCAAGCTCGATAGTTTTGCCTTCGAACTGGATGATGGGGACGTAGTTTTCGAATACGGTGGGGATGTATTCTTCTGGAAAGCGGTTTTGGGAGTAGACTATGAGGAGACAGGTTTTACCGCATCCACCGTCACCGACGACGACAAGCTTCTTTTTGAGATCGATGACGGGTCGACCAGGCATTTGTTGGATTTGACCTTGGCCGGGCGGCGCATCGGAGAGGGTGGAGCCACTGTTGCAGCCGTTCATGGTGGTGATGTCGGTAGATCTGTGATCGTGTACAGAAAGGCAAAGGTTGGGTTGCGCGGTAACGAGCTGAAGACTGAGTCACGAGAAGAGTCAGCTCAAGGGTTCAGCGACTATGATGTGGTATCGATGTGCGATGACGAGAGGTTTCGCTGGGGAACCGAATGCAGGGAAGCGAGCTGGATGCTGGGTACGAAGAGAAGTAATGCTGGACAAAGACGCTCGAAGGAAGGTTGATACTGATGAGGAAGGTTGATGCTGATGAAGAAGGTTGAGGAAAATGGAAGATGAAGATGAGAAGAGCAAAATGCGAGACACACTCAGCTGTTCGGTGTTGTACGTACGCTCAACTGTCAGTGGACAAGGCTACGAACGAGTGTGAACCCCCGGCTGCAGCAGATGAGCTGCAGTTGACTCGCTTCAGTATGCTACGACTGCATTTCACTCTTCGTTGTGTTGCACAAAAAGGTGTTGCTCTCAGTTGAAGATGCGTCGGCATCTCAAGCAAGGTGCACGTGTTACGGCCGAGACATCGAGATACGGGAGGCTCACATAAGCGAGGAGCACAATGAGGTACGCAATTGTTGTCATGGTGACAGCACAGTGGCACCCGGTATCATAGCAACACAGGGGTACAAATGAAGGAACACACCCTGCCTCGGATGGGATCAGAGCAGTGAATGGAGTATATATATGTGTTTGTCATTTAGTCTCACACTAAGAAAACCAAGCATTACATAGAACATACGGCTGTGGCAAAGGGAGTCTGATCGTGACCCCGATAACGCCGTATATTAATTGTTATCTTCAATTGATTAAGAGTCTGAAGAAGCTATCACCGAGCTAACCGAAAACTCGCCGACAACCATGGTAGAAGACACCGAAACGAGGACTAAAGGAAGCAGAAAAGGCAAGAACACCCAGGTTCGGGTCGACAATAATGCCACGAGCGAGAACGAGCCGGAGGCCATCAACGATGAAGCCGACGGAGACACCGATTCCGACTCCGACTTTGATGATGGCGACAAGCGATATAACTTTCGCACCCTAGCAAAGCTCCTTGAACCTGTGCCAAAGCTCACGTCACGAAACTACCATAGCTGGAGCGCTCACGTGAAATCTTTCCTCCGATCCGTGCCTCATGCGATGAAACATCTCGAGGGAACGTACGACAAGAAACACCCGAAATGGAGCCGCTCCCTTGACGATGCTTTAATTAACGCCCTGCGTGGAACAATCGATACTACCGGAGAACACAATGTAAACTACCTCGTTCTAGATGTAATCAAGGAGTACCTTACTTTCAACCAAGTATGGAGAAAGATCGAAAACGGTCTCACGAATGAAGCCACCAAGACGTCCCACAGACTTGCGCTTATCTCGCAACTCAACGATGCAAAGATGTTTCACTCGGATGCCAGAAAGCTAATCCAAGAGATCCGGTCCATACAAACTGAAAGCAGTCTCCTCGGAAAACCATTCGCCGATGATACATTGTTCTCGGCCCTGCAGAAATGCACGATCCGGCATCCGGTGTACAAGGAGACGGTTGCCACCGTCCATCAAATCGACTTCAACGCCCTTGCCACCGCATTAAGCATCCGGCAGACTGCTGTCGAGAGTGTCCCCGCACAAAGGATCGACCCCCGACAAGCCAGCGCTAGAACCGCCGGCAACGACGATCAAAATGAACGGGCCGGAGAGACCGAAGCCGAAGCCGACAACAGCCACGCGAGCCCGAGGAACGCAAGCAAACCACGCCGAATCCGATGCTGGATCTGCAAGCGACCGGGACATGGTATCAGCCAATGCGACGCCTTGGTTACCATTCCCAAGGACTCTCCCCTCGCTGAACCCAAATAGGAAGCGTGGTGCTCCCTCACCCTCCCAATGAAATGGCAGGACCCCTCGAACCCAAAAGAAACAGCTCATTGGATCTTGGACTCGGGGGCGAGTTATCATATGGTGAACGACTACAGCATGCTCATTCACCCGAGAACTTGCCGAAAGCGGATAATTACCGCCGGAAGCGAGGTCTTGGAAGCGGCAGCTATAGGAGATGCGAGCATATCAACAGATTACGGGGAAATCTCTCTGCAAAATGTATTGTATGTAAAGCACCTTAATGTTAATCTTCTGTCAACAAATTCATTAACGGATGAAGGAGCACGAGTGATATTGGACACAACCGGCGGCCAAATTTTCCTAACAAATGGCATGACACTTAAGATTGCAAAGAATCGCGAGCGAGGACTTCTGGAGTTCCGAGGCGACACATGGCAAGAAAGCGCGATGGCCACATCAGCACCATTGTTTGAAGGTGTTGATGAGGAGTTCGAGCATATTAAGAATGAGCCGAAAGTTTCAAAGCAACAACTATGGCATGAGCGTCTCGGGCACCCAGGAAGAGATAAAGCTAAGGCGATCACAAACAAGTTAAAGGATAAGCATACCATGAAATTGGATCCAAACACCGCTCTGACATGTGAGCAGTGCGTACGATCCAAGAGCACAAGCGCTCGGATGGGGAAAGGTAGCGGCGAGAGAGCCGTAGGGCCCCTGGATCTTATCCACGTCGATCTAATAATAGACTCGTCCCACGTGACGGAGTACACATGCACGTTGGTGCTGGTCGACGATCATAGCAAGTATGTGTATGCACAGCCATTGACACGAAAGAGTCATGCCTTTATGCAACTTAAAAGGATTGTTTCGTTCCTGGAGACACAGACGGATCGGAAGCTAAAAGCGATCCAATCCGATCAAGGAACAGAATGGAAAAGCAATGATGCATTAGAATGGTCGCTAGAAAAGGGCATAGAGTGGCAAACCACCGTAGGGTACAACAGCAAACAAAATGGACGGGTAGAGAGAATGAACAGGACCCTTGGAGAGAAGATGAGAACGTTGCTAATGCAGAGGAAACTACCGAAGAAGTTCTGGCCATACGCGATCAGAGCTGCAGCGTTCAAAATAAACCTCACTCCGAGCGTTGATAATGAATTCCCTTATCAAGCGATGTTTGGCAAGTCGCCGGAACGAGCTTTAAAGCTCCTACGAGTGTTTGGTTGTCTGGCATGGGTAAACATACCCAAAGTTAAACGGGACAACAAGAAACTGGACCAGCGAGCCGTCGCATCCATTTTCTTAGGGTACAGTCTAGAGAGGAAGGGCTGGCTTTTCTACAGCCCGGACTACAATCCGAACATCTTCTGGAGCAATTCAGCAAAATTCATGGAATCAAAGTGCTGGTCAGACAGAACAGAGTGGCGACCGGTTGATACAAAGGCACCCCCAATGACGATGACAGAAGAAAATCTCGAAGATCTAGGATATAACAAAGAAAATATATTCGACGAAACAGATGAAGAGCCACTACGAGAATACATGGATATGGAGTCAGACTCGGAAGAAAGATTACGCGAAGGAATAGCAGAGGTGATGGAACAAGGACCAATCGCCGAAACTCAAATTGACAGCGAATTCTATGGACTCGTAGCGACGCGACCGGAACGGAGAAAGAACCTGGACCCAACCATACATGAAGCAATGAATGGAGAGGACAGAAAGCACTGGGAGGAGGCCATGCGAAAGGAGCTGGATGGATTAGAGGCGATGGGCACATGGGAGATAGTCGACCTTCCAAAGGGTGCAAACACCGTCGACACACGTTGGGTACTCAAGATCAAAACCGATGCAAACCTCGTGCCAACAAAGTTCAAAGCCCGGCTCGTGGCACGAGGTTTCACTCAACGCGAGGGCATCGACTATACAGAGGTCTTCGCACCAGTAGCACCTATCCAATCCATTCGAGGGGTGATCGCGGTCGCAGCAGTACGAGATTGGGAAATGGATTCTATTGACGTAAAGCAAGCGTACCTGAACTCCACTATACACCATGATGTATACCTCAAGCCCCCAGTAGGAATCGAAATACCACCCGGAAAAGTGTTGAAGGTAGTGAAAGGACTGTACGGTTTGAAACAGTCGGGCCGAGAATGGAACATTGAGTTAGACTCACACCTCCGGACGATCGGATTTCATTGCATGCAGAGCGCTCCATGCCTATACTCAAGAGGGACAGGCGACAAGATCACGATCATCACAGCATACGTGGACGACATGCTGATAACATCACCCAGTCGTGAGGAAATAGACCGCGCAAAGCGGGAGATCATGGACAAATGGGAGACGCAAGACAATGGAAGGATCAAAGAATTTCTGGGTATCAAGATTATACGTGATAGAAGACGGAGGAGGATATCCCTGAGTCTAACGGCATACATCAAGGAAATGGTGAACAAATGGTTAGGAGGAGCAAACGAGAAATCCTGGATACCCATGCTGAGTGTAGCGAACACCGCCGGAGGCGAGCGATGTGAACCTAAGCGAGCAAAGAGGTATCAAGAATTGGTCGGCCAACTATTATGGGTCTCCAACACAGCCCGACCAGATATTGCCTTTGCTGTCGGCGTATTGGCGCGATATATGTCGATCCCGATCGACAGTGCATGGAAGGCAGCTGTCCACGTGGTAAAGTACCTGAACCAAACGAACGAATATCAGTTGCACCTAGGAGGAGAGACAAACGAGCACTCGGATACACCGGTAACGACGTATACCGACGCAAACTGGGCATCCGACCCCACAAATGGACGAAGAAGTACCTCGGGGTCGATAACATATGTGTATGGATGTCCGGTGAGTTGGAAATCACACGTTCAGAAGTGTGTGGCACTGTCGGCAGTCGAAGCAGAGTTTGTCGCTGCTTCCGAAGCGGTACGAGAAACCTTATTCTTCTCATATTTGCTCCGGGATTTGGAGGCCACGGGCGTTCGGCCCGTACTATACACAGACAGCCAGGGGTGCATACAGGTGAGTAAAGACCCAGCCAAACATTGGAAGTTAAAGCACATCGACACACGGTATCATTTCGTACGCGATCACGTACAAGAGGGCGATGTGGAGATCAAATATGTCGGAACGGCAAACAACGTTGCAGATGTCTTGACAAAACCCTTACAGGGTCTTAACACCTCACGATTGGCTAGGATGATAGGACTGGAGATCCCGCCGAAGGGGGGAGTTGAAGATGCGTCGGCATCTCAAGCAAGGTGCACGTGTTACGGCCGAGACATCGAGATACGGGAGGCTCACATAAGCGAGGAGCACAATGAGGTACGCAATTGTTGTCATGGTGACAGCACAGTGGCACCCGGTATCATAGCAACACAGGGGTACAAATGAAGGAACACACCCTGCCTCGGATGGGATCAGAGCAGTGAATGGAGTATATATATGTGTTTGTCATTTAGTCTCACACTAAGAAAACCAAGCATTACATAGAACATACGGCTGTGGCAAAGGGAGTCTGATCGTGACCCCGATAACGCCGTATATTAATTGTTATCTTCAATTCTCTCTCTTTCTCGCTCCCTGAGCCTCCAGTGTTGCAGTTCACGCGCTGTAGAGGTTCACCGCGACTTTTTTTTTTTTTGTTTTTTTTTTTTTGTTTTTTTGTTTTTTTTTTTTTTTTTTTGGCTGACTTGGATGAAGCCCATCACGTGATCTTTCTTCGAGGCGATCTAACAACGTTAGTGGTTGAAAATCAGGTTGACCTGCAACAGACCAAGACTTGCGTGTGTTGGTGCGGCGGAAAAGTGGGCGTGAAAGTGTCAAGTGACAATGCGCAGCTCCATACTCTTAACTTCGCCTTGAACGACAACCTGTCAAAGAGCTCAACAACTCGTTTCATCTCACCTCGACACGCAACAAAGTGAACGCAGAGCCTGCAACCCTGTGGAGGCACTCTTGCAGTCCCCAACAAGCTTCGGCAGGAGCTTGTCGGGTCAACACGGCTTTCTTCTTCCGCAGGACCGTCGCACTACACGACTCGCAGCAGACCACAATGGCGCAACAGGAGATCTCAACCGTTTCATATGAAACAGTTGTATTTCTTTAAGCCATCACTTGCTTTCTTGCTACCACCGCACAGCTCGCACCTCCTTGTGCGAAAACGTCAAATCTAACCGAACCCTTCACAATGGACACTGTCTTTGGCAAGTGCGCCAAGCCCGCCGTCTACGCAGAGCTCGAGCAAGGCCTCCAGCCCTTCGTCTACTGGCATGTCACCGAATCAGTTCAGGAGGGTTACACTCCCGAAGCCATCGCTGAACTGCAGGAAGAGGAGGAGGTCGAAGCTCTCGTCCTCGAACGCAAGTCTGCTGCACGTGATCGGGCCCTTGGTCGTTTCGTCTCGCTCTTGCACCACTACCTCGCCCGCAACATCGACACGAATGACATCCAAGCTGCTGTCAAGGCCATCGAGCTTGATCTCGATAGGGAGGGACCACCCTCTCCACTCGCCAAGTTCCACCTCGACACGACCGACATCTACAAGTACGTCGAGGAACAAAAAGGCAACAATGGCCTCATTGGCGACGACCCTGATTGGCACCAGCGCCCCAAAACGAGCGCCAAGCAGCAATGGGGCGAACTTTTCAAGATGTCGCTTGAAAAGACGCGCATGGCCTACGTAGAGGCTTGCAGTCGCTTTGAGCATCAGTTCGTGCTCGGTGCCCAAGCCGACGTTGCCCTCCTCAAGTTGCTCTCGAACGAAGACCTTGCCCGCCTCGTATCTCAACATCACGCTAAGCCTCGCCATAAACCCGCGCCTCCCCCCAATATCGATGCACCGAGTTCCAGCTTTTGGGGTCACCGAACCGGCAGCACCCGCTCTGCCGTACCCAAGGCTGTACCCGATTTCGACCCTGTTCACCTCATTCAGACCAGTCAGAACATCAGGGCAGCTTGCATCGATCACGTTCAAAAGCAACGAGCTTTCACTTCACGAATTTCTGAGGCTGAACGCGACCTTGACGTCGCTCTGTCTCAAGCGCTCAATCCCGAATCGAATCCGGAACGCCTCTTTAAGCGCGCCATCGAACGGTACAATTCGGCGGCCTCCTCTACCGACGAGGAGGCGATCATTCAAAGCACAAAGGATTTGCTATCCTCGGCTTTGCGTATCCTAAAAACGCGCGTTGGCCAGCGTAACATCGATCTTCGCATCGATGCTCACAATCTTCGGGGCAAGACCAATCTCCGCCTTGCTGCACTCAGACCGCGATCCGAATCAAACTATCTCAACCGCGCCGTGGCTGACTGGTCCGCCAGTCTGTATCTCGATGAGGACCAGCCCGACATCACCAAGGAGCTGACGGGCGCCAAAGCTCGACTGGATGCTTTCATTAAAGAGACTGGACAGACCAACTCCACCGACAGCAATCTCTCAAGGAACTCTGCTGGCTCAGGGTCGCCGCCTCAAGCTCCAACCGACACTGCCGTTCCCGCTGTTTTCGCCACTCCAGGACCGTCTACGTCTAAGAGCAAAGTCAAGATTACGGAAGCAACTCCTGCCACAGCAAACGGCTCTCATCAGCCCAAAGCAGAGGGAGGCAACAAGCCTCGCGAGAAGACCATCCTCGAGTCGCCCTTCTTCCGCTCGGATCTCGTAACTGGACTAATGGTCGATTCGTTGCTCGCGCTTCCCTTTCCTCATCGAGCTCTACGCGAAACACTCCGCCTACCACCTGCTGCTGCAGTCGCCTCCGCTAGCCAAGACCACGTCCCCACTCTCGACCGCCTCGCCAAGTCGCACCAGCAAACTACCAAGGCGCTGAGCGCCAAGAACAAGGCTCAGCTCAAAGACGCTGTCAAGGCGCTGAGCGCCGTATTGGCTCTACCTGACTTGCAGCAAGTGACGCGCGACGATGCGCCCGAAAAGGCGTTACGCAGGACCAGTCTTCGTCTCGTACTTGGTACGCTGCATCTGCTACTCAACGACCTGGTGAAGGCTCAGACTGAGCTGAATCTCGTATCAAACGCGCTCAAGCCCAACACCCGCGCCGCTCAGCCCAAGAAGGGTGGCTGCAAGAAGTCCGGTACGGGCGAGAACCCGAGGCCGCCAGCTGAGGAACAGTCAGTCAACACGCAAGCAGTCGAAACAGGCCAAGCTGATGCACCTGACGACAAGGCAACCTTCTCGGACGATGAGGCCATCGCACACGAAGTAGTTCTGCGGATGCAGACGCGAGTGCAGGGTGAAGCGCTATTTCTCCTCGCAAAGACATGTTGGATGGCGAACAAGGTGCAGGAGTCGGTCAAGTTCTTCCGTTGGTTTGTCAAATGGTACTCGGAGCAGCAGGCCAACGTTGCTGCCGAAAAGTCGGCAGAGATAGCAGAAGGAGACAACAAAGAAATCGATCTACCCGAGCTGGATATGGGCTGGTGGGACAAGTTGCTAGTCGTGCAGAAGAAGTGACTATCAGAAGCTTTCAAAGAAGTGGTAGAGCACACAACCGTCACACGTCGTACAGATTTCACAATGCAAATGCTACGTCATTGATTCGATATAGCTGTGAGCCTAATTCGCATTCGCCACCCTAAGCTTGGAGTTTACGTCAGCATCAACCCTCGTCCTCTCTCTCCCGTTTTCTCTTTCCCCCCGCATCCTTCACCGGTCTATGCTGAGCAGCAGGATGTCTCGCTAACTGTTGTGGCACAGTACTCAATTTACTCTTTGTCAATTCCTGCTTTAAATCCCAAAACAAGTCCGAATCCGTCTGATCCAAGAACGTTATTGCAGTACCCTTCTTTCCTGCTCTACCCGTCCTGCCAATCCTGTGGACATACGCTTCGATATTGTTTGGCATAGCAAAGTTAACTACCAACCCAACATTGGGAACGTCGATGCCACGACCTGCCAGATCGGTTGCAACAAGGATTTGGGTTGTGCCATCGCGGAGGTGTGCTAGGGCTTCTTCACGAAGTTCTTGAGTTTTGCCTGAATGGAGGGTTGAGATGTAGAAGCCTTGGCGGGTTAGGTAGGAGGAGAGTTGGTCTGCGGCTTTCTTTTGGTTTACGAACACAATGATAGGGACGAGATGGGAGGAGCGTTGGAGGATAGAGATGAGGCGAGATCGACGTGCTTCTTCGGATGGAACGAATTCGACGATCTGTTCTACACTGCCTACTGCTTGACCCGCGTCACCAACCGTGATAGTTGCTGGTCTACGAAGGTATACTCTAGCCATCCTCTCTACGGAAGGTGGCATAGTTGCAGAGTAAAGCATGGTCACTCTGTATCGCCCAACTACATCGTCTCCTTTTGGATCCTCTGCCACTTCAGAATCGGGTTTGAGGTTTGACACTGGCAAAGAGTCCAAAATGAAGTTGACCTGCGGTTCGAATCCCATATCAACCATCTTATCCGCTTCGTCCATGACAACATATGTACACTGACTTAACACCAACACATGCCTCTCTATACAGTCTTTCAACCGACCAGGGGTAGCGATAATGATCTCTGCTCCATCCCTCAGAGCGTACGCTTGATCGTTCATATCTCTTCCACCGACGATCGAAACGCAGCCTAAGCCTAGTCGACCTGCAAACTTGTTCGTTTCTGTTTCGATCTGTTGTGCCAACTCACGAGTTGGTACTAGAATGAGTGCTTGTGGTCCGAGCGCTTTCGTGTGTTCGTTTAGCTTTGGCAGCTTAGAGATATACGCAAGGAGAGGGATTAAGAACGATGCCGTCTTACCCGAACCAGTTTCTGCAATACCAATCAGGTCTCTGTTCTGCAACCCAATAGGAATGGCCTGCCGCTGAATGGGCGATGGCTCTTTGTAGCCAATTTCTTCGATAGTGCTAAGGATCGTAGCAGGGATGGAGGACTCCCGCCAAGATCGAAGAGGTTTAGGAATGTTCCCTCCTCGGGCCGAGATACCAAAGTCTTCGCGGAAGATACGCCAGTCACGTTCTTTCATCTCGGAAAGAGACTTTCCGCTCCAATGCTTCTCGTCGAATCGTTTGTCTAGTGGGTCGTAGCGTGCGGGTGATGCAGATGAGGTACCATTGCGTTGTGGAATCGCGGACTGGATCTGGACAGCGAGAGATTCGGTGGCTGTGTCGTCTTCCTCGCCCCAGTCGAAGAGGAACTTTTTGTCCATGGGCTTGCGTTTCGGTTTCTTTTTGTCATCTTTGAAACCAAGGTATCGGCGTCGGATGGAGGCTTGTTCGGATTCTGTTAAGGGGACGTTGCTGTCCGCTTCTGTGCCATTTGATGTGGTAGCATCTTGATGATGTCCATTTGCTGTACCGCTACCATTCGTGCTCCGATAGCCGTTGCGCCTGTCTCCATCATCCCTAGCTCTTCTGCCGTTGTAGCGGTCATCGGCAGCACTACCATAATCGAGCTCGCCGTTGTCTTGATTGTGGTACCGATCCGCACCTCTCCCGGTCGGTCGTCTTGATGAAGAAGAAGACGACGAGGAAGAGGCTACAGAGCGAGCTTGCTTCTCGAACTCAAGCCGCCGCTTTCGCTCTTCTTCCAGCTTGAGCTTTTGTTGTTGTTCTTCCTGCTCCTTCTGGCGTTGTGCTTTGGCCAAGCGTTCAGCTTTGGAGAGGAAACGAGGTTTGAGTGCTGACTCGTGCTTCTGCTTCTCGAGAATTTCGGCTACTGAAAGCGGTTGCTTCGACATGGTGCCGTGGAGAGAATGGCAGCTGGGCCTCAAACAGATTGATGATTGCGAGGATTCAAGATGCTGACCAGCCTGTGTCAAGATGAAAGCAAGGCTGCATGTGGAGCTGCAGTTGAAGATACGTCGATATTTCCAGGATCTAACATGTTAGGTCGGAGTATTCGGGACCAGAGGACCGAAATTAAGCGCGGTGTTGGCAGGACCGAGATAAGGGCCAAGTTCGTGGGAACGTATATGCAGCTTACTCTCGATGGTTGACACTGAGATATGAGGTATGCCGAGCGGTGCGTTCACACGGCAACGGTTATGAACGGGCTTGCCGCTGGACAGATGGTCTAGAATTTTGTGGGAAAGGATACTCGACTCACCTGAAACAACACAGCGAGTGTCAGGAGCGGTGGTAAGGTATATATACTTATGTTTTGTAGCCTCCATACTTTCGTAATAACTAAGACTTGTAGCAGCTACACACCTGTCCGAAGGAAGCCTGATTGTGGCCCAACGAAGTGGTGTTTCTACTTTCAACTGCTGCAGGAAGTATCTAGTTGTCCGACTTCCGCGGGCCTCATTCCAATTGTTAGGCCCCAAAAAGCTACACAGGAGACGGTTTATTCTTGCAAGCGAGATCAGGGTCCCATCGGCTTTCGGTTGCATACCTCGACCGGAACCACCTTTGAAACCAAGCTACATCGCGCTCAGGCCCCCGCAAAGCAGCAAGCGGCTGTGGCTTTCTAAACGTCTGTGCGAACCTGACCGTGCTCTTCCCTTCCCGACAATCCTTCATCTTGACTACCGCCTCTGTCCCTCGACACTGTTTTCTCCTCCATCACCTAGACAACACTGTCGCAACCGAACCCTACTGCGGGCTAACGCAGCAAAAGACGTAGATTTTCAGTGACCGCTTGACCTAGCCAAACAAGAGTTGCAGCATACACCGCCACCATGTCTTCCACCAAACTCACGAAGCCTACAGTCCCTTTCTCCGAGGCACCATGGATCCAAGGTCTTCCCTCCTCTATCTTTGGCTCCCCTTCCTACGTTCACCTCCGCGAATGGTCCCGAAACTGGTGTGAAGAAGTTCTCATCAAGCTTGGCGCCAAATACGAAGAAGCTGGTGTCATCTTCGACGATGATGCCTATAAGCGAGCTGCCAAGGACGGTGTCCTGTTTGCTTTCGCCATTGGTGTTCATGTCAATCCTGAAATCGCCAAGATCGCTCAGAGCGTCGGTGTAGGATTGCCTGCCGGAATCAAGATGGAGGAGTGGAACAACATCCACGACTACATTATCTGGGATGAATTCAACAGATGTGCTTCTCCCGTCCTGATGGGCCTTGTGGGTGGGCTTACATATGGGTCGGGGCCTCTCATGCACTTTGCGTCGGATGAACAGAAGCAGAAATGGCTTCCGGAGATCTTTTCAGGCCGTAAAAAGATTTGCCTTGCTATCACCGAACCTCTTGCTGGTAGCAATGTCGCCAATCTCAGCACTGAAGCCAAGCTCATCGAGGAGAATGGCAACAAGTTTTATCTGGTCAACGGTAGCAAAAAGTGGATCACCAACGGTATCTACTCTGACTGGTTCACCACTGCAGTCCGCACTTCAGGCAACGCAGGTGACTCGTCAGGCATCTCCCTCCTTCTCATCCCCAAGGGTCCCGGTGTCACGACGAAACAGATGAAAATGCTTCCCGGCGGAGCATCTGGCACGACCATCGTCGAGTTCGACGATGTCAAAGTTCCAGTCGAAAATCTTATCGGCAAAGAAGGCGAGGGGCTCAAACTTGTCTTCTTCAACTTCAACCACGAACGAATGACGATCGCCTTCACTGCTCTGCGCTACGCCCGAGTTTGCATGGAAGACGCCATTGGCCACTGTCGTCGTCGTGAAGTGTTCGGTAAGAAGCTCATCGAACAACCCGTCGTTCGACACAAGATTGGTCACATGGCGAGGGAGGTGGAAGCACTGCAGGCTTGGACCGAATCGATCGTTTTCCAGCAACTCAACATGACCATTCCACAGTCGAACATGTTGACAGGTGGTACGTGTGCGTTGTTGAAGGCTCATGCCGGTATTGTGTTGGAGAAAGTTGTGAGGGAGGCAGTGCAATTGTTGGGTGGTATGGGTCTGACAAAGGGCGGAACTGGTGAGAGGATCGAGAGGATTTGGCGTGAGGTCAAGGGTAAGTTTAATCAACATCACAAGTTTGGACTCGTAAGTGAATGTGTCGACATACTCACAAAGCTCCTTCCTCCTCTTCTTCTGCCGCGCTTGTGTTGAAACAGCTCTCACTGTGCCCGGTGGCAGTGAAGATGTCATGATCGACTTGGGTGTTCGACAGCAGCTCAAGCTCGTTGGTCCTCAGAGCAAGTTCTGATCAGCACAACACGTCTACTTGTTGCTCGATGATGTCTACATGTTATGCCTGAATCCATTAAACAGATCTGCTTCGATTGTTCGCATTTGATGGCTGTTACGGCTCTGATATGTCTTGTCGTGGCACGGAGCATGAAATGATATGGATACCGTTCAAGTCGAAAAGCGAGGCAAAAAAAAGAAGGTTGAGTTTGTGGATGCAGAAGGATTAAATACAACGTCGGCTCATTTATGCAAAACGCGCAACAACATCTATAGATGGCCTCCTTAGCTCAGCGGTAGAGCACTTCACTAGTAATGAAGAGGTCAGTCGTTCGAGTCGGCTAGGAGGCATTTTTTTATTTTTATTTTTGTTGAGGAACGCACAAGTGAGAGGTAAGTAGATAGCAATTGTTATTCTAGGAGATGACAAAGCAATGCCAGGTATATATGCTTCCACTGATGGTCTGTATGTGCGTATGTGGAATGAGGAGTGTTGATGGGTGATGATGAGTGGCGGCGATGAGCGAGGTTGGCGGACATGTTAGAGCGATGAAAGGAGGTCATGTGATTTCAGCTTTTTTTTTTTTTTTTTTTTTTTTTTGGCAAGCCTCGCCAACCTCAATAGACTTCATAGCTGTCACACATGCTCATATAGTCGCTTCTATCCCATCGAGCTGCTATGCAATCATCGCTCAAAGCGCTGCTGGAAGCAAAAACGAGACTTCCTAATGCTCGCTGTCACGTTGCTGTTCCCGGCGGAGCCTTGTTCGAAGTGCCGGGGCTGAACTTTTGCTATTCTTGGCGAGTGGTGCCGGAGTCCGTGGATGATATTCGGGACAAATTTCAGAGTTGAAATTAGATACACCACTTCCGAGGCCACTGTCAGGCGCTCTTTACAGTCGCGTGTGTCTGAACAAAAGGTCTTGTCATTTCGAGGGAAGAGCTACAAAACGCAAGTATATACACCTTCACAGCTGCCTATGCTCGCTCCTCGAGTCACATCTTCGAACCGTGCGTCCAGTGGGGCCACCCTTCATAACCGTTGCCTTGCCAATATCTCATAACCGTTGCCTTGCCAATACCTCATAACCATTGCCTTGTCAACGTACCCCTGCATATCTGGGTATCAAGCCTCGAGAGTAGGCTGCATGTGCTCCCATGAGCTTTGCATCTATCTTCATCTCCGTTGGCACCCTGTTTTATCTAACCGGGCCCCGAATACTCTCGATCTAACATGTCATCCCCTAGAAATATCGACGTATCTTCAACTTTCAGGAAATCTCTTGAGAAATCCAAGATGAACAGCAACTTGACAGGCAAGGAGCGAAGAGATGGAGGTGCATTCGTGCAGCGGAAGATCAGCAGAGCGTGTGTCCGATCTGTGTGGCTGCAAGCTATCCTCACCTGAGACCCTGCGAAAGGAAACCATGATGCATCCTCGACTTACTTGCCTTGTTTAACCGCGGAGAGAGAGACATAAGACACCTCTTCCTTCTCCCGACTTCTTCCCGCCTTTCTCAACCACCCATTTTGCTTGTATGATTCTATCTTCTCTCGTCGTTCCACCACCACCACCACCAACTTCATCCGCAGCAACAACGGGAAAGACTATACACGATGTCGATCGATGAAGAATCCGCCCTTTCCACACCTTCGTGTGCTTGGGCAACCTTGCTCACTTCCGAATACCTTCTGCCCGGTCTGGTGGTATTCGCTCATTCCTTACTCGTAGAACATGCTTCCGAATATCCATTGGTCATTATGGCTACTTCGAAACTCTCTGTTCGGGCACGAACCATCCTCAAGACCATGCTTCCGGAAGGCAAGGCGATCATTCGGGATGTTGAACCCTTCTATCCTGCCTCAACAGCTACTGGCTTGGCTTATGCGAGGTTCAACGAAGTTTGGACCAAGTTGCGAGCATTCGAACTCACCGAGTTCTCACGAGTTGCATTGGTGGATTCAGATATGTTGGTGCGGAGCAACATGGACGAACTCTTCTCTGACCCCTACGTGTTCGGCAATAAGGGACAGGAGGAGGGGGAAACAGAATGGATCGGAGCCAGCTGGGCTTGCACATGTAACCCTAACCGAATCCCCACTTATCCTCCTGAATGGATCCCTGCCAATTGCGGATATACAGACCAAACTCTCCCCTCCGCATCCTCGTCCTCTACTGTCACACAGCCAACTCATACCTGCCCCCGACCGAAAAGGTTAATCAACTCTGGTCTCGTAATCCTCAGCCCCTCCTCCAGCACAATGAAGGAAATGATCCAAGTGATCAACACGGATCCTCGCATTCCCGAATACCGTTTCCCAGACCAAGACTTCCTAGCAGACTTCTTCACCTCTTCCTCCCCATCCCGAAAGATTAGATATTTGCCATACAAATACAACGCACTCAAGAAACTCCGTATCATTCATCCAAACATTTGGTCAGATGAAGAGGCGATGAATGTTCACTATATCCTAGACAAGCCTTGGACTCTGGGCAGACCTGGTGGAAAGAAGAATGTAGAGGGGATCGATCCAGATGCTGAGATCCACTCCTGGTGGTGGAGTGCCTTTGATCGGCTCAAGGCTCAACAGACTTTTGTGCATCTCAATGGGAAAGCCAACGGGCACGCCAACAGCAATGCGGTGAGTGCCAATCTCAATGGACACACCAACGCTTACACGAATGGCCACACGAACGGAAAGAAGAAGGACCATCTTGTGATCAGATTAAGCGAACAAGATTGGCGAGAATGCGTAGAGAAGTATATGACTTTGAACTGAAGGATTGCTCTATCGCTGTGTCTCAAGAATTGGACCACACAAACAATGCTACATCACAACGCTGCACCTATGCACTGCTATAGCACAGAATACAACGCAACGGGAAGAAATTTTTGATAAAACCATGTACTAATGTTGACCTACGAGAATGCTAATGAATGCTTTTTGTAATCCTCTTTATCGAGGAGCAAGCCAAGTTGGTCTAGCAGGCAAGCTCGGATGTGATAATGCTGGTGCTGGTGACCCTACCTTGCCACCACCGCTCCCGTTCCCATGCGTCAGCCCTTGATTGGTAGAGGAACCTGCCACACTCCCACTGAAACTAGCAGACCTGCTGGAAGCAGCTGAAGAAATAGAGCTTACGCTTACTGCGTCATCTCTGGTCTGCCCTCTGCCTTGATGCGTGTTGCGTTGCGAACTGGCCCTACTGCTGTTTGCGCTTCTTGGGCCTGCGTAGGGTTGTTGCGGGGTGGTATAATGCGGTGTGAGAGATGAACGGGGCATTTGATACGGCTGCTGCGGGTAGAATGGTGGTGGTTGGGATTGTTGTGCAAGTCGCCCTCCCTGTACGTAGTTGGACGTCTGTTGTGCCCAAAGGTTTACGCCTTTCATGAGGTGCTCTTGGCCTGTTTGCGATCGGTTCCATGCACCGCCGCTTGTGTTTCGCTGCTGTTGGTTGCCATGAACACCATTCATATTTGGGCCTGCTGTTGTGCTGGACAGCGCTGGGAAGGCATCCATCTCCGCTTGTGCTGGCTGAACGCCCATGTCGGGATACCTGAGTGCCCCACCCTGAGCATAAGATGTTGTGGTGCTGCCTTGAGGGTGGAAAACTGGTGCTCTCGACCGCAGATTCGGATTGGAATGCGATTGCTGCAATTGCGATGCCGGGAAGTAACCTTGCATCATATGTCCTGGCAGAGCGAGCGGGCTGGACTGTTGCACTCCACCGAATGCATTCGCTACCGGCAGTGCACGAGAGAACTCGAGGTCATCATTGAGACCGTCACCAGCCTGACTGGCTCCTCCTTTGCGGCTCCCACTTGCTCGCGTGCGTTGTGTCGATCCATCCTGACTCGCTACCGAGGAGCCAGACGATGGTACCTTCTTGTTTTTGCCTGAGCGTCCACCTCCTGCTATAGATGCGACGGGGCTAGAAGCCGCAGAACTTGATGGTGATGCCTTTGCTACATCCTTGACCGAGTCAGGCTCCTTGGTCTGATCAAGCTGAGTCGAAGAGTCGGTTGGTGAGGTTGATCCGCTGGTAGCAGCAAGATCACCAAAGATACGAGCACGTGCAGCTTTGTAGGACGCTTCCCTCTCCTCCAACGTCATGTCCTTGCGAGCCTTTGCAGCTGCCTTTTCCGAGTCGCTCATGTCGTTGTCTGCCGATCGGAATCGTGAGGGGCGACTATTCGAAGGATCTCTGCGCATTATCTTGAAGGCTCCCTTGGGTGTACCGGCAGCTGATGATGCAAACGAAGCCGGCGTCATAGCTGGAGAGGATGGTGAAGAGGCTGAAGCGGAGGGACTTGGTGAGCTAGCGCCGGACTGGGCCGAGTCTGTACTGGCTAAGGAAGCGATGGCGGGATGCACGTTGACAGGGTCAATACCGTCTCGCTGAACTATTTGCTCCCTTGCGCGAATGGAGAGAAGTGCAGAGGGGTGCAAAGTGGCCGGCGTCTTCGAGAGTGTGATGCAATGTGTTGCCCGGTCAAGGTGGTGCTCGAGCTGGAATTGATCGGCACATCGATGGATGAGAAGACGCTGGTAAGCGTTCATGGAGCCGAGTTCGAGGCTGGTGCGTGTTTGTTCGCGAACGAAAGCAGACATTTGGTTCTCGTACTGGCTAAAGAAAATGCGATCGTCTCGCTTGCGCATGGCCTGCAAGATAGTATCGTCCACCTGGACCAGCGGTGCAGCTGATGTGGAAGGCTCGGGCAATGGGGTGGGCGGTGGTGATGCGGTTGAAGGTATCACGACTTTTGGAACCACGGAGGGTGTGGCATTCTGGCCGGCTCGCAATGCAGATGCAAAGGACGCCTTTGCAAGGTTGGCTGTTGTTGGCTCGCTGGAAGCATCTGGAGCGTTGTCGCCTCTGAGCGAGGTAGCCGCTAGGGCATCTGCAAGAGGTTCAAGCTGTGTCATGGTGTGATCGAAACGGAGCTGATTTGCTAAACGTCCTATGTTATGATTCGAGGTGGGGCTGGTTTCGACACCGTCTGACGTAGTGATCGAAGAAGCGGTATGAGCCAGGAGCTGATGCTGTAGTTGTCGACGTCAACGTTGTTGGCACATCTCTGCGTTGCTATTGTTGGTGGAGTGATCGAGCGCGTTGAGGGACTTCTGGCTTGGTTCAGGCTTTCGATCAGAAGCGAGGAGCTACAGGCGGCACTTGGCAGAGGTGCTCGGATCCTTTCGTGGAGAGTCCACCAGAAAGATTGCGGTCGATAGCTAGAGTGAGCGAGCAAGCTCTGTAGGAAAGAAGAGCGAAGGAAGAGTGAGATGAAATGTGAAGGCAGAAGATGAGGTTGAGAAGGATGGAAGAGATCCACTCGGTGTGGAAGTGAGTAGTGTTTTGTGCAATGCCCTGACTAACTTTTTCTCCGCACTTTGCTTGTCACGCTGATCTGTCAACCGCAAAGCAAAAATTACGACACAAAAAAAAACTCAAATCCAAGAAGAATATTATTGACAACAAGAAGCTCTGAGGCCTTTGAGCAGCCGAGTCGAGCTCATCTGCCTTCATTGTCACTCACACACACACTCTCGATCCTGGACCAACCCAGGCTGGAAGCTGTAACTTGCATGAAGAACAGCCGATGCCCTACGTCGTGCTGGATCTGAAGGGTGGGTTCGAAAGTGCGGTTCGGCTTTTCTGTGTTAGGCCGTGAAGTATAACAGCGATCAGTCCCGGCGAAAATTGACAGCCTCACATGATCTTCTTGGTTGCAATGCTGAAGGAAACGATCCAATATGATGATGCGAGTTGACGTAAGCGGATACGAAAGAGATCGGGCCGAGCCGATCTCACTAGAGATCGGGTACAACCTGGTCCCGCTCGTTGTCAGACATCGTCATTAAGTAGGAAGCATCCACATTCGGTATGAGCCTCATAGATGTATATATATATCAAGCTGAGAACACTAGGTTCTCACCACGTTCACTTAGTCAATTGAGTATATATGTTTCTGTCTAAAACAGCAGTGACATCGGACTCAGACTCTCCCCGATCGCCAGTTATCGGGACCGAACTTCTTCACAGTTTCTCAGAGAAGTGAGAATTTGCGCAGTTCAAGCCAGAGTCTAGGCTGTGTCGTCAGTCAAGTTCGTGTGAGCAGCAACAACACAGATCATCGAATCCCATCTCTCGGTAATAACCTTCCCTTTCATCCATCTTACCCTCACCGAATTGGCAACGGCACCTACGATCCTTCTCTTTCTCTAACTACCTTGTTCCTAACTGGTCCAGTCACCGACCACCGCCGCCTCGATTTCAGCCGCATACAGTCCAGCAACCACGGCTCTTTTGTCTCTACTCGACAAGCCGTCACTCGGCTCATCACATCTCACTCGGGCCTTCTCGAGCCAGCACATCGCTCCTTACCGGGTCCCTGAATATCCTCAGCATCGCCAACACACAAAGTCGTGTTGCCTTGCTCTACGATTCGCGCCTCGGTCCTTCATCAGTAGGAACTCCTGACTGGCATCTCGGCGTTCATTCCTTGTTCCTGGCTGCTGCCATCGACCCCTTGTCTGTAAGCTGCAACTCTATTGCACGCTACAGTAACGGCTCATACCCAGGCTACCCCAGCCATCATCATATTAACAATGGCACCTCCGATATCAATGGCTGGCTCCTCCACAATGACGGCTGTCGAACTTCCATCGGCTTCTACATTAAAATCACCTCAAAACGCTTTAGCATCTACCACAGCGATTTCAAGCGAATCACATACATCAACATCAGCATCGGAAACAGGATCCTTCAACTTCCCAAAGCAGGCATCTTTGAGCAACTCGGCTCCTTCCTTTGTTTCTGACTCGGCTGTCGACGGTGCTGATGCAAGCGCAAACGCTTCGGCATCTTCACAAGCACAATCAGAGAGTCTGCGAACAGAAGGCGTAATAGTCCGTCAGACAGGCCAGATCTCGCCACTCGCAAAGCAAATGAGAGCAGCAACAGCTTCATCATCACAACGAGATCCACAAGCACCGCAACAAAGATCTTACCAGATCGACGCGCATTTGCAAACCTTGCAAGAAGCCGGTCTTAGTCTTGGTGCTGCATTCCGCCCACCTTCACCTTCATCAGCTCCTCCGCTCACTCTTTCATATCGCTCTAGGCCCGAACCCGCTCACTTCCCAAGCTTTGCCGCACTACTTGAATCGCTACCCAAACCATCGCGTCATGTACCATCTCAATCTCATACCCTAGCATCAAGAACATCGGAAAGCACACCAGCACCTTCGTCCATTTCCACTCACCCATCGTCTCCGTTAGATTCCGAACATCCCGATCTCTCTGCATCTACCCTCACCGAAGCCACTAGCATCGCAGCCAACGATACTCGAGCTGCTTCCGATGACGCCTCAGTGGCATCCACATCCACCAGCACACCTCAAACGCCTGCTCCCAAAGTCAATGCCTGGGGCGCTCCCAAGTCGTGGGCCGATACCCTTGGACGTGGTGGCCTCAGCGCCAAAGGTCCTATCGGCATTAGCGTCAATGTGGGCAACGAAGCTTCATCGGCTGCTTCTCAAGTCGGCTCTCCCACAATCTCTCGATCTCCGAAGGCAACAAATGGCAAGAAGTCTGCACGCAAGTCTGGCGCCGCCCAAAGCAAACCCACCGTTCAGAGCCTTGAGCGCATGCTCTCGGACGCACATACTCGCTTCGATGCTCCCGTCACTCACCCTCGAGGCCTCGTCAACAAGGGAAACTTCTGTTTCGCCAACGCCATCTTGCAGACTCTCGTCTACTGTGCGCCCTTCTACAACCTCTTCAACTTGATTGCAAGGCAAGTGCCTGCTGACTTTGGCAATGCTACTCCGCTCATGGAAGCCGTCATCCACTTCCTTCGCGAGTTCCTCCCTGCTGATGCAGCCAATGCCATCGATTCGCCTTTTCCAGGTCACGGCGGCTCTGCTGCTGCTGCTTCCGAACCTATCCTTCCCGAATACGTCTACGATGCTATGCGACTCAACAAGCGTTTTGACCAGATGCGTCGAGGCCACCAGGAGGACGCAGAAGAGTTCCTCGGCTTTTTCCTCGACACCTTGCATGAGGAGCTCATCGCAGCACAGCGTAAGTCTGCCATCAAGCTTGCTCAGTCCGCGGGTGGTCCAAATGGTCTTTTGGCAAAGATGTCTGAGGAGGAGAAGAAGCTCAACGGTGTCTCCGACGACGATCTGAGGCGTCTTGGTGTTCGTGTCGGCAAGCAGGGCGCAGCAGGAGATGCGCTCGGCTTGGATCTCGAAGCGGTACTTGACGAGAATGAGATCATTGAGCGTGAAGTCATGCGTCCTGTCAGTCCATCCGAAGAGGGATGGATGGAAGTCGGTCAAAAGGGCAAGACTGCCTACACTCGAACCACTTCAACCTCGGAATCCCCCATCACTCGCATCTTTGGCGGAAAGCTTCGTAGTGTGCTCAAAACGCCTGGTGCTAAAGACAGTGTTACCCTCGAGCCGTATCAGCCTCTCCAGCTTGATATCCAGCCCGCTCACGTGCAGTCGATCGAGGATGCGCTGTTCCACCTCAACGAGCCTGAGACAATTCCTGGTGTCTGGTCGCCTTCGCGTGGTGCAGAGGTAGATGCCACCAAGCAGGTGTTTATCGAGTCGCTCCCTCCCGTGCTTGTATTGCACTTGAAGAGGTTCATCTACGATGAGATTGGAGGCGTGCAGAAGAGTCAAAAGCCGCTCAGCTATGGAACTACGCTCGAGATTGCACCTGAGGTGTTGAGCCCTGCAATGCGGGCTCAAGGTCGGCCGAGGTACAGGCTGTTCGGCATTGTTTATCATCACGGTCGTTACGCTTCGGGTGGTCACTACACGGTGGATGTCTTGCGACAGGACGGTCACTCGTGGTTGCACATTGATGATACGCTGTATCACACCGTGCCCACCGAGCATGTTGTTAGGAATGCTGCATCACCTGTCAAGGACTACGGTCACGACGGATTGGCATACTTGCTTTTCTACCGACGAGAGTCGGCAGCGGAGGCAGAGGCGGCGGCTAACAAGCAGGCTGTCGGCGCACCAGCAGCTGCAACAAAGGCAAACACTGGTGCTTTGGTCAACGGTATTCACGCGGCACCCTTCACGGCAGCGACCGCAGCCAAGGTCACACCAGCAGCACCAGTAAAGGTCAAACAACAGCAGCAGAAGAGAGCGGCTGGCACAAAAACTCCTAACGGAGCAGCAAATTCGACAGCTTCATCCCCTCGTATTGCTCACGCCTCGCCAAAGGTCGCTTCTGCTGCCAAGGCCGCTCAGCCTGCAAAGAGGGTCGTCCCTGGCTGGGACAAGTAAGCACCAAAAGTGAAGCGCATCAGCGCATGTCTTCAACCACACAATCATGTATTCAGTATCATTCCGTTCATTTCATCGCAATCTTTCAGCATCGCATCACACAATTACACACAGACTTTGCACTTCCGTTCGTTCGCACGATCCTGAGCTATGAGAAGGAATTTTAGTATTACTCGAAAATGTATCAAACAAGAAAAACGTGTCGGGAGCAGGTCATAAGGCAATGTTCGTAACAACAAATCATGCCCGGGATCATTACGACTCAGCGTCGATGGGAACCTGGTTTGCGGGCGCAGGAGTGTTTCCCATAGAAGCAGAGGTTGTGGGATCGCCACCGCGACCTCTGGCATCACCTGGGTATGTGGCGTTGGAAGTGTCATTAGCGGGAGGTGGGGTCAAGTCTAAGCTGATTTGGGATGGGTTTGCTGGTGGCAGGGTTGCTCCGGGGGCTGGGACGGGGTTTGTGATGATAGGGATAGGAGTGTTTTCTGGATCGGTGGTGTCGTAGGCTCGGTACCGTTGATAGCGTTGGGGAGTGATTGGCATGCCGCTGCCGGAGGTGCCAGTGCTGGGGGCTGTGTCGGTGGGGGCGCTGGGAGGGGCGGATGTAGTGGGAGTGGTAGGGTTTGGGTTGGCAGTGACAGGTGTGGTAGGAATCGAACCGGGGGAGGCGGGAGCATCCCAAGCACGAGGGATAAGTGCGACGGACAAGATCCAGGTTGCGGAAAGAATAACGCCCTGGCCCTTGTTGAAGCTCTTGATAGTGTCCCAACTCCATCCGATGAAGGTGCTAATGTAACCGGTGGTAGGTGCGATCGCTTTGAGAATTGTTACCACGGCAAAGAACGCAGGAGGCAACCCTGCGGGAACGTTGTTGAGGATGAAAGTCAAGCACTTGTTGATAAGGTTGGCGATCTTCTCAGCCTCATCAACATCTCCATCGAGCGAATCGAGCACCGACTGGGGCAGGTAAAGGTTGTAACCCCACCAAGAAGCGTGAATCGAAACCTTGGTCGAGCTCGGAACCCAAACACGCTTCTGTCCCCCTGCATGCTCGCCAGCTTCAGGAGTGGTAGGCGTAGCAGGAGTGTGCTTCTTGCCCCAAGGCATCCAACTGGGCCACTTGAGCTCGAAAGCATTAGCACCAAATGCAGCGTTGGGATCGGTGTATGCAGAAAGGGAAAGGTAGTTAGGAGCGATCTTGGATCCACTCGAGCCAGCAGCGCCACCAAGAGCGCTGGAGGAAGCTTTATGTCTCAACCCTCCCGTAGCTTTTCCGACCAGGTTATCGAACTTGTACTTGACACCAGCTCCGATATCGTGGAACAATGACTGAGCGTTACCGTTGTAGAAATGGTTGTTCTGCAAAACTTGCGTGGGAACAACCACACTCTTAGCAAGCTCGACAGTGGTACAGTCAATATCAACGCTGAGCGTAATAGCGTTCCACAATCCATCATCTTCCATCCCTCCACTTCCTGACTTGGTCGAGAATCCGCTTCCACCCTGAACAGTAGCGGGAGCACCGGGAATCTTACCCCATCCAGCACCGGCAGGTAGTCCGTCAAGGGAAGACCAGACAGTACCCACTCCTGTCCATCTCTCTTCCTCTGCTCTACGACGAACAACGGTTCCGGAGGGAACGAATGCGGTGTTTGCCCTACTAGCTTGCTTTTTAGCCTCGAGCTGTTCAGCTTGAGCGCGAAGCTTGTCGCAATTCATGATGGAGCCATCGGAGATGAAATCGATGAGATCAGCGTTGCTGACGCGAGAGAAGAAGGGAGGACCGGGTTTGAGCATAGATGCGATCTTCTGGGCTACTTCGTCAGGGGTGAGTTGCTTGCCTGAGATGGCGAAGGCATCAGATGTGACGGAGGTGGCAGAGAATGCGCCTGGTCCATGATTGCCCTTGGATGGATTGGGGTGTCCGGGGTATCCATGACCACCGGCGTAGATGCGGGACTTGGGAGAAAGAAAAGCGGAGACGTGAGGGTTCTCGGCAAGACGAACCGTCTTGTTGTTGGGCGAGCCGGGGGTGCTGCCGGGGTTGGAGGAGAAGGAAGGTTTCTTGCTGATGCCTGGCATCTTGGCAATCGATGGAGAAGGTTATGAGAGTGCTGTTCCTTGTTTGAGCTGTGTGCAAGAAAGTTGACCCGCGTAGGATGTATATGATGTGGCTGCAATACTACGCTGAGCTAAAGTGAATGAGTATCAGGTGTGTATGTGTGGTGAGAACACGTTTTCCTGTGATGGCTAGAAGCGCAGTGGAGTGGAATGGAGGGAGATGGTGGTAGTGGAAACGAGACCAAGAGGTAAGAAGCTGGTCAAGTGATGATGGAGTGGAGAGGAGAGGCTAGTCTGAATCGGAGCTGGATGAATGCATCTCAGTGTATATATTGAGCAGGAGCAGTCACAGACATTTGCTCTGACTCCGCTCGAGGTAGAGGCAGCACACTGCTGAGACAGGAGGATGGGCTACACACAGATCCGTGGAGTGACACAAAGTCTACACCTGCAGAACGGCAGGGAAGAGAGCAGGCTGGAGGATCGACGTTGCATCCTCTCATCTCATGGCAGGGGTTTGGGCGGACGGGAGAGGCGGCAGAGGCTGACAGGCATGTAGGCATGCACACACGGTCTCTTGAATGTCCACCAACTCTACATGCTGCTTGGCAGCGGCCGACTGCCCCTGTATGTCTACACTCTGCTGCTTCTACTGGCGGCTAAGCTTTAGCAAGCGAGGACCCTGTCCATGCTACTTCCAAGCGAGAGCTTTGCTTCTTTCCTTTTGTGGCTGCCACTTTCTTCCATTCTCTTGGTCAGCAAAATGCACCCAACCCCTCTTTAGCTGTGATAGTCTCACACGAAGAAGCCTAACTTTCATGCTAGGAGAGCAAGCCATCGTGACCAACACTCAAGCTCGAGTTGTTGGCGGCAATGAAACGGATTGAGCGTTTCATCTGGCGTTGTGCACAGTGCTTGGGCCGAGGAGGAACAGGGGCTCAGCTTCAGTCTTGGCGAAAGCACAGCACAAACTCTACTTGAGCGTCTCAACGCATCATCGCTCATCCAAGCCTGTTCGTATGGACAATGATGCATTCAAAAGAGGCAGCAAGCGCTGGAAGGAGAATTTGCATTGAACTTGATTCTACCTCGCAGCGCGATATTGGATCTCCGAACATACTCCACCGCACCGCACACCACGCCACACCACACCACCCTGTTATTCTCCCCTCTCCGTTTTAGGATTCTTTTCTTTCAGTCTCAGTTTATCACATGCGGTAGAATGACTCTTACTTCACCCATGTCAAGCTCAGTAGCATGAATGCGATATGCTTCGAGAAGGTACAAAGGTTTCGAGAGCAGAATTGGCAGGGGGACTTGCCTGTTTGAGTAAATTCACCACCATAAACTGCCGAAGGAAGCGATCCAATATGATGATACACGCTGACATAAACATAATCGGGATCTGAAGGAGCAGATCAGTACAGAGATCGGGTACAACACAGTCCCGCTCGTTGTCAAGCTGGATCATGAAGTAGGATACAGTTAAAGATGCGACGGAATTACCAGGAGTTTAACCGACATGCGAGAAAGCCAAGTCGCCGAGAGGCCAAGGACGTGCATGCATAGTCGATGTGTGGCGACCATTCAGAAAATGTGCATGGAAAACAAAGCCGAGGCCAAAGGAAGACAACGCCGAGGAAACACATGGTACATCGAGTTAGTGGAGAGACGATAGGCCCTCTCACGGACAGATCGAAGGTATATAAACAAGCAATCCTGTAGTGCTAGTTAAACAGAAATCTCAAGCATTGCATCTACTATACACCTGTGCGAAAGGAGCTAGAACATAGCCCGGACGAAGCGGTGTCTTGCATAACTTCAACTGATACTCCCACATTCTGCATGTACCTCATAGATATATATATATATGAAGCTGAGAACACTAGGTTCTCACCACGTTCACTTAGTCAATTGAGTATATGTGTTTCTGTCTTAAACAGCAGTGACATCGTGCTCCGACTCTCACCGATCGTCGACTATCGGGACAAATGCTCGTACCGAAAGGGCTACCAATCGAGAACCCGATGTTTACCCTTTCTGGGATGTCAACTTGAACAATCTCTACAGCAGGCTGATCCCTCCTGCAGACTCCAATCTCATCAACACCTCATATGTTCCACCTCAAGGCACAGCCTTGCACAACGGTTGGATTAAGCTTATCAAGGCTATCTGTAGGACTCCTTTATCTTCGATGTAGCATGGCATATCATTATCTGTTGAAGGTTGACAGGCTTGGATGGTAGGAAGCGGTTTGATTACGTATGGTGATGACGATGAACATAGGTACAGATGGAGGGTCCTCTCTACAGGGGCTATTGACTAAGTACCACTTCTTACATATCTACAACAGTGGAGCGGAGCATGACGGGGAAACTTGGCAGGGAAACTACCTCCTCCCTCCTCACACATCTACTTAGCTGGTTTGCCAGTGCAATACTGGGTGATTGGTCTGGATCAAGCCGATATACCTGCTACCCACTAACATTATCATGGGGCCCTGGGCATGGGGTCCTGCGCCCCTTGGGGGTTAAGCGCGGGGCAGACACGTTTGGCGTGTCTGATCTGAATCTCTGCGAAAATGCCGTAGCTTTGGCCAGATTTGTCCTCTGTGAGATCGATCTAGAGACACAAATGTGACGAAATTCTCAGATCTGGTACCGACACTTCGTCCGATCAATGATTCATGTCTTCACAGACCTCGCACCTCCGGTCTGAACCACGAGGGGAACTGTCGAACCTCAAAAGCTAATGTTTGAAGAGCATCGAAATTCATCCGGACCGCTCTCGTGAAGAAGTTAAGACCGTCTAGATTGTTCAGAGTTGCCTAGCAATACAAGTTGACGCATTTGACGAAGCTAAAGGCGTCAAAATGCGGCTGCAGGAAGCTACAAAAGGAAACTGGAGTGGCGTGGTCTGCATCTAGAACTTGTAGACCTGGTCGGCCTCGTATCCCATCTTAGCAAGCAAGCCCTTGAGCTCACCCTGGCTACCCTTGGGGCCCTTTCTACCGCTGATGGCTTCAACCTGAGGAGGAGGACCGCAGACAAAGAGCTTGGTCTTGCTGCCCAACTCGGGCTTAGGCAAGTACTTGGTGATCAACTCGGGAGTAACGTAACCTTCGAAGCCGCTGAAGCCCTTAGGGAGCTTGTCGAGACCGTAGACGATGGTGAATCGGTCGTCCTTCTTTGCGAGCTCGTCGAACTTCTCACGGAGCAAGATGTCCTGCTCGGTCCTGTTGGTGTAAATGAGAGTAACCTTGGTCTTGTCGGAGGGGTCCTTGGCGATGTCCTGCATGACCTGCCACATGGGAGTGATACCGGAACCACCAGCGATCATGCCGATGGATTCGAACTCGTTGGCCTTGTAAGGGAACTTGGCGATGGGACCCTTGATGCCGAGCTTGTCACCGGGCTTCATCGAGTGCATGTGGGTAGCCATAAGACCGCCTGGGTACTTCTTGATGAGGAAGTCCATATGGCCCGGAGTGTCAGGAGAAGTGATGGGAGTGTAAGGGCGAATGACATCTTTGCCCTTGTCATCCTTGAGACCGTCACCGACAGCCTTGACGACAACGGCGGAAGCGGTGCTCATACCGGGCTTCTTGTTGTCTGGGAGCTCGAAGACGAAGGTGGCCGAGTCATGGTTGTAAGGCTTGATCTCTTTGAGGGTGAACTCGACGAATTGGTCCTTGTTGAGTGCAGTGCTCTGAGCAGCACCCTTGGCCTGGTCAACAACCTCCTTGCCCTTTTCCTGGATCTTGTTCGAGGCCTTTTTGGGGTCGTTGAAGCCACCGAGCGAGTACCATGCACCGAGACCAGCGATACCTCCGAGACCGAGGATGAGAGGAAGGTTGGATTCGCCGGAAGACTTTCCAGCCTCGGTAGCGTATTGACGCACAGCGGGTGCCTGAGATCGGAGGCTCGAGCGAGCGGCCTGCCCGAGGGAAGAGGAGAGGACGGGCCGGATGAACATGACGGGCTACGAAGCAGGTGCTATATAGGGAAAGGATGATGGGAAAGGATGATGGTGTGGGAGGTGGTTTAGACTCTTGCCTTGGTGTGACCTCTATGTGCTGCTTCTTGGCTTGAGCATCAACGTTGACCTTTCGCAGAAAATATCAAGATGACATCCGCATTGGCTTTCCTAACAGTTCCGTTTGGCTTCATCGCTGCTGCTTCTTCTGAGTTGAGAGAGTGGAGGATTTTCCTGCCGAAGGAAGCGATCCAATATGATGATATATGCTGACATAAACCTAATCGGGGATCGGGCGCAACCGATCTGTCCAGAGATCGGGTACAACACAGTCCCGCTCGTTGTCAAGCTAGATCATGAAGAAGGACACTCCCACATTTGGCATGTACCTCATAGATGTATATATATGAAGCTGAGAACACTAGGTTCTCACCATGTTCACTTTGTCAATTGAGTATACAGCATGCATGTAAACTGTCCCAAGATTTTACATGTCACCATACATCACTCTAATGCTCAATAGCTATAAGTTGTATTGCCACACTGTCTGATATCATCTGAAAGTGCTGCTTCTTCTCTCCAAGACTGTGGAATTGATATTGGCATTGACTAAAAAAAAATTGTGCTATGAAGAAGAGCCGATTTATTTATTTATTGTGGGACAGTTTATGGAGCACTCCTTGAGAACACCTTAGTACTTTGTATTCCCTCCTTTGGCCTTCAGAACCACCTTGATGTGGTCTGGCATGCTCTCTATTAGTGTCCTACATGTCTCTGGAGTGATCACTGTCCATTCAGCTTCACATCTCTTGAGCAGTTCATCCCTGGACTTTGCAATCATACTATACTGTGAAAGTCACATTTTGAGATGGTGCCAGAGGTGTTCAATCAGGTTTAAGTCTGGCAACTGCACTGGCCATTGCATAACCTTAATGCTATTGCTTTCCAACCATGTTATTGTCTTCTTTGACATGTGTTTCAGGTCATTGTCTTGCTGAAACATGATGTCAGTGTATGCATGCTGAAGCTGCAAATCTGAGATTGTTTTCAAAAGCTTGTCATTCAAGATATCAATGTATTGGTCTGAATTCATTGAACCCAGCACCAAGTGCATACCTCCCACCCCTTCCCATGTCATACAGCCCCAGATCATGATGGAGCTGCTGCCAAACTTGACTGTCAGCCTGACAAGCTTGCTGTTGAAGCTGGCATTCTTAATCCAACAGAACTGCTTCCCATCCAGTCCAAAGAAGTTGATCTTCATCTCATCAGACCATACCACCTTCTTCCAATCCTCAACAGTCATGTCCTTGTGCTCATTAGCAAATTTGAAATGGGCTTTGTAATGTCTCTTGAGTCTCTGTGGTTTTTTCACTAACCTTCATGCTTTGTAACAACAGTAATGAAGTGCTTTTCTTACTGTGGTTGGGCATACTTTGATTTGAAATGTCTCCTGCAGTGCATGACATGCTTTCCTGACCATGGAGGTTGAATTGAGCTCAAAATAGTGATCCAGGAAGCAAACATGACGAGGCTGGAGTTTTCCCAGCTGGCCCCCCTTTGACTTTGGAACATCAGCAGAGGTGCTTTTGCTGATGTGATTCACAGTAGACTTGCTCATACCAAGTTGCTCAGCAACTGAATGGGTAGATTCCCCATTTTGGATGTGAAAGAGTGCCAATTGGCACCTCTCTGGGGTGGTTTTTGGCATGATGGTATAGATATGATGGTGTCAGACTGGAAGTGCTGCCAGATCACTCACAGTCATCTGATTGAGCTGAAACTTTCCACATCACTACTTTCAATGTGTATGAAGGTGCCCACCAAATTACATTGCAAGTTTCATTGTAGTCAAAAGCCCACAAGGTCAGGAATGGAGTGGTGTCACTATTTGGGAGCATGCTCCATAAACTGTCCCACAATAAAAAAAAATTCAGCTCTTCTTCATAGCACAATTTTTTTAGTCAATGTCAATATCAATTCCACAGTCTTGGAGAGAAGAAGCAGGGCTTTCAGATGATATCAGACAGTGTGGCAATACAACTTATAGCTATTGAGCATTAGAGTGATATATGGTGACATGTAAAATTATGGGACAGTTTATGTGCGTGCTGTATGTATTTCTGTCTTAAACAGCAGTGACATCGTGCTCCGACTCTCACCGATCGTCGACTATCGGGACAAATCTTCTTTACATATCAACATTTCCTTCCTAAAAAAATGATTCACGTCATCCTTGCCTTCCAGCCTGCTGTTCCCTGTCGCTGTTTCTTCATCAGTGTGAGTGCAGGCCCGTGCTTCGATTGCGAATTTAACATTCCAGCCCCCGAACTTAGTCATCGCAAGTCAGCTTGGGACGAAAAAACTCTAACAGAGAGAAGCGAAGGAAAAGAATTTAGTTGCTGCGCGGAGTTCAAGTCCTCTTGGCTCAGTTCCAGTTGTGCTGAGCAGGGTCCTTGGACGTCGGTCAAAGCGGTCAAACCTTCTCAACCTCTCCCACAACTCACTGAAGAAGCAAATTTGCCATCGCATCTCGTATATCGACACAAGATGGCTGCAGCAACTCTTATACGCAAGGCGCTGCCTCATCTCGACAATCCTGTGGTCGACTACCTCGACGGATATATCGAAGATGCCGCCGACGATCCAACCGAAGATCTCTTCGAGACTGTAGTCAAGCCCATGCTTGAATCAGCTTGCATTTCCGATCCTTCCTCGTCGAAGCAGGTGCATGCTCTCCTACCCAAGCTGCTGGAGCTCATCCAATCCAAGCTTCCGGATGATGCCGATGCTATCAACGCTAACGGACTCACTCGTCTCGACAAGGTCGTCGACATGCGCAACACCGAGATGTCGCGTACGCAGGGCTTCGACCAGGCCGGAGGTGTCGACATCGCCCTCGGTACCACCAAGCAGAACCGTTCCACTGTCGATGTCAAAAAGCTCGAAAAGCAAGAAGCCAAGACTCGTGCCAAACTCGCCAAGCGTGCCCAGCGCGATCTTTATGAATCCAGCAAGCTTGTCGAACAGTCCAGACAGCAGGCTAGCTACGAAGAACTCTTCCTCAAGGTCAACCCGCTCGAAAGTATCGGAAACAAAGGCAAGAACAAGGACATTCACCTGCCCAATATCGACGTCAACTTTGGCAGCAACCGTATCCTCTCCAACGCTACGCTCACCATCAAGGCCGGTCGCAGAGCAGGTCTCATTGGTCGCAACGGTGTGGGTAAGTCTACACTATTGCGCAACATGGCGCTTCGAGAGATCCCCATCCCGATGTCGATCTCGATTCTGTATGTCGAGCAAGAGATTGTGGGAGACGACACATCCGCTATCGAGAGTGTGCTCAAGGCCGACGTTTGGCGTGCCAAGCTCTTGCAGGAGGAAGCCGAGATCAATGCAGAGCTGCAAAAGCTCGAAGACTCTGCTGCTGCTGCTGTTGCCGCTGCCAATGCTGCCGCCGCTGCGCAGAACGACGCCGCCAACGGTGATGATGCCGCTGCTGCCGGCCTCTCGCGAGGCTCTGCAGTCGACATGCCCACACGACAGCGTGAGATCAAGCGAGAAGAGCTCTCTACGCGTCTCGGTGAAGTGCAAGCCAAGCTTGTCGACATGGAAGCCGAGACCGGTCCTGCACGAGCTGCCTCGCTTCTCAATGGTCTTGGTTTCAAGACCGAAGACCAGATTCGTCCCACCAAGACCTTCTCGGGTGGTTGGAGAATGCGTCTCGCACTTGCACGTGCGCTCTTCTGCAAGCCCGACTTGCTCATGCTCGATGAACCGTCGAACCACTTGGACCTTAATGCGCTTGCCTGGCTTGAGGATTACTTCGTCAACGACTACGAAGGTACTTTGCTCGTCGTATCGCACGACCGAGCGTTCCTCAACCGTGTTGCTACCGATATCATCCACATGCACAGCGAGAGGCTCGACTACTACAAGGGTAACTTCGACCAATTCTACCAGACACGAGAGGAACGCAGGCGCAACCAGCAGCGAGAGTACGAAGCCGTTCAGCTGCAGCGTGCTCAACTGCAAGCGTTCATTGATCGTTGGAGAGTCAATGCCAACAGGGCCGCACAGGCGCAGAGTAAGATCAAGCAGCTCGAGAAGTTGCCCAATATCGAACCACCGGAGGATGACGATGTGGTGCACTTCCGTCTCCCCGATACCGATAAGTTGCCATTGCCACTGCTGCAGATTAGCAATGTTACTTTCGGATACCGCCCCGAACGTTTGCTGTTGAAGAACGTCGATTTCGACATCACCCAACAATCGCGTGTTGCAGTGGTCGGACCCAACGGTGCTGGTAAATCTACCCTGATGAAGCTTCTTATGGGCGAAATCACTCCACTTCAAGGTGACCAGAAACGAAACTCGCGCCTGCGTGTCGGTTTCTTCTCCCAGCACCACATCGATCAACTCGACCTCAATGCAAACCCTGTCACCTTCCTTCAGTCCAAATACCCTGGCAAGACCGAACAGGAGTACCGTTCGCATCTCGGCGCATTTGGTATTAAAGGTATGACAGGTCTACAGAAGATTGCTACTTTGTCAGGAGGTCAGAAATCCCGTGTTGCGTTCGCGCACATCTCGATGATGCGTCCACACGTATTGTTGTTGGACGAACCGACTAACCACTTGGATACGGAAGGTTTGGATGCACTGTGTGAGGCGATCAAGAAGTTTAATGGTGGTGTGATCTGCATTTCGCACGACGAGACTTTCATCAATAACTGTATGGAGGAATTGTGGGTGGTGGATGATGGAAAGGTAGAGAAATTCAAGGGTGATGTGGCTGAGTATAAGAGGATTATTCTGAGTAAGAACAAGGCTGGTGCCAAGCCCTAACTCGGCTCGAACTCTTGATACTGTACTGTACTCTACTTCACGCTCACTACACTTCAACGTAGAGCACTCTTCACACCCAACTCTCGCTTCAGAACGACATCGATTGCAACAGCATGTCAAGGACGAGAGACAAATGATGAGCCTAAAACGTCGCGCTAGCATTCGCAGTACTAGCCACACCACCAAACAGATTCAACGGCCAACTTGAAAAGTAAAAAGTCCACCTTCCCTGCTCCCTACACGTTTTTGCCAAACCTTCCAAATCGAACAGCTCACCGATGGGCATTCCCCACATAGCCAAAAACGTTTCATGCAGCATACATTCTCCTCGCTTTGTCGGCCTAGCTTCAAACGCAGGTGAATCACCAGCAACAGCTGCGAAATGGTTGTCCCACATGAACTCTTTCATCTCCTCGCACTGCTCTACTCCAGCGAACTCCATTCCTTCTTTTCCGTTCTTCGGTGTGGGGTCGGACCAAGCAGCACGTTCGGCGGAAGTGAGAGAGTAGTATCGCGCAGTGAAGCCTGAACGGATTAGGAGGATGTCTCCTCGTCGGAAGGTTACGTTTTGGTGCTTAGCTGTGGCGATGAGGTCGGCGACGGTGATGCGGAATCCTGTTCGCGGGTCGTATCCTTTTCCTCCGCCGTATTGTGGCCAGGAGGACCAAGGGTAGTCATCGCGCTTCACGTGATCCGTGCCATGGTGAGAAAGGTATTCGAACACGTCAAGCAAGACGCCTCGCCCACAAATTCCATGTTGAGCAAGATGGTGAATACCCAAAGCGTTACGTTTCTTCGCTTCTTCCGTGTTCCACGCTTTGGGGTCACCCGGTTGAGGCGAAGCGTCTTCGAAGCTGTTCTGAATACTAGCACGCTCAGCACCACCGTAAAAGACGTTGAGTGGCATATGACCAAAGTGTCGGAATCCATCCCACTGAGATCCACTCTGAGTGTTGAGCTCGAGAATCTCGTCACTGATGGGAACATTCGTGTCTTCTCGAACTAGAACATCAGGCTGTGTGGAGCGGACATGGGCAATGTAATCATCACGTGGCTTGGTGTAACCAGGTCCGCCTTTGCCGAATGGTTTGTGTGTGACCGCTTTGCGACGGAAGAAAGGCTCGGCGGGGAGATGGACTGGCCAGTTGAGAGAGACGGTGCGACCGACTTTGATTTGTTCCTTGGCAGCGCGGAGGACAAGTGACTCGGTGAGAAGGTTGATGGTTCCCAGCTGGTCGCCCGGCCCCCATACATCCCAGGCACAGCCGGGCCAGCCGCCTTGCGAGGGCAGATTTTTGTAGGCAGGTAGCGATAAGGTAGCCCATCTCTCGGATGATTGAGAAGACAACCAAGACGAATGCGACGAGGATGAGGAAGGCGCTGAGGAGAGTGCTGCTAGCAGGCTCGGCGCTTGCTTCGCCGACGAGGTAGCGAGACCGAGCTGAGAAGCAATTGCTGCCAACCTGCGTCGTGCATGTAATGGGGACTCATACTCAGCAATACGACGTCGTGCGTGAAGAGGCGATTCGTATTCATACCAAGACTTTCCAGAAGAACTGTCGCTATCCTTCTCTTTGTCAGGTTTGGGGAATGCATTTTTGGTCGTCAGTGCCATGGCCTGAAGCAGACCGGCGCTTTGGGATGCGGCTGCGTTGCGAGTAGCCACGGTAGTCTTTGCGACCTGCTGACCAGCATCAGCGACAGCTTCGGTGCCCTTTTGAGCAGTTGATGCTGCTTGTGAAGAGGCTTGGGCTGCTAGACCACCAAAGCGACTAGCAATGGAAGCAATGCGCTGCCGAGTGGTCACATCATCCCGGTCATTATCGTTACTAGAAGGGTGACCACCTTCGTGAGCAGGCCTGGTGGGGTCGTGAGGGGAGATAGCGTTCGCAGGAGGTTTGTCCTTCGTGTCGACCATCTTGCTTTCGATCTTGTTGAGCGACTGAGGTAGTTCGCGTCTTTTATTTGGTGGACAGAGGACGTGAGTCGTGGCGAGCGCCTTCGGGGAACCTTGTTGTGATGGACAGAGGTTTCACTTCTGATGAGGGGAAGGCAGACTGAGTCGAGTTGGTGGTCAGCAAGGAGGATGACTCTTTCAAATGGTCCGATCACTCTTCGCCAAATGACTAACAGGCGTGGGACACTACTTTCAAGGAACAGCCGACCGTCATGGGCACCACAGCGGACGGGCCAATTCTTACTCCAAAGAAAAAGGGAAAAAAAAAAAAAAAAAAAAAAAAAAAAAAACAGAAGAAGTTGTGGTAACCTCGCTGTAGAGGCTAAGCTACCGTCGCAGCCACCAACAACGCCGGGACGTTGCTTTTGCGTTGTTAGCCGGAAATGGATGCCTGAAGAACTTTGAATAGCTGTCCATCTACAGCCTGTTTGATGTCCAGCTCGAACTAACGATCAACTAACGATCAGATGCATCAAAGGGAATCGTGATGGGCAGGAGACTTCTATGGTCATGCATCTAATTGCGAACCGACCGTGCTGCAAGCTGAACTGCAGGTTCGGGGCCCCGCAATCAAAAATTTCTAGAAGAGAAAGTGTTACGCCGGCATAGCTTACAAACAAACGCCGCTACAAGAGCTAGCGTTGACCTCGCCCAGCAACGAGTCAGAAGAAGATCTTTTTGCAGGCTTCATTTTCAGAATTTAAGGCTCTTCCGGCAATTACAATCTCCTCATCGATTGGTCAGGCCAAGGTTCTTGCATGGAGAGAGAGAGAGAGACGTCGTGCAGCTTACTCGCTATCCCAAGCAGGGCTCTGCACTGGACTACCACCATCGCTAGCGTGTAGCTCTCAGCAACATCCCCGGGACGACTCACGAGGTATATGAAGGGCATCTCGCGCTCATTCTTATCGCGTCCAAGTCGATCCTCCTCCCTCCGCTTCCGCTGCAGGCCTGCAATTTCGATTCTTCCTTCCCGAACTGCGTCTCCCCGACTGGTGTCATCACCGCCCATAGCCAAGCTACCATCCCGCCCACCGATTCAAACTCTGACCGCCATGTCTCAGGCACAAGGCAGTCAGCCAGAGAGCAGCAGCGCTGCCGCTTCTCGCACCTACGACGACGCCATCGGTGCGCTCAATTCGTTGCAGAGCAATGCCGCTACCATTGAAGCGCTTCGAAAGTCTGGCGGTCGCTTGCTCGACTTTGCCATCCCTGAGATGGTCGAGTATCTCGAACGTATCGGATACAACACGTCAGACTTGGATCGTCTCAACGTCATCCACATCACCGGCACTAAGGGCAAGGGCAGCACATCCGCGTTCGTGGATTCGCTTCTTCGTCAGCTCACTCACGTGCAAGCATCGTCGCCGCCAAAAGTGGGACTATACACATCGCCTCACATGACCAGTGTACGCGAACGCATTCGCATTAATGGCCAACCCGTCTCACACGAGCTCTTTACTAAGTACTTCTGGCAGGTCTGGGATAGGTTGGAGGAGAACCCAACACGCAAATTCGACTTGACACCACTGCGACCCGTCTACTTTCGTTTCCTGACGCTGCTCGCATTCCACATCTTCCTGTCAGAAGGTGTGCAACCGGTCATCCTGGAAGTAGGTATTGGTGGAAAGTACGACTCGACCAACATTGTGCCGAAGTGCGTTGTAGCCGGCATCACACAACTTGGGCTGGATCACACCGCCGTTCTGGGAAACACGGTAGAAGAGATCGCAGTACAGAAGGCAGGAATCTTCAAACCTCAAGCTCCTGCAGTGTGCTGGGCACAACAACCAGGGAAGGCTTTGGACGAGGTCAAGAGAATAGCAAAGGAAGTCGATGTCAGCGATCTCACAATAGTGGACATACACCCTGGTCTTCTTCGATCCGAAGCGACGGCGCTAGGCACAGAAGATGCCAAGACAGTCAGCCTGGGTCTGCCAGGAGTACATCAGCGAACCAATGCGAGTGTTGCGCTTGAGCTTGTTAACGTTTATCTGGAGTCGGAAGCTGGACGTGCAATGTTCAAGGGTTCGGCAAGTCGTGCAGATGCGCTGGCCGATTGGCAGAAGAAGGGTCTGGAGGATGCAAGGTGGCCAGGAAGGTGTCAGACGGTGCCCACTGCTCGAAAAGATCTGGTTTTGACATGGTACTTGGACGGAGCGCACACCACGGACTCGCTCAGCGTATGCTTGGGCTGGTTCACAGCGATACAGCAGAAGCACGCAGCTGAGAAGCGAAACAAGCGCATCTTCGTGTTCAACTGCACCAATGGTCGAAGTGTTCACGAACTCCTTTCTGCCGTTTTGGATGCTGTTGAAAAGGGCCTTGGTGGCGACTCAGCATCAACGTCAGATGGCTCAAAATATGCACTTGCCAAGGACTACTTTGACGTAGCTATCTTCACCACAAACATCACGTTCGAAGGCGGCGGATGGTCTTCCGAACTCACATCCAAGCTGCTGGATGATTCGGACCTGGTCAATCTGACAGTGCAAAAGCAACTCGCCGAGACATGGAAGGAGCTCGTACCCGGTTCATCGACTGAAGTCAAGATCACACCGAGTATTCAAGCAATGCACAACCACGTGGTCAAAATAGGAGGGGAGCAAGTCAAGGCTGGAGCGGGTGTCGACTGTTTGGTTTCTGGATCGCTTCACCTGGTAGGTGGCGTGATGGCGCATCTGCAGCAGAGCGGATGTTTGGACGACTCGCTTGTTTCGACTGTTCGTTCTTGATAGTCTTGGATCACAATGTTACACATCGACAAATCGTCCTTCAGTATCGCTCAGAACCATTGAAAACGATGCCATACACGACATTTTCGCAGAGATACAGGTCAGACACGTCTGGCGTGTCTGCCCCGCGCTTAACCCCCAGAGGGGAGGACCCATTGCCCAGGGCCCTGATAATGCTATGCAATACTACATTGAAGATAAGGGAGTCCTCCAGATAGCCTTGATAAGCATATTGAAAGTGCCATTGTGGTCACAATCTGCCAAGTAGAAGCAGGTTGGACATTGTAAATGTTTACTCACACCTAGTCTTTGGTTGAGATTGCCACACTGAGAGCAGGTCTTTGATGTAAATGCTTCTGGTTGTATAAGAAGCACTGTTGGCCACCCATGTTTATGTGGATAGTGTGGATTGTGAGCAACATCATGGCATTTGACCAGCAAATGGTTGATGAAGTTGCAGTGTCCCCAGCCCAGCAGCATCTGACAGGTGTTTTGATGCAAGTTTCCATCCTTCCATTGTACCATCTTGCAAACCTCCATCCTTGGCATGACCACAATGTTGGATGAGGTTGTTAGATAATTTGCCATGCAACAATGTAGATCATTGATAAGCTGCTGCAGCTTTTTGTGAACCTTCTTCAAGCACTTTTGAAGCTTGCAGCATTGCACAGATGACAAGACAAATGGCAGGGCTGGACAGTGTTGGTGAGCTTCCTGGGGCTGAGCTTGAGCTTGCTGAGACAAGTGAGAACTGGAAGTGGATCACAGCAGTTGCAGCAAGTGTTGATGATGCAGTTGATGTCTCCAACGACAACAGCTCTTGATCTTGTCATTACAGCAGCTGAGTGTCACAGGGCCAGCGCAGAGATCATAAGCAGCCTGTCAGAGGTCGCATGCCCAAAACCTGATATCTGTGACAGGGATGCATCTATTACGAATCCTGTCAAGATATGTGGTAACGTCTTGTGTATTATGATTCTTGATGAGATATGCAATAGAGACACCTCTATTACTTTTCTTGCCCAAAGAGGTAGTAATGGTTTTGCTATTGCAGGTTTCGACTGACCACTGTGGACACTCCATCCAGAGGTAGCTTGGCACAATCAATAACATTGAATGTATTGAGAGACACCAAGGTCTGGTGTGATTGAGATGGTTGATGTCATTGACACAAGTGTCCAGTGTGCCAACTGAATGCTTGAGGTGATCCCCAGACTGCAGTGGATGACTGCCTTTGGTTCTATCTTTATCCAGACCACTGGTTTGCTAAGAACTGCCATTGGATGTCAGTGAGTGGTGATACAACACATGTGCTACAATGGAAGCAATCTACTTGATTGTGACTATGCTGACTGAAACTAATATATACTTATGCTGAAGTGATAACTAGTTATGTATGGTGTAGAGTGGATGGCAATCCACTCTCTTGCTAGGACAGAGAACATGGTTATATAATCAAGAATGGTCGGACAAAGAGCTGGGGGCGAAACCTCATAGAGAATGGTCGAGACAGTGGGTTGCAGGAAGTTTCACCAAGACTGGCCCAAGATGAAGTGGATCAATTGGTCTCATGACAAGATGAAGATGCTCCAGTAAGACTGTAAGGCCAGCCACTGGGGATAGGGGACAAGAAGACCTCACCACCCAATGAGGTGGGAGAGTAACCCCTGAGTATGATGAAGGTAGCATAGGAGGATTGCCACCTCAGCCAGAGGAGTAGGAGTGTCAGGGGTCTCGCGCCTGAAACCCAGGTCGGTCTGTCGAGATACTCGGTGACTATCAAGTTGCGCAGTGACAGCAGGTGGCGTTCGTTGTATATACTATCGTAGGTTTCGGCTGACCTCTGTGGACACTCCGTTCAGGGGTAGCTCGGCATGATCAATATCAATGTCTCGGTTATGATGACACCAAGGTCTGGTGTGAGTGTTGATGATGATGAGGTTGATGATGTTGGTGATAAGGTTGGTGTTGATGATAATGAGGTTGATGGTGTTGGTGATAAGGTTGGTGGCATCAACACAAGTGTCCAGTGTGTTGACTTTGATGCTTGAAGTGATCCCTGGACCGCAGTGGACTACTGCCTTCAGTTCTATCTTGATCCAGACTGCTAACCTGCTATGGGCACCTTTGGATGTCAGGTAGTGGTGATACAACACACACACTACAATGAGGAGCAACCTTGATAGATTGCTGCTATGCTGACTGAAACTAATATATACTTATGCTGAAGTGATAACTAGTTATGGTGAGTAGAGTGGATGAGGATCCACTCAGCCTATGACAATGAGAAAGCATGGTTATATACCTCTTCACAGCTTCGCCAGCGATGCTGCTCCTGCTCTCTCTCCAGAAAGTACCTTCTTCATCGAGTACTGCTCAGGGGCCTCTCCTGCTTGGCACCCCTGTGCCTCTTGAGTGGTGTCGACTCCTTCAACACTGCTCCTCCTCCTCATGACCTGGTGTTGACTCCTTTGACACTGCTCCTCTTCCTCAGGACCTGCTTGCCAGTGTCCTATGACTCTTGTCTCTCAAGCCCCTGAGTGATAACCATCTGAGCTTGGTCCTCTTCGTGGCTGTGCCTGCTCCTTGAGCTTGGTCCTCCTCGTGGCTGTGCCTGGCCCTCCTCGCATGTGGCTCGGTTCTCCTTTGCATGTGGCTCGGTTCTCCTTTGCATGTGAGTCCATAGGAGTCCATGGTCTCCATGGAGACTGCACTACGACCATGCTCTCTACTGGTATCGACTAGGTCTTCGATACCTGTGCTCCTTCCATATGAACCAGTGACCCTCCTGCTTCTTGAGCATCCAGGCCCATGACAAGGAGCAGGAAGGACTGGGATGCCAAAGGAGCCAGATAGACAAGGGTGGATGGAGAGGCCACACCCCTGCAAGGAGGGGGGCCATGGTGGAGTCGACACCATGGCACAAACATATATATACACCCCCCCATCATAGTGAATGAGTGGATCTGGCATCCACTCTATTATTAACTAAAATATACTCAACTGTAACATATACTTAGTTGTTCCATCACATAGTGCAATTGCAGGCCATTGCTACTAATCCAAGCAGGTGTGTCATATCACCCCTCACTGATGTCCTCTGTAGGCAGTAGTTACTGTGGTCCAGATAATCGCCTCTCTGAAGGCAGTACTCATACTGCGGTCTGGGCTTCTCTCACCGATTTGCTGTTTGCTCATTGACATCTCGAACACTCATGTCGAGTCGACAGATTACTGTCACAGGGTCAGCGGGTCAGCATATGAAGTGTGCGCCAAATTTGATCAGTGGCAATCATTGGGAGTCGACAAGTTAATTGGGTTGGTAGTGCATATGATTTGTGTCAGGGGTCTCGCGCCTGAAACCCAGGTCGGTCTGTCGAGATACTCGGTGACTATCAAACTGTGCAACAGCTATTGTCTCAGTATCGGTGACTATCAAGTTGCGCAGTGACAGCAGGTGGCATTTGTTGTATATACTATTGTAGGTTTCGGCTGACCTCTGTGGACACTCCATTCAGGGGTAGCTCGGCATGATCAATATCAATGCTTCGGTTATGATGACACCAAGGTCTGGTGTGAGTGTTGATGATGATGAGGTTGATGACATTGGTGATAAGGTTGGTGGGTGTTGATGAGAATGAGGTTGATGGTGTTGGTGATAAGGTTGGTGGCATCAACACGAGTGTCCAGTGTGTTGACTTTGACGCTTGAAGTGATCCCCGGACCGCAGTGGACTACTGCCTTCGGTTCTATCTATATCCGTGTCATGGGAATGGATGCGCAGAGGCCAGAAGATCCGTCAAATTCATATGAAGGGAGCGCAGGGATCAAGGGATCGAGCAGATCGTGGGATTTGAGATGGACTTCACTGAGATCAGTAGTAGTGCCAGTCCTATGACAGATCTCACTGAGATTGGCAAAAGGAAGGATAGTACTATGATGACAAGATTGGCACGAGAGATGATGGTACTATGGATTACACTGAGATCGGTGATAGAAGAAAGGGTATGGCGGATCCCGCCAGGATCAGTAGTAGGAAAGATCCTATCACGGATTCTGCGGAGATCAGTGGTAAGGATGATAGTGCAGTGAAGCTTCACATGCAAGTAGTGGGACCAAGCGCTGCCAAGAGGGGACCTAGCTCAGGAGCATGCAGCTGGTTACCACTCGGGGGCACACAAGATAGGAATAAAGGGGGTCCGTCGCTGGTCCCAGGGAGGAGAGCAGTGTAAGAGAAACCGGTGAGGAAGACATAAAGAGGAGAAGCAGTGTCGATGGAGTCGGCACAGCTCAGGAAAGACAGATGGATGGCACAACGAGGAGGAGGAGCCTCATTGGAGACTCCTGTGAGGTACTCAATGCAGAAGGTACTCTCTGGAGAGAGAGCAGAAGCAGTGACGCGGGCAACACTGCGAAGAGGTATAAAAGCCACACCTTCTCGTCACTAATGGTGAAGTGGATTCTCATCCACTCTACTCACCATACAACTAGTCAATACTTTAGAAACATAAGTACTCATTAGTTTTCAAGTCAGCATAAGTTGCAATCAATAGATTGCTCCTCACTGAAGCACATGTGTTGTATCACCATTTCCTGACATCTGAAGGTGGTTCGTAGCAACCAGCAGTCCGGATAACAATAGAACCGAAGGCAGTTGTCCACTGCGGTCCGGGGATCACCTCAAGCATAGTCGACACACTGGACACTTGTGTCGACACCACCAATCCATATTCACACCAGACCTTTGGTGTCATCAGTGAGTTCGCATAAGTTATTGATCGTGCCGAGCTACCTCTGAACAGAGTGTCTGACAGTGGTCAGTCGAAATCTGCAATAGCCTCATCACAACTACAAATTTGAGCGAGGGAAGTAATAGAGACGGCTCTACTACATATCTTGTGAAGAATCGCAATACCACAAGCGCTGTCGCATAACTCAACAGAATCGGTAATAGTATTGATACAACTACCGATCTCAGGTTTCAGGTGTGCGACCCCTGACATTAGAGTGGATCGTTCAAGCAGCACCTCACGATCAACATGACAGACGAAAGCCTCAATGATAAGCTCGAGAGGCTACTCTCCTTAATGGAAGCCCAGTTGGAGCTTACCAGGCAAGGGCAACACGAAGAGCATCTACGCCACACTCATCGGAGTGGAGAGGAGGCGATCGAGCCCTCCCACCCAGAAGATCAAGAGGCTAGGGAAGGGATGATGGGAGACCCTCCCACACCGTCCCCAGCATCGCGTCCAAGGCAGGTGGTATCATTCGAGGAACTGAGCGAACTGCCAGTCAACAACTATGACAAGTACACCTCACCCACCGGGCCCAGATACTTCAGGCCCCGTGTGGAACTGTACAACTGGCCAAGGGCAGAATCTCATGGCTTTGACCAAGAGGATGATGCGAGTGCCTCTGGAGACCCCAGTCTCTCACGCTCCAAGCCGGTCGCCACTCCATTCCCCAAGTTCAATCCTAGAGACATTGAGATTTTCATTCTTGAGGCTGAGGCATGGTTCAAATTCAACCAAGTCTATGAGCAGGCAAGGATGATCAATCATATGGGTGCTCAATTGGAAGGGAGTGCTCGTGAATGGTGGACTTCCAAGCTTCACATCGACAGAGGCCGAGAAGGAAGACTGTTCAATGATTGGCATTACTTCACTGAGCGCCTGATGGAACAGTTCAATCCTCAGAACGCCAGAATGGAGGCCTACAACAAACTGTTGGCTCTCTGGCTCATGAGTGATGCACCAGGTGCTGCCACACGCCATGTCGAGCAGTTCAGAGACTTAGAAGGACAGGTTAACCTAGATGACAATGAATTGGTCATAGACTTGTTCAGAGGCAGTCTCACATGGAGCCTCCAGGAGAAGTTTGAGTGGAACCCACCCGTGAAGAGGTGGGAATGGTATCGAGAGGTCGAAGAGATCAACCAGCAAAGGATGCTGCTACAGCAGTCCTCTGCCCAGCACCCAAGTGCCGCTCCATCGCAACCAAACCCCGGAGCTCGACCTATGCCACCGGCTCAAGGTTCATACCCCGCTCGACAACTGGCACAGACCATTCCAACTCGACCACCGACACAGACATTGTCAGGGAACATTAATCAACCAACCAATCGCCTCCCCCCCCACCAGCTTGTTCAGGGTCTGAAACAAGGAAGCCCCGCATTAAGCAGCAGCACTTGCCATGTGTGCAAAGGTATTGGTCATTGGGCCAGAGACTGCCCAAGCAAGAAGGTGTCATGGGCCTGGGTGCGCAGAGCGAGGATAGACCGAAGTTCATATGAAGGTAGTGCAGGAATCGTGGAATCGGGTAGAATGTAAGAGTTGCAGCAGAGGTCACCGAGATCGGCAGTAGAATCAGTTCTATGGCAGATCACAGCGAAATCGGCACGAGCATCGTCGATATCACGAATCCCACCGGAATCTATGACAAGCGAGACCTTGTGGCAGATTCCGCAGAGATCGGTAGCAAGGTTGTCTGTACGACAATTCACACAGGAGAGGGACCAAGCTCAAGTGATACGTGGACGGTTACCACTCAGGGGCCCACAAGACAGGAGTAAAAGAGAACTGTCACCGGTCAGAGGAAGGAGAGCTGTGTAAAGGACACCGGCGAAAGGGACATGAAGAGGAGGAGCAGTGTCAATGAAGTTGACACAGCTCAGGTAAGACAGGAGGGACAAGGTCTGATATGGAGGAGGTGCCTCCTTGGAGACACCTGTACAATACTTGATGAAGAGGGTACTCTCTGGAGAGAGAGAGCAGGAGCAGTGTCACTGGCGATGCTGTGAAAAGATATATAGGCATACCTTCTTGTCATGAATGGTCAAGTGGATCCATCCACTCTACACTCATCAAGCAACTAGTATTACTTCAAAGCAATAAGTAACGTTAGTTCACAGTCAGCATAAGTAGTAATCAACAGATTGCTCCTCATCGAAGTGCATGTGTTGTATCACTGTTTCCTGATGTCTGAAGGTGGTTCGTAGCAACCAGCGGTCCAGATAATCATAGAACCGAAGGCAGATGTCCACTGCGGCCTGGGGATCACTTCAAGCATTTAGTTGACACACTGGACACTCATGTCGGTGTCAACATTCCATACCCACACCAGACCATTGGTATCAGTATCAAGCTCACTTAGAGTCATATTATAGTTTGATCATGCCGAGCTACCTCTGGATGGAGTGTCCACAGCGGTTAGTCGAAATCTGTCATAACGATAATACAGCTACAGATTCTAACGAGAAAGGTGACAGAGAAGGCTCTGTCACATATCTCACTAAGAATCGAAATACCATTAGCGCTGTCGCATAATTCGACAGAATCGGTGATAGTACAGATACTACTACTGATATCAGGTTTTAGGCATGCGACCGCTGACAGAAGGCAGACTCCCTGGGCCCACGAACCACGGGCCCAAAGGTCATGATAACCACCAAAGACCTCTTCGGGGAAGGAGCCACTGACTCAGGAGATGGACAAATGGGTAGTCCCAAGACAGGCGAGTCCAAAGACCTAGATTTCAGTCTGTACCAGCCACCCATGGACACTGACAATGAGGAGGCCAAAGATGATGTCAATGAGGGAAACGACAGTGGGGCGATGCACTGATGGCATGCATGGCTCTACAAACCTCCTCGCCATCGCTATGTATATATCAAGATTGTAAGGTATGTTTCTCTACCAGTGGAGGAAAAGTGGTATTGGAGCTCTCTGGGATGGTCCAAGACCACCCAGCTCATATACTCGCTGACACCAGTGCCAGTTTGTCCATAGTTTCAGACTCTTTCATTAGCAGGCACCAAATACCCACAAAACCCTCAAAAACAAGATCGATCCATGGTGTCACTGGACACCAACTCATCATCAATAGCACTGCAAGCATACAGGTTGCTATTGGTGACCACAGTTTAGGTGTAGTCGATGTATTGGTAGCCGATATGGCCAACTATGACCTCATATTGGGGTTCACTGAACTTAGAAGGCTCAAACCAACCATATGATGGGATACGGGGCAACTAGAGTTCAGGCCCCAAGGACAGGAGCGACCCCCGAAGCGGCCCCCTGAGAAAGTGGTAGCTGAGAGTTTACACACGAAATCGACGAAATCAATCATAGTGGCAGAACTATCACAGAATTCGACAAAAACTGCTGTAACAAGCGAGCAAAAAAAGGAGCTCACTACAGAAGACAACTTATTACCGATTTCGCCAAATTCGGTAGTAACGGGCCCCTATGACAAGGGAACGACATGTCCAACCATACATGGTAATGAATTCGTTTCAGTGGCAAGTCTGATACAGGCAGCTCTTGAAGATGGACCCATCGAGGTCATACTCTTGGACCTCCCACCATTGTCGCTCCTGGCTTTTGGTTTTGTACCCACCGGCGACGACAAGGGAATAGAAATGGAAGTCGAGATTGATAAGGAGGTATTGGTGGAAGAGATACCTGTGCCATATCAACATCTTCGGGATGTGTTTGATGAGGTGGAAGCAAATAAGCTGCCCCACCATACTGAACATGACCTCCATCTTGAGTTAATGGAGGACAGTAGGCCACCCCAGGGTCCGCTGTACCTCAAGGGACCCAAGGAGATGGCTGAGTTATGGAAGTACCTGGATGAGAACCTAGCGAAGGGGTTCATACGGCCCTCAAAGACCCCAGCGAGATCACCAGTGCTCTTTGTACCCAAGAAGGATGGAGGTCTCAGACTGTGCATGGACTATCGCAGCTTGAATGAGATCACCCTCAAGAATCGGGCGCCGTTGCCCCTCATCGAGGAGCAGCTTTTCCTACTTCGGAAGGCAAAGGTCTATATGAAACTAGACTTGCGAGCAGCTTACAATCTCATTCACATAGCAAAAGGAGATGAATGGAAGACTGCATTTGGCACACAATTGGGACTTTATGAGTACCTGGTAATGCCTTTCAGCCTGGCGAATGCGCCAGCTCATTTCCAGTCCTTCATCAATCACATCTTTTGGGACATCATTGGAGTCTATGTGGTTGTATACTTAGATGACTTCCTCATCTTCAGCAGTATGGAGGAAGAACATGTACAGCATGTCACAGAAGTCCTCATGTGATTATGGAGCAATTGACTTTTTGCCAAGCTGTCCAAATGTGAATTCCACATCACCACAGTGGAATTCCTGGGGTACATCATCAACCCCACTGGGATTGAGATGGACCTGGAGAAGGTGCGAACTGTGAAGGAATGGCCAATGCCAGAGACAATCCATGACATCCAATGGTTTCTTGGCTTCACCAACTTCTACCAGCAATTCATAGCTCACTTCGCATGAATCACCAAGCCATTAACATCACTGGTGAAACCAACGGAATGCTTCAAGAAGTTTGAGCTACCAGAAGAGGCTCAACAAGCCTTTCACAAGCTCATACAAGTGTTCACAATGGCTGGAGTGCTTTGGCATTTTAATTACCACCTTCCCATGAGGCTGGAGACAGATGCGAGTGATTTCGCCATCGCTGGGGTGCTCAAACAAGAGCACGAGGGATGTTGGCATCCGGTAGCATTCTACTCCAGGAAGATGTCCTCGGCTGAAAAGAACTATGAAATTCATGATAAAGAACTTCTAGCAGTGGTAGCTTGTCTCACTCAATGGCAACACATGTTAGCAGGATTGCTGAGCCAGTTGGTCATCCTTACAGATCATGAAGCGCTCAAATACTTCAAGTCACAGCATCATATCATGGGACGACAAGCTTGATGGGCTGTACTACTAGCAGATTTTGACTTCATATTGCAGTATCACCCAGGAGACAAGGGAGGCGAACCTGATGCCCTCACTAGACGAATTGACATGCAACCAATCGGTGAAGAACAGGAACACAATGTGTGGCAACTGCTGCCTTCTTGGGTGTTCGAAAAGGTGGAATCTGGCATTGAAATAGGAAGTGGGTTACGACAGATTCCAGCAGAAAATGTAATAACAAGCACAATACTACCGATTTCGGCAGAATCGGTCTTACCAACAGACTTAGAGAATGAGTCTGTATTGGCAGCTCCCATGCTCACGATGGATACCATAGCAACAAAAGGACTCAGGGACCTGACCAAGATCTTTCAGCCTTTGGATCCAGAGCTACAGGAGATACATGCCAAGAAGCCATTCGAGACCAAAGATGGCTTATGGCATAGTGGGGGAAGATTGGTTATACCGAAGGTAACAATGCCTGGATGAACCAATGACCACTGGTCACGAAGTGCTCAGGAAGTGGATGGCCAATCCCTCTCTGTTGAACATCTACAGTTCATGGTCATGACCCAATGCCACGATGGTATCACCGCCAGTCATGTGGGACGAGACGCCACCATCAAAGTGGCCCAGAGGCACTATTGGTGGCCCAACATGACAGCTTGGATTGCTGACTATGTTGCAAGCTGCCCCATATGTGCTAGGTACAAAGCCCCTCGCCATCGTCCATATGGCTTGCTCCAACTGCTCGCCACACCAGACAGACCATGGGGTTCAGTATCATTGGACTTCATTGAGGGCCTTCCAGTGTCAAAGGGGTTTGATTCCATCCTGGTCATTGTCGATAGACTGACCAAGTATGCCATCTTGGCACCAACTCATAAGACAGTCACAGTGACACAAACTGCTGTACTACTTTGGAGGTACATGGTTTGACACTTTGGTTACCCAGACCATATGGTCTCCGACCAAGGAAGACAGTTCATTTCAAAGGCATGGAAAGTGTTCACTAAGGGTATAGGTGCTAAGCACTCCCTCAGCACAGCTTATCACCCACAGACTGACAGACAAACTGAGAGGGTCAGCCAGGTGGTAGAGCAGTACTTGAGAATGTATTGCAACTATGAGCAGAACGATTGGGCTGATCTGCTCAAGACAGCAGTGTTTGTGTATAACAACACAGTCCACAATAGTATCAGTGTCTCACCGTTCTTCGCTTGTTATGGTTGGAACCCGAAGGCTCACCCTGACATTCCTCAGTGGCTGGGAGTCAATGACCCAGATCGTTCCGAGTTCTTAGTCAATGGAAAAGAGCACTGCAAGTACCTCCAGGACCAGATTAGGGAAGCACAATGTCACACAGTGGAACAGTACAACCGGAAACACAAAGACATCGAGTTTAAGGTGGGCGATATGGTTTACATCAATTGCCAAAACTGGAAAACCAGACAACCAATGCCAAAACTTGACACTAGGTTTGCAGGACCTTACCCAGTTCAGGAAAGGGTGGGCTGACGAGCATATAGGATCACATTGCCAGCCAGCCTCAGAGTACATGATGTGTTTCATGTGTCCTTGCTTGAACCAGCAAGAATGAGCTCCCTAGCTCAACGGTCGGAACAACCAATCATACCACTGCTACCAGAGGAGGATCTCGATTTTGAAGTCGAAGCACTCATTGGCAAACATTCATGCAACAGGACAACCGAATATAAGGTGCTCTGGAGAGGGTACCCAGAAGAGGCTGCCTCTTGGGAACCAGTGTCGAATCTCAATTGCCCTGACCTCATCCAGGAGTATGAGGCATCGGCGGGGGGACGAGACTAGCAAGCATGAGGAAAAGGAGAAATCGGTAAGAAGGGAGCTAGAACCAATTTGAGCGAAATCTGTGACAGAATAGGCGCTATTACAGACTACATGGTAAGAAGGAAATTGGAGCAGATTTGAGTGGAAAATGCGAGAGTAGAGGTGCTATTACAGACTACGCGGAAATCTGTCACAGTACTAGTGGTATGGCAGATTTCAGGAAGTGGATCTGAAATACTACTCTCAACATACGAGGAGGGGTTCAAGAGCATGGTAATCAACAGCCAGGCTCATAAGTGACACCACAGGGGTCAGGACACAGACTCATTCAGGGACAAGAGGCATTGATATTGCAGAATGTGACATGTCGCTACATGTTGACATAGGAGGAAGGAGGAGGAGGAGGAGCAAGAGACGAATGAATCACCAGCTCCTCCTCGGTGGGGGCCACCCACTCATCAATAGGGTCCGGAGGACTGCCAGACTCGGTGACTGACTCATGAGGCTGGCGCTCAGAGTACAATTGGTCATGATGCTCAACAAAGAGTTGGAGCACCCAGAGAATAGAACTTACCAATCCTGGCCGGCAAAGATGGAAGACCACCCGCATTGTGGTCACCCAACCACCAGTCATGACAGGGTCGAAAGTTCGCTCTTCCAAACGAATAAGACCTGGACCATCTCCACCCACCATGGTCAAGTGGGCCTGCTCTGCCTGATGCGAGCCCCGTGGCTGCAGGCTGGGGGTCCCATCGCCAGGATATTCCATACCCAGATGGGCAGGAATATCACGCTCACAGTGACCCAACCCAGCGAGGTAACAGTGCGTACAAGCACAGGGAATTCAGTTGCACTCACCAAATGGGTTGGTGAACATGGAAGCAAAGCAACTGTAGGAAGTAAAGTAAAAGAGGGTCAGTATCAGTTGGACCAGGGTAAACATGGGGAGGAAGGGAGGAACTCATGGAATACCCAAGTTGAAGCACTGATGGCATTGCCAACTAGGCCATGGCATGCAGCCTTCAGTCAGGCGCAACATGGCCAGGCAATGCAAGCAGCACTCGGGGATCGAACCATGAGGCACATCCCAATCCAAGGGGTAGTGCTGGGCCGCGATCTGGGCCACAACGTTGGCAACGATGAATCTCTCGGCCCAACCAGCGATCTCACCATTTGTTGGAAGGTGGTGATCGGGAGGAGGGGGTGGAGGAGTTTGACAGTTCCTCCACCAAGGAGGGGGCGTCAATGGCTGAACCTCCAGCCGATAAACGGGAGTGCCCTGTCGAGGGGCATCCAGGATCGAGTCGACGACCTTGTCAGCCATCGGAGGAGGAGTTGGTGTTCGTGCCAACTCGGCCTCCCAGAGTGCCTGGCGCTCGGGAGTTGTCAGCTCCCGAGGAGGCCCGTGGGCATCCACCTCATAAAGGTTGGGACGAGGAGGTGATGCTGGGGAATAATCTTCGCCTGCCTGGGCAGGCACAGTGAGAGCAGGGGGGGGGGGACCCTGAATGTCCGGAGACGACAGTGTCATCATCCATCCCCAAGAAAAGCAGCTCCAGTGGAGAAGCAGGAACCGCTGGGGAAGCGAGAGGATTGACCAGGCAGGCTGGCATGTGCAAAGCAGGAGGCTTGGCTGCAGGAGCCGAGTCCTCGCAAGGACGTAGTCAGACAATGATCTGACGATGACGAGGAGGAGGGGGAGGAGCGTTCGCAGCTGCTCGCGAACAGGTTTGGTATGGGAGATTGGTCATGCTGTCGAAAGAGGTGTATGGCAATGACCAAGATGGGTGTTTGGGGGGGGAGAACAGAACACAGACATGACACAGGCTAGCCTCAACGGAGCTCAGCTCTTATAAGGGGGGTAATGTCATGGGAATGGATGTGCAGAGGCCAGAAGATCCGTCAAATTCATATGAAGGGAGCACAGGGATCAAGGGATTGGGCAGATCGTGGGATTTGAGACAGACTTCACTGAGATTGGTAGTAGTGCCAGTCCTATGACAGATCTCACTGAGATCGGCAAAAGGAAGGATAGTACTACAATGACAAGATTGGCATGAGAGATGATGGTACTATGGATTACACCGAGATCAGTGATAGAAGAAAGGGTATGGCAGATCCTGCCAGGATCAGTAGTAGGAAAGATCCTATCACAGATTCCATGGAGATCAGTGGTAAGGATGATAGTGCAGTGAAGCTTCACATGCAAGTAGTGGGACCAAGCGCTGCCAAGAGGGGACCTAGCTCAGGAGCATGCAGCTGGTTACCACTCGGGGGCACACAAGATAGGAATAAAGGGGGTCCGTCGCTGGTCCCAGGGAGGAGAGCAGTGTAAGAGAAACCGGTGAGGAAGACATAAAGAGGAGAAGCAGTGTCGATGGAGTCGGCACAGCTCAGGAAAGACAGATGGACAGCGCAACGAGGAGGAGGAGCCTCATTGGAGACTCCTGTGAGGTACTCAATGCAGAAGGTACTCTCTGGAGAGAGAGCAGAAGCAGTGATGCAGGCGACACTGCGAAGAGGTATAAAAGCCACACCTTCTCGTTGCTAATGGTCGAGTGGATTCTCATCCACTCTACTCACCATACAACTAGTCAATACTTTAGAAACATAAGTACTCATTAGTTTTCAAGTCAGCATAAATTGCAATCAATAGATTGCTCCTCACCAAAGCACGTGTGTTGTATCACCATTTCCTGACGTCCGAAGGCGGTTTGTAACAACCAGCAGTCCAGATAACAATAGAACTGAAGGCAGTCGTCCACTGCGGTCCGGGGATCGCCTCAAGCATAGTCGACACACTGGACACTTGTGTTGACACCACCAATCCATATTCACACCAGACCTTTGGTGTCATCAGTGAGTTCGCATAAGTTATTGATCGTGCCGAGCTACCTCTGAACAGAGTGTCCAACAGTGGTCAGTCGAAATCTGCAATAGCCTCATCACAACTACAGATTCGAGCGAGGGAAGTAATAGAGACGGCTCTACTACATATCTCATGAAGAATCGCAATACCACAAGCGCTGTCGCATAACTCGACAGAATCAGTAATAGTATTGATACAACTACCGATCTCAGGTTTCAGGCGCGTGACCCCTGACAATCCGGACCGCTAACCTGCTATGGGGCGCCTACAGACGTCAGGTAGTGGTGATACAACACACACACTACAATGAGGAGCAACCTTGATAGATTGCTGCTATGCTGACTGTAACTAATGAGTACTTATGTTTCTAAAGTATTGACTAGTTGTATGGTGAGTAGAGTGGATGAGGATCCACTCGACCTATGATGATGAGAAAGCATGGTTATATACCTCTTCACAGCATTGCCAGCAACGCTGCTCTTGCTTTCTCTCCAGAGGGTACCTTCTTCATCGAGTACTGTTCAGGGGGCCTCTCCTGCTTGCTTGGCACCCCTGTGCCTCTTGAACTGTGTCAACTCCTTCGACACTGCTCCTCCTCCTTGCTACCCTGCTTGTTTGGCACCCTTGTGCCTCCTGAGTGATGTTGACTCCTTCGACACTGCTCCTCCTCCTCAGGACCTGTCGACCCTGCTCTTCTCGAGCCCCTGAGTGGTAACCATCTGCATGCTCCTTGAGCTTGGTCCTCTTTGTGGCTGTGCCTGCTCCTTGAGCTTGGTCCTCCTCGTGGCTGTGCTTGGCCCTCCTCGCATATGGCTCGGTCCTCCTTTGCATGTGAGTCCATAGGAGTCCATGGTCTCCATGGAGACTGCACTACGACCATGCTCTCTACTGGTATCGACTAGATCTTCGATACCTGTGCTCCTTCCATATGAACCAGTGACCCTCCTGCTTCTTGAGCATCCAGGCCCATGACAGTGTGAGTGTTGATGATGATGAGGTTGATGGTGTTGGTGATAAGGTTGGTGAATGTCGATGATAATGAGGTTGATGGTGTTGGTGATAAGGTTGGTGGTGTTGGTGATAAGGTTGGTGGTGTTGGTGATAAGGTTGGTGGCGTCAACACGAGTGTCCAGTGTGTTGACTGATGCTTGAGGTGATCCCCGGACTGCAGTGGACTACTGCCTTCAGTTCTATCTGTATCTGGACTGCTAACCTGCTATGGGTCACCTTTGGATGTCAGGTAGTGGAGATACAACACATGCACTACAATGAGGAGCAACCTTGATAGATTGCTGCTATGCTGACTGAAACTAATATATACTTATGCTGAAGTGATAACTAGTTATGATGTGTGTAGAGTGGATGAGGATCCACTTGACCTTTGATGATGAGAAAGTATGGTTATATACCTCTTCACAGCATCGCCAGCAACGCTGCTCTTGCTTTCTCTCCAGAGGGTACCTTCTTCATCGAGTACTGTTCAGGGGGCCTCTCCTGCTTGCTTGGCACCCCTGTGCCTCTTGAGCTGTGTCGACTCCTTCGACACTGCTCCTCCTCCTTGCTATCCTGCTTGTTTGGCACCCCTGTGCCTCCTGAGTGGTGACAACTCCTTTGACACTGCTCCTCCTCCTCAGGACCTGCTTGCTGTCAGGGGTCTCGCGCCTGAAACCCAGGTCGGTCTGTCGAGATACTCGGTGACTATCAAACTGTGCGACAGCTATTGTCTCGGTATCGGTGACTATCAAGTTGCGCAGTGACAGCAGGTGGCATTCGTTGTATATACTATCGTAGGTTTCGGCTGACCTCTGTGGACACTCCGTTCAGGGGTAGCTCGGCATGATCAATATCAACGCTTCGGTTATGATGACACCAAGGTCTGGTGTGAGTGTTGATGATGATGAGGTTGATGGTGTTGGTGATAAGGTTGGTGGCATCAACACGAGTGTCCAGTGTGTTGACTTTGATGCTTGAAGTGATCCCCAGACCACAGTGGACTACTGCCTTCGGTTCTATCTATATCCAGACTGCTAACCTGCTATGGGGCACCTACGGACATCAGGTAGTGGTGATACAACACACACACTACAATGAGGAGCAACCTTGATAGATTGCTGCTATGCTGACTGTAACTAATGAGTACTTATGTTTCTAAAGTATTGACTAGTTGTATGGTGAGTAGAGTGGATGAGGATCCACTCAGCCTATGACGATGAGAAAGCATGGTTATATACCTCTTCACAGCATCGCCAGTGATGCTGCTCCTGCTCTCTCTCCAGAGAGTACCTTCTTCATCGAGTACTGCTCAGGGGCCTCTCCTGCTTGGCACCCCTGTGCCTCTTGAGTGGTGTCAACTCCTTCGACACTGCTTCTTCTCCTTTGACCAGTGACAGTTCCTTTGACTCTTGTCTCTCGAGCCCCTGAGTGGTAACCATCTGAGCTTGGTCCTCTTCGTGGCTGTGCCTGCTCCTTGAGCTTGGTCCTCCTTGTGGCTGTGCCTGGCCCTCCTCGCATATGGCTCAGTCCTCCTTTGCATGTGAGTCCATAGGAGTCCATGGTCTCCATGGAGACTGCACTACGACCATGCTCTCTACTGGTATCGACTAGATCTTCGATACCTGTGCTCCTTCCATATGAACCAGTGGCCCACCTGCTTCTTGAGCATCTAGGCCCATGACACTTGCCAGTTCCCTATACACTGCTCCTTCTCCTTTGACCGGTGATGGTTCCTTTGACTCTTGCCTCTCAAGCCCCTGAGTGGTAACCATCTGCATGCTCCTTGAGCTTGGTCCTCTTCGTGGCTGTGCCTGGCCCTCCTCACACATGGGCCTGGTCCTCCTTTGCATGTGAGTCCATAGGAGTCCATGGTCTCCATGGAGACTGCACTATGACCATGCTCTCTACTGGTATCGACTAGATCTCCAATACCTGTGCTCCTTCCATATGAACCAGTGACCCTCCTGCTTCTTGAGCATTCAGGCCCATGACACCCACCATCTCGACCATTCTCAATAGGGGGTATCAAAGTTTTTGCGATTTTAAAAACACGGGTTTTTTCGAGAGCGTGTTTTTGGAGGGAATTTGAACCCCCCCCCAAGGAAAAGCAGGTTTCCAAAAATGCAATGAAATAATACGGCCGATAAAATACGTAACCTAAAAGTAAGCATAGGAAGCATGAATCATACAGCCGAAAGGAGGTGTAACCTAACAGTAATCATATGAAACATAAATTATACGGCCAATAAGAGATGTAACCTAACAGTGAGCATATGATACTTGTCCTGCTCTCGTCACTATCACCCATTGCTTGCTTATATCTTGCTTTCCTCTTCACACAATGCACTCAATGTAATGTTTCATATGGTGGTGAGAAGAGTTGTATTGAACAGCAGAAGAGAGAGTGCCTGTCAGATTGTGTAGTGGACTGGCATAATAACTCTGCAGAGATGTCACGAGAATCATCAGTGGAGGAGGTCATGTTGAATGAGCACAAGGAAGAGGGAGTGAGCAAAAGTGTGATGAGAGTGAGGAAAGGAGAGAAGATGTGGAGTGATAAAAAAACCGCATTTTCACAAACATGCCTCCTGAGCTGCATTTTTGAAAACACAGTTTTTTTTTTTTTTTTTTTTTTTTTTTTTTTTTTCCCTTTGCGGAGCTTATGTAAGCTTTTGCGTTTTTTTGAAAAATGCGCTCTTGAAAAAACCCGGGTTTTTAAAAACGCAAAAACTTTGATACCCCCTCTAGCTCACTGTCTGACCATTCTTGGTGAGATTGGTCGGAGCCCCTGGGTCTAGACCAGTTCCACTTTTGGTGCACCGAGCTCATTTCGGTGGCTGCGCAGCATGGCTGCTTATGATCTCTGTGCTGGCCCTATGACATCTATCACATATTTGAGCAAGAAAAAGTCATAGAAGGCTTCTAAGGCAGATCTCAGCAAGAATAATAATAACGGCCTTTTACCACAGATCTTGATAGGATCAGTAGTAGTTGTATTTCTACTACAGATTTCAGGTTTCTGGTGCGCGACCTCTGACATGTGGTATGTTTGGTGTTCTTGAATACTTGGATTGAGTGATGATACAGCTATACCAAGGTATGGTAAGACAGTATGATAATGCCTGTCTTGGCACAAGTGTTCACACTGCTTTGACAGTTGTATGATGGTACTGGTTGTGGTGCCAGAACCACAGTGGAGGTGCTGCCTATGGTTGAGGTTCTATAGCATTGATGGAGGTGTCAATTGCGTCTGTTAGCAGTGATACAACATACACATGTGAGATAGTTGCAATGCCCTGCAATTGCAACTGTTGAGACTGCCTGTCCAGGGTCTTCTGCGCAGGCCCTGTGACAACCAGCAGCATGAACAGCATGCGGGAGAGCCGATAGCTGTTCGTGATCTTGAAGAGGAACAGAAGTATGGCTTGAGAAGGGGCTTCAGCTTCTTGTTCGGATCTCTCGAAGGAACACCTTATCAAGCAGCGATTTGGTTCCTTCCATTCCGCCTCGATACGTCCTGATGTTGAAGGAGCTCGGCCACTCCAACAATCACAGTCATAGTTTGTGCACAAAACTTCGCAGACAGAGTGACAAGGCAAAGTGATCAAGATTTAGCGAAGCAGAAAGGAATGTGGGTGCAGCAACGAGGCGCTGACATGGTGTGACGATAGACCGGAAACACAACAGTTGATGTAGCCAAGAGGGAGGCGACTCGAATGCTCACAGAAAACCGTGGCAGAGTCTAGATGAGATTAGTGAAGTGGACTAGCAGGTCATTTCAGGCAAGACTTAACTCTCGTCTTCGACACCAAAAGGGCGCTGTTGATGACGAGCCAGGCAAGAGGACGATGATGGTCAGTGAGGGCTAACAGGAGACTTAAGCACTGTCCTTGACGATGTTTGCCATCCTCTTGAGGCCAGGAACATGAACAGGCAAGCCGACAAAGTGCACCACATCGTTGGCATCTTCGATAGCCTCCTTGGATTGGGACCCGAGCTGGGCAAGTTCAAGGCACGCTTGGTCTCGATCTGACCGTGTTTGCTGTACATGTTCTTGACGAAAGAACCGGCAGCGTTGTCAGCCTGGGTCTTGAGGTCAAGGATGTCGTCACGGACGACATTGCTCATGTCAAGGACAGTCGAGGTAAGAGGGTCCTGACCACGTCTGATGGGGACACCAGAGACGGAGCCGCTGTTGTTGAGCAAACCATTGGCCAAGATGTCCTTGTCACCGATAGCACGAGCAAGGGGCACAGGAACGGGCAACTCCTTGGTCACACCAGCGACGGCGCCCTGAACAGCTTGCTGGCAGCAACACTCGCTGTTTCACAACGCAAGGACCGCTTGTTGCAAGCGCTTTCGCCAGCTTTGACCCCTTTTTACAGTAGAGGACCCCTGAACGCCGTTTTCCGCTCGCTGACTGTCCATTTATTGTTATTATTATTATTATCATTATTACATATTATTATTTTTTATTTTATTATTATTTTTTATTATTATCTTCATTTTTCTGTTTCAATTTTTCAACTTCTTTCTCCGCCTGAGACCTGACTTCCATCTTTCTGCTCTGCTCTGTGTGAGTGTATGACTTGGCCTGCCCCTGACTGTGCACGACCCTGAACATCACAGATCCCTGCTTCATCTTCTCCTCTTGCCCCTTTTGTCATCGTCGCCACCATACCCCATTCTTCTTCTTCCCTTTCCACTTCTTGCATCGCTTCTTCCACGTAGTCTCTTCGTCCCACCACACTCGCACTTCGTCTTTTTGCTCTTTCCTTACCTCAAGACTCTGTAACGACACGCAACGCACATGCAACATCAGCACCCGCTCAACACATCTGGGACCCTCTAACGATTACATCAAGCTTCATACAAGTCCCCTGTCTACTCGCAAAGGACTAATTGCGGCCAGCTTTCATCTTGGCCTTCCCGCCTTCAGCTCTCGATCGATCCAGGACACCTCTCGCACGAGTAAACGCTTTACATTCCTGACCTATCAAAGCTAGGTCTTTCATGCAAGAGGTTCACTTGCTGCTCAAGCCTCTCTCACGTGCTACACGGACTTGCTAGCATACCACCCACCCTTTCACCTCTTAACTCCTACAGCGCCGACTGCGAACCCTGCCCTGCTTAAATCAAGACCATGATGTCGACCGAGTCTTCGATCCACCATGCCTTCCGAGGTCTCAACCTCACCGATCCCCAGCACGATCCCACGAAGCAACAGCAACAACAACAGAAGCAGCAGCAGCCATATACCACTCCTCCTCGACAGACCAACACTGGCTCGCTTCGTTCGCCCACCATTCTCACTTCCGACTTGCCTGGCCAGCCTAGCTACTTGAACAACGCTCAATCGCCCGGCTCTCTTGGTCAAAGTGCTGCTGCTCGTTTTGAACGCTTCTTCCCTTCTTCTCCCAACACCACCAGCTCGAACCCCTCCTCAGCTGGTCAGACCTTCACCAGCTCCGTCGGCTCTGCTGCTGGTCTTGCTGCTAACAGTGCCTTTGGCAGCTTTGGACACAGCCTCGCTCCAGGCAGCATGGGTGGTTCTAGCATCAGCTCCAGCCACTTTGGCTCTCACAACAACAACGCTGTTCGCAAGGCCTCCAGCCGTGCTGCTATCCCATCCCAGTGGAGCACTCAAGACCCTGATTCCCTTGGTCCTCCCGCTGGTGCCTCACCACCCAAAGGCATGGGTGGCCCGCTTCAGAACTACCAACAGCTCGACGGTATGGCTCCCGGTGTAGCCAGCGGCGGTGACGACGATGTGATTCCGACCGCCATCGTTCTTAAGAACATCCCCTTCAGCGTCACGAGGGAACAACTTCTTCAGATCATCGAGGACCTCGGCATCCCCATGCCATACGCATTCAACTATCACATGGACCAAGGCGTCTTCCGCGGTCTTGCTTTTGCCAACTTCCGCAGCGCTGAGGAGGCTGACGCTGTCGTCGCTGCCCTCAACGGATTCGATGTCAGCGGACGAAAGCTCCGTGTTGAGTACAAGAAGGTGCTTCAGGCTGGCGAGAAGGAACGCATCGAGAAGGAAAAGGCCATCAAACGCATGCAGAGTATGCAACTCGAAAAGGAGAGGGAACGCGAATTGCGTCGTCAGCACGACGAGTATGCTGCCAACGCCTACCTCATGCCAGGCTACAATGGTAGCAATGCTCATCTTGGCGCCTCCGACGCTTACCTTGCCGACCCAAATGCTGGTCTGCAGCAAGGCTTTGAGGCAGGCGTTCGTGCTCCTCTCACTGCAGACTCACTCAGGAAGATGCCATCGTCGCAACGTCTTGCAGCTGCTGTCGAGAGACCTACAGGACCTTCATCTTCCACCAGCAACCCCGGTGTCGGCGCAAGCAGCGGTGGTGCTGCCAACGGCGCAGGTGCTGCAGGCAAGAAGGAGGAGCTCGACCTCAACGATGCAGCTACGCTCGAGATCTACTCGCGCGTGCTCCTTTTCAAGGATGACCGTATGCGTGACGAGCTCTCCTTCTCTCGCAGCCTTACTCCTCTCGAGCGCAGAACTGTTCATCTCGTCGCACAGAGACTTGGTCTCTTTCACTACTCAATGGGCGAGGGTGGTGAGCGATACGTCATCGTGACCAAGAACGAGGTCAACACTGGCCCTCGTCCTCTTCGCTCACAAGCCTCCACCATTGGTCGAACCCATCGATCCACAGGTCTCGACGTTGGTTCTGCTGGTGGTTTCCTGGGTCCTGGCAGTGCCGCTACCACAGGTCGAGCCGGCCTGCGAATGAAGAAGTCGGCTCCTGACATGAAGCGAGGCGACGGATCTGGAGCCTACAGTGGCAGCAACGGCTACCTTGGCATTGGCTCGGGAAGCCTTGCTGCACGCAAATCCAACTCGAATCTTCGAGATGGTTACTCGTCGACCATGGGTCGTCGAGCCAACGGCAGCGGCGGTACAGGCGGGGTAGCGGGACTACAGAACCTCTTTGCTTCGCCCTTTGATGCTCCTCCAGCCCCCTCACTCCCCAACCAGAACAGTGGGGAACCATCCAGCCACAACTCCTCACCCACTCACCCGAACTTGATTCGTCAACCCCGCGGACCGCCCACACCTGGCTCATCCGATCTCCGCAACTTTGCTGTTCGATCGCGTGTCCCTACCACCACCTCCTCGGGTAGCAGCAGCGGTAACGCCAGAGGTTCTCCACCCAACGCACCAACCAACGGATTCCAGCTTCAGATCAATGGTAGCCCAACAAAGACCAACGATGCATACCCAAATTCTCTTGTCGAGGCTACTACTCATGATCCTCTTGAATTCTGATTTGGTTTAAGGATTTGGGGATTTGATTCATAGCATTTCTTATTGGTTTTATCAAGCATATCTATTCGCACTCGGTGCTCACACAGATACACTGGTTTTCGGCAATTCATCAATGCAAAGTCTTCAGAACGATCGGGTGGCGAGAAATGAGTATGCTTTTGGGTGTCTGCCACCGCAGTACGGACGACTGTGTGTGTGTGTGTGTGTGTGTGTGTGTGTGTGTGTGTGTGTGTGGTGAAAAGATTAGGAGAAGCGATCAGCTAAATCACGTCCACCCATCCTCCCTAGCAAATTGCCGCCGTTCATACGCGAAGCCAAGCTTCCTTTACCCTCATCGTCGAAGCTAGAAAGGCCGGGAGCTTTCATCCTTCCCCTTCCTTTCACTTTTACTCGACCCTCTTCTGACCTAGAGCCGCCACGGCCGGGCGAAAGTTCGCGTTGATGCTGGTGAGAACGTTGACGACGAATGTCTTCCAATTCTTCATCCATTGCGTCCACTTCGTTGCGGTGGCCACGGGAACGACGGCCACGACCCTGTGATCTGCGAGAACCGGATTCGAGCTCATCGTATGCGTCATGAGCCCATCTACCTTCTGATGTTGATGTCTCGCCATGTCGTCGACGGCTGCTGCGTGATCCGAGCCTGTCCATGAGATCACGGTCTTCATCACGTCTAGATCTTCGGCTGGATTGACGAGCTTGAACGGCATCGGCCATCATCTCTCCTGATCGTCTCTCTGGTTCCTCCTCCTCATCTCTCCTCGCAATATGATTGTCCAGTTCGGAGTCGAGCTGATCCATTATCGATCGCTTGTCATCCCTATGTCTTCTCCTTCCATCACCCCGAGACTCAGACGGCTTGTAATCAGGGAACAGCTCCACACTCTCCCTAACTTCTCCCACCTGCAACAATTTCGGTACGATTTCTCTACCCGCTTCATATCCGTGCCTCTTGTACCATTGTGATTTGGTGGATGCGCGAGACTCTTTTCGATCAACATCAGTGACTGCATGTCTAAACCAGAGCGTGGAGCGAAGTTTCTGTAGATCGCGAACTTCGCGTGTCTGCAAAGCTGCTTTGCGATCTGCTTCTTCCATCTCTCTGTAGATTTCCGGTACATCATCTGGGAGGGAGGAGACGGCTTCGGCGGTGCGTTCACGTTCTTCGAGTTCTGTGAGTGCAGCTTGTCGTTCGACATGAGTGTAGAGTTTTACGGGAATGCGGTGGGCTTTGCGAGGAGTAACGAGGGAGGTGATGAACTCAGAATGCCATGAGTCGGGATCGTATTCGATCAGTGTGTCGATGTTGGGGAGTGGGATGGTGTCGGTTTCTCCTGCGTCCTGCATATCGGTGTTCTCAGCAGCGGTGTCGGTGGTGGAGGAAGGTGAGGGGCAGAGGTATTCTAGCGCAAGACGAGCAGACCTTTCATCAGTGAACACTATTTTGCAGCGCATATCGTCAATCCATTCCAGACCCAGAGGTTGAGCACCGTAGTGTGTGAGATATGCAAAAAGACGGGAAGTGGAGAGTTGGGTGATGGGGAGTCCTTCGATGAGGAGGGTATCTAGTCGGATGTCGCTGCCGCTTTCTACTGCCGGCGGGTCGGGAGGTGAGGAGGGCTCTTCATTACCCATCAATGCAGCGCCATCAAGAGATTGCGTCTCGCTACCTGTGAGTGGAGCAGGGCCTCGTTGTGCACCTGCTTCAACGGCTTGGTCCGTGGGCAAGGCGTAGAAGCGTGAGCCTTGGGGTGGAGCTGCTTGAGATCCGTCATCCATGGTATCGTCCTGCATAGGAACAGTAGGGGCAGATAGGTCGGCCTCTGCCGAGCCATAGTCGAGGGGTATGTCCGCCATGGTTGCCACTGTTGTCCTTGAAGATGGTCCCAGGAGCAGTGGTGGTAGAGGGGGCTAGTAGAGAAGAATGCGAAGAACGCTTCATGATGCAGCAGATGTTGCATCTGACCTCGAGTCGACGCGCGCTGCCAAAAGACACGTATCTCCCGATTCAGCGCTGGAAACGGACGATCGGTAGATATGGACCCTGTCAGCCCCGCATTCCGCGTGTGACTGTGAAGTGACGCTGTGTGTGTGTGTCACTTTAGCGAAGCGTGCTGCCCACTTTTCTTTTTTTTTTTTTTTTTTTTTTTTTTTTTTTTTTTTTTTGGGGGGTCTGTTGGCTGTGCACTGACCCCTTTGTGCGCCATTGACTCACACTTCACTTTGTTCCGTACTTCAAGTTTCCTATGTTCTCCCTCAGCGTTCAAAATCTTCTCATTAGCTTCGCTATTTTGCAACAGCGCAAGTTGGAAAGTGGGACGTATCAAGCAGTCGATTGTCGCTCATTTGCTGCACGTTCAGCGCTTACGCCAGCTCAACACGTCCACCCCTTCAACCATACTATGAAGTCACGCAGCTGAAGAATCGCGACTCAGCTCGAAACGAGCATCGTTGGACTACAACTTCACGCCGACATCTACGTTAGTCACCACATCCACTGATCAGCGACGACATCGGTTCAACCATCAACAATGAGTCGATCGCCCAACAGGCCGCGCTCTAGCGACCTCTCGCCTCCTGTCGACAAGGTCAGTCCTTCCGAAACACACAGCATCACCTTCGAATGGCCTCTGCACGATCTGAAACAGCACTTCGACTCTTCCAACAATGATGCCAAATCAAAAGTGATCAAGTCAGTTCCCTTTGGCGAAGGAAGATGGACGGTTCTCTTCTACGCTCAATCAGGCATGCAGTCGTTCTGCTCGCTCTATCTGAACGCAGAGCCTACACCAGAAGAGAAAAGCCAAAGCAAACCCTCTTGGGAGAACTATATCAACAACAGCAGTCTCAATCGCTCTCAGGCGTCCATCTCTGACAAAAATGGCAACGCGAGCGAAGATGCTTGGACACGCCAAGGTCTCTTCCGCTTCACATTCAAGATCATCACCCTCAACAAGGGTTTTATCCTCGCGTCGAAAGAGGCTTGCAATCATGCTTTCAGTCATAAAACCTCGAACTGGGGCTGGGCGCAGTTTGCATCGCGCGACACTGTCTTTTACGGCAACAGTGAAGTGCAGCAGACGAATGGATTCCTTATCTCAGTCACGATCACTGCTAGCCCCGAAACACCGCGACCGTTGTCTGTTGGCGTCACTATCCCGCCGGCTCTGATCGAGGCGATGGGATCTCTGCTGGATGACCCAGATCATAGCGATGTTGTGTTTGTCATCCGTCGAAAACGTCGGCATCCTACTAGCGGCGCTATCGTGACACGCGAGCGTCGCATCTATGCGATCAAGAAGATTCTCGCTTCGCGTTGCGAGTACTTCCGAGACATGTTTGAGAGCGGCTTTCTCGAGGCTGATGCCACCACAAGCTCCGATGATGAAGGCGACGACGATCTTGCCGTTGTTCCAGCTTCATCCCGAGGTGTTGGTCAAGATCAGCTGGGGCTGATGGGAAGTGCTTTCTTGTCGTCTGGTGAGGACGAGGATGATGATCTAGGACTGGAGGACTCGGATGAGGAGATGGATGTCGATGAGGTATATGAATTGGGTAGATCCAACTTCCAAGATCAATATCGCGGTAGTGAGGGGTCGCTGGCTCGAGCTTCGCAGCCAGGTCTTGCATTGAGTCCAAATGGTGGTGCAGAGCAGTCTGCATCGCGAAGGATGCGCGAAACCAGTTCCGACGTGCCTCAGCTTCAAAGCTTCACATCTGCAACTGCATCGCAGCCGTCCGACTCGGTGCAGTACGGCAAGTCGCAGCAATATACTCCACCACAGTCGCGCACTCGTCAGAGCAACGAGCTCGATGCAGGTACAGATAGTGGCGACGATGCAGCCCGAGCGCAGGGCATGTCGGCCTTTAAGACACCTCAGCACTCTCCACGGGAGCTCAGGAGCGAAGGCGCAAGGTTTACATCACCCACGAAGGGCGCCAGTGCTCCTCTTTCTAAAAGGCAGACGCGATCGAGTAAAACTCAAGTGGCCAAGGAGCAAGGCTCAAACGCTAAGACCTTGCCGCAGCGTCGCAAGTCGGACGAAGCTCCCGGCACAAGCGCTCACACCAGCAAAAAACGACGCAAAGTGATCGTCCATGACGCTGCCTATGCCACTTACAAAGCGCTTCTCTACTATTTGTACACCGACACGGTTGCCTTTGCACCTTTGCATTCCCACTTCTACTCGCAAACCACAACCCCCGACAACTCGGCCACCGTTCAGGAGAACCTTGACTTGTCAGAGACCAAGCCTAGCGATTCAAGTACAGCTTCTGCGACCTATGCTGGCTCAGAGTCCGGTCTCCACTCATCCCGGTGCACTTCCACCACCAACCCCACTGGCAGCTTTGCAAAAGATCGACGTCGAGCGCACCTCCAGCGACAACATGTCATCGACGAATACTGCTCTTCCAACACCAGCATCCCCTCCCCTTGCTCGGCTAAATCAATGTATCGTCTCGCAGACAAGCTTCAGATCCCCGAACTCAAGGCTCGGGCACAGGAAGAGCTGGCGAACAATCTGACGGTGGACAACATCGTTTGGGAAGTGTTCTCAGGATTTAATGCTCAGTTCCCGGCTATCAGGAAGATGGAGACGGATTTCCTGTTGAAGCATTGGGGAGAGGTGAAGGGGACCGATGTCATGAAGAGTATCTTTTCGAGGCCTGCGGCTCATCCGGGTTTGGCAGATGTTTGGCCATTGTTGTTGAGTCAGTTGGAGTTTAGGGGTGGTGGTAGTGCTGGTGGGAGCGGGAGTGGGGGGGAGAAAGATGCCTAGAGTTGGAGGCACCGAGATCTTTCGAGTTCACCTGCATTTTGTACGTACGCCATACCATTTCATGTTTGTCTGCTCAAGCAAATGTTCATGTGAACCACATTACGGCGGCTGCCGAGCTCGTGGCTTCAGACCCATCTCAACAGACATTGTCGAGGATGGGCTAAAGGGGCAGCCTCTGACATCTGTCACACGACGACGCAGAGAGTTCTTACTCCTTAGCGCAGATCTGCGAAGAGGTGAGGCCGATAGGTACAGTAGAGGGAGGTCTTCCTTTTTTTCCGATCTGTCAGAGCTGTTGTCAGATCGGGCTTTGTATTTGGTTCTTTTCTCGATTGCATGCGTGTTCAATTGACCTGAGGGTACAAGATTACATCAAGAGGTAGCGGTTTTGTATTTTAGAAAAGCGTCGAAAATAGGAAGAGCTGCACGAAGAGGGGCTCTTCTCACAAGAGGCTCAAAGAAGGTCAGCCAAGTCTCACGCGCCCGTGCCACCTTTTTCCTTCTTTCTTTTTTTTTTTTTTTTTTTTTTCTTTTTTTTTTTTTTCTTTTCTTTTTTTTTTTTTTTTTTTTTTTTTTTTTTTTTTTTTTTTTTTTGGTCTCCAACGCCCTTCGCCTTCGCCTTGGCTTGCTGTGACGATTGCGAGTGTGTGTGTGTTTGAATTTCCGGTTCCGCTCTGGCTCGGCCTGTCGCTGTTGACATTCCATCACAGCGCATCACGGCAGCGACACACGCTGTTGTCACACTCACGCACAAGACACGGGCAAGAAGCCTCGTCCACTCGTTTCCATTGTCATTCTTCCTCAGCATACCATCTTTCTTTCCTTCTCATCCATCCCTCTGCTATCGTCCAGTAGCGTCTCTGTGACATTGGTAGCAGCTGGCTCGGCTTGCATCCATCCACAGACGCTTTGCTTATCTTCTGGGACGGCCAGAGACAGGTGTCATCTCCATCAATCTTCACTCTACGACCTTTACGAATCCCTTCTTCCCTCCTTTCAACATCCTGGCATCGGCTACAACCCAATCATATCCATCTGAAGCATCTTTGTTCTTGCTCCAGCTGCAAGCCGACCTGTCAACAACCCGATTGACCTGCTCACGAACTTATTGTGTTAGCGACATCAACGTCTGCCAACAACCTCTTTCCACAATCTCAGTTCCAGCGGCTATTCCATGATCATACAGGTCGATTGCTGTCCACAAGTGTATCGTAACCGAAAGCAAAAGCTTTGACATGTTTCACAGTAACGCCGGCAACATGTCGATGGGCGGTGGGAATCAGAACAATGGCAGTAACATGGGCGCTGGCCTTGGGTTCGGCATGAACAACAACGCCAACCAGATGCACGCCAACATGGCCAATGGTGTGCAATCCCAGGAGACGGGCAACTCGCAACCAACTTCAGAATACTCGCTCGCCGGTATTCTCCATCACTTGCAAAGCGAATGGCGTCGGTATGAGAAGGACCGCAATGAGTGGGAGATCGAGCGGGCCGAGATGCGTGCTCGTATCGCCCTGCTCGAAGGTGAACGCAGAGGCGTCGAGAACCTCAAGACAGATCTAATGCGACGAGTCAAGATGCTCGAGTACGCTTTGCGTCAAGAACGAAGCAAGTATCTCTCGTCGAGCGGCACCTCAAACCACACTCAGTCTGCCTCTTCACCCTCTTCGGCGACTGCTCCTTCGATCAAGAACCCGCTGTTGCAAGGGTTGGAGAAAGGCACATCCAGCAGCGGACGCAGCTCGCCCGCTCTCTTTGCAGACTCGGCTCTCACAGCATCCGCCATCACAGCATCCGCCATCACAACTGCCGGCGGATCAATCAACGCTGGTGCTCTCGCCAGTGGTCTTCTCTCGCGATCTACCTCGAGCGCTAAGGACTCCAAGTCGCGTGCAAAGAGCCGCGAGTATCTCAAACAGTGCCTGCAGGAGATCTCGTATCTCACTTCTGCTACTACCTTGAATCCACTTCCTGATCGAGGCATTGCTTCAGGCTCCTCCGTGAACGGGAACTCGATGCAGAGTTCTCTGCGCCCGCGAAAGACGATGCTCGATAGCGTGCCACCAACATTGCAGGGGTCTACAGAGTCGCATGCCACTCTGGCAGGATCCATCAGCCGCGTGTCGGCTGCTACCGCGCTCGGTGTTCCAAATGCCAAGGGTGGTCGACCCGGCCGATCGCCGCTTTTCGCCTCAGAGCCTGTGCTCGAGGAAGCGAATGAGAACGAGGAGGGTGCCGATGGCCAATCTCAGCCTGCGCAAGGACTGAGAGAGGAAGATGCTGGAGAGGAACAGCAGCACCACCAGCAGCACCAGGGCGGTGCCAATGCTTCCCGAGGTGTACCACTGGTCAACCCACTGAGTGCCACTTTTGCTGAGCCAGAGCCTCCGAGTCAGTCCAGCTCCAATGAAGCCTCTGACGCCGGAGAGCAGAACGAAGCACCTGGCAGCTCTAACTCTTCCGACTCTTCGCGTTCTTCGCAATCCACCAACTCGCGCGGCACTTCCGGAGGCAGCCTGACTGACCAAGAGCTTGACGATCAAGAGCAAGTCACAGCCATCTTCAAGCCCGGTGGACGAGACTGGCAGAAGCTCAAGGAGGCTGGCATCAAGAACCGCGAGCGTCGCGAAAGCGAGCGACAGGGACAAGCCGCCGAAGAAGCCTCGATCATTTCTGAAGCGCAACAGCAGCTTGCTATCACATCCGAGAAAGTCAACCAGCTCATGAACCGCAGCGGTCGAGCACCTGGACCGGAACGCAAGGAAGAGGATGATCTTGCCAACCTCAGCCTTGGTACGGAAGAGGAAGAAGCGGCTAAGGAGGCAGCTGATGCAGCGGCAGACAGCCTGCTCTGGAAGTCGAAGAAGGTTCTGCGCAGCCACCTGGACGCGGTGCGAGCCGTTGCTTTTCTTCCGAACGAGATGACTCTGCTCTCGGCTTCGGATGACAATACGATCAAGTTCTGGAACCTGGATGTAGGCACACTCAATCAGCCCGCTTCCAAGACCGGTACTGACAGTCAGCCTCTGGTCACCTTCCGCGGGCACTCAGCTGCAGTGACATCTTTGGCAGTTTCACCCAACAAGCGCCGCTTCTACAGTGGTAGTCTGGATTCGTCCATTCGTGTCTGGCAATTGCCTGATCGAAACGTCGAGGCTTATCCACCTTTTGAGAAATCGATTGAGCTAGGATGTCTCGTTGGTCACACACAAGCTGTCTGGGATGTTGCGCTGCTGCCAGATCGCTCCGACGAAGAAGGACGACTGGCAAGTGTATCTGCCGACGCGACAGTCAAGGTTTGGAGCGTGCGCAGCGCATCCTCCAACTTCAGCACCAACGGCGAAACCAACTCAAACGCTTCAGCACCTGCAGTTCTTCAACTCAGCTGGGACTACTTTGGCAGCGACCCGACCCCCGATACGGCCAAGGAACGTGGGAACCTCGAAAAAAGCGGTAGGCTCCCCGTTCCCACTTGTGTGGAAGCAGTTCACTCAGACCTGCGCCTTGTCGCTGTCTCGTACTCGAACTCGGTGGTCAAGCTGTTCGACCTCGACACTGGTCGCCAAGTGCGCCAGCTCAAGTCCGACGAGACATATGATGGTACGGCCGAGACTCAGATCAACAAGCTCGTCACGCACCCTACACTGCCCATGCTTATCACGGCGCACGAGGACGGCTACATCCGAATGTTCGACCTTGATTCGGGAGCATGTACGTTGTCGATGGTGGCGCATCTGGATGCAGTGACGTCGTTGGACATCGATGCGAGTGGATTGACGCTTGTTTCGGGTGGACACGATTGCAGTGTACGATTCTGGGACATCGCTGGTGGATCGTTGGTTGGCAAGGAAGGTCCTGTGGGTGGAGGAGTAAGTGGCGAGGGAGAACAGTCAACAGCTGTTTGCAGGCAAGAAATCAGTTCACATAGGAAGAAGGCAGGAGAAGGTGTCCTCGCCGTTGCATATAGCCGAACACTTCCCTTGTTCGCTTCGGCTGGTGCTGATGCTGTTGTCCGCATCTACGGTTGATAGTATCCGCATAAGCAACCCTGTCGCATTGTAGCAATCATAAGTTTCTTACTTCACGCAATGTCTCGTCACTTGACACAATGTTTCGCCTCTATTGTCTTGAGGGCCTCTTCGACAAAGTGTACAAGAGCAGTCCCCAATTGCAGCGGCACCTGATCCTTCGGGACGCTGAATGATCTTGATGGCGCTGAGACGAACAATGCAATCTTCTGCACCAGGGAGAACGGACAAGCGGATATGGTGGAAGCAATCGCTTGGCAAGTCGCAACATGACTGGCTCGGATACTACACGGGCTACGCGCACCTCGTTGATTTCGGGTTTGAATTTTGTAGCTCTCTTCTGCTTGAGCCTTGGCAGAAGGAGAGAAATTGCAAATTCGGACTACAAAGTGATGTGCTGCCGTGTTGTTGCCAGAAAAAGGTAAGTTTCGGAATTTCGCGTCAGCTGCATCTGAGAAATGGAATCCTTCCAAGCACAATTCGATGGGCAACCGCGACCTCGCTCTGAGAATGTTTTGCTGTGTAACGTCTTTCCCTCTATCAGCAGCACCATCCCTGCTTCAACAACCTACAAGACTCGAGCCCGAATTTCAGGGTCTTTGAGTGAGAGCCTCAACGATTGGCTGTTGTATGGATTGGATCGTCTCCACTATCCCCCACCATCCCCACCATCCCCACTATCCCCACTGCAAGAAGGCACGGAAAAGACTATTGGAAGAATCCGACAAGGTTAGGCTTTCAGCACGTCATCTGGCCCTCTTTCCGGCTTTTGGACTGGCTTTGAGGTGATCATCTGATTGCGTGAGTGTCCTCAATTAGCACCTCACCTCCTCTAACTGTAGCCACCCCATCCACAGCCAAAGTCAGGGAAATTTGGCTTCGGGATCAGCATCGTATCCCCCGAAAAGGTGCCGTCTACCTTCCCGGTTGCGCGCAGACTGACTCATCTGCGGTAGAGCCTGCCTCACCCGTCCCTTGGGTACAAACCGTATATATCGTTTGACTGCAACCATGCCTTCCAACCGCGCTCACCGCAACAACGAGGCCGAGTCTGATGAAGGATCCGCCCTTCTTAGCAACAGGACATCATCCACCTCATCCGCGGGTCGACGCGAATCTTTCAGTATCGGTCGTCTCATCAACCCTTTCCGAGCTAGTCAAGCCAGCCAACGCTCCAACGATGCTGGCTCTGCCCAAGGCGTTGCTCCCCATCAACACCATCAATACGATACACGCCGACCTAGCAATGCTTTGGATCCCACCAGCTCCGAGTCTGCACTAGCTGCTGCATCACGTAAACGCGGAAACAAGTTCCCTCGATCTGTCACTTTCGATCCTCCCAATTCTTCTTTCCCTCCTGGTCCCAAACAAGATAACTCGAGAGTGGCCAGCTACCATCCACCTGGCAGCAACAACCGCAACTCGAACATGGACGACGAGTACGATTCGGGCTACGATATCGAACGTCAGGGCTCGGCGTGGAACCGTCGCAGTATCAACTCTTCTGCTTTCAGTCATCTCGAAGGTCGGAGCTACCGTTTCCAGCAGTCGCAAGATTCCGGCAACTTGGCTACATCCTTGGTGCCCGGTTCGTATACTGCCACATCATCTTCCATCCGCGATGAGACAGCTCAACTAGCCGGGATGATCATGTCAGACGACGAAGGCGCCGGCAGTACAAATGGCTCGCACATCTACGACATTGGCGAGGGTGAAGAAGAGTCTTCCTCTCCTTCCTCACAGCTCTTCCCTCCACCCGGCGCAAAGACCGGTCCCGACTTCAGTCCAACTACATCACCCATTGCATCCTACGGCGTCAACCAAGCTGGACCTTCCAATCTCACTAGAGCTATGGCTCAAGCTAGCCCCCAGAGCGGCAAGACCACCATCCTCTCCGAAGATGACGGAAGCAGCCAAGCTACTCCCCGCGTCACTTCCGTCCTTGGTCTCACACAAGCAGTTGCAACGCCCCAAGTCTTGGACCAAGATGAGGAACAGAAAGACAAGTGTCTTGGTGCTGCCGTGGCTGACTTAGCAAAGTCTCCCGAACAGCAGCGACGATCTTCACACAGTCGATTGAGGTCTTCTGCCCGACGTCCGTCGAGGCACCAGTCTGAAGCCATGGATCGTTCGCAGTCGCCTGGTCGACAGGAATCCGCTTCTTCCTTTAGCCAAGTCAGTGCCGGTGGGGAACAACAGCGAGCTGGTATTGGATACGGAGCCTTGGCTCAAGCTGAGCAATCGGTGCTCGAAGCAGAGCATGTAGGCCGCAAATCCCATCAACATCGTCGTGCATCCCACCATCCGCCAGAATCAGTCAAGACACTCTCGCCCTTCTGGTCGTTCCTCCCTTCAAGTCTGAGGCCGGGCCAAGGCGATCATCCCATACGACCCTTCGATCCGCTCGGACACGCTCAAAACCTTGTCAACTCCGCTCGCAGCATCACTTGGAAATCTGCAGCAGAAGCTGGTATCGAGCCTATCCGCCTCATCCCCGCTGTTATCCTCGGTATGCTCATGAATGTGCTGGACGGCGTGTCGTATGGTATGATCATGTTCCCAGCTGCCTATCCCATTTTCGCCAACTTCGGTGGGGATGGAGTGTCTATGTTCTTTGTCACCTGCATCCTTTCCCAGCTGGTCTACACGCTTGGTGGGTCGATCTTCAAAGGTGGAAACGGAAGTATGATGATCGAAGTTGTGCCCTTCTTCCATATCCTGGTCAAGATCATCATCGATGAATTGGGGGATGAGAACCCCAAGGCGGTGATTGCTACGACCATGGTTGCTTTCGCGCTATCGTCGATTCTGACAGGATTGGCGTTCTTGCTGTTAGGAGCGCTGAGGTTGGGTGTGCTGATCGGGTTCTTCCCGCGCCACATTCTAGTGGGATGCATCGGAGGTGTGGGCATCTTCTTGATCGAGACTGGGTTGGAAGTTTGCAGTCGATTGCAGTCGGGAGATGGATTCCAGTACAACTTGGAGACGCTCAGATACTTCTTCCAGTCAGGGCACATGGTTGCGCTGTGGTTACCGCCACTGCTTCTCGCCGTACTGCTGCGGGTGATCACTCACAGGTTTCACCATCCGCTCATCTTCCCCGGCTACTTCCTCATGATTCCCGTGATCTTCTACACCGTCGCTTCCGGGATTCTTCGCATCCCAATTCAAGACCTCCGCAACGACGGATGGGTCTTCGACATCGGCGAGACCGCAAGCAAAGCCGCTTTCTATCGCTTCTACACTTATTTCGACTTCAGCCAGACAAGCTGGCGCGCTCTATGGTCCACCATGCCCACCCAGCTAGCTCTGATATTCTTTGGTGTCCTCCACGTCCCACTGAACGTCCCCGCCCTCGGTGTCAGCATCAACGAAGACAACGTAGACACTGATCGGGAATTGGTCGCACACGGGATCTCCAACATGCTCGCAGGTCTCATCGGTACTGTTCCAAACTATCTGTGCTACGTCAACAGTGTCCTCTTCTACCGTGTTGGTGGAGGCTCACGTCTCAGTGGACTCATGCTCGCTGGAGGAACAACGATCATCATGGTTGCTGGGCCAGGCACGATCAGCTATTTGCCGATCATGATCGTCGGTGCTCTTATCTTTGTTCTTGGTATCGATCTTGCGAAAGAAGCGCTCTATGATACTGTTGGACGAGTGAATGGATGGGAGTACATGACGATCTGGGTGATTGTCATTGTGATGACCTACTGGGATTTCGTCATTGGCATTCTTGCAGGTATCATCATTGCATGCTGCTTCTTTGTCGTTCAGACCTCGAGAAGGAAGACGGTGAGGGCGATCTTTGATGGTAGTGTGGCGAGGAGTACGGTGAGGAGACACATGACTCAGCGTCATTTCTTGCACGAAGTGGGAACGCAGACGCAGATTATCAAGTTGCAAGGCTTCCTGTTCTTCGGTACGATCAATTCAGTCGAGAATTTGATTAGGAGGGCGCTGGATATTGCTGCTTGGAACCAGAACCCTATTCGATTCCTAATCGTTGATTATACACTGGTCAGCGGAGTCGACTTCTCGGCTGCGGAGGCTTTCTTGCGTATCAACCGCCTTCTCATGGCCAAAGGAGTGCTCCTGGTGTTCTGCGGTCTCAACCCTGACAGCGACGTCGGCGTGGCTCTGCGCAGTGTCGATCTTTGGGCCGATCGAAGCGAGAATTTGGAAGTTTTCGCCAACCTTAACGAAGCGTTGGAGTGGACGGAGAACGAGTATCTGCGCGGAATGTATGCTTCAAGTTTGATGGCAGCCAAGGCGTTCGGTCAAGCATCTTTGGCGGCGGAAGGTGGATTGACAGTCCCCGACCAGAAACGAAAGCCTGCTTTCGTCCTGGATCACTCGTTCGAAAACTCGCCCAGAAGACATCATCTGCACGAAGCAGCCAAGACTGCAGTCCAGTCCGAGCGCACAACTCCCATTTCCGAGATGCTTCCATCCTTCCCTCGTTCCGATACCAAATTCACCACTGCTAACGAGGAGGAAGATGAGAACGTGGGAACGCCCAAACCAGCACCTCACGTCCAACCCCTTCCTCTACTCGCCATAACCTTCCGTGCCTACCTCAACCACCGCACAAGCGAAGAGGAATTCTTTTCCCAACTCGTCCCCTACTTCCGCTCTATCCGCAAAGCTAAAGGCGACATCCTCTGGTCTCGCGGTGACCCAGCAGACGCAGTCTACCTTATCGAGAACGGAATCATTAAAGCCCGCTATAATTTCCCACAAGAACAGTACGAAATCAACGAAGCTATGCTCGCAGGCACCATTGCTGGCGAGCTAACCTTCCTCTCGAAGGAAGAAAGAAATACGACGGCGTTTGCAGATACAGATGTAAAACTGTGGAAATTGGATCAGGAAGCATTGGAAAAGATGCACAAGGAGATTCCGGCGGCCTATCAGACTTTCGTGGAGATATTGCTGAGGGTGGCAGGGGATGAACAGGAGAGTTTGATGAGTTATTTGGTTTCCCGCCTCAGCTAAGGGGAACGAAGGGAGGGTGAAAAATGATAGTCATGATTGTTGTGGTTGTAATGAATGTTCATGTTTTCAATGGCTAACGACCAACCTTTCGGTACTGTGACAGAAGTGTGATGGTGCAAAACGCAGTCCAGATGAAGTGAGGCAAGCATGCTGAAACAGATATTGCATTCGAGTGAGAAGTGCGAGTGCGGACAACCGGAATCAAAACTGCTGAGAGTGACGCTCAGCGCTTGGCCTCCTTCAACCGACTCTTGAACTGATTCAATCTCTTATGATTCGCCATCCTAGCCTCGTGGCTTGAATCGCTTCTCATACCAGCCGTACTCTGTGGAGCCACCCTAAATCCAGCCGTGACCGCCTGAGGAATCCCAACATTCCTCCTTCCGTTATCCTTGACTTGTGCTGCACCAGTGTTTGCAAACCTTTGTCCGAACGCATCGGGATTCCACTCTGCACTGGCAATGTGTCGATCACGATAGGATGAAGAACGCTTGAGGACTGGCCGCGACCAGATCTCGATAAGGTGTTCGGCAGAACGCTTGATCTTGGGTTCGACGCGAGAACACAACGAGTAGAAGACGACGACTTTACCAAGACCCGACATTTTGAGAGAGATGGTGTCGATGGTCATTCGTTCAAGGATCTGGAAGAATTGGTGTTGGATGTTGAGTGCAGGGAGGGATTTGTCAGGAAGAGGTTCAAGCCAGCGTTTGACTCCTTCGAGAAGATTGTTGTCAAGAATCGACTGCTGGAGGTGATTTCTGTGATGGTGAAAGGGTGCACAGAGGTTGTCGTGAGTGTCAATGGAAGGTCTGATGGCTGCATATAGGAGTAGCGGAGGAAGTGACTTACTTCTGAAGTGTAGCAACGACCTTGGGCAAAAGCTTGAGCTTGTTCGTACCAGGCTTCTTGAGTCGGTTCGCCTCTTCATCATCGTCTGCTGCATTGATCATTTCCCTTCGAAGCTGTGCAACTTCTTCGTCAGCAAGCATGTCGAGGTCGTCTTCACCTGCACGCTTGCGTGGCGCCTTCTTCTTTCCAGCACGCAAAGCTTCGTCGATCATCCTGTCCGTTCTTGCTCGTCGGACTGCACAGCAAAGGCATCGCCAAGGCCAAGGCGTCAGTACATCGATCAATACCCCAGCCTTGTTCCTGTGTAGTATTGAACTTACTCTCTGCTTCAGTCATGTTCGCATAAGGGCCGTCCTCTTGCTCTGGCTCCATCTCTCGCTCTCCGCTAGCATGCCTTGCTGCAGCTGGTGCGTCAGGACTATGATGACGCTTCTTCTTCTTCTTTCGAATGATTGCTGCATCTGGATCATCTGGGTCGCTAGCATCCCTTGCATCGTGTCTACGGAAGCTAGGCAGGTCGCTTTGGTCTTGATCTTCATCATCCTCGTCAAAGATAGCTGCAGTGCGTGCGGCGGCTTCGGTGTTCTCACCGCGCACGACGGTGGTTAAGTTGTCTTGGTCGGTAGCTGGTGCTGCATCGATGGTACCCTCCGCTTCGTCTGCGGGAGCGGCATTGTCCTCTGCTTGTTGTTCTGCTTCAGCCTCTGCTGCCTCGGGGGCTATGTTGGATAGTTTGGACTGTTCTAATTCAGGTTGTTGTTCTTTGGTGGGAGACCGCAGTGGCAGCTTCTGCGGTGGCTGCTGCTGCTCTTCATCTGCCATCTTCGCGGATATGTTGTTGATGGTAGAAGTGATAGGGGAAGAGATGGGTGGAGAAAAGAAAGGATGCGCATTTCGTTCAGGGTGCCGTTGAGGACGCAACGCACGTGAGGCTCAGCAGACGTAGTGTCAGATTTGTTTCCGATTTCGATGAAACATTTAAAGAAATTCACAGCTCGCTGTGAACAGCTCCGCTTCGTTTGGACCCTTCTTCCCGCGCACGCACTTGCCACTCCACTACCTCGTCCTCTTTCTCCATTTTCTGTTTGCCGCTTGACATACTCTCCCGGGAGGCTGCTGCTACTAATGAGTGTATATAGAATGTACATGTTCACAGGGACGCCAAGAATACCGCCATGACGCATCAGCATCCATGTGCGCGAAGAAGAAATACCAGAAGATCTTCGCACCTACATCTCCCACCGAAGACTGCAAGACCAAGCTTGAAAACATGCTGTCCTCAGCGGCTTCCTGTCCGTTGGACGGCTAAATAAGGGTGCCTCCCCTTGACTGCTGAGTACACGCCCAGCGCCGGATGCTGTGCGGAACGTAGCTGTCCGAAGTGGCCCGATTGTGTCGCCGTCTCTAGCCATGTGCTTCGCTCGCTGATGCTCTTCATCGTAGCTGGCAGCGTCGGACCGTGCCGCAGCAAAACACCATCACACCAATGCAGATGTGGCGCGTGTATGGATTGAATGCAAGGATACAAGTACAAATGAAGCTGTTGCGCCTCGACGTTCCAGAAGACTACCCTGCCTTGCACTCCGCTACGGTTCACCTCTTCTTGGTCTCAAGCAGCGATCCTCCGGCACCTCCCTTGCCCTCCTCCTCCATCTTCCGTATCCTTCTATCGACAAGAGACGCAATGGGACAACTATCTGCTTCAGCGCCCTTCCCGCGCTGTTGGTAGAACTTGGCACAGCAACGATACAGGTCATCGATCAAGTGTTCGCAGCGTGACTGGTCGAAGCCTGACCTCTGAAGACATGATTGGATTGCACATGCTCGTGGATAGCATGGATTCGGATGCTCCGGGTCGAGCTCGTCTTTGGAACGTTGTGATGACATGATGGGCTGCGCGCCGGTGATCCGATGGGCTTGAAAACGGGCGTGGGAGAGTTTCTCACTGGCAAGGGCGGGCGTGAGAACAGGACTGAAGCTGCGATCGTGGGAAGATCGGTTTCTCCGAAGTTTTTGTACGTTGAGGACTTTCCGCGAGTGTTGTCGGCAAGTCCGATGGTGAGCAGGAAGAACGCTTGGTGCGGCAGCCAACCAACTGATTTCACTTCACAGCGAGCGAGTGAAAGCATGAAGGCGGCTTAAGTGGAGGTTTTCTTTTATCATCCTATTTATCCGCCCTTTCTGTTTTCAAGGAACAAGAGCGGTGTTGGTCTAAGCAAGGCAAGACCAACAGTCCTTTTCTTCGGAGCGGGCAGCACCTTCGAGCCTGACTTCCTGTCATCACAACCAGAATGCACCGTCGGGCATCCTGGCAAGCAATCAACGATGAAAAGGGAAAGCGAAGCGCAGCGCCACTCCAGCCCAGGCTCGATGCACAGACCAGGACTCTCTGACCGACCTTAGACTGAGCCTTTGCTGGGACCGCATAACGGCACCTTACTTTGGAAGCTCCAGTCGAGCGCTACGGAGCGAAGTGTTGCTTCTCTCACCGGTGTTCAGGAGCATAAAAGGTAGCCTGCATCGCTCATCCCAAACTTGAAGGCCACCATCGACTTCCCAGTATCCAAAGATTCCTCTTTCAATCTCTTTGGGTCTTGACGTCCTTCGACTCCATCTCTGTCCTTCCTTTACATATCCTACTCAGCTTGGCGTTCTGTCCAGATTCACATCATCATCATGCCTGTGATGAGGTAATTTCCTACCGACAACTCGACTGGGTCGGACGTCCAGGGAGGCCAGCGGAACGGCTCTACGAGCTGCTCGCATGACCCTGCTTGGAAGTGCCAAGTCGACAGGCTGGAAGAAACAATCGAAGAGCTCGAGAACTTCCGCAAGCTTCACCTTGACGCTCTTGCAATCCTCACGCGTTCGGCAGCCGCAATAGAAAAGGACGTTGGCGCCATGCGGCGCGAAGTAGCAAAGTGTTCTACCATGAGCAGTGAGCTAGAGAAGCGAATCCAGAAGCTGGAGACCATCCACTCGACCATCCAAGCCCAGCTCTCCCATCATTTCTGAGCTCCAAACGAGTGTTCAGGACAACAATGAGCGTCAGACGACTTCAACAGACGGGGATTCACCAGTCAACGCAAGGTTTCCGCATCCTCATGCGCAGCTGGAACAGAAGCTGAAGCATATATTCGATCAGCATGCTGCACAAATCAACAGCTTCGAAGACAGTATCATTGCTTCCCTGTCGCACTCATCTCACATTCCCGTTTGTTCAGTCGACGATCACTTCACTTCTTCTGACTCCGAGGCCAGCCGGCACACCCATCGCCGTCAACAGATTGACTCGATGCCCCAGCGACCGTTGGATTCCACCAATGGTCAAGGCTGCACTCAGACCACGACCGGAACATCTCCCTCTGCCTGCAAGGTTCTCATCTCGCCAGCTCTTTCCACAGCAGACTCGCCAAAGCAGCATTGCGAAATTAATGCGAGTGTGAGTCGAGCTACGCGTAGCGACAAATCGAGGGCCTTGGAGCTTGACGGCAAGCAGAAACGCCCGACAAATTGCAAGCGTCCCCTTTCATCCAAAGACGGCATTGCTTCGCCGACCGATACACAGCACGGACGGCTTCGTTACGAGCACTCGTTGGCTGGCCGAGAACCACTTGCAAACACAACGAACGAGTCCACACTTTTAGCCACCCGATCGTCGACGACCAAAGCAAGCACGATGCAGACAGATGATCGTCGTGGAGCTCACCACACACCCTCGCACAACAAGGCACCCGAATCCGAACGAAGACTCAAGGAAAGTGCTGCAACCTCTGATTTCGAGACCACGGCAGCACACATCCTCCAACATGTTACTGCACCGTTCACAGGGTAAGATGTATAAAAGCGCCAGACTCAGGTAGTTCGTTCTCCATTAGCATCCATCCAAATTTGTTGTCTGTACACACCGTTCATCGTCATACGTAATAAACCGCGTCCTGCCAATCAAGTCTGTCACTCGATCCGACAGAATCCAGATCAGAGGCAGAACACAGTTCAGGGAGCCGAGCCGATGGGTTTCGACTGGCATCACCTGGTTCTACAACATGAGTGGGTCACCTAAGCTTTCCGACGACAAGACATCTTGCTTCAGGACTGCGAAAACGCCGTTCCTGGCCGTTCCGAGATCTTTCATGAGGGACGGCATGATTCTGGGAAGGGAAGAGCAAGACAAACTAAAACTCGAATTTAGTTCAAAGGGATCAAACCTGCGCGCTTGTCTCGCAGTCGAAGGTAGGAAAGAGAAGGGCGTGGACCTCAGGGCGTTTCCTCCAAAGACCTTGGGTTTGCACAGTACGAAGCCTTTCGAGAGGCTGTGTGCGATGGCAAGTACCGTAGGAAATTGTGACTTTGGGACGCTGGATGCGAAAGCAGACAAGCCAGGAAAGACGAGACATCCGGAGGTCATCCATAAAGCCTTCTCAGCCTGGCCTTTTCCGTCGCCTTTCCTGACGGATGCGAGTGGAGACTCACACCACGAGCTCGGCACTATCGGGCGGAGAAAGGCAGACCAATAGTTTCTCGAGAAAAGCTTTGGTGTATTCTGGCGGCGAAAGGAGCTTGACGCTCGGCGCAGCCTGTGATTGCTGCCATAGAGCGCGGTCCAGCAGAGGTCACATCATACGTCATGCACCACGAAAAGGTCCAGGTCTGACATAAGAGAATACATGTGCAAGATAGATATAGAGAGTGAGGTAGATTGACAGGAGTCCTCCAAGCATGTGTGCGTGAATCGCAAAGAAGTGTGTTTGAGTTCGAGGCTACGATTATTGACCGACAAATGACGATATATCCTCCGAGATCTGGCGTGTGTATCTCGTATACGATCTTGAGATACCAAGAAAGAGGCAGGTGATCGACTCGCTGTGCGAAAGATTGCGGTAGGCTCGAAGCCTTACGTCTGGCAAGCCGATTCCTACGAGCAGTGTCTTTAGTAGCGTCGACTGCTCAATCTGCGAACAGGAATCTTTGCCCCCATGGACGAGCAAGAACTTGGGCGGCAACAACCTCGTGTCAATGATGTTCTTTGCCGCATATAGCAAGTGCGCGGGTGAGTGAATGAGGCAATTGAAGTGTGAAGGACCCGTTGCTCTCCTCAGGTAGCTGAGATGTTCCAACCCTCGTTCAGACTCTGATCTGAAACCTTTGATCACATCGCTGATCCCTGAAAGCAAGATCACACCCGCAATGGCAGGAAGTTCGACTTCAGGTTCGTAGATCTCGACGCGACGCAAGCCATTGCCGACTTCCTCTTCGGCTTTGCGATAGGCGTCTGAGCTAAGGATGGATTCTGCTTCTTCTACTTTGCGCGAGGTTGAGGAGGTGCTGAGGTGGCGAGTGAAAACGGGTGGCTGGTGACGGTGGTGTTGGTGTTGGTGGTCGAAACGAGTGGTTGCCCCCATGACGAGACCGGGTGGTGCGGAGGTAGAGTCCTCGCCTTCATCGACCCATCCTTCGGAGACCGCGCTGTATTCGGCAGCAGGGTTGGTGTCGTCTTGTTGTCTGTCGCCGCTGCCTCTACGTTCAGCTGTGCGGCAATCAAGCCTGACTGGCTCGTCATTTCCTTCATCTAACGCATCCGAGTGAATGTCGCTCGATGGCATGTGTCGTCGAACAGCCCCACTGGTGCGCACCTCTCCACTCTTCAAACATTCCTCATCTTCTTCACCCTCACCACCTTGCCCTCGTCGGTAGTGAGAGGATGAAGAAGCATCTGCTCCACTGTGCTTGGCGCGAAGCATGTGCCTCTCTCGCTCGTAGGCGCGGTCGAGATGACCCTCCCTACTGAGAACAACAGCTTCTTGCGAGATGGTCAGCATGATGAGATGCGCACTGAGACCGTGGCCCATCACGTAAATTTTGGAAGGGTCGCCTCCGTAGCGTTGGCAATTCTTGGCTGTCCAGCGGAGTACTAGGCGCAGGTCGATGACGCTTGACTTGATGCGAGATTCAGGGTAGTAAGTGATGTCGGCTACGACGACGCAGTAGCCCATTCGGCGTAAGCGCAGGGCCAGTTGGAGGTACAGTTTGCGCTTGGAGGTGACTGCGAGCGGGCCGAGCATCGATGGGATCACAACGATGACGGGCACACCATTGGAGAATGAGGAAGCAGCAGACTGTCCAGAACGATATGCGTCTGCACCTGCACCTGCATGTTGGTGAGAAGATGCAGGCGCATCGGCAGGAAGGTAGACATCAAGCCTTTTGCCTCGCGAAGGACTGCCATACAGGATGCCTTCCTTGACAACACGTGAGCCTTTGGTGGTACCGATGACCATGATTCTGCGATAGCTCCAATCGAATATAGCTGGGAAGATGATACGGAACGCGGTGACTGTGTATCGGAAGGCAGCAAGATCAACTTTGGCACACCGAATTGGATTGATGGGCAAGAAGGGGCAAAAATTACGAGGAGACCATCGATGCGTATTGGTCCAGGTTGCAGGAAGGTCCTTTTGCGCTAAAAAGAGGTAGCAGATCCACGCAACGACGTAAAGCAACAGCACGGAAATCAGAAGAAGGATGGGAATGGCCATCACACCAATGACAGGAATTGCACAAGCTGCGGCGAGGAGTGGCCATGCTGGCATTGCGATGGCGAGTGCAGGCAGAACGATCGGCTTAAGTATCAATGCAATGTATCGCTGTGATCGTTTGGGCAAGACAGGAGGTTGTGGCTCGTACTCCGGGTAATATGTCGGTGACGGCGGAGGCGATTGAAACTCGATCGTGGACAGACGACGGCGGTGGATTGACGGCCGTGCTTGCGACGTCGAAGCAGATGGACGCTCGTGCTGCGCCATTGTAGCGTCACATATGCCAACGGCAGCCTTGACGATAGTAAGATAGATGGTATAGAGGATGTGCAAGAAGCAGAAGAAGCGAGACCAGTGATGCGAGACCAACAGAAAAGAAGACTCGCTTTGGCTCTGCGCGCTTTCAACTGACTTCTCTGATGTTGCTAAAGCTGCTGATTGCAGATAGCAAGCAGATAGCGTTACACAGAACCTCAGGGTCCCCGCAGCTTCCAAACACTCGGATTCGGTTTCGCCTCTTGTCACGTTCAACAGCTTTGAGACGCGCGATGTCGCACGGTACAGCTTCTCAGCTTCTGTCCACCGCAACTGAAAAAAATCCCGTCTGAACTCAACCGCACGAAAGAAAGAGGAGACGAGCAAAAACAAAAACTAAGATGGATTGCAGCAAAGACCCGTAAGGTCCTCGAAGCTCGACAACCAGGCTCCCGGCCCGCCGTAACAGGGGCCCGTCGAGCGCAGAACGAGCGGCAAGGGAGGGTGTACAGGGAGGGCAATTTAAAACGACAAACCAGGCTGCTAACAGTGTGCCTGGCTTAGGTGGAGATGGTAGGAGGTGATGGTAGTGAAGAGAGCGAGCTCTTCACAAAGGGAACAAAAAAATTCTTCGATTGTTTTGAGTCCAGTCCAGACGCGCACGCCATTATGATTAATCACGTGATGCAGAGCGTAAAATGGATTTCTCAACCGGAAGAGCACAGTAAACACACACCACTTACCACAGCTCGCTCTTGACAGCATGTTGATAGGCAAGGTCGAAGTAGACGACGGATTGTCTTAATGAATGCAGTGATCAATTGCGTGGTGCTCAATTAGTTTTCGTCTTCCCAGCTCTCCGGCACGGGTTCTTCTGGTTCTGTCACATTCGCAGCGGACACAGTGCCGTCAGCTTCAGGAGCTACGGCAGCAGGCGCTGGTGCGACAGGTTGTCTTGGCGCATTCGGGTTGGGAATGATACCGGCGATAGGAGCTGTCGTTTTCACTCCATTCGGCTGAGCTGAAATGGTTGGTCGACCCCAGATGGGTTCGCTGACAGGTGCAGGCGAGTTGCGACCTGATCCCGAAGCAACAGCAGCCCATCCTCGATCGCCAACAAGGGTCGAGCTCGGCTTGGCTGTGCTCGTTGCTCCACCACCGCTGGCTGCTGTACCCCCTCGCTTCATTGCAGAAGAGCCCCATGCCGAGCCTGTACCTGAGCGGCCAGTGCCGCTGAGGATTGGTTCGTCTTCTCTTCGCACCACATTCTTGTTTGCGTCAACGGTGCACAAGATCACATCGCGAGCAAACTGCTCCCTGCGAACGAGCGTCTTGAGTTCCGTCTTCATCATGATAAGGCGCGTGGGCGAGTCAGTTGAAGTGACCAGCACATCTTTATCGCCCTTCCACGTGATTGCAAAGTTGATGGTCTTGAGGACAGGTTGCAAAAGCATTCGCAGTGAGTTTTGATCGTGACCAAACACACCCGGCAAGAAGATGGCGTTGAGCGGCTTTGGAGCTTCAGCGCTGTGTCGCTGCAATTGTGCGAGTCCGACTGACTTGCCCGATCCGCTTTGTGACTGTTGCTGCTGCTGAGACGACATGAGCGAAGCTCGAGCCGCCGCGAATGCTTCCGTTAGGAGTGGTTTGGGGATGCGACTGTCCTGCTTACGTCGAATGCTGACACTGCGTCGTGGCTCTTGATCCACGCTCTCGCTGGCGAGCTTGTAGACGGATGCAAGCTCGTGAGTAAACTTGCGCTGGAACTTGTTGGCCGCTGGCAGGATCATGCCGGCACGAGGCGATCGGATAAAGTCGTTGAGCGTTGCTTCCACCTCGTCGCAGAACTTGCGGTTGCTTGGCACGGCGTAATACGCAAGCGTCTCATGCTCGTAGGCAGCAGGTGCTGCCTTCTCGGACGGGTTGAGACCAAGAGCTTCAGCAAGCTTAGCGTTACGTTGGGCAATCATGCACGAGTCGTTGCACCTGAGAGACTTCTCCTTGTTGGGCGCGTGGATAGATACGCCGCACTTGGTGCGCGACTGCAGGTTGCCACATGCACACTGAAGAGTGATGACGGCTTGGCATGGCTCGACTTCGGTGCATGACGACGGCGCGTGACACTTCTCCTGACATGGGTGCTGACACAATCGTCGCGGTTTGCCGCAGATCTGGGCGCAGGGAGCGCATTCTTGACCAGCAATGTGGCAGATACCCTGACAACGATGGAAGCCGCAATTGAGGAGTGCATCGCAAGGTTGACCGCACGAGACTCGGGATCGGCTGCATGGTACGTTCTTGACAATGTGCTTCTGACAGTGGCAGACCTTGTCGGTTAGATAGACGCATGGAGGGCAAGGCTCCTCCTCGTGACAGTCGTGAGGCATCTTTGGATGACCACAGCTGGGCGGTGGGCGGACGCATGGGAAGTTGCAACGCACCTGAGTACCGCAAGGGACAGGTGGCTCCAGCACTGTGCGACCGCAGTGGCAAATGAGCTCCTCAAAGCTAGCCTGTAAACAAGGAGGACATGCGCCTCGATGGCAGGTCATAGGGCAATCGTGAAGCCCGCAAGCAAGCGGCTTGGAGCATGGAATGGAGCACTCGTGCAGACCAGCTGGGTCCATGGCTTGAAGTTCTGCCAAGGTGGGGCGTTTCTTTGACTTGCTCTTGGCCTGGAAGTAGAGTGGGCAGCATTGTCGGTTGCATTGGTGCTTGCCGCAATGACGCAGTGACTGGCAGACAGTGTGGCAAAGCACTTCTTGACGTCCTTCCAGCTCCTCTTGCCGACGTTGATGACACGTACGGCTCTGCTTGGTTTCACCGCATCGGCACGGCGTCGATACGAGAACCTGGCATGGAGCACAGGGACCGACATGACACTTGGACGGGCAAGGGTGACCGCAATTCGACATCTTGGAGCAAATGTTGCCACATGTCGGGATCGGATCCTGACATGTACTGCGTGATGTGACGGGCTGCGCGCCACATGGACATGTCTTGACCAGTTGCGGCGAGGAAGGACACTTGGGACGCTGAACATCTCTAGCATGACAGGGCTTGGCACACGAATGGACACCGCAGTCAAAGGTGCGTTCGCACTCGTCCTCGCAAGCATAGCGACCTTCAAAGGTCGTGTCGCTTTGGTCGTCAAAGCTGATGCGTATGGTGCCGTCTCCGCAGCGCATGGATTTGGTGTGCTTGCCACAGTAGCATCGTGCTTCAAGCTGTACGGAGCAGGGCTGACAATTGCCAGGGTGACAGGTGTCTTGACAAGTGTGCACGCCGCAGTCGAGCTTCTTGCGGCAAGCGTCACCACAAGAAGTGCCGTGCTGGTGGAGGGACGAGAGGCGGGCCTCCTTTGCTGAGGTTTGCGAGCAGCGCATTGGAATCGTCTTGGAGCCGCAGAAGCATTGCAGTGAGACCGTCACTGCGCATGGTGGACACGGGCCTGGGTGGCATGAATCTGCACAGCCATGGGTACACTTGCCGCGGCTACAACGTTGGCCGCAACCGTGAGAGTTTGCTCCTCGTCCACCAGGAGGGTCTTGCACGCGACCACACCAACACCAATAGATCTTGGGAACGTCCTCCCTGGCATATTGACAGCCGGGGCATCGCCATGTGCCGCGACGATTGCGAATCTCGGGATCTTCCTGCGTTGCGTTGTGCTCTTCGGCTTTCTTGACACTGCTTTCGGCCCACTTGCGCACGCATGGTAGATGTAGCACAGAGTAGCACTGAGAGCATGACCATGTCGCTTGGCGTGTTGTGACGGTGCTGTAGCAGATCACGCAGTCGTACTCGCCAGACGAGAGTTCGGCGAGGAGACGAGAGCGCAAATCGGCGTACTCGACGGGTTCAGAAACGGCTGGCACTTTGACAGCAGGCTTCCTGGGTCGGCCGTTCTGCGCCGGTTTCGAATTGCTGGCATCGTTTGCACCACCTGTCAGCTTGCCGCCAAACTGTTGACGGCGAGCTGCGAGGCGCGCCGGTGCAACTGCAGGTTGAACATCGATGTCGGTAGCGTTTGCCGATGAAGTTGCTTCATTCGCCTTCTTAGGCTTGTCGCCACTTCCACCGCCTCGTCGATTCTTCCTCCTTGGATTGCTCGTGGAGGGGGCTTGTGATAAATTCGCTGCTGCATTTGAGGAGCTGGGTTCGGTTGTTGATGCAGTGTTGCTGTTGTGGTCGCCTGCAGCTGCCTGCGCACTGGACGTAGAGGTGCCTTGGGCGTTCTTACCTCGCACACGTCCGCGTCCGTTGCCTCTGTTGCGACCGCGACCGGACTGCGATGATGGTGTCGCGCTTGATGATGACGATGGATCTGAACGCAGACGAAGGTTTTCGATCGCTGGTAGGGAGAGCTGTGCAGCAGCTGCTGTAGCTTCAGGCATTGACGCTGAGGATCCGGATTGCACTTGGTGGTGTAAAACTCTCTGCCGGTAGGAACTCTTAGATTGTCCTCTAAATAGCGCGAGACTTAGATGTTGCGGATTGCAAAAGCTACGGAACGACGTCGATGCCAGGACGGAGAGCTAGAAGACGAGTCATACCATGGCTCAGTCAGTTGTTTCCAAGCAACGAAAGTTTGAACATTTTTTCGGATGTCGGTCAATTCGGATGACACAGTGGCAGGCGTGAAGTCGTCACAGTCACAGAGTGTGGCGAGTTCAAGGGACTGTGCGTGTGAAGGAGAAGTGTAGAAAACAAAGATATTTTAATGTTACATCGGATTGGTTCTAACAACGTTCGAGGCTTCTTCCCGAAGACAGCGTCTTTGAATCTCTTCGATCGGGACTCAGCTCGCTCGATCGTTGACGCAAACGTCGAAAGTGAAAGAAGAACGTCCAGCGACTTCCACAAGCTTGGAGAAGAGACGCGAATTGCTATTTGGAAGTTCATTTCGCTCTTACCTCGACGCGGATTTTTGTGCGTCAATTTGAGCACGCGTTCACACAGGTTGTTCGGAAAACTGAATCTGAGTTCTTCCACAAGGCACTAGATCAGTACCAATCCGCGAGAAGAAGGCCCTTCCAACTCGTTCCCTGGCCTTCCTCGCGTATGTTTTGTACCTCAACTGTGACATAACGTCACACAACCTTCTCTATCTGCAGAGAAGCAAGTGGATCGACGACGAACATAGCTGTAGCCCAATCAGGCTAGGCTTCCACAGCGCAAAGCAAGCAAGTCAGCAAGCCAGCAAGCCAGCAAGCAAGCAAGTCTTTCCGCCACTGCAAGAAGAAGGAAAAGTTTCAGCATGGCTGAGTCGACGCACAAATGGGCGCTCTTTGTGGTCGCTGCTCCTGCACAGACTCTGCGATTGCGGATTGAGAAGAACCAGAAATGTGTTGGCTCGAAGGCTCAACTGTGGCATGGTACATAAGGTCGAGCCGAGCTCTCTCCTTCCCTCTTCGCTACCTACCAACATTCTCGTCTGAAACAAAGAGATCTCGACGTTGCGCATACGCCTTTCCGCAACACAGCTACGACTTCTACAGACATTAAGCTTCGGCCTCTCTATCTCACTTCCATAACACTTTCCCACCCCCTCACCCCAAAAGGCTTAGACTCATCATCATGACCAAGGCCATCGGTATCGATCTCGGTACTACCTACTCCTGTGTTGCCGTCTGGCAGAATGACCGTGTCGAGGTCATTGCCAACGACCAGGGTAACCGCACTACCCCCTCATACGTCGCCTTCACCGACTCGGAACGTCTCATCGGAGATGCCGCCAAGAACCAGGTCGCTATGAACCCCCACAACACCGTCTTCGATGCCAAGCGTCTTATTGGCCGCAAGTTTGACGATGCCGAGGTTCAGTCCGACATGAAGCACTGGCCTTTCGAGGTTGTCAACACCGGCGGCAAGCCCCAGATCCGCATCGAGTACAAGGGTGAGAAGAAGGTCTTCACTCCCGAAGAAGTCTCCTCCATGGTTCTCCTCAAGATGCGTGAGACCGCCGAGGCCTACCTCGGTGGAACCGTCAAGGATGCCGTCGTCACTGTCCCCGCTTACTTCAACGACTCTCAGCGTCAGGCTACCAAGGATGCCGGTATCATTTCGGGTCTCAACGTTATGCGTATTATTAATGAGCCTACTGCTGCCGCCATCGCTTACGGTCTCGACAAGAAGACCGAAGGTGAGAAGAACGTTCTCATCTTCGATCTCGGAGGAGGTACCTTCGATGTTTCGCTCCTTACAATTGAGGAGGGTATCTTTGAGGTCAAGGCCACCGCTGGTGACACTCACCTTGGTGGTGAGGACTTCGACAACCGTCTCGTCAACCACTTCGTCCAGGAGTTCAAGCGCAAGAACAAGAAGGACTTGACCACCAACGCTCGTGCTCTTCGACGTCTCCGCACTGCATGTGAGCGTGCTAAGCGCACTCTCTCGTCGGCTGCCCAGACCACCATCGAAATCGACTCGCTCTTCGAGGGTATCGACTTCTACACTTCCATCACCCGTGCCCGTTTCGAGGAGCTCTGCGGTGACCTCTTCTCGCACACCATCGAGCCCGTCGAGAAGGTTCTCCGTGACTCCAAGATCGACAAGGGTTCCGTCCACGAGATTGTCCTCGTCGGTGGTTCCACTCGTATCCCCAAGGTCCAGAAGCTCCTCACCGACTTCTTCAACGGTCGTGAGCTCAACAAGTCGATCAACCCTGATGAGGCCGTTGCCTATGGTGCCGCCGTCCAGGCCGCCATTCTTTCCGGTGACACCTCCGAGAAGACCCAGGACCTCCTCCTCCTCGATGTCGCTCCTCTCTCCATGGGTATCGAGACCGCCGGTGGTGTCTTCACTCCTCTCATCAAGAGGAACACCACTGTTCCCACCAAGAAGTCCGAGATCTTCTCTACCTACGCTGACAACCAGCCCGGTGTGTTGATCCAGGTCTTCGAGGGTGAGCGTGCTCGCACCAAGGACAACAACTTGCTCGGCAAGTTCGAGCTCTCTGGTATCCCCCCTGCTCCTCGTGGTGTTCCTCAGATCGAGGTCACCTTCGATGTTGACGCCAACGCCATTCTTAATGTCTCTGCCGCTGAGAAGGGTACCGGCAAGTCCGAGAAGATCACCATCCGCAACGACAAGGGTCGTCTTTCGTCGGAGCAGATCGAGGAAATGCTCAAGCAGGCTGAACAGTTCGCCGAGGAGGACAAGCAGGCTCTCGAGCGCACTCAGGCCAAGAACGGTCTCGAGTCGTACATCTACAACATCCGCAACACCACCAACGAGCCCCAGCTCAAGGACAAGCTCGAGGCCGCCGACAAGGAGGCTCTCGAGAAGATTGTCAAGGAGGGTATCGAGTGGCTCGACAGCAACACAACTGCTTCCACCGACGAGCTCAAGGACAAGCAGAAGGAGATCGAGGAGCAGGTCAACCCCATCATGACCAAGATCTACTCGGCTGCTGGCGGTGCCCCTGGTGGCATGCCTGGTGGTGCTCCTGGTGCCGCTCCCGGTGCTGCCCCTGGCGGCGACGACGGCCCCACCGTCGAGGAGCTCGACTAAATGTTTCGCGCTTCAGCTTAATCTAGTCAATCCCAAAAGTTCCTTCTCTCGCATTGTCAACCCCGCTGGTGGTTTTCACTTTCTCTTAATTCCCCCTCCATCAGCATGTACTCGTAGTGTTCCGTTCAATCTGATTCGACTCTTTGCATTGTTTCGAAACCTTCCTTCGATGTGCTGTATCGTGTGTGCGTGGCCACATAGGCCCACATAGCCCAGAGTCATGTCTAAATTGAGCCTTGGATCAGGCAGCTGTCCAAGCTTCCTCACGCGACAAATCGATCTGTCCATTGTAATTTTTTTAGTGCTCCCGATACCCGATTTCGCCCGAAACCTCTCTCCGCGAATGCTTTGGTGCGAAAGGGCGCGACGCGTTCTTTTGGATAATCCAGCCCAATTTCAGTAGAACAACACTTCCGTTGGCGTCTGTGAGGCTGCTTGAGCACAGTTGAGACTTGCTTCCAGGTCGTTGCAACACCTTTGCTCCTCCTTCCACTTCTCTTCACCACTCGTAAACTACGACAATCACAAACTTGTCCCGGACACATACTACAAAGGCAACCGCACGTCAAGCTCAATACCATCGATTTCTGCGGCAACAAGGCAAAGCTTTCCGAGCTATACTGCCTCCAGCAGTGCAGATCAACATGCAGTCTACGCAGTCGGAGGACTTGCACGTCCAGATCGTCCATTCTGGACCCACAAGATGTATCCATGCTCCCAAGTCGGCAAACGTCGAGTACGTAGCGAACCTCGCATTGCATGATGCTTCATCCTTCATCCCCACTCATGATCTGGACAAGCTGACTCAGAAACTTTGAACACTCTTTTCCCTTCTGATTTTGCAGCCGACTATTTACAGGTGGTGATGACTTTCTCGTTCGCATTCTGCCAACATTGCCGCTTCCCGGTGTCGAGCCTCATCTTATTGAAGACGCCACCGAGCCCGTGACTTGCCTCGACACCGACAGCCGCTACCTTGTGACCGCCTCCGAGGACGGATCAGTTCGCCTCTACCGACACCACCCGACAGATGCCGAAGGCCACCCTGTGTCTATCACTACTCTGCAATCTCTCTTGCGCCGCGAAGACTTGCCATTACGATGCGTAGCGTTGGAACGCTCAGTAAATAGTGGCAAGTCACCCAGAGTCGCTGTTTGCTCCGATGAAATGATCATCAAGATTATCGATGTCGGAGATCCCAGACGCATTCAGCTTCTCGATGGCCACAACAGGGGTCTTCGATGGGCGTCTTGGAGTCCTGTCGCGCCTCTGCTCGTCAGTTGCTCCACTGACGGTGTTGCACGAGTTACCGACCTGAGCGATGTCGAGCCCAAGTTTGTCAAGTCGATCGAAGGCATCTTGCCGATCACACGAGCCGAGAGCGATGAGGCATCTTGCGCTTGTTGGCATCCATCGGGAACCTACCTTGTCATGCCCTCTAAGGCTCACGAATTGGTGATTGTCAGTGCTGCCAACGATTCATCGGCTTGGACAAGGACCGGCAGCTTCTACGCCAGCGCATCGGGACCAGTACCTGCACCCAGCGGTAACATCACAGCGCTTGCTTTCTCTCCAAACGGCCGCTACCTCGCTTCGGCCACAATGAACGGTCAAGTAACTGTGTGGGATGCCGACAGCCGGCAAGCCATCCGTTACAAGCTCGCCGATGCCCTCGTCAACGCCATCAGCTGGCACCCCACCAAGGACGCTCTCGCATGGACCGACAACGAGGGCACTCTCGCGCGATGGTCTGATGTGGTAGGCCCAACTCGCCCGAACCCGTTCGAGGAGGTCACCTTTGATGTATCTAAAGCGGCTCGTGGATCTCGTGGCCAGATTGAAAACATCTTTGCCGGCACAGGCTTGTCTGATGACGAAGAGGACGACGTAGCACCCGGATCCAACCGCGGCGACGCTGACGATCTTGACGACTTTGTCGTCGATGATGAGTCGCATTCCCGCAGACATGGCCGCCAAGGGAGCTCCTCGAGGACCTACCCCCGAGGTGGTTCCGGTATCCATGCCGCTGGCGGGAGCGGGATGATGATTGCTGCCACCCGACCGCAGCCTGCTTTCCAGCCCACCTCGACGCCAATGCGTGGCCAGCGCCGATACCTAGCCTACAACCTCCTAGGCTCAGTAGTTGCTGTAGAGCAAGAATCACATCAGACCATCTCGTTCGAATCCTTCGACACATCAGCTCGTCGTAACTTCCGTTTCTCCGACATGAACAGCATCAGCATGGCGTCCCTCGCCAAGCAAGGTATCCTCTTCGCTGCCAAACAGGTTGGTGAGCAATCCAGCAGCGTCTTCTTCAAGCCTTTCGTCGCAGCAAGCAACAATTTATCCTCAGAGTGGACCTTCAACCTAGATCAAGGAGAAGATGTCGAGGCGGTTGGTTTGGGAGGAAGTGGCTTGCGTGTGGTCTCGGAGGATGGATGGGAGGACCAGGACGTCGGCAGGTCCGGAGTTGGCATTGCCGTGGTAGCCACCTCAAAGGGATACCTGCGTTTCCTTTCGGCTAGCGGCATGCAGCTCTACTTGTGGGCTCTCGGGCACCCCGTCGTCACACTCGCAGTTGGAGCCAAGACTCTTCTCGTCATCCACCGCAAGACAGGTCTTCCGTCCGGAGGCTACCAGGACCTCGGTTACAAGGTGGTTGACTTGGCTAACTTTGATGTGATTCAGGACGATGTACTCCCACTCTCCAAGGATGCACACATCCGATGGGCCGGATTCAACGATCAACATCAGCCAGCTTTCTACGACACAAACGGGACCCTCTTCGTACTGGACCGAGCGCACCGATCGCGTCAAGGTAGATGGATTCCCAGTCTCGACACCAAGCGCATCCGTGACAGTGCTTCCGCTGATGCTACCGAGGCCGCAGTCCGTGCTGCTTCCACCCTCGGCTACTGGCCTATTGCCCTAAAATCTTCAAAGCTGATGGTGTTGTTGCTGAAAGGTGGTCGCACTCATCCCGAAGTCGATGGCACACGCCACATGATCCAAGAACTCGAGCTTCAAATCCCTCTCATTCACCGTGAGGGCGGCACTGGACCTCTTGAAGAGAAGAGCCTGCGCGACAGTTTGCTCGCCATGACTGCTCGCGACGTCAAGAATGCCGGTATTGACCTCAGCGAAGACGACCCTCAGCTCGACGCAGGCTTGCTCGAGATCAACTCGGACAAGGCCCTTCTTCAACTTATCCAACTTGCGTGCAAAGCTGACAAGCACGGCCGTGCGCTCGATGCTGCGCGTGCTTTGCACTCGACCAAGACGTTGGAAGCTGCACTCAAGATCGCAGCGTTCTTCCATCTTTCGAGCTTGGCAGAGCGCATGGTGGCATTGAAAGAGGGTTTGGAGGGACGACCAGAGCGAGTTGAGGAAGAGAGTCGAAGATGGTGTGACCCATCCGTGCGTGGTGGGCCGAGCTACTCGAACCCGGCGCTGATCGATATCATGACACGGGCGAGTGACCGTGGTCATGATGGCGCTTCTATCCGTAAACGTGCTTCCGCAGCCTTGGGCGAAGACTTCTTGCCATTCTCGTCCCGCTCTGCATCCGCTGTCTTGCGTGGACACTCAGCTGCATCTGATCGATACGACACTCTCCCATCTGCGCCTTCTTCGTCTTCGATCAACGGTGCCTACAACGGATCCACAGGATCCCTTTGTGCTCCTTCGGCCAACGAGGATGACTCGTACAGCATGGTTCTAGACGACCGAGACCCGTCCGGCATCGGCAAGGAGAACCTCTACCAGCGTAGCTCTGAGAAGCGCAAATCGCGCGAAGACTTCTCTGAGCCCCCCGCTCGAACCCTCGTGATGCCCAAAGCAGCCAAGTCACTCAACCCCTTCGCTCGCACCTCATCCAACGTCACCCACGCGAACAAGGACAAGCAGATGCACAAGTCAACCTCCTTCTTTGAGCGCATCGAACCATATGAAAAGGAGTCTCTCAATATGAATGGTCCGTCAAAACAAAGCTTACTCACAGGCTTCGTGCGTAAGGACCAGGCTGCAAGGTCGGCAGACTTCGGCGAGACACAGTATCAGGATGGAGAGGACGAGGCAGCGAGGGAGGAATCTCTGCAGTTGACGCTAGAGCGCGCTGCTAGGGCAAATGCGCGAGCGGCAGATCCAATCAATGGCGATGCGCTGCCCGAAACGATGAGGCCTGATGCGGCTGAGACGATGGACTCAATAGATATGGAGTCTTCGGTTGTGCCGAATGCTACTATACACGTGTGATCAACACAGATGCAATCCGTTCTATGTTTCGTTTCTGCTTTTACCCTATGCATGTATAATAGCTTGGCGCTCGTTCGACTTTGCTCAATCTCAGATCTTTTGAAACCTCCTCCGTCTGCGTGTGATCTCGTTGATACTCACGAACGAGTGCCACAATCTGTGGCGATGTGCTGCGAATATAATCGTCTTCATTGCGTCTTTATCGCTAGTAATACAGCAATGCAAATGTTGCGGGACGTGATTGGGAAAGCTCAAAGTATGGGGCTTACTCACAAAGCTGTCCAAACAAGGCAACTGGATCCACGACATCCCAAATGTCATCCTTGTGTCTGTGTTGGTGCACCGCCGCTGCACCACTTCCATGCAACAGACCATCCTTCTTCCTCCCATTGACGTCTGTCAACACTGCTTGAGGATCTTTGTACTCCGGTACTGACAACCCACCTTTTGTTGGTCTTGCTCTACCTTCGTTCTCAGCCAGCGTTCGGCGGTCAAGTAGTCGCAGTGGAGCTGACTGGTCGATAACGAAGCGATTTCTGACCGGCACATCTGCTCCTGCACCGCTGGTCTCGCTGAGATGAGTGGTGGCGGCAAGACGAGCTGAACGTGCAAGCTGTCTCTCTGGCGAAGAATAAGGGCATAGTCGACCAGTCTTGTCTTCGGCACCAAAGACGGAGTCGTCGCTCCACTCAGGGGCGAGCATGCGTTCCTGCGTGCCTTGACCCATTGGCTCGACGACGGTGTGCGGTGCCACTTCGAGCAGGAACGCAACGTCGGAGACGGTGAGACGTGTACTCGCTGCACCAGAGCGGTCGGTGCCTTGCATGGTGTCGCGTGAACGTTTAAGTCTGTTCCCACCGTTGACAGCGGAGTTCTCTCCATCAGCAGCGGTGCTACTGTTGCCGAAAGAAGTGTCTTGAAACTGACCGCTGCTGTCACCGTCGCGGATGGAGGGTGAAGAAGGTCCCGCGAGGCTGGTGGCAGCTGTACTGGCGAGGGAAAGCATAGAAGAGTCTGCGAAGGAAGTGCCGATGCCTGAAGTGCTGGTGCGTGACGACATGTCGGACTGAATCGAGCGTAGGAGGCGTGCTGGGCTGCCCTGCACAGAGTTGGGCGAGCTGTCGTCCAAGTCCATTGCATCGAGCGCTGGCGAGCCACGCATAGGGTCTGGCATGTAGGAAGCAGGGTCGAGACTGATGTTGCTATACTCCGAAGCTGGGCGGAGGGGCTCGTTGGTCTTGATCCCATCGGTGCGGTTGGCGCGGATCTTGGTGATGATACTGCTTGCTACGTTCTGAAGGTGACTTTGAAGTGCGGACAACACCATAGCAGCAGCTTGATGTTGCACACCTCCCGGCATGCCGTTCTCGACAGCAAGTAGCGTCATTCGATCTTTGATACTGTCCAAATCGGGCAAATGCTTGGATTCGACGCAGAGTGGCGCTTGAAGTGCACGCGCAACAGCTTGTTGGGCAGCTACGATGGGCAAGAAGAAATGCTCAGGAACGCGGTTCGCAACAAACGATGCACGGGTTCTGGCAAGCAGCAGAACAGAAAGGGATGCGAACACTTACAGAAAGAAAGCTTGCCGCGCACAGCGGCAATCTGCTGGGTAGCTTGAACAGCCTGACCTTTCCAGTCTTTGGCACCGATGGCGCTCTTGTAGTGTCTTACCTTGCGACGGTCTTCGGCGACCTTGCGCTTTTCTTCGTCCTTGCGTTTCTTTTCGAGCATGTCGGCGGCCGATCCTGCCCACCCGAGGCTTGCAGCTCCACCGATGGCGTTGGCGCCAAGCTTGCCGACCTTTTCGAGTTTCTTGAGACGCAAGCGCTCCTTGCGAGGGAGACCAGCAACGAGGTTGCGAAGACGCTTGCGACTTGGCTCTTCTTCTTCCTCTTCGGTGATGGTGGAGCCGTCTGGCAGGATGCGGGTGATGCGCCTGACGGTACGGCTGGATGGACCTGGAACGTCGGTGCTGGCATTGTAGAGGATGCCGAGGATCAATGCGTTATGTAGGTGGACTGTGGATGGGTAGAGCAAAGAATGCGGATGGGAGGAGCCGACGTATGAGCGCGTTTAGAGACAAAGTTGATATGGAAAAGGCAAGTGAAGTGGAAAGGTCAGTAGCTGCATTCATGAGGACAGAGCAGAACTGTAGGGAGATGGGTAGTGTGCATGTACCGTGCTCAGCTTTGAGCGCCTTGTGGGCCAGCGCCTCGAACTCGGAACGGTCGATGGCACCCTTGAGGAACTGAACAAGGGTTTGCCAATAACGGGCACCATTCTGACCAAGAGCAACGGCAAGCTTCTGCTTGAGGTCGAGCGTGTCTGCGCGGATGGGTCGATGTGGTGGAGCATTGGCACTGGTGGCCGAGCTCAATTCTCGGGTGATGTAAACCATGATGGCGCGCTTGAGTTGGTTGTGGCGCTCAAGCCTTGATCCGCTATGGTAAGCTGCGGATGTGGCTGATGCTGCGATGCGGACGAAGGACGTGGGGCGGATGCTAAGGTCGGGCTTGATTGTAGCTTGTGGATGGCAGACTGCAAGGGCAGATGCTGGGAGGCTGAAAGAAGCACAAAATGGCGGATGCTTCCCGGATGGAGTTAATACTGTGTATCACAGTGATCTTAAAGACACTACCACAACGAATGGAAGATTACGATGCTGAAATCAAGGACTTGCCAGGGTCTCGGAAATAAGATTTCGACCAGAGAGGATGGAGGCGGATGGAGTCGGAAGTCGTGGCGAATCGTTCAGATGAAGCAAGCTATCGTATTCTGCTGGATACACAGGTGATGTAAGACGTTCAGATGGGAATGGGGTTGATACAACAGGACCTTGTCTAGGAGATGGATGTAGTTAGGTGCGGATGCGTCGTGGTCGATGTCAGAGCAGGGACTGAGAGAAACACGAAAGCCGGATGGGTGACCGCAACAGCACTCGACGTTGTGGCTTGGGAAGCGAAAAGTGAAGGTATGAGTTGCGAGCTCGTCGTCGTCGTTGATGATGTCGACTTGGCGTGGACGAGAAGCAAGGTGCCTCCATCCAAAGAGCAAGCATTCGAAGTCAACTGTGGCCATGAATCCATCCGGCCTGCATACGCAACTTGCGTCTCCGCTCACACTCTGTCCCTGGCTTTGGTGTGTAACTCTAGCGGATATGAACCAACTCAACTCCCGCTCCAAAAGGCGCCTAAGCCCAAATTTAAGACACAAGCGAAGCAATCATCATCCATCCGTCCAGGTGTCATTCGGCCGGTGGGTCATAGACCTCCTCAGACAGCAGCCAAGTGTCATAATTATTTCTCCAAAAGGTCGAGTTGCTCTTGCTCGTGACTTTTTTCTTGGGGAGTGTGATGGCATCCCGTTGCGGCCGAAATAAGTTAAGACTCGGCCTCAGATTTCGCAACTCCCTTTGCGCGTCATCTGAAATGCTGAAACTGTCGGATCTTCTTAGACTTGGTTTCCGCAATGTAGCCACTCCACAAGCACAATGAAGATCTCTCACCACCGTCGACCTCAATGTGCAGAACGTGATGTTTTACCGAGACCAAGCCAGTCACGTACGAGAACCTGTTGGTCATGCGATTCCCAACTTTGGCTCCCAGTTAATCATCTTCATCGAAGTGAGACAGCGACACGCTGTGGCTGCTACTGCTTCGCATACATTCAATCCAAGCCTTATCAAGGCCAGAAGGTAGACCTTCCTGGTTACACGAGCTCAGAGTATGACGAGTGTCGACTAAGGAGGATCGCATCCCGGACTCGGGTATGCACATCGCGTGGCCAAATTCGCCCCAAGGTCCCGGATCTCGGATCGGGTCAAGGTCGGTCTAACACATCTCCCAATACGAAAATGCCAGATTCTGTCCACAGGGTTGATCATCCGCAACCTTGGTGTCCCCTCTCGCACCAGCAAAGATGGCAAAGTTCCTCTAAGTCACATTCAGAGGAATACCATGGCTGAACTAGGGTTCTGGAGGTTGAGGAGGGGCCTGAGCATGGTCAAGAAGATAGTGTAATAGTAAAAAAGCAAACGAATAGCAAATCACGTGACGCTATTCGCGCTTCAAGCAACTCTCGCAAAAGAACAACACTCTTTTTCTTGACTTTTGCTGAGGGACCTCACGCGTAAACTGTCCAAATTTGACTTGAACGGCAGCTCAGTGCGACTCTGTGCGTGTTATTTACCTCATCCTGGATTTCAGCTCTCAAACCACACGCTTTTGCGCACGCAGGCAACGTCGATCCCCACATAGATGGACAGACTCAAGTAAGAGTTGCAACCTTCATCTCATCATCCGTCGTCACCATTCACTCAGACCTTTGTGGTGGCGCTCACAGCAGCAAGTCTCACTACCACCGCAGACAGATGCCTCATCTTTGGTGAAGTGCAAGCAACTAGCAGAGAATTTGCTGTGATCATCGGTGCCACAACCATTATACCATGATTCCAGCATTGATCTGATATACCATCCCAACTGCCTTTGTTCGCCACAACAACGCTCATCATGTCAACGACTTCACCACAAAAGCGTCGAGCGACCTCATCGCGGTCTAGTCTCCTCGAACAGCCCATGCGACAGACCCGTTCCATGGCCCGCGTCTCAGACGCCACGGACTTTCCCGAACACCATCATCGTTTATCCGCTTCCTCGTCACAGCAGCCTCGCTCGGCGTCACCTCGTAAAGATCGAGCAAGTCAAGCAGCCCAAGTAGACTCATTCGACACCTCCACACCGGACGTTAGCATGGCACCGTGTATGGAAAGTCCAAAAAAGGGGAGATTCGATGACTTTGAGTTTGAGCTCGAGAACAGCACGCAACAAGTCCCGACTCGGAGGCGGAGGATTGCGGCTTTGAGACAAATCTCTACCTCACCATCAGCAGATGTCGGTCTGCCAGGCTCGAAGACGTCGGCTCAGCCGAGTAGCAGCAATGCCAGTAACGCGCTCTTGGCGAGTCGGAAGGAGAATTCATCTTCGGCTGTGCCGGCTCGGCCTCAGCAGAAAGAGGAAGCTAGGGCAGGTTCCGGTCCGACCAAGCCTTCTGTCGCGCCACCTCGCGTCTCGAGATTGCACCCTCCGACGCCTTCCCTTCGCACTTCGTCACATGAAGCCGAGTCAGGCCCGCGAGCAAGGCAGAAGCCATCGTCAAGTGTCGGAACTGCCCCGACCAGAGAACTGATCGGAACAGGCCGAGATTCTAATCACCGCCTCCTTTTTGGCCTATCCGACACCGCCGCATCTTCCAAACCCAACCCCTTCCTCATCTCCTCAGACACCAACAGCCTTGCCGCGCTAGGTGAACCTCGTCACTCGCCCGTCAAGAGGCTCAACGTCAAGTCCGAATACGTGATCAGATCTCCCGATAGACCCGATCGTAAACCCATCAACCTTCTCGAGCTAAAGCCCTCACCAGGTAAAGCTCAGCGCGGCATCTTCCGACACAACTCTGCACAGGATGACAAACAGGACGACGATGATGGCTGGGATGACTCGGGCAGCAACACTCTCGATGAGATCAAGTTGGTCAAAGGTCCGGCAGTAAAGAAGGAGCGGGAAGTAAGTGGGAAGGAACAGGAACCATCCTCAGAAGACTTCATTGTTCGGCGAGGCAGCACTTCGAGCAGCACGCGAAAGAGCTCGATGCCGCGAGCCACTTCTACCTTGGACGTCAAGCATACCTTGTCATCTGAGACTTCGGATGCACTGGCGAGCCTCGAGGCGTCACTTGCCAAGCTCAAGGCAAAAACCCGCAGCCCTCCCAGCACAGGCGCGAGTAAGAAGAAGGAAGACAGTGGCGACTCCACACTCAGACGCGAACTCGGAGCTGCTCGACCGTCGGGTATGACGAGCGGTAAGACACAAGCCTTCAACACTAAAACCCCTATCAGCAACGCCGGCGAGTCCAGCTTCAGCAATCCATCCACGGCTGATCAAAGCATGGACAGTAGTGCCGTGTTTAAGCGTCCTTCTGGCCGCGTCTCAGCACTGGCCAAGTCAAGAGTCTCGAGTTCGTCGGATCCGCATTCTTCGCTGAGCTCTTCGCTTGCCTCTTCAAAGTCGATCATGTCCTTTGGCGCACCACGCTTGCCTGGGTACAGCGACGTTGGCGCCCGGCCATTGAAGCCAATGTTCTCTAGCTCACGCACTTTGAGCCTCGAGTTGGCTTCAACAAGCAATCTTTCGAAAGCCGAAGAGGAGGCGGCTCAGGCAGAAGAAGAAGCCAGAGTAGCAGAAGCGAAGAGACAAGCTGAGCTCAAGACAGCAAAGCGTAAGAGCATGTCTTCAGTCCTCTCGAGCCGTATGCCTCCTCCTATGCTGCAGAGGAAGGAACCTGATGCGCCATCTCGAAGCTCCTCTGGAGCTAGCAACAGTAAAAGCTCTGCTGCATCCTCCACGCCAGCAGAACCCAGCGCAGCAGAGTCTCTTGAAGCCAAAAAGGTAGCCAAAGCAGCACATCGTCGATCCCTCTACACCTACATCCCCACTAGACGCGACGATGCAGACACTTCCATCGGTAATCTTTCCAGCAACCTCATCGGCACACTCTCTGAGGGCGATACATCGACCAACGCTTCAAAGCCCAAACGTTTCCTACGTGGCCTAACAGTTCTGGTCGATGTACGGGATCAAGATGGAGAAGATGCATCTGCTTGCTGGGTGGAGAGACTGAAGAATGCAGGCGCAAAAGTTATGCTCCGCTTCGGAGAAAGAAAGTTGACTCATATCGTGTACAAGAGTGGTAGACCGAGTACGCTGCACTCGTACAGAGCCTTGGATGATCCCAAGCCTCATGTTGTGGGGATCAGCTGGGTGGTGGCTTGCTTGGAGCAAGGAAAGAAGGCTGATGAGGAGCCGTACCTCGTTGAAGTTGCCAAGCAGGCAATTTTCACAAACGTAAGTAGACAAAGGGGACCATAGAAAGAGGAGATAGAGAATGATGTCGCTAACATTTGGATTGCGTTTGCTTTGACGATTCGTAGCTACGACGATCTTCGATGGCGCCAAAACAAGTGCCTACTTCTGCAACGACGATCCGGGAGCGTGAGTAAGAGCACACCCACCCAACAATATAACGACGAGCATAGGGGAGCCATCCCTTTTAGCTTTGCCATTCCTGTGAGCCTACAAGCCCTGCAACCGTTCTTATCTCTGTTCTCGATCTGATCTGTGTTGTGGATCGATCATGCTGACTGCTTCGCATTCTTGATTGGGGTTTACATTGATAACAGTGGAACAAGCCAAAAAGAAGCTCCTTGCACATGCCCCTGCGGTCCCTAGCCCGCTCAGGCGAAGAGTCAGCTCTCGTACGATATTAGCCTCTCGACTTGCAGCTGCTTCGTTGCTTTCCGAGCCAGATGCCACCACTGAAGCCACTTCACAGAGCACAGCAGATCAGTGCATGGGGAATGATGCGAATAATGATGATTACGATGAGGCGGCAAGGTTGGCTGCTTACCGCGCGCGCGTCAGGTCTGTTTTGACACGGCCTGCTGCGTAAAGCTGCACCAAAACCACACTCGATGTAGAGACTCAGCCGATCAAGATACCAAATTGCATCTGGCGCAGGACACAGATTGGCAGTGATAGCAGCTGGTGCATAGAGATAGCGGGCGAAGTCTGAAATCTCGACTAACCTACTTGCTCGATCGATGAGAAGAAACGCTTTTGAAGACAGGCGTCAGGTGGGGTCCGCTTTCAGCAGCCTCTTCAAATCTTGTCCTTTGTGCTTGTCATGAGCTCAGCCAAGTGAAGTTGATGATACTGTGAAGTTCAAGGTCAGCAACGCACACAACGACTCTAGACGACCGGGGTTGTAGAACAAGCACTGCGGGTACAGGCAGTCGCTTTTAACGTCTTGAATCAAGGAAGCTCAGCACAGACGAACAAGCTGAATCGAGTCGAGCGAACTTCAGTTTGACTCGGCGACTGGTTCCTTCAGCTAAGCTTTGCGATGCCATGCGAGACCTTGACCATCTGCGAGATGGTCAAATGTGTTGATGCGAATGACAAGGCTTTTTTAGGTCAACCTGCCGGGACACCTCACAGTTCAAGCCGAGCATATCTTTCACTCTTCGCTGCATCTTTCACTGTTCGCTGCGGTCTACAGCGAACGATGGCAAGCCAGTTTGTCGTCACTGTCGGCCTGCGGATGGAGGGTTTGGCCTGAATCTTTCTTGTTATTCCTGCGGAAGAGTTGGTGGTTGTTGTCAGAGTGTGGAGGAAGATTGAATTTTCCGCCGCGTCGGCGATGAGATGACGGATCGGTGCAGATTTCAAACGTCGGCGAGAGCTGGAAGACGGGAGGGAAAATTTGACGTTGAGATCGTCAGCGAAAATACAACAACAGCAGATCGCGACGTTAGGCGAGGCCATCGTTTTTTGTGGTATAGGCTCATCATGTGAAGCTTTCCCCCGTTACAAGGGATGCTCAGCTGATGACCCCGGAGAGAGAGTTTGGCTTGGCTCTCTGTTACGGTTTCAGGTACCAAAAGTGAAAAGCTCAAGTTGAACTTTGTCTCTCAGTCGAGGCTCGTGACGCAGGGAAGTCAAACTTCTGACGTCGTCGTGTGTGTGCTCTAGTGAGGAAATCAAAAGCCGCTTCAACTTGATTCGCTTGTCCGCGCTGGTTTTCACGGGAGCCGCCGTTGCTCTGGATCGCACACGAAGAAGTAAATGAAGCTTTGTCGGTGCCTACAGCGGAAGAGGCTGACGAATAGGACAATGACTTGCTCCATCGGCAGAGATGGTTGTTGGAGAAAGCTGGTTCTAGATGCGCGCAAGTCAGCATTGTCGAACCGTTGTATCCTCATTGCAATGAGCAGAAGCGAGCCAATCAAATGGATTCGACGATTGATCGCTGCAAACCGGAAGCGCGGATTGGTCGAGGCGGTGTCAGGAATAGCATCACTACCATGTCGTGTGCAGTTGTCCGTCGAGCTACACTCTGTCTGAGTGATTTCTTCTTCAGATCTGACATAGCATGGCAGCCTTGCTCTGGATACGCTGGATCGGGTCGAAGGATCGCGATCTCGCACGAATCAAAGCAAGTGATGACCTCTGCATCAAAAAGTGTTGCAGATCGGATCAACCGACAACTACAGTAAAACAGATGGCTCAAGCGCTCCTTTTTCCGGTCGGATGCAGCCGGGGAAAAAAAAGCTTTGTAATATCCCAATGACGAGGGTATTGAGCGGGCGCATGGGGCTGCAGAAAGTTGATAAGGCTGTTTGCAGGGTAGGCGCCACTCAATGAAGCTTGAATTGCGTCGAGATTTGATACTCCGACCTTGGGCTGTGCGGAGAATTATTTAATTTAAAAATATATATATATATATATTTATTTATTTATTTATTTTTTCTTTTGGTTGGTGTGGTGGTTTTGTGTGCTGTATTTGTTTCTCTTTGATTTTCACGGTGTGACCCTCGAATTAGGCTGTTGACCTCTTGCCCTCTGTAGCGACCATCGAGAGATCTAGTTTCTAGTCTGCGTCCGTTCGTGCAGCACATTTCAAAGTTGCGGGGGTCACTTGCTGGCCGATCAGCTACTTGAGCTGTCTTTCTGGCCTGCTGTCGGATCGTTCCCGAAGAGGAGCCAGCAAAGCGCTTATCGGAAGGGCCGTGTGACTAGCGCACACCATAAGGAAGGGGGCAACATGCAGCCATGCACCGCTGAAACCTCGTTGGAAGCTATGTCTCTGTTGCCAAAGCTGCGGCAAGGGTCGCGCCCCAAGCCAAAGCCGCAGCCAAACTTCTAAGGTCTCGCGGCTTGCAGACGGGAAAGAGTGTGTTCTATGCGTCGATGCTGCTGCACTACGCTACGCCGACAGCCCGGTAGACTTGAGATAGCGATGATAGCAAAGAATTGTGGCTTGCCTGGTTCCCAGGAGGCAGGAAGACCAGCATGTCAAAAGTCGCAGGGGGTCCGAAGCCGACGTTGTAATGCGGACAAACGTGAAAAGTAACACAGAGGAAGTCTGGCCGTTTTCAATGATCTGGTGACGAAAAGCACAAAAACATCATCGAATCTCTACCCGCAGCGTTTTGCCAAGTGAGGGCACTTTAGCAGAGGCCATCGAGGCAGAGATAGCTGAGCAAATGGGGTTTTTTTTTTCTTTTTTTTTTTTTTTTTTTTTTTTTTTTTTTTTAAAAGCAAAATCATTTCTTCCTCGCTGCTACTGTACTGCTGCTCCTCATCTTGCTCAAACAAAACCTTCTTTTTGCGAACTTAGTCGCACAAGTGAGGCTGATATGATGCTTTGACAAGCAATAACTTGTCCCGCTTGCGACGACGATCCATTGCATCTTCGATTCGGTCAACCGAGATTCTCTTGTTTGCTCATTACGATACCAAGCACCCTGTCAAGGGTCAAGGGTGGAGGATCAAGGGTAAAGGGCTTGCGCACCGCGGTATGGCAGCTATCACAGTTCGCAAACGGATCTTGACCTCTCGATGATAGCATCGCAACTTACAACAGTATTCGCCACTCTAGCACACACTACTAAGCAGAGCAAGTCGTCATCGTCATCGTTCTTATTGACACAAACCTAATCAGGTTAGCTTGTGATTCCGACGGCTGCTCGAGCATCATGCTCTTCCACTGACAAGATCGCTGAGACCGACTGCGTGAGGTTCTGACCGTTACCAAATCAACTAATCTTGAACCAAAGTGCCCAAAATTTGGGGGTCCGCCCTCTTTAGCACATGTATGTGTGAGGCGCTTGGCTGTAGATGCTAAAGCTATTGCATTGCATCTCATCCCTTGTTGGACAGCGCGAATCAACCGACCGACACTTTGACCGCACTCACCCATACACCTTGCCAGCAACTTGACAGGCGCAGCAGCAACTCCACCAGCAGAAAGACGTGTAATGCGGTAGCATTGTTCCGCCACTGTTCCTCCAGCAGTATATTGATAGGCTCCCCAATCTTTCCTTCTCGCCCTTCCTCCTTCTAGCCTCTTCCGCCCTGTTAGTCTATCTCAGCCTTTTACCAGCTCATCACCTAGTACCACCACCACCAACGACACCACCACCAACGACACCACCACCACCATAACACAGTCAACGCTGCATCTCATAACTCTCGATATCTTTGTCTCTCCAACAACAATAAAGTATCCGACCTTCCCTTGTCAACAACGCTTTGCTTCCGAAACTTGTCTTCATTTCACGTCCTGCCTTAGCTTCATCTCACTCGGCTCACTCCTGCATCTTATCTTCTTCACCCTTGCACCGCCAACAAAGCTTCTTCAATCGATATTCCTACCAACTCAGAGCTGACCCACTCAGCTACTAATCAGCCGCATCTTCACCCACCTACGGCTCCTCGCCCCTGAATTCAGAAGCTCTTAACATTGCTTGGCTTGCGCCACAACTGCTAGCTCTTGACATTACTTGGCTTGCGCCACAACTGCTAGCGCTTAACCCTTTGTAAACAAACAGATTGGCTGTCATCGCACAAATTCCTGCTTTGTAGTTTTTGCCTTCTCCGTGCTCACATCACATGCAGTGAGGTTAGACACCAGCAAGTCGAGGTACATATAGGATTCTGGCCGAGTGTCTCGCTCGCCAGTCCATTCGAGACCTCTTCTTGCTTTCGCACCAATCTCTTCTTTCACCTTCGTTTTCCTACATTCAACTCTCCTTTGGCTTTGCACCATGCCGTCCGCAGTTGCAGCCGCCATGCCTCAACAGGCACCCAAAACTAAGAAGCCGGTCTTGACCATCAACGCAACCAACCTTTCAAAGCCAACCACACCCAACTTCAACATCCCCAAGATTGTCATAACTCCTCCTGACGAGCCCGCTCGCTACTCGAGCCCTCTCCCAGAACAGCGATTCGAAAAGGCCGTCCTCTTCGTTCCCGTCAAGACCGAAGAGCTTGGATGGGAGGAGCATGGTCTATACTGGAACGGCACCTATGCCTACCCAGTGCACCAGATCTACGACCGTGAAGGTCAGCCCATCGGTCGTCGACGCAAGGGTCCTCAAGGCTACCGCTTTGAGGAGTACTACGAGGATAAGAAGCCTCGTCGTTCCTCATCCTCGCAGCAGACTTCCGCCTCCGATGAGATGGAGGTCGAGGAAGCCGTCGTCAGACTGGACGAGCCAGCTCCTGCACCTGCTAGGATAGAAGAGAGGAACGACAAGCTCAACCGCTCGATCGAAGAGGAGCGGAACCTTGAAAAGGAGAAGCTTGCAGAGTTGCAAGTTGAGGACGACGAGAATCAAGACATGCCCAGCCCTTCAAGCCCAACACTATCGGTCACTGAGACCGAAGACTCGGCATCGTTTTGTGATGACTCGAGCTCGTTATGGTCAAGGAATGAGGCAGAGTCGGATGACGAGCAAAGTGTCTGCACATCCCCTGGTATCATGTCTCCTCCCATGGGCGTCGACGAAGATTTCCAATCCGAGACTCTCAGAAAGAAGTTGTCTGATCTCCCCGCACCATCATCTGGAAACGAGGCAACCAAGACGTCATGGATTTCACTCGGCACCCTTCCTTCATCATCAGCTTCCTCCTCATCACCTTCGCAATCACTACCAACAGCTCGAGTGAAAAGCAAGAAGTCACTCGAGTTCTCGAAAAACAATCGAGCAACCTCGACCCTCATCCCAGACTCGCATAGAGATTCTCGTAGACAAAGCACCCCTTCTGCCTACACATCCATCATTCATGATCTCACCACTTCTCCATTCGCCTCGTCCTCAGCATCCACACCGTTCCGATCAGCAACATTGCCAAGATCAAGTTCGAGAAGCGGATATAACCAGTCGAAAGTTGGGGGAAGCATTTTCCGTCCACCTCCTCCACATATCGCTTCTCCCTCTGCAGAGAATACTGGGTCGTTGGGAAGAAGGTCTTCAGCATCGCCATTGTTCAGGAGAGGTGGAGATGTGGACTTTTCGGCTGGGTGGAACTTTGAAAACCACACAGCAAAAATGTCTAATTGTTGGGGCGATAGTTTTCCCGATCACTACTGAAAGCAGGCTAAGTGGCTGAGACGCAGGTCGTTATCAGCCCCTCCTCCTCCAAGTCGTTGTATTTGTACCCTTTCTGTACTTCTATCCTTATTCTGCCACCTCTATCTATGCTTCTGTACTTCAGAGCAATATACTCAATCGTTTAAAACGTCGTTCTGGTTTGCGTGTTGTGTAGTGTTCTCCCAAGAGGTGTGCATGATGAGCTTCGTACTTGTGCCCTTCACTCTTGCTGATGCTGAAAGTAAACAATCCAATATGTTGATGTAAGCTGACATGAGACGATGCGAGAGGGATCGGGCGAAGTAGATCTGATCAGAGATCGGGTACAACACAGTCCCGCTCGTTGTCAAGCTAGGTCATGAAGTAGCATACTCCCATGTTCGGTATGAGCCTCATAGATATATATATATCAAGCTGAGAACACTAGGTTCTCACCACGTTCACTTAGTCAATTGAGTATATATGTTTCTGTCTAAACCAGCAGTGACATCGTACTTAGACTCTCCCCGAGCGCCAGTTATCGGGACCAAACTCCTTCACTTTTCAACAGCTGATGCTGACTATTTTTCAAGGCTGCTGTACTGTCTGCTTCTTGTTCCAGTGTGTTTGGGGTGAGGAACCTGCGTGAGGGAAAGCTGTTTTTTTTTTTTTTTTTTTTTTTTTTCTTTTTTAACCTAGATCCAGGTGTGGCGATGTACGCCCTGCCCCGCACACAGCTCACTCAAAAGAGAGACCGGAACACGATCTCATCCTTAGAGCTCCAGACAGAGTGTGAGTCTCAAACGATGCTCTCAGTCAAATCACACAAGCTCGATGATGGATGTCAAACAAAACAGTGATCAATGGCAAAAAGAAAACAACAAGAGACGAACCGAAAATCGGGACTAGAATGCGGACTGGTATCTGAAGAGCGAAGCCCAAGTCTGGAATGGAAGAGAGAATGTCTATGGATGCTACTGCGTGTGTACTACTACACTATGGTTGCAACAGGACGAGGCAACCCCTGAGGAGAAGGAGAACCTGGTTCTCTGTTACTCGATCCACCATTACCCCCTCCCTGCTGTCCTTGCTGCTGAGTGTTCAACTTCGGAGTGGAAACTTCCTGAGCTAACCCCTTAACTGTCATGTGAGACTCATTAGCTCCATCGCTCGAACTTGATTTCTCTAGCGCTTCAGCCTGCAAAGCCTGCACTGGTCCTCCACCGATATTCGGCGTGGGAAGAGCGGAAGAAGTAGCACTAGTCTGACCAGACGCCGCAGCTGCCTCTTCCTGATGTTGTGCCGCTCGTCTCTTTGCAACTTCCAATCCTTGCATGCCAAGCGACATCGGTGCTGGGCTGCTGGAAACCGAACCGACAGGCTTCAATGCATCCGCTTCACTAGGCGTCAAACCAGGAGGCAATGCCCTCCCACCTGGACTCGTCCCAGCTGTTAGCGCATCGACGTCAATCCCTGCTTGTCGCATCGCTTGCTCGATCTCTCCCTGCACCACAATTCCTTCGATCCATGGGTGATCCAATAGCTCCCTCGCACCAGCTCGTTTCTCGGGATGCAACCGCAGCATCGGCAACAGGAACGAGGAAAGCTCATTTGCCTCAGCATACGGCATCAGATACTTCTCCTGAAGCACCGAGATCAACGGCCAGAACCGAAGCTTGTGAATGTGACGTAGCTCTCCTCGTCGATTGAACATGTCGGCACTGTACTTGCCTGCAAAAGCAAGACTCTTTGGGAAGTCGCCCAACAGCTCGATGATTTGAGCTACGTGATCGTCGTCCTTGTTGTACTTGGTGCCTGCGGCAGGGTCGAAGAGGTAATCTCCCGTGAGCAGCTCAAAGAACATGCAACTGACAGACCACATATCGGCACTTGGACCCCATTTGGCACCCAAGATAACCTCAGGACATCGATACTGCCGTGTCTGAATGTCGTTGGTGAAATGGTGGTCAACCCAACATGCGTTACCCAGGTCGGCAATCTTGACTGTGATTCGTTCAAGTGAGCTAGGATCGTACGGTGGTGGAGGTGGGAGCATGTTGGGATCGCCAGCTGCTGGTGCGGGTTGATGCGTGCTCTCGTCCATCGGCGTTGGTTCTGCGTGATTGGTGGAATTCGGCGAGTCGACCGACATGGGGGAAGGCGAGTCTTGAGGCTCTGCCGCTGCTGCTTCCGCAGGAGGTTGTGCGGTCGAGTTTGATGCTGCTGCTGCTGAAGATTCGGATGCTTGCGGGACACGTGGAGCACCGAGAGAGAGCAACGAGGGACCCTTCTGCTGAGGTGCACCTGTTGTCATCCTGCTACCGAACGAGTCAGCAGGCAAGCTGCTGGACCCTTGTGTGCTGAGCTGCGAAATACCTTGACCAAGCATCTCTGTTGACCTCTCCGGATCCCTGCTGCTAGTCGCCAAGGAAGCACCTTTCGAGCCGGCTGCCTCGCTGCTTGCACCACCTCGGAACCCGTTCTCGCTGTCGCTCACACTTGGTTTGTCAATCTTGGACATGCCAAATGCCCACTTGTCGAACATGGGACTCGAGCTGAGACTGCTACTTGGACTTGGCAATGGCTGCGAACCAGTGATGAAGATACCGTCTCGTTTTGGTGTTTGCGTACCTCCTCGGCCTTGACTTGGTGGAACGCCAACGAGCTTTGTGGGTACTGCAGCAGGGTTGGACCGCAACTCGGCTTCAACGACCGCCTCGACATCATCGATGCAAATGAGCACGTTTTCGGGCTTGAGATCGGTGTGAATGATACCGCACTCCTGGTGCATGTAGTCGAGACCGAGCAAGACCTGTTTGGCAATCTGCTTGACAATGTGTAGAGGCACACCTCGATGTTGATAGCGCTTGATAAGACCAAGCAAGTTCTCGCCGAGCACCTCAAAGACCATGCATACGTGCGAGCCGTTGGGGCCTTTGTGTCGGAAATGATCGAGGAGCGAAACGCAATGCCGCCTTCCCGGGTGATTAGGGTTGGTGGAAACGAGTCGCTGGAGCAACTTGATCTCGTCTAATGCGGTCTCTGTGTAGTGTGGTGCGGATTTGACGACCTTCAAGGCAACGTGCCTCTTCATCTTGTTGTCTTTTGCGAGCCAGACGGTGGAGAAATGACCCCAGCCAAGCTTGCGGACGATGAGATATCGTCCGTCGGAGAAAGTGTCGCCTACGTGAACGGGGTGGTAGCCTCCCTTGCCGTAATCTTCAAGATCTTCCTCGTCTTCTGTCATGACGGAGCCCATATCTGACGATGCGTTGATGGATGACGGCGCATAACTTCCAGGTGTATGTTGTTCTTGGGATGCGCCGGCTATCGAGATGGAGTTGGAAGGCATGGCGGGAGGGTGGTGATGTGACCCTCCAGACATTGGAACTGGCAATGCGGAGATAGCGCCTGGTGTATTGACGGGAGATGGGCCGGGTGTGCAGGTGGAGGTGATTACGTTGCTGTAGCTTTTATCGCCGTGGTCGTGCGAAGGACTGTGGTTGTTCGAATGTAATGATTGAAAAGGCAAGGATAGTGTGTCAGTAAGCGATTCTGCGCAAGTGGAGCAACGACGACAGAGACGGAACGGAGCGCAAGAAGTGTCAAAGTTGGCAAGAATCGATTGAGAGACGAAGCGAGCTGGCAAATGTTGGACGAAAAAGAAGACTGCAGGCCCTCGTGAACTTGCTTTGCTCGCTCCGTTTCCATGCGGAATGCGGAGATGCTCAGCCTACGACTTTGACACCGACGAGCGCCGAGCTGCGCTGTGCGACACTGTGCGACACTGCTGTGCGACAATGCTGTGCTACGGTTTTCGGCGAATCGCGCGCTACTGAAACGAGCACAACGGCCGGGATAGGTGTGTTTCCAAGCGCCAAGAGCCTGTTATGACACTGCAGAAGCTTAAAACAAGCGCGTCGAATCGACGAAACAAACGTTCTGCTGACTGTGTGGCAGGAAAGGAGTGCGATCTCGGAGCTGATTCGGGACCGGTTACACTTTTGCTGCTGGTTCGTGAAAAAGGGCCCTTGTCTTTTGCTTCCGCTTCGTTCTGCTTCCGCTCCAGCCCCTGCAACATCTCGAATAGGATCTAGCTCCAGAGCGTGTGTGTGCTTCATCTCCGAGAGACAGCCCTATGCCGAAAAGCCATATGAATCGCTTCAAAACCGCGGAATTGACTGGAACAAGGATGAAAGAAGCTCTGGTGGGGCGACGGAGGACTACGGTCCGGTGTAAATCAACTTACCCTGCAGACGACATAGTTGTGGTTGTCAAAGGATCTCGCCCTTTGTGTAGATGCTGGTCGCGTGACGTAGCAGATGACGATGTGGTGGCGAAGAGCGATGCAAACGTATGCCAGCAATACTGACTGGCGTGGAGGTCGATATGATGGATCAGCTGCTCACGGGTGTCGAGCTGGCTAGCGGGACTCAAGAGGAGCGTACAAGATCGTCCGTATATGCTGAACCCTTATAGGCGACTCGTCTGGATCCGTTGCCTTTGCAGATGGAAAGAGTGGTGGTGATCAAATAAGCTCGCGCCAAGCCTGAGCGAAGACCGTCGGGCGTTGAGAGAGAAAGACGAGAGCTCAACGTTGAGATGGTGACGTGATCTTTCCAGGCGTTACGTAGAAGGTAATGTTGAGATCAGTGACGGTGGAGAAGTATCTAGTCTCTTGACTTGTACGGGTGGCGACAGTGGTGACTTGATCGCGAGACGCCTTCAGAAAGCAGATCCTGATTAGGATACTAATCGTGAAAGGCTTGACACGGCAACAAAATGTAGAGGATCTCTTCGTGACAAATGGGCAAAGCGATCTTTGTTGCTAGGTTGTTGATGTGCCGAACAAGCGAAGTCAAGCGCAGTAACCGGAACGTAGCGACGACCGCAAGATGTTGATAATGGCGACGTTGGGTGACGATGCCGATGAGATGTGTAATGGATGATGAACAAGGATGGATGGTGACCGGAACGGTGACGGCGACGGCGACGGCGACGACAAGGATGAAGAGAGTGTGTGAGAGATGATGGTGAAAGGCGGGTGCAGAGGTGCACAAGGAACCGGACGCAATCGATCAACGAACCAGCGGATGGGTCGGAGGCCAGCGGAACGGAACGGATATCGAAGGCAGAGTAACAGAGCTCAGTTGCTGTAAGTGATGCAGAGAACAGAGGCGAGGCGCCAAATAAGAAAGCCGCGGTTAGTTGGCCAGATACGATGGGCCAAAAGAATATAAATATATATTTATATATAGATAGATATATATTAATATATATAAAAGAGGTAAAAGAGAGTGTCAAGCTGCCCTGTCACTTCTTGTGAATGTAGCGAGAGAAAAAGAGGATTTAGACGTAGCAGCAACCGCGGAGAGGGAGAGAGCCGCGATTTGAAAAAGGGTCACTGGTCGGGCGATGCGATGCCAATGCAAAGCGGACGATAGAGCGAGTCGAATCAGCGACAGCGGTTTTGCCATCATGGATCCCACGCTGAGTCGAGGCGAGGCAAAGGAGCAGCAGAAGCACAGAAAGAAGAGGCCCGTATCATAGCGGGAATCAAAAGGGGAAAAAAAAAACAAAAACAAAAACAAAAACAAAAAAAAACAAAGAGAGTGAAAATAACATCACAGTCAGTCCACAGCAATCGGTCAGACAGAGATCAAGATCAGCAGCTCTGCGCCTCTCTCTGTCTCTTTCTTTTCGACGCGGGCGGAGCCTGTTTGAACGTCCGGACCATCAATTCATACCATAGCATAGAAAATACGAGAGCATAAAGCAAGGTTAAGATTGCGGGATGAGCGTGAAGACAAGGGGGCGGGGCCGGGGAATACAGGGTGGGAAAACCACTTGAAGAAACGGCGAGGTTCTGCTATGCGAGCAGCTGCGAGAATGGTGGTGATTGGAGAGAGCATTCAGTAGCTGCGCGATCACTTGGCAGAATCTCTGACTACGGATCACATCACATGACTTATTGTCACGTGATTACCAAACAATAGTGTAAGCCGAGACAGTGTCGCCTCCCACAAAGCGATGATGCTGCTCTGAGCAGAAAACCCTTGGGCCCACGGCCAAGAATCTTCATTTTTCAATGCGCTGCTTTCTTGCATGGTTACAGTACTGTGTTAATTGTGGAGACAAGAGCTCTTTTGTGCTCGCTCATCGTCTTGGCATCACTGCTGATCCACTGCATTGGCAATCCTATCTGTGTTTGTGTGGTGGGCAACGCGCAAGTGAGATTCATAACGGTAGGGTGGACCCTCGGAACTGATGGCTCTTTTACTCGCTCACTCATCTGCGAGTCAGTGGTGCGTTGGTGCACAATGCATCAATACACTCTTTTCTCGGAAGTGTTCTCTTGGTGTCAATTGACCCACAATGTGGCACCGATGGAAAGCAAAACAATAAAATAAAATAAAATAAAATAAAATAAAATAGAATAAAATAGAATAAAATAAAATAAAAAATAAAAAAGTGATCAAGGAGAGAAACGGTACTTTGGATGAGGATCAAAGCATAGAGAAATTGCAGCTTCATCTATTTTCACTAGCCATGCCTTTTGTTTTTTGTTTTTGTTTTTTGCGCGCGCTCTCTCTCTCTCTCTCTCTCTCTCTCTCTCTCCTTTTTGCAAAATGGAGCGGCAGATCTGAGCATGAGCAACCGAAAAAGATCCGACCGAGTGACACACGACCAAGCTTGCATCCCATCATCATTGCATTTCTCTCTGCATTTCTCTCTGCATTCTCGCCTCTGCAGCTCTGACTGACCCTTTGCTTCGGGACTGCCTTGTGACTTGACAGACAGATCAACAAGCTTTCATTCCAAGTTCTCCCGACACCCAACCTGTTGTTGAACCTTGTGACCTGTTTTCATAATGGACAAAGCTAGTGTCCCCCACACGCCCTTCCATGTCCGGCAGACACACGATAAAGCTCACGGTCAAGCTGACATCTTTACGATCCCACTGTCCTTGTTCTTGTGGCAACAACACGCCATCGACAGCACTGTGTCTGTTTTTCAATAGGCAGATTTGCGGCTGTGTTGCTTGATTTTGAGCATGCATGTTTCACCTGGTGCTTCTGCTCCTGCAACTGCTGCTGCAGCTACTACTCTACTGCTTCTTGTTGCCTCGGCGAAAACAGACAAAGCGTCACACAAGCAAAGCCCTACCGAGTAAGCTGATGCCCGCTGATGCCCGCTGCTGCACACACGCCTTCTTTTGATGCTGTTTGTATATCCTACCGCTTCCCTTCGTGCTTCTCTAATTCTAACGAGCCATCGGCCACTACTTAGATGCCGAAGAGATCAGTCTAGTCCTTCAGCTTGCTGTGCCCGACACAAGCTTGAAGGGAGTGTAGCCATCCCACTTGACAGGTTTGAAGCTCTCAGCTCGCTCGAGTTGGGCCGAGGCTTTCTCGGTGCCTCACGTGTGAAGCTCCGCTGCTCCCTCAGTCGGCATGATTCCAAGGAGGGGAGGATAGGATTTTTCACACGATTTCCTTCTCCTCTCCCTCGCGACTGGGGATTGCCGAACTCTGACTGCTGATATCCCTTATCTCTGATCCAATCCTCCTCCTCCGTTTTGATCGCCATTTCACTTTTGCGCTTTTGCGCTTTTGCGCCCCCGGACCGCTCCACCGCAACATCCGATACTTTCTCTGTGACCCACGCTCGGCAAACACGACGATGATAACAAGCGCATGTCTTCCCGAACAGAGAATGAAAATGATAATGCAGCGCTACCACAAGCTGTCGCCCTTGTCAGCAGTCGGTACTCAGAAGGGTCGTTGGTGATACTTACTTGAAACAAAGGGACGGCCCATGCCACGGCCAACATGATTAACCCGAGCGGACAGGGTGTTGAAGGTTCACAAGGTCGAGCAAGCGAGCTTTTGGCCGCCAGGCTTCCACGCCTCCAAGACACCTTTCATCTCCCTCTCCCTGGGCTTGTGACAACGCCATGAAATAGCTCAGATTAGCAGGCTGTCCGTGCGAACCAGAAAAACTTGTGCAAAATGTCGACCTTACATCCAACTCGAGCTCCCATTGTTGTGCCATCTTTTTGGCGTCGAATTTTGGTCTTTCGTTTGCGAAACCTCAAACAACGTTCAAGTCATCAAGTTGAGGTCAATCTCAAAGCACATGCGAGAATTAAAGTGATTTGGCAAATGGAACCCACACAGCCGAGCGGTCAAGGAAACACAGTCAGAACGAAGACACACAGCATTACGTGGTATGAAATAGTGACTACTGCAATTAGAACAACGTGCGACCCTTGATCTAGGCACTGCCAAACAAAGCCAACCTACATCTCTATGCCTTAGTACTAGCAACAACAGTATCCTTCGACAGCTCAGCTTGTAACTTTGCCGTCGATCCAGCTGGTGGCATAATAGGGTCGATCCTTCTATCCTTGTTCATGAACTCTCTGATCTTCTCATCCGTAACCGCAGCCTTCTTTTCCTGGAAATTGCTTACCACCTTCTGCAGCATCGTGATGCACTTCTTCTTCAGTTCTCCCGTCAACAACGCACCGGACCTGTAATCCTTTGCGATCTGTTCCACTTCCGCATCGTCATCCAAAAAGAACGTCAGATACTGATAGGCGACATCGACATCAGGGTTACCACCCAATCTACGCTGTTCTTCCGCAGTCTCCTGTCCGCCCGAGAAAGCATGTTTGTTGATCTTGTTCTTAATCTGGTTCGGCGTATCGTGCATAAAGATACTGCTGTTCTCGTTCGATGCTGACATCTTTGTCTGACTACCCTGCAGCGCAGGGAAGAACTTGCTATGGATCAAGCAAGGTTTAGGATACTTCAAACGCGAAGCGACATCTCGAGTCTGACGGAAGTATGGATCCTGATCAATAGCGCATGGGATCAAACAAGGAATGTCGTGCTTCTCGCCAAAGATCTGCGGGAAAGAGTTGGAGAACGAAGGTGCCGCTTGAATCGAAACAAAGTGTGCTTTACCGACACTGTCGCTATCGGTGAAACCAAAGGTTCCTTTGGATTGGTTGATGGTGATCATTCGGGAGATGCGAACGATGTTGGCGTAGAATGCACCACCCACGTAATCGAGATTGGAGAAGATGAAGGTTTTGTCGAGTTTGAAGCCGCATGCGATGATGTCGCGGGCGTTTTTGAAGGCGAAATCTTTCACTTGTTCGATTTTGAGCGCGGGTTTGAAGAGGAACTTTTCGTCGTCGGTGAGTTGGATCACCAAGGGGCAATCGAAAACGTCTTGGAGCCATTTGGTGAAGAGGAAGGGGATCAAGTGTCCCAAGTGCATAGAGTCCGAACTTGGTCCTCGGCCTGTGTAGAGGTAGAAGGGCTTGCCTTGTTCGTAGCGGTCGAGGATCTTGTCGAGCTCACGGTGGGAGAAGAAGCTTCCTCGTCGGAGCAAAGGGTGTGCCTTCCAGCCAGTGAGCTTTTCGAATCGGGCGAGGAGCTCAGGGTCGATCTTGCGTGTACCGAACTCTTTGACAAGCTTGTCATAGTCAATAGCGACTTGTTGACCGTCGACGGTGGCTCCTTCGACGTCCCAGGGTGTGACCTTTTGTTCGGTGGCAGCGGCGACGGAGGCCTCGAGCGAGGCGTTACCAACGCTTTCTGTGATCCGTTGGGCAGACATGGTTCGAGCTGCCTGAGCGTAGATGATCAGGCTGAGGGCGAAGAGAAATGTCGAGTCAAGGAGAACTGCGCAAAGAGGGTCTAAGCTCTTGAGTCCTAAAATCCCACCTTCGCGTCACGTGAGCTCGCTTCTCAGACTCGAGAGAGTGGAGCAGCGCATATGCCAATTCACACTTCCTTGCTTCGGGATCATCTTTCCTTCCACAAGCTCTCTTCACCACAGACAATCGTCAGCACAGATGGTAGGTACAGCAGCATAGGTCTCATAAGCGCTTCCAGGTGGTGCTGCGAAGCAGTCAACTCGGACACGTAGGCGACTGACACGAACCAACTGCTCGGAACATCATTCTCTTCTCCTCATCGACAATGCCACTTGCAGCTTATATTCTCGGCTTTCAAGACCCTCACAGGGCAGCAGGTCACCATTGAACTCAAGAACGACCTCGCCATTCAGGGCACACTTAAAAGTGTTGATCAGTAAGTCTATCCGCAAGCATCTGGTGCTCGAAGATCCTAACCAGACCATCTCGCTGATCGCCCTCGATCTTCGCGCCACCCTACCCTGAATGATCAACTCATTTACCTCTCGATCGCGGCCCTGATAGGTTCTTGAACTTCAAGGTCGACAATATCCGCGTTCTTAATGAAGCGAAACACCCTCACATGGTTAGCATCTATCCCTCACACGCACTGTAGACGCATCGCTCTCAATCTGCAACCGACCACACTGACACACATCATTCCGACTGTCAACTCTCAATGCTGTCACTCGCACAGATGGCCGTCAAGTCAGCATTCATTCGAGGCTCAGTCGTTCGATACGTCCACATCCCAGCTGCTGCCGTCGACACACAACTGCTCGAAGACGCAACAAGGAGAGGTAAGTTCTCCGTTCTACTCTGCATGCTGTCTCTTTTGACCATCTCTACTGACTAACCTGTCTTTACTTCGACATGATGAACCATTCGAACAGAGGCCGCGTCGCAGGCCAAACGCTAAGCATCTCAACCAGAATTCCAACGCTGCAACAGTCAGCTCTTGTACATTACTCTTCATCATCATGGCATACATCATTTGTCATCTTTGCATCGAGCAACAGTTCCGTAGCATGCTGGAGAATGGTCATCGTGAGCAATACTGTTGACAAGGGACGGCAAGGTCGGTGCATCTTGCATCCGCTCAGCAGCGCCTGATCAGAGCAACGGTGCGCAGGGCGCTTGAGCAAGTCGACGATGAGAAGATCTCAGAAAGCTTCGACTCAAGCACGGAACACACAGACAACCACGGACGGCAAAGATATTTTTGATTTTCATGACATTCGGCAACGTCGAAAAGGGGACCAAAAAAAGCTCCATCAGTCAAAAGACTGGCGCAGAGGAGCATCGTTCGCCTTCTCACCATAACACAGGATTCGGCTCTGTCAAGTAAGCTGTACCTGCTGCAAATCTTGAGCATCTTCATCAAGAACAAGAGAGGGGGACAGATTCTCTGCATGTGGGCATTCGCCCGACTTCGTATCAGACCAGATTCGCAACGTGAACGGAAGTACCGCGCATCGAACCGACCAGCTGCCTTGATCCAACGAAGAGGGAGAATCGCAAAGAAAGAGTTCTTGATGATGATTGTGGGACTTGCGAAGGGGGGAAACGTCGCCTCACCTACGAACGCTTGGCATTCGGGGCTGTTGTATTTCGAGGACACCCACAAGGGCACCTATGACACGAGAAGGAACTCGACGGTTGTCGACATTCTGCTCATCTCTTTCATCGCCGAGCAAGGCATACGCAATAATACCAAGCACGTCGCGTTTCTCCAGCGCGCTAGGACCAGGTTCTGTTCGCTCTGGTCTCAGGAGCTGAGCTTCAATTCTGTGGAAAGGCACGAGCCCGACCACTTTACATTTAACGACCCTCGTCAGGCCAACGACTTTCGCTTGGCCATGACAGGGACTTGCACTTGCCCATGACAGGGACTTCGTTCGCTTGCCCATGACAGGGACTTTCGTTTGCCCATGACAGGGACTTTCGTTTGGGGCTTCCAGAGAGACGTCACCCTTAACCCCGCAGACGATGCTTGTCTACTAACGACGCAAGACCGTGTGTCTTCGCCGGACCCCCCTCCTCTCGCCTCGCCTCCCTGACGGTTGGCATTCCCTGAGTGGAGCCCTTTCAGCGCTTGAGGCGGCGTATCTCGAGGAGGATGAGGAAAGAGAGGAAAAGGGGGAAAGGTTCGTGGCTTGGCTTGGGTTTTATGTGTTTTCCGATGCTGCGCCAAATCCTCACGCGCGCACAGCCCAAGAGGAAAAGGGTAGGAGAGCAGTTCAAAATTTGAAGCCTTGGACCACGTAAGCGCACGGACCAAGCAGACACGCAACCCACACAGTGAGACTGAGCTTCGCCGGGTTCCCTTTGTCCAACTCTGCACAGCGTGTGACTTTTTGACGCTTGAGCACGACTTGGCCTGCAGCAAGATGAAGCTTGGCTGTGTCTCGAACTTTGCTTCTGCCCACAATGTGATCATTCAATGACATGAAGGAGACACAGGCCTGCTTTTGACGTGATACGACTACAAGAAGATGATGGATAAAAGTACAGATCTCGAACGAGAAGCATGGATTGCTTCACGACTCCTTGTTGTAGGGCGTGCGGGCGTGCGACAAACAGCGTTGATCACAAGTATCGATTGCGATGATAATCATAAGCTAAGTACAAGATGATTCGAGTGTATATGTATGTCTTCCAGCATCCTATGTATATGTATATGATACCAAACTGAAACGTAACGGGGGAACTACGGGGGAACTACGGGGGAACTACGGGGAAACTATGTCGGCTATCTGTTAACTGGCATGCTGAGGCCAGTCGCGATAGTCGATCCGGGTGATGTGATATATACCCAAGTAAGCGAAGTTGGCGTTAGTGTGAGATCGGAGTAGAAGTTAAATGAAGATAACAATTAATATACGGCATTATCGGGGTCACGATCAGACTCCCTTTACCACAGCCGTATGTTCTATGTAATGCTTGGTTTTCATGGTGTGAGACTGAATGACAAACACATATATATACTCCATTCACTGCTCTGGTCCTATTCGAGGCAGGATGTGTCTCTTCATTTGTACTCCTGTGTTGCTATGATACCGGGTGCCACTGTGCTGTCACCATGACAACAATTACGTACCTCATTGTACTTCTCGCTTACGTGAGCCTCCCGTGTCTCAATGTCTCGGCCGTAACATGTGCATCTTACTTGAGATGCTGACGCATCTTCAACTCCCCCCTTCAGCGGGATCTCCAGTCCTATCATCCTAGCCAATCGTGAGGTGTTAAGACCCTGTAAGGGTTTTGTCAAGACATCTGCAACGTTGTTTGCCGTTCCGACATATTTGATTTCCACATCGCCCTCTTGCACGTGATCGCGAACGAAATGATACCGTGTGTCGATGTGCTTTAACTTCCAATGTTTGGCTGGATCTTTACTCACCTGTATGCACCCCTGGCTATCTGTGTATAGTACGGGCCGAACGTCCGTGGTCTCCAAATCCTGGAGCAAATATGAGAAGAATAAGGTTTCTTGCACCGCTTCGGAAGCGGCGACAAACTCTGCTTCGACTGCCGACAATGCCACACACTTCTGAACATGTGATTTCCAACTCACTGGACACCCATATACATATGTTATCGACCCCAAGGTGCTTCTTCGTCCATTTGTGGGGTCGGATGCCCAGTTTGCGTCGGTATACGTCGTTACCAGTGTATCCGAGTGCTCGTTTGTCTCCCCTCCTAGGTGCAACTGATATTCGTTCATTTGGTTCAGGTACTTTACCACATGGATGGCTGCCTTCCATGCACTGTCAATCGGGATCGACATATATCGCGCCAATACGCCGACAGCAAAGGCAATATCTGGTTGGGCTGTGTTGGAGACCCATAATAGTTGGCCGACCAATTCTTGATACTTCTTTGCTCGCTGAGGTTCACATCGCTCGCCTCTGGCAATGTTCGCTACACTCAGCATGGGTACCCAAGATTTCTCGTTTGCTCCTCCTAACCATTTGTTCACCATTTCCTTGATGTATGCCGTTAGACCCAGAGATATCCTCCTCCGTCTTCTATCACGTGTGATCTTGATACCCAGAAATTCTTTGACCCTTCCATTGTCTTGCGTCTCCCATTTGTCCATGATCTCTCGCTTTGCGCAATCTACTTCATCACGACTGGGTGATGTTATTAGCATGTCGTCCACGTATGCTGTGATGATCGTGATCTTGTCGCCTGTCCCTCTTGAGTATAGGCATGGTGCGCTCGGCATGCAATGGAATCCGATCGTCCGGAGATGTGAGTCTAACTCAATGTTCCATTCTCGGCCCGATTGTTTCAGACCGTACAGTCCTTTCACTACCTTCAACACTTTTCCAGGTGGTATTTCGATTCCTACTGGGGGCTTGAGGTATACATCATGGTGTATAGTGGAGTTCAGGTACGCTTGCTTTATGTCAATAGAATCCATTTCCCAATCTCGTACTGCTGCGACAGCGATCACCCCTCGAATGGATTGGATGGGTGCTACTGGTGCGAAGACCTCTGTATAGTCGATGCCCTCGCGTTGAGTGAAACCTTGTGCCACGAGCCGGGCTTTGAACTTTGTCGGCACGAGGTTTGCATCGGTTTTGATCTTGAGTACCCAACGTGTGTCGACAGTATTTGCACCCTTTGGGAGGTCGACTATCTCCCATGTGCCCATCGCCTCCAATCCATCCAGCTCCTTTCGCATGGCCTCCTCCCAGTGCTTTCTGTCCTTTCCACTCATTGCTTCATGTATGGTTGGGTCCAGGTTCTTTCTCCATTCCGGTCGCGTCGCTACGAGTCCATAGAATTCGCTGTCAATTTGAGTTTCGGCGATTGGTCCTTGTTCCATCACCTCTGCTGTTCCTTCGCTTAATCTTTCTTCCGAGTCTGTCTCCATATCCATGTATTCTCGTAGTGGCTCTTCATCTGTTTCGTCAAATATATTTTCTTTATTGTATCCTAGATCTTCGAAATTTTCCTCTGTCATCATCATTGGGGGTGCCTTTGTGTCAACTGGTCGCCACTCTGTTCTGTCTGACCAGCACTTTGATTCCATGAATTTTGCTGAGTTGCTCCAGAAGATGTTCGGATTGTAGTCCGGGCTGTAGAAGAGCCAGCCCTTCCTTTCTAGACTGTACCCTAAGAAAATGGATGCGACGGCTCGCTGGTCCAGTTTCTTGTTGTCCCATTTAACTTTGGGTACGTTTACCCATGCCAGACAACCAAACACTCGTAGGAGCTTTAAAGCTCGTTCCGGCGACTTGCCAAACATTGCTTGATAAGGGAATTCATTATCAACACTCGGAGTGAGGTTTATTTTGAACGCCACAGCTCTGATCGCGTATGGCCAGAACTTCTTCAGTAGTCTCCTCTGCATTAGCAACGTTCTCATCTTCTCTCCAAGGGTCCTGTTCATTCTTTCTACCCATCCATTTTGTTTGCTGTTGTACCCTACGGTGGTTTGCCACTCTATGCCCTTTTCTAACGACCATTCTAATGCATCATTGCTTTTCCATTCCATTCCTTGATCGGATCGGATCGCTTTTAGCTTCCAATCCATCTGTGTCTCCAGGAACAAAACAATCCTTTTAAGTTGCATAAAGGCATGACTCTTTCGTGTCAATGGCTGTGCATACACATACTTGCTATGATCGTCGACCAGCACCAACGTGCATGTGTACTCCGTCACGTGGGACGAGTCTATTATTAGATCGACGTGGATAAGATCCAGGGGCCCTATGGCTCTTTCGCCGCTACCTTTCCCCATCCGAGCGCTTGTGCTCTTGGATCGTACGCACTGCTCACATGTCAGAGCGGTGTTTGGATCCAATTTCATGGTATGCTTATCCTTTAACTTGGTTGTGATCGCCTTAGCTTTATCTCTTCCTGGGTGCCCGAGACGCTCATGCCATAGTTGTTGCTTTGAAACTTTCGGCTCATTCTCAATATGCTCGAACTCCTCATCAACACCTTCAAACAATGGTGCTGATGTGGCCATCGCGCTTTCTTGCCATGTGTCGCCTTGGAACTCCAGAAGTCCTTGCTCGCGATTCTTTGCAATCTTAAGTGTCATGCCGTTTGTTAGAAAAATTTGGCCGCCGGTTGTGTCCAATATCACTCGTGCTCCTTCATCCATTAATGAATTTGTTGACAGAAGGTTAACATTAAGGTGCTTTACATACAATACATTTTGCAGAGAGATTTCCCTGTAATCTGTTGATATGCTTGCATCTCCTATAGCTGCCGCTTCCAAGACCTCGCTTCCGGCGGTAATTATCCGCTTTCAGCAAGTTCTCGGGTGGATGAGCATGCTGTAGTTGTTCACCATATGGTAACTCGCCCCCGAGTCCAAGATCCAATGAGCTGTTTCTTTTGTGTTCGAGGGGTCCTGCCATTTCATTGGGAGGGTGAGGGAGCACCACGCTTCCTATTTAGGTTCAGCGAGGGGGGAGTCCTTGGGAATGGTAACCAAGGCGTCGCATTGACTGATACCATGTCCCGGTCGCTTGCAGACCCAGCATCGGATTCGGCGTGATTTGCTTGCGTTCCTCGAGCTCGCGTGGCTGTTGTCGGCTTCAGCTTCGGTCTCTCTGGCCCGTTCGTTTTGATCGTCGTTGCCGGCGGTTCTAGCACTGGCTTGTCGAGGGTCGATCCTTTGTGCGGGGACGCTCTCGACAGTGGTCTGCTGGATGCTTAGTGCGGTGGCAAGGGCATTGAAATCGATTTGATGGACGGTGGCAACTGTCTCCTTGTACACCGGATGCCGGATCGTGCATTTCTGCAGAGCCGAGAACAATGTATCATCGGCGAATGGTTTGCCGAGGAGGCTGCTTTCGGTTTGTATGGACCGGATCTCTTGAATTAGCTTTCTGGTGTCCGAGTTAAACATCTTTGTATCGTTGAGTTGCGAGATAAGCGCAAGTCTGTGAGACGTCTTGGTGGCTTCATTCGTGAGACCGTTTTCAATCTTTCTCCACACTTGGTTGAAAGTAAGGTACTCCTTGATTACATCTAGAACGAGGTAATTTACATTGTGTTCTCCGGTAGTGTCGATTGTTCCACGCAGGGCGTTGATTAAAGCATCGTCGAGGGAGCGGCTCCATTTCGGGTGTTTCTTGTCGTACGTTCCCTCGAGATGTTTCATCGCATGAGGCATGGATCGGAGGAAAGATTTCACATGAGCGCTCCAGCTATGATAGTTTCGTGACATGAGCTTTGGCACGGGTTCGAGGAGCTTTGCTAGGGTGCGAAAGTTATATCGCTTGTCGCCATCATCAAAGTCAGAGTCGGAATCGGTGTCTTTGTCGGCTTCATCATTGATGGCCTCCGGCTCGTTCTCGCTCGTGGCATTATTGTCGACCCGAACCTGGGTGTTCTTGCCTTTTCTGCTTCCTTTGGTCCTCGTTTCGGTGTCTTCTACCATGGTTGTCGGCAAGTTTCGGTTAGCTCGGTGATAGCTTCTTCAGACTCTTAATCAAATGAAGATAACAATTAATATACGGCGTTATCGGGGTCATGATCAGACTCCCTTTACCACAGCCGTATGTTCTATGTAATGCTTGGTTTTCATGGTGTGAGACTGAATGACAAACACATATATATACTCCATTCACTGCTCTGGTCCTATTTGAGGCAGGATGTGTCTCTTCATTTGTACTCCTGTGTTGCTATGATACCGGGTGCCACTGTGCTGTCACCATGACAACAATTACGTACCTCATTGTACTTCTCGCTTACGTGAGCCTCCCGTGTCTCAATGTCTCGGCCGTAACATGTGCATCTTACTTGAGATGCCGACGCATCTTCAACTAAGTTACATACTTTCACTCTCCTGCTTCAACCGAGCTCCGTTCTCCACCGCTCTCTGCGCACCGCCGCTATTGCTACTTCGCATACCCAGCTCAGTCTCCAACGCCGCCTTTGCTCTAGCATCCACATTCACGACCTTTTGCATCCAATACTCTCCGAAGGTCTTCTTCAGCGTCTCGTTCCTCTCTTCTGCGGTACCCGTCAACTCGGCATTCGGCGCAACAAACGGCGGCAACAACGCATGCAAAGCACCCGCGACTTCATTGACGATTGGCTTCATCTGAATCACTCGCAGTTCAGCCGCTTGCAGTTGCGTCGAGCGTTCATTTGCGTGCAGCGCACCGGACTCCCATGACTGCATCCATTCGCCTAACGATCGAAGTGGGCACACAGAAGTAGCGGTCTGTTCGGTGGACTCCGAACCCTCGCCGAGTCTAGCATTGAGTTGAGCAGAGTGCGAGAGAAGCATACGGAAACTGGCTTTACCGAGACGACGCAGTGCCATAAGTGCACCGAGCTTGGTTCCGGGGCTAGCACGGGGTTCTCGTACTGCAGCCTCGCGTCGAGAGGCAGAGTCTTGATTGTTGTTTCCTGGGATAACGCCGGTCATGAGCGCTTTGAGCAACGTTGCGACAACGCGTGGCTTGAGTGTCGGATACGAAGAGCCAAAGGTATCGACCACATGTGTAAGCAGTGCCGATGCATGCGCTCGTAGCGAATACGATGAAGGGCCAGCGGTGACCAGCGGCATTTGAATATCATCTGAGGAGTGCAGCTGACGATGGAGCTCTGGCTCTGCCAGTGAGGATGTCAGCAAGACTGACAGAATCGACGGCATCATCTGGTGCAGGTATGGCTCGATGAAGATGTGCGGATTGACAAGGATAGCGTGAATTGTGCTGAGAAGGACACCGAGCATGTGATTGTCGGCTGTGCTGATTTGTCGGCTCTCGCGCACCGCTGTAGATACCGACTCGCCGTCTGCTTCGTTCTCCTCTGAAGGCGAGCGAAGAATCTCGATGACTTTGCTCCCAACAAACTGGATGAGGTAGGGCACGAGCTGGTGCAGACCAGGATCGCCACGCAAACTCGCAAGCGCTGCATCGCGAACGTGGTTGCCAGAGCCCTTCTGCGCGAACGTCTTGAGTGGCTTGGGACGTGGTGGAGTAACGATCTGATCTTTAGGTGAGCCGACACTGTCCATCTGAACGTCTTGGTCCTGTGCGGTTGCTGCGGGCGCAGGAGCAGGTGCTGGCTCTTCGACTTCGTCGTCGAGGTCTTCGTCTGCTTCTGGTGGTGGGCTGACAATCGACTTTGTGAGCCTCTCATAGTAGAGCTGAAGCTCGCGTGAGAGAATGTGCTTGACCAATGGCTTGGCAATAGCCTGGCCCTCTCCACCAGCCACAGTGACGGCTTTAGCTGCTGGCGCTGCTGCACCTGGTTGTGTCGTTGTCGAACCCATGAAGCCCGTAGCTCCTTTCGCTTCTGCAATGGCGATCGGTGATGGGTTCTGCGGCACAGCAGGCTGGACACCTTCGATCGCAAGCCAATGAGCTCCCCATCCAACTCCACGTCCAATACCGATCTTCGGCCCTGCTTCCAGGATCTTGTCGAAGTCGATCTCCTCATCCTCTACATAGTGCAACGGTACGCCTGACGATGTCTGTACACGCCTGAAAGTGGGACCTGCAGTGTATTTTGAAGCAATGTTAGTACTTGATCGCCCTGATGATGATGGAAGGAAGCCGTAGATGGGTTCGATGTTGCGAGCGCGGAGAGCAGCATCAATGTCGGTTGTTTTCAGTTGGTCTCGTTTCGAGTGTCGCATATACTTGGTGGCATCTTGGACGATCTCACGGATACGATACTCTACGTCGGCTGCAAGTGCGGCGGCAATGCTCTCCTTCATGCCCATGATACCCACTGACTCGGCCACGTCTCGGATTGTGTCGGTCGGGTAGACAGATGCTGGCACGCCAGCCAAGGATCCGAGTCCAATGCCTCCACCTGCTCCTCCAGAGGATGATGAGGAGAGGCCGATTCCGATGGATGCAGCATTGTTTGAGCTGCTGCCTGCAGCATTGCCGCTCTTTGCTGAGGGCGCCATCGCGTTTCCGTGATATGTGTTGCTGTTGAGACTCGTCGTAAGCTGCCTGATTCTACGTGAAGCTTGAACGGCGTCTTTTCGGACCACACGATGGAGGCACTGGCCGTGATCGGATGCGATTGGAGGATGAAGACGGCAGCTAGCGAAGGTACGAGGTCAGGAGACGGTGAGGTAGAGGTGTTGGAGAGAAGTCGCAAGACAAGAAGCGCGGATGCATTCGGATCTCGGTCATCTGGAAGATCCGCAACTCACACTCGGTTGTGCATTTTTGGCGCGTGGCTCAGCAGTCGCGCGTTGCTGCCACAAACACCTCAGCTGTTGCAAACGGCTCTCTATGCTGAACACAGATCGGTCGAACGGATACACAGTGTTCACTCAACATCTTCATGCTCGCACGGCACAGACGTTCGGTTGATTGCAGACGGGATCATAGTTGGGGTACAAATACAAAGAAGGAAGAAAAAGGTCAAGGTGACAGGATCGTGAGAAAACAACGCGACACCGCCTTGCAGAGATGGCTTCTGTGCAGCAAACGGACGCCACGCAAACTAGCGCCCTTGCGAGCCAGAAGCGGGGTATGTTGAGCAGGCTGCTGTGCTGTGACATCAAAGGTCGTCTGGCTGGCCAGTGATGTAATCTGGGCTCTCTGCCGCCTTGTACTCGGCCATGAGCTCCGCAACAGTCTCTCTTGCCTCATCGAACTCTGAAAGGTCATTCGCGAACATAGGCTCGCGCTTGTACATCTCCAAGAAAGCGCTCCTCTTCCTGAGCCTGTCGTACTGATCCACCATCCTTCTGAACAGACTGGCGATACCGGTATGATTTGCCAGCATGAGACCGCTGACGCGATGCGAGCTTGGCACGTACGGACTTCGCTTTGACAGTGCAACCTGAATCGAGGCGGGACCCCATGGGATGAAGCTGGCGAGGTGTCGTTCGCGAATACGCAGCAATGACTTGTGCACATCTCGTGGGTCGACCTCGCCTTGGATGATGTTGAGGATGGAGACGTAGCAGCTGGATTTGGAGGCGCCAAGGGTGCTGACCATGCGGTTCTTGGGCTGGAGCAGACGACGCATGACATCCAGAACGGTGGTTTTCATGGTCGCTTTGCCGCTCGAGACGTTGTCGGAAGTGAAAGGAGTGTATGAAGTCATGAGGAAGTGCGCTCTCGGTGTAGGGATCAAGGATGCGATGATGCCGACAAGATCGTTGTTCATGTATCCGGGGAAGCGGAGGGTGGTGGTGGATGCGCCCATGACAGTGGCCACAAGCTGGTTGGTCTGGCTGTAACTCGGGTTCTGGAGGTGAAGTCGGTCTGCTGCGATTCTGCTGAGTGCTGCGTTATCGAGGACGATGACGCTGTCGGCGTTGTTGGTGAGACGCTTCATTGAGAGAAGCGAATTGTATGGCTGAACGACGACATCGGATGTCTCTTCTGAGTTGGGGAAGACACTGTATGTTTGAATGAGCTTTTTGGGGTAGGCGTCGTTGAGCCTTTCGAGAAGGAAGGAGCCTAGACCGGAACCTGTACCACCAGCGATCGAGTGCATCAGCATGAAGCCCTGCCGTGGTGGAATGAGAGAAAAAGCTCGCTGGTCGGTATCTGAGTCGCTAAGGTATCGCTTTGGCACACGTGTGACATTGATCAATTAACTCACCTCCAGACTGTCACTGCCATCCGCTTCTCGATCGACCATCTCGATGAGCTCGTCGGCAATCTTCTCTCCTGCTGCGTAACCTTGTGCCCAATTGTTACCAGCACCACCTCCGGTCTTGCTGCTATAGATGTTTTCTGGGTTGTACAGGTTCTTGTATGGACCTGAAAGGATGTTGTTGATAACCTGTAAGCATAGTAGAGAATTGAATGCCGAATCAGCGGCTGTCTCTGATCGAGATTGTGATGGACAGGCGAATACTACCTACTCTTGGCTCGAGATCTACGAGGATCGCTCGTGGGATGTAGTGCTCGTCATCTGCTTGGTAGAAGAAGACATCTTTGCGGTCTCCACCTTGTTCCTCAGCTGCGTATTCCTCCAATGTACCATCCTTTGCAATTCCATGTTCACGACACAGATGCTCCCAGAAATGCGATCCGATTTGGTTACTGTTGCGAGATAAAGGACAGAAAAGGTCAGCTTTGCGAATGGCCCAGACCGCGAAGATTGGTCAAAGCGTGAAGGGTGTACTCACCCGCACTGGCCGACTTGAAGTGTAATGAGCTCTCGAGGCATGTTGAAGTATGCCGAATCGCGCTACTTGTGCCAAGCGCAGCGAGTTTATGTTGATGAGTCTGCGTGTTTGCTGAGGAAGAGGCAGCCAGTGGTGTGTGAGCGGAAGGAATCACACCAGCGAACACAGCAATAGTGCTTGAATCTTTCGTAAGATGCGTATTTAGCGGATTGATGAGCTGCTGATGGTCTAGGACAGGGTCGGAAATACGAGCAAGAATTGCAAATGCTGGTGTGATGGTACGGTGCTATCGAGTCAAGTGGGCATGATCATGATCAATCCGCAGTGTTGGTCCCACCACATTTTTCGAGCTTGCCCTTGGGCCTCTCTCCTAAACTTCAGCAGCAGAGTGTTACTTCACGCGTCGCGCGGCGCACGAAAGCCATCGCCGATAATGCGTGAGGCATTTCACCCGATTAACTCGATGTACGGCTCCGAACAGGTGAGAGCAAATTTGAGACAGCCCTGAAGCACAACTAGCGATCGTGGTAGCAGACGGCAGAGTTGAAATTTCTCAGCTTCTTCGACACACAGACGCACGAGAAAAAAAAATAATTCGAAATCCGAGAATTTTTTTCTGCCGCGTTGGAACTGAGCTTAAGCTTCAGATGGAGAGGGAGGACAAAAAAAAAAAAAAAAAAAAAAAAAAAAAAAAAAAAAAAAAAAAAAGAAAAAAGAAAAAAGAAAAAAAAAAAGGACTGACAGTTGTGCTAGCTGCTGCTGAGGCTGCAAGTCTTCGTTCGAGGTTCATCTTCGCCATCCTACCTTGTTAACACATCTTGACCCTTTTGGTTCTCTTCACCTTTTCGTCGTCAACGCTTGCAACAAATTTAACGACGTATTCTGCATCGAAGGAGAAGCCCATTCGTACCTTATAGCAGATCATCTATACATCTGCTCATTTTCCATTCAGTCTGCAATAGACTAAGACCAACAACTTACATCTCACAACATGGCTTTCGGTAAGTGTCGATGCGACCAGCAATGCTACTAGCATCCGCGCAGCCTTTACGATTATATGCGAAGCAATTACTAATCTTTTCGTCTCCCTCTCATTGCTTTTGCCCTGCTTTGCACTTGTCCTTCAATTCAAATAGGTGATCGCGGAGGTCGTGGCGGCGGTGCCCGTGGAGGCGGACGTGGCGGTTTCGGCGGCGGACGTGGTGGCGCCCCCGGTGGTGGACGTGGCGGCTTCGGCGGTGGTCGCGGTGGTGCTGCTGGTGGCGGACGAGGTGGCTTCGGTGGTGGACGAGGTGCTCCTGGTGGACGTGGTGGTGGGTTCGGCGGTGGACGTGGTGGTGGACGAGGTGCTCCTCGCGGCCGTGGCGCTCCCGGTGGCCGAGGCGGTCGCGGTGGAGGAAAGCCCGGTGCTCGTGGTGGTTCCAACGTCATTGTCAAGCCCCACCGTCACGCTGGTATCTTCGTCGCCGAGGGCAAGGAGATGCTCCTCGTCACCAAGAACATCGCCCCTGGAGAGTCTGTCTACGGCGAGAAGCGCATTTCTGTCGAGACACCCGGTGCTGGTGCTGACGGCACCACTGCCAAGACCGAATACCGTGTCTGGAACCCTTTCCGTTCAAAGCTTGCTGCTGGTGTTCTCGGCGGTCTCGACAACATTCACATTGCACCAGGCAAGAAGGTTCTCTACCTCGGCGCTGCCAGCGGTACCTCGGTTTCGCACGTTGCCGATTTGGTAGGTCCCGAAGGTATCGTCTACGCCGTCGAGTTCTCGCACCGATCCGGACGTGATCTTATCAACATGGCCAAGAAGCGTACCAACGTTATCCCCATTGTCGAGGACGCCCGACACCCTCACAAGTACCGCATGCTCGTCGGCACCGTCGATGTCATCTTTGCCGACGTTGCCCAGCCAGACCAGGCTCGTATCGTAGCACACAACGCCGAGTCGTTCCTCAAGAACGAGGGTCACGCACTTATCTCGATCAAGGCCAGCTGTATCGACTCGACAGCACCAGCCGAGGCCGTTTTCGCCGCCGAGGTCAACAAGTTGAAAGGCATGAAGTTCAAGCCCAGAGAGCAGCTTACCTTGGAGCCATACGAGCGTGACCACGCCATGCTTGTCGCTCAGTATCAGCGCCACAAGGCATAGACGTAGCTAGTTGCGTCTCGCTTTGCTCCTTGGCTGCCCTTTGGTAATTTGCTAGTCTTTCGTTTCCCTTTCATTCTGGTTCTGCTTCTGTAGTTATATCTAGCCTCGTTTCTTTCAACATGTTTCTCATTTTGCATTCTTCTCTTTGCTTTGTCAGGCTCAGACAAGCTGATCGTCAGGTGTGTGATTTGCTTCCCATTACTGTCCCTGACGGCTTTAATAGAGATCTGCCGATCGTTTAGTATAGAATGTGTATGATGCAAAGAGTTGCTATTGCTATTGCTGGCCGCGGCCTGCAGCCCATGACTTCTGTCTCGCCGAGAGGAAGGAGCCGAAGTTGCCCAAAGCGGCGCGGACTTGCGTGCCCGCTTGAGCAGCAGCTTGACCTGCTGCATTGAGTGCTTCATTGGCGTTGAAGCCGGCAGCATTGCCCTGTGCATCGATTGTTGTCGTTCTACCAGATCGTGTTGAATGTTGTCCATCAGCGTCTATCGCTTCACCCGTTATTGAGCCTGATGCTCTTGTAGGCGCCGCAGATGACGACGTCGTCCCTGGCCCACTTGATGGTCCCGTTGAGTTGTTCTGCCCAAAAAAGCCAAAGCCGGAAGTGAGTCCTCCAAGACCGCCAGCATTATTACTGTTCGCTGCGGAGCCCTCACTGCCGACAGACTGAGTAGCAGCGGCATGGTTGGCGCGGAACTTGGCGATGTCCTTGCCCAAGTTGCTTGCTAAGCGGTAGAAGTTGGCACCACCAGCTTGCAAAGCGCTGCCGATAGCTTCGCGGGTCGGCGCAAGATTCTCTTCCAAATGCAAATCATGGAGGCCCGCTGACAGACGCAACCCAACATCCTCTATCGCCGATGTCTTGCCTTGGCATGGATGCTTGTGGTCGACAATATCGAACAGCATCGAGTCGGTGACAGAATTCCACAGCGAGAAAGCCTCAGTAGATCGAAGTGCAACGAGGAACTCAGCACCAAAGCTGCTTGTAGTCGAAGCATCTGGCGCCTGGATAGCCACCTGTTCAGCATCGCTCTTGGCCAAGAAGTCTGCGTACTTGGTCGAAGATAGCATGGCGCAGATGTAGTCCTCGAAGCGAATGCGTAGGTAGTCGTCACTACCGTGGAAACCCATTGATGTTGGTCGCGTAGGGTCGGCTGGGTTCCACGTCTCGGTCACGGCGGAGATGACCTCGTCCATCCATTTGCGATCTTCAGGTGTCAAGTTGACAATCTGATGCAGCTTAGCATCCTGGAACTCGAGATGGGCATGTTCGAGATCGACAACGACGTCGATCTTGCAGTCGCGTTGCTGCTTGAAGATGCTATTGCTGGTACCTACAAGCCATGTTCGTGACTTGAGCAAGTCGATCTGCTGCAATGGGCAGTAAGGCTGGAAGAAGGCGTCTTCGCCAAAGATTTCCAGCGGCATGCCTAGGAACTTGAGCAGACTCTTGCGGTCAGATGAGCGCAAACTATCGGCTTTCTCGACATGAGCTGCACGTCGATGCAATCTGGGATCACCGGCATCTTGTAAGCTGAGGAGCAAACCAGGTATGAGCGAGACGAGCGAGTACTGGTAGTTGCAGAGCTGTTCGACGGGGTAGCCGAAGAACATGACGCGGCGTTGTAGCAGCACAAGCTTGACGAGCATCAAGGTCTTGAAGCGCCACTTGTGGACTAGCTCGCGCAGAGAAGTGCCCATGTACATGACTGCTTCGCGGTCCTCGGACATGCCACCGCTTTGCAATCCGATCTCGAGCGTAGAGTGGAAGTCGATCAAAATGTCTACATCGGCCAGGTCGCCCTGAGCGAAGAAAGCGCGAGTGACGATGCCGAGCTTCTCCCGTATTGGCCCAAAGACGGGCTCCTTGGCTAGAACAACGATGGCCTTCTGCACTGTGCTTCGCGTCACCTCTGAGCCCTTTTTGAGCAAGGCATCTGCGGCGATTTGACGATTACACGAGATACCGAAGATGGTCGAATGGGAAAGCTTAGGGCAGTGCAAATGGAAGTAGCAGAAGTCTTCGTCTGAAAGGTGACTGCCGTCTGGAAGTGCGAGGAAAGGGAGAGCTTTGACAAGATCTTGATCTTCTTGAAGCTCCTTGGGATATGTGTATTCGACTTGCGGACCGACGAGATGATTGAAGTCGACGACGGCGATACCGAGGATGACAGGGTGAGTACTATCTGTCGATGAGGGTCCTTTGCGTCCTTCGGGTTGTGCAGATGCAGCCGCCTTGGCCTGATCACGCTCTGAAGCCAATGCTGCCTTGATCTCTGGGATCGACATGGAAGGCGGTAGCGTCGAGGGCGATGCTGGACTTGGAGGCACTTCTTCGGCTGGTGCTTGGTTGTCCGAGGTGATCGCTGTTGCTTCTGTTGCCTCTAGAAGTGAGTCATATTGAGTCGTTGTGCCTTCTACTGTCTCCTTAGCTGCGCTGTCTGTCAAGTCAATCGTCATGGACACGAGATCTTTATCCTCCTTGGTTGCCCCCTCTACGGCTTCGGTTGTGTGTTCTACTTGGGGCACTGAGATTGCTGTGTTCTGTGTTGTCCCTGCAGTAGGTGCTGAGCCTGAGGCATCTACTGCCGCCGCCTTTTCGACGATCGGTTGCTCGCTTCCTGAGCTCATCTTGACAGCTGATTGTGTTGTTGGTGAAGAGGTTCCCGTAGAGTCCATCCGTGTTCATGTCCAGTCCGCGATTCAAAGCAATTGGAGGTGACCAGGATGGAGAAGAAAGCCATGGGCGTGTTGGGAATGTTTGCTTTGATGAATGGTGGGTGAGGAGGTGATGGGCGGTTGTTGCAATCAAGTCAAGTGTGCGTGTTGGTGTGAGGAAAGCTACAGCAGTAACTAGGAACTGCCAAGCTTGCACAACACTCAACGTCACGTTTTGAGCTCTTCTCTCTACGCGACTTCAGGGTCGCGCTCAAGACACGAGAAAGGAGACAGGATCCGTAGGGTGTTGCGTCACGTGATCGACACTGAATGGGGAGCCTTTTTTTTTTTTTTTTTTTTTTTTTTTTTTTTTTTTTTTTTTTTTTTTTTTGGCTTGTTAATATTGAGAATGACGATCCAATATGATGATGTTGGTTGACGTAAGCAGATACAAAAGGGATCGGGTAAAGAGCATTCTGATCGGCGATCGATGATCGGGTAGGTCCCGCTCGTCGTCATAGCTCGTCATTAAGTAGGATCTACCCACGTTCGGCAAGTGCCACTCACTTGTATATATCAAGCGGGGAGGCTCCCGCCACATTCTTTCTCTTTTGAGTATACACGTTTCTGTCCTATAACAGCAGTGACATTGTGCTCCGACTCTTACCGATCGCCAGTCATCGGGACCCGTGCGATCCACTTTTTCTCAGTTAACGGCTGTATGCGGCGGCAGCAAGGGAGCAGGAAGAAGAGCAAGGCCGGATTTTTGAGACGCTGCGAACCTCCACCTTGCAAATGAATGCACGGACTGGATCACAACACTTTCCGACACTCTCCTCACTGCCATACCACAGCACGAACGAAGCAGCGGCGAGGACGGTGAATTGTGCCCTGGAAGGTAGCAAGGACTGTCGCAGTGTCGCCTATCGTCGATCCGGCAGCCAGCAAGGGACTCGGCATCGAAGCATCGGAACTGCCGAACTTTTGATGCTACAGTGAACCGGTCGGAACCGATGTTCGGCTCTTCCGACTCAGCTCAAGTATCTTTGCTCCTTCGCTCGGACTCGCTGCTCAGCGGTGGCGCTCAAGAAAGAGTGGCTCACGCGCAAGATAGGACGCGGCCTTGCCATCGGTAGCGACGTGAAGTCCGATAGACCTTGACATTTTACCATCACTACGCCTTGCCGTCCGTGACTCAGCCGTTAGCATTCGCCGTCTGGAACATATCAAGCATGGATTCGACACCGTCATCATCCAGATGTTCCTCCTCGACCACATCATCGGCCTGGCCAGATGAGGCTCCTCAATCCGAGACTCCCAGCACTACCTCGGACGTATCGTCATTCTCTGCTACACGCCGTGTAGGGCTTTCCAAACCATTTCGCTCTCCTCTTCAGCGGACACAATCGTCGCCGCACAACATGGACCAAAGCACTTTCTCAGTATCAAGGGCTGGTACAGGTGCATCGAGCCCTCGCCCTCCTGCTGGACCACTCTCTGTCAGAAAGCAGCGCGAGCCACTCGAAACTCGGCTGGTCATGCTACGACAGGCAAGCAAGTGCCTCAGAGAAGACGCACTCAACGAACTCCCAAAAGAGACTGCAAGATGGCGCGAAGCAGGTCAACTTGCAGCACAAGACTTATGGAGGATGACAGGAGCACAAGGAGGAGACTGGTCCACTGCCGCTGGTGCTTCCACTCGAGAAGACTATGGCCTCGAATCACCTCCTTCCACCCAGTCTCACAAATGCAAGGCGCAAGATTCCCAGGAGTCACCGGAGCCACCTTTGCTCTTGCGGCGATCTCGGATGAGCTCACCAGGAGCAGAAGAGGAATCTGCAGCGCTGCGTTCCACCCAAGAGTCTGCCGGTCGCAGCATCGACCCATTACGACGAGCCCAAGGTGAAAATAGCCAGGGAGCGCTGTCCGAGACCTCGCTTCCAGATGTCTCTGAGCTTCTGCGTCGATCTCAATCGCTTGTCGGTTCCTCATCCACCCCGCGACAGCAACAGAGCTTATTAGGAACGCAGCTCCAAGAGTCGGAACCATCCCCAGCAGCAGCAGTCCCTGCTGGTAGTATGGCTATCGAACGCAAGTGGAACATCGGCAGTATGCTGGATATGCTGGGTGCTGATAAGTCGACGCTAGCATGGGATCCCGAAGAAGAAGACTTTCGTGACCCGGGCACCAACTGATCCTGAGACACAGACCCTAGGCCAACGACACGACGCGCGGCTCGACACACTAGCATCCTATTTATGACAAAGTCAGATTGACAAAGGGCGCTGTTCGGACAAATCCGCAGCATGCAAAGAATATGAGGGGTCAAAGCGGTGTGTGAGAGATGAAAGGATGAGCTCAAGCGCGAGTCATTCTGACTTGGGTGAGCTGGCTGATTTCGGGTTGGGCTTACACTCTTAGCAGAACTGAACGACCCAGTTGGTAAAAGAGGGAGGGCAGTTGTGGTTAGGCATGACGGTATCGCTTCCAGTCCTCTGTGTCTCCAACAATCCACTTGGCGTCTTGTAGGCATCTTTGCAGTTTGCACTGTAGCAAGAAGCGGCGGTGCAATACCCTTGATACTGTTTACCCAACAACTGAATGTACATTGCCACATTGTATCCGTTTGCTACCGAAAGGTTGTAGTCTCCTGAAGCGAGATCTACTTCAGCCTGTGTAGCTCCCTTGCCTGTCGTCACGTTGGCTTTGCGAAGAGGGGAGAAGATCTTACCCCGGTAGTCGTCCGAGTAAAAAGAGAACGAAGCAGACTTGCCGGATTTGAGGACAGGCCATGAGGCTTTGCCAGGAAGGGCGGGGGAGAAGATGGGAGCAAACTTGTGCTTGCACTTGTTGTACACGGTGAAGGTGATTTTGGAGCTGCGGGGCGCGGGTGGGACCGAGGCAGCAGCAGCGGCGGCGACGAAAGTGCCGATGGTGAGGAGGGTGCGGATGATGGCGACCATTGTTGCGCTCGAGTTGAAAGGGTGATGGTGGATGGAAGATGTGAAGAGGATGGGTTGATGGTTGAGCGTAGGAGAGGGTCGTGGATGGGTGAGCAGAGGTTACCCGATCCGACCCATTCAATAAGGAAGGGCGTATATATCAGTTGTGGGCTCGGAGCTGGATGCATTTGTGCACACCTCTGACTGTAGCTTGCATCGTTCTTCAGACACATGCTCATCCTCTCTCGGTCAAGTCCCTGCCGCAACGCCGAAGCTTCTGTGTCTCTACGTCACGGAAAAGGCACCGGAAACAGTGAGAAAGAGAAGTGAGCGACTCACTTTTTACCCGAAAATCATGCAGTCGGACGTCAAAAAATTGTACAGAAGCGAGCTTCCCTTTCTCTCGGTTGTGCCGCTCTGTAGCCTAGGGATTTTTCCTGACTGCATTCGGACAGAACGCGCCTGGCGTAGGAGCAAAAAAAAAAAGCGGTCGCGTTTCGCGTCGAGTATAACCAAGCCATCTTCTCTGGCTCACTCGTCAAGCAAACGCTCCTGCTGACAAGCTAACGTCGAGAGACTATACCGACAGCTGATTTCAGAGTTGTTAGGATTTGGTGAGCTCCGGATGAAGCTTTAGCCTCATCAAAGGCTACACTACTTGATTACACTACTTGATTAGGGTTAGACCGTGCAACGACCGACATACACAGGCTCTGAACAGAAGCCAAGTCGGATGATCGTCCGACGGATCCGCAAGTGAGCTGTTGCCTATCCGTATCAAGTGACACCTATTGAGCTAAAGGGTGTTGACGTGACACAGTCTAGCTTTGGACTGATGAACTACGTTATGATTAACTTGCTCTTATCTGGAACACGCTACAAAGGACTTGCCATATATATGCTCGACGCAAAATTGTCCAACGAGAGAAGCCGCAAGACGGCTTCATCCACGTGAGAAACAGAATTTTCTTCGGCTGTGAGCGCGAGCCTACTAACAGCTGCAGAAAATGGGCTGCAAGGCGACACGACACCGCGAGACGCGTCAAAAAATGTGCAAGAGGCAGGCACCACCGTATCCTTCACTACCAATCCCGCATCCGCATCGATCCATCAACTCGTCCGAGTCCGTCCAGCACCAGCCGTCCTACGCTGCGTGTACCGACGAGAAGCGTGCTGGATCCATCTCATTGCGCCGGCCATCTCATCCACAACTCTTGACGCCAAGACAAAAGCTGTATCACCGCTCGCTCGCCATCATGGCAGTATCACCCCTAGATGGGCTTCTAGCGACATTCGATCGTCACATCGACTCGCGCTCGTCCGCCGCTTCCTTGGCTGTTGCCGGTCCATCCTCACGTAATCTTAGACGCAATGATCTCCGCAACCTGATCAATGGCTCCTCCGCCATTCCCAGTACTTCTTCCGTACAACCTCAGCTGTCACCTCTTGAGCGAGCGATACACTACCAAGTCGAAAATCGCCGACATGCCCTTGACCGCAAGCAAAAGGAGCTCGACTTCTGGGAAACGTACGAGAATGAGCTTGCGGATACACCAATGAAGATGCCTACGAGCATAGCGGCATTGGAGCGACAGATAGCGGACAAGAAACAGAGGCTGAGAGAGCTGCAAGGGCAAAGCAGGTTGAGAGTGGAGACGGCGAGAGCGTTAGAGTCTAGTGCGGTGATTCAAAAGCTTCTTTCTACCACATCACCGACAGCAAAAGGGAAGAAAGGGGACAGCGGAGAAGAGGAGACCGAGGAAAGCAAGAGGTATGCATCAACAAGAAACTTGTTGGAGGTGAGAGATGACCAGGCTCTGGAGTTCTTGAAGATCTTCAATGAGATCAGGGAGGTTAAGAAGGAGAGAGTGACGGTGAAGGCACGAATCAGAGAACAACGACTGGAGACACTGAAGCTCTTGGAAACGATCAAAGGAATCAAAGCGGACATTCGCAATCGTCAACTGCATCCTTCGTCAGGTGGAAGGCAGCAGGATTCGGATGGATCACAAGACATCGCGATTGTGCAAAAGGTTCAACAGATGCAAAGGGAGATCAACGAAGCAAGATCCAAGAAGGAGCTTGTAAAGGGTATTCTACGTGTAAGTGACGCTTGCCCTCAACCTCAGCTTTGAACTTGACGGATACTGACTCCCCTTGACGGGTTTTGTTGATGATGAGACCACAGGGATTGATTCTGGAATCGGGACGGGACTGGACCAAGAGCACAGCGACAAGAGGGTTGATGCTGTCGCTGGCCGATGAGGATGATGCCTCCGATGATGCGTTCGGCGAGGACGAGGAGGAAAGGGAAGAAGGCGATGACGACGAGGAAGATGAGGAGATCGACGAAGATGACGAAGTTGAACACTTGCAAGACGAATAGGCTTGCATTCACACATTATACCAGACAATGCCGGTCTGTGACACCAACGACGGGCAAATGAGGGTGAAGGGCCGGTCACGGTTGTCCGTGGAAGAAGCGAAAGCGGCCCGAGAGTTGACAGTTAGCCGCTGCACTGCCAAACGAGGTAAAGGGTTCAGAACACCCAAGACGCTTTCAAGTTGATGTGACTGCTGCACAAGTGTGAGGCTTGGCCGACGCCTTCTCTTTGACTAAGTTATTTACGATCGGTGTCATGCCATCAGATGTGGGCAATGATGGTCCCAAAAGAGCTGCGTCAGGTTGAAAGAACAAAGACGAGCTTTAATTCCACGCTGCTTCTGTCGATCGATCCGCGCGACACAGAGAAAGATCCAGGCTGCTGCCCTGTGAATAGATGAGAACAGAGAGGGAAAGTGTGTGAATTTGACGCTTAGTTGAATGCCCCACCGACGCAACAGCACAATAGCACAAAGTCAGTGAGAGCACTGCCCCCCCCGAATTTCGACCTCTTTCCCCTTTTCTTTTGAAAATGCGTTCAATTTATTTCTCTTGGCTCTGTTTGCTTGGCTTTCGGTATTTCTGACGCACACACAGACACACACAGACACAATTCACAAGGCCTGCGATTCTGACTTGTCACACTGCCAAATTGCTGTTCACCTTCAACCGCAAATTGGCTGCCTCCGTGTCTGTCTCCAAAGACGATTCTTTCATGGCTACCGAGCCTTTGCATCCGTCCCCGCTCTTTCCACTCACACCATCGCCATTGCCAGCGTCATCATCATCTACCATCAATCTCGATAACGCCTGGCCGACTCCTCGCCGTCATCGTCGTCATTCCCGTATCGTTGCTGGCATTCATCTCGACTCACTATCAACACAGCCCACTCTGCACAGGCTTCATCGACTTTGTTGCTTCTTGGTCCACCTTTCAGCTTTCTTATCTGCAGTCTTGCTGGTTCGGTCTTGATCAATCATTTCCTACTTCAAAGCGACAACCAGCGCATAACGCCAACTGCGAAACCATCATCCTCGCACATACCCTCACTCGGCTATCTCCACACAGCAGCAATTGAGCTTCCACCGCATTCATTGCCACAAATCTCAATACATATCACAGTCCCACCTCACAGCTGCCAAGCAAGATATGCTAGACCATGTTGATACACGCATCTGAAGCAGAAACGCTCAACTCCATTCGCTTAGCCCTCGAGCGTGAAGAGCAGCAGATTCGTGTCAACGACAGCACAGGCGAGGTCTACGACATTACCATCTCCAGATCCGCGCCATACGCCTCTCCCGTCGTCTCTCGCTCCGTCACACCTAGCAACACCAATGATGCCGCCTTCTCTGGCGTGAATGGACTCACTTCTACCACTTCGGCAGGGCATCGCATCCTTCGGCTACCTCAGCTCGTAAGCAAGCGTGCACATGGCAATCACCATGCCGTCCAGCAGCCTGCCATCATAGAGTCTCCAACACAAACCGACAGACCTTTGCCAGATGTCGCTGAGCTTGGTCAAGGTCGCACACGTCAGCAAAACACAGCCTCGCTTAACGGCTCTAATGGTGCCAACGGTGCCTCGTCAAGTCCCGGAGCAGGGTCAATAGGTCGTCAGGATGCAGCACAAAAGTCACAGTCCAGCTTTACCGCACCAACACGCCATCATCCATTCCTCAGCGAACTTCCACCATCGCCTCCTCTTGAGGCCGACTACATTGCCGGTCACGACTCTCGCAATGGCCTTATGAGCACTGTCGCCAATGGTTCGTCTCAGATTCCCGCCTATCCCGGCAATGCTTCTTCTTCTTCTTCTTCTTCTTCCAACACCTATATGGATGATCGTGCCGATGGAGCTTCTGTCCCTGCTGCGCCGCTTCTGACAAAAGCTCCCGTTGCGCGGCGAGCTTACACTGCCGACTCGACACAGATTCTCGGCTCAGCGTCCACCTCAGCTCCCAAGGTCACGGCCGTACCTACTCTTGTCGACGAGCCCGCACAGTTGGATGGAGTATCTACATCACAACAGCAGTCTCAGCCCGGTACCGGCGCATACCGTTCGCCCATTAAGCTCAAGGAGCGCCGCAATGCATCCAACGCATCCACTGCCAGCACCGCATACCGTACTGCCTCCTCCCATGGCGGCGCATCTGACGAGGACGACGAAGCTTCCTTCACCCAACGACGCTTCCCTTTGTACGGTTCTGCTTCCTCGCACTTGGCTAATGGCACCAATGGTGTTGTCCCAGCTCCTGCCATCCGACTCACGCACGATGCCTCACCTTACTTTCACCACCCACAGCAAGGTACCGAGGCAGGTCCGTCGCAATTGCCCACGAATGGCGACCTGTCAGGACCACCCAACGGCATCCCACCACGTCAGCAAATAGCCCGCCGCAATACCACAGGCTCGTCCTTGCAAGCTCGTCGTTCTCAGTCAGGAGGCAGTCTCACGCATTCCGTGCGCCGATCCAGCCGAGATCGCGATCCCAACTCGCAATCTGCAGGGCAGCCATGGCTCTCTGACTCTCTCAATTCGCTCACCACCGCTGACGGTCCAGCACATGCTCTGCGAACAGGAGATGCTGCTTTCGACGAAGAAGCAGCCAAGCATGCAGAACAGCTCCGAAGAGATCGTCGGTACAAGGAGCAAAAGGCACGAGATGCCGCAGCCGAAGGATCTGCGGGAGACAAAGATGTAGGAGCTGTTGGTACTGGCGGCGTCGTTGGTGCTTTGACCCGCTCCAAGACCGGCCGAGACTGGCTGAACAAGGATAAAGAGCGTGCCGATCGCGAGCGTGAGGAAGACGCCGAACCCAAAGTGCTCGTCGGCAACCTCATCGGCGAAGGTCACGCCAACTACGTGCTCATGTACAACATGCTCACCGGTATTCGTATTGGTGTTTCGAGGTGTCAGGCCAAGATGAAGCGTCCATTGTGCGATGCTGACTTCACTGCCAAACACAAGTTCACCTTCGATATCATCGGTCGAGAGTTGACGCCCACAGCCAAGTACGACTTCAAGTTCAAGGACTACGCACCTTGGGTCTTCCGTGAACTGCGCGAGCACTTCCACCTTGACGCGGCGGACTATCTGTTGTCGCTCACGTCTAAGTACATCTTGAGCGAGCTGGGCTCGCCAGGTAAGAGTGGATCCTTCTTTTACTTCTCGCGCGACTACCGCTTCATCATCAAAACGATCCGACACAATGAGCACAAGTTCTTGCTGCGCATCCTCAAGGACTACCACGAACATGTCAAAGCCAACCCGCATACACTGTTGAGCCGCTTCTACGGCTTGCACCGTGTCAAGCTACCAGGTGGCCGCAAGATTCACTTTGTCATCATGAACAACCTCTTCCCACCTCATCGTGACGTTCACGAGACGTATGATCTGAAGGGGTCTTCGATCGGAAGAGAATTTCCCGAGGACAAGGCGGCCGCCAAGTCCGGTGCAGTGCTCAAGGATCTCAACTGGCTCAAGCGCGGGCGCTCGATCGAGTTGGGTCCTGAGAAGCGAGCTTTGCTCGAAGCACAGTTGCAAAGCGATGTGGCGCTATTGCAGCGACTCAACATTATGGACTATTCGCTGCTGATTGGATTGCATGACATGCGTAGGGGAAACAAGGACAATCTGCGACAGGACAACTTGCGTGTCTTTCAGCCCGAGACCAAGGAGTTGAAGCGTCAGCCTACTCAGGTCAAGCGTCCGACTGGTACCGGAAGCGAGCAAGATGCTTCTGCCTTGCGTCAAGCCGTTCGTCGGTCTGATCCGAAGGCGCTCAACGCACAGCAGGTGACCAAGCTGCCCGATCGCGATGTGAGCGAACGTCGTCACTTCTTGTTCTACCAGGACGAAGGTGGATTCCGATCGACGGACGAACACAACCAGCCTGGGCATATGATCTACTATCTTGGTGTCATTGACCTCTTCACGCCCTACACATCAGTCAAGCGCGGCGAGACGATCTGGAAGGGCCTGACTCAGAACCGACACATGATCAGTTCAGTGCCTCCCAAAGAGTACGGTCAGCGCTTCTTTGACTTCCTCTGCAGTGTCATTACGGGTGGTGACAAGAGTCGTAGGCCCAAGATGTGGGGCTTTACAGGCGAAGATGCGACCAAAGCTAAGGGCAACAAGGGCAAAGATCTTCAGATTGAGAAGACGGTTCAGAAGCAGCAGTAGAACCTAATGCTCTCTCCTCACACTCTTAAGTAACGGGCCTCTGCTGCGCTCAGGTACATGACAAGCTCTTTCTAGTCTCTCTCCTCACACTCGTTCTACTACTGGTGGCTTTCCAGCTGCCCTTGAGCAGTCCGGAAGTCGCTTCTGCATGCTCTTCTCACGCACAAACACACACTCTTTTGCATTCGCATTTATTGTTCATGGGGTTCTTATTCTAGGAATATCATCTTCGTTGTGATATCGTATCCGCACTTTGCTCGTTGTTCTGTGGTGTAAGATGATGAGGGTGGGGAAAGCAAGGTCGGGTGAAGGCTCTAACGCGTCAGGGAAGTCGACAGGGCTGTATTTTTGGCAACAGCTGCTCGATCCAAGAAAGTGAGTTCTACTCCACCTTTTGAATGAGAGCGAGAGAGAGGGTCTTGGACTCGACGAACCCGAGATCAGGGCTGCATGTAACTTTTGTTCGCTCGCTCCTCCAACTACCTTTTCTGCCATCATCACAAGGGATTCGGACATCATGCTGCGGATATGATGCGCTGCTCAAGCGCTCCATCAACCAGTCCATACAGCGTTTCGATCGGACTTGACACAGAAAGAACCCTTATAGGATTCGGCTCGCACGGACAATCTCATCGCACATGAACGAAGAGGACATAGATACCACGATACCAGCCCAAAAGCCAATCACGAACAGCTTTAGAGCTCAAACTTGCAACGATGCCAATCAAAACAACCACCATCCTACCCAACCGCCGAGACGGTCCCTCAACCTCCACCACTCCACGTCGTAAACCCCAATCCCCAATCCTCTCCCGCCTACCCACCTCTGAAGCAGCATCCACCCTTCAATCCTCCGCCGTCGCTACCATCGGCTCCATTCGCACACTCGCGTCCATCTCTTCCGCCGCCACCTCCCTTCATGCCATCCCCACTCCGCGACGCGCCATCAAAGTAGTTCTAATCGGCGACGGAGGTACAGGCAAAACTTCACTCCGCAATCGATTTCTCACCAACACGTTCTACCCTTCTTACCGCGCAACCATCGGTGCTGATTTCATCACAAAATCTCTTCCTCTCGACCCTTTGAATCCGGAAGGAGAGAAAGCGACGTTGCAAATATGGGACACAGCAGGACAGGAGAGATTTCAAAGTTTAGGATCAGCGTTTTATAGAGGTGCGGATGCGGTAGTGATTGCGATAGATGTAAGTAAAGGCTTGGAAGAGGTGAAGAAGGTGAAAGGGTGGTACGAGGCGTTTATGCAAAAAGGTCCAGGGCCGGAAGAGGAGGGGGATAGGAGGAGGTTTTGTTGGATATGTGTTGCGAATAAATCTGATTTGCTGGAGGATGTGGATGGGGGGATGGGGTTACAGAGGGCGGTTGTGAGGGGGGCGTTGGATGGGTTAGTGACTAGGAGAGAGGGACAGGTAGATTGGGGGATAGACCCGGGTCAGATGGGCGAGAGACCAAGTGGAGATGAAGAACCAGCGGATCCAAGTGAGGTGCTAAGTAGACCTAATCCATATGCTATACCTCCGGAAGAGGAGGGCACTCCAATGAAACCTTCGACATCGATCAATGGAATCACTTCCCCTACACCAGCGAGAAAGAATTCTTCGAAAGACTACAAACTCTCTCGTAAGTCTCTTTCCTCGATAGCTGCTGCTGCGAAGAAAAACAGCGACACGCAAGCGAACGGCAATGGGACAGTCAACACAATGTATGGCACCCCTTACAACACGATTTCTAACCTTCCGCAACTTAGCTCTTCACCGACCGCCAAGTTGGATCTCAATACATCTAAGCAGGATGGTGCGACAGGTTCAACCGCTAGCAGCAGTAACGCAGGCGGTGGAGCCAGCAGTGGCTTCTTTCCAAGTTGGAGGCGAAGTAAAGCGTCTTCCTTTTCCCTTCAGCCAGGAGCGGGAAAGAAGGGGCATGCGAAAAGACAATCGATTAAGAGCATCGAAGTGTTTCATCTTTCAGATCACGAATCGTCTTCAGAAACCGAAGCAGGGGGGGATAGAAAGTTCGCCTTCCCCTCCTCCGCCGCACGAACACCTCCACCAAAAAGCCTCAAGAGCAGCTTCGGAGGAAAGGGGGGCGAGAGGGAGAGAGTGGATTCAACGCTGAGTCTAGGCGCTCCTAGTGTATACCACACTCCTAGAAGTAGTACTATCTTGAGCTCTAGTCCTACTCCACGCATCACCTTGGGATTGCCGAGTGCGAGTGGGAGAGATGATAGGAGTTTGAGACATGGAAAGGATCAATCTGGTGCAAGCAGTTTGAGGGTTGATGGTCTACCACCTTCCTCCTCCTCCGCACTTTCGCCGTCAGAAGGAGGAGAAAGTGGAAAAGGACTAAAACATAAACCATGCTTAGCTTCATCATCAGCTGGTAGCGTTGCCACGCTCAAACCTCCCCCTCTCATCGCTCACCGTAGCAGTTCTACCCAACACCCTGCATTACGTGCTCCGAAGAGTATCAATGACCTCTTCCAACTCGAACCGCAATTGCAAACACAAAGTTCGCCTCGCTCACCACCACTACCTTCGCCAGATCCACCAGGCACACCATCCACGATCTCACTCCCACCCACACCCCTCCCTCCACCTATCAACCCCAACACCGCCGAGGTAGGGGAGATAGAAGAAGGTTTCACCCTATTCTACACCTCGGCCAAAACAGGACACAACGTTGATCGACTCTTCTCACACATCGTACATCGAGTAACAACACTGCAGGCGTACGAGGACGCAGCTCGACGCACAGCCGAAGATCAAGGTGAAAGAGAAGAACGAGAACGAAAAGAGCAAGAACTGATGCGGAGGACGATTAGGTTGGCTAGTGGGAAGAATCCCGATCGTGGTTGGTTGGGGTGCTGCTGAATCGCCAAACCCTTCTCATTCCGCATTCGCATTCGCATTCTCTTGCATCACGTCTTCACAGACTCGAGAGGGGAATTACAATTTGCATTGAACATCAACAGATAAGCTGGCTTGCACTTGGCCTACATGTGTGTGTGTGTTTCGAGTTTGAGTAGGTAGGAAGGTTAGAGCTTAAAATCGCTCCTCTGGTACTTAGTAGTCTTACTAGCGGCGTTATCGGTGAAGAAGTAAATATCGCCTGGTGGACTAGGTCTGACTCTGCTAGCTGGCAAACCCAATTCTGGCTGATCCAAGACCTTACTCAACATTTCCTGTTTTCCTTCACCTGCCAAGACGAATGCTAGCCTATGAGCGTGGTTCAGTACGGGGTAGGTGAAAGTGATTCGCTTTGCGGGCGGTTTGGGGCTATCTTCGATGGGGGCAACCCATCTGTCTTGTTCCGTCAACAGCTCATGTCCAGGGAAGAGAGAGCAAGTGTGACCATCTGGACCCATTCCGAGCAAAATCAGGTCAAACACTGGGTTGCGTACGGCTTCCTTCCCGGCGAATGCCTGAACTAGCTGTTTTTCGTAGGCGTCAGAAAGTTCCTCGGGATCGTTAAGCAGCGATTCGTCGATGGTGTGGATTTGACTTCTCTTCAATTCCGGAACCTTGCTGAAGAATTCCTGATGGCAAAGGTAGTAGTTGGAGTCTTCGTGATCCAGAGGAACGAGTCTTTCATCACAGAAGAAGATTTCCCACTTATCCCACCGCAATGCATTATCGTCCCGGTTCACCAAATACTTTGCGAGCATTTTAGGGAGCGAACCACCGGAAGTGGCAAGGGTGAACTTGTTTCGTCGTTGAATAGCATCGTTCTGGGCTTTGATGACGAAATCGGCAAGGTTGCGAGAAAGTTGGTCGGAATCCGAGAAGGAGAAGAGGATGGGTTCGGCGGGTTTTTGGGACGGAGCTTGGGCGTCGACGGGTGGCATGGTTGCAATTAGACCCCTGAAAGGGATGGATGGTTTTGCGGGTAGTGTGTGTATATGTGTGGGTGAGCAAGATGGTAGTCGGTGTCTGCAATGGGTGGAAGGTTGTGAGTTGCAGTGGTAGAGGGTGTCGGTTGGAAGAAGAAAGGATGAGGATGGAAACGAAGTGACGTTCGAGAGACGACATTCAGGGCGTGCTTGGCTGCTGCTGCTGTTGCTGCTGCGCACTGACGGCCAAATACAGCAGCAGATCTCTCAAAGTGGAGAAAAGCAGATGACGCATCAATCAATTTCATCCCCGCCATCGATTTCCTTTCTCCTCTCCTGACTAAATCACTTCCTCTTGCTCCTTCCATCTTTCGCTCATGACACTCCTGGGGATCGTCCTCTAAACCTGCTCCACATTAAAGAAAGTAGTGTTGATGGCGAGGACGACACAAACGCCCAAGGACGGGCTGCCTTGTACGGTGTCTAAAAATGATAGACACCGATAACAACCATTGCTGAGTGGGATTTCTATTCGTCAAGTCGTAATCGAATACAATTTCCCTCTAGGCATTTTCAATTTGCCACTTCTGCTTGGCCTGTGCTTTCGCCGCCTTCATCCTGCAACCTGACTACTGTTCGCACTGTCTCGCATCTGTCAGACTACTTGAGCGTGATCTTCGACCATAGAGGAGGCTGCTCAGTGCTTCTCTGATAGCAACAATCGATACGGCGAGTAGTATCGAAGAGAGAGGCGAAGAACTAAGAAGAACAAAGAAGCTAGGCAGCAGCTGCCAAGCATCGAGAATGGTCCTGACCTCGGATGGAGTGACTTCAATTGGGCTGAGAACGGGTCTCCTTCTTCGCGCGTTCATCCACTGCAAGATTCCGACGATCTCACATCCTCAAACTGAGCTCGCTCCTTGTCATGTGTCTGCACTCAACCATTCTTCAGCCTCATGTTTCAAGGTCACAACATCAAGCTGGGTCAGGATTGCAGTACCGATGATAATCATTGGCAAAGACAAGCTCATATCGATACGGCCCAGGACTAGAGTGGACTACCATTATCATGGCTAAACGTCCTCCTAGTCGGCGTATTTGCTCCGCTCGTTGACCTTGTCGCACTCGCAAACGAAGTCCCATCGAACACTGCCGTTGCTCCATCATCCTCCTCCTCCTCCTCCTCCTCATCCTCATCCACCACCACAGCGTCCCTCTCCGCCGGGTACAAGTCAGGATCTCCATCTTCCTCCACCGAAAAGAAGTTTCTTCTCACACCACTGCTCGCAACGTTGCTATCCCCAGCAGCACCGCTGAGATCGAGCTCGCTTCTCGTTGCAGCATCTCTCGCTGCTAGACGTGCGCTTTTCCTCTCTTCATGTTTCCGCGATGCTACAGAGTTACTGAAGAGCGGTAAGAGGTACTTCTGGTCGATAGCCTGGAACCATTGGCCATCCTTCATTACGAGTCCGGCTCGATCGAGGAGTTGTTTGGCGGGGGAAGAAGTGCTGCCGTCCGAAGAGGAGGCTTCGATGACTGCGCGGCGGATTTCGCTTAGGCTTGGGAGGGCGCCGGTGTTGGTGGAGGTGGGGGAACGGGTGCTGGAGAGACCTGGTGTGTTGGATCGGCCGATGCTGGCACCGGTGGTTGTGAGTGGGTGCAGACCGGAGCCCAGGCCGGAGGTGGAGGATCCGGAGGGTAAGATTTCGGAGGAAAAGGAAGATGCTTCGTCGTCTTCCTCCAAGTCATCAGCGAATCCTCCACGGCCGGGTTTGCCGCTGCTACCATTGTCTCGGGCATACGCTGAACTGCTGTGACTCAAAGACGCACGTGGGCTAGAGCTTGCACTTGCATCGCGATAGCCTCCTTTGCCGCTGGATGCATGACGGTTGCCAGACCGTGTCAGGCCTGCTCGCTCTGATGCATCACGGTAGTTGCTCGAGGCGAGGTAGGTTCTTCTTTGCATACCTCCCAGACGCATTGCATCATTTTCATCCTCTTCGTCATCCGAATCGCCCTCATCATCCTGTACACCCGTTCGAATGCCCAAAATCTCCAACATCTGCGCTGTCGTACCACCAAACACAATCACGGTCAACACCACCGTCACCAACACCGTAGTCTGCAAGGCGATCGCATTCTGCCCTTCGATCCCCGCCGAGAGTGCAAACCCAACGGCACCGCGCAAACCTGCCCAGAACAGCATGATTTGGTACTGCCTCGGCAACTCTTCCTCCACAGCTCCACGCGGGACACCGCCTCCACCTGTCGCTCTAGCTCGACGATTGTTACGTGCCCGCTTAACTGCATTGACGACGCTAGCAATCGGGAAGACTGCACAGTATCGTGATGCTACCACGGCAAAGGCAGTGACGATGATGAACAGCGGCTTATACACCAAGATCTCCTGAGTGAACAGACTAAGGCCAAGGTAGATGAAGATGAAGTTCTCGGAGAGGTTGGCGAGCGTTTGGAAGGTGTATCGTGTAGTCCGTTGCGTGCGTCTTGACATGTTATGATATGCGTAGTGCTTGAGTGTGATACCGCAGAACAGAAGTGATACGATACCGCTCATGGTGACGCCGTTACTGAAGAAGTAGCTCGTGTACGCGATCAGTGCCACCAAACAGCTTTCCAACTGAGGATACGAACTGAGCCTCGAATGCTTGAGCAAAAGCGAGCAACCTAGTCCGAAACAAACCCCGAGTAACATGGAAAGCGTAAAAATGACCAAGAAGAGTCCAATACCATGGAAGATGGAGGAAATGTAGATCTCCTTGCCCCTGAAAGTGGAGAGAGTGTCGAACATGACAATCGACACGGCATCGTTCAAGATACTCTCTCCGAAAATGACCGAGTACAGCTTAGGGTCCACCTTGTACGTGTTGAAGATGGCCAAAATCGTCACAGGATCCGTCGCACTCAGTGTAGATCCAAAGATCAGACACTCCAGTAGCGTCAACGAGATACTCTCCAAACGCAGTAAAGACCAGAGATAAACGATCACGCCAACAACGATGGCACTAATGAACGTCCCTGCAAAAGCAAAGATCAAGATAGTACCGAAGTTCCGGAAAAAGTTTTCCTGTCGAAGGTCGTATCCCGAAGCAAGAATGATTGGGGGAAGGAGAACGTTGAGCATGATAGTGTTACTGAAGCTGAGCATGTTCTGAACTTGTTCTCCGGGACCGATACGGAGACAGACACCGACGAACATGCCTGCGAAGAGACCGACGATGGTTTCGTGCACTGCGGTGATGTGTTTGACTTTGAGGTAATACGAGGTCCAGAAGGAAAGAATGAGGAGGGAGAGGACGAGGAAGAGTGCGAGGGAGGAGAATCGTTCTTGTTGCTCTGCATCGGGGACGGGGAGCGTTGGTTTGAGGGTTGTTGTGGCTGTGAGAGATGATGCTGAGGTGACGCTGGAATCAGCTGCCGCTGTGACGACAGAGATGGCTGTTGTTGCCAGCAGCGTCAAGGCTCTGAACAGCATCTTGTCTACCATCTTGGGCTCTCGATGAACCTAGACCTCGTGCTGCTTGATATGCTGCGCTAGATGGAGAAGGCAGAGTGTCAATCAAAGATCCTGGCCATAGAAGCCACGTAGGGCGAAAAGGACCAAGAAAAGTGTTTGCGATCGATGGTGATGGATGTGACCAAGATTGTGTGGGCATGATGGATGAGGACCCTTGAAATAAGGTCGACGGTTTTCTTCTGCAACTGCCGGCCGCGGCGAGCTGTCAAAATCGATTTAGTGAAAGCATATACGTAATTTCTACTTCGAGCATGCAACTTCTACTCCAAGCTCACATTAATGCCAACCTCACTCACACAGGTATACTCCACATTACCTGGCTCAACTATTGCAACTGGCATTGGTATACCAGTTAACAGATAGCCAACATAGCTTCCCCATTACATTTCAGCCTCATCGTCCTTGTATCATACATGCTTACATAGAATGCTGAGAGATACAGATCATGATGGAGCCGCTGCCAAACTTGACTGTAGGCCTTGTAAGCAGTCGCATGCCTGAAACCAGGTTGGGTGTTTCCAATTGATTTCGGTGAGATCAATTGAGTAAGATCTACTCAGTATGTTTCAACTGAAAGTAACCAGACAGCTTTGTTCTGGTAGGTTTCGGCTGACTGCCTTGAACACTCCATTCAGAGGTTGTGCAGCATGTCTGTTACTTCCTGTGGTGAGAGTGTTACACTCTCCTACACAGCATGAGTGTTTGTAGTACTGCTGTTTAATGCTCTTTGATGTTGCCTGGACCACAATATGCCTATCACCTACAGATGATGGGAGTTACTGGACCACAGGTGTTGGACACTGCCTACAATAACTGACTGGACTGCAGGTGTTGAGCAACACCACCTACAGTGATGAAACTGGACCACAGGTGTTGAGAGGAACACTGCCTACAGTTTTGACATCTGACAGTGATACACACACACATTCAAGATGTCATTGCAACAGCTTCTTGCTATTGCAATGATACATAACTAAGTAAGAGTAAGTAAAGTAAAGAGTAGAGTGGATGAGGATTCACTCATATGCTATGGTGAAGTGGTAGTATTTATGTGTCCATAGGGTGTTGTCCACGGCACCACTCCTGTGTCAGCCGTCACATGCCCAAAACCTGAGATCGGTAATAGAGTCGTGTCTATTATGAATCCTGTCAAGTTATGTAACAACACTTGTGGTATTGCGATTTTTGGCAAAATATGCAATAGAGCCATCTCTATCACTTTTCTCACTCGGAACTGCAGTAAGGGTTTTGCTATTGCAGGTTTCAACTGACCACTGTGGACACTCTGTCCAGAGGTAGCTCAGCATGATCAATAACATTGTGAACTTGTACTGACACCAAGGTCTGGTGTGAATATGATTGCTGGTGGTGTTGACACAAGTGTCCAGTGTGTTGACTAAGTGCTTGAGGTGATCCCCAGACTGCAGTGGACAACTGCCTTCAGTTCTATCTTTATCCAGACCACTGGTTTGCTATGAACTGCCTTCGGACATCAGTGAGTGGTGATACAACACATGTGCTACAATGGAAGCAATCTACTTGATTGTGACTATGCTGACTGAAACTAATATATACTTATGCTGAAGTGATAACTAGTTTATATGGTGTAGAGTGGATGAGGATCCACTCATTCACCTATGATGAGAAAGTATGGTTATATACCTCTTCTCAGTGTTGCTGGTGACACTGCTCAGACCCTCTCTCCAGAGGGTACCTTCTTCATTGAGTACTATGCAGGATTCCCTGTAGCATCCCCTCCTTTCTTACCTGAGCTGAATGTCAACCTCTTCGACACAGCTCTTCCTCCTCATGACCTGTATGCTGGTATTAGCGACACAGCTCTCCTTCCTCCTAACCAGTGACTGTTCTCCTGACTCCTATCTTGTGACCCCTGAATGGTAACCAGCTGCATGTTTCTGAGCTTGGTCCCTGTCTTGGCAGAGCTTGGTCCTCCTTGCATGTAAATTTGTCATATGAACATCCTTGTCACTGATCTCCACAGAATCTGCTATATGACCTCTCCTACTACTGATCTCGGTGGGATTCATGATATCATCCTTGTTCATGCAGCTCTCAATGGGATCTGTCATAGAACCATTCCTACTACAGATCTTGATGAATTCTGCTGCAAATTCCACGATCTGCCCAATTCCCTGATTCCTGTGCCCCCTTCATATGAGTTGACAGATCTTCTTTCTTCTTGCGCATCCAGGCCCATGACATCCTGCTCCTCTTGGAGGAGTGTCCCCATCCTCCTCCTACTCCTCCTCTCCTTGTGTGTTAATCTTCTTGACACTGCCTGTCCTCCTCATGGTACCAATGTTGGTCCTTTCAGCTCTTCCCCCTCCCCTCCCAATCTGTGGCCATTCCCTTGGCCCCTATCTGATGGCTCTCCCTGACCATGTGACCATCCATATTGTCCCACTTCCATCCATGCAGTCTACCTTGTGACTGGTTCTTATGTGATCAAGAGCATGTCCCCCTTGTGTGGTAACCTGCCACTCACTCTTGAGCTTGGTCCTCTTCTTGGCTGAGCTTGGACCTTCTCCTCACATGTGAAACCTTTCCCACCATCCTGGCCTCCCCCTTGACCATGAAGGTCCTCCCTACCAAGCCTCCCATTGTTTCCTTGTAGTCCATCAGCTCATTCTGTACTGATGGAAGCTTCTTGTGGTGTGTTTGGTGAAATCAACCAGATAGTTGTATTCTGATTGATTTCAGCAAAATCAACCAGACAGATGTGATATGGTTATTGTCAGGTGAAATCAACTGGAAACCCATGATCCAGTTAATTTCACAATTTTGTGCACAAAAGGCTCCTCATACCTCATTTCGGATCTTCCTGCGCAGCTTCTGTGACAGGCCTGACAAGCTTACTGTTGAAGCTAGCATTCTTAACCCAACAGAACTGCTTACCATCTGGTCCAAAAAAGTTGATCTTTGTCTTGTCCGACCATACAACCTTTTTCCAAGCATCAACAGTCATATCCTTGTGCTCATTGGCAAATTTATGACAGGCTATGTAGTGTCTTGTCAGCGGTCGTGTGCCTGAAACCTGAGATTGGTAGTAGTGTCGATACTATTACCGATTCTGTCGAGTTATGCGACAATACTAGTAGTATTACTATTCTCAGTGAAATATGTAATAGAGTCATCTCTATCACTTTCTTGCTTGGAACTGTAGTACAGGCTTTGCTATTGCAGGTCTCGACTAACCGCTGTGGACACTCCATCCAGAGGTAGCTCGGCATGATCAATAACAATGTGAACTTGTGATGACACCAAGGTCTGGTGTGAGTATATTGTTGATGATGAGGTTGGTGGTGTTGACATGAGTGTCCAGTGTGTCGACTATCACTTGAGGTGATCCCTGGACTGCAGTGGATGACTGCCTTCAGTTCTATCTTAATCTGGACCACTGGTTTGCTATGAACTGCCTTCAGATGTCAGTGAGCAGTGATATGACATATGTGCTACAATGAGGAGCAATCTATCGATTACTACTATGCTGACTGAACTAATGAGTACTTATGCTTCTGAAGTAATACTAGTTATGGTGTGTAGAGTGGATGAGAATCCACTTGTCCACCAATGACGAGGAGGCATGCTTTTATACATCTTTTGCAGTGTCGCCTGCAACACTGCTCCAGCTCCCTCTCCAGGGAGTACCTTCTTCATCAAGTCCTATGCAGGGGTCCCTGATGAGGCGCCTCCTTCTCCTCAAGCCCTGCTTGTTCTGTTGCTCCTGTCCTCCTTGATCTGTGTCTTCTGTCGCTCCTGTCCTCCTTGAGCTGTGTCGACTCCTTCGACACTGCTCCTCCTCCTCCTCACCGGCGACGGTTCTCCTGACCCCTATCTTGCGAGCTCCCCTGAGTGGTAACCAGCTGCCTGTTCCTGAGCTTGGTCCCCATCTTGGCAGGGCTTGGTCCTCCTCGCAGGTGAGCCCAATCCTCCTTGCATGTGAATTCGTCATATGCCCATCCTTGTCACTGATCCCCATGGAATCTACCATAAGATCATGCTTACTACAGATTCTGGCAGGATTTGTGATATCAACATCATTCATGCAGATCTTGATGAGATCTGTCATAGAACTGTGTCTACTACCAATCTCACTGAATTCTTCTGTAATTCCCTTGATCTGCCCGATTCCTTGATTCCTGTGCTCCCTTCATATGAACTACGGGTCTTCCTACTTCCTGTGCATCCAGACCCATGACATGTCTCTTGAGTAGCTTGGGTTTTTTCACCAACCTCCTTGCTTTGTAGTGACAATATTGAAGTGCTTTTCTTACTGTGGTTGGGCAAGCTTTGACTTGGAATGTTTCCTGTAGTGCTTGACATGCTTTCCTGACAGTGGAGGTAGAATTGAGCTCAAATTAGTGGTCCAGGAAGCAAACATGACAGGGCTGGAGTTTTTTTGGGCAGCCCCCCTTTGACTTTGGTACATCAGTTAAGATGCTTTTGCTGATGCAATTCACAGTAGACTTTCTCAAACCAAGTTGCTCAGCAACTGAACAGATAGATTCCCCATTGTGGAGGTGAAAGAGTGCAGATCTGCACTTCTCTGGGGTAATTTTAGGCATGATAGTATAGAAATGATGGTGTCAGACTGGAAGTGCTGCTGGATTGCTCACAGTCATCTGATTGAGCTGAAACTTTCCACAACACTAATTTCGATGTATATGAAGGTGCCTGTCAGAGGTCGTGCGCCTAGAACCCGAAATTTGTGATAGAGGTCACCTAAATCCAATCTCGGCGAAATCTGTTGTAGAAGCCTTCTATTACTGTTTCTGCCAGAATCTGCTATAGAAGCCTTCTATACTTGTTCTCACTCAAATAGCTTGTAGACTGAGAGTTATTAAGGATTCTGATTAACTGCTGTGGGCACTCCTTGAGGTGACACCAAGGTCTGGTGCAAATGTGCTTGCATCAACACAAGTGTCTAGTGTGTTGACTGAATGATTGTTGATCCCTGGACTGCAGTGGACGACTGCCTTCAGTTCTATGATTCAGAGAGCTGGACTGCAGTATGTAACTGCCTTCAGTATCAATTGATATCCAGACTGCAGTTAGCACTGCCTTTGGATGATGTCAATGAGCAGTGATACAACACTTGTGCTACAATAGAAGCAATGCTCTGCAATTGCAACTGTTGATGGAATACTAAGTATACTTATGTGAAGTTATAACTAGTAATGTAAGGTGCAGAGTGGATTAGGCTCCACTCAACTACTGTGGCAAGAAAGCATGGTTATATAGATGTCCTCACAATGTCTCCTGCAACACTGCTTCTATTCTAGGAGATCTCCTCAAATACTGCTCCTCCTCTCTTGCCCTGCCTACCCTGTGAAGTCACTCATTCACACTGCTTCCTTTCCCTCCTGAAAATGGGAGGTCCTCATGTTGCTTTATCATTGATAGGGGCCACTCCCACTTCATCTGAGTGGCTACTCACCCACTTCTTCATCTCACCCATCCTCCTGCCCTGAGTTCATCACCAAGCAGGCCCCTGCTTCATTGGAGTGGCAGACCCAAATGTCATTACCATCTATCCATGATATCAGCATCCTCTCACTGGTTTCTGCGAGATCTGTTGTACAATCACAATACTACTGATTCCAGTGGGCTTTGCTATAAGATCCTGCTTGTACTGATTTGAGTGAGACCTGTCATAGAGCCTCTTTACTACCAATCTTGATGGACTCTGCTGTAAACCCTTGTTTTGCCCAATCCTGCAATTCCTGCGCCACTCTTCATATGATTCCAGTTCCTCCTGTGCATCTGGTTCTATGAGAGTGCCCACCAAGTTTCATTGCAAGTTTCATTGTAATCAAAAGCCCACAAGGTCAGGAATGGAGTGGTGTTGCTATTTGGCAGCATGCTCCATTTACTGTCCCAGAAGGGGGAAAAATCACACACCTTTTATTTTCTTTGACTGCACTTTTTGATACATCAAGCTGGTATGGTTGAATAGGTATTCTCAAGGGCTTTCAGACAATATAAGACAGTGTGGCAATAAGACATATGGCTATTGAGCATTGGAGTGATGTGTGGTGACATCTAAAATCATGGGACAGTTTATGCGCGAGCTGTATATATACACACAAAACACCATGTACTTAGTGTCAGAGGTCTTGTGCCTGAAACCTGATATCTGTAGTAGAACTGCTTCTATTACAGACCCTGTTGAGATATGTGATAAGATACTGTGTATGATTATTTTGGTCAAGATCTGTTGTAGAAGGCCTCTATGACTTTTCTCACTCAAATATGTGATAGATTGATTGCTATTGCAGGTTTCGACTAACTGCTGTGGACACTCCATCCAGAGGTAGCTTGGCACAATCAATAACAATGAATGTATTATGATGACACCAAGGTCTGGTGTGAATGATGTTGTTGGCACTGACACAAGTGTCCAGTGTGTTGACTGAGTGCTTGAAGTGATCCCTGGACCACAGTGGATGACTGCCTTTGGTTCTAATGATTGAGAGAGCTGGACCACTGGATGAACCACCTTTGGGATGTCAATCGATGTCAATGAGTGGTGATACAACACACATGCTATGATAGGAGCAATGTCTTACAATTGCTACTGTTGACAGACTACTAAATATACTTATGTGAAAGCTATAACTAGTAAAATATGGTGTAGAGTGGATGGTGATCCACTCACTTGCTATGACAAGGAACATGGTTATATACCATTCTTGCAGCATTGCCTGTGACACTGCTCCACCTCCTTGTCCCTCTTATCCTCCCCATCCACCTTGTGATGCCACTTGTTGGCACTGCCTCCCTTGCCTCCTGTGGGTGGATGGTCCTCTTGCAGCCTCATCTCTGTCAGGGGTCAGTCCCACTTCATCTGAGTGGTGACTCACACCCTTTCCACCCTCCTGTCATTGGCGCCCACCTGCTGGCACTGGCTCCATTGTCATGCAAGGCCCCCTACTTCATCCAGTGGTGACCTCTCCCTTGTTTGGTATCCTCCTCTTGCCATATTGGCAATAGAGGCACCTCTCAAACCAATTCTTGTGAGGCCTGTTGTAGCAAGCATGGTCCTGCTGATTCTACTGACTTCTGTAACAAGGCCCATGTTCCTACTGATCATGACAAGTTATGTCATAGAGCTGTTGATCCTACCAATCTCACTGATCCCTGTCAGACTCTACTTTCCCACTGATTCTACTGACTACTGACTCTTGTAACAAGATCCATGTTCCTACCAATTGCAACAAGTTATGTCATAGAGCCATTGATCCTACTGATCACACTGAACTCTGTTGGAACTCTACTTTCGCCCAATCCACAATGTTTGCACAGATCTCTTCATATGAGTTCGGTTCTTCCTGCGCATTCATCCGGTCCCATGACACTTGGTTCACAATCATTATCACAATCGATACTTGTGATCATCGATGTTTGACGTACCTACTTTAACAATTTTGCTGCTTCTCCAGGCGATCCGTGCGTGCACCCGAGCGAGACGACCAAGTGATTTCCAGCAACTTTGTCTGATATGACGATGTAACATTTTATCAAATTTTATCAAGGGGGGGCCCTGACTTGGTGCAGGAATCCTAAAGTGCGGTCATGGATGGTTGTGGTTTTAAGCTGAGATAGGGCCTTACTGTCACTTCATCCAGGCCAACGGGTCGAAAGGTAGGGAACAGCGAGAGGAAGGACGGAAGCCAAGTCGGGATCGAATCTGGCAAAAGAGTCCGAGATGATGTTGCTGTTTGTCTCCCGACTGCCGCGAAAAAGCAAAATCTGAACGAGGGAAAGAGAAAGAAGTGTGTTTGTGGTTCAACACAAGCCAACGTATCTTCTCCAAATCAACTCACGAGCCATCCTTCTTCCGCATCGTCTTGCCATCATCGCATCCAGTTGCACATCGGTGTCTCATCTTCGTCACCTGGTACTCATAGATTATAAGGACGCCTTCCTTCGACGACTTTACCCTAAACGCGCTCCTTCGATCCGCTCACAACATCACGGCAAACTCTTCTGAGCGCGGCTCAAGATGAACGACTACCCCATGGACGCAGCGCCGCAGTCGCTCTCCGAGCTTCTTCAGCAATCTAGGAAGCTCACAAACCATCTCGGTCGCTCTGACTTGCCTCAGATTCAGCTCGGTCTCGACCAGATCGAAAACCAGAGTCGCAAACTCGTGTCCAAGAGTCTCCGCTCTGGTTCCGCACAACCCGGCGATGCTCGAGCTCACTACTTTCTCGCCAACGGTGGTATCGACGCAGCCCAGCTCGCCGACACCATCAACGCGGCCAACATCGCCGGCACTTTCGAACCCCTACAGCCCATCTACGATACCGATGTCGAGAGCTACCTCACCCACGAGCACCAGCAGGTGGTCATCAGTGCAATCGAACAAGGCAGGCGCGAGACTTTGCAAGACTTTCACCGCAATCTTGACCGCACCATGCACCGCGACTGGGAGAGACAGAAGCGCAAGATCCTTGAAGAGCTAGGCCAGCACCAGCCTACCAACGCTTCCACAGCGGGTCGCGATGCTGATCTCGATGCTTCGCGCTCTGCCTTTGGCGGCGCCTCCACCTCGGCTCACACTTTGCCATCGAGTTCGAGCGCTATGTTCGGCTCCACTGCCACTTCGCAAATGCACGGAAAGATGGCACGATACCAGATGGTCGTCTCGCGACTCAATTCGTCACGTCTCGAAGGATACAGCCTTGCGCTAGCACACGCTTTCATCGATGCCATCTCTGGTCTGGGCGAGGGTGCAAAGAACAAGGAGCTGCACGAGAGCTGGAAGGCGCTGGCCTCTCTGGTGCGTGAGCAGGATGTGCGCAACGGAGAGTTCAGCACCAAGCCCATCAAGGAGCGTCAATATGCTTCCGCTTACCTCGACTTGAAAGGATGGCACGGCGTCGACGGCATCAACCTGCGCAAGGAGCTCATCCAAGGCTCGAAAGCCTTCTTAATGAAAGAGTTCGAGGAGCATATGGAGCAGGTGATTGCAGCCAACCCCGTGCTCGCTCAGCGAGGAGGTGCACCCACCGTGCGTTCCACTGTTGCCGCCTTCTTGCGTGTTCAGCATCTCAGCTCGCAACACCAGTGGAGATCCGATTTGGCCAAGGAGCTCGACGCTTCTACCAATGTTCCCATTTGGGCCGAACTCTACTTGCTCCTTCGTATTGGCAAGACCAAAGAAGCCCTGGAATGTGCTTCCGAGAACGAGAACCGCATTCGTTCTACCGACCCTTCATTCCTCGCGTACCTCAAGGCGTGGGTCGACTCGCCTGACCGTCGTCTCCCTCGTCTCCTGAAAGATCGCTTCATCGCTGAATACAACTCGCGTTTCCGTACCCTGCCCGAGGTGCACGACCCGTACAAGCTTGGCCTGTACAAGCTCATTGGCAGAATTGACGTCTCGAAGAAGTTCCCCACTTTGCTCACATCAAGCATCCAGAACTGGCTCTGGCTGCAACTCAGCATGGTGCGCGAAACATACGACGAGGATGCGGATGCTCAAGATTCGGTCCGTGACCGTTTCACGCTCGATGACCTGGGACACAAAGTGGAGAAGTTTGGCGAGTCTTACTTTGATCCTAAAGGCAATCGACCGTTGTTCTACTTCCGATTGCTGTTACTTTGTGGCCAATTCGAGAGGGCCGTTGGCTTCTTGTTCTCTCGCTCAGCACACCAGGTCGACGCGATCCACTTTGCCGTCGTGCTTGCATATTACGGTCTGCTGCGTGTTCCATTGCAAGCTGCTTCTTCGCAAGTCGAGTATTTGCTCGTGGAGGCGGATGGTCAGGGAGGCAACATTGCTTCGATCGACTTTGCCAAGCTTGTACAGCGATACGTGCGCACCTTCTCCCAGTCATCGCGTCGTGATGCTTTGCAGTACCTCTACCTCATCTGTTTGCACGCCGATGTGGCCGAGCCTGTTGGATCGGAACAGGTCCGACGCTGCCACGATCTGATCCGAGCTTTGGTGCTCGAAGCGCACCCTACCGAGTTCCAGGAGTTGCTTGGAGATGTTCGCACTAATGGCGCCAAGACTCCTGGTCTGATCGAGAGGAACTTGCCTTTGATCAAAATCAAGAACGAACGCGAATTTCTCTCGACCATCGTGCAAGTGGCTGCTACACAATGCGACATGGCTCACCGCACCGAGTCGGCCATCTTACTCTACAACCTTGCTGGGCAGCACGACACAGTGGTTGCTGTGCTGAACAAGGAGCTTGGTGCACGGCTGACCGACCCGAGCAGTGCAGCTGAGTACAAGTCGACAGGTCTTTCTTCCGGCGCATCCTTCTCTGCCGCTAGCAACCTCGTCACCCTCGCCACTGCCATCCTCGACACCTACGAAAAGCAGTTTGGCTACTCAGGCAAGAACCGCGACACCTGTCGACGACTCCTGGAGCTCAAGAAAGCCGTCGGACTCCACAGCGATGGTCAAAACCTCCAAGCCTTGCAGACCATCGAGGCGCTGCGAATTTTGCCCCTTGACGCAGAGTCGAGGAAGGACGTGGTTGCGATCACACGCAAAGCGGAGGAGTTCAAGGAAGTGGATGAGAACATTGCACGCAACTTTTCCGAGATCGTACTGATGACCATGACGATCTTGTACAAGCTGCATCAGGAGCTGAAGGAGAGTATTCATAGGAGTGGAACGAGTGCGATGGACGAGTACAGAGCACAGGCGAGAGCGTTGATGATGTGGGCGGGCATGTTGAGGTTTAGAATGAGCAGCGAGACGTATAGCCAGCTAGCGAGGTTGGATGTTTTCGTGAGTTGATTTCCGCAATAACCTCTATCTGTTCTAGGTTGATCGTTGTACTGACCATTCCCTAACTCTCTCTCCGCTTCTGATGTTCACACCACAGATCCACTGATTGATGTAAAGCACGACAAAATCTGACAAGCTGTTTACAAGACTTCTGTCATAGCGTAGCTTCCTGTGTGTTACTGAGGGACGACGTTGTGTGACCCAAGAAGAGACAAGAAGAAAGAGTGTGTCTAGGGCAGGCAAACTTTCAGAGAGCCAACGGATACAGATCCCACGGGTCTTCTATTTGTGTGGTGGCGACGCCAAAAAAGTGCGGCTGTGCAGCGCAGCGCACGGTGACCCTGTCCAACGCACAGACGGTCAACCTTTTTTATTTTTATTTTTTTTTGTCTTGCTCGCACCCACTTTTTTTGATAACTCAGCTTCAGCCTCTCTCCTCCCTTTTCCTCTTCGCTGCCACCATCTCCCATCCCCTTTGACGACAAGCACGCAAAGGAAGGAGGGATGTCGCACATCATCTCGTCTGCCATGTCAGCGGCACAGCAAAAGTTGGGCTCCTCCTCCAACGATGCTGCTGCTGCTGACCACCAACCCGGTCTCTCTCCCCCACTCTCTCCCGTAGACGACCAAGATATCGAGCTAACAGCACCTACTCCTGCCGCTGCTCGAGCCACTCGCCTTCCAGCCACAGCTACTACACCCACTATGCCTGCGCATCTCCGAAGCTACCAGAACAACCTTGGCAACGATATCACAATCGATGTCAACATCGGCCCCAGCACTTCTTCCACCTATGCTCGTGCTCAGGGCAGTGCAGCTTTCCACCACGCCCACAGACACCATACTCACTCTTCTTCGCCTTCGCCTGCTCCTGTGCACGCTACACTTGCTCCTCAACATGGGGCCGCTGATGGCAAACTTGGCGCGCCTACAGGGGACAGTGCCGTGACACCAGGTTCTTCTCGTTCCCGTGCCAGCTCCATCGGTTACGGCGGTCTCGGTCCCATGACACCGGGCACAGAAGACACCGACCCTTTGCTCCTCCGCTCTCGACTTGTCGAAGAATCCGAGATCCGTCGTCGACACTCTGGCAAAGGTCGAAACAAGCGCAACGAGCGTCAGATCCGTGACTTTTACGAAGCCCAGAACGAACACATCGAACGTCTGCTCAAACCCATCTCCAAACACGCAGACGAAGATAAACAAGGCCGCGAGTCATCTGCACTCAAAGTCAAGATTGCAGTCTATGCTTCCATCAGTGCCAACTTTGCCCTTGCTGCCCTTCAGATGTACGCAGCTGTCAGCTCTCTCTCGCTCTCCCTCTTCGCCACTGCTGCCGATTCGGTTTTCGACCCTTTCGCAAACCTCGTGCTGAACTGGTTGCATCGTAAGAGCGAGAAGGTTGACGAACGGAAATGGCCTATTGGAGGATCAAGGTTCGAGCCGATCGGAAACATTACCTATGCTGCACTCATGGGGATGGTTTCCGCCATTCTAGTGGTGGAATCGATCAAGGAACTAGCAACAGGTGATCAAGATAAGGAGCTTCACCTAGCCTCCCTCATCGCAGTCGGAATCGCTTTTGTCACCAAGGCTATCTTGGCGTTGTACTGTTTCGGGCTACGCAAGTACAGTTCGCAGGTAGAAGTGTTGTATCAAGACCACAGGAACGATCTCTTTATTAACGGGCTTGGTATCTTCACTTCGGCTGCAGGCGCAACTGTTGCTGGTTGGATCGATCCCGCTGGTGCCCTTATTATCTCTCTCGCTATCATCACAAGTTGGACACGGACGGCATTTGGAGAGTTCAAGACTCTGGCAGGGGTGGCAGCTCCAACGGACTTCTTGCAGCTGGTAACGTACAATGCTGCGCTGTTCAGTGACGAAATTCGGGCGATCGAAAGTGTCAGGGCGTATAGTTCAGGTCCGAGGTACATTGTGGAGATCGACATCGTCATGCATCCCGAGACACCCTTGTGGAAGAGTCATGATTTGAGTCAGGCTCTACAGGACAATCTGGAGAGTCTGCCGATGGTGGAAAGGGCTTTCATTCATGTTGATCATGAGGTGGAACATGCGTTTGAGCATCGGAAGAGCGTTTAACCTCCCTTCTACTTTAGCATATAAAATCTTGCTCCGTCTAGACTTTGTCAATACTACATCGTACTTCTCTCTCTGCTGCAGTCCAGTCGTTCTTTGTGTATGTATCTGTATATTACCTGCATTGACAGCTGGGGGGGTTTCTACCAAGTATGATGTGAGTCCAAGCGACAAAACAGCTTCCTCAACCCCCTCACCTCATACCGTCCCTCCTTTCCCTCCTCTCCCCACCTCAACATATCCTTCTCAGACAACTCCCTCAGTCTCGCTGGCGCACTCCTATCATCCCTCTTCCTAACATTCACCGTTTGTGTTTCCATCTCTCTCTCTCCCACCACCAGGATGTAGTTATATCTCGCCAACTGAGCTTTCCTTACCAACTTGCCCAACTTCTCTCCCTGCGGATTTGACTCTATGTCGACAAAGAACCTCTGCAAATGTCTTTCTGTGCTTTTTGCTGGTTCTGCACTTGGTTCTATCCCGAGCGAGAGATACTTTGCCACTTTCGCCACGTACTCGTTTAGTGCTGGAGAATCTGTCCTTGCGGATAAGATGATGGCTTGGCGGGGTGACAGCCAAAACGGCCACCAACCGCACGTTTGTTCGATTAGGATGGCCATAAATCGTTCTACGCTGCCGAGGATAGCGCGGTGGATCATTACGGGTGTACTTCGTTCATTGGTAGTTGCAGCGTTGGGGTCGGCGTAAGAGAGCTCGAATCGGCGTGGAAGTTGAAAATCGAGTTGGATCGTGGCTGTTTGGTGACGACGACCTTGACCATCGACGAGACGGATGTCGATTTTGGGACCGTAGAATGCACCGTCCCCCTCATTCAACTGCCATGGGCGTCCGGAGGAATTGAGGGCAGAGCGAAGACCTGATTCAGCTTTATCCCACTCTTCCAGTGTTCCAATGTAGGAGTCGTGCGGTCGGGTGGAAAGGACGAGTTCGAAAGAAGAGAATCCGAACGTATCGTATGCGGAAGTGAGCATGGCGAGCATTGAGTTGATTTCGGTTGCTACTTGATCAGGGCGGCAGAATACGTGGGCGTCGTCTTGATGGAATCTCCTAACGCGGGTCAAGCCGGTTAGTGCTCCGGAAGCTTCGTTGCGATGGAGCGGGGAGAACTCGGCATAACGGATGGGCAGATCACGGTAGGATCTTTCTTGAGAAGCAAATATCAAGCAATGTCCGGGACAGTTCATCGGTTTCAATCCGAATCTTTCCTCTTCTGCCACAGCCCCCGGATCTGGGTGGATGGAGCAGCAAGCCGTTCGACCTTGATCTATACTGCTCGGCTCGGTTTCCAGCGGGATCGGAGTGGAGGTGGATTGTGTGCGAGCAAGGCGCTCTTTATACCCTTCAGTAGCAAACATATCATCGCGATAGTTGTCCCAATGACCAGACCGTTTCCAGAGAGACGTTTTGTAGAGTTGAGGAGACTGCACTTCGTCATAGCCATAGACGTCGTAGAGGTCACGGACTACTCGTTCGACTTTTCGGGCTAAACGCATGCCGTGCGGGAGGATGAAGGGGGTTCCAGGTGAAGAGTCGTGCGTGAGGAAGAGCGATTGTGTTTTTCCTATTGATCGATGGTCGGTTGGGTTTGTGCTGACGGTTGCATCTGCTGGACTTGGTATTGGTGTAGGGGTTGCGCCTGCGGCCGAGGCTTCTGAAGAGCTTGAGGCGGTGCGGCTGGCTTGTGTTGCGTTGAGGCCACGGAGAGAGGTGGAGGGGGCAGCGACAGGACGAGTACTGCTGCTTGTGCCAGCGCTGCGCAGCATTGTTCGGGCGAGCATCCTAGCTCCGTTACCAGTCATTGCTGGGTAGCTCTGGCGCTGTTGATGATGGTGGTAGATAGCGGTAAGCTTCGGTCAATGTCAGAGGTCACTGCTGAGAATGCATCACGTAATCGTCGGACTTAACAATCGAATTGTTCCGCTTCTCCGCTCCTCTCTTCACAAACACCATCTTCACCAAAGCCAGGCGTACTATTAGCAGCCTGGACCTCTACTGGACTTGCCTGCAATCCACTTAGTTTCTTCATGTTATGTATATACAATTTAGTAACGTTTTTGGTGCGATTGAGTCCAGACGGGATTGCAAGAAACGTCTAAAAAGTCATGTTAACTCGGCTTTTGGTGAAATTGAGTAGAAATTAGATACACCGCTCTGGAGGCCACAGTAAGGCACTCCTTTCAGTCAGGTGGAACTAAATAAAAAGGCTTTTTATTATAATCACAGGGTGGCTACTGAACAGGAGTATGTTGCTGGAGATTGCGATCCAGTGCGACGCCAAAGGATGTCGCGGGGCGATCTGATCGGAGATCAGGTGGAGCCGATCTGGTTAGATAACCGATCTCAGCAGAGATCGGGTGCAACACAGTCCTGCTCGTTGTCATGGTAGATCATTAAGTAGGAGTACTCCCACCTTCGGCTTGTGCTGCTCACATGTATATACAGCACATGTGTAAACTGTCCCATAATTTTACATGTCACCATACATCACTCTAATGCTCAATAGCTATAAGTTGTATTGCCACACTGTCTGATATCATCTGAAAGCCCTGCTTCTTCTCTCCAAGTCTGTGTAATTGATATTGACATTGACTAAAAAAAAAAATTGTGCTATGAAGAAGAGCAGAATTTTTTTTTATTGTGGGACATGTCCTTGTGCTCATTAGCAAATTTGAAATGGGCTTTGCAATGTCTCTTGAGTAGCTTCGGTTTTTTCACTAACCTTCATGCTTTGTAATGACAGTAATGAAGTGCTTTTCTTACTGTGGTTGGGCATGCTTTGATTTGAAATGTCTCCTGCAGTGCATGACATGCTTTCCTGACCATGGAGGTTGAATTGAGCTCAAAATAGTGATCCAGGAAGTGAACATGATGAGGCTGGAGTTTTCTCAGCTGGCCCCCCTTTGACTTTGGAACATCAGCAGAGGTGCTTTTGCTGATGTGATTCACTGTAAACTTGCTCATACCAAGTTGTTCTGCAACTGAACAGATAGATTCCCCATTTTGGATGTGAAAGAGTGCCAATTGGCACCTCTCTGGGGTGGTTTTTGGCATGATGGTATAGATATGATGGTGTCAGACTGGAAGTGCCACCAGATCACTTGCAGTCATCTGATTGAGCTGAAACTTTCCACATCACTACTTTTGATATATATGAAGGCTCCCACCAAGTTACATTGCAAGTTTCATTGTAGTCAACAGCCCACAAGGTCAGGAATGGAGCAGTGTTGCTATTTGGGAGCATGCTCCATAAACTGTCCCACAATAATAAAAAATTCAGCTCTTCTTCATAGCACAATTTTTTTTAGTCAATGTCAATATCAATTACACAGACTTGGAGAGAAGAAGCAGGGCTTTCAGACGATATCAGACAGTGTGGCAATACAACTTATAGCTATTGAGCATTAGAGTGATGTATGGTGACATGTAAAATTATGGGACAGTTTATGCATGTGCTGTATATCTCACAGAGAGCACTAGGCTCTTGCCACATTCCTTCAGTCAATTGAGTATATATGTTTCTGTCTATAAAGTAGCAGTGACATCGTACTTAGACTCTCCTCAATCACCAGTATCGGGACCTAGAACTTCTCATATGTATGTATACTCTAACGCTAATGCCCGACCACGTTTGCTCTTCGAGACATGTCCATGGGCCGTATGTCTCCTTTTATAGCCGTTGTCATGTCAACATATCCCCTGCATACCATGGTATCAATCCACGAGCATAGGCTGCATATGTTCTCACGAGCATTGCACCTATCACATCTTTTTTGGCGCTTAGTGTCTTCCCGATCTCCCGATTTTGCGTACTCTGGTCTAACACGTTGACCTTTGAAAATGCCGATGTATCTTCAACTAATAGAGGTCAAGAAAAGAAGGGTCCTGCAATTTTTCGACAATGTTAAGTGGTGTTCACAAACAGCGTAGCAGAAAGCGCACGAGCCAAAAAGGGAAAGCGCGCCAGATGACGTCAAGAGCTACTGAGACAAAAGAGCCTTTCAGATCAGGGAATGGACCCTGAGCTGTTTTTGGACAGCCTTCTCACTCATTCTTATCACTCCATCAGCAAGTCATACGGAGAGCGATCCCACATCCGTTCCGGGCCCATCCCTGTATACCTCCCCGGAACGCATGCTTCCTTGTGCACGTCAGTGGCCACCATGTATCTCTCACGAGCCTCAGGCCGGATGAGCCTCGCCCAAACCGCTATCCTTCCACTCCGTACACGCAATGCAGCCTTCGTTAGAACAGCAAGTGCTTCAACACTCCTCTCCGCACGACGCTCTAGCGTACTGTGCACTCGTACCGACAAGCAGCACCTCTCGCCAAGAGCAGCAACGACCAGCCTCGCAACCCTACGATGGTCATCATCAGCAGCACTAGCTTCCACCTCACCCGAAGCGGCCAAAGTCGCCGAAGACGCCGAGAGCGAAACTGAAAACGATCCTTTCCGCAAGATCGGCTATCTTTACTTTGACACCGTGTTCCCCATTCGACTTGGCTTCTGGGACATTCGCTACATGCTTGCTTCGCTCGAGAAACGGTCCGTTCTCGACAGAGTCAAAGCCAGCTTGCCTCCCGATCAGAGTGTTGGCTATGGCTTCAAGGTTATCGGTGCCGAAGAGAGGATGAAGGACGGTGGTGCATTCGTCACTTTTTCATATCGCGAGGATCCGAACGAAAAGAGCGAAGAGTCGCTCAATACGATCGAAATGCGTCTCAAGTCTGGCGTTCGTCGTGTCTTCAATCCGCTTCTCTTCTTCCTCGGTACTCCAGGTGTGCATGTCGTGCGTGGTAAGCCGTTTAGGGAGGATATGAACATCTTCCCCGCCACACGCATCTTTGTTAAGCTTGAAGGTGGGGATGCCAGCGAAGAGCAGCTTTGGCAGACTTTGAGGCCCTACGGTCGCATCGTTTCCATTACCAAAGAAAAGCCTTCCGAGGCACTTGTCACTTTCTCGCGTATCCGCGGTGCTACTAGTGCTCGTAACTGTGCACACGGGTTAGAACTGCCAAATGGTGCCCGTTTCGTGATCACGTTCAGGAGCATGCTCCGCAGCAAACAAGCTTGGGACTGGTTCTCGAGTCATCCTCGACTGGTCTTCCCGCTTGTAGCGTTCCTCATCGGTGGTATCTCATACATGGTTTTCGATCCTGTACGAGAGTTTATGGTCGAGAGCAAGGTGCACAATACCTTTTCACTTGACGAGTATCGCGTCTACACTTGGATCAAGCAGAACACCGTCGGTTTGTTCCAGGACAGTACTGGTGATGCAAAAGGAAGCGTCGATGATTGGTGGGAGCGTCGTCAATCCGTCGAAACCATCCAAGAATGGATCCGCGAAAAGCCTTCGACATTTGTCACCATCTCTGGACCCCGTGGATCCGGTAAGAGCGGTCTCGTGAGCAAAGCCATTACTCGCGATGTTCAGCATCTTGTCATCGATTGCGATGCGATTGCAAAGACAGCGAAGAACGACTCGCTGCTGATTACGTCGTTGGCGAACGAAACGGGTTACTGGCCAGTGTTCAGCTGGTTGAGCAGCATCAACAGTATGATTGATCTCGCTGCTGTCGGTCTTATTGGTTCCAAAGCTGGGTTTGCTACTCCCACAGATGCCCAGCTGAAACAGATCCTGGGTGTAGTCACAAATGCACTCAACAGCATCAATGAGCAGACGCAAAAGCGGCTCGCCAAAGCCGAGAAAGCAAGGCTCGCTGAAGAGAAAAAGCTCGTCAAAATATCCGCTCCCACACCCACCCCTGGCTTGTCAGCCTCGACTGAGGTGAGGGACGAGAAACAGTCGCTCGAGGCTAAAGCTTCTACATTGACACACAACGCAATCGATTCGATTCAGCATCTTGTATCCGACCGCGAGTCGGAGAAGGAGGGGAAGAAGGGTAAGACGTTCGATTCACCGGTGGTGGTGATCAAGCAGTTCCATCACAAGGGGATCAAGCAGGCGATCCTGCATCCGGTGTTGGCGGAGTGGGCGGCTGAGTTGGTGACAAATGGAATCGCGCATGTTATCTTTGTATCGGATAATCCGGTTGGGATGGGTAAGGAATTGGCGAAGGCGCTGCCGAATGTTCCTTTCCAGGGTATTGCATTGGCTGATGCAGAGGAGGACAAGGCGAGGAGTTATGTGTATAACAAGCTTAAGGAGATGGGCCGTCTGCCCACACCCACTTCCTCCTCCACCATAGGTGCCTCACAGCCACCCGTCTACGGTTCCACTGCCACCCAAATTCAAAGCAGACCAGCTAGCTTCACCACCTCCAGCACCCCAAACCCTACCACCGCCACCGAACCCCAATACGCTCCCACACTGGACAACAACACAGCCTCATGGGTCGACAAACTCGGTGGCCGACTCACCGACCTCGAAACCCTTGTCCAAAAAGTCTCTTTGGGCCAAACTGTCGAGTCTGCAGTACAAGACATCATCTCACGCTCCGTCGTCGAACTCCGCAAAAACGCATTCGGCGATGACTCCTCGGAAGCCTCCTCTCTCCCCTGGACGCGCTCTCAAGCATGGACCATCGTTCAAAAGCTAGCCAAATCTGGCGAAGTCTCGTACTATGGTCTACTCCATAACGAGTTCAAAGGAAACGAAGGAGCGATTAAAGCCTTGGAACAGGCCGAGATCATCTCAGTGAGACATCACGATGGTAGACCATCTGCAATTCGTGCTGGTAGACCAGTGATGCAGGAAGCGATCAAGCTCCTTGTGTCTGATAAGGTGTTTAACGACACGCAGACATTGATGGCGAATGCAGGGGCGATTGAAAGTGCGGAGAAGAGTCTGCAAGGGATTGAAAAGGAGATTGGGGATATTAGTGCGATGATTCAAGGTTCGCCTTTCAAGGTTGCGTCTGGAGCTGGGGCGACGATGGGGGCTGTGCTGCCTGCGCCAGAGGAGAAAAAGGAGAACAACGGTGGACTGCTGGGCTTCTTGGGTGGTAGTGGGGGCAGTCACAGTGCGCCGGCGATCAGTACGAGTGAGGCAGCGAAGGCAAGGACTGAGTTTTTGATGTCAAAGATGGCAGAATTGCAGACCAAGATCAGTAAGTTGGACGCACAGAATACTGCTATTAAGGCTAGGTTGGCTAGCCATATCGATTGAGACCTCCATCATCAGAGGAGTATCATGCTTCATGTATAGTGACATCGCTTTGTTGCTTTGTACCATATGTGAAAGGAACATCACTTCTCACACTGTTCGTGTGGTTTTGAGCAGATGTGTTTGCTCGCGTGGCAAGCATCACGTGCGCAGATGAGATGCTGTCCAACGAACCGTTGGGAAGAAAGGATGTGTTTGAGCGACTGATGTCGCAGACGAGGTTGCGTGGTTTGACGTCAAACGCCTTTGTTCTCACTTTGCCTCCACAAGGGTGTCATACTTGATGCCGGCGAAATGTTGTCAAAGACGGCAGGAAGCTGGAAGAACAACATCACTCAAGACCCTGAACTGTCACGCCTGGATGCTCTCTCGTGCGAATGCATGCCGCATGAGAACATACAATCAACATCTTCTCGCGCGATACACGTCACACACAAAATCCGATACCTATCTTGCCTTGTACGGAAGCTAGTACTTAAACTAGCCTCTCCTTAGATCTCCTCCTTCCTTCCTGCAATCCACTTAGTTACACCGTTACAACGCGCATATAGCCTGCGCATCTAACACTGAACCACAAGAAGAAGAAGAAGAAGAAGAAGAAGAAAAAGAAGAATAAAACAGCATATAATCAAGCTTTTTGCCGAGATGATTCATCAGTGACCTCGACAGCAGGTGGAGAAGACTGTGTATGAAGTCACACGATGCTCACCTTGCTTCTTGACACTTAAGCACTGCGCTGTAAGATGGAAGCGTGTGTTTGACGAGACTTGGGGATCGACAGCACTGCTTCGTCAAGTCCCTGTCTGAGTCAAAGGAGACTGCGTTTGTCAGCGCGCAGACTAAAAGTGTTCGTCTTGCCTCTCGGAGAATCAGTTGAGACGTCAAGTACCATAGAATGGCTGTTGCTAGAAGAAGGCTGGTGTGAGCTCTATTGCCTCTGCTGTCTGGGAGCGGAGGGAGTATAAGTAGCAGACCTGATCAGATTTGTTCCCTTCATCACATCTTTGTCGAGACCAAAGCAACCTCGATCGCAAGACATCCCATCTTCAACACTAACAGCCACAACGCATCCAAAATGACTCGTACCGATGCTGCCCCTCACTCTGTTGTAAGTCTCTCCGAACCTCATACCCCTCTACTCTACTTTTCGCTTCTAGCCAGTAACTAACCTTTCCCCCCTCCCTCTCCTACCCTCCTTCTTCCCGCAGGCCGAGCTGCAAAAAGACAAGCACTCGCACTCGCTCCCCGGTTCCTCCTCCGGTCCTAACAAAGCTGGCAACTCTGCTCCCTCCGGCGCTGCCATCCTCGGCACTGAAATCGGCGCTGAACGTGATGCTCGTCGTGAACTAGCCGCCGCACGTCGCGATGGAGAAGACATTCCTGGTCTCGCCGACTCCAACCCTTCTTCCACATCCGCTGCTACTCTAGGATTCGGTCAGCTCAATGGCGCTGATCAAGGTATCTCCACTCCTGGTCAAGAGAAGAGAGATCAGATGCAAACCGAACGCAATGCAGAGTTCAACAAAGCTCAGCCAGATTTGAGGAAGCTCGCTGCTAACAGCGCTGGTAGTGCAAGCAACACCACTCAGGGTGCCGATGAGGAACAGTACAGGAGCAGTGGAAGCAGAAACCCTGATGAGTTGTTGGAGACGGCAAGTAGAAGTACTGGTACTGAAAGTGGTACGGGTGCTGCTGGTAACGGTACTGGTGAGATCGAGGTTGGACGAGATGCTACTGCCACCGCCTAATCACGCACTTAAGCTTCAATGTATATCGTTCACTGTTAATCACACACCAATCCATTCCTTCATCTTTCCATTGTTGTTTGATTACTTTGTGTGCGTGATATCAAATGCGACTCCCCAACCTCGCACTTCTCTTCTTCCGTATCCCTCTCTGCCCGCCCTGCCCCAACCGAACCGTTACCCCAGGTAACCGTCTCTGACCTGTAACTCTACTCTGCAACATCTGATTCTGTCTCCTAAAAAGCAACTTCTGCCTCTGAACAAAAGCCCAAATGCTAAACAGCGCTATACTTGCCACTACAGCGATCATTTCAAAGTAATCCCTTCCCTCTTGCCTAGCTGATTTCCCACAAGCTTCCCACCCTAACATTGCACCTTTCTTACCCCCAGCCTCGTCTTCATCTTTGGCTGAAGAAGCGAGTGAAAGCGCAGCTTTGATCGATTCGGGAGAGGAGGGTTGGGAGATGGGAACGCAGGCTGTTCGACGACGGTTATTGTATGGTCTGCAATAAGGCAGATGAATGACGTCTTTGGAACAGCTGTTGCAGTCGGAGATCGGTGCACAGACGTATTTCGTCGCGTTCCCCGCTGGAGTGCCGGATATGGGTGAAGTTGCGTCGATAGCTTCTAATCCTCCTTTTCCTTGATTCGATGTTGGGTTGGGGGAGGCGGAGTCGGTGCGCAGGGAAGACCATAAAGGCCACTCTCCATCGTAACCTTTTACCTTGGACCCTTCATTCTTGCCATCTCCAATAATGAATGGTGCACCGGGAAGTTCTGTGTCTGGTCTCCAACCGTCTCGCCTTTGCACTGCGGTGGTGGAGGAAGCGGAGGGGAGAGTGGAGAGGAAGAAAAAGGACAAAGTGAGGGCTAGTTTGGAGGGTCGTGGTCGCCGACTGCGTTTGTGGTGATTGGAACGAGGCATAGCGAGCGTGTGTGTGTGTGAGAGAGAGATGGTGGTGGTGGTGGGGAAGGTGGTAGAGTGAGGATTAGGGTCCAAAAGTGGAAGAGGTGGTGAGTTGGTGATTTTCGGAAGACGGCGTTAAATTCGCCGTTTTGGACGGCTCGTGCGTGTGCTGCCGAATGACCCTCCTTCACCTCACACCACCCTCGACTTCTGTCCAACAACTTGCACTCCGTAACAACACGGAACTGCCACATCTTTACATCTGCAGCCATGTCTCAACCATAACCCCGACAGCAACAGGCAAGAGGATTCCAAGCTTGAGCAGCGACCGCGTTAGAGCGAATTCAACGCAGACATGTCGGCCACCACAACTCCCGACATCAACATCGCCGACCATCCCTCCTCCTCCTCTTCTGCCGAGAAGCAGGTAGCAAAGAAACGTCGTCGATCCTCTGTCACCGGGCGTACCCGAGACCAACCAACCAAATCCGAGTCATTCGGAGGTGCAATCATCCGAGCTCTATTCGGTACTCTCGCATTCCTCTTCAAACGTCCAGTCCGCTTATTCCGCCCAGTCAAACTTTCATCATGGACAATCCTAGAAGCGATGGCCAAACGAGAAGGTCGCACCCTTTCCCTCCGCTACCTTCGCACTTTGCTCCGGCGAGAAAACTCCAACTTTCTCCCGCATCTACTCTTGCCGCCGTTACTGTTCAATACTGCGATTGGGTTTACCCTTTTTGAGGCATACAGCATTACCGAGAGTCGGCTACTTGCTAAGTCTAGACGAAAGGTAGAGAGTGGCGAGGAGGGAAAGGAAGGGAAGGTGGAGAATAAGCCGAAATGGACGCCACTATGGATCGTCACCGCAAGCGGAGCAGTTGCTGGTGCAGCACAGTGTTTTCTCTCTGCTCCACTCGATAATGTTCGCTACATTATCCAACGGAATGTCTCTGGTCCAGATGCGCATCATCGACACTCCTCACCAGTCCGCCCCATTACCACCATCTCATGGCGAGCTACACTACGAGCAGCAATTCTACCCTTTGCACCCGCAATCGCTCGAGACAAACTGGTTCAATCGGTCCAAAATGAAACCATCGAACGGTCTAAACGCGCTCCCAAACCGACCCTTCGAACTCGGGTAATGGCTCTGATCGAACCAGCTACTTCCTCCCTCAACTCCGCAGCTAGTGTTGGAGAGAGGTTCAGTATGAGTCCGGAGAAGCGGAAAGAGTGGGAGAAAAGACTGAAGAGATGGAGAGGAGGAGTACATGGATCTGGATTAGCACTGTCGTTGATTAGGGATAGTGTTGGGTTTGGAAGCTTCTTTTTCATTTTTGAAGTTTCGAGGAGGTGTGCGTACTTTGCGTCTACAGGAGTGGATGGAGTTAGTGCTTGGTTCAATGCAAGAGGTCTGGGAATTGTTCGTAGGCGCGGAGAAGGGGGGGAGCGGGAGGGGAGCAACGTAGTCGGTCGACGAAAAAGCGATACACAAGGGGATGGGGATGTATACATCGAAGACTCTCGAGTATCGCACTGGATAAGAGAAGGGCAGAGGAATGTAACCGATGCAGATGTGAGTTATAACCAGTCGAGAACGGTACAGGGTAGAGTGGTAGCGGTGATCATACTGCTTGTGGGAGGGGCTGTAGGTGCGTTTAGTTACGAGTTGGTGGGAAGACCGTTTGAGTTGATGCGTGTGGTAATCTGGGAGGGGAGGAAGCAGTGGGAACAGGGGAAGCGGGAGCCTGGGTATCGGTCCCCCTCTCCTTCTGCAGCGAAGGCTCGGAATAGAAGTACAACTGCGAACGCAGAGAACACAGACGAGGCAGGAGCTACAGGGCTCAGTACGGTGGGGAGATCCACGATCAAGGGGGCGAGAGCGAACGCAGTGGCAAGAGCGGAGGCGATGGGTCCGAGAGCGTTTAGAAGAAGACCTGACTTCATGGTGTTAAGGACGCAAAATACGTCGGGGACGAATGTGTCGAGGATTTATGAGAGGGCTAAGATTCCTCGTGCTCCACACCCATTGCGGCTGGTTGCGGCTTCGAGGCACGCATTGAACTCCAATAGTGTCCATGGTACGGCATGTCCAATGCTTACTAGCTCGATTGCTTTGCAACGACGCAAAGCTCAGCACATGTCACCTTACAGTGCGTCTCCGTCTCAAAGCGGAACAGAGAACACGAAACCGGCACCATCAGAGAAGAGGAGCGACCGAAGCAGACGACCAACACCAACACTCGCGACTCGTCCCGGCTTCCTCACACTCCTCATCGAGCACGCTCAAACAACCGTAAAATTCGACCGACTCCACGCTGGCGGCCCAGACCCATCTAAAACATATATCCCTCTGCTGCTCCTACACACCTACTTTATCGCTCCCTTTCTCCCTGAGATCCCTAAACCGATACTAGACAACGAAATCACCCGTACTGCTGCTGGGGTTGATAAGCATCTACAATCTTCCTCCGACTCTTCCTTTGCCTCTGTCTCTCGAGATGAGAGATCAAAAGTAGAGGAGATCAGGAGTAGGGTCAGTACAGTAGCTCAACGGACGCTATTGATGTCGCTCGCTTCGAGGAGGAGGTCGGCTGATTCTCCGGAGGCTAAGCTGAAGAGAAATTGGATTCGGAATAATCCTGTCAACTTTAGCTTGGCGTCGAACAAGGCTCCAGGAGGTAACATTAGTGCGGGGGGAGCAGTGATAGGGAAGAAAGCAGGAGGCTTTGGAGCAAGTGATCAGAAGACGCTGCAGAAGGGGACTAGGTACTGGGCCAGTGGGAGAACCATGTGGGCTATCAAACGTCTTTGTACACCTTATGGTATCGCTTTCCTGGTGTTTGCATGGTTAGGAGGAGATCTAAACTAGTTTGCATGCATACATTACATCCGTAAAACGCTCGTTTGCTGAGCGAGAGATATGATGGTGAAGAGGTTGACCAAGGTCAAAAAGAGAGTGAAATTGTTACGTCGCGTAAGAGTGACAAAATCGCGAAAATTGACACGGATCGCGGAGATGCACAGATCAACGCTCTCCTCAATGCGAAGCTGCGTGTTTCAAAGCCTTCCTCTTTCCAACTCGACATCTTTCATCCACTTCCAACAGCACTCTACCAACTTACTTTCCGCTATTCAACGAAGACAACGCTCTTTTTCGTCGTCTAGCTCTTTGTGGTGTCCGTTATGCAATCCAAAACCGCCCCGCCAGAGCCAGAGGTCGGCACAGCAGCTGCTGCTGCTGCCGGTCCAGCATGGCGTCAGTTCTCGTTCTTCGAATCATCACCCGTTCGCGATATCGATGACTTTGCCAAGTCCCCTGTTGCCTTACGAAGTCCGACCGAGGTGGCTGCTGTATGTCAGTGTCCTGTTCGACCTCCACCTTCTGCCCTCTCCCCCACCTCCAGCGATCCAAATACTTCTTCTGCAGTAGTCGCATTCGACACCGACCCATCCACCTCATCCACCAAACCCACACGAGCAGCAAAGGCGGCGCGCAAACAACCGTGTACACTAGTCGGAACAATACAAGGAACGATTAAAGTGCTCGATCCTGAAACCTTTCAGGAACTTGCAGCTTGGGATGCATTCTCTTCCGCTGGCGTTGTTGGTCGAGTAACGCACCTGTCTTGTGATGCGAGGGGAAGAGTGGTATCGTTCGGAGAAGAAGATAGTTCTCGGTTCCCGGTCTTGAGGATTTGGGATTTGCGGACTGGGCGCAGTGCTAAGGACTGCGAAGTCAAATGGATGCCGAGGCTACTTGCGGAGGGCAAAGTACAGCACGGAAGTCGACCGCATCCAATTGCAGCGTTATCGCATACTCCATCGTTGTCGTATTTGTCGGCTGCGTTGGCGGATGGAACGGTGTTGTTGTTAAGAGGGTTGGAGAGTGCGTTGATGGCTGCAGTGGGTAGTGCGGGGATTGCGAGTACTGGGTCGAGTGGGAGACCGGCGCCTGCGATTGCGTTGCCCAAGTTTAAGGTCGTGTTTCAGCCGACGAGCGGTGAGAGCGGGGTTTCCGGGGAGGCTGTCACTGCGTTGGGATTCTCGGAGGCTGCGGCGCCCAACTCTACCACACCAAAGGCTGGGAAGGAGAAAGCTGGGACAACATCGACAACTGCACCGACTGCCTACGAGCCGAGAGTAATGCACGGTTCCAAAGGACGTAAAGCTGCCCTAGCCCGATCGCGGGACCCGCGCAACGCTAACTATACAACTTCGACGCAAGATCAGACTGCAGGTGGAGGAGTAGCAACACCGTCAGCAGTCCATCTCTTCATCGTCACTCTCTCCCGTGTTCTGCGGTATATTGTGGTGGGTAAGGGTGCAGGTGGTAGTCCTGCAGTGTTAGATGATGTTGGATCTGCGTTGGGTTGTGCTGCTGTTATCCAACCTTGCAGTACTTCCTCGACAGGACTAGGTTCTGCAACCGCAGCTCCGAGCTCAGCAGGGAAGATGGTCATCGCTCGAGACGAAGCCATCTATGTTATCGGTCAAGAAGGGAGAGAGGCATGCTTTGCATATGAAGATCCGAAATCTTCCATCCACCTCTCGTCTTCTCAAGTGGTGATCGTCTCGCCGCCTTTCACCCCCTCCTCTTCCTCTTCTGCGGGGAACCGATTTGTCGGGAGGGATTCGCCGCTCCCCACCCCCACCTCACGCAAAGGGTCAATGTTGCCCCAGGAGATCGCGAAGATCACCATTTTCGATCTGGACAACAAGCTAGTAGCCTTCACCGGCACTTTCGAGTCTGGAATCCGTTCCGCTTGGGTCGGGCAGTCTGGTGAGATCTTTATCCTATCCGATTCTGGTGAGCTTACTCGGCTCGACGAAAAGCCATTGCGTGCTAAGCTGGAAGTGTTATACCGCAAAAGTCTCTTCTTGCTGGCTGTGAATCTCGCAAAATCCCACATGGCACGAGCACCAACCACCGACGTTCTTGCCCGAACAGAATCCCTCATGGGTGAAATCTACCAACGCTATGGCGACCATCTCTACAACAAGGGAGACTACGACGGAGCGATGTCACAATACGTTAAAACCGTCGGCCACACCCAGCCTTCCTTTGTGATTAGGAGATACTTAGATGCGCAGCGAATCGGCAATCTAACCACCTACTTGCAAGAACTGCATGGAAGAGGACTAGCAAGTTCAGACCACACGACGTTGTTATTGAACTGTTACACCAAGTTAAAGGATGTAGTTAGTTTGGATCGGTTTATTAAACGGCCTCACAACCGGACCTCGCCTGCTGAAGACGGGGAGGAAGGTGCGGAAGGGGAAACGGGGGGCAAGGATGAGTTGCCATTCGATCTTGAAACGGCCATAAGAGTTTGTCGGCAAGCAGGATATTTCAGCCATGCGGCGTACTTAGCGCAGAGGTACGGGGAGCACAGGGAGTATCTTAGGATTCAGATCGAGGATGCGAAGGATTATAAAGATGCGTTGATGTACGTGAGAGGGTTGGAGGTGGAAGATGCGATACAGAGTATGGGGTTGTATGCAAAGACGCTGTTGGACGAGTTGCCGGATGAAACGACGGAGTTGCTGATTGAGATTTGTAGTGGAGCATTTAGAGCTGATCCGAATGCCTGGGAGAAGGGGGTGAGAGTAGGGAAGGAGGTGGGGAGGGGGAGTGGGGAGAAGCAGAAGTCGGCTGCTGCTGCTTATCTTAGCTATCTGCAGGTAGGAGGCTATGGAAGTGGGGGTGGGACAGCGAATAATACTGTTGCACAACGTAACTCGGCGGCGGTGGAACCGTATGGGATTCAGGATGGCGGTTCGGGGACGAGGCCGACTAGTACGGTCAAGGATAAGGATGCAGGTACTACAGTTGTTGATGCTGATGCGAGCGGTGCTGATGGGGTAGAGACAGATGGAGGGATCTATGCTATCCCATCTCCCAGGACGTACTTTGCGCACTTCATCCAGCATCCCACACATTTCGCAAGATTCCTCGAAACGGTCGCGTTAGCCAGATGGGGTCAAGTTGTGGACATGGATTCCCAACCACCCTCCACCACCACCAAACTCTTTCCGACAACCTTCAAGCAAGACTCGGACGACGTCCCACCATACTCCGCAGACGTTGGTGAGCAAATGGACGAAATAGACGCAGCACTACGCAATTTAGGCCTCAACACAAGCTCCTCCCCAGCCTCGGACGAGTACGAAGATCAAGAACTTCTCGATCAGAAATCCATTTGGAATACTTTACTCGAACTCTATCTCACCTCTCCTCCGCCCACCAGCGGTAGTGCGGAAGGGAGAAAGAAAGCGCTAAGGTTACTACAACAGCACGCAACGCTACCATACGACATCAGTCACGCAGTAATGCTTTGTGCGATGGAAGATTTCACCGATGGCCTCATCTTGCTTTATGAGAGAATGGGAATGTTTGAGGATGTGATCCGACTTTATATGGACTCCGCTTCCCAACCTTCGGAAGGTGGTGAAAGTAGCAAGAAGGTCATTGAGGCATTGTACAGGTATGGACCGTTCAAACCGGAACTCTACGACCTAGTTTTGCGGTTCCTCGTGTCCTCATCCACTCTTCTCTCTCGCCATACCAACGACCTACTTGAAATCCTGTCGACAATCAGGGATACCTCGCTTATGTCGACCTTGGAAATAGTCCAACTGCTCTCTTCCACCCCCCATACCCAGGTTGGAATTATCCGCGATTTCATCACCACCTCAATCTCTTCCACTCTCAATTCTACCGCCTCTGACGAAAAACTTATTTCGGATTACAAATCTTCCACGGACCAAACGCTCCAAGAGATTGCGGAATTAACCGATGCAGGTGGAGCAAGAGTATTCCAAATGACAAGATGCTCTGCTTGTGCGGGGCAGTTGGATTTACCGAGCGTCCATTTCATGTGTAAGCATAGTTATCATCAGCGATGTTTGGGGGAGGATGAGGTTGAGTGTGGGATGTGTGCGGAACATCAGGGTAGGGTTAGGGATGCAAGACGGAGGCAGGCGGAGGTAGTAAGGGATGTTGTTGCGAAAGCGAGGGAGGGAGAGGGAGAGGGGGGACTGGTAGGGGTTGTGTCCAGGGCGGCGAGGGCAGGAGGAGGAGGAGGGGAAAGGATGGTTGATGGATTTGCAGAATTGGCTAGCTTGTTTGCTCAACCTGTGATGGCGGGTGCTGCTGCTGCTCAACTTCTCTGAGGACACCAGTCTTCACACAAGAATACTGGAACCTGAGATCACCTTCCGAGATACTAGTGTCGGTGTGTGTGTGAGGGTGATAATGTCGACGCGTGGTGGTGGTGAAAGGGGAGAGTTGACCCGCGGCAAGGATGCAGGCTGCATGCATGTGTCATGCAAGACCCTGTCACTGTCAGAATGCACCACGTTCAATTGCGCGACTTTTATATATATTTTAACTTGGAGGCAATGGGAGAGAAATTTTATACTCGGATTTTCGATCGACCGAGCGAGGTGCTTGGGCCTCCTAAGTTTTGCCACACCGAGGTTGTTGAGTCTTGTGGCCCTGCCGTCCGTCGCCTTGAGCAGGGATAGAGAGGGGAACTAAGAGGGGGACTAAGAGGGGGAATGTAAGGATGAGTTAAAGGGAGGAATGTGAGTTAAGTACGGCGGCAGAAAAGAGAAAGAAGGTGTAAAGATAAGAGCCTTCGCCCCTCCTCTGTCATACATTCGACCCTGCCACCAGGAGGTTGTGTTTGCTTCCGCACCTCCACCATCACCATCACCGCAACACACATCACCTGTTGTCGAGAACATTCGCCGCTTCCTTTACACTATGATCAATTAGCCGTCAGACTCTGCCGCAATCCCTTTCCAGCTGCACTACACCGTGCAGGTTTACGCTCCAGCTCAGCACAGGTTCAACATCAAACGCTCGGCTAAGCCATCGACCAAACCTCAATCAAGAACACATCACCACGTCTTCTATCTCAATCAAACATGTCTTCAACAGTCGAAAACATGGTCCTAGTGGTTCCTCCACCACCATATATCCTCCCCGACCCGGCACTTTCCTTTCCTTCTTCCTCGCCTTCTCCCACCGAAGCTGAACCGAATGATAGTGCGCATTCGACTCCATTACCTTCGTATAACTCATCTCCGATCCTAGCACCTATCTTGTCTACCCTTCAGACACTTTCTTCAACACCAGCCTCTTTGCCAGCCCTCAAGCTTTCCGCCTCTACAAACGCAGCTCCGCCAAGACAGGATGAAAGCTTTGGTGGAAAGCTGCTCAGTTACACAGCATCAATCTTGATCGCGTTACTCGGAGCACCAATAGTCGATACTTTGTGGGCCTTAGGCTTAAATATAATCGGGTTCGCATTCAGCGTCTTACAGGTGCCAATGGCTGTTGTGCTCGCGAGCGAGTTCGACCAACCCCACTGTACCACCACCCCATCCCCATCCACCGCTTCCACCTTCACCGAGCTCGAATTCACCACTACCACAAACGAGAAAGCTTCGCAGGGAGAAAACTTCCCAATGGTCGGCGGAGCAGACAAGGTGGAGCGCAAATCGAAAGGAAGGCAAGAGCGAGATTGGATCCACCATCTGACCCAACTGATGTGGGATTGGCACGATGAATTGGAAGTTGCCGAACTGTGGCCTCCTTCTACTTGGGTTTGATGCTAGCGTTCTAACACAAGATCGATTCGACTTCTCAAAGCAGTTATTTATACCCTCATTCTTGTTTCGCGGCTCATTAGGTTCGGGAGTCGTCCTCGAGTCTGTATTGCGTCGCATCGCACACTTTCGCAACTCAGCTTCGTTTCATGTGTTCAACGTCTTCGAGATTTTGCGGCCAAAGCGCCTTGAGGAAGGCATCAGATCGAATAAGGCTCGACGATCTGTCCTTGCTGTAAAACAGCATCCTTCGCAAACTGTTCTTCGGTCAGCACCTTGGCCGCGTTCCACGTCGATTTTATCACATGCATCAATTCCTCCTTGAGCTCATCAATGTCGATCCCATATGCTGGGTCTGGTGTTGGTCGACCTTCCTCTTTTAGTCGTTTCCTCCTGAAATCGTTCCAGCCGCGCCATAACAGCTCAAGATAGACTTTGCTGCCGAGGAAACCGGATTCGTTCAAGGTCGAAGGATTGAGCGATCTTGCTTCAAGCTCCGGAGGTAGAAGCGCGGTGGAGATGGCTCCAAGAAGATCGTTACCGATTAGCTCATCGACTATTTCTTTGAATTTGCAAGGAATCAGCCGGTATCCTGGTCCCCAAGTCGTTTCGTTTGATGTAGAGTCTTCTGGAGGTGCAGCAGTCGCCAAAGAAACATATTCGGAGGGGGTGAAGGGGCCAAGGCCTTTTTCTCCCGCAGACGGAGTCTCAGTCCTCACTCTTGTATATATGGTGGACCAGTAGAACACAACCTCCTCCTTTCTGTCAAGGAGCCCTGATTGCCGTAGACTCTCTGCGAATGGATTACTGGCAAAGTGAGCCAGGAATGAGGGAATAGCGCGGTCACCGAGTAGCTCGAGAAGGATGCCTTTAACTCCTGTAGGAGCAGGAGGAATCGGCTTGAATTCCTCAAGATTCAGCCAAAGGTTCGGCAGTTCGGAAGACGAAGAAGACTTTGCTGAAGCAGAGCCTAGCTGCAAAGACCCTGCAGGATGTCTCGTGGGGCCAAAGCCGAAGCCGAAAGAGTGAGAACTTGACCCTCTTGGCGCTGTCCTCCTACTCGACTTGTATAGCCTCTTCCACTCAGCATGAAGGAATTCCTCGCTTTCCAGAAGCCCGGCTTCTCTAATCGTTTGTGCTTTTGTGTTGCAAGCGAAGCGAGCCCACTCTGGGAACATCTCGCCCACATGTAGTACGTCGCCATGCACGAGGTACATGTACTCTTTGAGCCCCGAAGGCATGGTTGGTATCTCTGTTGATGCTTCATCGACTGAAGATGCGGGAAGAACTTGAGATGGGCTGGAATCAGGCGCTTGCCAACCGAGTTGGAAAGTGGGAGATGGCGAGTAGGACGAGGGAAGACTGGTCAAGGGAGATTCGGAGTCGAGCTCAGGGAAATCGAATGGCGGGAGCGTTGAGGTTGCTGGATTTGACCCAGTCAAGATGCCGGAAGCGGAAACGCGGGATGCCATCTCTTCTGCTACGGGAAGAATCGACTCATACATCTTCTGAGCGGCATTCGGATCTGTGAGAGCGGAAGTAAGCAAAGTTCGCAGATATGCATGCGTGCCACCCCTACTTGGTGTCGCTGCATTCCCGGCAGGAGTAGAAGAGTCGATTGGAGCAGACGACATTGTTGATGGTGCGTGGACAGACTTGCTCGACGTATCTGAAGTGAGCAAAGATCGCCAGTACTCAAAGGAGTCGTCCAAGCTTGGTTTCGCTCCGTTCCCGGCTGTAGCAGGAGGTTCCACTTGCAAAGAAGTCGTAGCCGTAACTTTGGCCTGCTTGTTACCCTGCACCGCTGTTTCGATCTCCGTCTTTGCACTATTTCGAATGTTGTATGAAGCGACATCATCGATTCGACCCATTAGGATTTCGCTGACCCCATCTTCCAAAAATTCATCACTTTCACACTCATCCTCTTCGTCCCATGCTTCCAGACCAAGCTTGGACCTGTATCCGCTGCCAGCCTTAACCAGGCTCTGGAGTGGCGTCTCGGGCTCCTTCTGCTTTTTTTTCTTCTTCTTGCTCTTGTTCTTCTTTTTCTTTCCCGTGGTCGTCTGCTCGGCGACCATCAGCGGCTTCCAACCACGCTGCTTGCGTTCGATTAGCGTCGTTCTTTGGTCCAGCTCTTCAACGATCGGCTTTTGCTCTTCATCGGGGGCTGGACATTTACAGGAAGGACTACACTTCTTGAAAACTTCCTTCTCGGGCTGCTTCAGGATAAGACCCGACTTCTCCGCTGCGACTGTCTTGTTGAGGAAGCGATAAGTGATATCCGCAGCTGCTGCGGTGTAGAGTGATGCGGTGTAGGGCGCGCTGACGACAGTTTCGGGCCAACCGACGGTCCCCTTCTTCTGCTTTTTGCTGCCATTCTTCTTACTCTTCTTGTGATCCTCACTGAAGGCAGTCGGTGCGAACAGCGCAGCATCACATCCAGAGAGGTTCTGGAGTGCATTACTGAGTTCAACCAGATCCCACTGCAGATCTAAGCCTTTGGGAGGGGTCGATTCGTTTAGGGCACCTTTGGCCGTTGCGGCAATGAGAGAGCCACGCAAGTGGTAGGCTTGGCGCGTCGTTCGGATGATGATAGTCTGCATTAGCGGCATGAGCGTATGCAATGTCGACGCAACAGCCTTATCTATACCTGCAAAAGCCGTGTAGTGGATCCAGGTAAAGGTGAACAGGATCGTCTGCGCTCCATCTCGTAGGTCGGTCACGTCCGGCACCATTTTGTTGAACTCGTTCTGGATGACCGTCCTCCGTGCAGCCCTTTCCTTCGGATAGCCAGCGTTGACGTTAGAGGAAGAGCCAGAGGTGCAATATTCCTCTGTCTCGATGTAGTCAGCCCGATTCCGGTAGATGGCTCCGAAAAGGTGCTGTATGTCCTCTTTCTCAAAGTACTTTCCCATGTACACCTCCATGCTGTCTGCATAGACATAGTAAAAGGCAGCTGCATAGTTGAGTAGAGCTATCAGGCTGGCAAGCTCAGCATAGATGAGATTGTAGCGATGTGATGTACAGAAGATGAGCACTGCACGATTGAGCGAACGCATGACCTCTTTCAGCGAAGCGTTGTTGGATATGTGTGTGCGCTTTTCGCCGTTGGATTCTGCACAAGACTCGAATTTGCGACAGTCTGCCAGCAGAGAAAGCGAGATGGTTGGCTCGGGCTTCTTTTGCTGCTCTCTACTAGAAGCGGGCTTTCTTGCCGTCGATGCAGGCGTCAACGTCGTCGTGTTCTTGCTAGTCGAATTAGCGATAGGCGCTTTAGTTGGTGTGACATTGGCAGAGGCGACTGCAGGCTCGCCAACAGAATTGGTCGTGCTTTTGGTAACCGGCGCAGATGGGGAGGAGGAGGAGGAAGGTGCCTTCGATGAAGTTGCGCTAGGAGTAGCCGTGCTGGACTTTGATGCGGGCTGCGAAGCAAGGGCAGCCGTGGAAGGAGGTTTGGCGGGAGATTGGGAGAACTTTGCAGCAGGAGTGCCTACGGCAGAGTTGGTGGGAGCTGTGGTAGAGCTGTTTGTCTTGACCGGCTGCGATGCTCTAAGCACTCCACTTCTACACTTTGACTTGGGATTAGCCTTGCGAGAGAGACAGTCCTGATGCTGGCCTGTGGCATCTTCGAAAAAGCCAAACTCCCTGAGCTTACGAGCCACATTGTCGTGCACCTCATCGTTGACGACAACGCACCAGGGGCAGGTGTCTCGGTCCCAACGGATGAAGTGTCGCAACTCGTGACAACACTTTTCGAACGCGGTACCGATCTTGTGAAATTGCGAACGCGAGAGGCCCAGGTCATCGTCACTGTGAGAATGCGAGCAGCAGGAAGACGAGCGGTGCTGATGATGACTGTGCTGATGGTGATGATGGGCACCGGTCTTGGACCTATCTTGGGATTGTAGGCGTGGATTGTGCAGATCGCATGTGGGGGACCAGATGATGCGAGCCAAAGCTAGCGGGAGGGACAAAGTGTCAGTTTCGCCCGTTGGGAGCATTCCCAAGTGACGTTGAAAGAGGTCCTCGGTGGAAGTGGGTGAATGGTTGAGGAGCGAGGATGTCATCCAGTTGATGGGCGCTGTCCGCGAAGAAGTTGGAAAGCAGCCGGTCTGAGGAGGAGGGCAAGGTAATGAGGCTGACGGTGGGGGGGCTATCGGTAGCATCTCAGACATTGCCCCTCGATGTCGTCTCCGCTGGGTGTTGCAGTGAAGAGAGACAGAGGTGCTGTGATAGCTTGATGGGACGAGGAGGTGAGAGAAGTGTCAGAAGGTGTCGGCGCGATTGGGACAGAATTGGGAAGCATTGAGCGGGAGCGGGAGCAGGAGCGGGAGGAAGACGTTAGCGAGAAAGGGGATCAGCAAGCTCTACTTATGAAGAGGAGGAAGATGAAGAGTTCAGCCGTTCAGAAGGACGCATTAACTCAGCCAACTGCTCTGTCAAAGCCAAAGCTCAAGCAAAACAAGTGCACGGTCCTCGACACACCCGTCCATCGGCTCTTCCGCGTGGGCTTCTTTGCCTTTAATGAAAAGAGTTGTCGGATGATCCGCAAAGGTTTGTGATGATCAATTGCGCTCGGACTTCATTTGTCGGATGCGCCGCATTGAGGGATGAGTTCATGTCGCGTTGCGCTATGCTCTTTTCGACAAGGAGAATTGACTCGTCTGCAGAACAAACTGCAGTGACTTTCTAGCTGTGTGTTGAGTGCAGCTGCGTTGGCGGCAGTGTCTGCTCATCAAAGGCAAGGGAGGAAGAAGCAGTGGGTGCTACGTGTGCAGGCGGAGATATGTTGACGGAAGACGACAAAGAGCTCCGTGGCGCAAAGATACCGTCAAAGCGAAGAGGAACTGTGAGAAAGTGCAAAGCGCGAGTAGGGTCTGGCTACGCCGCATCGAAACGGAGCTGAGGAGGATGAATGGCTGAGAGGGAGCCAACGTTGAGTGGTGAGAATGCGTGTCGCCAAAACGACAAGCTCGAAATCACACATGCTACACAGTATTTGGCTGTGATTGTGTCGAGGAAGAAGCTTCGGAGCGCGCTTGAATCTCCTTGCTCGCCTTTGCTCGGATGGCCCGCGCCGATTCTGCCTCGTCACCGAGCCTTGGACAGTCGGAAGAGCCGATCTACGGAGGTTTCAAAGCGGCACAGCAAGCCGAATCACATCAATCATTTCTAATGAACGAATTGCAGAAGCCAATATGGAGAACAAGCCGACTCCAAACGGAGAGAAAGGTAAGCAGCACGGCGTGAAAGCAAAAAGGAGCGTCATGTTGGTATTATATGGTAAAGATTATGCAAAACGTGCGCCTCTTCGGATGGACGCATCGCGTTAGTTACAGTAAAAGCGGACTCGACCCAGCCCTCGCAGTCTTCAACGTAAAGTAGAGTGTATCTCAACTGCAAAACAGCTGAAATCCAAACCCAAACTGAAACCCAAACTGAAACCCAAACTGAAACCGATGACTGCATGAACTAGGGAGCGCTGCTACGATTGGCGAAAAAGGTCGAGACGATTAGAGAGCAAAGGCACCGGCAGCAACAATGGCGGCAGCAGCAACACCGTACTGGAGAAGGTGCTCAGGAACGGCTCGCGAAGCAGGTGCGAGATCCGAAGCCTGGAGCTTGCCGTCAGCGATGGCGTTGATGGTGGCAGAGATGGCCTCGGCGAACGACTTTTGCAAGTCAGACTTGGGCGTGGTGAGGGTAGGATAGTATTTGAGGACAGAGCCAGCCATCTCGTTGGCGACCTCATCGGGGGACTTGCCTTCAGGACCACGGGTGTAGCCGCCAATGAAGTACGAGATCAGCGAGCTGACTGCAAAACGCAATGGCGCCAAGACGAGTTGCATGGAACCGAGAGATTGGTACGTTTGTCGTATGATGAGATGAGTGATTGATCGAGTACGAGGCGTCGTGGGGCAGAGAGGGAAGAGGATATGAGTCAGCTTCTGCGCAGGTCCCTGCCTGCCTACTGCTTGTGCAAGTCTACGTAAAGTGTCGTCGGATGTATTGTGTTGTAGGCATAGTCAAATACTCACGGTCGTAAGAGGGAGTAGTGGTGGAGCTGTAAGGGCATCCAGCGGGCTGGGCACGGGGGTCACCGCCAAGAACAGTGCAGACCGTAGCTCCTCCTTCGCCACCGGATCCGCCGCTCATGGCGCTGGAGGACATCGAAGTGGGCACGGAGCCGCTAGCCGAAGACGACATGGAGCTGGACATGGAGCTGGACATGGAGCTGGACACGGAGCTGGAAGGGGCAGCGCTGTCTTGAGCAACAGCGCCGCTGGCGGTGAAAGCAGCGACAAGGACGACGGGAATAAGGCTGAACTTCATCTTGAGGTAATGACGGCGGGTTAGGGGGCGACGACGACAACGAAATGATGAGGACGAGGATGACGGTGGTAGAAGGGGGCGACGAGAACAGGAAGCAAGAACACCAACTCAGGACAAGGCTGTAGATTCTGAGGAAGCGCAGGGGCAGGCGAGCCAGAGTTCAGGGAGGTTCAATCGGCAGAGCCAAGAGCGCAAGAATGAGGGGAAGCGGCGGCAAGGATATCTTGGACACTCGACCGAGTTGGCAAAGGAAAATCGATGTTTTGGGCGGAAGCACGGAGATCAGCCAGCCAGGAAAATGGAGCGGCAAAGGCACTGTGACGCTTCGACACATTTGGGCACGGACAAACAACCCCAACGACAACAACAAGGCAGCAGATGGTTGATGAGAATGCACAACATGACTCCAGAGCAGTGAGCAGGCGGCAAAGGCGAGACAGGATGTGCCGATGAGAGTTTGTGGATCACTGCAGGATTGCAGCACAGGCAGAGAGAGAGAGAGAGAGAGAGAGAGAGAGGGAGCGCGCGCGCAAGGTATTTTGCCTGAAATCGAAAAATCGAACGGAAATTCTTGCAGAGAAGACTCTCTCCGTCAGAGACGCAGATGCCGATGCCATTCGCTCATCTTGCCTGCAGGCCTTCTGGGAAACAAGAGAGAAGAAGGCAAGCTTGGTTCTGTGCCTGAAGCCTTCCATTTGACCCTAGGACCCGTGTGATCTGCTGTCTTGAAGACATCCCACTGATTCCAACTGGCCCTTACATTGCTGTGCCAGCAAAGATAGAGACACCCTCTTCATGATTTGGGCCGCTATCACTTGATACTATGATCAACAGCAACTTCATGTCTAACTCTCTAAAGATCGGCGGCAGACTGACTAACTATCTTTGATTCTGCTTCCTCGCCCGGCCCGGAGTGAGAGTGATGATCAGCTCGTCTGCAAAAGTTCGTGTGGTTGCAGGCGAGGGTTTGAAATTTGCACAGCACAGGCTAACTCGGCAGACAGCTGCAATACTGAACCGTAGCATGCTATCTCTCCAGCTAACCGCCATGTGCTGTGTGCTGATAGGTGCAGTGGGTCGTAAGTGTCAGCAGATTGCTCTTTGCCTCGTCTTCGGTTCTGAGACTCCTAGCTCCGAAGATTTCAAGCATCGCAAGCACCAACCCTAACAGAAGATCTTTCAGCGTGTGCAGATCGGACAAAGTCGCCCCGATCGCAAGGAATCTGTGCCAATGTGTCTGACAAGGGCGTAACAGTTGAAGCCTGTAAAATCCGCTTCCATCTCTCACTGCACCCCTACTCGCAAACCTGAAGGAGCAGCCCTGGAGAGTAATGGGCCGCCAGGGTCACATCAAGGCTTCATTCTTCTCATGTAGCAGTAGCACACTTGTCAAATACTTGGTGGTGTATGGATGCATGATTACGAACGAGAGAGAGACACTTGCTAGAACTACAAGAAAGACCGTTGAAGGGAAGAGTGAACAAGACTAGGGCTAATTTTGAGAACGCGGAGCAGCGTTGAAAGGGGAGTAAGTGCAAAGCGGAATGGATGCGTGGTCAACGCTGGGCTATGAGCCCAAGGGAGCTGAAACAAAGGCTTCCATCAGAGCGATTGCTACTGTTGCTTACTATGATGACGAATGGCGATGCATTTACCAGCCGCGGTCAGCAAGGCGGCCACCCTTCAAGTCCTTGGTGATGTTGAGACCGACCATGGCCTCGCCAAGGTTCTCGGAAACAGCGGCAAGCTTGGCAGGGTCGTTGTAGTGGGTAACGGCTTCGACGATGGCACGAGCACGCTGCTCAGGGTTGTTGCCCTTGAAGATGCCAGAGCCGACAAAGACACCGTCACTGCCGAGCTGCATCATGAGAGCAGCATCGGCAGGGGTAGCGATACCACCGGCAGCAAAGTTAACAACTGGCAATCGCTTCAAGCGAGCAGTCTCCTTGAGAAGGTGGAAGGGAGCCTGGATGTCCTTGGCGTAGACGTAGAGCTCCTCGTCGCTCATGGACGAGACACGCTTGATCTCGCCCTGAATGGTGCGCTGGTGACGAACAGCCTCGACGACGTTCCCAGTACCGGCCTCACCCTTGGTTCGGATCATGGCGGCACCCTCCGAAATACGACGGAGAGCCTCGCCGAGGTTTTTGGCACCGCAAACGAAGGGGATCTTGAAGTTGTGCTTGTTGATGTGATGGGCCTCGTCGGCGGGGGTGAGCACTTCGGACTCGTCAATGTAGTCGACACCGATGGCCTGAAGAATCTGAGCCTCGACAAAGTGGCCGATTCGGACCTTGGCCATGCATGGAACAGTGGTGGTTTCTTGGATCTCCTTGATCATGGCAGGGTCGGACATACGCGCGACGCCACCCTCGACACGGATGTCGGCAGGGATCTTCTCGAGGGCCATGACGGCACAGGCACCGGCATCCTCAGCAATACGAGCCTGCTCGGCGTTGACGACGTCCATGATAACACCACCCTTGAGCATCTGTGCGAGACCGGACTTGACACCGAAGGTACCAAGGTTGGCATCGCTCTTGGGAGCAGAGCTGTTGACGCGGGCGGGGGCAGCGGCGCCGTTGCCGTTGCCGTTGCCGTTAGAGGCGGGAAGAATGGTTGGGTTCTCGGCGGACATGTTTCAAGGTGTGAAAGGGTATCGATGGGGAGGGTGATGGATAGGATGTGGCGGTGAAGGAGTAGGACTGTGAACAAGAGAGCTTATGAGGATTGACTTTGTCGAGCAGGGAAAGTGGGTTCAGCTGGGCTTGGTCGAGTCGCCAATAGCCGACAACGAGGGCGAGTCAGTCGAGGACAGGGCCCGAGCTTGCGCCACCCTTTGTTTCTTGGGCCAAATCTTCACACTGACTGTCTGACTGTCAGTCAACGCAAGATCTTCTAGCGTGGCTCGGGCGACGCAGAAGCGGGTCAGTTTTCTTTCATGTAATACCATTCATGCGCACCGGAACACACACACACACACACATACACACACATACACACACATACACACACATACACACACAAACAGTGAAGAGAGAGCTTAGCTGCATCTCAACCCCGCTCTGTTCACCTTGCGTGCTCTGTTCTGTTCTGTTTCTATGCCTGCTGGGGTAAGAGAAACAACCACGAATGCACCAACAAGGCTGCCTGTGTCTGGCCGGCTAACTAGCGTCAAATCAGAAGCCACCATTGCTCTCAGACCTGGAACCTGTTTTTGGATTTGTCAGCATGACCTACTCCAGTATCCATCACATTGTCATTTCTTCCAGCAGTCCCGGTCTTTACCGGGCCTCGCTGTGTGCAAGGCGAAAGTCGGATTCGAGCAAAAGGTTTGGATTTGTATTCGCGCTCTTTAGCTCGACGCTTGCAATTTTGAATGCAGGCCAAATGTCTCGTGCGATAAAAGCGACCTTTGCGTGTCAAAAGAGACAAATGGTATTAGTCAGTCAGCAAATTGGGCTCTCTCTCCGCGCTCTTCTTGGCTGGTCGCCAATTTGAACGGAGCGATCAGCCTGCCAAAAGAGGCGCGACAGAGAGACAGAGACAGAGACAGAGAATTGATTCTGGGTTCGATTTCTACTCAGCAGCCCAAGTTGGAATTTCCACACAGGCGTTAGAGTTGCAAGTGGTGTGAGTGTGATCGCCATCAGCGGTTTGGGTCATTGAGTCGGTTGCTGATGCCATCACTTGCTGCTTCTTGATCTCCACCTCCTCATCACCACTCGTCGGGATCGTCATCTTTTCATCAATCTTCATCATCATGGTTGCTCCTATCGCTCGCGGCGTCTTTCGCAAGGCCGTCAACCTTCCGTACGTAGCTAACGCTCTGCATCCAACATCGACAATTTGCACCAGCACTCGATACAAAACGCATCTTTCCAGGCATCCGAACCATCTCCTAGCAGCAGTGAAGATGTCGCAAAGACTGTCCTGCGATCCGCGCCCCTAAGTTCGACTTTAGTAGGGCATGCTTGATGTACAAACATCAAACAGCTACGATAAGCTCGGATCTGGATGGTCTTTCTCGCCAAAGTCGCCTTCTTGGCTCCGTCTTTGCTGCAACAATGTCGATACATGATATACATCAATAGCATTACTGACTCTTTAATCTTCCTTTGCCCATACATCTTGCTCAACAACCTTACAATCGCTTCGAACTTCATATCGTTATTGGTCGCACCTTCTGCCGTTCGAACTCACGCTGAACATGCATTCTCGACTTGGTCTACCTTCCCATCCGCCGCATACTACATCTTCTTTTTCTCACATCACCGACGGTTCCCGACATCACTATCGCACACCTCCTACGTCCTCCGCCTCGAACATCTCTCCTTGTTTCACTTGATCTTATCCTACTTGTGCGTATCCGTCCAACGCTTTCTCTGCCGCTTGCAGTCCTACCGCGGCTACCGCCTACAACGGCACCCCGGTCGCTGCTGGCATCAACTTTGCCGCCCGTGCTCCTGCCGGCCCCCACGCTCACGGACATGGCCCTTCCCTTCGATCTGACCCCCACCAGGTTCCCCGATGGGCATCCAACCTCCGCAACTCGAACGGCGTCCTTAGCGCACGATCTGGCGTCAATGGTAAGTATCATCTCGCACCCATCACTAGCCTGCCTTCTGCCTTCTTCCAGCTTAGGACACTAAGAACGCCTGCTGGACTAGTCCTTTCGATCTTGTTATTCGTCTCTCGACCACTCTAATGATCGACCACTCTAATGGTAGACCCAATGACACTCCGGGTTCTGATCAACAAGCAAAACTTTGGCAGTGACAATCTAGCAGGCATTCGGCTCTCTCAATACTGGTGTAAATAACCTGGATCGCTGACTTTCTGATCCTCTTGTTTCTTACCTTGATGCCACCCTCGCTCATTATCACGACCAACAGCTCTCCCCACCGTTGGCCAGCCCCGCTACTTCTCGTCCTCGTCGCGATGCCTCCAGGCTACCCAGCCTGATCAGGTTCCCGACTTCTCCGGCTACCGCACCAAGACCCCTGAAAGCAACAAGGCCTTTTCCTACTTCATGGTCGGCTCCATGGGTTTGATCGCCGCTTCCGGTGCCAAAGCCACCGTTTCGGACTTCCTGTCATCTATGGGTGCTTCGTCAGATGTGCTTGCGCTCGCCAAGGTCGAGGTCGACATGAACTCGATCCCCGAGGGCAAGAACGCCATCATCAAGTGGCGTGGTAAGCCCGTCTTTGTGCGTCACCGCACCAAGTCCGAGATTGACGAGGCCAACGCCGTCGATGTCTCCAAGCTCCGTGACCCTGAGAAGGACTCGGACCGAACAAAGCGACCAGAATGGCTCGTCATGCTTGGTGTCTGCACCCACTTGGGTTGTGTACCCATCGGTGAGGCTGGTGACTATGGTGGCTGGTACTGCCCTTGCCACGGTTCACACTACGACATTTCGGGACGTGCCCGTAAGGGTCCTGCTCCTCTCAACCTTGAGGTGCCCGAATATGACTTCAACGACGGCGAGAACAAGCTGATCATCGGTTAAATTTGGCTGCAAATACATTCCCTTTTTGCTTTCACCTTTTGAGCTCCTCGGATACTTGCAGCGAGGAGTGTCGCTACCTGTTCTAGCTTGTGATGTTATAGATCTGAACATACAAGCACTGCAATCACATGTCTCATTGCGCAAGCCTTTCCCTTTGAAGCGGTTTGGACGCTTTGAGCACACTTTCTTTTGAGCTGAGCGCTGTAAGGCGAGATGAGCCCTGATGATCGTCGAAAGACATGCTCGAGAGACTTGGTGAAGGAAACTGCAAGGAGCTAAGGCTCGACCCTGAAGATCAGCATAGCTATTGAGAAGGGTGAAATGGGTGTCTGACCTGTTCTTTGAACGCGTGTGAGCGTGGCACTGCTGCTCTGCTGCCACCTTTTTTTCCCCACTGAAATTCGACTGAACGCACACAGACCAACACAGGCAACGCGCTTCCTCTCGCTTCCAGTCACTTTTGCTCAGTCGAGGCCATTCGCTTTGTTGTCCGAGCTTGCATTGCAACCATCATATCGTCTGCTACACCATACCTTCCAGCAAGACCTCAAGGAACAGTAGCCAGCTTTGCATTTCCACGGATGACCCACTGAGCAAGTCCTTAATGCTCTGTCTTCTGGAGACACAGCTCATAGTTCAGCGATGCAGCACGCCCTGATCAACTCGTCCTAGGCATCCTTCCAACTTTCATTGGCTGATCACCACTCGGCTCAGCTCGCATTGTAATCATGGCTACACCAAGGACACCCTCCGCTGCATCGCAGCCGTTGCATCTGCATTCACGTGTCAAGGTCTCCAACCTCGGTCATGGTGAAGTGCTCTTTGTTGGTCAGACTTCTTTCGCCGCGGGCGTATGGGTCGGAATTGAGCTCGACAATCCCAACGGCAAAAACAATGGGTCAGTGCAGGGCAAACGATACTTTGAGTGCGAAGATGGTCACGGAGTCTTTGTTCGCTCCAGTCAGGTCCATCTTCTGTCACCGGAAGAGGAGATGCACAGTTTCGATGACGAGCCTCCAGCACGACAAGCGCCTGCCGCTACATCTACACCGTCGGCCTCGGCAGCAGCACGACTCAGCCCACGCAAAAGTGTGGCAGCTACACCAGCCAGAGCACCAGTCCCACGTACCAGTCTAGCCCCCTCTGCCCGGCCATCTACAGTTCGACGCACCAGCACAGCCAGCGTCGCCAGTGCTACTTCCTCAGCATCAGTATCACGACCGCCAACAGCAGCAAGTATATCTGCACCTACTGCCTCTCCAGTCAAGCCAGCGACAGGAGTCCGCTCTCCGGTCAAACCGTCTGTCACAGGCCGAACATCCGTCTCCTCTGCCTCTGCACGTTCAGCCGCAGCCAGCTCCCTCGCGAGTCGCACGGGTTCGCCAAGCACACCAGCAGCGACGACACGAACTGTCAGACCTGGCGTCACTCCAAGCACTAGGACGCCGGCAGTCGGGTCCAGCGCAGCACGTACAGCCCCTCGGCCCCTGGCTGCTACCTCTTCATCGGCGAAACCACAGACACCATCAGCTGCGAGAGCAGGTCTCCGGCCGGTCCCCGCCAGCCGCCCTTCTATGCTGGCAGGCGGCGCTCGAACAGCTACGTCGAGTCCAAGTGTTGCCTCAGCGTCTCGTGCCGCAGCAGCCTCTGCTCCTATCTCACGCACAGGTAGCGCGACTGGCCCTGCTTCTCGATCTGGCAGCTCGCTTGCACCATCACGCCTGGGACCGAGGAGCTCAGCGGAAAGCGCTATCAGCTCGGGACGTACAAGCGCCTCACAGCGACTCATGGATCTTGAGGACGACAACAGTGCCTACGACTACAACGAGGAAGAGGATGACGAGGACCTTCTTGCGACTGATTCGCCGTCTGCCGCTCACCTCACCCCCGGCTCCCGTCGTGCGCATGAAGATGTTGGTGATACAGATGAAGCTGATCTGACGATATCTCCCGATGGTCCCGACACAGGCGACGACACGGTTGCAGACTCCACACTACGATCCACCAAGCTGCTCAACAAGTCGACACGCGACTTCATGAGCTTAGTAGAACCATCATCTTCCACCGCAGCCGTTCGGTCTTCAGCAGAATTCGGCGCTCTTCAGAAGCAAGTCGAAGAACTGCGTGCCAAAGTGCGCGTACTCGAAAAGAAGCGCGATGACGAGCGAAACCGCATCGCGGAGCTTGAGAAGCTCAAGGAGGAGGCCGAAATGTCAATTGCTGCTGCACCCAAGCTTACAGCCAAAGTACAAGATTTGCAAGCGGAGCTCAAGGATCAGAAGAAACTCGAAAAGGATTGGGCCATGCAGAAAGATGACTTTGAGCGCCAGCTTTCGCGGCTCAACGATGAGCTGGAGTCACTGACGCTCGATCGTGAGATGGCAGAGGAGAAGGCTGAGACAGCTGCATTGGAAGCTGAGGAACATCTTCTGTCGCTCGAAGCTGCTAATGCGAAAATTCAAGCGCTGGAGAAGCATCTGAATCCGCATCTTCTGCGAAAGCGCGCTGCCAAGGTGGATGAAGATGGAGCAGATGACGGCGAGCGTGACGAAGAAGCAGAGGAAGGAGACGATGATGCGGACGCCGAGTACTCTGCCGCTTCGGATCTGTTGCAACGCGAGAATGACCAGCTGCGCCGCGTTCTGCGTGACTTGCGAGACCGTTCCAACGAAATTGAAGGCGAGCAAAGACGCAAGATCATCGAACTCGAACGCGAGAATGCCGAATTGATCGAGCTCAACTCGACAAATGACTCCCTTCTCCCCGAGTTGGAGAATGCAGAGTCGATGATTGAAGACCTTAAGCTTCAGCTGGACGATGCTCTTGGAGCGCAGGATCTGGTGGAGCAACTCACAGAACGCAACCTTCAGCTGAGCGACCTTGTCAAGAAGCTTCGAGACGAGATCGAAGAGCACGAAACCATCGCCGAGATCAACAACGAACTCGAAGAGCAGCACACGATCAACGAAAAGGAACTCCGTGAAGAAGTCGACCTTTGCGAATCACGCATTCGTGATCTGCAAGCGCGCAACGAGGGACTCGAAAACAACGCGGTCGATTATCAGAACACATTTGCTCAATTCCGCGAGCTGGTCTCGAACCTGCAGAACGAGCTGGAAGCAGCTAAAGCCGAACAAGCCCAGTATGGGGGAGAAGGCGGACCAGGACGCCAAGATCTGGCGGATCAAGCGATGCTCAATCTCAACCTGAAGCTTCAGTCAAGTGCGCTGAAGAGTCAGGCTAAGACGATCGATTTGGAGCTTGGACGCCTGCAGGCTTCGCAGGCCACTTCGCACTTGGAGATGGCACGTTCATACTTGCCGAGTGCTTACTTTGCGACGGATGCGGATGCGGTTCATTGCTTGCTGTTCTTCCGTCGTATGGCGGTGAAATCGGAGTTGATCAAGTCGATTGTGGAGACCAACCATGATATCCAGGAGAGTTTGTCGGGGGTGGTGCCAGAGACCATGGTCAGTGTTTGTCAGATGCGTCATTCGATTGCTCACTTTAGTGCGCTTTCGAGACAGATTGCTGCGGTGTTGAAATTGGCGCCGACGGAGGTGTTTTTGCGTGGAGGAAGAATGTACAAGGAGAACATGGCGATTGAGCGCAAGATTGATTCGTTTATTGTCGCGCTAAGACGGGAGGAGCTGAAGGAGTTGGAAGCTGGTTTGGAGTTCGGTCGCTTTGTGAAGCAGTTTGAAGACTTTACGATGGCTTTGGGTGGGGATGAGAATGATAGTGATCTGGCGGCGAAGGAGGTGGGATCTGCGAATCTTATTGACCACGATCTCGATACACTCATCGCAGCACTTGGATATGCTAAACAGCAGCTGGCTCAGCTGTACGCCGATGACGACGTCGAGTGGGAGATGGGCGGGAAGAATATCGAAGATGACCTCTTCGACCCGCTGCAAGAACTCATCAATCGCATTCGCAACACCAAGGTGCTTACTCGCAAAGTGCTACGCAGACTACTCAGTCTCGCTGAGAATGACGAAGCAGTGCGAATGGAAGCTATCATGCATCTCCCGCCGCTCGGCAGACTTACTTCGCAACTAGTCACATTCGCCACCCAACTCTGCAAGTCAGTTTCAACCTACGTCAGCGAAGTGCGCACTTCCAAAACTACGCTGGAGATCAACAAAGTCATCGACATAGTCTCTGAAGCGACTGAAGAAGGACTCGGTAAAGCCGACGTCAATCTGTGGTCGGGTCCCCTCTCCTGCACCTCTCATCTCTCGACCACCATCCAGACCGTGCTCAGCGCCATCGTGGAGCAAGGAAATGTCATCCGAATCGACGGTCCCGGACCATGGCTCGCACGTTCAGAAGAGATCAAAACCCAAAGCGCCCAAAACCCTGAACTTGAACGACAAGTCGCTAAACTCAGCGAAGACGCCCGTGATCTCCTCCGCCAGGTCAAAGCTCGCGATCAAGCGCTGCAAGAAAGCTCGATTAAGATTGAGCGTTTACAAAAGCAACTCGAAAAGTCGAAAGCGCAGGTTGATCAGCATTCTGATATTCGTATGACGCTAGCAGAGACGCAAAAGCAAGCGAAAGCATATCAAGAGGCGAATGACGCTTTGCAGACTGAGATCGAGGCTTTGCAGAAGGAGAACGATTTGTTGAAGGCAAAGGTTGTTGCTGTTCCGGCCGAGGGTGGGGAGATGATGGGTGATGTGGAGAAAAGAGTGGTTGGTGTTGGTGGGAAAGGAGTACAGGATGGAGGAGTGGATGTTGGGGCAGGGTATAGCAGTCTGGAGACAAGCTATTTGGTGGATCAGCTGGAAGCGTTGAAAGGAGCACTGAAGCATCTTAGGAATGAGAATGCTGTGTTGAAGGGTAACACCTTGTTGCAGAGCATTGAAGCGTTACCTTGTCTCACACGCCGAAAACGCGCAACAGTGGCGGAGAAGGAGGTGAGTGGGAAGAGCGGTGATGAAAGCGATACAAAGAAGATTGGCGAGCCTGTCAAGCGTGCTTCTCTTCGCACCAGTACTACTACTGCTGCTGCCGTTGGTGGAGGCGGGATGAGGAGCGAAGCGAAGAAGATCTACACAAACGCACTAACGACGCTGGCCATGTCAAGTGTGGTTGATTTGATGCCGGTCAGTAAAGCGGAGAAAGGTGGACAGGGTGAAGAGAAGGAGGATGGGGTGAAGAGGGGAATTGGAAGACCTTGGATACCCTACCATAAACAACCGGAGGTTCAGTTACACTTGCAGACGCAGACAAGGGTGAAGCTTTTAAGACAATTGTCGGCTTTGTCGGATCGGTTGGGGTCTGTAGCACCTGGGATAGGATTGCGGAGTGTCAAGGCATGATAGCAAAGCTGGGATAGAAAAGCAATATAATTGGATTGCTTGAATGCAAGAATGGCTGAATGTGCGTATGATGGTACAGAATGATGAGAACAAAGCTACATTGGAGCGCATTTGAAGGACAGTGTCGAGGTCGAGGTCGAGGTCGAGGTCGAGGTCGAGGTCGAGAAGCTCAGGAAGAGCTCTCGGCAGCAGGGGCAGCCGCTGATGCGAGCGTCGCAGGAGAAGCGTTGGTGGAAGAGTTGCCCTTCCCTCGAGATCTTCTCTTCTTCGGCGGAGCACCTTCAGCCGTTGGAGTGGGCGCTGTTGCTGCGCCGTTGGCATCTGCCTTAGGCTTGGCAGACTTTAATGTTTGTGTGTTTTCCTTCTTCTCCCCTTGACTCACCTTGTGAGCAGAAGTAGCGGTGGAGCTAGACTTGTTGGAACGTTTACGTTTCCTCCTTGCGCCCTCTGCTCCACCAGCAGCACCAGCCTTACCATCGGCAGTCGAATCAGCAGATCCAAGTTTACCAGCTTCCATCCTGGCCCGTGCCGCAGCTCTCTGTTTTTGCTTCTTGAGCTCCTGTTCTCGCTTCAACTTCTCCTCCATTGTCAAGCGAGGGCTCTTGGGTTTACGCATAGACAAGGGGTTAGGTGCTCTTCGTTTCCTTCTCCGTGTACTCTCACCTTGCTTCGCTGCCTCTGCGGTCTCCCCCTCTGCCTCCGCTTCCTTCGCTTCTGCCTCGCCATCCACGATATCAACGTCAACTTTCGGCTGATTCTTGAATAAGCCAGCCTCACTAGCCGGCAAACTCAACTTGGTATCCTCCTTCTCCTCAATCTTACTCCTCGTCAACGCAGACATGGGCTCTAAAACGATCACTGCCTGGGTGAAATGCATCATAGGCAATCCGGGCACGTTGAGCCTTAAATCTCTCCTCAACTCGCCCTGTTCGCTTGCAACAATATACCTGTGCTTGTTCTCGGGCCCAACACATTGCTTGATGCATTCAGCGGTGGGCAGTGCCTCTCGATGGTTGCACATCCTTCGTTCCCACTGTTTAGCCATGTCGATGGTGGATTGGTGTTGTTTGCCCAGGGCGTAGAGAGCTTGCATCGAACATTGGGTGATTAGAGGTTTGATCTTTTTAGAAACGAGAACGTTGCCAAATTGATGGACCGGGTCAGAGATCTTGTAGCGGGAAAGGGCAAGAGAGAAGGTGTCGTCGATGACAAGTTGATATGGTTCGCGAAAACCGAACTGGAGGTGATATTGGTGGAGCATTTTGCGGTACAGTTTTGCTCTTCGTTGACGCATTTTTATATATATAAATGTATTTTATTGGCTGTGGCTCTGGCTTGAGAGGTGAGATGGGTGAGGAGACGGGTTAAAAGGGAGGTGAATTTGGGATGATCGAGGTGGTTGGGTGGCTAGAAGGAGGATTGGTGTTGAAACAGCGGCGGTGTGGGATGTAGAGAGGTGAGCAAGGGTCTTGTTGGTTGAACTTTTTTTTTTTTTTTTTTTTTTTTTTTTTTTTTTTTTTTTTTTTTTTCCGCCTGCACAACGAAATCTTGCAAATTTTTAGAGTTCGGAAGTCGCATTTGGCCGAACCAGCAAGGCGGCGAATTTTGACAATTGTTGTAACAAAGATTCAAGAATTGCCGCCGTTGTGTGTGGCTCTTCATATCACAGCTAAACATGCCAAGCCAACAGTATTCGCCCATGTTATGAAAATACCTCGAACAACGGCATGAAATGTTTTGCCTTGGTTACTGCAGACCAAGTCTGAGAGAATGGGCCTGCGAATACGCTTTGTGGTGTGGAAACGTCTACGAGCTTGCTTACAACGAGAACCTTCGGATTCACAAGTTGAATCGTACGATAAAGATCGTGGGAGCGAACAACGTTCTCAGTTCCTTCTGGCCCACGTCTACCCTCGATTCTACCGGCTCCTTCCGAATGGCTGAATGGAAAGCGTAGGAAACGCCGACTCTTATAGGTCTTGTTCGCCTGAGTGACGCTTTCGGTTACGCCGACGATGCAGCAGAGCGTGTGTGTGTGAGAGAGTGCAAAGGTGCACCAGCTTGTGTTCGGCTGTGCCGCTACGCCACCGTTGGCTGCAGATAGGCAGTCAAGATGGTGGGACTTGTGTGGAGATTGCACCAGCTTTGTACATCGGTCGTTCCGACCTGCTCCCACTCGTGGTTGTGTGAGCATCGGAAAGTCACCGAAAGCCACAGCGAGACAGACAAAAGGCCGAGCTGAAATGAAGTCATCCTCGATCTTTGCTCTCTCCCACCAAACATCCGATACTCAGCGGCACTCGCCAACAGTGTGGGACGACTCTCGTAGCCCCCCCCCCAGCGGCAAACTTGCCCCCAGCCTTATAGGCAAAGTGCTTGCGTGCTCAGCTCATGGTGGGGCGAGCAGACTGTATATAATCCAGTCGCTTGTCGATTTCAAGTTTCCGTTCATTGTCCCCTTGAAATCTTGATTCTCTCCTCTTCTTCTCCTTCCCCTTCCATCCTTTCTCTCTTTCTTCGTCGTTGTTGGTGACGAGGCTCTTCGCCTGCCCCTCTTCGCGATGGCTCCTACACTATTCGCTAGAGCAGCAGCTGTTGACCTCGAAAATGTTGAAGGAGCTCAAGGGCGAACGCGTGTCGACGATACCGACCCTGATATCACCTTCTCGCCTTCTATCAAGCCTTTCCTGAAACCCGGATCGCCATGGGTCGTCGTCAAGGATGCCCTCGCTTACAAGGGCTCAGCCATCTCTAGTAACAGCACTGATACCTACATTACATTCCGCTTTTCGGGCGACTCGCTGACCCTTGGCATGCTATACAAGGCTACTGGAACCAGTCTGAAGCTCACACTCAAGAACGGCACCTCTTACCCCTTTTCGGTCAGCTCTGATGAGGCAACCGCATCGGCACCCAACCGAGACAAAGAGGCACTGCAGAAGAAGGCTTTCCACCTCGATGGCCTCACCTGTGCTAACCACACCGCCACTCTCACTCCTGTAGCCGGTGAGAGTGCCATCCCCGCAGGTCAGCCTCTGATGTATTTTGACTGGTTCAGCTTTCCAACGCCTGGCAATCCGGCGACGTGCAAGCCGTCTACTTTGCTTTCTGCTGCAGGCACTAGTTTCATGTCTACGCCCTCTTCGCAGGCTCAATCCGCTGTGCACGACCACACTACCAAGTATGCCGGCATTGGCGTAGGTGTTGCCCTCCTAGGCTTCATCGCCGCTCTTGTAGTTGTAATGCTTCGACGCCGTCAGAAGCGTCATCAAGCCCCTGCTGCTGACCAGCCGGATCGCGTATACAGACCGAAACGCGCTCAGAGGAGAGATGAGACGCTCAACATGACCCTCACCATGTCGCAGAACAGTGCTCGCCCTGTCCTCCAGCCCGAGGCTGTCTTCCGGCCTCGAGGCATCCACGCTCTTAACCACGACGGGTCATTCAGCACCATTCATTCCGACACACGAAACGATGTAACCGACAGTCCCTCAGCTAACGCCACGTTCCCCTTGATGCCCGTATCGCCTGACAACCATATGGTCACAGGTGATGATGCAGGATTCGGGATCGGTCAGGCGCTGCTCGATCTCCCGCACGATCCCAACCCTGGCGCGCATCGACAGATCCGCAACAGCATGTCAAGACTGCACTACGAAAAAGCCAGAACACTTTCTGGCACGCCTCATCTTCGTGTCTCTCCCAATCGTGGATCGCCTGGCCTTGTGGGAGGGCATGCGCTGCAAAGAATGCCCAGGGAGGATATAAACGCCACTACGCCTGACTCGTTTGGTCGAGGAGGCTCGCTCCGAGCACAAAAAGCTAGTCGTACATCGCCACGACGTCCATGCACAGCCTCAGCTGTCGACCGTCTGCGCAGCGACGCGCGCCAACTCGACGTTCCCCGCACTCTCTCTCCTTTCGATCGCTCTCGACCCGCGACCAGCTCAGAGATGCCATGCCGCCACCATCAACAACATCTTGCGACTGCTCAAGCCCAGTCCAACGGTCAGTGGCAAAGATTCAGACGCAACTCAAGCTCCTCCATCGACACGCGTTGGTCTCGTGCTTCGGTTAACGAGTCCTCCGAACCACATGTCACGCGGAACGAGGATAAGCAAGAGCAATCTCAGCTACATGTGCAGGCTAAGCGTCTATCGAAAAGCCTCCTTGACCTACCCAAAGCTGCTGAAGAGCAAAAGACAACTGACAGCGAAGCCGAGATGTGGGTGAGCAAGAGAAAGACCCTTACCGAGTTCGGTGGTAAACGAAGAAGAAACTCTACCAATGTTCCACCGAGAAGGCCTCCGAAGTCTCCTCATCGCCCATCCACGGGTCAGGCTGCAACTTCGCCTAGGTCTTTCCAGCCTTTTACCATCTCTTAGCTTCACGATGCGTTTCACCTTCAATGTGTTTTGCTTTCTCGGTAGATTAGTATACATGTAGGTTCCACAGCTCCAAGATTAGCATACAATACAGTCATTCATTCATTTTAGAACAATCCCAAGCCAGTCTTTACACCATCCCTACCCCTCCCAACATTCCTGTGTGAATCTCAGTAAGCAAAATCGCCCCCGAATTCCAACGCAACTCTATCCGCCAACTCGACCTCAACCACCTTCTCCCATCCCAACCCTTTCCACCCTTCTTCGCCTCCTCCTCTCCAGAACTCCTTCACCGCCTTCACCGTCTTCATTGGACACCAAACCACCTTCACCAGCAACCCCAAGAATGCCCTCTTCTTTCTCTCATAAAGCACCACCTTCGCCCGGCACCTATAGCTATGATGACAATACGCGGGAGTCCAACCACATTTACAAGGCCCTGGAATTTGGGTCGCAAACGTTTCTTCATCTCCCCTCACCTCGATCGATGCGTATCTTGTCAAATCCCATACTTCGAGCTTAAACGACTTTTTGGGAAAATTGCGGGTCATTTTAAGACCTGGGCCAGTATGCACCCTCCCCGCGCGAGACGCAAGGGAGAATTGGGGGCCGAGAGCGAAAGGAGGGGTAAAGTTCCAATCCCACTCCCCTGCCCCTTCTTTACGGATATAAATACCGGCAAGGAAAGCGGTGAGGCCGAGGATGCTGCCCCCCGCAAGCGAGACTCTTGCTTGAGGTTCTACGGCTGTAGTAGTGGGAGAGAGGGAGGGGTCTAGGAGGGGTGTTGAACCATGACACCACATCCAACCGGATGGAAATGCTTGTCCCCAATTCTTCTCTATATGAAGCGAGGCTCGTCCTGCTGCTACTGCCTTTTCCAGCTCCCCCGCTTCGTTCTCTCCTCTTTGCCCCTGTGAAAGGGAAATATGTTCGATAGAGAACAACGCTGGAGCAGAGGTCGAGTGAACATACCAGTGTAATGGAAGGAGGAGGCCGAGGTGTTGGATCCATCCTTCCGGGCCGCTTCCACCCATCGCACCCCTTTGTTTGGTCTGGCTCGGGTGCCAGGGGGAATGCTTCGTACTTCTCACCCTCACCCTAGTCCCCCCACCTGCCTTCGCTGGATTCGGAAGTGTAAGATCGACGATAACATTTCCCTCCTCAGTAACCTGCATAAACCCCAACCCACCCTCCAAGTCCATCCCGTCATCCAAGGTAGAGGCGAGGTCGATACGAAACGGCTGAACAGCACCAACCTTCACCTTCTCCCCCAACTTTAGCTGCCAGGAAGGAATGTATTTGGCCAGTTCAAAACTTTCTCGCTTCCCTTCCGCGTTGGTCGGTAACCTTTCCCCCTTCTTCCCACACCCTTCCTCATTATGTAAATTCTGGTAGAGGGCAGGTTCTTCACCATGCACAATCCACCTCAGATAAATACATATCCTCTGATCTATTGGTGCAGACTGCAACTCGCACACTACCAGAATCAAATCACCTGGTGATGAGGTAGGTAACAGGCCGGCCTTATCGCCTGTTGATTTTGCTTTGTTGGTGAATGGGTTTGGGATGACACTTGGCCCTGCAACGGTGGTGGATGAGGGGGGAAGGAGGGATTCAGGACTAGCAAAAACAGGATCTATATCCGTCAACATCGACAGCGACGCTCTCGCCTTTGGTGAGATGGTTCCTGAGGAAAGCTGTTGTGAGGTTCTAGGCGAGGGTGGGGTTGGAGAAGGGGTTTCTGCGTTGGATGAACTTGAGAAGCTAGAAGAGGGGGAGGAGGAGCGATTTCCTTTTCGAAGACCTGGTGCGTGTGGGGATGATTTGGTAAGGCGTGTAATACGTGATGGCGAGCTTTCCGCCGAAGGCCTCCTCTGCTGCTGTTGAGAGGGATTGGAGGGGGGCTGGGGGATGTGGGAACGACCAGAATGCGATTGTAACCGGATGAAAAAGCCTTCAAATTCCGAACCTGCTTTGTGGGTTGGTGGGAATGGGTCTGATGCTAGCGGTAGCCATTTTGATACTGCGGGAGGTACCATTGGGATTGTAGTCCATGAGGTATTCTATAGTGTGTAGGTGAAGAGAGAAGATGGATGGGAGGCGGAGGAGGGTAAGGATGAGAAGAAGCGGCATTCGGGAATGTGGAGGTTACACAGCGACATTTTTCGCTGTGAGCGGAGAAAGCAGTCGGGAAAAAATGGCCGATTAAATCGGTGAAATAAATCGCACCAAAAATAAGTAACTTCAGGGCGACAGAAAGTGGCTTGTGCGCTCCTCATCCCACCTTTCATCACATCTTCCCCTTTCCTTCTTCCTCTTCTTTTCCTCCCAAACACCTCTCTTCCCTTCACCTTCCCCCCCCCCCCCTCTCCTCCTTCACAGAGCAATACAGTATAGAATGGAGGCCGAACACGCAGCACACGATCTCTCCTCAACCTCTCTCGGCCCCCTTGGCATCCGCATATCTAACGGCCAATTCATCGATTCCCACAACCGAACCCTCAATCTCCACGGAGTCAACATAGCAGGATCCTCGAAACTACCCACCTCTCCCAATGGCCTCTCTCACCTTCATGAGGGATTCTACGAAACCCATCGCTCGGTATCCTTCATTGGTAGACCCTTCGCCCTCTCTGAAGCACCTCTACACTTTGCTCGTCTCCGTGCCTGGGGTCTCCCACTGATCCGGTTGCTCGTTACTTGGGAATCTATTTCACACGCCGGACCGAGGAAGGAAGATGTAGATATGGGATATGTGGAGTATTTGGAGAAGCTGTTAGAGACCATGGCGGAATACGGGTTACAATGCTTTGTATGTGCACATCAAGATGTGTGGAGTAGGTTTAGCGGCGGAAGTGGTGCTCCCGGGTGGACGTTTGAAGTTGCAGGGCTGAGGATGGAAAGTTTTAGTGAGACTGGAGCTGCTTATGTGCATTGTGTTGACGAAAAAGGCAAGCGAGAATCCGAAGGGACTCTTGGGGTGGGGAAGGGGAAGAAAGAGGAGAGCGGAGCATTCCTATGGCCCTCAGGCTACCAGAAACTCGCCGCATCCACCATGGCCACTCTGTTCTGGGCGGGTGATGCACTCGCCCCGAGACTCAAAGTCAAGAACACCGATGGCGAGGAAGTAGGCATTCAGACCTTCCTCCAATCCTCCTACATCGATGCATTTGGGGTGCTTGCCGATAGACTAGGCAAACTAGAAGCCTGTCTCGGCTTCGAACCGATGAATGAGCCCCATCGAGGCCTGATCAACCTGCACGATTTCCATTCTTGGAACTATGATACGGATCTACACATCGGCCACTACCCCTCTTTCATCCAAGCTTTGGCGCTGGGTAGCGGGTACAAGCAAGAGGTCAAGTACTATGTCAAATCATGGCCGTTCCCAACTCGAGTTTCGCACAAGACGCAGGTGGATCCAAAGGGGAAATCATGCTGGCTTGACCCTCAAGGATGTATCTGGAGAAAGCATGGGGTGTGGGAATGGGACGAAACAAAGTCGGTACCTGTTGTGCTTCAGTATGATTACTTTGAAAAAGATCATCGGTTGGGGAGGGAGGGGAGCAGGATTGAGTGGTATCGTGATTGTTTTGCGCCTTTCCTCCGGCGGGCTTCGGATCGATGGAACCGCTCTAACTGCAACCTGTTTACATTTGTCGAACCGATACCGAACGAGTTCATCCCGCCCTGGATCCCCACGAAACTCATGGAAGATGCAACTCTAGCCTCCGAGTATAAATCCGCAGCACTATCGCAGAAGTACTCCACCCGCACCCTAATCGACACCCCTCGGCCGGGCGGAGAGGCAGGCTTTGTCTACGCTCCGCACTTTTACGATCTGAACATACTCTTCGGAAAGATACACTCGTTTATGAGTGTAAATGTACAAGGGCTCAGCAGGGGGATGTTTTTACCTAAAGCGCTATACTTTGGAGCGGAAGGGTTGAAGAGGAACTATCTGGAGCAATTGGGCAAGATGAAAGATCTTGCGTATGCTTCGTTGGGTAACGTGCCGATCTTTATCGGTGAAGTCGGCCTGCCGTTTGATATTAATGCCCGCCATGCGTATAAGACGGGAGACTACAGCAAACAGCACGAGATATTGGATGCCTTGATCAGTGGGATGGAAAAGTTAGGATTGGGGTTTACGCTGTGGAATTACAATCCGGACAATAGGGTTGCTTATGGCGACGGGTGGAATTATGAAGATTTTAGTTTTATCAATGGGGATCATACTCATGAGGATGATAAAGCGGCGGGTGTGGTTGAGTTGAAGCCGGATTTTAGGAATGCGCAGCATGAGGATGATGAGCTGTACAGAGGAGGGAGGGGGTTGGAAATCATCATTCGCCCTTATGCGGTTAAAGTGGCGGGAGTGCAGGAGTATACGCATTTCGATGTCAAGACGTTGTTCTTCGAAGTGCACTGGCGCAACCTGCCCCAACCCGACGGCGAGGAAGGCAAAGACGAAAAGAGTAAGATAACGGAAATCTTCATCCCATCCTATCACTACCGCCACAAACGATTCAGCATTACTACCACCGACTGCGAGACAAAGTTCAATGCCGAACTCCAAACTCTTTTCGTTAAACACAGCGATACGAGAGCTGGGGCGGTACATAAGCTTAAGATCGAGCTTGATGATCCGCAGCAGCATAGACGGGAAAGGATTAGGCAAAGGAGGGAATTGGTAAAGCCGGAAGGTGTGATGGGTAGGATGGGGAGAGCGGTGGTGAGCGAGGGGATGGAGGTTTGGTGGGATGGGTTGAGTGCGGGACAGGTGAGGAGTATGATGATTGTGGGGTTGGTCGTTGTTGTGGGGGTGTGGTTGGTTGATTGGGGAATGAGGGGGGTAATGGAGGGGAGGAAGGGGGAGTTGTAGAGCGTAGAGTATGCTAGAGTGTATAGATGGCGACCATGCATTAGCAATGTCAAGTGTCAAGGGTTTAGTTGTAGTGTTGTGGTTGTGCATCGTTGTAGCGAGGGAGAAAGAGTGAGGATACGGAGTGGTGAGCACAGAAGCTTCGAGTCAGATTTGTGAGATCCCGGTAACTTACATCGCTGGAAGTCGTGAAAAAAACGACAGTTCAGGGTCCGCACGGTTCACGCTCCCCTCCTTCTGGTGACCTTCCGGACCCTGACTTGTTTTCCTTCTTCGCCATCAACCAACACTTTACTCCTCGTAACACCACCTCAACACCATCAACGGAAGCGAACCTGGAGGTGATTAGCAAAGATGGCAACTCAACCACCACCACCTCCCCCAGTCGCTGGTGGAAGCAGTGCACCCCTCGCGCCCAACCCCTCCTCCTCCACCACCACCACGCAACCCCCTCTCCGACCACCAACACAATCGCAGAATGCAGGTCCACATCTCCTATCACTAAAGGTCATGCGTGCGTCCGCACCTTCCCTTGCCGTCTCCGAAAAACCTTATTACGACTCCCACCTTCCCTCCTCTTCCCCTCTAATAGCTGCTGTTGGAAAGGGAATCTCCGAATCTCTCTCTTCTGACCCCTTATCCAACCATTACCCCGACGCCCCCTCCTCAAACTTCCCCATCTCCAACCTACTCACCCTTCCGTCGTCATTTGGAACCCTCTACCTGGGCGAAACCTTCCGCACATACCTTTGCGTCCGCAACGAATCCCCCACCTCCCCAGTCCGCGAACCCTCCCTTCGAGCAGAAATGCAAGTTGGATCCTCCGAAACTGAAGGTCGCTGGCACCAGCTTGCGCATATAATCCTCCCCTCACCCACTTCAACCTCCAAATCTGGAGAGCCGGTGTGGGAGCTCCCTCCCTCTGCGCCTCTCGAAACCTCGCTAGGTTACGATATAAAAGACTTGGGGCCGCACGTGTTAGTCTGTACAGTCGGGTATAAAGCTCTATCGGCAGAAGGTGGGTGGGTAGAGAGAAGTTTTAGAAAGTTTTATAAATTTAGTGTGGATAGAAGCCCGATTAGTGTTAGGACGAAAGTTCACCAGCCGAGAAATGTGGCCAGTTTGTATCATGCGGATGAGGGTGTGAGGAAGAGGGTGGAGTTGGAGGTTCAGGTTCAGAATGCTAGTGCCAATGGGATGAGGTTGGTGTTTGAGGGGTTGAGTCTGAGGCCGGCGGACGGGTGGCGTTGGGATAGTGTTGATAGACCCTCCTTAACCCCCAACTCCACCAAAGGGGAAAGTGTGGAGGAGGCAAGGGATATGTGGCTAAAGCCGAACAACGGAGGACATGAGGCTTTGGCAGATGGCGATATCCGACAGTACCTGTTCACTCTCCATCCCAAACCGGGTGTGAAGTTGGGTGGGGGAGTCGATTTGGGTAAATCAGTAGAAGGATATCTGATCAGAGGTGATGCTTTGGGGAACTTGGATATTGGTTGGAGGATGAGTTTGGGTGAACCTGGACGACTTCAAACGAGCCAATTAGTACGACGTCGGGTCGTACCGCTTCCTGTCGTCCTACCCTCTGGTACATCCTCATCACCTGGAGCGAAGCTAAAGACTGAGCTGATGGTTCTTCCAGACGCACTCGAAGCGCTGCGAAAGATAACTCCAGGAGGGCAAGTGGAATTGGGAGTAAAGGTGAGGTTGAGTGATGTCTGTGGGTCCGACCTTCCACCTCCACCACAAAAGGGGTCGGAAGGGGAGAGGGGGGAGATTGAAGGAGAGACGAAAGTGGATGGGGATGAGGTCGATGAAGATGACGATGATACACCGCTGTCTCAAATCGCTGCTTCTTCTCCTCGTGCTTCTCGACGCAACATTTCAACCTGCCTTGCTGCGAGCTCGAACAATGAGGATCTAGAACCGATCACAATACGACGCACGCTAAAAGTGGCTTTACAACACTGTTCGATCCTTCCTCCTCCCCCTCCTAATTCCTTTCCCTCAATCGAACAGGATGTTGGGGGCGCATCAACACCACGCAAGCTCCCTCTCCGCGCAGGATCCGCATCCCGAACCTCAACTGCAACACCCGCGGCCATAGACAAAGCCAAATCTCGTCTTCAAGCCAATCTTTCCAACCTCGTCCGCGGATCTTCCCTCTCACTGCGCGGTCGAGGAAGTATGGACATCGCTTCTGACGACGCTAGCAGCGGAACAGGGATTAGTAGAGGTGGAACACCACAGCCTCCAGCAGTACCGCCTAAAACTCTCGCTCCAGCAGCAATCATCGCAGAGCCGCAGCAAGAGAAGGAGAGGGTCGAGTATCCAGAACCGACTTTAAGCTGGAGTAGAGTACAAGAGCTCTATTTGGAATGGCTGCAAGGGAATGCACAAGCGATAACTCGTCCTGCAGGGCCGGTGAGTGTACCGGACCGCTTTTTACCCACGCCGCATCTGGTGAGGTTTGAGGGCGGTTCGTTGGTTAAGCTTCCGGAGATTGGAGTCGAGATCAAGGTTTTGAGAAGTAGGAGTAATGGGCTGCTCTATCGCACAGAACAGGATGGAGAGGGGGCAGAAGGGGAAGTGGAAGGAAAGCTCAAATTCGCTGTTGCTGATAACGTTGACGAAGAGGAAATGGGAAGGGTTGTGAGATTCGGTGCGTTACGAGTGCTATTGTTGGGCTACAAGGAACAAGGTGGTGGTGAGCAAGAGAGGGAATGCGCAAAGATATTACTCGAGCTTCCAGTGTTTGCAGAAGCTGTTCTCCCTCCATATTGATCACACCACTCTTTCTCTGCAATCACACACCATTCACGCACAACGATCTCTTTTTGAGCTTGAATACGTCTATTTGCAAATGCGTAGCTATAAAGAACGAACACAGCTGTTTGCCAACTCTAGCAGCTGTTCAAGTGTGAAGCTGTGCAACAAGCCCTCTTGCTCTGCTTTCTGTGCTGAGAGTTGCTCTCCAAATCGATCTTCCGGCGCAAGATCAGGGTGGGGTCCATGGCAAACTACGACTTGACTCTCAGCTCCACCTCCAACAGCAGGTAGCAATACATCGACAAATCCATACTGCCTTACTTCTTGATCGATCGCAACCATCTTCGGCATCTCGTCTGTAGAGGTAGGGGAGGGAAAAGTGAATTCGATAAGAGAAAAATCGAATCCTAACCCTTTACCTAGGTTCTTTGTGTACGCTTCTTTGTACGTCCACAGCGTAAACAATCTCCGTAGAGCCTCTGTTTGGTTTGAAGGAAGAGAAGCAAGCACCCATCGGGTTTCGGCAGGAGTCAAAGCCATGTCCATCGTCTCTACGAAGGACCGGATCGAGGATTCGTATCGGGGGAGGGTAAGAGACATAACATCAACCCCCACCCTCACTCCCGGGGAGGTGTGGAAGGCGAGTACAACCCAATCTGAGTCATGCGAGATGTTGAAATCCAACCCCAACCCTTCACTCCCCGCGTAGTAAGGTCGACCTTCGAGGGTGGACTTGAACTGAATCGTATTCCATGGTATGCCGAACTGGGCAGAGATGAGCAAGCGTGGCAGAAGACGGGCAGTGAGCGAACGAACACGATCCGCCTGTCGATAGTATCGCATGACTTTCTCCCTGTCCCCAGTATTAGCTTGGCCAGGGAGCAGAGTGTTGACAAGGCTGCGAAATTGATAAACAGCCATGTCGGATTGGGAGGAAATGTCAACGGCCCATATCTGCAGTTTTGAATCCCAAATCGGTGGCAGAGTCGGGGAAGAAGAGATGGAGGTGAGGGGGTTGCGTTGGTCAGTCATACTTTTCCGCAAAATGTTTGATTGAGAGGAGGTGGGGGAAGTAGACTGACCTGACGACTCATTTTCCGCATCCGCATCGCTTGCAGGCTTCAAGATGGCTGAAGAAGCGACCACCGCATCCTTTGCCATGATCAGCGCATCGATCGTGTTGACTCTGCAATCGCGCAGAAAGGTAACCAGATCCGTGCCTCCGGTACCTTTTGCACCTCCGCCGTTGTCCTCCGAGTTGGTATCGAGAGCTGCATCCGCCTCCGCCTCCGCCTCCGCATCTGCATGTGCTGCTTTGGCTTTTGCGGCAAGACGACGATCAACAGCAGGTTCGCCAGTGAAACCTTTTGGCAAAGGTGCATAGGCGTCAGGTGGAGACCCGCGGGCTTGAGCAACGATGTAGAGATAGGCAATCTTCATGTGCTCATCGCGAAGACTTTTGAGCTGTTGGAGGGCGTTATCGTAGGCAGCGGGGAGTCCTTCGTCGTGTTCCTCGGTTTTGGCTGCGAGGGCGAGGCTGCGGATTGGGTGGGGCAGTTCTCGTGGAGCTTCATCCTCGGAATCAGATTCGGCGTCGATGGTGGTGGTGGCGGGAGTGGAGATGCGACTGGCAGAAAGAGTTGCAACCGAGTTCGACATGGTTGCTACCCCATGATCCTGGCCTTCCTGGTCTTCCTCGTCATCTTCACCGTCGTCGAAAGAGATATTTCGCAAGTGCGAGAGGAACGCTCGATGATGACCAGGCATGTAGAGCGACATTCTCTCCATAAACGTGCCATCTGCTCCGCGAGCATCGCCACCTCCACCATTGGCAGTGGCGGCGGGACGATTCAACCTCTCCTTCCTCCTGGTGTGGTCCACATCCAAGAACACATCTATCGCGTGAATCATCGAACTCTGACCAGCAGAAGGACCGGAAAAGACCCTCTTGACCCCTTCCGGATCCACTTGCTCGAAATGCCACCCCACTTGCTCACCCTTATCCACGGTATCACTGCCGACAAACCAAGGTCGGATCCCCCAGTAGAAAATCTTGGGATCACAACCCTTCCTGACATCATGCAACAACTTGGTCAGATCCTTGATCACCTCGGCCAATCGATTGAGATAGCCAGCGATACGACGACGAGCAACACGATCAGCAACGAAGGCTTCGTCCAAACTGACACGCATGAGCTCAAGTGCCTCCACGCCTCTCGCTTCGATCAACAGTGAGGTAAAGAAGAAATGGTGTTCGGAAGGAGTGCCAGTGAAGGTTTCGACTATTCGAAGATTGTCCGGTTGCAAACCGCGGGATGGGTCGAGGTAGTTCCAGTTCCAAAGGACAGTAGTGGCATAGGTGAGGATAGGAGGCAAGTCGAGTTTCTGGGATAGCTGAACCCATGGGACTGAGATAGCGGCAGGAAGGCGACGCATGTGTTTGCCTGCAAGCTCATCAGCGAGGTCTTGGTCATCTTGAAGCTCTTCTGGTGATTTGTTGCGAGAGAAGAGGTTGAGCCAGCTAGGTTGTTGTGGTGCGACGACAAGAGCAGCGTCTTGGGATTTGCGAGGCTGACTGTGAATGTAGAAGTGAGCAAGGAAGGAGAGGACGAGGTGACCTCGACGAGCATAGCGAATGTCGTTGGCGAGCTGGTCAGAAAGAGGCAAGACTGGCATTTGGCGGATGGAGCGACGCCAACGACGAGCAAGGATGCGCTGGTGTTGGGTGATGTTGACGCCACCTCCACCTTGCATGAGAGGGATCTGCTTGGCTTGGTCGAGTGCATGCTCCCAGTGTTGTTCGTGGAGGTCTGTGAGACGCTGGATGGGTGCTTCTGGTGGCAAGAAACCGGAACGAACGTCGACGTCGAAATCGGCAGCAGCGAGGGTGGAAGTATCGGGGATCTGTTCGCTGACCGTAGAAAAGCCAGCTGGGCGTGGGACTGCATCTGCAAGGCGGTCAAGAGGATTGAAAGCGGGTGCAAGTGGTGTCGGGATTGCTGGAATGCGGGAAGGAACTGCAGTTGCTAGCTCTGACAATGGCTGTGGTGTTGGTAGTAATAGTGGTGAAAGTGCAGCAGGATCTGAAGCGAAAGAAAGACCAGCGACAGGCATGGAAGCATCGCTGATGACGACGGAGGAGGATGAAGAGGCAGAGGAGCGTCGAACGAGATGATGGTGGTCTGACGTTGATGTAGATGGCTGACTAGCTTTGTTAGGGCCTCGTTGCTGTGCCAAGAAGTGGTCTGGCGGGACTTGGAAGTATTCGGCTTGGTCATGCGACTCTGGCCAGAGGGGATAGAAGGTCTTGTTGCCGGAAGATGATGGAGAGGATGATGGGAGGCGGCCGGGGCCTGCGCTAGCGTCGGATGTGGCTGTCATGGTGGCAGAGGGGCCCAAGGCGATTGGACGGACAGGGCTGGTTGTCGGGAGGGATGTCGAGTAGGGTTGGGGGATGTGTCGATGAGGTTCGACACTAAATAGAGTTGGGACTGTCGCAGTGAAGACAACCGATGGAGGCCAAGCTTGTGTGGTTGAGGAAAGCGGGAGGCGAATTGCCGAGACCGTCACGAGTCGAAGCTTGGCAGCGTGGGAGGGAGGATCGGGTGGGCGGATGAGGACCTCGGAATTGACTGCCTGGAAAGTGTGGTGGTCGAGAGGGATGCAAGGATACAGGACTAGCTTGAGCCAAAAGAAGGAGGCCAGGAGCAGGGCTGCAAGGATTGGGGGGTCGTGGCGTGCCGAAAGGAATGACAGGGCGTGACAAGGTGTCACCGAACCAACGGAACTTGAGGCGAGAACGGGACTCGTGCCCGGGTGTGAGCAAGTGTTACCGCACTCCAGTGAGCAGGAGAGTGTTGCTGCTGCTGCTGATGATGATGATGATGATAATGTCGAAGCTGAGTCTTGTCCGAGATTAAGCGGCAGTTGCCGAAGAATGCGATCTTCTCCCATCATTTTCGAGTCAAAAAGCCAAAATTCGAGCCGTGCGATTTCGCAACCGATTCGCACAAATTGATTTCAATATGATCGATTTGCTTATTATGATGAAAACTCTCCGGTTCCAGAACACACCTCGACCATCGGACCGCGTTTTGCCCGTCATATCGTAATCTCCATTCATCGGCGTCAACCACTGCCCGATCCACTTTCGATTCGATTCGATTCGATTCGGGATCGACGACAACTCGCTGAGCCCTTTTTCTTTTTCTTTTTCTTTTTCTTTTTCTTTTTCTTTTTCTTTTTCTTTTTCTTTTTCTTTTCCCTTTTTTTCTTTTTCTTTTCCCTTTTTTTCTCGAAATATTATTGCGTGCGTGTGCGTGTGTGTGTGTCGTGCGTAAGTCGAAAGCGAAAGGGCGCACACGCGCAGTTGGGAGTGGTTCGTTGGCAGTTGCGGATGCCCAGGGATCGCGGTCTTGCTTGCTGTTACTGCACTGCCGCCAAGTTGTGTGTGTGTGTGTGTGTGTGTGTGTGTGTGTGTGTGTGTGCGCGTGAATCTCTCTCTCGGGCTCAGCTCCCCGATCAACACTTTCCACACCTTCAGACTCCACTACCATCATCATCATCATCATCTTTTCACCTTCCTCGCAACCTACGCATTCAATCGACAATACCGCACACTTCGGGTCGCCTTTCGCTGCTGCAACCCGATACCCTCGTTCATTTCACCACACCAAACACCGGGATCACACCTCTGATTCTTGCCTAAACACACACACACACACCTACACACCTGGTCCTCGTCCTAGCTTCGCTTCGCTTCGTATCTCAACATGGCCGGTCTTTCTGCCGACTACGACTACCTCTTCAAGCTTTTGCTTATCGGTGACTCTGGTGTCGGAAAGTCATGTCTTCTCCTTCGATTCGCCGACGACACTTATACTGAGTCGTATATTTCCAGTGAGCATCTCCATCAGCACTTGATGCGCATCTTCCTGCAAGTCTTTGCTAACATTGTCATCATTTCATCATCTCTTATCTACCTTCTGCTTGCAGCCATCGGCGTTGACTTCAAGATCCGCACTATCGAGCTCGAGGGCAAGACTGTCAAGCTTCAGATCGTGAGTATACCTAATCACTCTTACCGCAAAGTAGTCTCGTGGTCACGAAAGAGTTTGTTATCCATTCAGCACAGGTGGAAGGGGGAGCAACAGGATACGCACTCTGGAAGCAGGAAAGCAGTCCGCTCGCACGTTCAAAGTTGGAACCGCAAGAGTCAATACGCCCGACTCGCTTGTCAGGAACATGGTGCAATCGCCAAGTGACAGGCAAGACAGGACATAGTCACTTGCAACAGCGACGGTAGGCTAGATGTGGATCGGATGTACTGACCCGGAACCTCGCTTGATCCTCTTCGATACAACCTTGCCACTTGAACAGTGGGACACTGCCGGACAGGAACGTTTCCGAACCATCACCTCGTCATACTACCGCGGTGCACACGGTATCATTGTCGTCTACGACGTCACCGACAACGACACATTCAGCAACGTCAAGCAGTGGCTCCAAGAAATTGACCGATACGCTTGCGAAGGAGTCAACAAGTTGCTTGTCGGTAACAAATCCGATTTGACCAACAAAAAGGTCGTCGAATACGCCACCGCAAAGGAGTTTGCCGATCAGCTTCAGATTCCTTTCCTCGAAACTTCCGCCAAGTCGGCAACCAACGTCGAACAGGCTTTCTTGACCATGGCAAAGCAGATCAAGGATCGTATGGGTTCCAGCACGGTTAACAACCAAGCTGGTGGCAAGAGTACCTTGAAGGTTGGTGCAGGACAGAATGTGTCTCAGCAGTCTAACGGTGGGTGCTGTTGAAAGGAGGGGGGGAAGGGGCGTGCACAAGTGCCAAGTTGATGCGATTCTTTACCTACACTGAGTAAGTCGGTTGGTCATCAGCATCGGTTGGTCATCAGCATCGGTTTCTGGCTGATTGAGCTTTGAGGAAAGAAGGGCCCTTTTGACGCAATGTTACGATACTTGTACAGATCACTCTTCAGCCTGGACACACGATTGTGCGTGTTCTGCTGTGATGGGGCATCTTGATGCTCTGAAAGGAGCCATGTCGAGCCTTGCGAGAGTCTGACAGAGACAGCATCATAGCAAGTCAAGCAGTGACTGTGAGAGCGAATGCAATTTGCGCGACAGCAAAGTGTCGGTCTGCAAGCAAGCGTGTTCTCGTAACGCGCCCTTCAACTTTTATTCCAAGGTAAGCAGAGCGCGGTCTCAGAAGAGCGACACTCTCCACATCACACGCGCTGAGTTTTGCAGTTGGGACGCTTTCAGAATCCTAATCCAAACCCTTTTCTGCCACTACCATCTCTCGCATCATAGCCCTTCTCAACTACTACCAGCATCGACAGTCTGTCAGAACACCCATATCCAGGCGATACTTCATCTTTGCCTCGAGCCTCCCGATCCTGATCTCCTCAACTGCATATCCACCCCCTACGCAAGGCCTTTGCAATAATGCCGCGCATCACCCAAACCCAAGAGGTCAACTCCCAACCAGGACCTTCCTCCTCCAATGCCGCCACAAACCGTCCCTCCACCGACGCTTTCGTCTACAACCCACGACAAACAGACTCCGACAGACGAAAAGTTCGTTCCGACTACCGTCAACTCATAGCCCAAGCGGAAGAATCGAAACGCGATTCTTCCCTAAAACCTGCCGACCTTCTTTCCCTCATTCGTAAAGCAGATGAATTGCACGAAAGGGTAGTAGCTCCAAGTGAGAGTATTTTGGATACGAAGACACTCAGTTCCATGTCGGAAATGGGAGCTAGGATGGCCAAGAAGATCAAGTTGAACCAGGATGCGTTTGATACTCAAGAATTTATCACCCGTCTAGCAAGGTTTCTTGGCGGAGAAGCAGCTCCGCTGAGAGGACCCGTGGCGAGAGACGACAGTGACGACGAACAACAGGCTCAAGTGGACCGATGGGAATGGCAAAAACTAAGTCAACTATCATCATCCCTCTCCCGTCGAGCCATAACCATCGACTTCCTTCTCGGACCGCTCAAGATCCAAACCAAGCAGCGACGAGTGATCCAACGACGCCAAGAAGAAGCCCCCACCGAACGAACCGCGCCTCGCGCACTCCAACAGCAAGACCTTCAAAACACAGCAGGCAGAGAAAGCACCCATCAAATCCTCCAGGTAGCCAAACTCCTCACACAACAAGGCCCCCACGGCATCTGTCTGTTCAAGTTTGCAGTCGATCCAGAGAGTTTTGTCAATACCGTGGAGAACTTTTTTCATGTTAGTTTTTTGATTAAAGAGAATAAGGCTAGATTGAGGACGGATGCAGAAGGGAATGCGGTGTTGAGTATTGCGCAGCCTCCGGTGGCGGAAGGGGAGGAAGGGGGGCAGGAAGGCGAGGAGGAAGGCGAGGAGGAAGGCGAGGGAAGAAGTAAGCAGTTTATAATGGAGATTGATTATCAGACTTATTTGGAGACTATTGAACTTTATCGGATCAGGGAGAGTGTTATTCCGACCAGAGCGAACAGGGTGGATGGTCTGGGGGGGAGAGAGGCTTTGCACAGGGCTAGGGGGTCGCAGGGATGATAGCACCAGACGATGTTCTTGTGCTCAGCGTGACAGCCTTTGATAGCAATTCATCTCACAGTTTCGCACACAGAGGCAATGTCAAGGCGATGCGACGGCTTTCTCATCAATGAGTGTGTGCAATGCCAAGCGAAACACTTACGCATTGCCTTGGATTCTGCGGTACAGAAAGTCTAGAGCCAATGAAAGCCAAGATCTCGTAACGCATTCTTGTCCCACATCTTGACGAATTCCCCGACCACCTCCAAACCCCTTTCTCTTCTCCTCTCATCCTTTCCCCCTCCTTGCTCTTGTGCTTCTTGTGGAATCAACGCACTTGGTTTCCCAGACTGCCAATTCGGAACCTCGACGATCCGTAATTGCGGTATCAACCGATGCAAAGTTGGCCAAGTTTCTCCGAGGTGGCTGTTGAAAGTGGTATAGTTCTTCAGAATGTTTGACAGCAGCACTGTTGGTGATGCAGCAGCGATGGCGGTGGAGGAGGGGGGGTAGTTTAGAGAGAGGATATGTTCGTATAGCTCTCTATCGCAGTGAGGCATATAAACAAGGGTTGGCGTTCGGATTCTGGTGTAGTGCCAATCGATTGTCTCTTCCTCCACCGCTGTGCCTTGATTGACAGTCTTTTCTGCCTGTGAGGGGATGGAGGAGGCTGAGGCGTTTGTTGCTGGTGTTACACTCGGATTCGATGTGGTAGGGTCCGATCTCGAATCCGATGGTGGTGTAGAGTAGGGTGCAAGTGCTCGAACGCCGTACCTAGCCAGCAATTTGATATCGGCAGAGGTAAAGACTGGGTCGTATGCTACACAATCCACTACTGCCCCCTTTTCACCATGCAGCCTTTCCCGCCTTTCCCCGTTCAACACCGCGGCTCCATTGGATGTCTGAGTTTGCTTCCTCTCCCCCTTCACTGATGCCTTGTTGTCCGGGTCCGAGGTCAAAGTTACGGCTTCAGTATCTCCATCTCTCTCAGAAGACGGGAGAAGAGAGATGTAGGTTCGAACCACAACCAGTAACGCCAACTGAACTTGTGCGCTCCGTGAACTTGTCGGAGAACCCAATCCCAAACACACAATCTTCTTCGGCACCTCAGCTTTTCCTTCCGCCTTATGGTCAGACCAGACAGAGGCGAAAGTCGAAGCTAATAGCTGAGCATAACTCCTCCTCCCTTGCCTATCTGCATCACTGCGCTCCTCTGAGAGAGCAGAAGAAAGATAAGCAACAAATACATCTATCACCTCAAAAGCCCTCTTTATCGTCCTCTCCTCCTGCTCAACGTCATTGACTCTGTGAGATGCACAAGCGGCGGTGCGATTTCGTCGAGCAGACCTTTGGGGATGACGAGAGTAGCTAAACCCACTACTAGAGCAAGTGGTTGAGATGGATCCGTTGCTTGATGAGCAGCTTCTTGAACCGCAAGCGGCTGGGTTTGCGGGTTGTGTTGGGCGAAATTGGCGTCGTTTTGGTTTGACTAGGACGAATGGCGCCTCTTCTTCCTCCGCCCGGTCGGACATCGTGTGCTGGTGCTACGGTCGGATGATTGTGCAGCTGCAGCTTTGGAAAGGGGGAAAGGAGCGATCAAGCCAACCGGAGGGTGGAGATGTAGGTGTTGAGAAGAAAGAAAGAAGAAAAGTGCCAAGAAAGTGGATTCGCTTTCAGGGTCCTATTCAACCATCACTTCCAGGACAGTTGGCGGAATTCGCCGGCCTGCTCTCACTACAGTCGCTTCTGAGTCTTTCGTGTATACTGCTTCACCTCTTTCCTTCGAGAGAAGCGAACAACATTCATTCACAGTTGCACACCATCAGCTCAAGCGTCAAGCTCACAAAAACCACACCTGCGTCAAGGGTGAGAGAGAATCCTTAGAGAAGTGGGGTATATTTGTGCTACAGATTTGTGCCACAGTAGCTTCAACAGTAGTACTTCCTGTCGTCGATGTGACCTTCTCTCAACCTCTCCTCAGCTCTCGAATAGGCAGCAAGGAAGAAGGGTCACTTAAAAGTACTCAATCTCAACAAACTGCCATCCACAAGCTTTCGGATTTTTCATCCTTAACCCTACCTTTTCCAACTGCTCCTTGTTCGTCTTTCCTATCCATTCTTCTAGCTCTTTCATTTCCTAACCCGTCCGGTCCCATTACCAGAATTTATGCTGAGTCAGTTTACTATCCTCTTCCACCACAGCAGAGAAGGAGCAGTGGCTGGCACTTACACGTTGGTAATGAGTCCCAAAGACCAAGCTGGTGAGGTAGAAACTCAGGATGGCGGCCGAATTATCGATCCAAGTTTTTGTTGGGTTATGAGCTGAGATGAGTGCTGAGTTTAGGTCGTTGATGATTTCGCCGAATGCTGTTGGGCTTATCTGGATCGAGGGATAGCGAGACGCAGCAGAGAGAAGCCAAGGGAGAAATCCGTATCAGTTCCATCTCTTCCCTTGTCTTAGCATAAAAGGCCGGGTAGGGGGGTTGTTGTTGAAAACTTACTCTACCCTCCAACTCAAGCGGAAAACTAGAATGAAACTGTGGCAACTCTCCTGCGCTATAATCTCTTTCCACCCTGTCCCCACCACCAAGCCCATGCATATACACAGCAGTTCAAATATCAGTAAAGATTGCCCTGCAAAGATTGAGAAAAGCGAGGCGGAGTGGGGGGTGTACGCACCGTACGATCTCTTTCGGCAAATGTATTGTTGGAGTTCCCGTCACAGGTTCTCCAAATGCTGAAGTTGATGTTGGTGGGCCAAAGTAGTATGATGATGTTGGTGGAGCGTAGAATGCGTCAGAATCTTTTGGTGGAGAGATTGGGGTTGGAGTGGTGGTCGTTGTTGGTTTCTCGACGTCGACCATTTTTGCTTGCAGAGAAAAGGGTTGTCTTGGTGCGAAAGAGGGACTTGAGCGGTAGAGATGACTTGCGGGAAATAGCGTCGGAGCTACGAAGAAGGGTCTTGCTGTGTTGAACTGGTGATGATGCGATGGCAGTGGTCCAAGGTTGACAAGAAGCAGCGCAGAGAAAGCAAGGCAGAAAGGTCGTGCACAAGACAACAAATTAGAGCTCAATCAACACACTTCACAGGCGCGTGAAAGAGAAGACGCAACGCCAGGTTCGCGCTTTCTTCTCAACTCCAACCAGCGCTCTTGTCGACCATCAGGGGATTGTACGAATGGCTCAACTCATAGACACTTGGCGCTACCAGGCATGGTCAAGACGGCGTGATTCACACAACCAACAGCATTCAAAAAGTCATGGAAACGGGAAACGGGACCTGGGTAGTATTACAAGTAGAAAGTAGACGACAGAGAAAAGGATTGGACGAGAAGAAAGTGTTCCACATTCGACAGCAAAGAGTAAGTTTGCAGACTCTGTCTAGGCTCTAGTACGTGGCGCAAAGAGGCGCTTGTCGAGGCATTGACGCTCCCAAACGACTTACTGAGCTGTCGTTTCGTACCTAATTGATGCCGCAATGCGAAAAGCCAACCTCGGCCTCTGATCGTCTTTACATACAAATCCTATAAGAGCAGTACCTGCCAGACGTCTCTGACGATCTAATAATCTTCACAACCTGTCCTCTCTGCAAACCAAAGTACCTCGCCACGGGATCAGCCTGTTGAATTCTCGGCAACTGAGTTTCCTTCAACCTATACCTTGCCAGCAACTCCTTCTTCTCCTGTGGATACAATGGTTCATGTTTTGGTACCAAATGATGATGGGTAATATTGACCAACAAGAATGCCTCCTCAAAGTCCTCCAAGTGGAACGTCCCCCTCATTGCATCAATAACCTTTCTTGCCGCCGAGGTCATTTTTTCAGGCCAAATGATGATTCCTCTTTGAATATCGCGTTCTTCCATGATCGAGATGAATTGACGCATTGTCTTGACTCCAACATTGCGTTCCATGGAATAAAAGACAAAGAGGCGCTGGTTTTCGTGCTCGGAATGCTCGGTGAAGAAGTTGAGTTTTGTGCGGTCGACAGAGCCACCAGTGGGGGCATATTCCGATTTAAAGGTTTCGAGATCAATGTTGATTTCGTCATCAGCAACTTGATATCCGCGGTCTCGGACTAGTTCGTGGATCGTACGGTTAACGCGCCACAGACGGACTGTTTCTCGGTCGTCTTCCATTTTGATTGGAGGAGACTTGTGCTGGGTGCTGAGGTGTGGGACGAGGCGAGGTGGGTGTTGGGTTGCTCTAAAGCGCTTGTGTCCAAGTGTAACTCGGACAGCTGGCAGAGGTATGAAGCGCGCTAAGCGTCAGGCAATGCGACCAGCGATCTCTCGAAGAGTGCGCGAAGGAGTTGCAGTCGAGTTGGAGACTGTTCTAGTCAATGCTGCTGGAAGTGTTTTTTCTTTCTTTTTTTTTGGTGGATGCAAATGAACGATTGAACAGTACCGCTCAGATTGTCGTAGGAGTGGAAGAATCTGCTAGAACAACATGGGCAATGCAGAGAAGAGCGAGTGAGATGGTGGAGGTTAGAAGCGTTGGATGCTGCGCCAAATGAGCCTCAACATGCGGTGGAATGGAAATTTTCTGGGACTTCTTGCCAATCCGCGACCCTGCCTCAAAACTTTTCGGAGCCGACCTCTAACCACATTTTTTTTTTTTTTTTTTTTTTTAGTCAAAACCAAGACACGGTCTAACAACCTGACACTTTTGCACACTCACATCGACCTCCCTCTTGCATACCTTCACAATCACAATCAGGCCCAAGCATATCAAAGTTCCGATAAGAATATGCCAATAGATTAATTCGAACCCGTCACATAAGATCAAAAGAAGCTTTGTGTATTTGTTACAATTGAAGTTGATGCTAGGGGAACGCAAGGGCCTTAAACCCCATCCCTCCTTGACGTCGAGATGGGGGTTAAAAAACGCAGCAAAATGCAAAAGGTGCTCGACCAAAAGGGGTAAAAATTTGGTTGGGGTGATAGCTTCGGAAGAGCGGGTAGTCTTTGTGTTATGAGAATGTGTATGAGATGCGAGACCTAGGTATGAATGTTTGTTGTGGGTTGTATCGTGTCAGTTCGGGATGGAGGGTCATATACAAGTGTTCCGGGAGACGGTGACAAAGGAGACAATGTCAAGAATCAGAAGAGTAAAGAAAAGAAGAGAGTAAAGAAGAGAGGTTTAGGCGCGATCAAAAGCAAGCTGTGCAAGCACACGGCTCACTTCATCCATTGTGGTTGGATCTGGGTTCTGGCCGTTGCGACCGGGTGGAAGACGAGAGATGCTGGCTGAGGAAGCGTGCAGATGCTGGTGTCCAAACGGCGCCCCGCCTCCTGACTGTTGCTGTTGCTGAGGCTGCTGTTGCCCAGGTGTGGGTGGATGGTAGAGATGGTGAGGTACACCAGCGTTGAAGCTCGATTGCGAACCTCCCATACCAGGGAAGTGGTTGGATGATATGCCAGGCGCGCCGGTACCGATTGGTCCCAGTCCATACGGCGTCGAGGGCCCAACACTGAGACTGCCGCTAGCATGCTGCGAAGCTTGTTGAGCAGCCATAGCACCAATGTCGAGGCTCTGAGCGCGGTGTGCAAACGATCTCGGCTTGCGAAGTGCTTTGACACGGTCGTCCATCGACATTCCCTCCAAACCACGATTCATGTGAAGCTCGTCCGACAGACATGGACCAGCCTGCTGATGATGCAGTGGCTGCGATGGGAACTGAATGCCACCGCTAGCAGCAGGCACGTTCGCACCAATCGCACCGGGTCCTGCAGGACTTGGCATACCGGCACCCGGCGTGCCAACAGCAGGAGGTGGCAACCCGATCAAACTCGGAGTGATGCTGCTCGTAGTGCTCGTGGTGAACGCCCGCGTAGGAGCACCCCAAACGTCGCTGCCAAAACCACGTCCGTTGCCGTACGGCGAAGCATACAAAGAAGAGGTGATCATGGGCGAGTTGGCGGCCGTAGCAGCACCTGCACCGTTGCTCGAAGGGAAACCAGGTCCGCCGTGAAGGTGCTGTGCGGGGGAGTCGAACAAAGCTTTTATGTCTGGGGTCGAAGCAGCTGCTCGCAAGCGACGTTCGTTGACACGTGCTTGCTCAGCAGCAGCAGCAGTGTGGAACGACTCGTTCGACTCGGCAGCCGCTGCAGTCGAGATAAGCTTGTTAGCAAAATGAGGGAACGCCGATGCAAACGAATCCGAACGAGTCCTCGAAGGAGCAGCATAAATGTTGGCGTTGCGGTTGATCAAGAAGTCCTCGATGGCGTCCTTGGCCGTTGGCAAGAAGTCGGTGTTGCTTCTGTAGAGTCTCAACTTGAAGACCGCTTCACCTCCAGGCCTTCGTTGTTCAATCACGGGCGACACAGCAATGCTGAGATCGCGCTTCAGCTGCTCGGTCAACGCGGAAAACTCGGCAGATTGGATCGCTTGAGCCAACTCGGTCGAGTTAGGCGCTCTAAACTCGGCCTCAAAGGGCACATGATCCAGCAACATCTGTGCAGCAATATGAATCTGCGATTCAGGCCCGAAAATGGTGACCAGATCCGAAGCCGACTCGCGCGCAGGGAAACGCACGCTCGAACTCGTCTTGCTCTCGATGTCGTGAATGAAGATGGCCTTCTCGCCGAGCAAGGTGCGGTGGTATCGTCGCGAGATGGTGGCCGTCTCGCTGATGTAGTCCTTGTCCTTGGGATTGACCAGCTCCATGACCGAGAGCTTGAGGTTCTCGAGATTGGCAGCGTTCTTGGCTGGCGTCCTTGCAATGACGTTGTCCTCGTTATCTAAATAGCCTCCCAATGCGGCGAACTCTTCAGCATTGCTAAACTTGACGTAGACACCAAACTTCTTCATGATGCGCTGAATGTTCTTACCTCCCACACCGATGATGCGCTTGTGGTACGCCTCGGGCACGTGGAACGACATCTCTGCCGGCAGCTCCTCTTGCAAGAGCCCGAGACCTTGCAACACTCCGTTGCGATCGTTGCCGGAAACATCGATCAAGAAGTTGTAGTCGTTGAAGGTCTCGAACTTGATGCGAACGCCGCACTGCTTCATGACCTTGTTCACCTTGCCATTCTTCTTACCAGAGATGAACTCGCGATGCTCGTTCGCCAGCTCGATCTGGAAGCGCACTTCAAAGTTGAAGTTCTTGATCAGATCCAGATCGAGCAACGCCGACACCGCAGTGCGGACCTCACTCTCGAGACCATGAATCTCGAAGCAGTTGCTCTTGAAGACAACCTCGGCACCGGAAGCATTGCTAACGTGCTTGAGGACAGGCGCAACCTGAGTCGGGTTGAGGTTGGCCTGCGAGGGCATATAGACGTCAAAGCCGACGGGCAAGAGCCAGAGCGAAGCGACGTAGAACTGGCACGCGAGTTGCATGATCGATCGAATGGTGCGCTCGATGTTGACGCGATGGTCACCAAACACCGAGATCAAGCTTGCCTGGCTGCCAAGCAGAGGGAACGCAACAAAGGTGCCGTTGTCGATCATAATCGATCGCAGTTCCTCGAGACGCTCGGTAAGCATCCAATCGAGCTTGCGTGGCAAGATGGCTGCATCCCTAGAGATGATACCCTTGCTCTTGTGCATGGAAACCTGGAAGAGCATGTCGCGAGCACGCTGGACGCCAAAGAACTCGCCGGTGATGTGGATCTGGTTCTGGTGAGCTGCGACACCTGCACCTCGGCTTGCAACGCTCGAACCAAAAGTACCGAGGAAAGAGCTGGGCAGATAGATGTTGGTGCCAGTCTCTTCCTCGATCTTCTGAACAACGCATCGTTTGCGACCGCCAATAATGTTGTGAAGCTTGTAGTCGATCTCGCAAAGCTCAGATCGCAGACCAGTGATCTCGTCAAAGATGACGAGCACCTTGACTCGGGCGAGCTCTACGCTCTCAAAGGGACCGGAAACGAGCACTTCCACGATGCGCTCCGTCTCGAGCCCGTAGCCGAGATCAGCACCACGAACCTCACTGCTCTTGAGAGTGATGGTGGCGCCGGTTGCAGTCTGCACCTCGTCAAGCTTGCGACAAACATCAGGCTTGACGGTCTCCTTGCCCGGAGGCGACGTGCCAGGAGCCACGTCAAAGACGTCGGCACGGGGCACTTTGATGGAAGAAGTCGACTTGAACGGGTTCTCACGCAAGATGGTTCCTCGAGCGTTCATGACCTGTTGGTAGCCACCGCTGAGGTGGAAGTTGTACTGCGGTGGCTTGCTGACACCGCTGAGGCTGGCTCGTGGTGCGCCGATGGTGCTCGGGTTGGGCGATCGAAGGGGATGCGCGGAAGAAAGGCCGACCTCTTGAGCGATGTGACTACCAGACTGTGGGTTGAGCGAGGAAAGCGAGATCGAGCTGCCGTTAAGACCGGGGAAGCCCGAGCCAAGTGCTTCGCTGCCACTGCGTCCTGAAAAGAACGCTGACGAGTGCGAGTCGGGAGTGCCGATGGGCTGAGGGTGGTATTGCTGGTAATTGCCACTCGAGTTGTTAGGGTTAGGGAAGGGAAGCTGGTCCAAGCTTTGCAAGGATGAGAAGGAGCTCTGACGAGGGAAAGGATGCGAGAGCGGTGTGGGTGGCATGCGAGACTCGTCTGGCTGCGGCACAGGAGCGAATGAAACAAGGCATTGATGGTTGGCCATGACATCCGAGCTGAGTTTGTGAATGGCCTCTTGAAGATCCTTGCTGCTCTGCGACTGTGTCATGCCACGTTCTTGCTGGTTAGCGGCCGAGATGGAGTTGGATGCGGAATGCGTTGCGCTTGAAGGGTTGCCACCGATGGCGCTACTGGGCGCGGTGCTGTCAGCAGTGAACGAGGCTGCTGAGGAGGAAATGTCAAAGCTGGAACGAGTGCCCACGGTGGATCTGCTATCTCGATGCTGACTGCTGGCGAGGGGGTCATCCAAGTTGGCAAGCTTCGATGGACGTAGATTGCCTCTTTCACCGATGGGAGCGAGCGGCGCAGAAGGATCAATGTCGTTGCTGGGGCGAGACTGTGTGTTGCTCGCAGATGCTGCGGCAGCGGTGTCGGCGTCGGCCTTTTCGGCACCGACCGCTTCGACGATTCTGTCGTTGGTGCGCTTGCCGCCAAAGGCGCTGGGCATGAAAGCCTTGACGCTAGGAGGGAAGCGCGAGCGCATGGATGTGAATCGACCTGGAAGCGAAGAGGCAGGAGGCTCAGGAGCAGCTGATGCGGCTGGAGCTGCGGGCCGCGCACCAACATTGGAGCTGGACCTCAAAGCATGGATGCCAGCGCCAAAGCCTGTGGAGGAGGAGCGAGTAGCATTGTCGTTGGCAGTGGCAGGGTCGGAGACGAAGCTGCCTGAACCGATGGAGCGAGGAAGGGCGAAGGAAGTCGAGTAAAGATCCATCTTGGCGAGTTGAGGACGGTATGTGAAGACCTGGGCCGCTTCGATGGCGGAAGCCGAGCTGCAAGGGAAGCAAGAAGGCCCTGACGGATGTCGAGCTCGAGTGGTTGCAAACGAGAGCCGAAAAAGGCTAGATAGACGACGGAAGAGGAGAAGAACAGATGAGATGTGCAAGTCTGATCTGAAGTGGAGGTGTCCTGCCGATATGGTCGATCGTGAGTAGGGGGGTATACGAGGGGAAAGTTGCAACTCGAGGTATCTTTTTGAATGGGGAATACAGATGTCGATGCAAATCAAGGGCGATTGGTCGGAAGCATGGAAAGCTGTGTCTGGCGAAATTGCGGTCGGTTGCGTTGGGCTAGACGCTGTACTGGGTAGCGAGGGTCGAGATGTCGTGTAAGGAAGGCCTCAGTAGAACTTGTCTTCGGTCGAACAGTATCCTCAGCTTCGAAAAAGTGGAAGCTTCTGGCTACTGTGTTGTTCGAGGACGGCGAAAGCGGGTGAGATAAAGGCGAAAGGGATTGAAGATGGAGGGAAGGAGGCAGGACTCGAAAAAGGTGACTGAACCTATGCGAAGCAACCTAGCTAATTGTTCGAGACCAGTTCAAACAATGCCGAATGCCGAATGCACAAGCTTATCCAGCGGAACAGGAATCAACTACGGCCTGATTGGAGACGAAGAGGTAGTATAGATAGATGCGGGAGGAAAGCCAGAGCAGAAACGAGATGAGAAGGAGCGAAGGGAGAGGGCAGGAAGGAAAGGATAGGATGCAGAGCGTCGACGACGACAAGGAAAGGGATATGCACAGGTATGGTCGATGCTATCAGCCTGGACCAGAGACGGTATCAAGCTGAGATATCGAAGAGGTATTGAGGTGGTGTTGGTAAGGAGCAAGCGTTGGAGAGGTGGAGCAGCGAGAAGCAAATTCAGGAGCGCAGTGTTGCGGTGATCGGAGGGTGAAAAAGGGCAGACCAAGAAGAGTAGCCCAAAAAAAAAAAAAAAAAAAAAAAAAAAAAAAAAAAAAAAAAAAAGAAAAAAAAAGTCGAAATTGCTGGCTGTGGTTCTTGTGGAGCGTGAGCGGATTTTTCTTTCCTTTTCTCCTCTCTTTCTGATACTGTGACTTCAGACACGGTGTCCTTGACCTCATTGGCCAAAGCTCGAAACGGCTGGGAAAAAAAAAAAAAAAAAAAAAAAAAAAAAAAAAAAAAAAAAAAAAAAAAAAAAAGCAACCCTGGCGCCAACAGAGAAGTATACCTAAGCTCAGAGAGAGAGAGAGAGAGAGAGAGAGAGAGAGACGTGTTAAATTTAGAGTTTGCTGCAAGTGAGAGAGCTCGCAAGTTCACACGGTCGTCGCATTACACTCTGGACTTAGAGTTGGCTTGAGCACAAGCCGTTTTCGCTGCTTGGTGGCCAACTGGCTGCCTCGTAAGGCTGTGCAAGGCAAGATTCTAGACCCTTGCTTTCATCGGGCCATCCGGAGGCTGAGTAGTATAGGGTCGGTGCATGAAAGGAACTTGCTGTCATAGTCCCTTGACCTCCCCTTCGGCGTTTCCGATGAGAAGCAGCAGTTAACGCACTTGCTTCACATCTCATTTTCCATTTCCCCCTTTGCAAGCCAGTCAGAAGGCAGTGTAAGAGGGTGACCAAGCACCTCCTGCGATGCCTGCGATACTCTCTCTTCACATCACGGCAGAGTGCACCATCTTCTTCAACACTGATCTCACACACGATGCCTGGTCCACAACCTCGAAAAGGATTCTTGCACAGCGCCAGTTATCGATGCAGGGGATAGGAGACTAGGACGCGTAAGGGCAAGTGCCCTCTGTCCCATAACTGAGAGTTGAAGAAACTACGACATTTCCGGAGAGCCGCATGTCAGATCGGAGCATTGAATGCTGGAAGGCCAGGGTGACCCAAAATGCAAGTAAAGACAAGGTGGATGCAAAGCATGAGATAGCACATGCAGCTTACACATGAGGCCTGACACCAGGACACACAGCAGGTATGTGGGTATGACATCTAGTTATGAAGTGTTGACATGACAACAATCATGAAGGCAACCCACATATGGTGGTACAAGGTGTGACTCAAGGAGTAAACATGTCATCTGTTAAGGTATATATACATTATGTTTAGTAGCATCCTGCACCTCAAAAAATTTAAGCCTTTTTACTTAGATCACCTGACTGTGAGAGTGCCTGCTTGTGGCCTCTGAATTGGCACATCTAAATTCAACTGGCTCCCAATGTGGGGCTCGAACCCACAACATTCAGACCATGGCAGGGGAAGGAGATCACCAAGCCAGTGAAGCGACTAAGAGGACAAAAGGAGGAAGAAAGGGAAAGGCAGCCCAACAAGTACAGATCAATGACAAGGCCACTGACAGCAACAAGACTGAGACCAATGAAGTCGAAGAAGGGTCAGACTCCAACAATGACAATGAGTGGTATGACTACCATACCTTAGCCAAGATCATGGAGGCAGTTCCCAAACTCACATTGCAAAACTATTATAGTTGGAGCACCCTTATCAAAGCCACCCTTAGAGTTGTCCCTCATGCCATATGACACTTGGAAGGCATGTATGACAGTAATCATGCAAAATGGAATAGAACCTTTGTTGATGCTCTGGCAGGTGTCCTACATAGCACCTTAGATACCAAAGGAGAGCATAACATCCTCTATTTACTGCTCAACATTAGCAAGACATACTTGACCTTCCACCAAACCTGGAAGAAGATTGAAAAGGGTCTGACCAGTGAAGCCACTAGGACCTCACAATGAATCACACTCCTTGCCCAACTCAATGAAGTCAAGATGTTTAATGCTGACACACAAAAGCTAATCCAAGAGATTAGAGTCATGCAGATGGAGACAAGCCTCCTGGGAGCACCTTTTGGTGATGATGCCATATATGCAGCACTCCAAAGGTGCACAATCCAACATCCCATTTACAAGGAGATGGTTGCCACCATTCACCAGGTCAGTTTCAATGCTCTCACCACTGCCTTGACCATGCACCAGTCTGCAATTGAGAGCATTCCACCCAAAAGGTGGATCCCCAACAAGCAAATGCTCAAACAGCTGGCAGCAACAAGCAGGATGGTGACAGTCCAAAGGCTATGACTAAACTGAGGAGGATCCACTGCTGGGTGTGCAGACACTATGGACATGGCACCAGAAGGTGCGATGCCTCTGTCACCATTCCTGAGAACTCCCCCCTTGCCAAGACTAAATAGGAAGTCTGGTGCTCATTCACCCCAAGTTGGCCAAGGCTCCCCAAATTGGACCAATCGACCCATTGGGTCCTGGATTTGGGAGCAAGTTTCCATATGATTAATGACTACAGCATGCTGATCCATCCAAGAAAGTGCAGAAAGCATGTATACACCACTGGAAGCGAAATCTTAGAAGTGACTGCTGTAGGGGACATTAGCATATCAACAGAGTATGGAGAGATACTACTCCAAAATGTTCTTTATGTTCACAACCTCAATATCAATCTATTGTCAACCAACTCATTGATGGATGAAGGAGCATGTGTGACCCTAGACCCTAAAGGGGGACAAATACATTTAGCAAATGGCATGCTGTTAAAGATAGCAAAGAATTGTGAGTGTGGATTACTAGAGATATGAGGCGATACATGGTGACAAAGCATGATGGCTGCATCAACACTGCTGTTTGAAGGGGTTGATGAAGAGTTCAAGCTAGCTGAATGGAGACCAAAAGTCTCCACAAAACAGCTCTGGCATGAGTGACTGGGACACCCAGGTCGAGACAAGTCCAAGGCAATCATTGACAAATTGAGAGGTGAACCTGTAGTAGCATTGGACCCAAACACAGCTTTGACATGTGAGCCATGTATACAATCCAAGAGTATGGTCACCTGAATGGGGCAAGGTAGCGGCAAAAGAGCCACAGGGCCCCTGGATCTCATTCACATCAATCTAATCATTGATTCATCCCATGTGACAGAGTACACATGCATATTAGTGCTGGTCAATGACCATAGCAAGTATGTGCACATACAACCATTGTTGCAAAAGAGTCATGCATTTGTACAGCTCAAGAGAATTGTTTCATTCCTAGAAACACAGATGGATAGGACACTGAAGGCAATTTGATCCAATCAAGGAACTGAATGGAAGAGCAATGAGGCACTGGAATGGATGCTCAGGAAGGGCATAGAATGGCAGACTACTGTGGGATACAATAGCAGGCAAAATGGGCAAGTGGAATGAATGAACAGGAGCTTAGGTGAGAAGATGCAGACATTATTGATACAGAGGAACCTACCAAAGGGTTTTTGGCCATATGTGATCTGGGCAGCAGCATTCAAGGTAAATCTAACTCCCAATGTTGATGGAGAGTTCCCCTATCAGCTGATGTTCAGAAAGTTGCTGGAACATTTCATATGTCTCATGTGTGTATTCAGGTGTTTGGCATGGGTGAATGTCCCGAAAGCCAAGAGACACAACAAGAAACTGGATCAGAGAGCAGTCCTGGCTATATTCATAGGGTACAGCTTGGAGAGAAAGGGGTGGCTGTTCTACAGCCCTGACTATAGTCTGAATGTCTTCTGGAGCAACTTGGCAAAGTTCATGGAAACTCAATGTTGGTCGGACTGAACCAAATGGAAACCAGTGGACATCCAATCACCCCCAATCCTGACCAGTGAGGAGGATCTTGCCGACCTGGGGTACACAGAGAAGGACCTCTTTGATGAGAATGAGCAAGAGCCCCTGGACGAACACATGAATATGGAGACAATCCTGGGAGAGGAAGAGTCCAAAGAGCTGAAACATGAAGCACAAACCTCTTTTGGGTTAGTAACAGCAGGGCTTCAGAAGAAGGAGAAGAACCTCAACCCAACCATTCATGAGGCATTGACTGGAGAGGACAGGAGCTTCTGGGAGGAAGCGATGTGCAAAGAATTGGAGGGGCTAGAAGCGATGGGCACATGGGAAACCACTGACTTACCATGCGGCATGAACACAGTCGACATGCATTGGGTACTCAAAATCAAAACGGATGCAAACATGTGTCATGGGCCTGGGTGCGCAGAACGAGGAAAGACCGAAGTTCATATGAAGGTAGCGCAGGAATCATGGGATCGGGTAGATTGTAGGAGCTGCAACAGAGTTCACTGAGATCAGCAGTAGAATCAGCTCTATGGCAGATCACAGCAAAATCAGCACAAGCATCATCAATATCACAAATCCCACCAGAATCTGCAGCAAGCAAGATCATGTGGCAGATTCTGCAGAGATTGGTAGTAAGGATGTCCATATGACAATTCACATGCGAGAGGGACCGAGCTCAGTGACACACAGTTGGTTACCACTCAGGGGCCCACAGGACAGGAGTAAAGGAGAACTGTCACCAGCCAAAGGAAGGAGAGCTGTGTAAAGGACACCAGCGAGAGGGACATGAAGAGGAGGAGCAGTGTCAATGAAGTCGACACAGCTCAGGAAAGACAGGAGGGACAAGGCTTGATATGGAGGAGGAGCCTCCTTGGAGATCCCTGTACAGTACTCGACGAAGAGGGTACTCTCTGGAGAGAGAGAGCAGGAGCAGTGTCATTGGTGATGCTGTGAAGAGATATATAGTCATACCTTCTCATCACAAATGGTCAAGTGGATCCCCATCCACTCTACACACCATAACAACTAGTATTACTTCAAACAAATAAGTATCATTAGTTCATAGTCAGCATAGTAGTAATCAATAGATTGCTCCTCATCGAAGCATGTGTGTTGTATCACCACTCCCTGACATCTGAAGGTGGTTCTTAGCAAACCAGCAGTCCAGATAATGATAGAACCAAAGGCAGTCATCCACTGCAGTCTGGGGATCACCTCAAGTGTTAGTCAACACACTGGACACTCATGTTGATGTCATCAATCCATACTCACACCAGACCATTGGTGTCAACATCAAGTTCACTTAGAGTCATATCATATTTTGATTGTGCCGAGCTACCTCTGGATGGAGTGTCCACAGTGGTCAGTCAAAATCTGTCATAACATCAATACAACTACAGATTCCAACGAGAACAGTGACAGAGATGACTCTGTCACATATTTCACTAGGAATCAAAATACCATTAGCACTGTCACATAACTTGACAGAATCGGTAATAGTATCAATACTACCACAGACCTCAGGTTTCAGGCACGCGACCTCTGACAACATGGTCCCCACGAAGTACAAGGCAAGGCTAGTAGCACAAGGGTTCACACAGAGGGAGGGCATAGACTACACAGAGATCTTTGTGCCCATGGCACCCATCCAATCTATTAGAGGAGTGCTAGCAATCATAGCTGTATGGGGTTGGGAGGTCAATTTGATTGATGTCAAGCAGGCCTACTTAAATTTGAACCTACACCATGATGTTTACCTTAAACTGCCTGTTGGAACCAAGGTGCCACTGGGAAAGGTGCTAAGGCTCATGAAAGGACTCTATGGGCTAAAACAATCAGGTCACAAGTGGAACATAGAGCTGGACTCACACCTCTGAAAGATTGGCTTTCATTGTATGTCAAGTGCACCATGCCTGTATTCAAGAGGAACAGGCAACAGACTCACAATACTAACTGCATATGTGGATGACATGCTCATCACATCACTGAGCAGGAAGGAAGTTGATTGCACCAAGGCAGAGAACATGGACAAGTGGGGGATGGAGGACAATGGACCAGTTAAGGAATTTTTAGGCATCAAGATCACTTGAGAGAGGGAACAAAGTAAGATTTCACTCGATCTAATGGCATACATCAAAGGTATGGTGAACAAATGGTTGGAGAGGCCAAGTGAAAAGTCATGGATACCAATGCAGAGCATTGCAGGTATTGCCAGAGGAAACAAGTGCACCCCAGAATGAGCTAAGCAATATCAGGAGCTGGTAGGGCAGCTACTGTGGGTATCCAATACAGTGTGACCAGACATTTCTTTTGCAGTTGGGGTCTTAGCATGATATATGTTGGAACTGATCAACAGTGCATGGGGAGCAGCAGTGCACTTACTAAAGTACTTAAATCAAATGAGTGAATATTGCCTAGAGCTCAGAGGAACACACAGGAGGCATGCAGAACAACCAGTAGTTACATATACTGATGCAAATTGGGCCTCAGACCCCATGAATGGATGAAGGAGTACATCTGGAGCAGTTACATATGTGTATGGATGTCCAGTCAGCTGGAAATCACACATACAGAAATGTGTGGCATTGTTGGCAGTGGAGGCAGAACTGGTCACCACATCAGAAGCAGCAAGAGAGGCACTCTTCTTCTTGTACCTACTCAGAGATCTAGGAATAGCAGGAGTCAAGCCAGTGTTATGCACTGACAGTCAGGGATGTATACAGGTCAGCAAGGACCTGGCTAAACATTGGAAGCTAAAACATATTGACACCCAATACCACTTTGTTAGGGACCACATTCAAGAAGGTGACCTATCAATCAAATATGTTGGGATGGCCAACAATGTTGTGGACATCCTCATGAAACCCCTGAAAGGACTTGACACTACAAAAGTATCAAGAAGGATAGGATTGAAAATGTCGTTGAGAGGGGGAGTTGAAGAAACTATGACATTTCTGGAGAGCCACATGTCAGATTGGAGCATTGAATGCTGGAAGGCCAGGGTGACCCAAAATGCAAGTAAAGATGAGGTGGATGTGAAGCATGAGATAGCACATGCAGCTTACACATGAGGCCTGACGCCAGGACACACAGCAGGTATGTGGGTATGACATCTAGTTATGAAGTGTTGACATGACAACAATCATGAAGGCAACCCACATATGGTGGTACAAGGTGTGACTTGAGGAGTAAACATGTCATCTGTTAAGGTATATATACATTATGTTTAGTAGCATCCTGCACCTCAAAAAATTTAAGCCTTTTTACTTAGATCACCTGACTGTGAGAGTGCCTGCTTGTGGCCTCTGAATCGGCGCATCTAAATTCAACTCTGAGACAAAGGACAGCTGAGCCGGGAAAAAATGCGAGCTCGAAATTCTCCGATCCAGCAGAGGCGAGGACAGGGCCCTGACTGAGTTACAACTGAGATCTCGTGCCATCAGATGGAAGCGTGCATCTCGCCTTTCGTCGTGTATGTTTGCTACCTAGCTGTAACATTGCTCAAGTCGCTCCATCATTCTCTGACAGCTTCTCGCTGAGCAGCAACCACTACAGCATACTGCAAACGCAACACTCCGTCACACAGGCTACAGCCAAGAGCTCTGTAACGTGTCGAGATACCAAAAGCGAACAAGCTACATTGCATCTCCAAACCCCATACTTTCTACTCGGATGGAGGTGTATAAGGCTCGATCAAAAACTGGCTAAAAGACTTCAACTTCTCCGTCCCTCTCACCTCTTCCGTCAACAGTGGCATCTTGACAATATGGAAATCGTCCGCATACAGCTCCATCATCTCTCCCACGTACTTATCCTGCATCTGTTTCCTCACTCTGCAATGTTGACAGTTGCTATCCTTCTTCGGATACAGTAGCTGGTTACACACAATCGCGTGTGTATCGATCTCGTACTGCGTCAACTCCTGGATCAACCTTTCCGTTTCGTAGAGTGAAAGGAACTCTGCGATGCAGACGCAGACAAACGTTGTCTTTTCGGGGTCCTTGAATTGCGTGTTGACTTCAGTGATGACTTCACGCATGCTTTCCAGTTTGGCAAACATGTCTTCTTGGTTGTTGGCGCCTCCTCCGAGCATGGATTGGAATTGGCCTAGCATCGGACCGAGCGATCGACCGAGAGTGGAGAATTTAGCGAGCGCTTTTTCGAGGACCGAAGGGAAGGAGAGGAAACGCAAAGTGTGACCGGTAGGGGCGGTGTCGAAGACGATAACGCTGTATTCCATCGATTTGACGTGTTTCATGATTTCAGCAAACCCCATCGCTTCGTCGACACCAGGGATGGCAAATGCGAGATCTTGCATCATAGATCCCATCGCACCACCGGAGCTGTCTGATTGTTCGATCATTTCTTGGATGCTAGAGTTTGGGTCAATCTCCATCGCAGAGAGGTTGTCAAAGCCGTTGACTTTGGTTGCTTCTTTGCCGAACTTCTGCCCGAAGGCATCGGAAAGGTTGTGCGCAGGATCGGTCGAGATGAGAAGGACCGACTCGCGAACTTTGGAAAGTTGAATGGCGAGAGAGCAAGAGGTGGTGGTCTTGCCTACTCCACCTTTGCCTCCGACAAAGAGCCATTTCAGTGTCTTTTGATCGAGAATGTTTTCAAGTGTGGGTGCAAGAGCATCTTCTACCACGGCCGCCGACATGCTGATGCCAGTGTGTATGCGTATGTCCGAAGCGAGCGTGTCGAGATGGGGTATACGTGTGGCGATGATGATGATGGAAGACAAGGATGTCGTGAGCGGTCTTGGCTTTTTGTCAGCTGCAAGAAGGATCGGAGAGGATCAACAGCCACGCATCTCGCCTCGAATCAGGCGCAGCTCACAGCTTGAATTTGAGGATTTTCACGCACAGACGCCCTCAAAAAGGCATGTTTTCCTCCACAGTCAGAATTCCACGTCGCCTGTCTCTCTCTGCTGGCTGGCTAAGTTAAGCTTCCACCGCATACTCTTGCCTTCCAGGCCATCCTAGGCTCCCAACCCCTCACTCGCCGCCATATCGTTCAAGTGTGAGTGTCTGCTGCTATCCGCGACCCTTGAACTTGGCACTGTTCACTTTTCAGTCCAGACATACACTCACTAGACTGCATATCTTTGATGAATGCCATTGCAATGCTTCCATGGGAGATCTAGAGAATTGCTCCGTGAGCGTGCGTCAGACCTTTCTCTTAACCAGATTCTGCAGCATATCAAACGAGTTTCCATCAGGTTGCAATTGAATAATCCCATTCCTCTTTGCATCCTCGGACCCTCCCCAAGCCTTCCCATCACTCGACCTTACACTAGACGTCCTAGGCACAGCCTGCAACAATCCATAGTCCGAAGAAATACCCACAATCCTCACGCTCTCCTCCCCGCTCCCTGTAGTTCTAATCGCATCCTGAGTGAGAGTCGTTTCCTGATCGCTATGCAGCCAGATCTCCCTATACCGCTCAACAAAAGGCCTAAAGTCTCCACTGTGCTCCATCAAGGTTTTCCAGATCGAGTCAAAGGTGGACAGTATCGCACCAGCTAGCTTCTCCTGCGTGATCGGTTCCAGTGCTGCTTCTGGGTGAGCAGTGTTGTGAATGGAGATGAGATCAGAGACCGAAGTGCTTGGGCGAGGGTTGAGACAATTCACACCGCAACCAGAGATCAGAACCAATTCGTTGCCACCGCTGAATTGAGAGTTGACGAGGATGCCGCCGAGCTTGGCGTAGCGTTTGCCGTCCAGTTCGAAAGTGGCCGTTTTGGCTCGTTCCCCTCCTGCCGTGGAGCCGACGGTTGGGATCTCGGCATAGATATCGTTCGGCCACTTGATTCGGACTTTACCTGCCACCCTCTTCCCTGCATCAGAGTCTCCGAGAGCGAGCCTGATACCTTCCACCACCGCCAACCCGGAGAGGTATTGGAGGAAAACAGTCTTGCTAGCCATCGAAACAGGTACTCTGAACACCGCTGAAAATTGCAAGCATCCCTTAGGAGAAATCCAGCGATTACCACCACGTCCACGACCACTCATCTGTTGCGTCGCGAAGAAAGTTGTTCCCACCGGCAAAGCTGAAAGCAATCTGAAGTTCTTATCCAGCATTGTCTGGGTTGAGGTTACCATTTGGGTGTACAGCATTGGCGTACCGAACCTCACTGCTGCACTAGACCCAGTGGTGGAAGAGGAAGAGCCGAACGGGTTGAAAGGGTCATATGGTGGACGCCAGGTAGACCAGTGGCCAGGAACTTTGTTCTGCTCGTTTTGAAGGTTGATATTGCGGAAGTGAGTGAGATGCTTTTCGTACTCGTCGATGTTCCAATAGGGCAAGATGTCGGTGGTTGGGCGCGTCTTTTTGCAGGCGAGGATGTATTTGGGGACTGAGTCTAGGTCTACCTCTTTGTCAGGGGTTGATTCTTCTGGTGCTGCATCGGTGGTAGTCGGAATGATGGGTTTTGAGAATGCGTCGTAGTCTGCTGAAGTGCAAAGCGCTTGTGCTTCGCGGGTGCTTTTCGCGTCGGCGATGGAGAAATGCATCGCGTCGTTTGAATCTTTGATGCTGGCGATGTTTGCAGTCTGGAGAGCATCGCAGTTCTCAAAGCCTTGCAGATGCGAGACAGATCCAGACGACTTGTCTGCCGCAAGCTTTTGCAGGATCTCGTCGACGATCTTGTTCGAATCGTTATCATCGCCGAAGGAGGCGAGGTAGATGGGCAGCAGCTTAGGCTCTTCAGTTTCGATAGCCGTACCTATCGCACTTAAATTGATTGCTGTTGCAGCAGCAGCGCTGGCGGAAGGCAGCGCCCACAGCGGAAGCTCCGACCGCAGTCCAAGTCGATGAGTGAAGAGCTCGTGCATCCACTGCAGCCTTCGCTGTTCGTGGACCCGCAGCTGTTGGTCTCGCTCCTCCTTGTTATTCTGTTCTTGGCTGTTCTCCGCCTGCAATACTGGAGTGGACGTTAGCACAAGAGGAAACTCGGGATGTGTTCCGAACAACAGTGCCTTGCCCAATCCAACACTTAACATCACTACAGCCGCCTGTCCCGAATAGTCTGTTCGACGCTGAGCCCTGCTCGAAGCGTTGAGGTCGATATCCAGATGCAGTTCGTCTGGTTGAATAGCAACATATCGAGCAAGCACCTCCACTCCTTGGCCCTGATATCTGTCAGCATCTATGAATGCTCCACCTCCATTGTAGTGACATCTCCACTGATCCTTTTCCCCGCCAGACCCGATCGTGCGTTCGATATCAACAATCCTTGCGCCCTTGTCCGATTCATACACAAATCCAGGATAGACCGTACCCTGGCACGTACCCGGGAAGAACTTCAGAAACGGTCTTTCGCCATCCACCTCCATTCCTGTGCCCTTTTCGAACGCACAGTGGCTCGAAGCATAGTATGCGCCTGCACAGATGCCCAGGAAGTTTCCACCCGACTCGACGAACGATCTGATCTCGCGGCAGGCTGTGCGTTCCGAGCCTATGGAGGACGAAGACGATGCGCCTTCAGTGGAGCGAGTGTACGGTCGAGCTAATTCAGAGACATAAGGGAGGTCTCGGCCGCCAGGGAGGACTACGAGGGCTGTGCCGTTCTGCCACGGGTCGAGGGCGAGGGTTCGGGCATCGACTGTTTTGACGTCGTAGGTGGAGAGAAGGGTGCGGAGGGTTCTGAGCGTGTGGTGGAGGGCCGAGGTGGAGACCCCTGGTCCGGAGTATACGAGTACGTCAGACATGTTTGTGAAGGCACAACGATGGAGCGAGTGGCTAGTAGTGAAGTACGATGCTGAGTGCTTTGTCAGCTTAAAGCTGCTGCTGTAGTATTCGCTGCGGACTGTGAACCCTCGACGCACCGCAAACGTCGCGACCGAAGTTGAGTGGAAGAGATGCAACGTCGTTTTGGCCAGGAGACCCTATGAAGTTCAAATGTTTCAGAGCGTGTTGGGTATGCTTGCTCTGTTGCTTGGTGTCGTTGTTGTGGTGATGTTGAAGAAAGGTTGGAGAAGCAACTCGGCAAAAGTGTTGTTTCTTCTTGCTGCAAGGCCAGTTTTGAGTTTGACAGCCGGTTTAACCGAATCTTCGATCCAACCGATAACATCGGACTAAGCTCAATATATGGGTAATTATATGCACCTCTAAACCTAGTGAACAACTCCATCCCGGCTAGCTCAGTCGGTAGAGCGTCAGACTCTTAATCAAGGGTTTCCGAGTATGTCTCGGAGTTAATCTGAATGTCGTGGGTTCGAGCCCCACGTTGGGAGAATTTTTTTTTGCCTTTTTCCGTCATTGCTGCTTGTCGTGTTGTTCTTGGCTCGCTTTTTGCATCTCTTTCCTCTGGGGACGCTTGATTACTGGGTTACCAACAGACAATCTTGCGAGAGTAGCAGAGAAAAAGCGACCGGGAAAACGCTTTTGCGGTCGTGGACAACGTGATGTTGGACCTCATTACGGTGCTCATAGGCTAGATCAACAGACACGCTCGCACAAGCTTAGAATGTGGAAAGGCACTGCATTGGATCGCGATCTGTGAAAGCGAGGGTATAAGAACGACAACACGAACAAGTTGACGTTCTGACAGTGCTGTCAGTGGTCGCACCTACTGGTCTCCACTTAACCGACCTTCTTGAATCCGCCAAAGTTGATGCCGACACAGCTTACAGCGAATTGATCAGGATTGGTGATCTTCTGCAACACCTCTTTCTTCCTCTTTACCTCCTCATGCTCCTCTTCATCCTCATCATCGTCTTCGCTTTCCTCTGCATCAACAATATTGCTTGCCGTACCAACTGCGCCATTGTCCGCGGGGGAAATCTTAAAGCTCACCCCTAACGCTTCTTTAATGTCCCTCATCATCTGCACCGCATTCGCCGTAGGAGCGGCCATCGTACACTTTGCTACATCTTGTGGACTCAAAGCCATCAGCAACAACACTAGCGGTTGATGGCTTCTATCCACACAACCCCTCTGTGCGATTTCCGTAAGCAACAGTCTTGCGGCTGATTGGGCAAGGTCTTCTGGCAAACCGGGGTCTTGGGTTTTAGACGCTGCTTCAGCAGAGTAGATTGCACCCGTCGTTGAAGTTGCGAGGAGAGTGATGGCGAAACCGGGAGACTTGCCGGAATCTTCACCGCGATACACATCGGCAAAGAGGTAGAGATCGGGGATGTAGCGTCCGAGAACACCTCTTGCAGCATCAATCAGACGGTTGGCCATCTGCGGGCTGACACGAGTGGAAATTGCAATGCCTCTAATCTTTTTAATTCGACCAGGGGCGGTAAAATTGAGTGTGGTGAGATGTTTGATGATAGGACATCGGAATTGGACTTCTCCTCCACCCAAAGGGGCTGAGCCACGTTTTGCGATGCGGAGCTCGAGCGAGCTTGCCAGTGTCGACAGCGAATCGAGTGGAAGGAAGAGGGAGAGGTGAGGGAGGGTGACAGTTCGGATAGTGTCTACACCGAGATCGCCGTCTATGTTGGTCACTCCTCGCAGTGTGAGGTTGAACTCTTTCTTTGCAAAAGGTGCAAGGACGACCATCCATTCAAGCCAGTATCCAATACCTCTTGTCAGGGAGCAGTCATGGACAACTTTCCCGCCAGCAATAACGCCTGGCTTGAGTAGGACCGAAGTACCAGTGTATGAAATTTCAACATGGGTTCCATTGGTGACCTTTTCGATGAGACGGAGGAAGTTGGCTTCGAAATCACGAATACCGGGGCTAGAAGAATCAGGTCGGATCGAGTCGATGCGGACGGGGCGCTGCGAGACGAGGGCGAGAATGAGTCGTTGACGGAAGTTGCGATGTCCTGTGAAGCGTAGCAGACGAGACTTTTGCTCCGCTGCGTTGGGCGTTATTGATGATGATGATGCTGAGGGTGCCATTGTGACAGCAGCTGGTTCAAGTTGAGTCCCGGCCTTCAGTCGGGGTCTGGCAGATCAGTGTGTTGGTTCTCTTTGTCCAGCGAGATCGAAAAAGTCGTGTGAACTTTCCTTCGAGCTTCGACTTAGGTGTCGTCGATGCGAGAAGTTCGAAGGCCAGACGAAAGAAGTGTGGCGGTGATGGTCGAGTAGCAAGAGGATGATGCTAACGAGTGTGAGGGTTCAACCGAATTGGACTTGCGTTCACGTTTTCCAAAAAACTTCGCGTTTCTTCAAAAAATCTCAACGACCGGACGGAAGTCGGATGCCGAGTTCCGATTTTTCTTTTCCTGGGCGACATGCTTTCCACTTCCGCCCCATTCACTGGTCAGGTCTCGACAATGCTCGATAAGGCTTACTCTTGTTAGATTCTTTAATCCCCACACTTTAGTAGGATAACCTACGGACGAAATCCGCAGGTGGCCGAATGACAATGGCGGGTGTATCCTCACAGATGAGCCGAGAGGGAACGACCCTGCGTCGTGGCCGGGGAGAGACAAAGTCTCGTCGACGCCGAGGGCGCCCGGTATCTTTGCTGTTCTCTGGTAATGTTGAATGGTCGCAATCAAGTTGTTTGCTAGGCATAAGAACATGTACTGTACAGCCAATGCGCTGCAGTTCCGCCTCACTTTAACCACTTCCAATACGGTGTGCGCATGCGGTGTCCTAAGCTTGCTTTGAATCGCAAGGAGAGCGAAAGCGCTGATCTGGACCAGACAGTCCGCGGCAAACCAGTATGCTCCCGCTACATGAACGTCGGACATGAGACGGACCGGCGACGCGTCGTAGTGAAGTGTTGCTGGCTACTGTCCCAGCGTATCAGACGGTAGGTAGAGCGATACGTCCCATGACGCAAATGGAAAGGGCAAACAATGTCGTTGCGGTAGAAAAAGACCAATCCGTAGCGTCTCGAGCTGATGGCTAGTTTGAAGCGGTATGACTACTTGCTAGAGGCCCTGTAGAAAAACTGATCATCATCGTATGGAGCACGGATCGATGGCCTGATGACGAGAATACATAGATGCAGGTGACAGCAACAATAAAAGATACAAATACAGTTTGACGAGCCTTGAGCGGGCCGTGAGGGTTTGGGTTGTATGGTGATAATGATCGAGGCGTGAAGCGGGAGTGAAGACCTTTGCAGACGAGTCTTGTACCGAGAAGTCGAATCAAAGACAAAAGCTTGTGAAGAGTTGGAGCGGCGCTAGTGATCAGGCTCCGCGCAGTGGAAGTACTCCCTAAACACCGGCTCGGTCCTGATCAGAGGCTGCTCCACGATCGTGTTATAAACGTGCAAGAACAGTTCCGGGAACCTCCTTGTAAAGTAAATCAGATACCCATCCGGCAGCGGTCCCAAAATCTTCTTCAGCGTCGGTGGCAGATCCTGATAATGATGCTTCTTGTTGCGCATAGCACGCAGCAGATCCTGCACCGAGGAAGGATCGTACTTTCGGAACTTGCCCAAGTTCTCCAAGAATATTTTGTCGCATCTTCGGTGCCAATCCGTTCCCAACACATTGCGAGCTCTCGACTCGAGCAAGACGAGTGCTGGCATGGGGGGATCTTTCTCCATAATCTCGAACCGATCCGAAGCGTCTTGAAGGAAGTTAAGGCGCTTATTCGGATCCCAGAAGTAAGGGTGGGTGAGAACCTCAGCGGCAGAGGGTCGTTGACGTGGATCGTGCGAGACCATCTTGAGCACCAAGTCTTGCGCTTCGTGACCTTCTTCACCAAGACCATCGAGTCGAGAAAGATCGACACGCTTGCGGATGATGTTCATCTCTCGTTCAAATCGTGATCCGAAGGGATGATCACCATTCGACAGCACATAGTAAGCAAGACAACCCAGAGCGAAGATGTCGACGGCTCGTGTGAGACGAGACTTCTCTTCGCGACTAGCGCCCGGCCTCGGGTTGTTGCCCATCGACGATTCCGACTCGGAACCAGCATCGAGATTGATATCACCGCGCAAGATTTCGGGTGCACGCCAGCCGACAGTGCCTCCAGGATTGTTGACTGTCTGGGAGAAGCTCGTCTGCGCCATACCGTCGAGTCGCTTGGAGAGACCAAAGTCCGAAAGGAGCATCTTGAGATGCTTGCCGTTCGCCGAGGTGGCCACTAGGATGTTTTGAGGCTTGATGTCACGATGCACGATAGAGAGCGAATGAAGATGTCGCAGACCTGACGTGATCTGATGCAGTGCACGTTTGGGGTCGAGCAAGTTGCTCAAGTCTCTGTAATCCGCTGGCCTTTCCACCACCTCTGCCAGACTGGCTGGACACAGCTCGAGCGCGATGAACAAGAAGCTCGGTGTGAGCTCCTTGTAGAAGTAGCGGATGACGTTCGGGTGACTGTCCGCCGATTCGAGCAGCGAAACTTCTTTGGATGCCACATGGACAAAGTCGCGCAGTAGACGCTTGACCGCCACAGCACGACCTTGGAACGTGCCACGGAAGACGACGGTACCAGAAGAGCCGTAGCCAAGCACTTCGTCTGAAATAGTGAGCGAGGACGTGCTGACGCCATTGCTGGATGTGTTGCCTGCAAAGTGGCTAAATCCAGTAGCAGCAATCTGTGCGGCCGCCCTGCCCACTGAGGCAGCATCTTCTTCCTCGAAGCCGCCCCAGCCCGTGTTGAGGAAAGGCGATTGGAGCTGAGGAGACATGAGCTGTTGCGCACGCTGCAGGCTGTCGCTGGCGCCAAGAGCTGAAACAGAGGTACGAAGGCCGTTTACTTTGCTCGGCTTGCTTTCAACGTGCTGACTGCGTTTGCGTGGTGTGACAGGCTCGTTCTCGTTTGACGATCCACTATCGGATCCATTTGGTTCTGCTGATCCGTTGGTTGACTTGTGGCCGTTGACGCCATTCGCAAGTCGGGACGGTGTAGCGAGGACGTCAGCTTCGCCGTTCTGAGACAATGTCTTCTCAATCTTGGCCTTTGCTTCATCCTCGGCTTCGTCGTCGTCATCGTCCTTGTCTTTACCGTTCTCCGCTGCTTCGGGACTTGCCTCTTTGCCGTTGGCTTTGGCTGCCTTTGCAGCAACAGCAGCGCCTCCGCGCTTGCCACGACGTCTTCGCTTGTTATTGTTCTTCTTCTTGGCGTTGGAGTTAGATCCGTCCGCACCATCTTCGGCATCATCGTCATCATCTTCATTGGCATCTGCGCTAGCGGTGCGAGGCCGGGCGGCTGAAGTTGATGCGGAGGCAGAAGTGCTTGTAGCGGCAGCAGCGTCTTTCTTGGAGAGGTTGATAACTTGTTGCAGCTGGCGTTCCTCTTCGACGCGTACTTTCTCTGCGTGCGCTTCGCCTCCGAATCCAGCCTCATCTTCTTTGAGAACTGGGATCCACACCACGCCCTTGGCGATCTCTGATGCTTGTTTCTCTGCTCTTTCCCTTTGCTCCTGCAAGCCAAGGTAGGTGGCACCCGCCAGCACAGAAATGACGAGAACGCCGACGACCTGGAGTAGGATAAGTGAGAGACGTGCTTTCCAGCTTTGAGGAGGCGTGGCTGCTTGCTGCTTTGGCTTCCGCGCTGATCCACTGAAGGTGTCGTCAGGGTCATCCGACGAATCACTGGGAGTGTCTCGACTGCCTGGCCTCCGGGATCGCGGAGAATCCTTTTTTGAGCTTGGTGAAGCGCGCGAGGGTTGCGACGAGGCGGAGGAGGAACCGTCTCCTGGTACACCTTTGGAGTCGTTGCTCGATAGGAAAGCGGGTCGATCACCGATGCTGAGACGTGGACCGCTGCCATCAATCTCGAGTGTCGGATGGGAGCCGAGAAGCGAATCGCGCAGCCTTCCTTCGGCTGTTGGGTCTACCTGTAACGTGTAGCTGCCGAGCCAGCAGCCAAAGGAAGCGCACTTGCGCTGACCCTCGTGTGCCCAGTCTCGTTGCGAGGATGGCAGACTGGATGACCAAGCATCTGCGGAATGAGAGCTCGAACCGTCACTGAGCCCGGCAGTAGCCTTTGATGTGAATGCGACCAGTGGGAATCGATGCGAGCTCATTGCGTAAAGGCTGTCACCGGCAATGCCAAGATATGCTGATCGACGCCGAGGCGCTGGTGCGGAGCCATATGCAGATGTATCGTAGTCGTTGTCAAACGCCGACTCTTGATGATCGCTGATCTGCGGGAAGATACGGTGCAGGAGGATGGGAGGATGTGGCACCAAGATGGGTCGACTTAGCGACTTGGTGTTCTGCAGATGCGGTGCTGGGTAGACGACGTCAAAGACACCAGCGACACTGGCATGAAGCTCGGTCGACCATAGCGCTCGCGTGTCTCGTTCACCTGATGCGCCATGGCGGGATTGACGATCAGCTTCGGTCAGATTGAAGCAGACAACACTGCCTTCCTCGGGCATGCCGAGAATGGCGCGATGGTCGGGATGGTCGGTTTGTGTCCACAAGATCTGTACGTCGCGGTCGCCTGCGTTGGGTGTAAAGGTGCTGAAATGGAGCGTCTGCAGAGCTTCTGGTGAGCTGCGCGAATGGATGTTGAGGGTATAGTCGGTTCTGCCGATGTAAGCAAGCTGCGAGGTGGATTTGGAGGAAGAGCCTGACAAAGTCGGCTCATCATCGATGCACGACTCTGGATCAGCAAAGCTGCCGGTCTTGTCAGATGCGGGCAGAGGGTTCATGTCGTGTGCTTGAGCACCACACCAGACACCAGCCTGGCGTCCACCAAAGACAGCACCGAGCTCGCCAGTCTGAATGTTGAGTTCAACTAGAGTGGTCTGCTTTTGCCCGACAAATACGCGAGTGTCGTCTCCGGCAAACGAGAATGGACTCAGCTCGACAAGTTGCGGTAGCGTCAATGGCAACTTGTCAAGCTGCACGCTGCCTGGCTCGCCGTTGGCTGGAGAGGGAGAACCACCTTTGCCATTCGCTGTGGAGAGCAAGTAGATGTCGCCTGCTGATGATGGTTCAACAATATAGATGCCGCCGGTCTCCAGCCAGGGCGAGGAGCCAGTGAGTGGAGAGCTGAAAGCGCGACCACCCTGCGCAATCTCGGCAAAGGACTTCTGCTCTTTGCCGTAGAGTGCGGTGACCAGAGGTCTGAGAAGCGAGTCCGATTCGTGGCTGGCATGTGGTGAGAGTGACCAGAGCTGCGTGCCTGACTCTCTGTCTAATGCGTAAAGACCACCTTCAACTGTTGTGAGGACGACGGTACTGGCAAGAACAAGATCAGACACAGAGGTTGGCCGTGTCGATGGGATGCTACGGAATCTGGATCCGGGAGATGTAAGCTGGTGGTTTCGACTGGGTCGAATGAGATCTCGAGGGTGGAGTGAGGTGGCGGTGCTGATATTTGGGTCATCGACGCGGCCTTCTGCTGTAGTGAGCGGCGATGGCGAAGTGGCAGCTGATGCGCCTGAGAATGCGTCAAAGATGATGGCAACGAGGGTGCAAATAACGACTTGGAAGAAGAAGACATTGCGATCTGTGATAGCAGTGGGTCGTGGTGAAGTCGAAGAAAGTCGTGATAAGTGATGCTTCCGAGGACGCTGTCGCGACCTTGGTAAGTCCGGAAGCTTCATGGTGGCTGTCGGCGCCAAGGCCGTTCAATTAAGAGGCGCTCAGCAGCGGTAAATTTGGGTCGGGCAGTTGCGGCGATGTGACTGCTTAGAGGTGACAAGTTGAGTGGACTGTCACCATGTGCATCAAGTCCGAGCTTGCCGTCTGTTCAGCCGAAAGGATACAGAGGTTGCCAGAGATGCGAAATCGAGGCCGTTGCGGCGTCTCCGATGGTCCCAGGCGTTGTGCGAGTTCTGAAATGTACTGATACAGTAGCGGTGATGAGTCGTGCTGTTAAGGGCGTGTCAGAGTGTATCCCAATGATGATTCGGATGATCCGAAAGATACTGAGAGTTGATCGAGCGAATCACCGCAATGCAGAGAAGAGGGAGCAATGCAGAAAAGAGGGAGCAATGCAGAAAAGAGGGAGCAATGCAGAAAAGAGGGAGCAATCCAAATGGAAGGACCGCAGTCAAATGAAGTGTACCAAAATCAAGGTCCGTGTTTCGCCTGCTGCAGCCAAGGAGCGGTGGGCCTTGTATCAAGAGATCGTGGGGAAAGCAGCCCAGGTGAGACGAGACGATTCGGATGTGCCGGTACAAGCGTGGGAAGAAATGATTGTTAGAGAGCGGCGTTGATGTGATGGTAGTGAGGTGCTCTTGTGATAGCCAACCAAACCTTCGGATTGGACGTGTTGCGAGTTGGTCAAGTGGCTTTGGAGGCAGCGATGTGGCTGCAGAGAGCGCCTTGCGTTCGAGCCATCCAAGCCTCCAAAAAGCCTGAAGCGGTAAGAATGCTCGATGTAGACCCTTTTTTGGCTGGAAATTTGACTCGGCCTTCCCGAGTCGCACTTTGGCTGTCCCGAGCAACCTTCCTTCACACGGCCACAGGGCGGCAAGCTCCAAGTGTCAAGAGAGGCTGTGGAGAGAAGAAGCAGAAAGAAGCGCATAGAGGACACGTCAGACAGATATCACACTTCCGTGGACCATCATCTTTCACGCTGAGAGCTCAATGAATATCACAGCATTCAGAATAACACAGCATCATCAAAGAAGCGGCAGACTGAGGCAGAAGAGGCCCCATATTGTCACATTGCCATAACGGCCCACAAAGAGGCAAGCATGCGTACAAGTGATAGTCTCGCCACTACAGCAGATCATCGTCGTCTTGGTCATCGCCACCAACCACCTCCTCGTTCTTGTTCTCGCTTCCATCGCCGTTGTCCGCATTGGCTGTTCGAGCACCGCTCGCAGTACTGCTAGCAGCAACGAACGCAGCTTGGCGTGTTGCTGATCTCGAGGCTGCTTCCACCTTTGCCATGGGATCGTTGATATCGACATCATCTGACGCGCCGTTGCTCTGTGCTTGTTGTTGCTGCTGTGCCTGATTGTGTTGAGCAGAGGTGACAGCTGAAGCAGCAATGTACGACACGTCCGTGTTGAACTGCGCCTGCACCGATCGCTTGATCCGCAGCATCTCGCGGAATGTATCCTCTGATCCTGTCTCGATCTCGAACTGGTTCCACTGCTTCCAGAACTCGGTGTGAGTGCGTGGATCGCAGAACTGTGATGCATGTGCATAGATGGCACGCGCCCGGTCGATCTCGCCCAGCTTCCGCTCCAGATCTGCGAAACGCAAACAGATGTCGGCTGTCTGTCGATCCGGCAGTGATTCGATGGCGCGTTCGTAGATCGGTCTCGTCGCGGCCAGGCCAAAGTTGGCCGCTGCTTTGGCGATGTAGAAGACAAACATTTCGAAACGGTCGTCGGTAGAGACGGCTTGTGTTGCTCGATCGTAGATCTTCATCGCGCGCTTCGCCAAACCGTGCTCCTCTTCCAGCTTGCCGTACATAAGCATGAGTGGCTTGCAGAAGCGTGCGGGGCACTTGTCCAAGGCTTGCTCGAACAGGTCTCGTGCGCGTTCCAGCTTGGCACCGCCATATCGCTTGACAAACTTGCTGAGGTAGACGTTCCAGATCTCGAAAGCGACAGGATACATGAACAGCTCGACACCGCGCTCGTACACCTTGAAGCTCTCTTCAAAGTATTTGTTGTCCTCCAGAAACGCTGCGTAGTTGATGATGATTTGCGCATTGGCAATCTTGAGTTCCAGCATCTTTTCATAGACGCGTTTGGTACTCTCGACATCCCCCAGCGACTCTTCCAGGTCGACGTAGAAGCTCCACAGCTTGAGCGACTTGAACAACCGAGTCTGTGGTGGAAGCGTCTCATCGTGATACTGAACGCCTTTCGTGTTGCGAGGTGGTGCCACGCTGCGTGCCATGATGCGGATCGCATCGTCGTAATTAGAGTCTCTCAGCTCCATCTCGGCCCATTCGCACCAGATTTCGGCGAGGTCGTCCACGCGGCGGAAGGGAATGGTGACTGCTTTCTCGAAGATTTTGCGTGCCGATTCGAGATCGCCTTCGACCTCTTCCTCTGCTGCTGCTGCATCCTCTTCCTCTCCGTTTGCTGACAACTTCGCGAGACCAGCGGATCCCCCGTACTCGTAAAATTGAGCAAAGTTGAGGAAGAGTTGATGGAAGTTGGCCGTGGCTTTGCGTGGGTTGATCTTCTGTATCGCTTCTTGGTAAGTCTCGATGATCTTCTCATCGTTGTCACCATACAACATGACACGCTTTTCCCACTCTTGCACATCATCTGGGTTGCGACGCAGCAAGACATCATTGACCAAGAAAGGCCTGCGTTCCATCAGCTCCTCAAACTCTTGCATGCGACGATCCAATTCCGCTTCTTTCTCTTCCCTCGTTTGTTCATCGTCATCCTCATCAGCATCCTCGTCTCCCCCTTCATCGGCAAGCTCGTCCATCATGAATGCGATCACGTTCTCGCTTGTCTCTGCATAGGCGTCGAAGATCTGTGTGAAGTCGCGGACAGTCTTGACTGCCTTCATACCGGCTTCGAATGTGTCGCGTGCGACCTGAAACTCTCCTCGCTTGATCCAGTAGGTCGCCAAGCCTGTCCACAGCCGACCCGATTGGTCCGCAAATCGGTCCAAGCCGTCACTCTGAATGATGGCTGTCACGTTAAGGCGGGTGTGATCGCGAGGATCTGTCTCGGTCTCGTTGGACGTAGGCTGCTTCTTTGATGATTCTGCTGCTGTCGCTTTGCCTTTGCCGCGGCGATTCTGCGGCTGGGTGGTCTTGCCATTTGCTGATGTGGTCGCTACCGCTGATTTGATCTTGTCATGTAGAGACTCCTTCTCTTCTGCTGGATCGAGACCGATTTCTTCAGGGTATCTCTCTGTCAGCTCTAACCATTCGATAAAGAGTTGATACGGGCTTTTGCCTTCTGGGCTGATGTACGACCCATCCATGGCACTTCGAGCGAGTCCCAAAAGCAGCTTGGACGCTTCGAGAGCCTTTGAACCTGTACGCCTGCCTTGGCCTTGGCCTTCTTCTTCCGCCTCCTCTTCATCTTCCGCCTCTTCGGTGTGTTGTTCATCCTCCGTCTGTGCGAGCAGTATCGAAACGTATCTTTCCGTCAACGAAGGGTCGACACGCAAGTATCGTCGCCAGACTCGTAGGCATGTCTCCCCGCCTCGACGTTCTGCCCATCGCAGGTAGAGCTTCCAAATGCGAAGATGCAGCGATCCTGGTAATGTCCGTAATGCTCGGTCAAAGGTGCGGCGGGCGTGCGAATATGATAGCGTGGGAGGGCATTGCGGATGCAAGAACATAGCAAGGTAGTTGAGCCAAATACGAGGCATTGTTGGAAGCCACATTAGCGCTCTCTCGTACAGCGCAGCCAAGCTCTTCCATTCCTGCCACCCGACCACACCGTCGAGACCTCCACGGTAGGCGGGACCAAAGTCGTCATCTTCCTCCTGCGAGTCCACCAGGGTGGAGCCGAAGTCGATCTTCTCGCGAGCAGCTTGCAGGTCGCGCTTACGTTTGGCTTCGAATCCGCCTTTTGGCTCACCCAGGACAAAACGAGACCGGTTTTGCAGGTAGTCACGCCAGAGCGAGTAGCGTGTTGGGAACTGAGCTAGTGCACGTTCGTAGATGCTGGTGATTCGCCGTAATGCTATGCGCTGGGAGCTACTAGCAAGTGGTCCAAGCAAGGAAGCTTTATATTTGGTGAAGGAGACATCTGGCGGCGGACGCTTGACGACGTTGGTGTCGATGATGTGGTCGATATACGAGGTCCAAGAGCGAAAGTTGTCCGGGTTTCGAAGCAGCTCTTGCTCCAGCATCACGTCGGAAGGCGGGATTAGTGTATCATCGGCCGTTGGATCCGGAAATGGCGAGGTGATGGGGAAGAGGGCTGTCAATGCAGTCACAGTCTCATTGACAGGGGACACCGGTGGAGCCTGAACTGAATCCGCGACATTGTGGGATGCTGCGGACGATCTTGCTGACCGCCTCTTCGGAGACATTGCGGAGTTGGGCTGGCCCGTTCCTGATGACCTCTGCTTCGACACTGGCTAGATTTTACCTGCGTGAAGACAACGTCGGTGCAGCCCTGGCCTAAGAGTCCTATGATTGGTGTGGGAAACAGCTCGATTGATGTGCTGCCGCCAACATGAACCATCATCATGCACTTCCGATTCGCGAACTTCTTGTCTCGAGGCTCTCGCGTCACGTGATAGAGCTCCCAAAAAAAAAAAAAAAAAAAAAAAAAAAAAAAAAAAAAAAAAAAAAAAAAAAAAAAAAAAAACCCCTATCGCGATCGCATCTTGAGATCTGCCTGAAATCGGGCGGTCCAATCAACGCAAGACCCTGAAGAGTGACCAACCAAAAAGGCTCCGAGTGTGGGAAGTCTGCCACGCAACTCCACCCACGACACCACCTCTCACTCTCAAGGTTGATCATCCGATACTATCGTCCGATACTATCATCAGATAAGACACCGCCTCAAGCTGCTGAACAGGACACACGAAAGGCAAAGCTCAGGGCAGATCTGGCGCTCTCAAAGAAGCCTTACCAGCAGTCGAGGAGGGAGTGGAAGAAGGAAGCACGGAGCACGCGCTTTGCTCTGCAAAAGGCTCCGAGATCCTATTGTTATCACTCCAGCGACGTCCACTTTCTTTCTCTTGCGAGCAGGCGGGCAACACATGAAGCCGCTCTTTTGCCTTCAATCTCACCGTTGACTGCCGAGCATCTGGCGCCAAGAGCATCACCAGTCGTCCGCGGCGGTCAATTCAGAGACAAGCCGGCTATCTCAGGAACGTCTTTCCGTCCGTACCTGAATCCTCTGCAGCATTGCTACGAGTTCGTAGGTCCCGACTGCAGGAAACAGTGTGCAAGTGTCGACATCATAACAGAAGAACAATGCCGAACTCTGTCAGATCGCATCCGATGCCGGCTTCGGAAGGCTCCCGATCTTACGACAAACCTGCTGTGTCGTCTGCTCCTCCGGCTCCGTTTCTTTTTGCCAAACCTTCACATCCTGCTCAGCACTCGCAGGTTCCTTGCCCTTCGTCAAGCACCTTCCCGACCTCTAGACTAGGCCCCGAAGTTAAGGGTCATGACTCGGTTCAAGTGAGCCGCCCTTCCCTCTCAGCATCATCCTCCAGCTCCTCTTCTTCCGACAAGTCGAGCCGCATATCGTCAGGCTCCTCGAGTTGCGACAATATCAGCACGCCTCTGACGTCAAGTGTGCCATCAACGGGCAGCAGTCCTGACCAGAAACCTACGCAGGCGAACTCGAATGACAAAGTAACACCTGTAGGGTCTCGTGGGCGCCCTTCAGCTGCCACGAAAGCAAAGACAAAGATGGATCCTGACGACTTTGCTTTGCTCCCAGATAGCGTTAGTGCAAACGCAGCCAGTGGAAGCAAGTCGAACCGTATCCTTGGTCCCGATGGACAAATCTACACCCATGGTGAGGCTGCTCGTCTAGGCTTCACTATCAGAACCGCCTGCGAGGCGTGCCGTAATCGTAAGCTCAAATGCAGTGGTACGCTTTCAGAGAATGGCGGCTGCGCCAGGTGCAATAGCGATGGCATTCAGTGCATCTACTCAGCACGAGCACCCATAGGACGACCCAAGAAGCGAAAAGCAGAAAAAGAAGAGGACACCACTGCAACTCCAGCTCCCGCTTCGAGCTCGCCCAAGGCCAAAGGTATGAGCAAGACTAAGTCGAAGTGTAAGGATGGCTCAGGCCATGCTCGTAGCAATTCGTCAGTCCGTGTCAAGACAGAAGGCGGGGCCTTTGTCGACTCTTCACGAAGCTCCTCATCCTCTGCCGTCCAATCTTCCTATTACCCAGGGCAAGCGCATGTTCCCGCCTCTCCAGTACGAAGCGATGCTCCACGTCACACTCCGCAAGATGGATATCACACTCCATTTAATATTCCGCACAGTTGCGGCTACCTCGAAGGCACGCTGAATACCCCGAGTGTCCCAAGCACCAAGCTAGCTGCCACGTCGACAGTCTGGACGCAGAATCATATGCCTTTCGTGATGACACCTTCGGACACAGTGACGCCGCATTCTGTCATTCCGCCTTCCTCAGCATCGACCTCGAACACGGATGGACAAACATTGCGATCAATAGAGCAGCCAACCAACTCTTCCGCAGCAAAATTACCATCTCTTGATGACCTTTCAGTTGCCGCGTTCTTACAGTCACTGGACACGCTTGAGATCTCTCCCGCCGAACTCTTCCAACAGCAGCAACAGCAGCAACAGCAGCTCCTATTCTCGAGTGGATCTTCCAGCTCGAACACACCAGCGAATGCCAACTTCGGCGGACTTGGGGCTCCGTTTCAGTCGTCAGGCATGGCTTCGAACGGCATCGGGTTCACGGCGTCCTCCGTCGAAGAATGGGCAACGAGCAGTGCAATCCTGCAACCTGGCTTGAGCTTTGCTGTGCCAGCAGACTTTAGCTGGTGGGACCTAGGTATCAATGGGGCAGACTTTGGATCCGGTGCACCAAGCGTATCTGCTACGCCGTCGACAGAGTTGACTTCGATGGCATTCTCGACCATGCGACCGGCGCAGCAGCAGATGTCACAATCTCTATCGCATTCGACTAACCTGGGATCTCACATGGCATCGCACTCTTCGTCCCCAGCAGGAAAAGGTCAACCGAGACGACCAAAATTCAGTGCTGATCAGATGTGGCCCCGAGGCGCAGATGCCGGAATGGGACAGGGTCAGATCCAGCACACCGTTGCAGCCAGCGAGACTGGATTGGGCTGGTCGACGCTTCCCGGCCCAAGTCAATTCTCTGATACGCTGTCGAGTCCAGTCGAGTCTCATTCCCAGCAAAGCGAGGAACAGAAGAATTGCTGCTCATCAAAGGCAACCAAGCCCGAGCCTCTTTCGCCACCTGCAAAGGCACCTTGCTGCTCGTCCAAGCCTAACCCAAAGGCATCGTCGGAGGAAAAAGCGGAACCAGCATCTTGCTGCGCGCGCAAGATAGCACCTTCTGCGCCCAAATCAGAGGTCAAGAGCTGCTGCTCAGGTCACAGCGATGGCACAGCACCAAAGCCAGACATGACAACTGAGAATCAGATCGAAATGGATCCACTTTCCACTTCAGCCGCAGTCACTGGGTCCACCAATTATACACTCGACTGCGAACGCAGACGCCACGCAGCGCTACATTCTCATCATCCCGGCAAGGTTCACTGTGTCCCCAACCCCTCTGGCAAAGGTTGCACCTGTCTATGCGATATGAGCGTTGCCCTTCTCTCCGTGAAACAAGTTCTTCGCGAAACAGATCCGCATAAGCAATCTTCCTCTTCTACCTCAGCTCCAGAAGGAAAGAAGAACAGCTTTGCAACAGACACAATTCAACTCACTCTGACCGCATCTCAAGCCATCACAGCTCAATGCGCTTGCTCCGCCGATTGCCCTACTTGTCAATCTGACCCTTCCACCGAGATCTCTGCTTCACTCCTGGTCTCTACTGCGTTGCAAATCTATGCTCGCGCGGTTAGGATCTTGAGGGAGGGTTTCGCAGCAACTGCCGCGAGCGGGAAGGAAACAGTGGGTGGAGCAGCAGGGAGTTTCTTTGGCGGACTGGATGTCACGATTGGTACGTACAAGCCGAGTGCTGCGAATGCGAAGAAGATTGCACTGTATGCGATCAAATTGGAGTTGAAGGATCTCAGGAGGGCGCTAGGGAAGATTTCGAGGATGGCACAGAATTTTGGCTCCACTAGCAGCAGTTCTTGTGATATGGGAAGGGAGGAGAAGGATGAGAAGGAGGTTGCGAGTGGAAGTGAGATAGAGGACACGAAGACTGGACACAAGCGGGAGACGGAGAAAGGACAGGGACAAGGTCAAGGGCAACAGGGCATGAACCCGATCGATCAGTTGGTGATCTTCAAGCTGTATAAACAGCTTGGGGAGCTGTTGAAGACACTTGAAGGTTTGGAGGATGCAGCGTGACCATCCTTTCACGGTCGACATCCACTTCAGCTGTCAATAAGCACAATAATAGCCGCAACTCAGTCTTCGATGCAGTCAGTGCAGTGAAAAGGTTAGATTGTATAGTGACATCAAGAACAACAATGCAAGTGAGACAAAGGGAGATCAACGACGACCGCCTTTCTTGGCGCCCTTACCCTTGGCTGCAGGCTTGCCCTTCGCAGGAGCAGCCTTCCTCTTCGGTGTTGGCTCCTCATCCTCCTCATCCGAATACTCCGGCCACTCATCACCGGATCCATATTCATGCTGCAGATCACCGAGCGGAATAGGTTCCAAATCAGACCCGTCCGAATGAGGATCCACGCCAGGAGGGTTATCGTATCCATCCGAAGCACCACGCTTGGGATTCCATGGTGCTCCGCCATCCTCCTCCTCATCACTCTCTTCCTCCTCTTCCTCTTCCTCTTCCTCTTCCTCTTCCTCTTCCTCTTCCTCTTCCTCTTCCTCTTCCTCTTCCTCTTCCTCTTCCTCTCCCTCGCCCCCGCCTCCATCCTCACTTTGATCCTCATGATCATCGAACAGCTCCTCATCCTTATCCAACCCCTCCTCTCCCTCTCCTGCACCAAACTGATCCTCATACGCAAACTCGTCCTCCTCGTCCTCGTCCTCTCCCTTCTCCTCTTCATCACCTTCATTATCCGCCGCTGCCTCATCTTCACTCTCCGACGCCAGCCCAGCATTCCTCCTACTTGCCTTCCTCAATTGTCCCTTCTCCTCCTTCTTCCTCTGCACATTCTCCTCCTGTTCCAATCTTCTCTGTTCTTGCAACTTCTTCTTCACCACAAGCTCTCGATGCTGTTGTGTGACTTCCTGTGCCGACTTCTTGATATACTCGTGGAACAGTACCGCTCCTTCATTGCAACCTTCTTCAATTTTGACGAGTTTGAGTTCCATTCGAGGACCAATCTCTCGCAAACGAATGGCTTTTTGAGTGTTGGCAGAGTTACCACGACCTACGTAACGATCGTGAAGGTGGACTTTGTTGCGTGGATCGGCTACGTCTTCTGCTTCTGACTCTGCCTCGGAGGCGTCTGTTTCGAATTCGCCATTGGTGGAGGCAGCCGTGCGGCCCAGGACGTAGTCGGAAATGTCTTGGGTGGAGGAGAGGTCTGGAAGTTTGCTGCGGGTGCCGCGGGAAGAGGTGCCAGATCGAGTACCTTCAATGACTCTTCGGACGGACTTGGAGACACCAACGGGACGAACGGAGATGAGGTAGTGTCGCCAGTCGATAGTGCCGGTTGCTGAGTTGTAATTCAGCAAGACGATTCGCCGGGCTTGAGAGAGTTTCATGCTTTGTACTTGGATTGGTGGGAAGAGATTTTGGAAGGTTGCGACCAGGAGCTTGATTTGGCGCTCTTCGCCTCCAAAGTTGTTCAGGACGAGAAGAGGTGGTGTGGCAAATTCGCTTCCTGGTGGGGTTGGTCGTCTGCTTGACGCCTGAACATCTTTGGACAAAGCATACTTGTTGACTCTGAACGTTAATGTTGGTCCTCTTGGCGCACGGAGGATTCGCAGATTGGTGCCAGCGTCGGTCTGACTAAAGATGAGAAGATGAGTGACGCCGATGGGACCAGCCATAGAGATGAAATCTTTTAGCTTGTTCGAGTTCCTTTCGCGAAGACGAGTTGCTGTGTTCGGCTCCATGACCTTACGTGTGTCCTGGACTAAGGTAGAGACGCTGCGAGGGACTTTGCCTGTCCGGATGATGAAGGATTTGGGAGCGCTAGTGGATGTGGCAGCGCTGTTGTTGGGCCCTTTGAGATGGGTGCGCGTCTTCCTACGTCGCTTGACCATGTTGGCGAGAAACCAGGGAGCTCGAAAGCTGCCGGTGTGAGGATGAGCAAGATTGGTGGAAAGCGAGGAAGTTGGGTATCGGTGTCTGGATTGGATCAAGCTCGCTCCGTTGGCCGCCAAACTGTCAAAGCTCTGAATCCTGCTTGCTTTGAAGCCGCTAGAGATGGTGTGGTCGAGGTGGTGGTCTAGGGACTGAACGCTCAAAAATCTCAAGAAGAAAACTCAACGCTTCCTGAAATTTTTCAAGCTTCCGTGTGGAGTTCAGGGTCCGTGAGTGATATTGTTGTGAGAAGACTCGGTCTCACATCTTTCCCGGTCCCTACACTCACGAACAACAGCACATCCTTCGTTGTTGTATCCTTGCCGATAACGGAATGAAAGCGTTCCGCCGTCAATGCTGACAATAGAACATGACAGCTGATCTGACAGCTTCATTCACTCGCAGCAACAGACTTCGACATCAATTCAGTTTGTATCATCGATTGAATCGCTTGCTCAAGACCTAGTGAACTACAAGACGCTCGATCCGCTTAAGCAGTCCAAACCTTAGCAATCAACTCAGAGAGTCCGACGTCGTCTGTTCATAGCAAACACCAACATAGCAACATAATCGTTAGCACTTGTTGCCACTCCTCGGTCACTCATTTAGTGTTTGGATACTTACTGGTGTTAAACTCGTACAAACCGTACAGAGTTGTAAGGGTGAGAGCACGAACACTCCAAGCCCCAAGGGGACCGGCAATGGGGAACTTGCGCTTGTGGAGGTAGTCGGCCAGAATGCAGTCGAAGCCGATGTGAGAGTGAACGACGAGGGTGAGTGCGAGAGCGCCGTCAAGAATGGCAGAGGAGCCGTGCTTGGCGAAACCAACAGCGACGAGGGGTACGAGTGCGACAGAGAGAGCACGCTCGAAAGCCCAATGGTTAGATCCATGTGCGGGGTTGGGCTCGGGATAGGTGGTTGGGTCGTTGACGGTACCCTTGATGTAGGCTGTATGATCGACCAAAAAGAGTTGGTATGATGTAGGAATGTTAGGAAAATTGCTTCTGCAAGTGCGTACACCTTCACGTCCAACGGGGTCCAACTCCACAGCAGCACCCGATCCTCTAAGCCCTGCCTTTGGAGACCGAGTCTCAGCAGTCCGACAATGCTCTTTTTCCATCCTTGCTGTGCTTGTCGCGCAGCCGCTGGCGATAGCTTCAATCTCGGTCCTTGGATCCAAGCTCGCCTTTCACTGTTTGCTTGTCATGTCCTGTGTTCTGGCGTTTGACAAATCCTGACTTTGTCTTTTCATCCTTGCGGGAACTTGTTGCTGATGGATGTTGTGCGCGGCCGTATTCGATCCTGAATGCGCTGCCTAAATGGCCTTTGTCCATTTCGGATGTATGCTAGTTGATACTTACGTCCTTGCCTAGAAGCAGCAACAGCCTTGCCAGTGGGAGTTGTCTGGAAAGCACGCGTACCGCCGGCGATCATGCGAAGCTGAGGGTTGCGAGCAGCCATTGAGAGCCGCAAGGGCTGTTGAAGTGTAGGGAGCATTGATCGCATCATCTTTGTCGATATCAGGAGGTTAGGAGAGGTGATGGTAGGAGAAGGTCGTGAAATTGCGATGATTGAGACGACGAGTGCGTGCGGGGCAAGTCAAACAGGACACAAAGTTGAATTCGCTCTGTGCTTGAGCCAAGCTCGTAGCCCTGCCATTTGTAATCAATCCACTCAAGTCGCGGGCTGCTGCTTGATCCAACTTGGATTCATCCGATCGGCAAGCCAGTCAACCAACAGAGAAGCGGACGCGCGCGCGAGCCGGGTCTAGCGTTTTTGCCCGGCCAATTCCGTCATAATTTTCGGGCCCAACTACTGACGCGGTCTAACAAGTTTCAATTTTAAAGCCCACGTTTCCGAACCTTGCGCTCCTCAAGAAGTGCTCCTCCCATGCTGTTGGCATCTCATCTCTCTTGATTAGCTTGTGCGCCAGTGATACTCATGACAGGCTGACGTCTAAGAACCGATCGCCTCGTGTAGTGAATGTGTGATGAAACGGGTTGAGGATTGAGGACTTTCGATTGACCTCCTCGCTGTCTTCGAAGGCCTTCGAATCGGCATAGGTGAGTTCTTTCCTCTTCAAGTTCCTCACATGAGCACGACTATGCACACGAGCACAACAGACAAGCGGCGCACGAAGGGTAAAATAGCCAGGTAATCATGTAGATTTTTTGGGGTTTGCACTCATGACAGATGCAGTGGTAATGTGTGGGCGGGAAGGGGGGAAGTATGCGATGATGAAAATACAAGGTGAAAGAAGAGTATAATGAAGCGAAGAAACGAGACCCTAGAATGCAGAAGCGAATGGTGATGCAAACGCTTAGGCAACGGGGGCCTTGATCTTGCGCTGACCGAGGAAGGCATCCTTCTCGGCAGGGGTCTGGAAGACACCCTTACCCATGGTCGACGAGGTCGAGATCCACTTGAGCGAAACGGTCTCAAGAGCACGACGCGATGTGTGCACCTGGAGCGACTTGCGGAGGGTAAGAACACGCTTCTTGACACCGGGGCACGAGCCCTTGATCATGACAAAGTCGTTCTTGACCTGACCGTAGTGAGGGAAGCCACCGAGGGGAGTAATGTTCTTCTCGGTGGTGTCGAAGTCGGTGGAGCCCGAAGTCTTGTCATCGCCGTTGGCGATGCGGTAGATCTTCTTCCCGATCTCGGTACGGTGGTGGTAACCGTCCTGACCGGAACGAGCCACGGTGAACATGACGTTGGCCGGGTGCCAGGCACCGATACAGGCGATCTTACGGAGACCACGGTGGGTCTTACGGGGAAGCTTCTTCGTACCCCAACGAGCGGTAACACCCTCGTAACCGTGACCCTTGGTGACAGCGATGACATCGACGATCTCGTTCTGCTCAAAGACTGACTTGACGTCGAAGGTCTTCTCGAAGTGCTCCTTGGCGAAGTCGACCTTATCGGCGACGGAACCACCGTTGATCTGAACCTCCATAAGATGTGCCTTCTTCTGCTTGAGGCCGGTCTTGCGAACCTGGGTGTGGGCAAGGAGACGGACAACAGTGCAGTACTTCTTGATGCGCTCGAGCTCGCGAGAGATCGAGGCACCGTTGTTCTCGCTGTGCTTCTTGGCATACTTGGTGAAAGCCTTCTTCTTGGATCGGTACCAGTTCTTGTAGAAGCGACGCTTGACCTCGTCCGAAAGGTGCTCGGCCCAGACGGTGGTGAGAGAGCGGAGACCACGGGGAGTCTCGACGTAACCGACAACACCGACAGCGACCATGGGGGGAGTCTCGACGACAGTGACGGCCTCGACGATTTCCTTCTTGTGCATCTTGGAACCGGGACGGTCGAGGTCACGGACAATGTGGGTCATACCAGCCTTGTAGCCGATCATGGCGGTAAGGTGGACGGGCTTCTTGGGGTCATCTTTGGGGAAGCTGCGCGGGGTGAAGAGAAGTAAGAGGATGGTAAGCAATTTGAATAATGGTGGCTTTGGCTATCGTAGGTGAGAAGGTGATACTTACGCCTTGACCTTTCCACGGTGACGGGCGGCACGCTTACGGGGAAGGAAACCCAACGAACCGTGTCGTGGGTGCTCGAACTGTAGAGGAAAACAGAAAGCGGGAAAGAAGCGAAAAGCAGGCGAACGCCAGGCTGCATCAGCAAAGCTGTACATCGACCTAAAAGCATTCCGAAGCCTCTTTTCTCTTCGTTTCCGTCAAGTCAATCCAGGCGGCTGACCCTCAATCCTGACTGTGTAAACGTTTGATGCAAGCTGCGTCAAGACTGCAGTATCGGTGGTAATAGCTGGAGGGATAATGGGCGATGGATGTCATGCGAGCATGTGAATGGAAAGGCGAGAAGCATGTCCACGGTATCTGTGCTATGAAGGCGGAAGATGATGCTGCTTGCTATGCAGAGAAGTTGGTGGCCAGACCGCACTTGACGGTGTGGACCGCTTCCTGTGACAACAAATCCTACTATGAGTTCGGCCATGATCCTGCTTCTGCCTCCTGTATCATCCACGTCCCATCACATGGGCGACCACCCGTGCAAAATCCTCCAGCCACCGAAAATGCGTAATATGTCGATGCAGAGAAACGATCGTTCACATGTCGAGACTAAAAGAAGCTGCTGGATGTCGAAGAGACAGTCGGAAGAGTGAGTGCTGTGTATGTGCCCGGCTACGATTGCATACGCTGGTCCTTCCTCCTTTCAATGCTTTCTTCTAGTCGTGTCGGATGTACTTCTTTCTGGTCGATCTGACGGTGCTTGCCACCTTTGTGCAGCGATAAACTGAACTTCCTTGCTGACCATGCCTCCATCTGTATGTTGTCGGGTTGCTGCAATGCTGAGCCATAGCCGGGCTGAGCCCTCAAAGGGCGGCTTCAAGTTGGTGATATATTTACCTTACAGTGAGACATTTTGACCTGATGATGATGAACGAGTAATGGGAGAAGAGAAGGAGAGGCATACAGGTCAGATCTGCTGTTCTTTCTTTGACCTCTGCTCTGCGTGGGTGATGCCTGTAGCACATTAATAGCTGCTACTTACTATGTGCCTTGGGGATGTCGTGGGGATAAGACAGAGAAGAAGTCGCGCTTTGCTCAACACTAGCCTTACTGCCAACTGCAAACCTTCACACTCTCAAGACCTCGAATTCGCGACTAACAGCGCTCTGCTCTCGCACAAACAATTGACTTGGTCCTCTGGCCTCGGCAGCTCTCTCTCGCTCAACGGAGAGGGCCCATAGCCTGATCCTCACCCTCAACATGAGACGGCGAAATTTTGCCATCCTCTTTGCAAGCACTGCTCCAAGGTACAGTTTTGCAAGGCGGCTGGACAGAAGTTTTGGCCCTGAGTTTTCGGTAGGTTCACGCGCCAAATATCAATCGATCGTGGGAATTTTTACAGTTACTTCTTTTTCCCGAGGGGGTTTTTTTTTTTCTTTTTTTCTTGTGGTCTCTGTGAGAGTTGTGGACGTAACAAAGAATGTTTTTGCAATCCTGGACATGTGGGCCTCTATGTTGCCCTCGACCCTGCCTCTCAGATGTAGCGGCAGCTTACACATAAGTTACACAAGAACGTTCGTCCTGTTCAAGGTGCTGAGATTGCAAGCAAGATATCAGAAAAAGACTACAGTGCGTTCTAGAACCCAGCCGAGCTGCTTGAGCCCCGCAGAGACAGCTTTCTCTAGGGCTGGCGGGCCACATACAAGGGCCAGCGTATCCTCGAGGTCCTCCGGTGATGCAGGTGCCGCTGGTGGTGGTGGCAAGTGCTTCTGCAGGATGTCAGTGTTGATGTGACCGCGTCCCATGGTCCATTGCGAAGCTTCTGAGCCGATGTTGCTGAGTACATGCCAAACGTGGAGGTTACCCTTCAGTGCTACACACAGCCGCTCGAGCTCTTCGCGAACCAAGATGTCTTGTTCAGTTCTGTTGCCGTAGACGACCCAGATCTGAACCGGGTCCTGATCCTCGGAATCATTGGAAAGAGCCTCGTCAGCGATCGCCTTGAGCGTCGACCAAATCGGCGTGACGCCGCTACCTCCTGCGATCATAGCAAGCTTGCGAACCCGGCGGATAGCATTTGCTGGTTTCCAACGGATCTGCTTGTCGCCGAGGTAAGTGAAGGAGCCAAGGGGACCCTTGAGCTCTATACTCAGGCTGTCATCTAGTGGCTGTGAGGGATCGATGTTTTCGAGCAGCATCGTCATCTTTCCGCCCTCGAAAGCTGGCTGTGAAGAAGTTTGGGATGGGAAGTAGACCTTGATGAGAATGTCAAGGAATCCACGCTGTGTGTTGCCACTGTATGGCGTATAAGCTCTCTGAACGGTCTCAGCCATGCCACTCTTTGGGTCCTTGCGGCGGATACGGACGAAGACATGCTGGCCGACCGGCAAGCCCAGCTCCTGATCAGGACCAGTGAGAGCGAAACGGAAGATCCTGGCGTCAGGTGAGATCACCTTCTTGCTGACTAGACGTGTTGCCCGCCACTTCTTCGGGTCCAAGAAGGGCTTGCTGAGGTCGATTGCTTCAGGCTCAGCCATCGATGTAGGTGGCACCGATGTAGCATCTGAGGTGTCGAGCTTGCCAAGATGGTAGTCACGAAGCATCTTCTTGGCAACCATCGAATGGATGGCCATGAAGTCCTCTGTGGCGTCTTCTCCGGCAACGAGGCGGATAGATTGGTCACCGCCAGGATGGTCTTTGAGGAAGCCAGTGCCATCATAGACGTGACCATGGACAATGAACCAAGGCTCAGGACCCTCGCCGTCCGCATGAGTAGCGAGCTCTGAGGCGGTGACGACATGGCCTACTTTCGATGGATCGAGCATGACAGCCATCGTGCCCTCAGCCACGGTGTTCGCTGAGCTCTGACTATCGAAACTTTGCTTTGAGACCTCAGCGATCGCCTGACCAGCATCGCCGAACTTCGGGTAGCGTGGGTTGAGACCAGCCTCGTTCATTCTCTGCATCCATCCACCGGGGATATTACCTGCCAACGTTGGGTGCTCGAATCGAAGCTTGCTGCCGTCAGGACCCTCACGATGAATAGCAACACGGAACCACCACGAATTCATCATTGAGGTGGCATTCCAGTACATATCGCGAGGCATGGTCGCCAAACCTTCGTCAAGAGCTCGCACAGAGATGACTTTGACGTCTTTGGCGATGATATCGGCCTGAACATCTACGTCGAGACGCCAGAAGCACCAAGCGAAGCTCATCTCAGTCGAGCTGAGGTCGAGCGTGCCAAAGTAGGGGTGGCCTTGTATTGGGTACTTACGGTAGAGGTCTTCGGGGTAGTGGATCTGAGCACACTTCCAGCTATGACCATCGTCGAGAGAGATTTCGACTCGGTGGATGCGTCTTCCACCTCCTGTGTATGCATAGCCCTCGATAGGGAGAAGCTGTGAACTTGAGGCGCTGGGCTCTGCGACGTCGATGACGGCGTCGTGATCGGGAGAGCAGATGGCAGCATTGACATTGAGATCGTTAATGATATATTTGGGATCGTACCACCAGTGCATCTCGCTTCGAGCCTGGTCAGCTGTGACTTCGGTCGGGAGGACCTTGTTATCGTGGAAGTGAAGATGGTGTTGGCTCTCACGGTCAGATACCTCGATACGCTCGAGCCACTTGACCATCCTCCCTCCGATCTGACCGGGCACGACGAGACGCAAGGGATAGCCATGATCCGGAGAGAGGTCTTCGCCGTTCAGACCCCAAACGATGATCATGCCCTTGTTGCGGTCGAGTGCCCAGTTCAGACGCTGCGAAGTACCGTACTTGCCTTTCAGCAGCTCATCCGCACCTTCAAAAATGACGTGCCTCGCGCGTCCAGGAATGGCAACATCGTACGAAGGGAAGGAGGACAAGACGGGATTCTTCGGCTTGCAGTAGTCAAGGATGTCTGCAAGGTAGACACCAGTGAAGAGACCTGTAGAGACACCAGCAGCGCCCCAATTAAAGCCGAGACCTTTTGCTACCATGTTCTGCTCTTTACGCCTGTTGCCAGCGCAGACCATTGTGATGGGCAATGTGACGGTGGGGAACTTTTCTTTGAGCTCCTTGATGCTGAACTCGAACTCGCGCTCGACGAGGCCGTGCACCTTCAGCTTCCATGACTCGGCTTGCTCTCGTGTGACTCTAGGAGTGTCACCGTGTGATCGAACGTAGAAGAGGTTCTGAGGAGTGAGGAAGCCCTTAGCGAAGAGCTCAGAGAGGGGTGCTTCGACATTGCATGGATGCTTGCCTGTGAGGCGAATCAAGCGCTCATCTCGAGCGATCCAGTGGTCTGGGGTATTGGAGTCGGTGGCCAGCGGCTGCACAGATTCCGAAGCTGGGATGGGAGGCAGTACCGATTCGTCATAGCATTGTTGTGGGACAAACGGCTGGACAGGACCCGCGTCTGATCCGGTTGCTTTCTTGGTTGCCAAGAATTCCGGGCTTGAAGGCTCCGGTGTGGTTGCGTTTGAGCTGCCTGATGAGGAGGGCGAAGTTGAAGAGAAGCCATGAACGTCGAAGCCTCGCTCAGAAGGAGCCTTCGAAGACGAAGAGCTTGAGGATGTTGAGACCATCGCCTTGACCGTGTCTATGGATCGAACTTGTGAGTCTCTATGGGAAGAGGTGATGGAGGAAGACAGGTGGTGTGTATGGACAGGAGCAAACCTTGGTGTTCAGGAATGCCAAATCTCAGTGGAAGCTTCCCAAGCCATCGACGCTGAATAGTGTCATGCTGGGACGGCCAATGAGCGGCTTCAAGGCTGGCTTGTCATCGTCAGATCTAATCACACCGAAGCCTTATCTTAGAGTGGCTCAAAGCGCGTTGACTTCTTCGCATGACCAAGAGCAATCCTTATCGGCATGGCTGAATCTCCTCTCATGCGGGCGAGACCTCAGGCGATAAGATGACAACGATCAGCTATCATTCCCGTTGATACTCCCTGGCTGCTCGGGAAAGTGAGCACACGGATAGAAAGCTGAGAGAAGTGAAGCCTTGAGTCTACGAAGCCGGTCTGTGTGAAGAGCTGCTGTCAGGCTCTTCGGCTTCCAGAGTGAGGCTTAACCACGCCCTGTTTGTTGGCGCTGTCCAGATCTGCGCGCCAGTCGGCCCGTGTTCAAAGATAAGAGAGAAGAGACCCAGAAATTATTTGAGCGGAGCTCGCGGCCTTCTGATAAGCTCTTCAAGCGACACCTCGTCTCTTGCTCTATGCCTTGGCATGACAGAAAAATCAACCCTCTTATCGTTGCTGCCGCTGCATCCTACTGCAGCCCCTGTTCTCCGCTATCAAATCTTGAGGCCGCTGCAATATCTCGATCCTCATTGGTCACTGCAACGCCTCTGGAGCGGCCGAGTTGCCTGTCTCCTGCATTCATAGTGTCTTGAAAAAGGCATGGCTGCTTGTTAGCGGCAAGCCTGTTATGCATTGACCTCCTCCAGCGACCGCTTCAGTCGCCACCAAAGTCAAAACCATGTCCGCTCTCAGCCGATTCAGATGATTTTGGGCCTTCCTCTCATGGTACAGGCTGTCACGCCTGGGTATTCTCTCGTGCGAATACTAGCCGCACGAAAGATATCATCGTGCAAATCTTTGCTTGTACGGAAGCTAGTACTTAAACTAGCTTCTCCTTAGATCTCCTCCTTCCTTCCTGCAATCCATCTAGTTACACCATTACACCGCGCATACAGCTTGCGCACGTAATAACGTAACACAGGCACTCAAGATTGTAGCAAAGCAACACGTATGCCGTGGCATTGAACAAAATGTATGATATACGAGGGTTATGTACAGAATGATCACCAGTCGAGAGACGAATGACCGCAGGAGGCTGTAGTAGTCTGAGCTGGTGCTGCGCCCGCCTTGTTAGGCGACGGATGAGCCTTTTGCTCGAGCTGATCCATGTCCAATGGTCCAGTGATCTCGACCGAATGAGACTGTCCACCTGCCAGAGCATGCGACTCCTCCGTCGCTCGTCGGAGCATCCACTTTGATGTCGACAAGACAGCATCGAGTGCTTCAGTGGGAGGAAGCTTGAGGTACACAAGATCCTGGGCTTCATTCATTCTGGCCTCAAAGGTCATGATTGAGTAGTCGCCATCGTTACACTTGCCTCCTTCCTCGCCAGCGTTGGCAGAGAGAATGTAGTTTCGCTTATGAAGTGGACACGAAACGTATTCACGACCCTTGTCGTCTTCTCCAACCAGACCGTCAGCGAGAACAAAAGCGCGTCGATGAGGGCACATGTTCTGGGCTGCTCGAATACCACGCCCAGGAATGTTCCAGACAGCGATCTGAGTGTCGCCGTACTTGATGGTTGCTGAGGATGGTGCGTCTGTTTGTGGATCGAGATCGGTGTACTTGCAGACCGGTCGCCATTCCCAGACTGCCTCTTTGGCGACGTCGAGGATGCTAAAGTGAAGCGGACCAGACTCGGCAGGCCAGTCAGCAGGTCGCTGCTGATCACGTTCTGATAGCTTTTCAGACACGACCTGCGTCTCGTCGGTGTTGACGAACTGTCTGAAGGCCTTCTTGCGGGCAGGGTCCCGGACCACCTTGGTCCATTCGCAATGGTAAGTACCGACGAGTACCTCCATCTCCTTCTCCAGGTCTTCGCAGATACCAAGCTTGTCATCGACAATGACCTCCTTGAGACCTTTGAGGCCGCCAGGGAACTTTTCGATCCATCGGGCTGTACGTTCGAGCTTGTCAGCGGATCGAATGTAAAAGAGGATGAAGCGGTCGAGAATCTTGATGGCTTGGCGCCGTGTTACGTCTTCAGCGATGAGCTCGGCGTGACGAGGCTTGGCTCCTCCGTTACCACCGACATAGACGTTCCAGCCCTTGGTGGTGGCGATGAGACCAAAGTCCTTGCCTTGAGCCTCGGCACACTCTCGGACACATCCCGAAACACCTCCCTTGAACTTGTGTGGAGCGCGAAGACCCTTGTATCTTGTCTCGAGCTCATGAGCAAGACCGACCGAGTCGCCGACACCGTATCTACACCATGTGCTGCCGACACAAGACTTGATTGTTCGAAGCGCTTTGCCGTAAGCGTGTCCTGATTCAAAGCCAGCATCGACAAGCTTCTCCCAAATGGCAGGCAAGTCCTGCTTCTTGGCACCGAACATATCAATTCGCTGACCACCCGTGATCTTGGTGTAGAGACCGAACTCCTCAGCGACCCCGCCGATGACCTTGAGCCCTGCAGGGGTCACCTCACCAGCAGCCATACGTGGCACGACTGAGTATGTACCATCGCGCTGCATGTTGGCAAGGTATCGATCGTTGGTATCTTGTGTCTGTCGAAGTTGCGGGTTCATGATCCAGTCATTGTAGAGGGATGACAAGATAGAGCCGACAGCTGGACGGCAGACCTCGCATCCGAGACTGTCAGACTTCTTGCCTACAGTTTTCATTACGGTGGTGAAGTCTCGGAGCTTCTTGAACTTGATGATCTGGTACAGCTCCTGTCGGGTGTAGGCAAAGTGGCCACAGAGATGATTAGAGATCTCGACGCCGGCTTCCTTGAGTGCTTTGTTGAGGATGCTCTGGCTGAGAGGCAGACAGCCTCCGCAGCCGGTACCGCATTTGGTGGATGCCTTCATCTCGCCGATCGAACGTACACCGCCATCCTTGACACAGCGGAGCAGGTCGCCCTTGGTGACATTGTGACAGCTGCAGACTTGGGCTTCGTCGGGAAGATCGTCACCTTCTTCCTCGCCTTCCTTCTTGGCACCGATGATCAGTTCAGCAGGGGGCTTTTCGATTGCAGCGCCTTTGTTGCACAGCGCCACAAGCTTGACGTAGTCCTTGACGTCGCCGACCATCATACCACCAAGCAAGTACTTGCCGTCAGCAGTGAAGATGTACTTCTTGTAGACATCCGAGAAGGGATCACGGTACGTCAAAGCTTTGACCGACTTCTTGATTTCATCGACCGTCATCTCGGCGGACTCGTCTGCCTTCTTGCCTCGTCTTGAAGCTGCTCTATTGCCGGGAAGGGGCTTGCTGATCTTGCCTTGATCTGCGAAGAAGTCTCCAAAGGAAGCCACATCGACACCCATGAGCTTCAACTTGGTGGACACGTCAGGCGACTTCATCTTTCGCATTGCGTGGTAAGGACCCTCGGTGAGATTGAAAGCAAGGACTTCAGCCATTTCGATACCTGGAGCAATGAGACCGTACGTTTGGTCTTCGAAGGATGCACACTCGCCGATGGCATAGATATTGGGGATGCTTGTGCGGAGTTTATCGTCGACGGTGAAGCCTCCGCTCCGCTTGTGGGTGGCCAGCCCGGGGACGACCTCCGATAGTTCATCTCTTGGCTTGATACCTACTGCGAAGACGAGTATGTCGATGTCGAAGGGCTCATCTGGCTTTTCATCGGTGCCCTGCATCAGCATGGCTGTGAGGCGACCCTCATCGTTCCAGATGAGGTCACGAACACGAGCTTGAAGCAACACCTCGACACCAAGGTCGCGGACCTTCTGTAGCACGAGCGTACCGCCTTCTTGGTCGAGCTGTCGTGACAAGACCCAGCGATTGCGCTCGACAAGCACGACGTGGTCTACCTCTTCAAGATCCAACAGTGCTTTCGCTGCTTCGAGACCGAGGAGACCGCCGCCAATCACACCTGCTTTGCGAATGCGTCGGCCGATCGTTTTTGGAGCTTCAGCAGCATATGCGATGATGTCGTCTAAGTCCTTGATGGTGCGGTACACAAAGGTGCCTTTTGTCGAGAAAAACTTATCTCGGCTGATGTAAGGAGGCAGCGAAGCATCTGAGCCCGTTGCGAGGACGAGTTCGTCGTACTTGAACTCAATACCATTCTGTGTTCGTACAGTCTTGCCGTCCGAATCTATGGATACGACTAGATCTGAGGTATGGTACGTGAGCTTGCCCTTGGCATGCGAACTGTACCACTCAAGCTCGTTGAGGTAGAGCGACTCGATAGAGCGGTTCGAGAAGTATTGCGTGAGACCGACTCGGTTATATGCGATGTGAGGCTCTTCGCCGATGACGGTGATCTCCCACTCGTCTCGGCCTCCCTGTAGGTCATACTTCAGAAGCTTTTCGATAAAAGCAATGCCGACCATGCCGAGGCCAACAATGCAGGCCTTCTTTCTTGTCTTTGATGTGAGAGCGAGCTCTGGCGTTGTGGCTCTGGTGGAGCCAGACACTGAGCTGGTGACCTCGGAAGGCTCCCAATGCGCCGTTTCTGCTGGTACTGGTGCCATGTCTGTCTATTTGCTAGGAGCTGAAGGACCGGATGGGCGTGATCGTTGGAACTAGTTGGAGGAGAAAAAGTGAGAACAAAGAAGAATGGGAAGAGGGTAGTGGATATGAGGAAGTCGTGGTGAAAGACAATCGAAGGTCTCGAGCAGCGACCACACTAAAAGCTGGAGGACAGACACCAGCAGCAGAAGCTCCTTGCTACCCTCTCGGCCACAGTGCGGACGAATAACCTTCAATTCGATCTAATCAGCCCGGTCAGCAAGGCGGGGCAAATCCTATAGACGGAAAGATGCAACTGATAAGATGATTCTATTCGAGAAAGCTGAGGCTTTGCTGAGGTGCAACGCTCAGTATGGCATATTGCACAGCTTGGCAGCGGCGCTATCAGGTTTGACAGGGTCTGCATTCGAAGCCTTACGCAGAGAGGCACGAAGCGAAGCGAGGAGTCCATATCATGCTTCCGCGGCGAGTTTGATGTAACTAGGCAGTTGACCAGAAGTCAAGAAGCGCTAGCCGACAACAGAGATGAGGAACGCGTGCCTTCAACCCCGACCAAGATAAGGCAGAGCACCTTTCAACGCTGCCTACGGCTTTGATCTTCTTGTGATAAGGAATCAATCAACAGGGCTCCTGTGATTCGTTCAATTCAGCCCTGGCCTTCCATGTTCCCGCTCTGTTCGCCGTGCTTTCGTGCTTTGCCATGGTTGACACCCAGGAGATAAGCTTCCGCTTTCCCCGGTCACCACAATGCCACGTGCGGCGAGTCTGTGACCTGGAGTTTGCCGTCCATTTCAACGTCGTGCTGTATCTGTCTTGGTCATGCAGAACTAGCACTGGAGGTCCCGAAGCTCCTTTCATGTGCGATTGCGATGCCATCTCCGCTTCCTCTGCAGACAATGACAAGCTCTGCAATGCAACGAGAGACAGTCAATCGACCCTAAACCCTCTTTCCTCGGCGGGATTTGTACATGCTTCGATGACCGCTCCTGAGCCTTCCTGTTTCAGCAAATGCCTCCTCTATGCGCACACCGATACTTTAGGAATATTACATGGCGTCTGGAGTGCATTGCTGCCTGCGCTGCACGAGTCAACAAGTTAACGTTGTTCTCCATGGCTGTTACCCGTTAGACGAGACCTCTGATCAGATGCTCTCGTTGCCTTCCGAAGATCAGAAGAGGCGGTGCAACCTGCATCATCTGATTGGCCAGCCAAACGGCGTTTCGCTCTGGTGGTGCTGTGTGCTATCAGCTTTTCCTATACCTGTGAGCAACCAAATCCAGACTCATACAAATAACTTCCCATCCCCTTTATCGCCGTATCGAGGCGTTCACACCATCTGAAGGACAATGAGCTGGATAGAGATCATCCTCGGAAGGCTCGAGCGAAAGGCACGGGAAGGGCTTTAGCGTACAGCTTCTGCCAAACCCCTGTGGCTGTCACAACTGGACCCAGTTTTCAAAGATGACAGCCCCGGACCGTATCCTCCTTATCTGTCTGCATACTTGTTTTCAGTCTTCCTGCTGGAGACCTCATGCCTGATTATCTCTCTTGTCGATCCGGTCTGGACCGTTTCGGTTCAGTTTGCCATATCCAGCCGGTTTGAGTTGCAAGTTCCGATTGGAAGGCCGAAAGATGATCGCCTTTCAACGATCTTATCTCGTCTTGGCAGTACTGGATACTAAGATAGAAGATCTTGTAGGAGGCTCCCTGTAGATTATCTCCTTGGTCTAAGGCATGTCCATTGTCTCACACGAGGCCAAACAGGGGGTTACTCCGTTTCTCACGCGTACTTCGCTCTATCCGTCTTAACTTTTGCTTCCTCACATCTTTCTGTATCACTTCGTTCTTAGAAAGACTTGAAGTATAAAGAAGTCCCTCGATCCGGCCGTAACTTCATTGTCTCCGACTCTTCTTCGTTCCAACAAAACTTCCTTCCAGGCCCGGTGTTGCTACCTGAGCTTTGCTCCTCCCTATTCGTCTCCCTTACGACCGTCTCGTCCTGGAAGCTCTCTCGTCCGCATCAACGCTTCACTTCACCATACCTTCATCATGACCGAAACCAAAATCTTGGGCGCTCAGCCCTCGCGCAAGCAATCTCCTAGTCTCACCGCCTCCAATGGCTCCAAAGTCGACCTTGAGATCACCGAAGGCATATCTAGTCCTCTCGACCAACATCCTGGAATGGCTTCCATGCTCCGTATGGGCACCAGCACAGGTGGTGTCGTCACCTCTGAAGAGTACTTCACCGAAGACGAGAAAAAAAAGCAAGAGCTCAAAGACTTTGGCTATCACAAGTTCCGTTGGTCCTCCCTCTGGCGTCCTGCTGAAATCAACTCGCTCAATGGCAAGTCTTTCACCTTCCCTATCTTCAGGATCTTGGATACCTATTCGATATCGTTCTGGCTCGCAACGCTCGGCTTCTTTGTGGCCTTCTTGAGTTGGTTTGCTTTCAGTCCTTTGGTTCCGGAGGCAGTGAAGGAAGATTTGCATCTTTCAAGTGTTCAGGTGACACATTCGAACATGGCTTCGTTGGGTGGTACGGCTATTGTTAGGTTGATTGCTGGTCCAGCTTCTGATAGGTTCGGACCTAGGAAGGTCATGGCTACACTGCTCATCCTCGGTGCTATTCCATCTGGGTTGGCAGCTGTTGTTGGCAATGCGAGCGGTCTGTATGCTGTGAGATTCTTCATCAGCATCTTGGGTGCAACCTTCGTTACCTGTCAAGCATGGGTGTCGACGTTCTACGACAAGTCTATTGTTGGTACTGCCAACGCCTTTTCGGGAGGTTGGGGTAACATGGGTGGTGGTGTCACCACAGCTGCTATGATTGGATTGTTCGAGAGGTACAGGGCCGCCGGTTTGTCATCACACCTCGCTTGGCGTGTATGTTTCCCTACACTTCCCGTGCCTTGTCTTTTGCTGGTTGCTGGTATGATCCTTCTCTTCGGTAAGGACCATCCGGCAGGCAAGTGGAGCCGGCGTCATCAGTTCAGCGGTACCGCCATCGCCATCGCTCAAGGAGAGAAGGTCGAGCTTGACTCCTCCGAGCGAGCCGAGTACGAAGGCACCCAATCCACTGCCAACGAAAAGGCTCCAGCTAAGGCAGCTCACTTCCGAGAAGCCAACCCTCTCGACGCTGACAAGCGTGTCGCCACTGTCGACACTGCCCAGTCGGAGCCCCTTACTCTCGCAAGACTCCTTATCATCCTCAAGGACCCTCGTGTATGGATGTGTATCATGTGTTACCTCCTCACCTTTGGTCTCGAAACGGCCATGGACGCAGCTCTTCCCGGTCTCATCACAACTCTCTTCTCGTCCAATACCTTCAATGCTGTTGACGCAGCCTACGCAGCTTCGATGTACGGCTTGCTCAACTTGTACGCTCGTCCACTTGGCGGTGTTGTCTCTGACATCCTCTACTCCAAGTACGGTTTGCGTGGACGGGTGATCTGGCTTCTTGCCACTTCTTTCTCGCAGGGTGTTGCTATGATCGGTCTCGGCTTCTACTGCAACGACAACCCAACGCTTGGCGGTGTGCTCGCGTTCATCTTCTTCATCGGTACCACTGGTTTCCTTGCCAACGGTGCGAACTACGGTATCCCAGCTATCATTTGCCCCTCGGCCATTGGTACTGTTTCTGGGCTTGTCGGAGCTGCAGGTAACGTAGGAGGTCTGCTCTACTTGGCTATCTTCTTGGCTGTTCCAGGCGTGAGAAGGCAGAAGACGCTCGGAACCAAGTTCTGGATCGCTGGTGTGGTCAACGCTGGTGCTGTGCTGCCTTTCTTTGCTGTCTTGCTTCCCGGCAAGTACGGCATGTGAGATTCAATGTATTGTATGTATAGACATTGCTTCTCGGAATCACAGGTGGTATAGTGGAGTCAAGCCTTAAATTGAAAGAAATACACTTCGTAACAGAACTGAACCGAACGCAGAACAAGGGAAGCGCTAACTGACAGCTGACTCATAAAGCCATAGAGTCAATTGTCGGCATAGGCGACCCGATGATAGAGACTATATATGTACAATAAGAAGGTACTTAGGCGGTAGCAGCGACCTTAGCCTTCTCAAGGACAGCGCCAGTGATGGGCAAGAACTCACGCTTCTTGATCGAGCCGGCCCATGGGAGACGAGTGTTACCCATAAGGTCTCGGTCAACCTGAGCAGCGCAGGCACGACCCTCCTGAATACCCCAAACGATGAGCGACTGACCACGTCGGCAGTCACCTGCGGTGTAGACACCTTCGACGTTGGTCTTGTAAGGCGACTTGCCCTTTTGGTCGTCAGCCTTGATGTTGCTGCGGCCGTCTTGCTCGAGACCGAGCGCAGAGATAGCGTCGTTCTCGGGACCAAGGAAACCGAGCGAAAGCAAGCAGAGATCACATGGCCATCGCTTCTCGGAGCCAGGGATCTTGTTCATCTGCCACTTGCCGGAAGCGTCAAGCTCCCAGTTGACCTTGATGGTGTTGAGAGCAACGAGCTTGCCCTCAGCGTTCTTCTCGAACGAGGTGGTCGAGATGCAGTACTCACGAGGGTCAGAACCCCACTGTGCCGCAACTTCGGCGTGACCGTAGTCGACCTTGAAGACACGAGGGAACTGAGGCCATGGGTTACCCTTGGCTCGCTCGTTGGGCGGCTGAGGAAGCAACTCGAAGTTGACAATGCTCTTGGCTCCGTGACGAAGAGCGGTAGCCTGAGCATCACAACCAGTGTCGCCACCACCGATGACGATGACGTCCTTGCCCTTGGCACTCAAGTAGTGACCATCCTGGAGGCCAGAGTCGAGGAGCGACTTGGTGTTGGGGGCAAGGAAGTCCATGGCGAAATGGACACCATCAGCCTCACGGCCAGGAACCTTGAGGTCACGAGGCCAAGTGGCACCGACAGCGTAGACGATGGCATCGTTCTGAGCCTGGAGCTGCTTTGGGTCGACGTCAGGGCCAACATAGGTGCTGGTGATGAAGTTGACACCCTCAGCAGCCATGAGGTCGACACGGCGCTGGACGACGCCCTTGTCGAGCTTCATGTTGGGGATACCGTACATGAGCAGACCACCGATACGGTCGGCACGCTCGTAGACGGTGACGGAGTGACCAGCCTTGTTGAGCTGATCAGCAGTGGCGAGACCAGCCGGACCGGAGCCGATAACAGCAATGGTCTTGCCGGTGCGGACCTTGGGAGGTCGGGGGACCATCCAGCCCTCCTCGAAACCCTTGTCGATGATAGCGCATTCGATGGACTTAATACCAACAGGCTGCTCGGTAATACCAAGAACACAAGCACCCTCGCAAGGAGCAGGGCAGACACGACCAGTGAACTCGGGGAAGTTGTTGGTCATGAGCAGACGGTTAAGAGCGTCCTCCCACTGTCCCTTGAAGACAAGGTCGTTCCACTTGGGAATGATGTTCGAGATGGGGCAACCAGTGTCAGCCTGGCAGAAGGGAACACCGCAGTCCATGCAACGAGCGGTCTGGTACTTGAGCTCGGCCTCACTGAGACGGGTCGAAAGCTCCTTGTAGTCCTTGACTCGCTTGGCTGGAGTTCGGTAGTGCTCGCCGAGGCGCTTGTACTTCATGAAGCCACGAGTCTTGTCGAGCTTGTTGAGACGAGCCTTGGCGGTCTCGTCGTCAACCATGGAGTCCTCGACATCGACGACAGCGGGCTCAGCAGGCTTGGCAGCTGGGACCTCGCGAACACGGTCGGCAGTGTTGTCCTTGGGGTTGTCCTCGGAGACAGAGACATCAACCTGGCTTCCGTGGCGAGAAAGAGTGCCGAGCAAGTCGACATGGCTCGAACGCTTCTTCTCGACGGCGGCCTTGGCAGCCTCCTCCTCGAGCACACGCTTGTAGTCGAATGGCATGACTCGGACAAAACGAGGCAGGAGATGGTGGAAGTCATGGAGGACATGGTCGGCAACGGTTGATCCGGTGTAGTGGCGGTGGTTCTCGATGAGGTTGCGGAGCTCGGCGATCTCCTGGGGGTCCTTAACAGGTCCGAGTTCTACCATCTCGGTGTTGCACTTGCTGGCAAAGTCTCGGTTCATATCGAGAACATAAGCGATACCACCGGACATACCGGCAGCAAAGTTGCGACCGGTAGGACCGAGAATCACTACGCGGCCTCCCGTCATGTACTCGCAGGCGTGGTCGCCAACACCCTCGACGACGGCATGGGCTCCGGAGTTACGAACAGCGAAACGCTCGGCTGCAATGCCTCTGAAATAAGCATGACCTGAGCATGATCCATAAAGACATGTGTTGCCCACGATGATGTTCTCCTCGGCCTTGAAGGGCGATATCTTGGGTGGATAGACGATCAAACGTCCTCCACTCATTCCTTTCGAGCAGTAGTCGTTCGCATCTCCTTCGAGCTCAATGGTGATACCAGGAGCCAGGAAGGCTCCCAGAGACTGACCAGCCGAGCCCTTAGCTTTGATGTGGATGGTGTCACGCGGGAGACCTTCCTCACCGTACAACTTCGAGACTCTGTACGAGAGCGTGGTGCCAAGAGCTCGGTCAGTGTTGACAACGTCGCACTCGATCTGGACGGGCAAGCCCTGGGTAAGAGCAGGCTCGGCCTCGTCGATGAACTTGTTGTCAAGACGAACATAGAGCTTGTGATCCTGCTGGCGCACCTTGTAGGTTGCAGCACCAGGACGCATCTCATGAGCAGGCTTGAGCAGAGCGCTAAGGTCAAGGTTGGCCGTCTTGGGAGTGCGAAGGCTGTCGTCGACCTTGAGCAAGTCGGAGCGACCGACCATCTCATTGATGGTGCGGATACCGAGCTTGGCCATGATAGAACGAAGCTCCTCGGCAAGGTAGTAGAAGAAGTTGATCACAGCCTCAGGCTGACCGGCGAATTTCTCACGGAGTTCGGGGTCTTGAGTAGCAATCTAAAGGAAAACCATAAGAACAGAGGCAAAATGATGTCAGCATGATGTAGATCAAGACAAAAAGCGTCAAAGGAAGCGGATTCTGAGACATACGCCAATAGGACACGTATTGAGATCTATTGTTTCAGAAGGGAGAAAAGTCGGAGATGATCGAAAGAAGAAGGAGGAGAAAATGGTGATGTCAGTAAGGATGTTGGCGGCGACGAGCAAACAAAGGATACGTTGAGACACATACGGCATTTCCTCTGGAGAGTGCGAAACAAAATTGAAAAGAAGACGAGACAAGAGAGTTGTGAGTGTTAGCATCGAACATCTTGAGAACATTGTATAAGAAATTTGTCCATACCATCATGATGCAGCCTAGAGCGATCAAAGGGGTAGTGGCGAAACCCCACTCTTCAGCACCGAGGAGACAGGCGATGGCGACATCGCGACCGGTACGAAGTTGACCGTCGGTTTGGACAGTGACACGACCACGGAGGTCGTTGAGGACCAAAGTCTGGTGGGTCTCGGCGAGACCAAGCTCCCAAGGAAGACCAGCATACTTGATACCAGTCCATCGAGAAGCACCAGTACCACCATCGTGACCAGAGATCAGGATGTGGTCGGCCTTGGCCTTGGCGACACCGGAAGCAACAATACCGACTCCGACTTCCGAAACAAGCTTGACAGAGACACGAGCGCGAGGGTTGGCGCACTTGAGATCATAGATGAGCTGCTTCAAGTCCTCGATCGAGTAAATGTCGTGGTGAGGGGGAGGTGAGATGAGACCGACACCGGCAGTCGAGTGACGTGTGCGGGCGATCGAAGGCGAGACCTTGTGACCGGGCAACTCACCACCCTCGCCAGGCTTGGCACCCTGAGCCATCTTGATCTGGAGCTCGTCCGAGTCGGCAAGGTAGTTGCTGGTGACACCAAACCGACCAGAGGCGATCTGCTTGATCTTAGATCGAAGCGAGTCGCCATTGGGGAGAGGGATGGAACGCTCGGCATCCTCACCACCCTCACCAGTGTTGGACTTACCACCGAGACGGTTCATGGCGATGGCGAGAGCCGAATGGGCCTCCATCGAGATGGAACCGTACGACATGGCACCAGTGCAGAAGCGCTGGACGATCTCGGTCCAGGGCTCAACCTGGTCGATTGGGATGGCACGCGACTTGGTGTAGTCAAAGTCGAGCATACCACGGAGCGAGGTAGCCTTGACGGCGTTGTGCGAGGCCTTGGAGTAGGCATCGTAGGCAGCCTGGTTCCTCTCACGAGCGGCGTCCTGGAGGTGGGCGATGGCCATGGGGTCGTTGATGTGGGCCTCACCACCGTCGCGGTAGTGGTACTCGCCCGACTCGGGAAGACCGGGGACTGAGATGGTGTCACGCGAAGGGTAACCACGGTCGTGGAATTCGAGAGCATCCATGGCAAGAAGGGTGAAGTCGGAGCCCGAGACACGCGAGGCAGTTCCGACAAAGCAGCGGTCAATCACACTGCTGGCAAGACCGAGGGCCTCGAAAATCTGGGCACCCTTGTACGAGGCAAGTGTTGAGATGCCCATCTTGGACATGACCTTGAGGATACCATTGTCGACAGCGTGCTTCCAGTTGTCGATGAGCTGGTTAGCCGAGAGGTCAGCCTTGACGAGGCCCTCGCGCGAAACCTTGAGGATGGCCTCCATAGCGAGCCAGGGGCAGATGGCGTCGGCACCGTAACCGAGAAGAACACACATGTGGTGGACCTCACGAGCCTCGGCAGACTCGATCATGAGGGCGATGCGGCTACGCTCCTTGTTGCGGATCAGGTGGTGGTGGACACCACCGCAAGCAACGAGGGACGAGATGGCGACACGGTCAGTACCAACAGCTCGGTCGGAGAGGATGACGACACGGTAGCCGTCGCGGATAGCCTGCGAAGTCTCGGTGCAGATGCGGTCGAGAGTGCGCTCGTAGCCGATGATGCCCTCACCCTTGTCGTAGGTGATGTCGATGGTCTTGGCAGCCCAATCGGAGTGGACAGAGTCAATCTGCTTGATAGCGTTGAGCTCGTCGATGCTGAGGATGGGCGAAGGGAGGAGCAAGCGGTGGCACTGCTCGGGCTTCATCTCGAGAAGATTGCCTTCAGGACCAACGTACTGTTCGAGTGACATGACAACCGACTCACGGATAGGGTCGATGGGAGGGTTGGTGACCTGAGCGAAAAGCTGACGGAAGTAGTCGTAGATGACACGAGGTGCGGTGGAGATGCAGGCAAGAGGGGCATCGTTACCCATCGAACCAAGAGCCTCCTTACCGTCAGCAACCATGGGAAGCATGAGCAAGTTGATCTGTTCAGCAGTGTAACCGAAAGCAAGGAGCTTAGGGTCGGTGCTGAGGCGCTCGTCGTCAAGAACGGGAGCAATGGCGTTGCCAGTGTTGCGTCGAACGGTGTCGACAATCTCGGGCAAGCGAAGCATCTGGTTCTCGAGCCAAGCGGCGAAGTCAGCACGCTGAGCAGTCGACATCTTGAGCTCACGGTCCTCCACGACACGACCTTCGACGGTGTCGACAAGAAGCATCTTGCCGGGCTGGAGACGGCCCTTGGCAATGACGGTCTTAGGGTCGATGGTGACAGTGCCGACCTCGGAAGCGCAGATCATGATGTCGGCGTCGGTGATGTAGTATCGGCAAGGACGAAGACCGTTTCGGTCCAAGTTAGCACCGCAATATCGACCGTCGGCGAAGGTGAAGAGAGCGGGACCATCCCATGGCTCCATGAGACAGGCAGCCCATCGGTAGAAGGCGACCTTTTCAGGCTCCATGTGGCTGGAAGCGCCCTGCCATGCCTCTGGAATCATCATCATGACAGCCTGAGGAAGGGTGAGAACGTTATTGATGACAAGGAGTTCGAGCACGTTGTCGAAAGCAGCCGAGTCGGATCCACCACCCTCAATGATGGGGTAGAGCATGTCAAGCTCATCGCCGAAAGTCTCGGATTTGAGGAGACCCTCACGAGCGCGCATCCAGTTCTTGTTACCACGGATGGTGTTAATCTCACCGTTGTGTGCAGCCCATCGCATGGGCTGAGCACGGTCCCACGAGGGGAAAGTGTTGGTGGAGAAACGCGAGTGGACGAGAGCAAAGTGGGAAGCGTAGTGGACGTTGTTGAGATCGTAGTAGTAGTTGTAGACCTGGACGGGGCTGAGCTGACCCTTGTAGATGATGTTGGTAGGGCTGAGCGAGCAGATGTAGAACCAGTTCTGGAGGCCAATAGTATGGGTGGCGTGCTTGCGGAGAACGTAGAGCTGACGGCCGAAATACTGCTGGTCGAAGGGCTTGCTAGTCTCAGCAGGGGCACTGCCAGAACCGTAGTGGTCCTTGAGAACGACAAAGGGCTGCATGATCTTTGGCTCCTTGCTCTTGGAGGCAGGACCGAGGATTGAGTTGTCGACGGGGACGTCACGCCAGCCGAGAACACGAAGGTGGAGCTTGTCTGCAATGTCAGTGAAGATCTTGACGTGTTCGGCGCGGGCCTTGTCGTCCTTGGGGTTGAAGAACAGGTTACCGACAGCGTACTGACCCTGAGCAGGAAGTTTGACACCAAGGTCGCGCTCAGATTCACGGCGGAAAAAGGTGTCCGGGATACCAGTCATGACACCAGCACCGTCGCCGTCACGAGCGTCTGCACCGACGGCACCACGGTGGGTCATGTTGCAGAGGAGGAAGCGAGCATCGGAGACGATCTTGTGAGCGGGCTTGCCCTTGATTTGGCACATAAAACCGACACCACAGGCATCCTTCTCGTTGTCTGGGTCGTAGAGACCCTGGGCAGCGGGCATGGAGCCGGCCCAGAGCGAGGTGGAACGCTCTACCTCATCGTAACCGCTGGCCTCGAGGTTGTCGGAAGAGATGGATTCCTCGTGGACGGGAGCGGTGTCGGCATTGAGCTTGTCAACGAAGCGAACCTGACGGGTGTTTTCAGTGTTGGTGGCGACGGGAGCCATAACAGGCACTGCGTTGGTCGGGTGGAAGTAGTTGGGGATGATCTTGAAGCTCCGATTGAACGAAGGTGTGTCTATGAAATGCGATGAAGACTGCGGCGGCTTAGGTGGCACCTTCTTAGTGCGTTTTGCTGATGCTGTTTCGATGTTGGCTTTAGACCGAAGTGGTATGCTGAATGAAAGACGAAAGAAAGGGGTATTCAAGGATGACTCTTGCTACAGAGTGTCAGGAGAGTACAGAATCCTAATTAAGGCTTGACGTTGAACGAAACTCGAAGTGCGGATCTGATATGGGAAGCAGAGGAGAGATGGAAGGGTTACGAGGGAAGGTATAGTGTTTGATTTGTGTGTAGTGCAAAGAGGAAGGCCAGGAGGTAGGTCCAGAAGCATATGAGATGTGTGTCAGTTGGGTATTCCAGCGGTGTGTGGCGAGGTAGATTGGCGGTGAAGAGACAGATGGCGAGAAGAAAGGCGTGTGCAACGGCAAGAAAAGGGCGACAGGCGGGTGCGGCGAAGAGCCAATTAGAACGAGGCAAAATCCAAGGCACAAAAGGGAGACAGTTCTGACTCGGGCAATTTTCGCTGCCAAGAAAAAAAAAGAAAGAAAAAAGAAAAGAAAAAAAAACCCCCCTTAACGAGCCAATCCCATCCGCGCCATTTTCTTCTCTTTTGCTAAATCCGCTTTCAACCGGGTCGAGTGGAGATGGAGAAGCCGTCCTGCGTGGTCGCAGAGACAGCATCTCGGATCTGGCCACGATTAGAGAAAGTTGCAGTAGCCAGTTGGAGAGGATGCTTCTATTCTGGTTGGCCGGTTTGCATTGTGCGAGGTGCATGGGCGCACTGCGCTGCTGAGGCTAAGCAAAGCGGCAACTGCTCGCCGAGATCTGGCGGTAAACAGAGCTCGCTCATGCCTAATCCCGCTTTCGAGTGCAGAGAAAAGGTTCAGCAGCGCTCCCCGCGAGGCTATGATCTCGCCAGCTTGCAAGACAATGTGGGACAGCCCCACCAACCAAAACGAGAGCATGGACAAAGAAATTGCCGGTGCAGCTGCTACAGTAGCTCGGCAGTCTGGCGTCCAAGTCTAGATTAGACTTCTGATTATTATCAAAGCATGCGAGCCATTCGAGGGGAAAAGAAAAGAAGAGAAAAGAAAAAGAAAAAGAAAAAGAAAAAGAAAAAAAAAGAAAAAAAAAAAAAAAAAAAAGAAAAAGAAAAAAAAAAGAAAAAGAAAAAGAAAAAAAAAAAGAAAAAAAAAAAGAAAAAAAAAAAAAGAAAAAAAAATTCCAGCCGTGAAGAATGACAAAGGTCGCCGCCGTCGCCTCCTGCTGCCTTCAGAAACAATGCGGCAACTCTCTCTTCGAAAGTTGGATCGACGCGGCCGAAAGACGAGGTGCCAGGGTCGGATCTAAAGTTGACGCATGCGAGGCACGCTATCAATCTATCAATCAATCAAGAAGCCCCTGGCTGGGACCATGACCGGTCCGCACTTGCCCCATATTGCCGTCATACTCGAGCTGAGCTACTGGCCCTGCCCTTGCCTGAATGAAATCAGCTCCTCCATGCCACGATGGAGCAAATCTTCCAGGTCAAGCACAACCAGCTCGCCAGCTTGCAATGAAGCATTTCGAGCAACATAGCATGCTGGTCAGAAAGCATCTGATCTGAACAGGAGCTCTTGCCTCAGCTTGCCGGCCTGTGTCTCGATGCTTGTGAACGAACACGAAAATCTGCTGCATCTAGCATCAGCCTCTATCGGGCTTGAGCCATCGCCATCCCAGCTGGAGGTCGTGCGACGCCCCAAGTGCGAGCAACCCGGTGCCAGAAACCCTGGATCTTTGCCTGCCGCTCATGCCTGATGGAAGGGAACCCAAGTCAATGAGCAGTCGGAAGAGAAACAACTTACATGCTTGATGCGATCCTGAGTCGTGTGGTTAGGAAGCAGGCTGTAGGAAGACGCAAGATGCCTGCTACTGAGGCAATTTTCGTTGGTTGAGGGTCGCTAGGATGAAGGTCTCAGAGAAGACAGGTTGGCTTAGGACCTGACTTCAATGGCTTGTCAAAGTGCGAGTAAAGAAGGTGTCCGATGCGTGTGTCGTCGTCGCGACGGTGACAAAGTGCAAGAGGTGTATGTGGTGTAGTACGGTGGAAGGAGAAGTGTCGTGGTGACTACAGTGACCAAGAGAAGATCTTCTGGGGCCGGGAGGCTGAAAAAAAAAAAAAAAAAAGAAAAAAGAAAAAAAAAAAGTTAGTCTCAGGCTGAGTTACCGGGGACACGCTTAGACTCAGCTCTCGGGACGCTTGTTCTCTTCCACTGCTCTGTATTTGCAACTCAAGTTGGGCAGCAGAGAGCCAGTTGAGCTCAAACAACTGAACACATCTGCTGCTGAAATGTGACTCCGCAAAGCGATCAAGCAAAAGCTGCAGTCAAACAGAAGAGCGCTCACTAGCTTCAGAGAGGATCAAGCACGGATACGATTGGCCAGCACGACTTGCGGAACGTCGCGGATGACGCTTAGCACCGTCACAACTGAAGAAAAGGAAGACGTGGAGATAATAAGAAAGGCCTTCCCCCACTCACGTAAGGGCTCCAATCAGATCCAATCCATTTCCATCCGATAGATCAAGCGGAGACGGCTTAATGAAAGGGGAAAAAAATTAAAATAATATATATATATATATATATATATATATAAAACAAGAAAAAGAGTAGCCGCTTTCAACGCGTTGCTCGTCTGCAGCATGTGAGCAGCGAAAACTTAAGAAAAGTTTAAAGTCGACGCGATGACCTTTTTTTTTCTTTCCTTTTTTTGTTTTTTTGTTTTTTTTTTGGCTCGCTCATCAAAAGTTCATGGACATCTCTAATCGCACCAATCAGAACTCTCCTTTCGTCAAAACTCGTCAAGGTCCAATCAATCTTCTGCAAGGCTCGCAGAGTTGGACAGCACTCGGCCGAAGCCTCGGGCCTCGGCTTTGTATCAGAGGACCGATCATCAAGATTCTTCCTTTCTTCTTAGAAATAAGAATGCGCGTTCACCGTGTGTGTGTGAGTGAAGCAAGGGGAACCGAGTTCACCGGCAGCTGCTTGCAAACGGAAACGAAAAGCTGACCAGTGGTGACACTCTGTCCACATAGGTGTGAAAGTCATCGAGTCATTCCGCTTCCCATCTCTTCCAATACGCCGTGTTGCACGCCGACGTCCGTCCTGTTCCGCCGCTCTTGCCGCCTTCACGACGGACCCAGCTCTCTCCTTCTGATCGACAGCAGATGTCACGATCGCAGACCAGTCTGTAACGAAAGGCATTGGTTTTATCCATTAAACAAATTTACGAGACAGATCTGCGCTGCATCACTTGACTTCCCGCTTGGTCACAATGACAAGCCGTTGTACTTGGATTTGCGGAGCTGCTGTCCAAAACAAAAGGGGAGAACCACGACTTGCAGGCTCGTCGGTGAGATTCTCGGTCTTCATCACAGGCAGCCTGGCCAAGACATCAATTCCGGTTCTGACCGATCGATAACCTTTTCCTTTTTTTTTTTTTTTTTTTTTTTTTTTTTCATTTTTTTTTCCCCCATCAAGCCTGACTTTCCCGTGCTCTTCTATCGCGCGAGACAGAAATGTTAATTCGCGTGTTTTTACATTTCTCCGATTTTCGAAGCCTCAATTTTGTGTTGCTTCTTTTGCTTTGTTTCTGAAAAGAAACTTGGGACATGACCTTCTGAGCATCCCCAACATGCTGGCATCACCTTCATAGCCGAGTAACTCTTTCCTGCAGACATAATGAGACCCTGCTGGACACAGCCTAATTCCATCTTTTGTCTTGGCTTGATCGAGCTGATCAGCTAAGCTGCTGCTCATGTGATGATGCGTCTCCTCTCCAACGCGAGACAGCGCTTCTCAAATCAGCATCACAAACACATGGTCAGGGTCATGGGGACATGTTTAATTCTATTGAAACAACGCAAAGTAGTGCGTATGGTGAAGGTTGCTGAGTTCTAGCGTACACAAGCTACTCAGCTGGCATGAAAGGCTGAATGACAACAAAGCAATGTCAAGTGCTCATGCTCGGTGAATCATCGACTCACGAGCAGGTCCGACGCCGATCCATTCGATTTTGACGCCGAGGAACTGCTCGATGAATTCTACATACTTGCGGCAATTCTTGGGAAGCTCTTCCCAGGTCTGAGCTTTCGAGATATCTTGCTGCCATCCTGGCAATGTCTTGTACTGTACTTCGACCTTGGCGAGCACCTCAAGGTCAGCGGGGAAGCTCGGCAGCTCCTTGCCATCAACGACATAGCCAATAGCAATCTTGAGCTCCTTGAGCTCGTCCAACACGTCGAGCTTGGTCAAGTTGAGGCTGGTGTAGCCGTTGATCAGACACGAGTATCGCATCATGACCAAGTCGAGCCAACCGCAACGACGTCTTCGGCCAGTGGTGACACCGTACTCGGCGCCAACCTCTTGCAAGTGGTGACCGATCTCCTCGTGCAGCTCGGTAGGGAAAGGTCCCATACCGACACGAGTAGTGTAGGCCTTCATGACACCGATGACATCGCCGATGGCAGTGGGCGGGATGCCGAGACCGGTGAGCACACCACCAATCGAAGTGGACGAACTGGTGACGAAGGGATACGTTCCGAAATCGATGTCGAGGAAGAGAGCGTTGGCCCCCTCCACCAACACCTTGCGGTTCTGAGCGAGCGCGGTGTGGATGAAAGTGACACCGTCGACAATGTGCGGTCGCAGACGTTCGGCAAAAGCACGGTAACGGGCAATCTCACCCTCGGTGTCGTACTCAAAGTGACCGTAACGCTTGAAACGGCCCTCAACAAGTTTGCGGAACTTGGAGGCAAACAGCTCGGGGTCGTAGAGGTGGTGTACACGAAGACCCGAACGCGAAGCCTTGGAGGAGTAAGCCGGTCCGATACCCTTCTTGGTGGTGCCGATGCTGCTACCGCCCAGCTCAACCTCCTTGAGACCATCAACGACCTGATGGAAGTCGAAAACAAGGTGAGCACGATCGGAAATGAAGAGACGGCCATCGCAGTTGAGACCCTTCTTCTCGATGTTGTCCAGCTCGGCAAAGAAGGAAGGAACGTGAACGACGACACCGGAGCCGATGAAGCCAGCGCAGCGAGGGTTGACGAGACCAGAGGGGAGGAGGTGGAAGTCGAACTTGGTCTTGACGCCGTTGACGTCGGCGACAATGGTGTGTCCGGCGTTGTTACCACCAGCGCATCGTGCGCAAACGTCCATCTGACCAGAGAGAACATCGGCAAGCTTGCCCTTGCCCTCGTCACCCCATTGGGACCCTAGCAAGACGGTGGCCTTGCCGCCCGTCTTGGAGTCGGAGGGTTTTGGCATTGCAGCCATGGTGTTGTGTTGTAGAGGAGTAGGGTTGGGAAACGGTCGTTTCCGAAAGGAAACAGCGTTTGGTGATCAATCGATGCCGAGAGATGAACCCAGGAAGGAAAGGAAGATGCGCGACGATGTTCAACACTTTGAGCGATCTGCGGTTCGCTTGACCCTGTCCCTGTCCCCTGTGCCTTCTTCTTGGACGCACAGTCACACAACAGACAGGCAGGCGCACACAATGACCACCTTGCTGCTGCATCAGTCCCCACTCTACCCTACTCTCTGTCTTTCCTCCGTCTAACCCGATTTCGAGTCTTCTTTGCCTGCCAAATTAAGTCGTTCTCATCTCCCACAACAGAAGCGGGCGAGCGAGCCAGAGTCTCTCTGTATTATGAAATTTCTTCTCAAAATTCACCACACCGACGTTTGGAGGTGAACGGACCCGAGTCATTGTTCTATGAAAATACTGCATACCTGCGTAGACCGTGTACCATAACATTCCTTCCGACTGCCACCTCTGCCCGATCTGGTTCTCACCTGTGATGGGTGTAACCTTGGAATGAGGTCTATGCCGAAGCGCGCCCCAAAAGTGTTAGCCTTTCCATCGGATGGTTGAGGGGCTGCTGATCCAGCACACGTCCAGCAGTGGATGTCTGCTCAGCAAGTAAGCCAGTGTGGCGACCCATTGATTTGGGATTCAATAGCCTCCGGGCTCGAAGGAGTCGGTTACCCGAGCACTTCACACACTGACCCTCAGCTGCACGTATCCGATGGGGTCCAAGGCGGATAGGGAGCATCTACTTCATTTGGAGTTGCTTGAAAGCTGCGCATCTGGGATCACCTCAAACCTTTCTTTTTTTTTTTTTTTTTGCCATTCGTCTTTTCTATTCGTCTCACGTGCACCTTCAAGGAACTGAGACGCTGAAACATGAGATAGATTGCAAGTGGAATAAGACAGTGGGAATGATGAGAAACATGGATGCATACATGCATTGGTATAGGCGAACAAGATCCGAGGACAGAGGCTGAGCTGGAACGTGGGCTCGGTCAAGACTCGTCCATTCCGTCTGCTTCTGTTGCCGCTGTCCTTGAAGGCTGTTGTTGTGCGGCTGATCTTTCCTCTATGGCGTCGGTCGAGTCGAGGTCGACGGGTTGCTCAGGCGAGTCCCTCTGGCTACCGTCTGATCCTTCTCCGCTGCCCCCAGTCTGGGAGAGCTTCCAACTGCTCTCAAAGTACCTGTTTGGATGTGTGACCGTCTCGCCTCGACCATCAAGACCCTGACCCTTCTTGACGCCCTGTCTTTGATGCGTGATTTCGAAGATACGCGTACAAGCAACGTGGTAGTGGCCCTGCTTGACAGAAGATAGAATCTCGGATTGCTCGGACTGGTTCAGACCGTAGTGCTGCACCATAGCCGCCGACAGATTGGTGGTAGAGAAATGACGGAAGGGACAGCCGTGCGAGTCTTGTGGACCAGGCTGATCTTGCGTGAGGATTCGGGCACAGCTCTTGGCAGGATAGTTCATTCGTCGACCTTCCAAACCGTAGCCGTGACGGATGTTGTAGCGGTACTCTTTGTTGAACTTGTCGTCGGTCATGTTCTTGAAGCTTCGTCGCCAGAAGACAAGTGCTTCCTCGACAGGCAAGCCGAGTTCCTTGAGGAAGAGGTTGTACTGCAAACGGCCGTAGTGCTTGAGGTGACCGGTTGCTGTCAGTGTAGTGTGGAGGTTCTTCATGCACATAGGAGCATGTGTCTTGACGAGTGCGTCCACCAGACCGGCGGTGACGATAGTGCTGCCATCAGCTGTGATGCTGGAACCGGAGTAGTCGGTAGAGATACCAGCCAGGAAGCCCATGCTCAGATGCGAAAGCACTGGTAAAAGGCGGTCGTCCTCATCGAGTCGCGGCAACGCTCGGGCGGTCACTTCGAGATCGCGAAGCAACCTTGACTGGAACTCGGCGAGGACAAGGCTTGCCTGCTCCTTGATCGGAACCCACGCTTGACCTGCACGCATGAAGACCCTGCGCTTCTCGACAAGATCAGTGACTCGCGTCCAGTCTACCTTGAAGAAGGTCTCGCTCTCGAAGGTCGATGCCATCTTGGGGTGAGTGGCCACGAGCTGTTCGCGGTACGTTCGCTTCTCCTCGTTCGAAACGGGCTTCCAGTCGAGATTGAGTGAGCGCATAAAGCTTTCGCGCTCGGTAGCATCGTCTGTCTCGAATCGCAAGCGGAAGAGGATCGACTCGGCCTTGACAAAGCGTCTACGCAGATCTTCGCTGCGACAGAATGCCAACCGGAGCACAAAGTGACTAGCGTGATCCTTGACACGTTCGGCCAGCAAGTCGGTGGTCTTGTTTGCCGTGTTGGCATTGAGAGGCAGCAATCGTTTGGCTAGCGCGTTGACGGCGTCCTTGGTCTCAGCATATGTGCGGTTGCGTGCCTGGGAGGACTCGATCTCTGCGAGCACCTTGAGACGGTCAATCGCCCATGATTCGAATTGCTCTATGGTGACTTCGTGAATGGGAGGTAAAGTGTAGAAGTTAAGACGGTGCGGGTATCTTGCTAGTGCCCTGTCGGTGTGGTGTCGAGCTACAGAGCCCGATGCCGAAGAACTTGCATGAGCAGAGGCGCTGACATTGCCGAAGCTTGATGGCACCGAGGGCGGTGCTGCTGTTCGGAACATGCTGTCCAGCTGATGTTGTTGCTCGAGCGAATGATGGTGAAGGAAAAGGACTGATGTCTCGAGGAGAAGAGGAACAGCTTCTGTCAAGGCCGGCCTCTTGCTCTCAGCTCTGTGTGTGGAGAGGCGAGAGAGGCCTTAGTTTGTGTGGTGTTGGTCTTGCCAAAATTCCCAATTCTGCAGCGCAGCTCAACGCAACGCGTCGCGCCCAATTAGCGCCACAAGCAGCGTGTTGGGAGAAGATCGAAGATCCAAAGTAAGCACAGTTAAAAGATCGGCCCGATCCAGCGCATGTGCCAGGCAAAAGCGAAGCGGAAGACGGAAAGGAACATTTTCAATAGATGCTGTTGATCATCCGCATCCTCTTTTTTCTCTGTCTCGCTCCACAACACTGCATCACCACACCCATCTTCACTTACCTACTCTATCTATCTCCCGTCAACGGCATCGACGTCGCTCGGGGTTGATTGACACCACACAGAGGCTCCATCAAGGCTTCCTGGTTCGAGCCCGGCGCTCCGTCTGCGCGTCGATCCGTGCGTTGCGATCCGACAGCAGGGCCTCGCACGAGCTCAGAAAACAAGGTCAAAGGCCAACCATCACATCATGTCAACTGAGCCATACTCGCTAGAGTCTCTGCGCGAGGCCGAGTCGACTTTCAGACGATGCGAGCAGGGTCGTATTGCTCTGCCAGAAGTCAAGCAAAGGACACCAACACGCGATGCTCCGTACCAACAGCACAGGCTCGACCCCTGGGTAGACTTTGACAAGTCCCGCACTCTCCCGATTCCACCAGATGTCTTCACCGGCATCAAGAGCGCAAGTCCCACAGCGACGCAATCCCTCTTTCCATCCATTCGCAGAGCGTGTATCACTGTCGACAACAAGGTCTACCTTTGGTCCTACCTAGAGGGCCAGGCCGCTTTCGAGTTCTACTGTGTCCCCGAGGACCAGATCGTCATTGCCGCCAGTGTCGTGCCAGTACGTCCTGGCGTATTTGCCGACATTGTAACCCATGTTCTTGTCCTCAGCGTCGGTGCGTCCGTTCGAGAAGGCAAGTACATCAAGATTCTCGGTCTCTCCTATACTCAGAATGGCGACCACTCCAAAGTGGAAGTCCTCGAGGCGGGAATGGAGGCTAACACCAACGGCGTCGTTCTCGACAACATCACTGGTACCGATGGAGGTCGCGTCTTTGCAACCGGCTCCGACAACTGCTGGTACGAACTCGTGTATCAGAGGGGCGAAGGCTGGTTCTCCAGCAAGTGCTACCTGCGCAACATCACCAACCCACGCCTCATAAACCTCATACCAAACTTTGTCAAGGCAGAGAAGAAACTGCTCTACATCACCGTGGACAACGCTCGTCAACTTGTCTATACACTTCGACAAGGCGACTTGATCGAGGTTTTTAGTCTTCCTAGCAAGGATCCCTCATCAGCGCCAGAAAGACGTGGTCAGACGATTGGCACGTCAGGACAGCAGGGTACACCGCACGCGCGGCACGACGTGGGTACTATCGTTTGGATTGGACCCGTCGAGCGCGAGGCTCGTTACAACGTGGTCTTGCTTGCCGTTACAGATCGTGGCTACCGTATCTTCCTCGACAACTTCCAGGGCCGCTCTGAGCCTGCCATCACTGTCCGAGCTCCTCCCGCTCTTCAACAACCACCCGGCGTCGCCGCCCCCTCTACACCCGGCTACCCGCAGCAACAGCAGCAAGTAGTAATACAGCAACAGGCCATCACTCGCGCCGTCTCGTCCGTCTTCTATGCGGGCGACGTCTTCATGATGGGCTTCAACTACAACAGTCTCCCCTGCCAGATTTGCTGCGTCACTCCCGCACTCAATGCCAATGCCACCACTACCGGTCCTGTTGAGAAGGCAACCTTCATCGATCTTGACCTGGCATTAAGCACCCCAGTGTTTGCCGAAGCGCCACCAGCACGGCCACTCTCTCCCATCACCGACAATGGCGAGCTGGTACGTGCGACATATGCTCAGAACCTCAGACCACCACGAAGCTTTCTCGTTCTAGACAACAATGGCTTGACTGAGCTTGTCGAGCGTCGTCCCGTCGACATTCTTCGTGGCCTGCTCGAGTCAGGAGCAGCGGTTAACAGTGCCGCCATGATGCAGTTTTTCGGTCTCTTCGGGTCTATCGAGGCTTGCGAGACCGCACTTGCTATCGCGGCTCACAACTCGCAGGTTGCTGCTCCCCGGGTTACTATCGGCTCATCCGGTGGTGTTCCCGCCGGACTTGCTCAGACCGTCTCGGAAGAAGTCATTGCTCTCGCATCTCGCGTCTTCTTCAGCCAATACGGCTCCTGGCCGGCAGACACAACGGTTTCAGCTGCACTCTCAACACCTCGAACATCGCGTCACGATGGTCTTGCTCTCTACATTGCCTGCATCCTCAAGCGTGTGTGGGATCGCGTCATCATGCCACCTGAGCCTACCAAGCCAGGCGCCAAGCCCGCCGCAGCGCCCAGCAGTGCTCTCACCACGTACCGACCGGGAGGTCTTGCCGCTCCCGCCTCAACAGGCGCCAAGCTACCTCTCCGAAAAGAGGACCTTGAAGACACTCTCCAAGACCTCATCCCACTTCACAACTTCATGCAGCAGAGCGGCAAGCTTTTCGGCCTCGGAGGTTCTTCTGCGAGCCGGAGCTTCGTCAACGGTGTCGGCTACGACCAGGAGCGTGCAGCCAAGCTCGATCAGGAGAGTTTCGGCCGCCTTCAAGCCCTTGTGTCGCGAGCGATGGAGGCTACCAACTTCATGCTTTTCTTGATTGACCATAGTCTGAAGCCACTGATCGACGCATGCTCGGCTGAAGCCAAGGGCGTCATTGCGAACTTGCGTTTTGGCCAGCTGATCTCTTCGGAAGAAGGCAAGCGTGCATCCAGAGAGCTCGTCACCGCTCTGATCGAAGCACGTATTGGTGCTCAGGTCAGCATTGATGCCGTAGCTGATGCTCTCCAGGCTCGATGCGGTAGCTTCTGCTCTGCAGACGATGTACGACACTACAAGGCGACCGAGTGCATTCGACGGGCAAAAGAGACCGGCTCAGAGCAAGACAAGATGGACAATTTGCGTATGAGTCAAAAGCTACTTGCGAAAGGTGCCAGCCAGCTGACAGTGGAGAAGCTGCGCGGTATCTGCGAGGACTACCATGCGCTCGGATACGCTACTGGAGCTATCGGGCTCGCTCTTCAATGTGCTGCCGAATGGGACCCAGCAGGAATTGCTGCATTGTACTTGGCTGAAGGCAGTCCTGATGGCCCCGAGCACCGAGCACGACGTGAGGTCGCTGAACGACTTAAGCAAGCCTATCAGCTCGTTTTGGAAACTTTGCAGCAGCTCGACGAGCGTCTCGACGCCGCCTACAACATCGAAGCCGACGAAGCGCAAGTGCGACTTGCCATCAGCACGCGCGACAAGGCCCGCAGCGAAGCCTACGCCCGTGCTGAGGCCTCTCAAGATGTTCTTTTCCACGAGAGCATGTACGAGTGGCTGATCGAGCGCAAGATGACCGATCAGCTCCTCTCTATGCGCACACCTTATCTCGAACAGTATCTTGTCAAGCGACCCGCTGGTGCCAAAGGAAGCGACGCGGTCTTCTTACACACTCTTCGCAACCTGCTGTGGCAGTTCTATGTTCGCCATGGCGAATACTTTGCAGCGGCGCAAGTGCTGGACGCCCTTGCTCATTCGAAGGAGTTCGCTCTCGACTTGAGGGAAAGGATCGAGTACCTTGCGCTAGCGGTGGGCAATGCCAAATCGATCTCACCATCGCACGTTGAAGCAAACGACGTGGTGACGTTCCTCTCACAAGCTGAAGACTCGCTTGAAGTAGCACAGATCCAAGCACGCGTCTTGCAGTCTCTGCAGCAGATCAACCCGGACGAGCTTGACAACGAACGATCGGCATTGCTAGCTGACTCGATGGAATGGCTCAACGAGGAGCTGCTGGATTTGTCGACACTATACAAGAACTTAGCTGAGCCATTCGAATTGTTGGAGGAGCAGCTCGCCATGATTGCTTCGGCTGAGCTGAACGATGTTGGGTTGGTATCAGAGATCTGGATCGCACTCATCTCCCAGCAGCACGCAAAAGGGAGAGCGGAGGAGGCGTACAAGGCGATCTCGGCGTTGACTGTAGACCTGTTCACCAGATTGAACAGGAGCGAAGTTGCTTGTCCGATCGACAATGTCTTTGACCTCTTGTTGAGGTACGGCTTCGAGCAGACTCGACCCAACAGTGCTGGGCGGGAAGACAGCATCCCAGCTGGCTTCGCCCGAAGATCGGACGAAGAACATGGATTTGCCAAGCCAGTCAACATTCCAGACGGATGGGCGAGTCAAACAATGCTTCGCGCTACGGGAGCTGCCGAGCTTATTCTCGATATTCTGGAGTCTGCTCTCGCTACCAGTCCTCAGCCGTGGAATACGCCGGCAGGGCAAGCGTACTTGCAAGCTGAGCTGGTTGAGTTCGCTCGTACTTGGGTTGAGATCTCCACTACTTCCGGTGGTGGCAGCGGTACGATCGTAGCTGCAGGCGGGAAAGGTATACTAGGTGTATCAGGCTTTGCAGGTGATATTGGATCACTCACTCCAACGCAGGTGCAGAGGCTGTTTGGGCTGTTCAACTCGCTGATACTGAAGACTTCGCAATCGTCGTCTTTGGCCCAGGTCGCTGATGTGGCAAGGAAGGCGGTAGATCTTCTCAAACTCTACTATTAAACAACTGATCCATGGCAATTCATGCAACGCCCATTTGGTGTGATCGCATTGAAATGACTCCATGTTTGTCGACTGCATATATGAGCACGCGAGAGCAGAGCAGACTGATCACACGAGACCGACAACAAGTGCAGGAGAAAAGGTGAGTTGCAACAGCGACAAGGACGCGGAGAAATATTACAAGAGGTGAAGTGAGAGATGCAAAGTCAAGCGAGGCTAGCTTACATAACTAGGTGAAAAGAATCTAGCGGTATCGGTGAATCTCGGTGCGGTCACGACCACGCATCCAATCAGGCTCGGTACCAGGGTAGTAGATGTCGGTCCAGAGAGTCTCCTCCTTGGGCTGTGGGGACTGCTTAGCCTCCTCAACGGCCTGGTCGACCTCTTCCTTGGCAGCCTTGTCGATCCTCTTGAGCTCGGCCTCCTCGACGACACCCCAGTGGAGCATGCGGGCCTTGAGACCCTGGATGGGGTCGGAGGACGAACGCATGGTCTGGATCTCGTCACGAGTTCGGTAGGTGGTACCAGGGTCAGAGAGCGAGTGACCACCGTATCGATAAGTGACGAGCTCCATGAGCAAGGGACCATTGCCGCCGAGAGTGAAGTTAGAAGCGTGCTTGGTGGCAGCAGCGACGGCGAGAACGTCCATGGCATTGACCTGGAGACCGGGAATCACGTCACCACGGGTGTAGTACTGAGTGTTCATGGAAGATCGCTCTGCCGAGGTACCCATACCGTACTTGTTGTTTTCGCAGACGAAAACGCAAGGCAAGTTCCAGAGCTTGGCCATGTTGTAAGCCTCAAAGACCTGACCCTGGTTGGAAGCACCGTCACCGTACATGGCGAAAGTGGCATCGTTGGTGTTCATGTACTGCTGAGCGAAAGCGATACCAGCACCGACGGGAACCTGAGCACCGACAATACCGTTACCACCGAAGAAGGTGGGGGTGAACATGTGCATGGAACCACCCTTACCCTTGGAGATACCGGCCTCACGACCGAAAAGCTCGGCAATGACCGACTTGATGGTACCACCCTTCTGGACGGTGAAGGGGTGGCATCGGTAAGCAGTGATGAGCTTGTCGGAGGGCTTCATACCGGCCTCCATACCGACGGCGACAGCCTCCTGACCGATAGCCAAGTGACAGAAACCACGGATGAGCTTCTGCTTGTAAAGCTGGTCGGCAGCCATCTCCATCCTTCGCATCTTGACCATCTCGGAGTAGAGGTCAACGAGCTCATCCTTGGAAGTCTCCCACTCGAGCTTGGGGACGTCGAAGTTGTAGCCCTTGAAAGCGTCTCGATTGAGGTCGACCTTGAACTTCTCAGACTTGGAAGCGGGAAGCTCCTGCTGAGGGCTGGAAGCCTCGGCGGTGAGCTGAACGAAACGCGAGGACGAGGGGAGGGCGTTGCGCGAGTAGGCGGGCTGTCAACGAGAAACAAGATAGAGAGGGTGATAGGGATGTCAGTGAGACAGTCGGGTAGTTGGTTGCGTACCGTCGTGCGGCCTTAGCAGATGCGAGGAATGAAACGAGAATGCTGTGGAAGATACCTACAAGACTCTTGGCCTTGCCGGCAGTGCGGAGGAGGTTGCGGGAGAAGGAAGACATCGCGACCTAGTGAATGAACGAGACGAAGCGAGAGCGAGCAATGTATCGATGCGAGTGGCCGTTGCGTTGCGGTGATCGGAGGGTTAATGTAGCGGAAGGCGACACAAAGAAGTGATCCGTCAGTATGGTTGCTCAATCCAGGTGTATGGGGCTGGTCTGTTACTCTTCGACCGCAATGACCTTGTGCAGATCAGCGTACGGGTCTCTTGTCGGAAACAGCGGTACGCACCAGTATGACGACGCCGATGAAGATGAGGGAGGTGTGAGGTGGTGGTGTCAAGAAGAATCCGCGATGAGCAACAGCAACGTCAACAGGTCCAATCGACGGTCGGATAAGTTCCACCGAAGATCTCTAAGGCCAGAAAAAAATCCACCAAAAAGGCCACGAGACAGGCTGTGCTGCCTTCTGAGTTTGACCGTTGTCTCAACTTTTCTTCTCAGCGTGGTCGAAGCGCGCGTGTCTCGAAAGAGTTTCCCAACTTTTGTTTTGTTTTTCTTTCCTTTTTTGTTTTTTTTTGTTTTTTTTTTTTTCTTTTCTTTTCTTTTTCCTCTATGACCCTGTCTTTTCCCTGATTTCTGCCCGACATTTGACCGATGGAAATTCGGGCTTGGAGAGCGTGCTTACCAGTTCTAATCATCGTATCGATCCGTGCCCTTGCTTGCAAAGTGTCGTTCGTTGTCCGTTTGCGCCTTTTCCGTGGTATGCAATTCGAAAGCGGAAAGGTCCTTCCTTGGTCGATAGCCCTCAGTCTGTGCGTCAATCCGCTTCCTTGGCAATCCGCTTCCTTGGCAATCAATCGATATTGGTCACACTTCAATGCCTTAATATCGGATCACTATCCATCACAGGCAACATTCTACAATCTCACTTCTGCATGGTCAGATCGAGGTGTGTAACCTTGTGTCATGCTGCAATGCGCTCATGGCGAGCTGATGGTGGTCAAGTGGCCAGGTGAGAGCCTCTTGGTTGTCGATGTCAGTGGAGTAGGTGTAACACGACATCCAGAGCGAGAGCCCCAACTCGACCCGGCACAGCACAATTTTAGCTGTTTGTTAGAGTCCTCACTTTCGATCACTTTTGCCAACCTAACAGCCTCACACCTTTTTTTTCTTCTTTTTTTCTTCTTTTTTTCTTCTTTTTTTTTTTTTCTTTTTTTTTTTTCTTTTTTCGTGCTGGTGGAGCAAAATTGCTGGAGCTACCAAGGAGAAAATTTGGTCTCAAAACGTTAAGAAGCTTCCTCAGGCTGCCCCAGCTTCCTTTTTCTCAACCAGCATCATCAACATCTTTCGTCGTCGACCATGTCCACACCTACGCAATAGCGAGACGATCGACTCTGGCAACACTTTCCCGTCTGGCTTGTGCCTGTGCTACTGACCCGCCTTGCTCCCCACCTCCTCCTCAACAGCTAAGCAGCCATAACAGTTTCAACATCAATGTTCGATCGCACTCCAACCAAAACTGTCCCTGTTGCAGTCCTTACGAGCAACCACTTCTTCCTTGCATCGGATCTTCTCTCTCCAAGTGCTGCTGCGTTTATACATGATGAATACCAAATACATAGAGTCAAGCACGGTCCGGTCGTGGTCCCAACGTGGAAGCGATCATCTGGCGATAACCTATTTTGTTTCTCTCTGACACCTACAAACGTATTCAAGCACTTGGGAAAGGATCTAAATGCAAACAAGAGGCCAAGCTCAAAGTGGCATCAGCAAGCAGCTCCGTTGCCGTCAGATTTCAACATTCGACAAGTTGCTCGATAGACTCGAGACGAGAGTAGACGAAAGGTCTATGATCGTTCGAGAGCGCTGTTTGGCGGCTTGATCTACTCCTCGATTGCTATCGCTGCACCTTGCTCTATGCGTCTTGCAACGAGTGGGGGGAGATTGGGAGCTGTGAGATGTGCCTGTGCTTCTATTTGAGATTTCTGCTCGTTTTTTGCAATCGAATTTGTTTACATGCTCTCTCAATCTTGTGTGCTCATGTGTATGCGACATCCATGCTGTCGCTCTCCGCTTAGACACTCGCATTTGACGATCCAGCAACGTCCGACAGAGCAATGTGATGTGCTCGTGTGGCTCTAATTTGGCTGGCTTGTTTGATCGAAAGCTACAACATCCCTGAAATTCGTCTCCGAGTGGAGTCCAAAATCGGAACCGACAGTTTGGCAGCCAATTCGCACTTCTCACATCGTGGGGATCACTACACCACCACACCTCAATCCTGGCATCTTCTTGATAGTCTCCACCACCGCGCATTCTTCGCACAACCTCCCTGTGAGTTCAGATCGACCATAAAGACACGCCAGTCCCATGCACAGCTGCTGACACAGCATTCGCACTCGACGCAAAACAGGCAAAACAGGCAAAAAAGCACACATACACAATGGCGGGCCCTTCAGCATCAGGAGCAACCTCTTCAAGATGGTATAAGCCAATGCCAGGCTTCCACCCACATCAACCCGCATTTAAGCACCGATGGGGCGCCAAGCTGCTAGGTGCCACCATGTGGTTCTGGATCTTCTACAGAGCTAAGCAGGATGGTGCTGTTCTTCTTGTAAGTACCTAAACACGCGACTCAGACAGCTAGATGCGAACGGAAGGCTGGACAACTGATAGGGTGGAATCATGGCCGATAAACACTTCATCCAGCCCGGTCAAGTGGCAGGTCAGATTCGGCGGAAAAAGCAGATAGGCAACCGAGGAAAAGAGGATGACGCGAGAATATGTTGAACTACAGTTTTCCAACCAACTTTGCAACAAACAAGCGACGATCAAGCAGACATCAACCTCGCCGGAGGATGCAACAGGAGCTTCGGCGGAAAGCTGAAAGCTGAACAGGAGGGATAGCCTCACCATCGGCCGCTGCCTCGCTCAAGTATACCTGCATCTGGAAGAGCTATGTACTGACTATCTCTCAACCCTCTTCTTTCCCCTCCTACACTCCCGCTACTTGGACTCTATCGCACTTCCTGACTTCCATTCCGCCAATTGCACTTTCTTCCGACTCACTACAGGGCTTGAAACACCCTTGGGACGGTCACGGACACCACGACCACCACGGTGATGGCCACGATGAGGGCCACCACTAAACCGTTCCATCTGTACTACAATCCTATCAGAATACGAAGAATTGCTTTCTATACACAATGGGACCCGAAGTTGAGTCTACAGAACTCTTGTCTGGAGCGGAATTGTCAATACCTTCGAGGTGTAGAAGACGTTTTAGGGATGCGCGTGGATCTATGTTGAAGGGTTAGAAACAAGATCGGTGTCATTGCTTGCTTGCAAATGTCACGATTGCGCCGAAACCATTCGGAGGGCACTCAGTGACTTCGCCCCTCGAGCGTGAGTTCTTGAGCGAGATAGCAATGGACATTGTCACACACCTCAAGCTACATCCTTGCCTCAACTCACTTCCAATTCGCTTCGACATTTGAGAAAAAATAAATAAAACGTTTCATTCATAGAACCAAAACACATATTGAGAGTACATGATCGAACCAAAAGGGAATCCTAGCTACACCTTTACCTGAGATCTTCAACCGATCTGCCCAACGTTTCCACCCGTCGGCGCCTCTCCGCCAACCTGTGCCTCTCGCACAACAGGTCCCTGCTGAGGCAATCCATTAGCCGCACTTGAAGCCTTTACCAGCTCTTCCCGCGAGACCTTCTCAGGCTCTCTAGCCGCCTTTGCCAACAGTTCATTCACCAACGCCGACTGCTTCTGCACAGCTAACCTGTCGGCATACAACTGTCTCCTGCCGGCCTCAACAGAGCGTCTTTCAGCTTCAAGAAGAGATTCGAGTTCTTCGAACTGGGTCATCTTGAGTTCGAGTTTACGAAGTTGAGCCTCAATGACTTGACCGACGAGACGCTGGCATTCACGTTCTTCGAACGAGGAGAGGACGTGAGCTTTGGCAGCAGCAGCACCGAGTGCAATGGCGGCGGCACGCTCGACTGCGTTTCGTGGCACTGCGCCCTTCTTCGCAACTGCGCCGGAATCGTCAGTGATCTCGCCAACAGCAGTGGTAGTCTTGGGCTCGGCAGCGGAAGCAGCATCACCGTCAACGTCCATAGCATCGCCCTTAGCGCCGTTCTCCTTGGTCTTCTCCGCATCGGCGGCGTCGGCTGTAGTGGATGCATCCTTGTCACCCGATGCGGCCTTCTCCTGGTTTGCTCGCTTGCGGAGGTTGTCCGTCAACTCACCAAGTGCACTCTGCGCAGCAGCGGCGGCAACAGCAGGGTTGACAGCACTGGCTAAGAAGGCAATCACGCTCATGACAGGGTTGTCAACCTGAGCGAACGGCACGATGGGCTTACCCAGCTTGTCGACCTGATCGCGACGTGCGTACTGCAGAGGTCCGAGATCAGCCTGCGAAGCACCATCTAAGAATCCATCCTCGATAGGCAGCTGAATGAATTTGGTGATACACTGCTCACGGCTCCTTGTGCCGACGTGGTTGCTGACAGCCGACCAGTCATCATCGAACATCTCAAGACCTTCAAGCAGACGCAGTGTCTCAGCGTCGGTCCAGTCATCTTGTGCACCAGAAGCTCCACCAGTGACACCACCGGTCTGCTTGAGAACAATGTCTTCCATGCGAACAAAGTCACCCGAATACATGGAGCTGGGGAATCGACCTTCGAGGTAGCATGACGGGCAGAGCGAATAGTTCTTGGCCTTGATGCTGTGGTATCGGACACGAGTGCAGTCGGTACCGCAGGTGTCGCAGGTGTAGCGAGGAGCTCCGCCAGCGTCGCTGGCGATGGTGGCATCGGCTTGAGCAGCAAGCGAGTTGGCCTCCGCAAGGTCGACAGGCTTGGATCCCTTCATTGTCGACTGGAAGATGGTCTTTCTCAGCTCGAGGTTCATGTTGGGCTTGTCTCCGCCTGCGGCAGCAGCGCCTTCAGGACCAGCCGAGGCAGAAGCCGAAGTCGGCAAGTTGACCCTAGTTCCGGGGTGCAAGGGCTGCAAACCTCTTGGCGTGTCGACAAGAACACGGAAGTGACCGGTGAAGGGAGGGCCGAGGGTGGCAGGTCGAGTCTCGGGATCAATCTGATAGTTGATGAGACCCCACTGCTCGAGGAAAGCATGAACCCTCATGATGGCGCAGACGTCACCAGCAAGGTTTCTTCGGCAAGCAGTGAAGGTGAGATACTCGCTCGGGTTGAGGCGGTAGGTGTTGACCATGAAGTCGCGATAGTCCTTGTAGATGCTGGGTGTCTTGCTACGGTTCTTGTTGTTGAAGAATTCAGGAAGAGATCGCTTTTCGATGGCGTTGATGGTCGACATGTCGAACCAGGTCGAGTAGGAAGGGATGATGACCTCCTGAGTCTGCGAAGCGAGGTACTTCTTGGCGATCTCCTCAGCACGGATGCGTTGCTGTTCAACAGCGGCAGCATCAGGCTGGATGACGGGTGCGTTGGCATCTGCAGTAGCCTCGGTGGGCTCTTCAACCGCAACATCTGCAGACTTGGGCTTATCAGCAGTGCCGTCAGACATGGTCGCGTCAGCATCATTAGCTGCTCGCACAGCTGGCTGTTCACCTTCGAGCTTAGTAGGACCGGCTGACTCGGATGGCAAGTTGCCAAGGACGCCGCTTGGGACTGCCTCGTTTTCATACTTTTTGCCTGGAATGGGCTGCGAACCAGAAAGGTCAATAGGAATGGCGCCGACAGGCCGAGCAGCGACAAGCAGCTTGATACGCTTGCCATTGGACTCTGCGGCGGCCGAGGCGGAGGAAGCATCGGTAATCTCTTCGGGGAGGCCACGCTTTTTTCCCTTCTTGATATCGCCAGCAGTGGCACTAACATCGGTTGCGTCAGCTGCGTCAGTAGTAGACTCGAGGGCCTCCTCCTGTTCATAATCTTCTGTGTTCATGAGCTCGTTGAATCGAACACTGTCGCGGAGCCATTTAGCTCCGACCTTCCATGGCAGACGCTTCTCAGGAGCCGGATCCGGATCGGCAAAGTCGGCAGCAGGCAACCAGGTGTCGTAGGAGTCCGGTCGGTACCAAACGTGGATGAGAGCGCGCCCGGACCTGGAAGCGATGGTTCTGAAGTATTCTTCTGAGTTGCTGGTTTCGGTCGAGGCAGATGACTCGCCGAGCTTAGGCGAAGATGGCGGCGTGACATCGGATGGGTATAGAACGTGTGTTGCGCTAGTAGCATCGTCGGACCACTTGCATTCGAGCTGCTCGGCCATCTGCTTGAGCGAGGCAGCCTCTGCTTCGGTGATGGAAGGGGATACGGCAATAGTAGGGTGCTCTAGCGCGCCAGCTTTTGTGAGTTGTTGACGGACATGTGCGATGAGTTGAACGTTATCGGGCTTTTGGGTAGGGTCGGAGAAGTTCCATGTGGACTTGCCCTTGAAAGCGAGATAAGCTAGCGCCTCTTGCAGGAGCAGTCGGAGATGGCTGGATTCTGGTGCGACAACGGATGTGCTCTGTTGTGAAGATGTGGAGAGGAAGAGCTCTGCAGGAATGCGGACGGGGTGTCGTGACTGTGGGGTAGATGCGGAAGGGTTGGCAGGACGAGGAGCGTTGACGCCGAGCAATTCTTCTTGGAAGTTTTGCAAGTCGTACACTAATGCTGCAAGGTCGGAAGCCGAGAATGAGCCAGTCTTGCAAGGAATGGCGCTGGCATCGATGTTCTGCTGAGCAAGCGCGCTCTTGATGGGTTCGACATACGACTCGAGTGCCTGAAGGAGAACCGGATCAGAGCGCAGCTTGGGGTCAGGGTGACCCGTGAGATTGAGCGTCGACATGGCTGTGCAGGATGACCAATACTGTGTATATGCGGAGCCAAACGGCGTCAAGCCTGTAACAATTGTCTCTTTCGAGCTGTGCAGAGCCGGATGTGCTAAAGCGCCAACGCGGTCCAGACCACCTTTGCAAACAGGCGACGCGTCGGATGCACAGGGAGGCGTTGAAGTCGAGCCGCAATAGGTGATGAAAGGTTTTGTGTTGCTGCGTCGGATGAACGATAAATGAGGGACGGTAATGCGGAGAGTCAGTTGATGAGGATGTTGATGAGGATGTCGATGGATGGAAGGTTGGGGAATTTCCCACAGAGCGTTGAGGCTCTCAGAGTGCACGTCGAGTTGAGTGAGAGAGTTGCTTTTGGCGTGTCATTCTAGGGAGAAGGGAACGCGGCGCTTCTTCTTTCACCTCTCGCTCGCTTCTCAGTCTGTCTCTCTTCTGTCTGGCGTCTCTCTCTCTCTTTTCTCGCTTTGGCTTTCCCCGATTCGGTCTCCCGATCCCCTCCTCCCGATCCGCCCTTACCGATCCGAAATGCTTGCCCGCTCAGCCAGAGATTCCAAGTTCTTTTATTAACATCCAAATTTCGCACGCCTCGAGCTGATTTGTCGCGCAGATGATTTAGTGTGAGGGCGTAGCTCGCCAACAAAAACCGGAAAATACGTTCTCCCCTCCAACTCTGCACATCTTTCGCCTTCACTGACCTCAACATCACGTCTCTACATGAGCGGCACCACATTCCAGATCGGACCAGGAAGCATTCTCAAAGCATTAGGCAGGTAAGCGGGCATACAAGCACAGTAAAGTACAGTACAGTACTGTACACAGATCAGAGGCTACAGGGAGGAAAACAAAGTGTGGCTCTCTCCTCACACCTTGTAGAAGAAGTCGAACCTGAAACCAAGCGACTCGAGCAAATTGCGGACCAATCCACCGACACCACCCTGTGTCTTTCGCAACGACTTGCCGACATACGTCGTTTTCCACGCTTCCTTTCCGTCGATTTGCACCGAGACACGAACAACAGGCTTGTATGGGTCGCGAGCATCCACCTCGAACTCGGTCCATTTGTAGTTGCCATCAGGAAGATACTTGAGCAGCTTGTCGACCCCTGTCTTGCCGTCGCCATGATCCTGAGAAAGTGTGCGGACAGGAAGGTAGAACATGCTGAGTGGACTTGTGCTGAATTCGGTAATGGTGTCGTGAACGCTGACGGCCGCAAACTCGTGTCGGTCACCGCTGAGGACGATGACGTTTGGCACGTAGCGAAGCATTTCGGCTATCTCGAGACGTTCGGCATTGTAGGCTGCCCAGCTATCCTTTTGTCCATCCACGTCGAGCTCGCCACCCCACAAAGTGTTAAAAGGGACGGAGCTGACAACAAACTTGAATGCGACTGTCTCGTTGACCGCCGCAAGCCACTTGTACAGATCCTCCTTCTGTCGGTAGCCCAGCATCGTCTTGTCCTCATCGTCATCGGCAGTGTGGTGTGTACGGTGGCGGCGCGTGTCCATGACAAAGAATGCGGCCGACTCTCCATACTGGAAGGTATAGTAGTTCTCTCCCTGCTCAAGCGGCTCCGGGTTGACATCGCCAATGTACTCCTTCCATGCTGTGCTAGCAGAAGAGTAAGCAGCAATCTCTTCATCGTTCTCATCCCTACCAGACCAGTTGTTGACTACCTCGTGATCGTCATAGATGCCAACGACAGGCACGTGCTTGAAGAAGCGACGGAAGCTATTGGACGCAAACAGGTTGCGGTAGAGTTTGCGGTAAGCGCCCGTGTCGGCACCACCGTAGTGCGGCACATCGGCATAGATGAGGTCGCCGAGCTGCAGCAAGAAGCGGATTGAGGGGTGAGACTCTCGACCAGCCACAGTCCTCTTGTAGAGCAGGTCGAAGCCAGGAATTCGATTGCGCTCCGTGATGCCACCAGCTTCAGTACCGATTCCAGCGAGCCTGAGGAGCCAGTTCCAGCCCCAGAACTGTGCGGGATGGTAAGGAAAGTCTGGCTTGACGCACGAAGTCGATGCGAATGTGAAGTGGTTGGGGTCCTCGAGCGGGTTTGTCTCTTCAACTAGCTCCTGAGCAGCTTCGGAGAGGTCGATGCGTCGAGAGCCAAGGCTCTTGGATTGCATGTAAGCGCTCAACCTCGGGTCAGGCCATGTAGTGAAGAAGTTGCGACGGCTGATCTCATCGTTGGCAACAAACTTCTCAATGACGCGGACCTCGTCAGACGTTTGGTCAAGGTGCTCAGGTTGGAACTGAGATAGACCCCACTCGTACGTCGTGGATGGCCAGAGATCTTCGATGAGAGCAGTGGTAGTCCAGTCATTTTCGGAACGCAAAGTGATGAGGGGACCATTGAGCCAGAGGCTTTCGTGATTGGCTAGGTACGGCTTGCCATACGCCCGGCTGGTCTTGCGGAAGGCGTCGTCCTCTTGTGTCAGGTTGAGAGCGCGTCGGTACTTGACGAGCAGCTCGATAGGTTGAGCCGGTTGCTGAACTGATGGGGAGGAGGCAAATGGAGTCTCGATGGAAAGGCTGTCGAGCGAGTTACCGAGGGGTGAAGCCAGCACAGTCGAAGCGTTGGGACCCCCTGCAAGCTCAGGTGGCGGGTAACGAACGTGGATCTTGGCATAGGTCGGGCCAACAGCGCCAGTACGGGCAAAGGCAAGGTTGTAATCCCAGTGTGAGGGGAATAGGTAGGGAGATAAGAAGCTGTCGAGGAAGAGAATGAAGACGAGCGTGTGGGCCAAGATGACATTTAAATTGAGACGCGAGGACCGAGTCGAAGTTCCGAGGAGGATGGCTTTGAGGAGCTCGAAAGGCCCAGTGCGAGGCAACTTTGAGTGTACAGTCTCCTTGCTGGAGGTGGAAGTGGACGTTGAAGAGGAAAGTTTATCAGGAGCGGACTTGACGCCCTTAGCGACGTCGGCATAAGATGCGGAGGAGGAATGAGCTTTTGCAGGAGAGCCTCCATTTTGACCAGAAGGCTTGTTCTCGACCGCTTTGGCCGTGGCTTTTGTCTGGATCTTGGTGTCGGTGACTTGTACATTGTTGGCGAGCTGTTGAAGATCTCGAGCAGCGGCTGCCTGCTGCTTGGAGAGATGATCGGCGATAGCGTTACGGATGACAAGGTCGCGATAGATAGAGAGGACGACATACACGGCGTACAAGGTGGGAATAACGGGGTACGCGAGCGAGGTAGGGATCCAACGTAGGAAGATATAGACGGTTGCTTTGAAGAGGATGGACGAAAGAGCTTGTACGATGCTCAATAGACCACCGGATGGCTTGCGAAAGGTGAGCGGCAGAATGGTGGAATGGTCATGGCTGTCATCGCTGTGACGACCCTTGAGTGGAGGATTGGCGTCTGGCATCACGCCAGGCTCTCGCTTGTGCGGCATGGTTTCAAGTAGCTAAAGGGCTGGCCTTACACGAGCTGTAGGCCAAGAAGGATAAAGATGATGCGGGTGCGGAAGAGATGATGTGATTGATAGATGGATGGAATGCTGCTCAGGGTAGTGTAAGTTAACTCACAACTTGAACTGAGGGCGTGTGGAGGAGGAGGGTGCACAAGGGAGAGCTGTTCTCGGCAAAAGTCATGGATTGACGTTCTTCTCTCTCTTCTTTCATCGCGCTCTGTGACAGCCACAGCTCCGCTCCTCTCCGCTCCTCTCCGCTCCTCTCTGCTCTCCTCCAATCGGCTGAGATGCTTATTCACGAATACAGTAGTACCGGCTCTGCTCTCATCTCGCGTTTCTGAGGCCACGATGAAGCTCTCTCATCTCGTGTGTGATTGACACTGCAGACAGTTCAGTCATTGACACAGCCTTCCGACCAAATTCAGAGCGGAACCTCTCTCCTCTGTTCGCAAACGACGTTGCTGAAGTGTGTGTGAACGGGTCACGTTGCGGACATGTGCACCTGACGAATCAAAGCATTGGGAGCCGCGGAGAAGTTGAAGATGCGTCGGCATCTCAAGCAATGTGCACGTGTTACGGCCGAGACATCGAGATACGGGAGGCTCACATAAGCGAGGAGCACAATGAGGTACGCAATTGTTGTCATTGTGACAGCACAGTGGCACCCGGTATCATAGCAACACAGGGGTACAAATGAAGGAACACACCCTGCCTCGGATGGGATCAGAGCGGTGAATGGAGTATATATATGTGTGTTTGTCATTTAGTCTCACACAACGAAAACTAAGCATTACATAGAACATACGGCTGTGGCAAAGGGAGTCTGATCGTGACCCCGATATCGCCGTATATTAATTGTTATCTTCAATTGATTAAGAGTCTGAAGAAGCTATCACCGAGCTAACCGAAAACTCGCCGACAACCATGGTAGAAGACACCGAAACGAGGACTAAAGGAAGCAGAAAAGGCAAGAACACCCAGGTTCGGGTCGACAACAATGCCACGAGCGAGAACGAGCCGGAGGCCATCAACGATGAAGCCGACGGAGACACCGATTCGGACTCCGACTTTGATGATGGCGACAAGCGATATAACTTTCGCACCCTAGCAAAGCTCCTTGAACCCGTGCCAAAGCTCACGTCACGAAACTACCATAGCTGGAGCGCTCACGTGAAATCTTTCCTCCGATCCGTGCCTCATGCGATGAAACATCTCGAGGGAACGTACGACAAGAAACACCCGAAATGGAGCCGCTCCCTTGACGATGCTTTAATTAACGCCCTGCGTGGAACAATCGATACTACCGGAGAACACAATATAAACTATCTCGTCCTAGATGTAATCAAGGAGTACCTTATTTTCAACCAAGTATGGAGAAAGATCGAAAACGGTCTCACGAATGAAGCCACCAAGACGTCCCACAGACTTGCGCTTATCTCGCAACTCAACGATGCAAAGATGTTTCACTCGGATGCCAGAAAGCTAATCCAAGAGATCCGGTCCATACAAACTGAAAGCAGTCTCCTCGGGAAACCATTCGCCGATGATACATTGTTCTCGGCCCTGCAGAAATGCACGATCCGGCATCCGGTGTACAAGGAGACGGTTGCCACCGTCCATCAAATCGACTTCAACGCCCTTGCCACCGCATTAAGCATCCGGCAGACTGCTGTCGAGAGTGTCCCCGCGCAAAGGATCGACCCCCGACAAGCCAGCGCTAGAACCGCCGGAAACGACGATCAAAATGAACGGGCCGGAGAGACCGAAGCCGAAGCCGACAACAGCCACGCGAGCCCGAGGAACGCAAGCAAACCACGCCGAATCCGATGCTGGATCTGCAAGCGACCGGGACATGGTATCAGCCAATGCGACGCCTTGGTTACCATTCCCAAGGACTCTCCTCTCGCTGAACCCAAATAGGAAGCGTGGTGCTCCCTCACCCTCCCAATGAAATGGCAGGACCCCTCGAACCCAAAAGAAACAGCTCATTGGATCTTGGACTCGGGGGCGAGTTATCATATGGTGAAAGACTACAGCATGCTCATTCACCCGAGAACTTGCCGAAAGCGGATAATTACCGCCGGAAGCGAGGTCTTGGAAGCGGCAGCTATAGGAGATGCGAGCATATCAACAGATTACGGGGAAATCTCTCTGCAAAATGTATTGTATGTAAAGCACCTTAATGTTAACCTTCTGTCAACAAATTCATTAACGGATGAAGGAGCACGAGTGATACTGGACACAACCGGCGGCCAAATTTTCTTAACAAACGGCATGACACTTAAGATTGCAAAGAATCGCGAGCGAGGACTTCTGGAGTTCCGAGGCGACACATGGCAAGAAAGCGCGATGGCCACATCAGCACCATTGTTTGAAGGTGTTGATGAGGAGTTCGAGCATATTAAGAATGAGCCGAAAGTTTCAAAGCAACAACTATGGCATGAGCGTCTCGGGCACCCAGGAAGAGATAAAGCAAAGGCGATCACAAACAAGTTAAAGGATAAGCATACCATGAAATTGGATCCAAACACCGCTCTGACATGTGAGCAATGCGTACGATCCAAGAGCACAAGCGCTCGGATGGGGAAAGGTAGCGGCGAGAGAGCCGTAGGGCCCCTGGATCTTATCCACGTCGATCTAATAATAGACTCGTCCCACGTGACGGAGTACACATGCACGTTGGTGCTGGTCGACGATCATAGCAAGTATGTGTATGCACAGCCATTGACACGAAAGAGTCATGCCTTTATGCAACTTAAAAGAATTGTTTCGTTCCTGGAGACACAGACGGATCGGAAGCTAAAGGCGATCCGATCCGATCAAGGAACAGAATGGAAAAGCAATGATGCATTAGAATGGTCGCTAGAAAAAGGCATAGAGTGGCAAACCACCGTAGGGTACAACAGCAAACAAAATGGACGGGTAGAGAGAATGAACAGGACCCTTGGAGAGAAGATGAGAACGTTGCTAATGCAGAGGAGACTACCGAAGAAGTTCTGGCCATACGCGATCAGAGCTGCAGCGTTCAAAATAAACCTCACTCCGAGCGTTGATAACGAATTCCCTTACCAAGCGATGTTTGGCAAGTCGCCGGAACGAGCTTTAAAGCTCCTACGAGTGTTTGGTTGTCTGGCATGGGTAAACATACCCAAAGTTAAATGGGACAACAAGAAACTGGATCAGCGAGCCGTCGCATCCATTTTCTTAGGGTACAGTCTAGAGAGGAAGGGCTGGCTTTTCTACAGCCCGGACTACAATCCGAACATCTTCTGGAGCAATTCAGCAAAATTCATGGAATCAAAGTGCTGGTCAGACAGAACAGAGTGGCGACCGGTTGATACAAAGGCACCCCCAATGACGATGACAGAAGAAAATCTCGAAGATCTAGGATATAACAAAGAAAATATATTCGACGAAACAGATGAAGAGCCACTACGAGAATACATGGATATGGAGTCAGACTCGGAAGAAAGATTACGCGAAGGAATAGCAGAGGTGATGGAACAAGGACCAATCGCCGAAACTCAAATTGACAGCGAATTCTATGGACTCGTAGCGACGCGACCGGAACGGAGAAAGAACCTGGACCCAACCATACATGAAGCAATGAATGGAGAGGACAGAAAGCACTGGGAGGAGGCCATGCGAAAGGAGCTGGATGGATTAGAGGCGATGGGCACATGGGAGATAGTTGACCTTCCAAAGGGCGCAAACACCATCGACACACGTTGGGTACTCAAGATCAAAACCGATGCAAACCTCGTGCCAACAAAGTTCAAAGCCCGGCTCGTGGCACGAGGTTTCACTCAACGCGAGGGCATCGACTATACAGAGGTCTTTGCACCAGTAGCACCTATCCAATCCATTCGAGGGGTGATCGCGGTCGCAGCAGTACGAGATTGGGAAATGGATTCTATTGACGTAAAGCAAGCGTACCTGAACTCCACTATACACCATGATGTATACCTCAAGCCCCCAGTAGGAATCGAAATGCCACCCGGAAAAGTGTTGAAGGTAGTGAAAGGACTGTACGGTCTGAAACAATCGGGCCGAGAATGGAACATTGAGTTAGACTCACATCTCCGGACGATCGGATTCCATTGCATGCCGAGCGCACCATGCCTATACTCAAGAGGGACAGGCGACAAGATCACGATCATCACAGCATACGTGGACGACATGCTGATAACATCACCCAGTCGTGATGAAGTAGATCGCGCGAAGCGAGAGATCATGGACAAATGGGAGACGCAAGACAATGGAAGGGTCAAAGAGTTTCTGGGTATCAAGATCACACGTGATAGAAGACGGAGGAGGATATCCCTGGGTCTAACGGCATACATCAAGGAAATGGTGAACAAATGGTTAGGAGGAGCAAACGAGAAATCCTGGATACCCATGCTAAGTGTAGCGAACACCGCCGGAGGCGAGCGATGTGAACCTAAGCGAGCAAAGAGGTATCAAGAATTGGTCGGCCAACTATTATGGGTCTCCAACACAGCCCGACCAGATATTGCCTTTGCCGTCGGCGTATTGGCGCGATACATGTCGATCCCGATCGACAGTGCATGGAAGGCAGCTGTCCACGTGGTAAAGTACCTGAACCAAACGAACGAATATCAGTTGCACCTAGGAGGAGAGACAAACGAGCACTCGGGCACACCGGTAACGACGTATACCGACGCAAACTGGGCATCCGACCCCACAAATGGACGAAGAAGTACCTCGGGGTCGATAACGTATGTGTATGGATGCCCGGTGAGTTGGAAATCACACGTTCAGAAGTGTGTAGCACTGTCGGCAGTCGAAGCAGAGTTTGTCGCCGCTTCCGAAGCGGTACGAGAAACCTTATTCTTCTCATATTTGCTCCGGGATTTGGAGGCCACGGGCGTTCGGCCCGTACTATACACAGACAGCCAGGGGTGCATACAGGTGAGTAAAGACCCAGCCAAACATTGGAAGTTAAAGCACATCGACACACGGTATCATTTCGTACGCGATCACGTACAAGAGGGCGATGTGGAGATCAAATATGTCGGAACGGCAAACAACGTTGCAGATGTCTTGACAAAACCCTTACAGGGCCTTAACACCTCATGATTGGCTAGGATGATAGGACTGGAGATCCCGCCGAAGGGGGGAGTTGAAGATGCGTCGGCATCTCAAGCAATGTGCACGTGTTACGGCCGAGACATCGAGATACGGGAGGCTCACATAAGCGAGGAGCACAATGAGGTACGCAATTGTTGTCATTGTGACAGCACAGTGGCACCCGGTATCATAGCAACACAGGGGTACAAATGAAGGAACACACCCTGCCTCGGATGGGATCAGAGCGGTGAATGGAGTATATATATGTGTGTTTGTCATTTAGTCTCACACAACGAAAACTAAGCATTACATAGAACATACGGCTGTGGCAAAGGGAGTCTGATCGTGACCCCGATATCGCCGTATATTAATTGTTATCTTCAATTGGAGAACATCGCCCGATTTGAGCCCGATCCGCAACACATCGGCATCGCGGCTATCAATTTGAGATGAAAAAGGCTAACTTACAAGAAGACTCACTCTCGAGTCAAACCAGCTCAGACCAACTTTTTTTTGTATGATTTCAAGAAGATCTCGAAGGCTTTTGACAACCCCCCGCTTTCTTCATCTTGGATGGCTCCCCTCTCCTCCCTCACCACGCCCTACATCCGTCCACCGCCACCCAATATGCTGTACTTGCTCGACTACGGCGCAGGCAATGTGCGCAGTCTCGCAAACTCGATCACTAAACTTGGCTTCGAATTCAAATGGGTCCAATCACCTCAAGACCTCAAGAAGGCCGACAAGCTTCTCTTTCCTGGTGTCGGAGCTTTCGGTCCTGCCATGCAGTCCATTCGTGACAAGGGATATGCTGAGCCACTGAAGGAGTACATTGCATCGGGCAAGCCTTACATGGGCATCTGCATCGGTCTTCAGACTTTGTTTGAAGGGTCCGACGAGGCTCCTGGTGTGCCAGGTCTAGGTGTCGTACCCGGTATTGTAGGGTGCTTCTCACCATACGAGAAGGATGGCAAGGTCAAAAAGTCAGTGCCTCAGATGGGCTGGAATACGGCACAGGTCGTCAAGGCGCGCAACGACGGCGGTGATCAGGATGCAGTCAAATATGGTTTCCCTGACCCTTCCTCAGGTGACAAGAGTCACTACTACTTCGTCCACTCCTACCGCGCAGCATACCAACCCGACAAGCACGCTGACTGGGTCCTTACCACCACTCAGTACGGCTCCGAAGTCTTCCTTTCCTCCATCCAGAAGGGAAACGTCTTTGCTACTCAGTTCCATCCAGAGAAGAGTGGTCGTGCAGGTCTTGAGCTCCTCCGTGCATGGCTCAACCAGCCCGGCACCATCGACCCGAGCAAAGAGCGCCTTCTGCTTGACCCCCAACAAGTTGCTCTTCCTAGCCCACAAGACGGTCTCACCAAGCGTATCGTAGCCTGCCTCGATGTCCGAAGCAACGACGACGGTGATCTCGTAGTCACCAAGGGCGAATCCTACGACGTGCGCGAGAAGGCAGACGAGCCTTCTTCTTCCACCACTGATACCGCTAAAGCATCATCATCAACAAACTCACCCAAACGCAAAGTCCGCAATCTTGGCAAACCAGTCGACCTTGCCCTCCGATACTATCTCGAAGGAGCTGACGAGGTCACCTTCCTCAACATCACCTCTTTCCGCTCATGCGCGTTGCAAGATCAACCCATGTTGAGCCTTCTTGAGGCCGCAGCAGCCAAGATTTTCGTTCCACTCACCATTGGTGGCGGTATCAAGGACTCTGTTGACCCAGACGGTACTCCGAGACCAGCCAAGGAGGTCGCAAATGCATACTTCCGCGCTGGTGCAGACAAAGTCTCTATCGGCTCTGAAGCAGTCTTTGCCGTGGAAGAGCTCTATGCACGGGCTGCACAGAACGGCCAGGCGAACGAGACCAACCCCCTCAAGTTCAGTGATGCCTGCCTTACAGGTAAGACAGGTATCGAAACAATCAGCAAAGGCTACGGTGCTCAGGCAGTCGTAGTCTCCATCGACCCGCGTCGGGTCTACCTTTCTCCAATCGAAGAAGTCGACCCAGCTCACGCACCCTGCGTTGTCTCCGGACCCGCTGGCTCTGAAGACGAGGGCAAGAAATGGTGGTACAGATGCACCGTCAAAGGTGGTCGTGAGGACCGTGACGTCGACGTGATCCAACTCGCTCGCGGTGTGCAGCGATTAGGCGCAGGTGAAGTGCTCTTGAACTCAATCGATCGTGATGGTTCCAACAAAGGCTTTGATAGGCAACTCATCGAGCTCGTTCGCGGAAGCGTTGATATCCCTGTAATCGCGAGCTCAGGCGCTGGTACTGCGCAGCACTTTGTCGATGTCTTTACGAATCTCGAAGCTGGTGGTAAGAGTGGCGAAGGAACAGTGGAGGCTGCGCTGGCTGCAGGAATCTTCCACAGGAAAGAATGTTCCATCGACGAGGTCAAGGCAACATTGTTGGAGAAGGGCTTCAAGGTCAGGAGAGAGGATGTGGCTGCTGGAGCTGGTGCTATCTCGAAGCAGTGATTCGCGCGTCTTCGCAAACATCATTTCCACAGCAAATCATACTACGCATAACAAGTTTGATAACATCTGGCACACCTCCTTGCCTTGCCTCAGCATGTGCATGGCCGTCCTGAGCCACATTGTGATGAGGATAGAAAAGTGCGATGATGAGACTGAAGGATACAAATACAACGATAACAATGTCTGCATTCCGAAAGCATTACGACAAACCCAGCATCCCAACGCGTTGATCCATGAGCGCCTCATTCTCCTGTTGCTGCTCCATCTGCACCCTACTCTCCAGACTCTGCGGGTTGTTCGCTGAAATCGACAAGCCCAGCGCCCCCGAACCGTAGCCTGGTCCGCTTCCCGTCCCTGCAGGAGAGAAGGCCGCACCGACACCAGCGTTTGAAGTCGAATTGACCGGTGTACAAGGCCGAGAGATGGTCGGACTAGTCGAGTATCTAGAAGCATAGGCAGCATGGTAGTGATGATGATGATGGATACCACGGTAGAGGATGCCACCAGATGGAGAAGAAATGGGCATCATCAGCGGTGAGTTGGAGCCCACGGCTGCTGATGAGGCGTGTGCTGCGTTGAAGGTGGGTGTATTTGCAACAGCGGCGGCTGCAGCTGCAGCTAAGCTTGCATTCGTGGGAGTGGTGCCCAGTGATGAGCCAAGATTCATGGGTGATACCGCGCGACGTTTATATGGTTCGTACCGGTCGTCTCCCATGGTCTTTCGCTTCGACAGACGCACGCCTGCTCCCGCAGCACCAAGGACACGAGGGGAGGTGTCGACGTCCATTCCGATCCCTGCCGATGTTCCTCCAACTCGTCGCCACGCAACTCGCTCACCGCTGAACACTCCACTACCTGCCCCTGCAGCGCTAGCAGAGCCCGAGCCACCAGGAGACCACTTGTGTGCATGGCCTTTGTCTCGGAAGCCCATCCAGAGCGAGTTGTTCTTTCGCTTGGGGAGCGAGCCCGGACCAGGACTCGAGGCTGAGGCTGCTCCGAAGCTGGTTGAAAGTGCTGCACTCCCGGATCCACCACCGGCCGTATTATTGCCGTGGATGTTCGCATCGCCATTGACTCCGGTCGTTGCACAAGATGATGGAGCGTTTTGCATGTCGTTCGAGTTCTGACCTAGACGACTTCGCATCCCATCCTCTTCGTCAGACAGCGAGTCTGTTCTTGAGTAGTACATCATCTTCTCTTCTTCTTCCGACGAGATCCCGCTGCTATCTACGTCGTCCAGTCCGTCCGCCGTGAACACGCCACGGATATCATCCACGTCATCGTCCCACATGTACTTTCTCCTTGCATGACCCCCGCTGCTTCCGCTCGCAGAAGCGCCAAACAGAGGTGTTCTAGACGTACGCGATGTGCTATCAAATCCACTTGCTGTCGCTCCGCCGCCGCTGGGACCAAATCGAGGGGTGCGTGGAAGGGTCGCTTCACCGCCGAGACGTTTCTGCAATTTGGCCTCGGATGCGATCTCGGAATCTTCTGGCTTGGACTCGTCTTGAAGGGAGGCTGCGACACGAGCAACGGAGCGATCCTTGGGAAAAAGGTTCGGCCTTCTTGTGATTGCTTTACGAATGACGTTAGATGAATTGAGTAAAGAGGAGGATCGGGAGCGATTGCCAGCGTGGGATAGCGGAGAGCCTATCGAGGGGCCAGCTGAGGGAGATCGAGGCACTGTGCGTGAAAGCCCTCCTGCACCAGCAGATGATGAGCTGTCTTGGCCTGAATCAGATGCTGATGTTCGAGCAAGTGCTGATGAAGGGAGACTTGGTCGTGTGTGAGGCAGATGAGATGATGCAGGCGGAGGGGTGCTTGGTGTGCTGAACAATGATAACGGTGGTCCCATGATCGGAGTGCTCGGAGCACGAGAAGCAGTTGCAGGTTCGTCATCTTCGACTTGCATCATCTCGTCATCACCATCATCTGGATCTCGATTGCTATCTGCTTGCTGTGCTGCTGTTTTGCCCTTGGATCGAGACTGCTCGTCTTCATCGGATCGATCCTCGTTGTTGAGGTGGAAAGGTGTGATCTCCCTTCCGAGCATACTTGCTCGACGGAAACGTGCTGGGGACCCGATCGCGAAGCCAGGCGAGTTCATACCTTGCGCCCTTCTGAGCAGTGCAGCGGGTGTGGCGACGCTGCCGGATGAGAATGAGGATGATGCAGATGCGAAGCCGGCGAAGGGCGGCGGAGGCCAGGCTTCACCTGCAAGGGAGAGGGTAGGCGAATGCGGCTGACCATTGAAGGCGGACGAGGACTGCGTCTGTGCTAGAGGATTGCCGCGCTCTCTGGTCGAAGGCGATGGTAGATTGCCGATGCCCAGGCCTGTGCCCGAGGTCGAAAGCTTTGAAGGTGAAGATGCAACGCCGTTGGACAAAGACAGGAGGGGAACATGGTGACTGCTCGCTGCTGGGTTGCAGCTCAATGAGAAAGACGGGCTTGACGGAATTGAAATGGGCGCCGACGAGGCTGTGGATTGGAAGAAGCTATGGCTTGCAGCTCCTGCATTGTTGAAGGCACTGGTGTTGCTGCTCGGTGCAGCACTGGGCGTCGAGCCACCGAAAGGGAGGCCAAAGTCGGTGGAAGAGGTAGGAAAAGCTGACCGGCCGTTGTTGCTGGGATTGTTGTGAGTGTGACGAGACATGACAGCTGTAGTACAAAGCAGCGATCAGGTCTACAATCTCTAGACGAGTGCGTCAGGTTGGTCGGGCTAGTCGCCCAGACAGGCAAGCCGTCAGGAGTGGACTTGAGCTACGATAGAGTGTGTAGGCTCACCGCAGCATGATAGTCCGAGTGGAAATGGTCAAGGCCTGCTCTGATCGTAGATGCCGTCTGGATGAGCTTGATACGAGGAGGTCGAGGCAGCCTTTGTGAAGCAGCCTACTTTCTAGTCGAAGCGTCAATTTTGATAGAGTTCAAATGAGGACTTGCCTGGCCGCTTCTGCAAAGACAGAGGTCGATGCTGAACCGTAGTGTCGTTGTGTGTTGTGTGGTTGTCGAGATGGGAGTTAAGGTTAGGACTGCTGAGCTTCCAAAGTGGGAGCACAATGGCTTTGAGGACAGTCAGTCGTCAAGAACGGTTTGCTCCTAACCCTGTCATGGAACTCGGCTTTAAAAGCTGTCAGCACGTTTTTTCCGACTTCCTTCCCATTTCCATGCATCACGTGATCGTCAAGAAGGCGTGCGCGTCTGTGGCTGGACTTAACAATCGAATTGTTCCGCTTCTCCGTTCCTTGGCAATCGCGATAGCGGGCATGTCAGCTCTCCCCGCCCCCCCTGTGACGGCTCTTCTCCAATCATAGGCTGCTGGCGAAGGTCAGATTACACTCACAATGTTCGATAGGCAAAAAAGGAGAGTGAATATCGACACAAAGAAAACAAATTCCGGTGACATTATGATCTAAGCAGGGGTGGTGCCTGTTTGATAAAGATGAGGCTGTGAAAGATAATCCAAGTCCGTATACTAATCTAGTCGTAGCGAACGTCGGATCGCTGACCGAGACCAATGCGCCTTGCGGTCCAAGTAAGGTTGCATCCACCCTGGTCAAAGACAACGACGTGGTTCTTGATGAAGCTCAAGCCAATGATGGAGATCTGAGGTGGGCCAGTCTGGAAAGCAGAGTAGCACATGTTCTTGACACCACCAGCGGCAGCGGCGGGGACAGGTTGGTTGGCATAGAAGACATAGTCCTCTTTGGGCATGGTAAAGGGGGTATCGCCAATCTGAAGGGTAAAGGTAGGGTTGTTGAACTTGTTCTCGTGCCGCTTGAGACCAGTGTCGCATGGAACGAGGTAAGGGAAAGCAAGACCGCTGCTAGCATTGGCAATGATGGAGCCATGGATCTGGCTGTTGATTTGCTTGACGATAGGCGGAGGCAGGTAAAGAACAGCAGAGCCAGTATCGATCATGAAGCGAGTAGGGAAAAGTTCGCTCTTTGGATCAGAGGCCAGAGTGGTGTTGCCCATCGTCATCTTGTCGAATCGGCCGGCCCAGAGGAAGGGCGAAAGGACAGGAGACCAGGTGATGTCGCCTTCAAGGTGATCATCATCGACCTCGCCAAAAGTGTAACGTCCTCCACCGCCATTGCCGGTGTTGCGGTTGGCCTTCCTGAGGGTAGCGGTGAGGTAGGTCTCGTTGATCAGACGGCGAGATGACATGGCCTCGAAGGGAGTGGTCCAACCGCCCTGTGTACCCGAGCCGCTGCTGGATGAGAGACCGAGAAGGCCTTGCATGCCACGCGAAGCGCGTGAGCCAGTGAGATTGGTGGCGAGTGCCAGAGGGAGATTGTCGACCTTAAGATTCTGCTGGCCGAAGGTGAAAGTGTCAAGGCCGACGTAGCCGGACACTTTTGAGCCAGAGCCGTAGGTGGAGGACCAGGGCTGGCCAGGAGCCTCTGCAGCGGGGTTGAGGAGGGTGCGGTTGTGGTAGGTGGACGACTTGGCTGGATCAAAGAAGGTATGGTTGTTGGCATAGCAACAGGCGGGAGAGTAGACCCAGGTGTCAGGACTGCCCGAGTCAAAGACCATCTTGAGGGTCTGAGGTGGTGTGCCAAAACCGACGTTGACAAGCCACTCGTTGTCGGCAGAGTTGTCGGTAGCCTTGTTGATGACGATGCCAAGCGAGTGGTCATGGTACTTGTCACCCTCAATCCAGCTTTCGACCTTGTGGCCGAGGTGGTCGATGGCGCTGTGAATGTTGAGGCGGCCGCGATGTCGGTGCTCGCTGTCGTGACCCTTGCCATGCTCTTTGCCGTCTTGAGCAGGGCAAGGGTTTTCGCTGCACTTGGAACCTGCACCAGAAAGGTCACGCTTTCGGAACTCGAGAGGGAACTCGGAGGTCTCCCATCGCGACTTGAGGAAGCTAGGATGAGAAGGGGTTCCGTCCGCTGTGAAAAGTACGGCGATGGGATCGTGAGAGACGTCGAGCTGTTGCTTGGCGAGAACAACGCTGCTGAGAGTGGCGGCGGCAGTGAGGCCAACGAATGCAGAGCAAGGCTTCATCCTTGGCGTTTGTGGTGGACAGGAATGATGGTGAAAGGAGTGTCTACTTTATGAGGCGAGCGGCAGAAATTGCTGTATGGTTGTAGTGGTGATTGTTTTGAAACGGTCACTCGGAGCCTACTTTTACTTGTACAGTGAATGATGCGGAGATGGCGGAGAGTGCGCAAGAGAGGAGCGCGTATGGAAGCGGTTGGCCAATGGAGACAGATCGAGGAAAAGGGGAGAGAAGGACAAAGTTAAGGATGGAGGCGAAGAGGAAAGGGTTGAGGAGGCTGACTTTGAAGCGATTGCTACTGATGGAGCTGCTGCTGCTGCTGCTGTTTTTTTTTTTTTTTTTTTTTTTTTTTTTGTTGCTTAGCGCGACATGGTGAAGAGAAGCCTAAGAGAGAGCAGGGGGGACAGAGAGGGAGAGCTACACTAGAGACCGCCGTAAATGCCGAAGAGGATGGTTGTGAGTGTGATAGAACGAAGAGGGTTAGGGTAGAACTTGATGGCCGCTTGGCACCAAAAAAAAGAAAGGCGCGCTTGGCGGGAGCGGAGGTGGAATTGAATTTGCTTGCCTGGTCATGTGCCCTGTTCCGGACCTACTTGTGCGTGCTTCAGGAGCGCAAAACAAAAACAAAAAAAAAAAAAAAAAAAAAAAAACAAAAAAGAAAAAAGGAAAAAGAAAAAAGGAAAAAGAAAAAAGAAAAAAGAAGGGCGAATTTAATTTAATCTGAAGGATCAACGGTGGCGGCGGCGGCAGCGCAAAGATTCGCTCAGGCGCAGATGGATGCTGGACGTGGCGCCGCACTCGAAGCTATCGCTTGCAGTTGACTTGTTCATCGTTTGGGCTGCCTTCTCTTGCCTTTCTTGTCGACCGTTTGCCGTTTCCAATGCACCCAACCCTCGCTTGCTTACCTGGCCTGGTACTCTTGTGCCTGAAAATCTGCAAACACAGTCTCACTCATCTGCAGAGAGGTTCAACCGTTCGCTCATGCTTCATGTGCTCTCGTAGGGTCTGTGCGAGTGCCTGTACGAGTGCCTGTACGAGGGAGATACTGCTGATGTTTCCTATCCAAGCATGCCATTGTGGGCTGTGGGCCAAGGCTGTGTAGGTTGTCAGTGATGCCGAAGTGGGCTTCCGCAAATGGTGTTCAACAGGCAGAGCCAAGGCATGTCAAAAGTTGCGCAGTGTGAGTGCCTCAAAGAGAGAGAAAAGGGCAGAAAAGTCTGCTGCACGTGACATGGCATGCCCATCTGAGCTGGACCACACGTGTTGCAACCCGCAATCTGACATGGTTTCTGTATCGTCCGACTGATCCTTATCTGTACGGCCGTGTGAGTCAGGCTGGGATCTTCTTTTCTTCTGCTGTATCGGCTGTCGGATTGCCAACTTCAAAAGAAAGATGCGGAGGTTCAGCCAAGCAAACCCTTCTCAACCCAGTGAAGCAAATCTCCTCCTTGCAGCACACTATGGGATCCAATATCGTCCATGTCAACGGATCAGCCACATCCCATGTCTACGCCTCCTCTCCTTTGTGATTCTATCGGCACACTCAAGCCAAGTCATGGTGCACAGCCTCGGTGGACATTCAGAATCAATTTCTATTTCAATTGGTACACAGTGTAGCAAGCAACAACAGTGTACCGTGAGATCATTCAGGATCAGCGTAGCATCTTCCGTCAGCGTCTCGCATAACGTGCTGACAGCCCCTTTTCTGTGCAGCACCTGGCAAAGATGGCGAGGAAGCTTCAATGGACGGTGGCGCTCGTTGCAGGCTACAACAACGAGGTCTTCTTCTGCGCATCAGCCTCCTTGGCGATGCGTAGCAACTCGCCCATCTCACCGCTCTGCTGGCACATCGAGTGCAACACGCTCGACTCGTCTTCCATCAACGACAAAGGTGAGCCGCACTCGACCACCTTGCCCTTGCCCAAAACCACAATCTTGTTATAGTCTGCAATCGTCTTGATGCGATGCGCAATCGTGATGATCGTCGCTTGTGGGGCCATCTCTTGTCGGATCGTCTTTTGGATCTGTGCATCCGATGCCGAGTCAAGATTTGCTGTGCTCTCGTCTAGCACTAAGATTCGACTGTCGCGAAGCTTGAGCAATCCGCGCGCAAGTGCCAACAGCTGCTTTTGACCGGCTGAGAAGTTGCGCCCACCTTGTTCCACCGGTGCGTCGAGCGAAGTGATGATGTTGGTTCGACCGTACATTTCGGCCTCTCCCACCACCTCGTTTTCGCCCTCCCCTTCGGGCCCCGGCGATCCAGGTCGACTCGGTGCACGGCTGACCGCACCTGAGGCAGCTGGTGTAGCAAACGACGCAAGTCGACACCTCTCCAGCGCCATCCACAGCTCTCCGTCATCGTACACATTGAATGGGTCAAGATTGGTTCGAACCGTACCGCTGAACAGCTGAGCATCCTGTGGGATCACCGTCAGCCTTTCTCGCAGCGTGCGGATCGGGATCGATGCAATGTCGATGCCGTCAATCTCAATTGAACCCTGCTCTGCTTCCAAGAACCGGAAGAAGCATAATGCCAATGTCGACTTGCCTGAACCTGTGCGACCGACAATACCCACCTTCTCGCGTGGCTCAAACTCCAGGTCGATGCCGTCCAATACACGTGGGAACTCGGGCGTGTATCGCACAGCAAGGTTCTTGATCACGATCTTGCCTTCGCTGCTTGGCCAGTACGCAGGTGGCTCTTGTCCTGTCTGACGTTCCGGCTCCAGATCCAGGTACTCGCTGATTCGCTCGACGCTGTTCATGTTGATCTCGGTTTGCGTGTACATGCGCACGATCCACAGCACCGACTCAACAAACGTGATGGCGTATGACAACACAAATCCAGCCAAGCTTGCTTCCGTGTCCGCACGCAACAGCAGGAATACCGCCGACAGGAACGCCACCGAGGCACCAGCAATGTCGACACGCACCGAGAGCCATCGGTTCTCGTACCACAGGAAGAAGAACGCTCGGTTCGCCTTGTCGACAAGTCGCAGACAATGTCGCGTGAATCGTCCTGCATCGCCGTAAGCGCGGATGACGACACAGCCGTTCAGCACCTCGCCAACCACTGTGTAGATGGGCGAACGCTCCACTGACTCGATCCGCTTCAAGTCACGCGAGCTGACTAGGTACAGCGCACCAATCACTGTGTAGACACAAATCACGATCAAAGCCACGAGGAGGAAGATTGGAGTGGCCCAGCAGATCAGCACCAGAATAGCTGTCGCAGTGAGTGTGCACTCGAGCAGGAACAGCATGCATACTGCCATCTCCTGGTCAATCGTTTCCACATCCTTGGAGAGTCGATTCATGATGCGGCCTACGGGTGTGCGGTCGAAGAACTGAGGCCGAGCGTTCAAGATGGCATCTGTGAGCTGACGGTAAATGCGTCGTGATGCTCGAAGCGAGATGAAGAACTCGTAGCCGTCTCGAAGCACCGCCATCGTCATGAAGCCCAAGGAGATCGCCAGATAGATCGTCAAGTAGTACGTGTCCAGGTCACCTGTGTTGCGGCGTTCATCACGATCAGATGTCGCGGTTTGCACGGATGCAAAGTTTTGTGCCGACTTGAAGTTGGTGCTTCGAGGCTCAAGGGAAAGCATCTGCTGTCCCTGGAAGCCATCGTTGGCCGAGTAGTGATTAGAGAGCACGTAATCGGACGCGTTGATTGTGACAGCAGGTGCTGGCTTTGTATCATCCGTTGCGAATGGCTTCGAGACACGGTCCAGGATGTTGTCTATACGAAGGGCGCTGAGCAAAGATGGTCGGTTGGTCCAGATCGTGTCAATGAGCGGCGTTGTCATAAATGTCTCGATCCGGTCGTACGTTAGGCGTGGCTTCTGCTGTGATGCGATGTCACTTGTAGCAGCGACGCGAATGCCGGCCTCCTTCTCGCGGTAGTCGTGCGACTTTGCCCATTCCCTCAGCCATGCGCCGGAGCCAATGTCGAGCAAACGAACAGCGAAAAAGAAGAGAAGCAAAGAACCCCACAAAAACACTGCGTGCCTTGTCTTGCTGGCCACGGATCCCAGGTAGAGGCCGTAGTTTTTGGTTCCCACGGCACCCGAGCTGTACGTCTCTTCGTTGGTGTGCGCCTTTTTCTTTTCCAGCTTCTTGGCCATCTCTTCGCGCTCGGCCTCATCGCTGCCACCAGCTGCAAGCTCTTCAATGGTCATTTCCTCGTTGCCTTGCTCCGCTGTATTTCCGGCCTTGAGGGAGAATTGCAGAGCCTCGCCCTCTTCAGAGAAGACGCCGGTAGCGTTGACAACGTCAGGAGTGCCTGCAACGACTACGCTACCATTGTCCATAGCGACGGCAAAGGCTGCGCCGGGAAGGCACAAGCTGATAGCATGCGTGACCAAGACGATAGTTCGGTTCTTGGCAAGCGCACCCTTGAGCGCGTGTCGGTAGAGATGCTTGGCAGTGTGGCTGTCGACGGCGGACAAAGCATCGTCGATGAGAACGTGCTTTGCCGCTGAGTAGAGGGCACGGGCAAGAGCAATACGAGCCTTTTGTCCACCAGAGAGCGAAGTACCTTTCTCGCCTACTTCGGTCTCGTCGCCGTACTCGAGGATCTTGAGATCAGGCTCCAGAGCACATGCCTTGATAACGGCGCGGTAGCGGCGTTCATCGTAGGGAGAACCAAAGAGCACGTTTTCTTTCAGCGTAGTACCGAGCAGCCAGGGGCTCTGACTGCAGTAAGCGACCGACTCGCTGAGACCCGTGACAGGATCGATAGGTGCAGTTGCACGCGCCACAGGGCAAGGCATGAAGGTGCGACCGCCCAGCTGGCGGGTCTCACCCAACAGCGACATGAGCAATGTAGTCTTACCCGAACCAACTGGACCAGCGACGATGCTAAGCTTCCCAACAGGGAACCGGAGGTTGATGTCGCGTAGAGCAAAGGTGCCTTCGTCGACGTCGCTATCAGCATCAGCATAAGTGAAGCTGGCATCTTCGAATCCAATGACACGCTTCGAGCCGGAGGCAGAAGAGGCGGCACCCGCTGTGGCGTTGGCTGCGTCGCCAGCGCCAGCGCTGGTGCTGCTGCCTTCTGCATCTCCCCAGTCGCTAGATTCATCGTCGCGCAGAAGCTGCTGGTACTTTTGCGTCTCCTCTTCGCGCAGGTAGGTGTCGATACGTCGCACCGACACAAGCGAATTGAGGATCTGCACAATCATGTCTGGAAGCGCATCGAGCGGGTTGCGCAGCGTGTTGAAGAGGGCTAGAGCCGTGAACGCCTTCTCGGCGGTGAGTGGCTGGTGGAAGATCTTGGTGTGAGCACCAAAAGTGGCGCAGGTCACCAGCATTGGGGTGCCCATGTAAGTGAAAGTGTTGCAGAGCCATGCAAGGTAGCGGAGACCGAGGACCTGAAGTTCGCGCTGACGCGCTTCATCCATTCGTGCATTGAAGGAACGCTCCCAGGCGAAAAACTTGACCGTCTTGATGCAGCCCAGCACCTCGGTAGCAAGGTTGAGACGTTGGTCGGTGGTCTCAAGCAGACGCTTCTGCAGCTTGACGAACCAGCGCGAAACTAAAGTCTGGATGGGCAGCGAGGCGAGAAGGACCATAAAACCAATCACGGCGGACCAGCCGAGCAAGACGGTGAGGTAGACCAGACAAAGGCCAATCACGAGCGGCGCACGGGGTGCCAAGAAGTGAAGATAAGCGCAAATCTCAGAGACCTTGAAGACGTCGACCGAGATGAGGTTGACGACCTGTCCGTCCGTAGCTCGCTTAGGCTTGTCGCTCTCTTTGCCATCCTTGGCGCCATCAGCATTAGCCTTCTTGGCGGCGGCCGTGGAGTCGTCATCATCACCCTCCCCACCGTCGGCCTTCTTCTCATCGTCCTTGTCGCCAGTACTGCCGATGTCCTTGCGTCGGAGCGTCTTTGTGACGATTTCGGTGATGAGAATGGCACGAAGGCGAATGCAAATACGCCTGCCGATGAAGAGGGCACGAGAAGCTGAGATCGAGGCGATGATCTGACCGACGAGCATGCCGAATGCATACAGGATACCAAGATGAAGAGGCTCGGCACCTTCCATATTGCCGTTGCGACGCTGCTCGCCTCTTGCTGAGATGAAGGCAAGCACCTTTTGCAAGAAGAAGGGTGGCACGAGGTCGAGAACAGCCTCGAGCGTAGCCCAGAAGAACTGGAGCGCGAGAAACCACTTGAAGTGACCGAAAAGGCGTCGCCAGAGCGGACGGGTGGAAGGTGCGAGTCCAGCATGCAGGCCCTGTTTGGATGAAGCAGGAGTAGCAGCAGCGGGATCTTCAGAGCGAGTAGAGGTGTAAGCACGGAAGCAAGCGACAACAGCAGCAGCCTTATCTGCGACGGGCAAGTCGGGAATAGCTGCGAGCGTGAACTGGGTCTTGTAGTGCTTAACGATGGCCGGGGTGACGTATCCAAAGGTGGCACGAGAGAGCAGAGAGGCGGTCTCCTCAGGTGCTGGGATGAGGTCGGCAGCTGCAGGATCGGCGGTAGGGTCAGCTGCTTGCTGCGGTCGCGGTCGTGAGACGCCGTCAACACCAGACAGGCGAGGCGAAGGGAACGCTGTTCCAGGAACACCGTGCTGCGTCTCGGGCGACATGGTGGTGTAGATGGCGCGCAGGTCGCGCGGAAGGACGGTCTGCAGAGGGAAGAAGAGGGTGGGTACGAGTACTATACAGCCGATGAGCAATTCGACAGCAGTAAGCACAACGGCACCTCGAGAATGAAGAGAGGGATGCACTGCGCGGTTCAGAAGCGCTGTACGAAGATTGAAAAGTGTGACGACGACGTAGACGGACATGAGAGCCGCCTTGTGAGAGAAGAAGGAGCGCTTGGATGTGAGCGAGTAGGCCGAGAGAGATGCGAGGTAGAACCACATGAAAGCCCAGTAAATCTGATAGTCCCTGGAATGCCAGCCAGTGGCCCAGTCGCCAGCATGAAGCGCTGCAAGCGTCACAGAGCCAAAGACGTCGATGACACGACGCAGCAGTTCGAGACGACGAAGTCGCTCCACCACATGGTGCTTGCGTGCAGTTGGAGGGGTGAGGTGAACCTCGTTGAGGATGACGGCGTTCTCAGTGTGAAAGACCTCGAGCGCAGCCTGAGAAGCTGCAGCGGCGGAGTTAGCTTTGGAAGCCCCGTTGGAGGATGCGAAGGGGAGGTTGGCAGAGTGTACAGAGGAGATACTGTTGCTGCGTAGAATGCGAGACGAGTTCCAGGGCAGAATAGCGCTGAGCAAGCGACGAGGGAATCCAAAGAGATCGGTGTGTGTTGATCGACGTGGGAGGATATGATGAGGATGTTGTGCAGACTGAGCATTGACGACGGCCGAGAAGGAGGAGGCGCCTGGGTCGAGAGTAGCAACATGCTGGGCAGAGACGGTGAGCGCCCGGCGCCTCCGCAATTGATGTACGACGAGGGCCAGCAAAGAGAGGACCACAAGCGTCAGGGGTATTGACGAGTTGAGCACCTGTTGCTGGAAGCAAGCGTCCCAATCGACTCGGTTCCATACAGGACGACCTGCACAGCTCCTGGAGAACGGCATTTCCGGCCAGTAGGGGCTGATACGTTGAGCGGACGTGGAGCGTGGTTGGCGAGGCGCTTGTACTACCGTGAGCGATCAAAAAGAAGCTGGCGAATCGAGATAGGCCAAAGCTATGGATCCGGACTGTATTGCTGCGGTTGAAGCAGCAGCTGAACAAGGAGACGACGAGGGAAGGGCCGTGCAGTGCTGTTGAGGTTAAAAAGAGCGACAAGCACCGACGACCCGAGCGATGCAAAGCGGGCGCCGGCGAGTAGGTGAGAGGAAAGAGGGGGAGTTGGTAGAGAAACTTGAGAGTGCGACGAGACGAGAGCAGAGATCCGAAACCCAGCGAAGAGGGTTGAAGGAAGGTAAAGAGGTACAGAGAGGAAGAAACAAGAGAGGCCGAGAGGGTCCAGGTGTGAGAGTTGCACTATGAACTGAGCTCCAAAAAGAACAAAAACGAGTTCTCCGCCGCGGTCAACTTGACAGTTGCAGCAGCATTCTTGAACCCAAGGAAAAGGCCGAGTGGAGAGCGTGTGTCAGCCACCGAGAAAGCAATCACCAAATCATTATTCATCATTATTCATCATTATTATCTTTTTCCCATCGACGCGGGCAATACGCCGAGTGCTCTTTCTTCTTTCTCTCGAGCGCCTCTCACACGCCTGCAACCACGCTGCTGCTGCTGCTGCTCCTCCTCCTCCTCAGTGTTGAAAATTTCAGTATCCGGACCAAACGCGTTTAGTGGTTGCATTTGACGGATCACTCTGCGCCGAGCCAACCAGAACGCTTGCACTTGCTCATCTCGACATGCATACGGGACAAGCCAACTACAGTTACTCGGCTGTTCCCCACGCTCACGCTCACTACAAATCAGCGATAATCACCTTTTTCTGCCTGCTTCCGGCGTCTCCAAAGGCCAAGACTCGAAGTCTTGTTAGCATGTAGGAACTTGATACAGTACAGTGCAGTACCTGTACACAACTGGGCGACACGCGTACACGGTGCTTCAGATGTGTGACGTCGATCATCAGACTGAAGATTGTATGTAATGATCCTTCCAGAACGAACAGTAAGTAAGGGTGATGATGGCAACCCTGTGCAACTTAGAACTCGATCAAGGGCGATTCCGCAGCCGCTGGTTGCGCAGCTGCTGGACTCTTGTTGGCCGAGCCCTGCCACATGCCAGCCGACGATGGTGCATTGGTGTATGGACTCACCATTGGAGACGCTGCTTCTGCCGCTGCCGCTCGTTCCTGGCCGAACCCGTTGTCTGGATGCGGCGCAATGGGAAAGATGGGAAGATAGCTGGTGTCTGCTTTTTTAGCCGGATGGTGCTGCAGTTGCGGCTGTGCTGCTGCGGGATGATCGCTTTGGTATTGCTGCTGCTGATATAGTTCTTGTCGTTGCTGCTGCTGATATAGTTCTTGTCGGTGCTGCTGCTGCTGGTGCTTCGATTGGTGCTGGTACTGCGATGCATCCTGTGTGTTGGGCTGGACTCCATTCTCTGTCTGCGAGAGCGGTGCAACGGCTTGAATCGGTACGGAGTTCCATCCATTGCGACTGGAGACCGAGGTTTCAGCCGACAAGCGACAAGTGGCAATTGAGTCGTCCCCCTGCACATCCTCGCCACCGTTCAGCTTGTCCACTGGAACAGACGCCGTCCCATTCGAGACTGAAATTGGCCCGCTGCCCATAATCCCCTCTGTCCGGACTGATAGTGATCCTCGCGAACCTACGGGACCCGCTCCAGGAGTGCTTGGGGCCGCGACGGGCTCGTTGACATATGGTCCATTGGCAGTGCCATAGGCAGTTCCGTTGACCTGCGGATGCGGCACTTGGCTGGCCGCTGCATCGGGGTACTCGTAGCCTACATATGGCGTCGAAGCCGACGGCGGTGCGGGTGAAATGGCTTGGTTCGGGTCGGCAAAGGCACCCTTTGGATAAGCACTGGGAGCGCCATACTGCTGGTATTGCTGCTGACTGGGATGCTGGTGCTGGTGCTGCTGCTGGTGCTGCTGCTGTTGGGTTGCGTATTGCGATGGAGGCGCTTGTAAGCCATACGGGTGTTGATGTTGCTGATACTGCTGTGCACCATGCTGGGGCTGACGTTGCTGGGGCTGTTGGGGCTGTTGATACTGGTGCTGCTGTTGCTGCGCGTTCCAGGGAACAGGTGCACCCGAATACTCAGAACCAGCGTTGGCGTTGGCATTGAGTGGTGGTGCCTGTGGGTGCAGCGATGAGGGTCCGGCATGCAGAGGCGCATATAGAGCTTCGGGAGTTGGGTCGGATTGCCCGGATTGCTCGTATCCGTAGCCATAGCCCTGTTGAGTCGGAGCTGAGTATTGGGCTGGCTGATAGGCTTGCGAAGGATATGCATGTGCCGGCCGAGTCATCTGAGCATCTAGCAGACGGTCATACAGGCGCACCGCCTCGGTGAGCTTGTCATGCATAGAGACGAGAACATTGTGACGACGGTGACCCTCTTCCAAGTTACGCGCCATTCGCGGTCGTGCTGAGGTGGCCTTTTCGTACAACGCCTGCACAGGCTGAGGCACGGGGGTGTCCACGATGCCGCTGCGCTGGTTGTGTGCATGCTGTGCTTGGATAGTCTGCGAAAACGTGAGGATGTTGTCGATGTCCTGTGGCGCCAGGTCGAGCGAGGGAGGCAGGGGCAAGTCGGAGCGCACTGCATCGGAGCCGCGTGCGGCTGCGCCCGAAACAGGTGCAGACCCAGCGGTGTCGTTGATTCCGTCCGGCGCACTGGGCTGAGGTGGCGCCCAGTCTCGCAGGCTGGCGGCAATGGCTGCCGCAAGATCGGGATCGTCGTCTGCATCGGTGCCTTCGAGCACTCGACCGTTAGGAGCCCTCTCCACTGTACCGCGTGCAGCTGAGGGCTGACTGGGTACTGCAAATGCTTCGGGGCGCGAGCTCTGTCCTGTGCTTTGACCCGAAGCTTCGAGGGAGAGCTTGATCGCCAGTGCAATATCGTCTTCCTCCTTCTGACGGGCACTACGCTTTGACTTGCCGCCAACGGTGGCGGAACGGTGATGAGATGCGGAAGCGCCTCGGCCGGACGGAACATGCTTGGCGGAAGAAGACGGCGAGGAGGAGTTGACGCTCTTGGAACGGGAGAGCTTGGCGGCATTCTTGGGAGGACCTTTGCGAGCGTAGCATCCGTCGCAAACTCGAACGTCTTGTCCGATGCCGAACCAGGGGAGCGCCATGTTGTGACTTGAGCACTGCTGACAGAAGACGTTGCCACAGTTGCGACAATGATGCTTGCGATTGAAAGTGGTGAAAGCAGTACGGCAGCGCATGCAAACTTCGCCGTCGACCCACTCAGGAGCGGTAAGCGTCTCAACGAGGGCAGCAGATGCAACTACATTAGGGTCGAGTGGCGGAAACTCGAAACTGGGATCGCTCTTGAGCTGCTTGTAGATGTCAGTGATGTAGGCCATTTGAGCTGGCTTTGCCTGGGCAATCTGGGACCAGTTTTGGATGAGACCGAGCGCCTTGGCCTTGACATCGTTGTTGACGCCAGCAGGGTTTCGCAAGAGGGATGCGAGGTTGTCCATGAACTCGCGTGAAGCAACCTCTTGAAGGAAGTGGTCGCCGCCGTTCTTGATGCAGATATCGGTGAGCCCTAGCGCGAGAAGAACGACGTTGGGGTTCTTGTGGCCGACACGACGCTTGAGCACCTGCATGGCCTGCTTTGCGGGGACCTGCTTGGCACGAACCTGATCACAGATCTCGAGGTTGAGCACAATATCCTCTGATCCAACCGGCAGGAGCTCCGAGGTGGCCTTTTCGACCTGCTCGGTGAAGGCATCGGCACCCCATCCTGACCACAAAGCCGACATGGTCAGAATAATGAGCGGCTACTTGTTCCGACGTAAAGGATGGATCAATCAATCGTGAGGAAAGCAGATTTGCAGTATTTGAAGGAACGGAGCAGCGATCCGGATGTGGTACTCGACGGGTGAGCCAAGTATTCGTCAACGATGAAAGGCGAAAGTAGTCGGTCGCAGGTGATGGCCAGGCCGTCGTGTGAAAGGTTTTCAATTCCTGAGATGCTGATGAGGTGATGATGATGGCATGTGGAAAAGGAAAGTAGTGGATAGACAGGAAGGATGGTGGAGAAGGGATGAGAAAGAGCATTTCAGGGCGAGTGGGAGAGGGTCTCAGCTCGAGTGTGTGTATGTGTATCTTTCGCGAATGGGCCCCAAAGCCAAAAAAAAGCTGTGCCCTGAACGCAGACATCTGCAGCTCAGCTTTCCGATTTGAGGCACAAAAGGGGGCCAAAGCTCAGTGCAAACAGGCTCTCAAAAGTGAATGACTGATATTCTTGACGAGCTCAGCAAAGTGTCACAGATTGTTAGAGCGCAACTACTAATTCAGCTGGAAGCGAGAATCCCGATCACGTATTCTTGCAATACAAAACCCAAAGACTGACTACAATTTGTCGCCAAGTCATAATACCAAAAATAATAATAACCCTTTCTCTCTCTCTCTGAGAGCCTTTTCTTCGCGTGGACAGCGGCTGCTCAGCAGCATTTTTCATTTGCAGAGAGACAGAGCGCGCAGCTGTGCAGTCAGCCAGCTAAAAAGGAACGGACGCGCGCGGTTCAAGCTTGCCTCTTTTCCAACAGACAAGGGCAGAAGGACTGCGCCTTTTTGCTGCTCAGGCAGGGCCGAGCTGTTATCGAGAAGCTCTTTGACTGCGCCCTCGCCGTGGCCATTTTGCTGTCATCTTTGTCTTTGTCTCGTCGCCATCACCAACCGTCTCGCCACCATCCCATCTCATCCTCTTCATCACCCTCGTCTCGTTCTCTTTCTTCTTCGACCTTGTCGACCTCCTTTCCGTCCTTTTTCCTAACATCACCGCGGCCGACAAAGACAATCTTGGAGTTGTTTCAACAGGCAATTGCAACATTCGCTCATTTCTTTCTCCTTCGCCTCGCTTCCTTATTTGTAGCACGCAGCTGCAACGTGTGCATCCGAAAGCCTTGACTCGTCTCATCGAAGCAGCCGTGGCATCACCTTTCAATAAACAGCGACTGGCACCCGAGCGCATTTCAATTTGCCTCGATTGCAAGTCCTAAACAACCCCGTCTCCAGCTCCAGATTCGTCTCAAATCGTCGTTCGACATCTACATACATGCTTAGCATCTGATATCTCGACCTTTGTCGCCGCGTAGAACGCTCTGAAGGCTGCGTTTTAACACGCCAGATCTGTCGACAGACTTTCGTCACGTCCCTTCCGATACTTTCTCGACCTTCATCATCTTCTGTTTTCTGTGCTCACCTTGCTTCCTTGTATACCAAAAAAAAAAAAAAAAAAGAAAAAAAAAGAAGAAAAAAGACAGACACATCATCACCATCCAGCATCCGGAACATTGATCGACTCCAGCTGATCGCAAACCAGGTCCTTGGCTTCCAGCATATCCGTCTTCCGAGACAACGACCTTGATCGGATCTTCCGATTCAACAAAAGTACACAAACAAGTGCGCTTATTTCACGGGTCATCCAATACGCTAGCCGTTCTTTGCTCTGCTTCGTCCTCAGCTCGCTGCCGTTCTTCGTTTCCTGCACATTCCGGCTCACGCTTTCACCTTACTCAGAATAAAGCGTTGATACACGATGAGCGCCCAGGCCGGTCAATCTTTTGCTCACTCCACTGCACCCATTCGCGCCGTGCGTGAGGTGCAGTTCGGTATCTTGAGCCCTGAAGAGATTGTACGTATCTCGCTCGCTATGCTCCATCATCGCCCCTGCCCTGGAACAATGAATGCTCATGGGGTGCATGGAGATCCCGAGCGTCCAGATCACCGTGTCATCAGATTACCTTGCTGACGAACTTGGTTCTGTTCTGCGTCATCTGCTCATCCGACACGATGCTTACTGCTGCTTGTTCTACTAATCTGTTGTCCTTTTACTTTATCAGCGAGCTATCTCGGTTTGCAAGATCGAGGTCCCCGAGATCAAAGATGAATCTGGCAAGCCAAGAATCGGTGGTCTCTCTGATCCTCGCCTTGGTACGCTCGACAGGAACTACAAGTGTCAAACTTGCGGTGAAGGTCATCAGGAATGTCCAGGACATTTCGGTCACATCGACTTGGCCAAACCAGTCTTCCACATCGGCTACCTCGGCAAGGTCAAGAAAATTCTCGAGTGTGTCTGCTATCACTGCGGAAAGCTCAAGGCTGATGTTGTAAGTAACCAACCATCTTCGCATCGTCCTCGTGCCTCTTGTGTTGGAGCTCATGAAACTCATCATCAAATCCCTATCCCCGGCGTTGCATTCTCTCTGCATTCACATCTACATTTTCTGCAGGTCACGGACCCCGTCTTTGATCAGATCGTCAAGGCGACGCGCGGCAGTCGAAAGCGTCGCTTCCAGCGTGTATGGGAGTACTGCTCCAAGAAGATGGTTTGCGAGGCCGATGATCCTAAGGAGGAAGACGAGATGGGCTTCGAAGAGCAGGCTAAACCCGGTCACGGAGGATGTGGACGTGTACAGCCCAACATTCGTCGCGAAGGTCTTAAGCTCTTCACACAGTGGAAAAAGGGAAAGGGCGAGGACGAAGAGGGCGAGGAGACATCCGGCATCGCGCAGGCAGAGAAGCGTCCCTTGCCTGCATCCGAGGCCCACACCATCCTCAAGAAGATGTCGAGCGAGGACATTGCCGTCCTCGGTCTTTCCGAGGAGAACGCGCGCCCGGACTGGATGATCTTGACCGTCATGCCTGTCCCACCCCCGCCTGTCAGACCTTCGGTGCAAGATGGAGGTGAAGATGATTTGACATACAAGCTGGCCGATGTCATTCGTGCCAACGCCACCCTCAAGAAGATGGAGCAGGAGGGTACACCCGCACACATTCTCGCCGACTTTGAGCAGTTGCTCCAATTCCACTGCGCCACCTTCATGGACAATGACATTGCCGGTCAACCCCAGGCGATGCAATCGAGTGGTAGGCCTATCAAGTCGGTCCGTGCCCGTCTGAAGGGTAAGGAAGGTCGTCTCCGTGGTAACTTGATGGGTAAGCGTGTCAACTTCTCGGCACGTACCGTCATTACTGGTGATCCTCTCCTGGAGCTTGACGAGGTCGGTGTGCCCAAGTCGATTGCCCGCAACCTTACATACCCGGAGCGAGTGACTCCTTACAATCGAGCCTGGCTTTCGGAGCTGGTCCGCAACGGGCCCAACGACTATCCCGGTGCCAAGTATGTCATCCGAGACACGGGCGAGCGTATCGACCTCAAATACAACAGGCGCAGCGACATGGCGCTGCAGCCAGGCTGGATCGTCGAACGCCACCTCAAAGATGGTGATTACATTCTTTTCAATCGTCAACCCTCCTTGCATAAGATGTCAATGATGTCGCACAGGATCAAGCTCATGGATTACTCGACCTTCCGTCTCAACCTCAGTGTCACGCCTCCCTACAACGCCGATTTCGACGGTGACGAGATGAACTTGCACGTTCCGCAGAGCGAAGAGACTCGTGCCGAGCTCTCGCAAATTGCATGGGTTCCTCGACAGATTGTGTCGCCTCAGGCCAACAAGCCCGTCATGGGTATTGTTCAGGACACGCTCTGCGGTATAAGAAAGTTCTCGTTGCGAGACTGTTTGCTGGATTACCAGCAGGTTCAGCAGGTCTTGCTTTGGGTCGCCGATTGGGATGGTGTCGTACCCATGCCCTGCATCTTGAAGCCGAAGCCGTACTGGTCGGGTAAGCAGATCTTGTCGATGTGCATTCCCAAGGGTATCAATGTCTTCTTGGACAAGGACAAGGGTCTCAAGAACAACTTCTTGAAGGATGATGGTGTCTACATCGAAAACGGTGAGATCATGTACGGTGTCATCAACAAAAAGGTCGTCGGTGCCTCTGCCGGTGGTCTCATCCACATCATCTTCCGTGAGAAGGGCCCAGTCGTTTGCAAGCGCTTCTTCTCTGGAGTTCAGCGCGTCGTCAACTTCTGGCTCTTGCATAACGGCTTCTCGATCGGTATCGGAGACACCGTAGCCGACAAGGCTACCACGGACAGTATCAACCAGACTATCACTGCAGCCAAGGCCGCCGTTATGGACTACATCAAGTATGCCAGGCACGATTGGCTCAAGGTCGAGGCTGGTATGACATTGCGAGAGTCGTTCGAAGCCAACGTCAACCGTGTCCTCAACCAGGCGCGTGACGATGTCGGTAACCACGCCGAGGCCAGCTTGCCCGATTTCAACGCTGTCAAGCAGATGGTGGTGGCCGGATCCAAAGGTTCGTTCATCAACATCTCGCAGATGTCAGCGTGTGTTGGACAACAGTCCGTCGAGGGTAAGCGCATCCCCTTCGGTTTCCGCCACCGCAGTCTTCCTCATTTCACCAAGGACGACTTCACTCCCGAAAGTCGTGGTTTCGTCGAGAACTCGTACCTCCGAGGTCTTACCGCTCAGGAATTCTTCTTCCACGCCATGGCAGGTCGTGAGGGTCTTATCGACACGGCCGTTAAGACGGCAGAGACCGGTTATATTCAGCGTCGTTTGGTCAAGGCGCTCGAGGACGTGATGGTCTGCTACGACGGTACCGTTCGAAACTCAACCAACAACGTCATTCAGTTCGCCTACGGAGAGGATGGTATCGATGGTGCCCAGGTCGAGACTCAAACCTTGTTGACACTGAAGCTCAACGACGCCGACTTCCGTCACATGTTCCGCGTCGATCTGCACGACAGCGGCTTCAAGAAGGGCACGCTTCGACCGGGTCTTGGCGATTGGTCGCAGGAGCTGCAAGACCTTCTCGACGAGGAGTTTGCCCAGCTCGAGTTCGATCGACACCTTCTTCGTACAGAGATCTTCCAGTCGGACCAGGTGCAAGTTCGTCTTCCCATGAACGTCGCCCGTCTCATGCTAAATGCTCAGCAGATTTTCCACATCGACCAGCGCAAGCCAAGCGACCTTTCGCCTGCTGAGATTATCATCGGTCTTCGTGAGGTCCTGGAACGCTTGATCGTCATTCGTGGTGATGATCCTATCTCACGCGAGGCGCAGGTAAACGCGACGCTGCTCTTCAAGATCCACCTGCGCTCGTATCTATGCTCGAAGATGGTAATCGAGCAGCATCACATCAACAAGGAGGCATGGGAATGGATTCTCGGAGAGATCGAGGGGCAGTTCGCCCGATCGGTTGCCAACCCGGGTGAGATGTGCGGTACATTGGCAGCACAGAGTATCGGAGAGCCTGCTACGCAGATGACGCTCAACACCTTCCACTATGCCGGTGTGTCGAGTAAGAACGTCACGCTCGGTGTGCCTCGTTTGAAAGAGATCATCAACTGTGCCGAGAACATCAAGACGCCCTCGGTGACTGTCTACCTCACGGAGCAGTACAGCCAATCGCAGGAGGCGGCCAAGGTGATCCAGACCGCGCTCGCGCACACGACCCTGCAGACGGTCACTTCAGCCGTCGAAGTTCACTATGACCCCGATCCGTCAGCTACGGTCATCGAGGAGGACAAGGACTTCGTAGAGGCTTTCTTCGCCATTCCTGATGAAGAGGTCGAGGCAAGTCTCGAGCGCCAGTCTCCCTGGCTCCTGCGTCTCGAGCTCGACCGTGCTCAGATGCTCGACAAGAACCTGACTATGGCCGACGTCGCTTCCAAGATCAGTGCCATGTTTGGCCAGGACATCTTTGTGATGCACTCCGAAGACAACGCCGAGAACCTCATCTTGCGTATTCGTGTCGTCGACAATGACCCTGAGAAGGAGGCTCAGGGTGAAGAGGAGATCTTCCTCAAGAACCTTGCCTCGCAGATGCTGGCCGAGATCGATCTCAAGGGTATCAAGGGTATCAAGAAGGTCTACATCGTTCAGCAGGACAACAAGACGAGACGTATCGATCCCGTTACTGGCGATTGGCGCACTGTCTCGGAATGGGTTCTCGAAACGGACGGAAGCAATCTTACCGAGGTGCTTGCCGTCGAAGGTGTCGACGCCATCCGAACCAGCTGCAACAACCCCGTTGAGGTCTTCCGCGTGTTTGGTATCGAGGCAGCTCGAAACTCGTTGCTCAAGGAAACGCGAGCGGTTATCGAGTTCGACGGTTCCTACGTCAACTACCGTCATTTGGCGCTGCTGTGCGACATCATGACGAGTCAGGGTGCCTTGATGGCCATCACTCGTCACGGTATCAACCGTACCAACCAGGGAGCTCTCATGCGATGTACTTTCGAAGAGACAGTCGAGCTCTTGATCGAGGCGGCATCGATGGGTGATATTGACGACTGCAAGGGTGTAGCGCAGAACGTCCTGCTTGGTCAGATGGCGCCTATGGGTACGGGTGCCTTCGACCTCAACCTGGATCTTGATATGCTCAAGGACACCATTGTCAACCACGCGTTGCCCTACGACATCTTGCTGGCATCGCGTTCGCTTGACGCAGCTGGCGGCAAGACTCCTGGCGCGATGACCCCCTACGACTCGAGCTCGCCTGCCTCGGACGACGCCTTCCGTGTCCACGAGCAGGCCATGTTCAGTCCGCTCGCTCAGACTGGTGGCGACGAGGGTGGCTACAGCGACTACCTCCTTGCTGGACAAAGTCCTATGCGCACGCCCTTGGGTGCACAGAGTCCTGCTGGCTACGGCTTCTCGCCTGTTTCGCCAGGTTACGTGCCGACTTCGCCCGGCTATGCCACTTCGCCTGCTGGTGCACTGGGTGCTATGAGCCCTTGGACAGGCAACAACGGTCTTGGCGCCACTTCGCCGGCGTACAGTCCCACTTCGCCACGTATCTTTGGTGGTGCAACGAGTCCGTCGTACTCACCCACATCACCGAGCTACAGTCCTGCTTCGCCCAACTACTCTCCATCGAGCCCAGCTGGTGCAGGCTACTCGCCCACGAGCCCACGCATGAGTCCGACGAGCCCTGTTGGCCGATACGGCGCGGCGACAAGTCCACAGTACTCGCCTGCTTCCCCCAAGTTCTCGCCAACAAGTCCCAACTACAGTCCTGCCAGTCCAGCATATACTCCCACTTCGCCAGTCTACTCGCCTACGTCCCCAGCGATAGCGGGTCGCGGCGGTGCCAAGAGCTTCAGCCCAACATCGCCTGCGTACTCGCCCACCTCGCCGCAGTACTCGCCTGCTTCGCCCGCATTTTCGCCGACGTCGCCACAGTACTCTCCTGCTTCCCCTCAGTATTCCCCCACGTCACCGCAGTACTCTCCAACCAGTCCAGCGATGGGAGGTGCATCGGGCCCTGGCGCTCCTGGTGCCGGCGGCGCTGCATCGCCGCGTCGTAGCCGCATGTCCAACAAGCCGGCGTGGCAGCGTTAAGCTGAGCTCAGACCGGAGACTGACCGACTTTCGCTGCCGGATCCTCTCACACCTGAGTCTGCATTCCTATAGAGGCGGCTCCGTCAAATTACATCATTAACCCCTAACGCAGCATCATTCACACAAAAAGCTCGAGCAACGACTTGAAAGAAGTCAGCTCTTCCCTCTGTTCATCTTATACATTTTCAAAAAGCACACATATGTCAAAACATGAAAGGATTCCGCATCATCACACTATTTTGCGAGAGAAATCAATTCGCTATTACACACGAAGTCCTTGCGTCTTGATGCACACACCCTCAGTTTGGAGCTGAGATCGCTCGAAGTCATGCGCGACATCTAAGCTGGCTGCAAAAGATCGATGTGGGTATCCGCATTACGACCAGGCGTGGCAATTCAAGCTGCCTGTGATGTTGTTTTGGATCCGGCCGCGCGGGGCTCCAGTCTTTAAATCGTAGACTGGTATGGTGGTGGAATAGTCATCTTTGGATTTGTCTGAGTTGTCAGCGATATCACTCCCATTCGGGATCCGGTCGTAACTGTCGAAGTCGACTAGACGCACAACTTGACATTTTGAATTGTCGTAGAGTGGTAGATCGTTCGTGTCGACTCCTCGTAGTACAAGGTGTCGATGGTGGACATGTCGTTGACATGGGACTTGCGATGAGGTGGATAGGAGGCAACATGTATGAGAGTAAAATTCTGAGGAAGACGCCGACCAGGATCAGGTCTAAGGACGAATTGATCTGTAAAGTGACTCGCCGCCCCATGGGGCAGCGTGATGCTCAGAGAGCCATGCTCGCCCTTGCGGAGCTGTTCGGTAAAATTCTGCACCAAGATGGCAGCGTGGAAGTAGGAGACGTCGATCTTGTCGCCGCGAAGCGACTCGGCGTAATTGTCAATAGCGGCCTTGCTGTCAAAGTGGACCACACGCAGAGTACCGTTGGAGAGCTTGTTGACGTCATGAAGGGTAGAAAGTGTTGAGTAGCCACACAAAGCGGTTCCAATCGAACCAATCGCATACACATCAAACGCTCGGCCCAGCAGTAGCCTCCGTCTGCCGCTGTGCGCAACCCTAAAGCACTAGATTTCATCGCCTTGCAATCCACTCGGCGGGAACACATAGGTGTGACAAGAGTGCAACAAGATTACTGTATCCTATCGAACATCAAGTCTCACGCCTCCATCGCACCCGCCTTGTTCTATAAAGTCTCATGTCCAACCGCCCTTGTAAAAGCATTCCTTGCGAACCACATGCTCCTCCCACTTTTTTTTTTTTTTTTTTTTTTTTTTTTTTTTTTGGTACGCGTACAAGTCCTGCGCCTGCAACCTCGTCTTGTCATTCCTGGGGCAGGGTCCGTACACACAAACGGTCAGTGTTGCTATTTCTGTGGACTGCAGCGCCATGATGACATGCATCCTTGGCTCGTCTTTACTGACAAGAGGTGCAGCAACCTGCGTTCCCGGACATGCTTGTCAATATTAAAGACAATCGCTGCTGTGGTCAAGTATCGTATTGCTTCTGAAACTTTGTACGATATGCTGTGTTGCCGATAAGGTATATGTGCAGTAGGATACGTGACAGGAAAGCTTTTACAAAGATGGCCAAGGACTGATCAGGCAAACAGCTCTGGCGCATGGTCAATAAAGAACTCGATCGTCATGGCTTTGCCTCCCATGTGAGCAAATTCTTGTGATGGGTCGGCGGATCGCATGAGCGTCGGTCCAAAGACTACACCAAGGTTGCGAGCATTCATGCGATTGTCGACACTGCGCTCCTGGATGCGATACAGATGAAGCACGAGATGCTGTAGCGTGCAGTAATGCTGTCGTGGAAGCCTATTGACGAGCTCTTTGATGAGCTCTTGCTTGGATGCAACGTCATCCTGTCTGGATTCGACCACCTTGATCAGCTCATCGTACAATTCAAAGGTAAGAAGCGGCTCCGGCAGCTCGCGGAAGTAGTTCTTGAGTACACTCGTGATGGCGGATACGTCGTTGAACCGATTGGTATCTTCGAGATCGAATGCGTTGCCGCGCTCGAAGAGCTGAGTGATGACTTTGAGCTGTGAGGTGCCTCCCGACTTTCGGTAGATGCCTTCATAATCCATGCCGAAAGCTTCGACGGCTTGTATGCATTTTTCCACGATCAGCGGCACATCGCGGCCCTCGTGTGCGCCTTGCTCGGCGAGTGAGCGGCCAAACATGGAGGGTCCTGCGTTGTCTGCTTGTCCCTCATCAGATCGTGTGTATGGCTGATTGCATGATATGGGTAGGCTCTGAAGACAGCGAGAGTGGCAGACCTGTGCGCATAGAGCGCATCGCATCTCGGATTGACCCCACATGTTCTTCTGACAGGTGAAACAACGCGTGGGTCGAAGCACATTGAAGGGTTGGAAGAGATGTTCCCTAACCACGACATCGTGCGATGTGGCACGCGTTATTGCAGTGGCAGAAGCAGCGGAGCTCATGCTTGCGCCCTTGGGCGGCACTGGTGGCACTGATCCAGCCGGGTTGAGGTAGACATTGGCCTTTGTGCTTTCTGACAGCTTGGGCTTCATCCACTTGAACTTCTTGACGACAGGAGCCGGCTCCACTTTGCCAGGCTTGATCACCTGTTGCACTGCTGTGTCGACCGAGATGGTATCGTAGCCAGCGCTGCTGGGAGGCGCGTCGTGCGACGAGATGGAGGCGTTGTGCGGCGTGTGCTTGTGGACGTGTTTGTGACGAGAGCCAAAGTTGAAACCTACGCCGCCTGAGCTCTTCTGGGCTGCCGCAGGTGGTGAAGATGCAAGGTCCTTTGGCATGGGAGGTAGTGGCGGCAATTGGTGCCTCGACTGAGCTGCGAGCTCGATCTTGCGGCTGAGCTGACCGAGCATGGTGTTGAGCTCTTCGTTCCTGGCATTGAGGCTCTGTGCTTCCTCGAGGAAGAGCTCTTTAGACTGCTTGAGTTCTTCGATTTCGATGAGCAGCGAATCTCGCTCGATGGTAAGCTCGTCGATTTCTTTGCGATAGCGGCTCTTGACTGCTTCAAGACGCGAGGCGAGGTTTTGCGTGATTGCTGCATCGACAATACACGTCGATGAGCGTGCGTCGTTAGAGGCTGGCGGCGCTGATCTCGACGAGCCGGTTGTGCCGTCCTGCAGCGCAACCAGCTCGGCCACCTCAGCAACAGTGAGATCTCGCTCCACGATGAGCTTGGCCAAGTCTCGTCGCATCCCTTTGAGCGATGCTTTGACATCTTGCGAGCGTCTCTCTAGCTGCTCGTGCTGGCGCTTCTCGCTGTTGGCGGTGGCGAGTTTGAGAGCCTGCTCGGCCAGCTGACGCCTCAAACGTGCCATTTCGAGCTCTGCTTCATGCCTTGCGTTGACCTCGTGTTCGAATTCTTCTTTGGCCATAGTGAAGCCATGGGCTGCCTGCTGACTAGCACGACGAATGCGATCGTAGCGCATTTGGAGCGATTCCATGCGTTGGCGAGTCTGCTCGAGGTCTTGCAGTATTGTCTCGACGAAGGAGATGTCCATGCTCACCTGGCCATCACGAGCCTGCTGCATGGAGGCTCGAACCCTGGACGAGACCTCGTTGAGCGAGCCTGTTGTGGCAGCGGGAGCTTCCTGGTCGTCCACCAGCAGCTCTTCTTCACTGTCGACGCTGTCTGCAACACTAGATCGGCCATTTGGCTGCGAACTGACCACCTCTTCTTTGTCAACAGTGTCTCTCTCGTCGGTCGAGCTGCGTGATGGCGCGGCCTCTTCACTGCTGTGAGTACCAAGTGGCACGGTGGATGCGATGGATGCGGTGGATGCGGTGGATGCGGTGGATGCGGTGGATGCGGTAGATGCGGTGGATGCGGTGGATGCGGCGGGTGCGGCGGCTGTCTCTGTCGAAGGCGGGGCTGTCGAGTTGGCAGCTACGGATGCTGGTAGAGCGGGGACCGGTGGCGGCTGAGCACGCAGTTCTTTGTTCGAGTCGAAATCGCCGAACGATTCAACCAGACTCAAAAAGTCGGGATCGTAAAAGGAGTATACTTTGGACAATCGAGAGGAAGTGGCAGATGCATCGAGTGGATTTCGGGCTGGGCTGGCGCTTGATTTGGCACTGGAAGTACGCAATGAGACGCCAAGACCTTCGCGACTGCCTGAAGGTGGCAAGCTGCGTCCAGGGTCTCCGCGAGGTGAACCATCCATTGTCACGCTCTTGTTGAAGGGGGAGGCGGTAGGACTGGAGGGCGAGAGGGTCGGAAGTCTTGTCTTGAGGCCAGCATTAGAGCCAAGCGGCGAGGTGATTTCTGCGCCAAAGGTCTTGTTTCGTGGAGAGAGTTCAAACTCGCTGGGCTGTGAATGTGATGGAACTTGTGCAGCTATGGGCAACAGCGAGGATTGAGAGTTGTTGGAAGCCACAGCAGTTGTTCCATTTTCGAGCTTGGCTGTGGCACCAATGGCAGGGCTGCGACCTTCACGCGAAGGCGGTGGAGGAGCATGCATAGGACGCTTGCCCCCTGCGCTGTTAGGACAAGATGCAGCCAAAGCAGCGGCGGAGCTGCCCTGGTTGATCCAAGGCGAGAGTGTAGCACCGTTGGGAGCTGGAGAAAAAAGTGCTGAAGCTGAGGGCGGCGGCGTCTGCTTGGAGGGAAGAGATGGCGGCTGGTCGAGCGAGGGGGAGAGAATTGCTGCAGAAGCTGAGGAAGTTGGGAGGTTTGGGTGGTTGTTGTTATGCGCCGACTGCTGCTGCTTTTCGCGGCGTGCCTTTGCACGCTTCTGTTCTGCATGCTTGCGACTGCGAGCGACCCGCTCGTTGTGACACTTCATACAGTAGATGCCTTGACTTGTTTTGGCAAAGACGAGCTCTTCGATCTTGGAATGACAAGATCGACAGGTGAAGCAGGAGGCGTGGTAAGATTCGTCGCCAGTCATGATGGCCTCCTCCATGATGGGAAGATGGCAAATGTTGCAGGAGTAGTTGCATTCGCCGCAGATAGGATGACCATCGGAGAGGAGGAGAATGTCATCTCGTTCTGTGCTGACTCTGTTCTTGCACTTTGCGCAGCGGAAACACTCGATGTGCCAGAGCTTGGTTGCAAACTGGATGACACCTTCTTCGACACTCTCTTCGTCGATGAGACGATCACAACCGCCGCAGTAAGCCTCTGGTAGCTCATCTTCAACATCATGAAGATGGACGTCTTCAGAAGCTGCTGAAGGCATCACGGCTGAGTCTTGGACTCGTAGAGAGGTCTGCTCCTGAAGCAGCGCGGGCATGCCGTTTGCCGGTTATATGTGGTGCGAAGGGTCTTGTATGCCGTCGAGGCCACTTGATACAAGGTAAGACGATCCTGGCGTCTGGCTAACAAGATGCCAGTCGAGTGTTTTCGAAGGCGTAGTTTTACAGCATCTGCCTAGATGCTTATGTGCCGGCCACAGATGTAGTGCTGAGTTGGCGATGACAGTTGAGATGCCAAGTGGAAAAAAGGGAGGTGTGAAGCGCAATCACACCGAGAGGTGAAGTGAGGGTCCAAAAAAAGAAAAGAAAAGATGGGCTTGGTTGGGTCGAGAGCTGAAACGGAGCCAGAGGCAGAGGAGGAGGCAAGCAAGGAGTGAGGAGCGTTGAAAGTAGGGTGAGCGGCGGTCAATTGCCCAATCTGTCGGAGTATCCGACAAAGCACACAAACGACACACAGCAAGGAAGAGCTGGGAGCAGTTAACGGACGACAATTCAAGGGTCCTTTCTGCTCAGGGCAACAGCAACAGCGCAAAAAGAGAGCTTTTTCTCACACACACACACACACATCACACACATCACACATCACATCCAGTTTCGAGCTTAACCCAGCTTGGCTTGTTGTTCTACACTCGGTTGTCTGCAGACTCGTGCATCCTTGGATTACCGGCGACGTGGCAAAATTCCTTCTCACGCTCATTGGCTGGCTTGCTCTGAGACTCGACTCTGGATGTTCGGTCTCGCCGATGCTTGACCAAGCTATAACAAGGCACTCTGACTGAAGCAATCGCAACAATTCCCGTGCCGACATTGTCACTGATCGGCTTGATTGGATCCCCTGAGATACTTGGACTCTACACTCGACTCTCATCTGCCGATCACAATTGGCAAGCAGCACGCGGGCAAGACGGAAGCGTTCAAATCTGACTTGCGCGCCCCGATTACGATGCACAGCCAAGCAACTGGCCGATGGCACAAGTTGGAACCAATACTGGAATGATTAGATGTACATACATATACAGCCTTGCCCAGCCTTGCCCAGCCTTGCCCAGCCTTCTGACCGACTAAATGCAGTAAATTCATGTCTTCTAGTCGAAAAAAAAAAAGGCTTCGACGCTCATGTCAACCGCCTCAGAGGGCAACGTTGGCAAAGATCAAGACAGAGCAATGGAGCCGCAAGCTGAGCTTCCAACTGGCCTCAGACCGAGGTAGCATCTTGCTTCAAACAAGATCAGCTACAGCATCCACCTGCACCACCTGTCTTGGGTGCCGAGTTGACATTGACGTTGGCCGATGCAGCTGCTGGAGAAGCTTGTGTCACTGCTGCCGTGTCGATGAGTCGTGTCTTGACTTCTCGTGCCAGGTTGAAGAAAGCCTCCTCGACATTGCTGTTCGACTTGGCTGATGTCTCGATGTAAGGGATACCGAGCTCCTTGGCAAGCTCCTCACCCTGCTCCGTGGTGACTGCTCGCTTCTCTTCCCAGTCCGATTTGTTGCCGATCAAGATCTTTGAAACACCTTCGCTGGCGTGTTGCTCAATGTTGGCGTGCCACGTTCGCACGTTTTCAAACGACTTTTGATCGGTGACGTCGAAAACGAGCAAGATACCCATGGCTCCACGGTAGTAGGCGGTTGTGATGGTACGGAAGCGTTCTTGACCCGCCGTGTCCCAGATCTGCAGCTTGATACGCTTGCCGTCGAGCTCAATGGTGCGGATTTTGAAGTCGATGCCGATCGTGGTGATGAAGGAGGGTGTCCATGCATCATCGCAGAATCGGAGGAGCAAGCATGACTTGCCGACGCCCGAGTCGCCAATCAGCAGAAGCTTGATAAGGAAATCGTAGTGAGGGTTCGGCATTCTGCGAGCAGCGTAATTGAACCTTGCTCTAGAAGATGTTTGTGAGCTGCAAGTGACGCTTGACTTTGACGTCCCGGTCACGGCGGTCGCACTGGAGACTGCCTTCTCGCTCTTGGTACCTGTGGTCTGCTGAGTATGCGACGATTCTACGTGCGACGATTCTACGTGAGACGATTCTACGTGCGACGATTCTACGTGCGACGGATCTACGAGCGACGATGTTCGTAGACGATGTTGGCTGCGTTGAGGAAGCTCCGGTTTGGTTCCGGAAGGCCCTGGATTGCTGGAGGTGCGGCAGACTTGAAGTCTGTGTGAATCGATGGTGCCATTTGCCGGTGACGTATCAGAAGGCGATGTGGCGTCCGTAGTCATGATGCGATATGCCAAGAGGCAAGTTCGTATTCAACAGGCGTACCGTTGCACAGTGTAGTTATAAGAGGGAAAGTAAGACAGCGAAACGGTAAGTAAGCGATGCTTTTCCATGTGCAAGGAGCAAATGCAGGATCATATGGAGCCGCTACGCACGGGGTGCCCGAAGCTTGACAAATGAAGCGGTCCCGCCGTAACAGCCTCGAACCCTGGTGACTACACGATGCATGCTTCCCTCGTCTTCAGAGAGCACCGATGTGGGCTGAAAGTTAACGAGGACTCAGACCTGATTTGTATTGTTGCACACGCACGGGCCGAGAGCGATATTGCATGTGGCGATGATGGTTGCCCGATCACGGTGCTCAGGTGTGGCGAGGTGCCAAGATCCGGGCCGGTCGATAGGCAAGCTCCATGTGCCGAGTTTCCGCTGCAGCCCTTCCTCAGATAGCTTTCGTATACTTACAGATTGAGATAGCGTTAAATTCGGATGAGTTGTTGGTCCTGATGGGATCGTGGACCGAAGTTGGCGTTGGTGACGATTGTAGAGAAAGTCAGGTCATTTGATGTAGCGACGACCAAACAGTGGAGGTTAGCAGCGCTCTTTCGCTTGCTGCCAGGTTGAGTTGAGTTGAGCTTTGGTCAAGGCGAGTGAGCTGCGAATCCTCCAGAGACACGCACAAACACGCAGCTGTAAGACCACCCAAACAGCAAAATCGGAGTAACGGAGCCGGTGTGAGCTCGAAACAGAGACCCACACGCTCTGAAGCTCTTTTTCGACTCAGAATAAATAGGACGTGTCGTGCGAGAAGGTTTTGACAACCTCCACCTTTCCCGACTTCCGTTTTCGGGACGCCCAAAAAAGAAAAAGGGAAAAAAAAAAAAAAAAACAAAAAAAAAAAAAAAAAAAAAAAAAAAAAAAAAAAAGTCGGAAGAAAACCCTGAGAAATGTCTACTGTATTCAGGAAGAAATCCTCATTTTTGTTCACTTGCTCCTGATGGCGAAGTCCCACTTAGCCGCCGAGAACCGTTACTAGAAGCATCTCTTTCTACACCTTCTCTCATCTCTTGGATCACGCAGCTGTCGACCATGGAGAGGGTACAATATCAGCTGGAACGCTCCGTTCCGCAGCTCCAGCTGCTCGACGAAAACAATGTATTCACCAAAGAACAGCTTCGTTCCATCACCACACAACGACAAACCTTCGAGGGTCGCCTTCTAAGAAGGGGACCCGACAAGCAGGACTTCCTTCGCTATGCTGACTTCGAACGAAACTTAGCAGATCTCATCAACGTTAAGGCGAACCGCATCGGCCTTCCTCGTTCCTTCCACCGCGACAATGCTGCCATTCACACCGGCCACATCATCGCCATTTACGAGCGTCTCGTGCTCAAGTTCAAGTATGATGTTGATGCCTGGCAACAGTACATTGCCTTTGCCAAAAGCAGAAAAATGCCTGTCGTCACTGGCAGAGTTTACGCCCGCGCGCTCTCCCTACACCCCAACAACGTGTCCCTCTGGCTTGCGGCAGCTGCACACGAGCTCAACGACAATGCTTCCACTACAGCAGCCCGTTCGCTTTTACAAAGGGCTCTTCGTCTCAACCGTCTGCCATGGAAAAGTACTCCTTCCCACAGCGTCGCCTCCACCTCTAACACCAACAAGCGCACAAGCAATGGCGATCTCTCTGACTCGAACAAGCGCCCTCGTCACGACAGCCCTTCGACAACCTCTAACTCTGACGCCCACTCGTCCAGCCAAAGCGCGACCTCCGGACCTGCCGCCCTCAAGCTATCCTCACGTGAAACAGATCTTCTTCGTCTATGGGTAGAGTACATACGCATGGAGCTCGTCTTCATCGAACGTCTTCGCAGAAGGTGGCTTGTCCTCGGTCTCGAATGGGACGACGATCAAGCCACCAACGACGGCAATCTCGGCACTTCCAACAACACTGCAGAGGCACAGCAGGCAGCGGTTGACCTCGATGCAGCCAAATCTGGCATTGGCATTGGCATTGGCGTTGCGACGGACCACGAAGACGATGATGACCTGGAGCGTATCCTACTTAGCCAGGTGCCGGAGAAAGACGACGATGCCAGAGCTGAAGTCGTCGAAGCAACCAACACTGCCAAGCCAAATACGTTTACATCTCGTAAAATGACCACCGTTCCGCCAACACAGATCGCCGTCCTGCGAGGTAACATTCCACTCTACCTTGTTGGCAGCGCTCTCGAATCTTTGGCTCCACATCTTCACTTTGTCTTTCTCTTGGCTCTTATCGAGTTGCTCCAGACCTTCCCATTTGCAGAACCTGTCAGTATCGACGCTCGCAAAAGCGGTCAAGCTCTTCGCCGTCGTCTCCTTGATGGAGTCTACCAACATCTGTCTGATCGCCAGCGTTGGGGATGGGACTACTATGCCCCAGCAGCTCTTGCAGCCTCCTTGCGAGCTTTCCGCCCAGAGACTCCCTTCTACGCTGACAAGTCAGATCGCACGGCAGCCGAAGTCGCCAACGCTGAAGAAATGGACTCACATCGCCTTCTCACATCAGCTAGTCACCTTCGAACCTCATTCTCCCATGAGACCGATGGCTTGCTCGAGCTTGCATCGCAGCTAAGAAGCACCTCGTCTTCGAGGGGGCAGAAATCCTCTGTCTCATCTTCATCTTCGCCAGCAGTCCATCTCGTTCTCCAGCTCTTGCAGTCGCTGCTGACAGAGACAATCAAGAGCGGTAAGACAAGGGTCACCTCTGCCTACCAGATCCTGGCGCAGTCTGGCGTTTTGCCGGCTGCCGTCAGCGATGCTGTGACCAAGCTGCGTGCGCTTTGCCTCGAAGCTCCCATCAACGTAACAAAACGCGCCGCACGAAGCGCAAAGGCAGAGTTCTATACGACCACGACGCTTCTCATCGAGATGCTCAGCGAAGATCAGCGCTCCGGCATCGACGAGCCCAATCTCCTGCGCTACCTCGACTCTGTGCAGACACAGTTGATCAAGGAGGCTCAAGCTGCCGGTCCACACGTCGAGACAGCCCAAATGCGTGCTGTCGTGCTGCGTAAGAAGGTTGATGCTGCCATCTCGTTCGACGACAAAAAGGAGCAAACTAAGAAGCTCACCAGACTCAGAGATCAGCTCAACGATGCTACAAGTAGTGCTCACTTCTCAACAAGCGATGAGCTGTGGAGTCTGCGCATCCTTGTTATCTCTCATATTGCAAAGACATCCGACAAGTCACTCGAACAGAGCCGGGATACGATTGCGGCAGAATGGCATAGAGGATTGCAAGCTTGTTCCGAAGGTGATGATGCCGTAGCATCGACCTCGTCAGCCGACTCTAGCCTGTGGTCGCGCTTCTTGGACTGGCTGGATCACGGCGTAGTCGGGTCTGCCGCCCAAAGTCGCAAGGAGATGAAGGCCGCATTTCGATACAGCTCCGAGCAGTATCGATGGGCCATTCGAGAAACTGCATCTCTACTTTCTCGGGGCACTACCAAGTCGGTGGCCGATCTTGAAGCTGTCCATCGATATCGTCAAGAAGTGCACGATTTGTCGGTGCTTCGCTACGTCCGACTGAGCCATCCGCTCGGCAAGCACGACAATGCAGTTTCGTGGTTGCTTCAGTCTTGCTTCGCCTCGCACCAAGCCTGGCTCGACGTGATCTCGGAGCTTCAAGCCGATGAAGAAGCAGACGAGGATGAGGCGCGGAAGGACGCACAGCTCGTGGAAAAGGTCTTCAACAAGCTGTTGCAGATCAAGACCAGCAATGTCCAAGTATGGATCAGCTATCTGCGACATTTGGCAGAAAGGGACACGTCAAAGGCGCTCACGACGCTCGAGACCTGCAAAAATACATTGGAAAAGAGCGAGTACAAGCTGGTCGAGAAAGAGTGGCAGAGGATCTGTGAGGAGCTGCAAGGCCAAACCAATGCCGCGACGGAGAACGGCGCTAAAGACGAATCAAGCGAGGATGACGACGAAAGTTAGACTGATGCTCACATCCAATCAAAGTATTTGCTTTATCAAGGGTTTCTTTGTACTGCTTTATTACTGCATTGCTCTTGGTGTCTATGAGCTAGCGTGCTGCGTGTTGCCTTTCAAGGGCAAGCTGAACCTATGGATGCTCGCAAGCCTGTATAACGTTAAATTCCGCATTCCTTGAGATGAGAGGCTCAAACTCGAAAAGCTACATTGACAAGCTCCTCGACGTCGAAGTTCTCTGGCTGCTTGTGAAAGTCGTGCAAAAGCTTGGCACAAGCCGAGTGATCCTGACTCTCACTTTCGGATGCAGTAGTGGAGGGAGATGATGGCAAATAGAATCTCTGAAGTGTGAGGGCAAGCAATTGTGCCTGAGCTTGATCGATGCGACCGCCCTTGCCAGTTTTTTCGTTAAGTCCAGTCACCTCGCCTCGCATCAATACGAGGCCATTGCTCTTGCACAGATCAGTGTAAAAGGTAAGGATGAGAACGGGTTGACTGAAGTCTTGCTTGAGCTTGTACTCTGCCAACGGGGTGAAGAGGGTGGTGGCGGAAGGCGGCAAGCCTTCGGCGGCAGGATTCGGTACGACAGCCCATTCGAGGAACTGCATTTCGAAAGCTTCCTTCGAGATACCAGACGCATCAGATTCTTCGTCAATGACTTCACGTGGAATTGGCAATACGAACTGCGGATATTTTCGGGCGGTGGCGAGCAGCTCGAGATATTTTTCTGTCGGGATCACGGCTGAGAGCTTGTTCTTGATGATGTGATAGCCTGCCCAGAGCTTGGTGATGGTTTCTTGATCTTGTGTCACGAGCTTCTCTACGTCGAGAATCTTGTTGAGCGGCTTAATAGGGCCCTCTTGCGCACCAGTTGGTGTCGAATGGATCTGACCTGTAGCAAGCTTCTTGGCTGCTTCCATTTTGGAGCGGTCTCGAAGCGCTTGGGCGATGGCTTGATTGCGCTTCTCTACTTCGGACACTTCACTTCTGCTGTCCGACTGAGACCGAAAAGTCGATGCCGCAGAACCAACTCCATGAAGAAGTTTCGCCGAGGCAGAGTCTAGCGATCTTCGCTTAAATTCTTCCGGAGACAAGCCCTCCTGCATGGCCTTGACCTTGATCTTGGCTTCATACTCCCGTAGCTTTCGTTCACGCTTTTGCTGTACCAATGTACGATGGTCTTGGACGACGGACGATGAGGATGCTTGTGATTGCGCCTCGCTGCCGCCACGAGATTGATCGTCTGCTTCGAGATGCGACCACGAGAAGGGGAGCGGAAGGGAGACCTGAGCAAGGCAAGGTCTGACCGTGTGGAGTGTTCGGATGCGGGAGCCCGATGCTATCGAAGCGCAGCTACTACGCAGCGTGGACATCAGTGGCCTCATCTTGTCGAAAAGTTGGATTATATCTATCTGCGAGAACGGCGGTGGCAGTCTGAGAGGAGGTAAGAAGAACACCATGTCTTCCGGTCAAGAAGAGAGGAAGCATGAGTGTGCTTTGACACAGAAAAAGAGCTTCGGATTTCGGGACAGCCGACGGCTGCAATTAGAACAATTTGTGACTTCGACGCGGTCTGACAGTTGTAGAGCGTCGTCGAGATCAATCAGAAGTGCGTCAAAATCAATGATCACAAGTGTCGATTGCGATAAGTAATACTATTCTAGGTACATGTTGAATTGGGTGCTTATATAAGTCTCAATCCTCCTCATGTGTGTGTGTTATGCTAAGGGCCAATAAGATGATGACATGGGAGAGTGAGCATGAGGTTGAGGAGGTAAACACTGGCTGCCTGGTGACCAGTATCTTGGGCTTCGACAGTCAGCCTGGACAATGCACTTAGTCCAAGTGAGCAAAGTTGGTGATTTGGTGTGTGGGCTCAGCGAAGGTTGCATTTGCATGCATCATGTTACAGGGTCAATGGATCAACATATGAAGGGTGCACCAAATTGATTGGTGCCAAATCATTGGGAATCGATGAAGTTAATCAGGCTGGTAGCACATATGATTTACAAGATCAACCAAACTCTGGGTTCCAGGTTAATCTCACAAGGATCAATCAGGATCAGCCAGATCAGCATGCCTCAGCAAGTTGGCCAACATGAGCAAGTATCAGGAGATTCAGGAAGGAAGGTACTGGCATTAGAAGGAGAAGCATATGGAGATAACTGTCATGGGCCTAGATGCTCAAGAAGCAGGAGGGTCACTGATTCATATGGAAGGAGCACAGGTATCAAAGGGACCTAGTTGATACCAGTAGAGAGCATGGTCGTAGTGCAGTCTCCATGGAGACCATGGACTCCTATGGACTCACATGCAAAGGAGGACCGAGCCATATGCGAGGAGGGCCAGGCACAGCCACAAGGAGGACCAAGCTCAAGGAGCAGGCACAGCCACAAAGAGGACCAAGCCCAAGGAGCATGCAGGAGGAGCAGTGTCGAAGGAGTTGACACCACTCAGGAGGCACAAGGGTGCCAAACAAGCAGCAGGATAGCAAGGAGGAGGAGCAGTGTCGAAGGAGTCGACACAGCTCAAGAGGCACAGGGGTGCCAATCAAGCAGGAGAGGCCCCTGAGCAGTACTCGATGAAGAAGGTGTCAGGGGTCTCGCGCCTGAAACCCAGGTCGGTCTGTCGAGATACTCAGTGACTATCAAACTGTGCAACAGCTATTGTCTCAGTATCGGTGACTATCAAGTTGCGCAGTGACAGCAGGTGGTGTTTGTTGTATATACTATCATAGGTTTCGGCTGACCTCTGTGGACACTCCATTCAGGGGTAGCTTGGCACGATCAATATCAATGCTTCAGTTATGAGGACACCAAGGTCTGGTGTGAGTGTTGATGATGATGAGGTTGATGACATTGGTGATAAGGTTGGTGAATGTCGATGATAATGAGGTTGGTGGTGTTGGTGATGAGGTTGGTGGTGTTGGTGATGAGGTTGGTGGCATCAATACGAGTGTCCAGTGTGTTGACTTGGTGCTTGAAGTGATCCCCAGACCGCAGTGGACTACTGCCTTCGGTTCTATCTATATCCAGACCGCTAACCTGCTATGGGGCGCCTACGGACATCAGGTAGTGGTGATACAACACACACACTATGATGAGGAGCAACCTTGATAGATTGCTGCTATGCTGACTGTAACTAATGAGTACTTGTGTTTCTAAAGTATTGACTAGTTGTATGGTGAGTAGAGTGGATAAGGATCCACTCGACCTTTGGTGATGAGAAAGCATGGTTATATACCTCTTCACAGCATCACCAGCAATGCTGCTCCTGCTCTCTCTCCAGAGAGTACCTTCTTCATCGAGTACTGTTCAGGGGGCCTCTCCTGCTTGCTTGGTACTCTTGTGCCTCCTGAGTGGTGTCGACTCCTTCAACACTGCTCCTCCTCCTCATGACCCGGTGTCAACTCCTTCGACACTGCTGCTCCTCCTCAGGACCTGCTTGCTGGTGCCCTATACACTGCTCCTTCTCCTTTGACTGGTGACAGTTCCTTTGACTCTTGTCTCTCGAGCCCCTGAGTGGTAACCATCTGAGCTTGGTCCTCTTTGTGGCTGTGCCTGCTCCTTGAGCTTGGTCCTCTCCGTGGCTGTGCCTGGCCCTCCTTGCATATGGCTCGGTCCTCCTTTGCATGTGAGTCCATAGGAGTCCATGGTCTCCATGGAGACTGCACTACGACCATGCTCTCTACTGGTATTGACTAGATCTTCAATACCTGTGCTCCTTCCATATGAACCAGTGGCCCTCCTGCTTCTTGAGCATCTAGGCCCATGACACTACCCCCCTCTTAAGAGCCGAGCTCCGTCGAGGCATGCTCTGGTTTGGTTCATGCTGACTCCTCCTCCTCCTTGACAACATCGCCAACATCACCCTTCCTCCTTCTTCTCAACATCATTCTCCTTCCTCCTTCTCTCTCTATTCCTCCTGTTCTCTCCTCCTCTCTCTAGGGTTACAAGGGGCTGCCCGGTAGGGATGACTTTCAACATGTGTCGACCTATTAATGAAAGTTGTTCATTTTGGCGCTAGGAACAATAGTGTTGCTGATCCCTACTCAAGTTTTTCAGTAGGTTGTGGAGATATCACATGTTGAAGTTTGGCCCAGTACAGGTCTGGACCTTGAAAATTCAGGATTTTTGGGACTCACCCATAATGAATGTTGTTGCTCTATGCACCAATAAGACAGTCCTAGAGTATCATCATGCTTAGGGTTACAAGGGGCTGCCCGGTAGGGATGACTTAGGGTTACAAGGGGGCCCCCTTGAGAGTTTTGATGATCCAATGGTACCGTTGGAAAGCTCTTTCAAAATGGTATATGTTCAGAAAATTTTGGGTGGAACTGATGGCACATTTTGGTGTGGTGGAGGAAAATGTATGTCTACATGATGACTTTGGCTGGTGGTGACAATGAGGAGGCAAAACTCATGGAAGATTTTGGTGGTGTTAGGTGCTCTATAGGGGTACTAGGGGGTATGCAAAATCGGAGTGCTGTAGCATATGCATGTGGCTGTCAGGAGATGATCCAAGATTTGGTTAGTGGTCCCCGAGGTGCGGGGGTAGGGGACAGTGTGCTCCCGAGCAAGATGGATTCCTCAGGGCCATGTGACTAAAAGACTGAAGGGGATGGTATGCTCCTGTGTGAGACGGCAGTGTCGGGGTCATGTGACCTGTATACTGTATAGTGTATGGTGAGGAGACTGAAGGGGTCCGAGGAGTGGGAGTAGGGGCTGGTATGCTCCTGAGCAAAACTGCAGCCTCGAGGTCAAGTGGCTGGAATACATTATAGTGTACAGTGAGGGGACCGAAGGGGTCCGAGGTAAATGGAAGGGGACAGTGTGCTCCTGAGCGAGATGGTATCCTTGGGGTCATGTGACTAGAACACTGAAGGGGATGGTATGCTCCTGCGCGACATGGCAGCCTCAGGGTCACGTGACCAGAATACTGTATAGTGTATGGTGAGGGGCCGAAGGGGTTCGAGGTGAACTGAAGTGGATGGTATGCTCCTGCATGAGATGGTATCCTCGGGGTCACATACCTTTTCAACACATATTTTTCCAAGTTTATTTTTCAACACATATTTTTGCAACCTCTTTTTGTGACCTCTTTTTTCGACATTTGGGTTACAAGGGGGCTAACCCCTTACTGAAGTGTACAGTTTGCTCCCGCACAGGTCAGTATCCTCGGGGTCACCTCACTGAGAATACTGTATAGTGTACCCCAAGGAGGCCGAAGGCTGCCGAGTCTATCTGAAGTTGAGTAATAGTACAGTATGCTCCTGCACAAAGCTGTATCCTTGGGGTCACATGATTGAAATTGCATAGTTACACATGAGTTTGACAAAAGGTATATATATTCCCCTTTTCGAGACTGAAACTTTATTTCCCCCTAATTTTGATCCATCTCCCAAACACATACCAATATGCCTCCGAAGCGCCAACGAAGCTCCCAATTAACCAAGGCAATCACTGCTGCTGCAGTCCGACCTTTTTTGCCTCCAAAGAAGAAATGAAAGCCACCAAAGAAATGTTTTGACCTGCATCCTGGCCCCCATATTGACTCTGAGCCTTTGGTAGTGGTTCTCATTCCCAACTTAGAGCCCCAAAGAGCACCTTCCCCACCTCTACCTGAGCCTGTGGAGGACCCAAAGGATACCGACTATCTCATCATGTTATCCGAAGAGGAGGAGGAGGCTGTAGAGATGGCTCAACAGCCCGAATGGACCGAAGGAGACGAAGCTGTTGTCACCAAAGCCATAGCAGCCCCCAAACCAGACATCGAAGCACAGCCTTATGTACCCACTTCGGAGGAGCTTCTGAAGGATGGACCTGAAGATGTGGATGCCTGGAATGTCACCATATACCCTGAAGACCTACTGAAGATCCACGGGAGATACCTCACCCTTTTTCAGTTGGTGTCCCAAGCCCCATACCCCATTCTCCGCGATGACAAATACTACAGTGACTGGGTGTACCTTGCCCGAGGGTCTGGTTTTCTAAAGGTGGAGCCTCAGTACAAGACTCCACTAGTTCAGGCTTTCCAGAAACACTTTCATGTTCAACCAAGCAGCTACGGGCTTGCATTTTCTTCGGGATGCCCTACAGTGACTCTTGAGATGTTGGTTAATGCGCTTCAGGATGTCAGCTGTGAATCGGTGCGAATTCAGGCATACGGGATGAAGCTTGCCTTTTTGGAAGTGCACACCGAACCTGGCAACCCTGAACATCCCCTTTCACATACCAACACTTGGGACTAGGGTTACAAGGGGGTTCCATTTTTAAATCAAGTAGGGTTGCTTAATCAAAGTTAGGGTTAGGGTTAGGGTTAGGGTTAGGGTTAGGGTTAGGGTTAGGGTTAGGGTTAGGGTTAGGGTTAGGGTTAGGGTTAGGGTTAGGGTTAGGGTTAGGGTTAGGGTTAGGGTTAGGGTTAGGGTTAGGGTTAGGGTTAGGGTTAGGGTTAGGGTTAGGGGGTTAGGGTTAGG